AAATTTAAATAATTTTTTATAATTACCTAATTTCTGCTTTAAGAAGTCTGCACACAAATGACCTGCAAATTATAAATACAAAATGATTAGAATGAAGCTTTAAAATATTATTCAAGTAATGTGGAAAGTTTAGTCAGTTCCACGATATTTTTTTTGCGTAGGATATGTGGGGAACAAATTCTCTTCACAGTAATTCAAAGCGAGCTGAGTTTGGGGATCATCATTTAAAATAAGAAAAGTAAAGTTTTAAGTTGCAAAATATAACTTACTTGATAGTAATTCGAAGTCGATTGACCATCTAAAAAGCAAATAAATATAAAAATATGTTAAAACTTATAAAACATAACGAAAGATTTTCAATGATTTATTTTATCAGGGTTTAAGCTATCAACAAAGATGAATTAATTACTTAGTTCATCTTCTCTGAGACGAAAAATAAAACATTGAACATCATGTAAAACTTTCCAATAACATGTAAATTGAAATAACATATAAACGAACCTTTTAATTGAAGTATGATTATCGTCTCTGCTAGATTCATTTATTACGCCAGCTAATGGATAAAAAGAAAATTAATAAAATGCTTGTAACAAAACTACTCACCATTGTTCAATTTCCTGCAAGATAAATAAATTGATAAACAAATTTCATGATGGAAGAAGGAAAAACCAAGTTTCTTGACTGCTCCCAATTGTTCCATCTTCCAGCTGAGATTTTTTTTTTCTTTTCTTAGTTTATTTTTAAACTTGCAGTTTTGTTGATTTGCAATACAAAACGTGAATGTTCGCTGAATTTTTTTTATGGATTTAAACAGCGGCTTGGACTGGTGGTTCATATCCTTCTGGTCGTTCAACTGGAACACCTTCTGCTGCAGCAGTTGCTGTTGGTTCAGATGATTTTCCACCATCACCGTGGAGTTCCAATAATTTTGATAAGTCAAATCGAGGCTTTTTCAAAACTTTCACCTTAAAAATCATTTTTATAAAACATGAAACTAAATTTTTCAATATTTTGACTCACTTTTCGGATGAAGACGTCATGCAGTGGATAAACACCGTGGCACGACTTCTCGATATCCTTAGCAATAGAGTCAGGCAACAATTTGTTGACAACTTCTTTCAAGTCTGAGCTTGAAATATCACGGATGATGATATCCGTCATTTTCTTACGAATGGTCTTGATTTGAGAAGTTTGTGCGTAACAAGTCTTGCGACGTGAAGAACCGTCTTTGGATGTGAATCCAATGCAAAACACGCGAAGCAAATAACCATCAGTTGTTTTAACATCAACATGACATTCGATAAGTGTTTGCCATTTCTTTACCATCGATCTATGAAATTAAAGAAAATTTTATTCATTTTAAGGTTATGATAATGTATGTAAATAATTTACCTCAATTTGTCTGTGGTAAGATCCATTCCATGGAAATTAGTAAGAACAAAGCGTCCTTGCACATCTTCGGCAACAAGTTTGAATTTGCGGAAAGATCTTTCAGCATCGTTATCATTCTGTAAATCAGCGAGTGATACTTCAAACACGCGACCTTTTAATCCATCAGAAGCGATTTTTGTACCTTGCGTACGATTAACTAATGTTTTGCCAACTTGTCTTGTGGCGAACATTGATGGAGCTTTAACATCATACCAATCTTTACGAGTGAAAGGATCGACAACCTTCTTTTTGGAATTCTTTTTGCCACCTTTGACCAAACCTGCAATTTTTCAAAGAACTAGAGTTATTTATCACAAACTAAAATAGAAAGTATAGTGATGCATACTTTATGAGAAATAATAACTTTAATTCACATAAGAAATGGCATCATTACTGTGATATTCACCTTTATTTTTTCCGACTGCCATCTTCGCAGACTGAAATTTTAGGAGAAAAGAAAGAACCCTGCAAAGCAGAGACGTAAACCGAATTTCAAAACCGAATATTTGAAAGTTGCGTCACTCCAATTTTCAGTTCATTTTGTTCGATTAATTGCATGTTGAATAAATGCTTCAGACCAATCTTTATTGTGATGGATGATTGTAATATCTTTAGTTTTGGGTATATTCATTTGCTTTTTCTATCGTTATGAATCTTCAGACAAAATTCCTATTTTACAGAACTTTTATTACACCCTACCAGAGATCGTGTCATGAAAACCGGTTTCGTACTTTCTTAAACCCTCGATTTTGCTTCAATCTTTCTTTTAATTCATTCGCTCGACGAAGCAACATCACTTGAAAGATTTATTTAATTTACTTAGGTATTTAACTAATCAAGACACTTAAAATAAACATGTGAGTTTACTTAACTAGTTTAACAGCAGCTTATATTGCTGAAGTTGAATGGAAAGTTAATTTATAAAATGAAATCATGTTAAAAGAGAATTTAACCTGGAAGCACATGGTGAACTCAAAGTAAGTAAATTTTTCTTAAGAAATCATAAGTCCTTTCTATTTAAAAGCATGAAGTGATGAATAATCTTACCCTTTAAGCAGAATTACTTTGTTGAGCTTATAGATTGGTCTTCCTGATAAATGATAAATTTATAAAAATCTTTGACTATAGACTGAAGATTAATTTTTTTATTTTCTTACAGAAGAGATGTAATTACCCAGCCAGCAAGGTAAGCAAAGATGCCGGCAAATGTGCTATATTATAATACTTGTATTACTTTTTAAAATGATGAGCAAATCTATGAGATTTCAAATTAACGGTTCATCCCCTTTCTGATTCTTTTGATGATCAGTTCTGCTTCTGATAAAAAAAAATTAATACATTTAGGGTTATCATCATTGAAAATTGATGAAGCGCGTGTCTTATAATTTCTTTTTTCTTCTTCAGGAGCCACAACATTATCTTGCTGAACAATAACTCAAACCAGATGCTGTCACATGGTAAGTTTAGAATGCTTCTTATCAAGCAATCAAATCATATTTCAATAATTCTTTATAATGATGATATTTACCGCCCCAGTCTGATTTCTATGAAGACTGGTACCTTACTGATACAAATAGAATTACTCACCCATAACACTTAAAAGGTTTCAATATTCACAAAAAACTTTGTTTTCTTTTCTAGGTAGATAAAGTTACAGAAAGATTCAAAAATCTGAACTCGTTGTTCATAGGAGATGTCAGGTAAATGCTTCTTCTATCTATCTGTTGAAACAAAACCTTTTTTTTTCATGATGAAGTAATTTTATTAACAGTTATCCCTGTCTGAATGACACAAATATTAAAAATGAGGAAAAATGTTAATCTGAAAACTTTATAATGAAAATTAATTCTTTTGTTAAAATAAATCGAAATCTTATTGCCTTTTCCTTTTTTCCAGGCCATTTCCATAGATTGTTAACTTTCTTTTAACTGAATTCAAAAGCGAGCCAAGGTGAGTTATTACTGATAAATAATTTAATTATTTCAGTATGAAACTAAATGATGTTGTATTTTAATATACGCTAATATTCTCAAATAGAGAAAATGATTCAAATTTTTTACGCTGAAACTATTAAATTTATACAAATTCAATATTAAAATGTATCATCTTTACTAATAATGGAATTGTTGACAAACTTTCAGATCTTTATGTCGAACTTCATCTCGAAGGAGTTGTAAAACGTTTCGTTCTTATTTCTTATGTCAATTCAACATAAGTTAAGGTAAGGATAATCAAAGTAGAACTAAAGTTCTCAGTTTTGTTTTCAAATGATGGTATTTTTAATATACTTTGAATCCTGAACATTCCACAGGGAAATGATAACAAACATTTTGCTGATTATTTTCTAAGAAAGCAATTATTGATTCTCTAATGAATAGAAATACTTAAATTCTTTCTTTCTTCTTGAACTTGCAGATTTGCATCTTTCTGAATGAAGTTCAACATGACGAGAAGTTGTCAATAAATTTTTTTTCAAGGTATGTAATTATTTAATAAAAATTTCAAATATATTTTGTATGATGAGACTTAACACGAAAACCGCAACAATATTTCGTTATTTGAAATTAGAATGAAAATTCTGATGATGTTGCTTTACTTGCCCTCACTGATCTTTAAAAAATATTTAAAAAAAAGATTTATGAAAGGAGATTAAAATACTGAAGCATTTTTTTTATTAATCTTTTCAGATAAGATCAAACTCGACGACATGAAAACAATCATAAAGGAGAATCATTTAGAGCTGGAGAATTCTCTCATGAGTATTTATCACAATATTCTGTCCACTTCGCCCTTTTCAACAGAAATGTGTGGAATAAAACCAACAGGGGAAATATTAAATCTTGTATTTAATTGCTTATCAATAATAAAATAATGAAAAAAAAAGTCTTCAATCGAGTTTTATTTTTTTTAGAACGATCATTACCTGACTGACATTCGATTTCCAAGAAAAAAGTTCCATTTATGACTATAAATTTCATCAAACATGAATCTTTCGCTTTAAACATCAACAACTCGAGAGAGTTTCAATGTCATTTGCACAAAAGTTGAAAATCAAAAGCGCTGATTGCGATTGCGAAACTAAAGAAAGGAAAAAGCCAACAAACATTTTGCAAGATTCTCTTTTATTATTTATAGAGCAGAAAGATTAAATGACGTGAATATGGTTACAATAAGCATAACTGAGCATCAGTTAATACTCCTGTCTTTATCAGTGTATCAGTTTATTTTACTAAGATTAGATTAGTTCTAGCTTCTCTGATTTGCAAAAAAAATTGACAAATATCTAATTGAACTAATTTTTATTGTTATGTTTTTATGTCATAAATTATAATTTTTGTTATGATTTCATTCCCGCTAATTATTTTCTAATTTTTCTTCTCTTATGAATGAAGATTTTTTTTATGACATTTCTGTAAATAGGAAGCATTTTTTAGGTCAACGAGCCTCATTTAATCTCCCAAGTCATAATAAATCTCCCATCCCTTTATTAAATAGCAACTTTCGAAAAACATCGGAATTGCATTACATATCGTCAAACAACATCTTACGCAAATAATCTTGTAAGGAGACGGGATTAATCATTGTTGGTATGATAACTATTCAAACAAATAAAAATGATAAAAGAAATTAGGAAATAAAGAACGATAAGTTAACATGCTGTTGACCTAAAAAAGCAAGTTGTGATTACATAGTTTTCTATGTTTTTTCTTTAAGATACAACATGAATCTAATCATTTCAAATCAACATTTTGATTATGGTTATTGTTCAATCTTATTTGTAGAAGCATTTTCAATTTAATCTATTTATGGACGTATGAGCTGCCTAAATTAAAAGCTAAGTTAATAATCAACATCAATTAAAAACATCCAATTAATACACATGGTTTCAATTGAGCAAGATTTTAATCAGATTTTTTCAATTTAGATTATTTCAAAAGGATCAGCAGCATTCTCGAAGATGCTAGGCTCCAAATCGCCTAAATCATTGTCGACATCGTGATCATTAGCATTTGCATTGTTGCGGTTTGTTCTTAACGCCTGCTCGTTATTATTGACATCTTGGCCTGGATTGATTATGACGCTATTGTTTATTGAAATTAGATTAGAAATCTCATTATTGCAATTGTCTGGCTGCTGAAAACCTCCGCTATTATTGTTCGCTATTACCACTTCGGTCAAGGCTGTGATGTAGTTTTTTGCCAGCGTTAATGTCTCAATCTTTGAAAGTCTTCGTTCCTTTTTAACATGTGGAATGACTTCACGTAGAGACTGTACAAATAAAATTAATGCAGACAAGATGATGATGAGACAATTAAAAGTTTATTTTCATCATAACTTAAAAAGGGATCAATGATGTATGGAGAAAACGTGAACTCGATTAAAATATTACGTGCTAAGCTCAAAGTTAAACAAAAGATTGAAAATATTTTTTTCCTATCACGAAATATCATAAATCAGGATAATCACATCATTTGACAAAGTTTTAATTATCATTCTAAAGAAGGATGATACGAGGGAATTAATGAGAAACTTTTTCTTGTTCTCTTGCGTGGTGGCATCAGCGGAAAAGATTGCGAATGTCTTCTTGCTTTCCTTCTTGCCCTCACACTTTGATGATGGACATTTTTGACTTGAATGGTGGAAAAAAAAAAATGTCTTCACTTCACCAGCTTCTTTTTTCATATTCGATACACAACATTTAGTCACTTTTTGACTGACGATGGTGCGGGTGTTGTTGGTGGTTGGTACATAAATTGTTGACGTTATTAGAATTTTAATGAAAAATGTTAATGAGAACATATTTTAAGTGGGGGAAAGGGCAAAGAAAAAATAACGTGGCAGATTATACTAAGAAATCAATGACTAACACCGCGATATTTCAGACATCTACAATAAATAATGAAACTTACTTGAAATGCATCATTTAAACTATGCATTCGCATTCGTTCCCTTTCATTTGATTCTAACCGTCTCAAATTTCTTTCCTTAGCATTCAACGCTCCTTTTTTCCTTCTCGCGATTGATGATGATGTTAAATATGTTGCTTTGCGTCGTCCCCGACAATTTCCATAATCATCGCTTTGAGAACTTGAGTCTGTCATATCTGAAGGATCGACGTTAGTTTGTGCTTGTTGCTGAATAATTTGTATTCGACATTATTATGAAAAGAAGAAAAAATTCAATTTAGTTTCAATTATGATTGGTGAAAAAATTATTTAACTCCATTACAATGTCACATACTTGCTGCATTTTCATTCTAGACCTTAATCTACTGTTCGTCGTACATTGCTCAGGTGCACTTGCTTTGTAGAGTTTCTCATTATTTAAAGTACTTGAGGAGTCGAAGAAGCTGCTTGTGTCTTCCGATGATTCAGCTAACTCATTCGAAGCTTGAAACTCATTCTTTTCCTCTTTAACATTTGACTTCATTTTTATATTTTGGTGCTCGCGTATAGTTAAAACCTGCAATGTTGTAACTTTGTAAGTTGTGAATCTCACTAGAAATTCATTCATTCGTCTTGATGTAAGCGACGGTGATGTGTAATATATAACAATAATCTTAAACAAATGTTTTAGGTCAGGCAACGTTAAATTATGCCAAATATTCTTTTAATCCCACACATTTGTAAAGATTGCTACATGTTGCCACAACAGCAAGGAATTTTGTTCTAAGTCTAATACATATTTGACCTTCGTTCTAAAGCCTTTAAATGTTTAAGAATTTAAAATGTTGGGAAATGTGTTATTGAAGCAACCGCGTGTGTAAGTAAACGCTTCACTTTTCAAGGAATATTTGCTTGATTTCCTCAATCAATTATCTCAAACTCTATTCGATCACATCGTTTAATTTAAATATATAACTTTGTGTTATCAGTTTATCGATTTAGCTGTTATCGTACATGTTTTGTAATTTTTTTTCTCTTGAAATGAACGTAATTTGAATAATATGATTCTGAAGAACATTTAAATGATGTAGAAAGTCGAACACCTTACGCTTTTAACTTCAGCCTCAAGCATGTTACCACCGCGCAAGAAAATCATGTGACATTTGTAATGCAATATGGTTCTAAGTAGACCAATTTTAATGATTTATATGGTTAAAAGCCCAAAACACATTCATCTTGTTTGTAACCCAAGAACATCCTATAATCCGTAAGAGAAACCTTTTTGTTGGAAAAAATATAAATAAAAAAGCGCAGAAGGGCAACTTTGACGACGGCGTTTTTCATATTTTATCTTAAAACTTTTTTTAAAGTCATTGCAAATGTGAATTTATTTCCAAAATTTATTCTAAGAAAAGGAAATTACGCAAGCTAAGCGTGGGCGGTGGAGATTAATTAGTTTAACGAATGTAATTTAAAGCTTTTTTTTTCGCCATTAACTCATTTTTCTTAGTCTTTCTCTCTGATCTTAACAAAGTTATTCTAAGTAATCCTTGTGTTATTAATTCTGCTACTAAATTTAAATCGATATTTTGTGATGAAAAGGGGTTGGAATGTTTACGTTAATCTATAGGAATCTATGAGTCTTAGAAGTTTTCCGCACAATTTATTCATATAGATAAATATTTGCAGATGATTCTATTTAAAAAAATGTAGATTATTCGATAATAATCCTTCTGATCCAGGTTAAATTTAATCATCAAGGACGAATAAAATCTAATTAAAAGAGAAAATTTTCTCTTGATGAAACATTTATTCATAGTTGAGGAAAATATGAAATATTTGAATTAAACAACTGAAAAAAATAAACAAAAATTTCAATTTCACACATCTCTGCAACTCACTTCATCTAAAAATGACAACCCGTAACTGCAATACCTTATTACGTTTGATTGATTGCTTCTCCAGACTCCAAGAATTCCTATTTCGGGTGGTTTCAATTCACTTCTTCACTTCTTAAGAAATTTTTTACGCAAATTTTCTTTTTTATTTGGATTTTCTCAGAACAAATCAAATTCCTGCTTTTTTTATTCTTTTGAAATTCAACAAGTGTCTTCAAGTTTTTTCATGATAAGCACGTTTTCGAATCAGTTCCAAGTTCTTATTTGTTTTCACAATTTATTCCCATGCTACTTTGTAATTTCTTTCTCTATTTCAATTCATTATGAACAGTATTTCTTTTTTATTTATTTCATATTTTCTTTATCATTGAGCTTTCCCATTTTCCACTTTAACACTGTTGATGGTGCAAATGAACACGTCATTATCTAGATCAGGTTCTTATCAACAATGTTTGCATTATCAACATCATTTGCTTTTATCTTTTATTGAATTTCACTTAGTTTTATATAGATAAATATTCTTTTCACAAGGACATGACGTATTAACACCACAGTTCATGGAATGACAATTCAAATGCATCAACATGCTTTTCCATTTATAATCAATTTTCCCTTTTTATTCTTTGATTTCAGATAAAATTTCCTCTTAATTGTTTATCAGGAATTCAATGGTCACACGAGTTATGAAATTTCACGGACTTTTAATCTAAACTCGTCTAGTTTCCTTAAAGTCTCGCCTATGAATGAAACCTGTTGTTCTTTACGATAAAATGTTTGGTAAATAAAATCGCGGTTACGCATACCAACTCATCCGTATAGCATTCACGAGTATATTAGGGATGAACAAGAAGGAAAAACTCGGGAAAAACAGATGAAAATTTGTGAGAGACTACTTTATTTATGATGTTGTTTGTATTGGTGAAATGTAGGAAAATTCTCTCGAAAGAAAATTCGACTTCGTGCTGTTCTCGTTACCGACTCAACTCTATGGGAAGTCATAAAACGAGATATAATAGCTTTACCATGTTCGGCACTTCGTGTTCGGTTGGCAGAATAAGTCTGTTATATGCAACAGATTGTTGTTTATTTTGATATATTCTAAACACTCTTAAATAAACGATTTTCGATACCTTTTTTAATGGTTTGTAACTATTGTTATTAAAGTCATAAAGTTTGGTCATTTATAACTTTTAGGAGAAAGTTGACAAGAGCAGCTTAAAAAATTCTGAAATGCATTAAAAACTCATACAAGTTAAGAAGTGTTCTGATTTTAAATAAAATAAATATGCAAAGCTTCTAAAACAAGAATTTTGAATTAAAAGCTTCAATTATTTAATTATAAATGAAACCAAAACAAATGTATGGAACTGTTGCTTTCATTGAAATCTACTAAAATGTCAAGATCACAAAATGACATACTTAACACAATCCTTCATTCTTTATTATTCTATTTAATTAGAAGGAGTGATGAAAGATTGTTAAAAGTGTTCACGAGAATTTTTGTCGTTACTTTGAATCACTTCCTTGCTGTTCTCATAAATTTCTCATATTTGAAAAGATTGAAATCTTTTAATTACCAATGCCAAGAATCAATTACATTGATGTTTCTCTCAAACCTTACATACTTTTCATAAAACAATCGAATCCTTACAATACAATCTAATGTAATGTAATAAGGACTTTGTCAACACTCAACTCCGCCGCCGATGATTTTTCATCCCGCGTCGATGTTTGTCGTCATCAAGTTTGGGTTCATTTGTACATTTATAGCAAACACAGGAAAGAGATGGTGAATAAAGTTAGAATAACAATAATGAACAGCAAGCTCATGGCTTGATGTTAATGTTATATAATTTAATATAAAATGAAACTAAATGAACAGCATTGACGCCGACATGGCGACAATTTGACAATTTCCTCTGTGCAAACGTTTGGAAGTGACGGAAGTTTCATTAAATGTTGATTTGAATTATTTTTAGGGTGTCTATTCTTGTGATATCAATCATGAAATGATCAACTTGTTGCTTTTTCTAAAAAAAATAAATAAATGAATAGAAGTTGAAGAACGCAGACTTGACGTGAGTCCATGAAACAGAAAACAGATCATTTTTTATCATCATTCGGATCGTTCAAAGACACCACCAAATAATTCTTTACAAATGTTCTTAAATCTTTTTATCTTAACTTTAGCAGCAACAGTGAATGCAAGATTCTCCTTAAGACGACACAAAAAGCCATGAATCAAATCAAGTGCGAAAATTCTCGTCTTCTTCAATGGGAATCGACGCTCGCAGCTCATATGGCGAAAAATATTATTCCCACTTGAGTTAATATTCGATTCATGTAACCACATCATGATGAAGAAAACTTGGAAGAGAATGTACGAAGAAATATGAGAGAAAGTCAGTGTAAAGGAAAAAAAATTAAATTTATTATTTATGATTATGATTATAATTTTTATTTGGCCACTTGATTCTTGTGTGACGTCGTTCGTTCCCCTCAAGCAAGAGGCGAACGATGAGCATCAAATTATTTGAAAAATCAATTTTCTTCTGGTCCCAAGTGACCGAATTAAGCCCCAAGCCATAATTAGAATCAACTTATTTTTTAACAGGATTTTTTACTTGGACGATGAAGCACGATGAATGAATTAGGGGTCTGGTTATATTTTAATAAGATATTATAAGTTTTCTCTGAATTTTTAATCAAGTCGAGAATATCATTAATGCTACTTCGTGCATGATAAAAAAGATATTACGAGGATGCGGAATACTAGAGGCTCGCAAAGCAGTCGAACTTAAATTACAATTTTTCTTCGATTAAAATTTGAAATGCAAAACTCATCGAAAGTTTTTCCATGATCATGAACATGAATACAATCTCCACATATCAATGTTGACTTATATAAAGTGACGTAGGGATTTGAAGAATTCTTTTTAAGCTCATTTATATTCGTAGAATCGACGACGAAGCCAAAATAAAAAATATGAAATAAAAAATAATTTCATAAAAAAGTTTTAAAAAAATGTGTCAACGAAAGAAGGCATAAATTGAGTAAATGTCTATCAAAACATAACTTCATTTTCAAGAAGTTTAAATAGCAATTCTCCTTAGTGTAGGAACAAGGAGAAAAACTTGTTTACTTGTTCTGCCCAGTCAATAATTTCCAGTCCTAACCAGAGGGGAGACTTTACTTTTAAAGCTGTTTTGCAAATTACGTTATGCCATTCATGTCGCACTGAGAAGCATTACGAAAAGAAGAAGAAGAAATGTTCATTTAATAAATATTATTACAAAACTTTTAACTAAAGGATTAAAATAAAGAAACTTCTTAAACAATTTACAGATCAATTTATTGTTTGAGTTTTGATATCGTTTTCCAAAGATTTTCCGTATTTCTTAGAAAATTATATTTGATAAAAATTCAAAGGACAAGAAAATAAATAAAAATTTTATTTTAATGGAATGGAAGAATTCGCTTACGTAAAGTAAAGCTAAATGTAAAGTAAAACACATTCGCTTCAATCATTGTTGTCCCAGAAATGTTGTTTTTCTCTTCAGAAACACTGCTGGATATAATTCAATTTATTTTTATAAGAACGCTTTTTATATTGTTTTGTTTTCCTCAGTAATAATCATGGGTTTGCAGTGGTGAATGATTGTATTAAGCAGCTCTTTTTTAAGCATCCTGATTTAATTGATGTAGATGCCTTAACGTAATTATACTTTCCATTACAGTGAGATTTTATGTTGGAAATTATTGTTAAAAATGTATTTTTGTTCAACGTTCGAAATAGCTTTTTGCTGTATTTTTTATTGTCTTGTTGGCGTCGAAGTTATCAAATTGTGTGTTAAAATAATTAAGCTTTCGTTTGACGGGAGATCACGCCCTGAAGTGTGGGTGGTGTGATATGTACATGTCGCCTTCGTAACGCAATTTTATCACATACTTATCTTCTCTCTCTTTTTTTTTCAAAAACAATCTGAAGAGTGAAATTATTCATACAGCAAACCATGAAGATATCAGGTGGCGTTAAGTTAAGCGTGTTGAATTAAATAAAATGTTGTAAATTCTAAGCAGATGCATAAATAATTGAATATAATTTGAAAAGAAATTGCATTAAATGTTCTTCAGATGTTCTTTATCCAACATAAATTGACTAAAATGGCAATAAGTTCACAATTTTCTTTTCACTACACAATTTGCAGTTTCTTGGAAGCATTTTCAACACTCCTGAATGTGTGGGAAGAAATTGATTGAACAATTCTATTTATAAAACTTCTATTTTATAATTTAATTTAATAAATTTTGTTGAGCTTTTTTTATTTTTGTTCAGAATGGATGTAATTAACATTTAATTTGATAAATAAAGTTTTTAGAAGCCTACATGTCTAAAATAGTTTTTCCACGAATAATTTGCGATTTGTGTCTTGAATTCACGTTTGATTGTAAAAGATGTCGCATGACAATGTTCCTTTGACTCCTTTTCGTAACTTTTTATCATTAACTAAGATATCTGTTTGCGATTATAAAAAAAATCATGATTATGACAACCCATGGATGTTATTATTGTTGTTAAGTGAACTTTTATCGTGGGCTTTAGAATGTTGATGATTTAATCGATGTTCAAATAATAAAAGTTGATTGATTATAAATCCATTCCATTTTAGCACACATGGAGTCGTAGCACGAAACAATGTCGAGAAGTTTTAAATATCTTTTCATTTTCTTTGTCACATTTAAATGAATACGCGAAATATAGAAAGAACACGTGAGTTGTTCTTGAAAATATTACATGCCAATTAATTTAGTCACAGGTTTGAAGAAGAGAATAAATATGTAGGAAAATGAAAAACGCGATTTGAAAGCATTGTGATTTATTCTCTGTCTCTTTGTTGCTGAGCTGTAATCTTTCTTGGTGTTAACCCATAAATGTTTGTGCTGAGTGGCTCATATTTGTAGTTGCTATCGCTAACACGATCGGTTACAGCAGAACGAAGAGTTGTGCAAGGGTCGGTCGATGGTTTCTTTTCCTGAGCTCTGATATCACGTTTTCCCGAGAGAGCTGTTAAGTATGAGTTCATGAACTGAGCTTTTTTCGTAATTGGTTGGTTGAAGCCAACAACCATTTCAAGATAATCACGGAACATTGAAGGCATTGTCTGAAACGAAACTAAAAGCGATTTACTTAAGTTTTTTCTATCAAAGGTGTATGAATAATAAATTTAAACTGTTTTCAATACTGACTGCTACAATTTAATCTCAATCTCAATTTTTAAGTCGACGATGCAAACATTACATTAAACTAAATTTTCCTTTCAAAAGAATATTTTGAGAGCATTGAATGATCTCAGATCCCAGCCAAACTTCTCACTTCTCACCCAAAGAAATCTTTTTTAAGATTCCATCAAACTCAATTCAACAACTAACCAATCACTTAGGTCTTTTCAACCAACTACCTTTTCTTCTCTATTAACATATTTGAATCTTTCTATTTTTATTTTTTTTCCAATTCTACTTACTTTTATTGATTTTCTTTCCTTTTTTAATATTTTAAAGAGCTCTCTTCAGCTAGATGGGTTATTGAAGACTGAGATAATTAGTTTTTATACATGCATTTTTAATCGTTAAAAATCGTCGCTAAAAAACTATTTTTAACCCTTTCATTTCTTATTCCTACCTAGCCATATGAAAATTATTATTCTTTTCTCTGTTCCTCTCTCTATCTCTCTTCCTTTCTCAGGAACACTTCTAAAGAGATTTTTCATTAAGAAATGTCGCATACCTGTTGAGAGGTCTTCCTAATTTCCGCCTCTGATTAATAGTAGGTAAGTGCCATCGATTTATTTATAGATAGTTTTTTAATAAGTGACCTTAAATAATCTACACTTGATTTGTGAATCATTTACATATCAATCGACTTATTAATTGAAAATCAGATGACTTTTAGAATTTTACATGCAATCTCATTTGAAAATATTTACATTTGATGAATGGGTGGTTAAAGAAAGAAAGAAAAGTCGTAATTTTTTTTCTTCTTCTTTAGTTTGTCTTACAAAGTTTTCACTCTCATCAAAATGTTCTTTGGCAAAGTTTCAGCTGATTTTTAAACATGAAAAACGAGACATTTTAATCAAGAATTTTATTTAATCTGACTTCTAAAAATCAACAAGCATCATGAACTTTTAAAGAATTCGTAAAAATTTATGAAGATATTTAGAATGCTTTAATCTTATTCGGTTTTTCGTTTAAAAACTGTCCACGCAAGAAATTGAATTAACGTTGTCATCCTCACCTAAAACATTTGAAGTAGGAAAAAAATGTTTTCGTTGAAAATATTTATGTCTAACAGATATTTTTTCTCTAAAAGGTACGGAGTGGTAAATTTAAATAAATTTCCTTATTCTCGCCCGGGTAGGTGTTAATGACAAAAAAACGTAATACTTTAAGTACTGTGAATTGAAATTCATCTCAACTTCAGCTGATGCATGATATTCTAAACGGCTAATCCGATGACGAACCTTCAACTCTAACAAATTGATCTACGTGATTTATTTTCCCAACACCCCCACAGATTGTAGAGATTCGAAAACGATAGAGACAGGAATATTTAATTTAAACTAGGATTAAATTGTTTTTTTCTTCTTTATTTTCATTCTGATTTTATTTTATCTATATCTTTCTCATGCTTATTGACATAAAGGTTTGTTTTCTCTTCAATTTAAGGAATAAATTATCGGTAAATGGGATCATAAAAGGAAATTCTATACTACATATGTAGGACCATGAAATATTCTCTCAATTACATCGACACTGTAATCAAAGAAAATGTTTTAAATATTATAGGTAATATAAAAATTAATAATTTCAAATATTTGTAACATTTTAATCTGCTTATTTCAGAAAACATTATCAAAATCGCAAATGCGACAAAATACTTTACACAGATACAAATTTTACCGGTATTTCAGTTTTTAAATTCACTCGAAATTTTCAGAAAATTTTCGTAAATCAAACAATTTCTAAACACACTCAGCATTTTCTGAACACCCAAGCTACAATAAAAATTTCAATACTGCGTAGAACCAGAAGTGAAAAACAATTTCCAAAAATTACAATTGATTATTACAATAAAAAATGAAATTCCAATATAAAGAGGAACATCCATTTGAAAAACGTAGAGCTGAAGGCGATAAAATTAGAAAGAAGTATCCAGATCGTGTACCTGTGAGTAGAAGAAAATCTTAAAATATTTTAATAACAAAGCAAAATACTTTTGTTTATTAATTATGCAAAAAATATTGAAGTAATATTAGGATACTAAAGTCTTATTTTTGCTTAAACGTTTAAATCATTATACATCATAATAAAAGTTAGTTTTATGAAGAAAGTCCAATTAATGCTTTAAAATAAAAAGGAATTATGAAATTCGTATGACTCATGTTGGCTATCTAGATACTTGCGCATCCATTAATAGCAAAACAAATTTTCTTAAGACCTTTGAAAACCTTTGTTTCTACGACATTAATTTAAACATAAAAAATATAACTCAAGCCTGAAGAATTGATATTAAAATCAAGGACGAACTCGAATTATATTTTAGAATTTTTTTTTCTTCCTTTGTTTAAGTTTGCTTTTGGTACGTATTTGCTAAATTATCAAGACTTAAGAATATTTTTTCGTTAAATTATATTGCGTACTTTTTGAAGAGATTAGAATCGATAAGAATTGTTTGTTTTAAGAAAATATTTCTAAGCATAGTTAAAGAAAAAGTTCATGACAACAACAAAATTTTAAGAAATTTTCATCTCTAGGTAAGTGTTCGAGCTTGCAAGGCAAAGCAGAACCAATACATAGTGATGAAATCATATGATAACTACATCTACTAGCACGTTTCTTTTTGTTGTGAAGCCAGTTTTCTTCATAAAGTAGAAAAAAATATAAATAAACAACACAAAGCGTTCGTTTGCAATTTTTTTCTTCTAGTTTGTTTATAAACGATTTTTTCATTTAATAGATTTGAACTTCGAATTTTTACATATGTACTTGCTCGATTGCCAAAATATTTGATACTATTTTTTAAATTGCAGGTCATCGTAGAAAAGGCTCCAAAAGCAAGAATTGGTGATCTCGACAAAAAGAAGTATTTGGTACCATCAGACTTAACCGTTGGACAATTTTATTTTCTAATCCGCAAGCGCATTCATTTACGTCCAGAAGATGCATTATTCTTTTTCGTAAACAATGTAATTCCACCTACAAGCGCTACAATGGGAAATCTCTATCAGGTGAGGAAATATTTTCAATGATAAAGAGAGTAAAAACGTCAACGATCTTTTTCTATTTTCAGGAGCACCACGAAGAAGATTTCTTCTTATACATTGCATATTCTGATGAGAATGTTTACGGTGGTAACTAAATGTTATCAAGCTAAATACCTGGAACCATTTCACAAAACATAAATATTTCTTTTTTTTCTGGAAAACAATATAAAAACGAATTATCAAATTATTTGTGAGTGAGGTATTTTGAAGCTGAAAATTATATTTTTCTCTAATTTTATTTTATTTGTGTTTTCAAAACATCAACTTCTAGTTAAACTACATGATTCTGTTATCCCTAAATCCTAAATAAAGAATATTACAACCTAAAGATGTACTAATTTTAATCTTTCGTCATATTCTCTTCTATAATTATAATTGTACATCAACATGAAAACTAACTTTAAAAAAATATATAAAAATGTGATTAGAATCTTTCTTTCTTATTCATAATAGTCTGCTTATAAAAACTCAGACCTTGCAAAGATTCACCAAAAAAAAACAAAAATTAGAAAAAATCTCCAAGGAAACAAAAATTGAATTGCTAAAAATGTGAATGAAGAAAATTGGGAGATAATAATTCTTATTTATAAGTGTTTCCTCTGTTTGATTCTGACTTATTTCTTTCATCATACATTATTGTTTTAAATTGTAGAACATAAAAATGAAAATAAAATATTTGGTTTATCATAGGACCTTAAATTAAATTGTTTTTATTTTTTGTTTTTACAACTTTGTATAATACGATAATTGAGATTTTCTGATAAAACTTCTCTAGCTTCTTGAAGATGCCTGATAGTATGAACTTGAACTACTGGTTTAAAGGTCTTTTTATATTGTTCAATTTCTCTTTGTAAATGTCTCAAAACTGACGGATGCATTCCTTTATCATTAGTCCCACTTGGTTCGCGAGTTGGTAAGCCTTTTTCACTTTCTAGCTTTATTTGGAGATTTCTAAGCTTATGAATAAGACTGTGTGAGGTTTCATAACTATTTTCAAGCAATTCATCATGCAGCTTAACTTCACCAAAAACCTCAACAGTTGAATTCAAGTAATTCGAAGGTGTGAAATCTATGATAAGAGGAACTTTGTAGGTACAATCTGGTTTCTGAAGATGTCTAAAATATTTAAAATTGATCTGTCAGCTTATTATCTAGTCAACATTGAATGCATAAAAACTTTTTATTTTACCTTTTAATGTTTGGAATGGAAATTGATTCAACACAGATGCTGCTTGAAAGATACCCAATAACAGAACATTTTCCGTAGTGAATTAAAGCCGGATTATTACACAGAACTAACTCATCGACAAGCACAAATTTATAAAACTCTGAAAACTTTGGTAAATTAAAATTCATTTCCTGTTTTGTTTACTTTATTAAAATTATCGTTACAAGGGGCAAGTCGAAGGAAAAATTCAAATTTCTGAAGGGAATTGTAACTGAACTGATGACCAAATTTCAACCAAAAAGCTGATATCATAACAAACAAAATATAATCGAATGTAACAATTAAAGTTTAATCATTAGAGATGACATCACTCTTTAAAACTTTAGATAAGAATTGCAAGTCATCAAACATTCAATTAAGGTGAGAAAATAAAGATTGAGAGCTTAAAATAAGAGAATAAAAGATTAAAAATTTTAGGCCAAATGGAAGCAACGGTTTGTGGCTGATAATTTTATTGTTCATTTGCTTCCTTCAAACTATTCTACGCAATCCAGCTACAATACAAATCAACTATGAACTCTTAACAGTATTACTGTTTGGAATGTCTTTGCAAACAATATCAGCAATTTTTATTGTTTACATTGAAGAAATTCATTTCATATCAAAAGTGATTACAAAGTTAATACCAACTGTTGTAGTTTCGTTGATATTAAACCTCGTACTGAAACAAGATGTACTATTTAGCATAACAACTAGCTTCATCGTGCTGACTGCTTATCATTTCATTTACATTTTTCTAATGAAGTCGCTGCCTTTTAGTTTCACTCTTGGTGAGGCTGCTGTTGTTGCTCAAGGAATATCACTCTTCCTGTATAATTTCTACCTCAAAATACCAACATTGAGAGAACATCAATCACCTGATCAAAGCATAAACTCCATCTTGTCAATAGGAATATTTGGAATCATTGTCATTGTTCTGACTGTTCGAATTGCTCCAGTCTTCAGAAAGTGGCCAATGTTTTATCTACTTTTAATTACAATAACTTTTATGATCTGCATTTTTCCAATTGACAATAAGATTTCATTTATTATTCTCATCGATTTTATTACAAACGATATCGATCGAATACTCATCGTGGGAGTTTACGTTGGACTTTTGCTTATCGCAGGTTTTGCTGTATGCTTCCAAATAAGAAAAAATCAAAAAGGATCAACCAGCAATAGAAAAATATTCCATATACTCATCGTCATGGTTTATGTGCCTGGTCTCATCTATCAGTGTCATCTTCTTTATGTGGCCTCTGTTATAATATTCGCCATTTTCATCATCCTAGAGGTAGCACGAGTAATTGAACTTTATCCAGTTGCTTCAATTTTAGAAACAAGTGTTGAAGCTTTTATTGACGAGAAAGATGCTGGAAAAGTTGTATTAACACCAATTTATTTACTTGTTGGCTGTTCGTTACCAATGTGGATACACAATTCACCCTGTGATTTATTGGGATCATCAAGTACTGAACTGTTACCATTGCTCTCTGGAGTTCTCTCTATTGGAATTGGAGACACATTTGCGAGTTTTATTGGATCAAGAATTGGCAAACATAAATGGTTTAAATCTGCCAAATCTGTTGAGGGAACTCTTGCAAACATCATTGCTCAAGCAAGTTTTCTTTATCTTCTTCACATCATGAAAGTGATTTCATTGGATATGAAATTAATGGCTATTTCTGGTGTCGCAATACTATTAAACAGTCTTGTCGAGGCTTTAACTGATCAAGTCGATAATCTTGTTATTCCTTTGATTACATATTTTATATTATCAATCAAATAAATAAAATTCATGTTGAGAGATTTTTACAAAAGTTTAACGGTTGTCTAAATTTCAAATATTTAAGTAAAATGAAAATAAAGAAGAAAATATTTCTCCAGTGAACGGTTTTCTTTCTCCTCGTATCAGTGAACGTTTTTTTTCCAATGAAAGTTAATTTTCAAAGAATATTAGGAAAATCCAGCATGCAATGGTAGAAAACAACCAATAAATAGATCTGATCAATTCATAAGAAAGATTGAAATATTTTAAAATAGACATTTTACTGAAATCTTATCGGTTGAGAGAAATTTTTGTTTTAATTTGAAACGGGGAGTGTTGTGGAGAAAGAAAAAGCCGAAAAATTTAGTGTACCAGCTTGATAAGTGAAATCTTCACAAGCTTTGGATATTAAATCAATAGAGGATAACAATTAAGATTACCAATTCAACGTGATCAGGTAATATGTTTACATTGGTGGCATTCTTAAAATTTTTGCAATTGAAAATAGCCAATTGCTGTTTTTTATACAATGAATGTATGAGTTAAAAATCTTCGACGATATATTCCATTCGTTCGGAGATTAGCGTGATCGTGATAATTGAATTTTGATTACATTATCTATTGTAGTTGAATTATATGAAGAATCAAGTGCACTATGAAATGTTTGAAAATTTGAATTAATTTACAAAATCATAAAATAATATCAAGAATTTAAGAGAATCTTTGATTTTTGATATGCCTTCTTAAAGAGATGAAAAGAAAATTTGTTTTGAAAACTAATTGATTTATCAAGATTCATATTATAAAATAAGTGAATGTCATGATAGAAATCAATTAAAATGTGTATAGCAAAAAAAGGCTCGAGATTTCAATATTATTACAAAAAGACATAAAAATCTAGTCCAGCATTTATGCAATGTCCCTATAAAAACTACTAAACTATCCAACTTTCTCAAAGCTTTCAATCTAATAGTTTTTAAAAGCTTTCTTCTTAAAAAGCTTTGAATTAATGTCCAAGGAAAAAAGTCAAAAATATAATAGACAGAAAACAAGTTTAAAATTATTAATTATTTACCAGAAATTGCGAATGTGAAATTATTTGAAGCTTTTCAAGTATTCATTCGTAAGTGCAAAGCATCACTTCCGCGGTAGATTCATCGTCAAGTGAAAAAATTCAAAATGGCTGGGGTAGATGGACATTTTTAACATCATAAGAAAAGTGTAAAATTAAGTGAACTTATTGGCGTTTGCCTGGTTGGAAATATATTAAACAGTAAACAAGATTGTGGTAATTAAGTTCAAGTTGAATTCGGGCGCCAAGAAAACGATTGTAGCCAAATATTTGATGTGGAAAAAAGTCCAATGTTCATGATCCGAAAGACGTGAAAAAAAAGTTTTTCAATCTAGATGAGAGAAGAGAAAAAAATTGTGTTCAATATTATATTTAAACAAAACTTAAATTAATTAAAATTCATCACAGTGATTCTCTGTAATAAGCGCATTTTTATCAAAAAATAAAAAAGAAAAGTAAAGAAAAAAAAGAAAAGCAAACAGCCAAGCCCATTAAAGAGTTATTTTCCATGATACCGCAAAGGATTAAAATCGCTGTATGTGAAATAAGAAAAAGTGCAAAAGAACGAGGAAATTCTGTTAAAAAATATTGATTCTCAAGAGCCGAAAAATCTTTTTTAATGACTGATAATCACATCATTTCACAAGAAAGTAAAAGCAAGATATAAAAAATTCTAAATCATCCAGGCCATTTTCCATCATAAAAAACCTGATTAATAATACGTTAATTAAGACTACTCAGATCTTACATCTCTCAAGGATTAATAAATTAATAAATACAAAATTTTTAAAAATAACTCGGTTAGTATTAAAACTTTATCATATTAGAAGAAGATGAAAGAAATGTTAAATGAAGATTATTAATTATATTGTGATGTCATGTAAACTATCAAACTCATAAGAATTAAAATTGATACAAATTTAAAAAAATGAAAATCGTGTTAAAAAAAGAGAAAATTTTCATTAGATAGGGCGTCGTCGTCATATGAAAAATTTCTTCTGATGAGATAAAACAAATTTATGTATAAGTGTGTGTATGTGTAACCGTGCAAAACGATATAGTTTCGGAAAAAAGTGATTAAGAGCGCATGCTCCAGACATATGGAGTCGCTGATTTTCTCTTCATACTTCTTCTTAAACTTATCTATCAAACTATTCAATGATGTTTTCAGATCTTTTTTCGTTTCCGAAATGATCGTCAAATTCACCGCAAAACCAATTTCAAGAAATAACAACAAAGAGATCAAGAAGTTTTATCTTTAATTTCTTTCCTTTTCCCAAATGATGAAGTTTTTCTCCATTACGTGTTCGCACACAGTTGTCGTCGTTTTCCACAGAAAAAAAACGATGACGTCATACTGTCAAAAAGTTTCAGTTGTAAAACATTAATCCTAAATTCATTTAACGCTGCTTTTGCTATTTGTGTATGTCCATATCGCACATACTACATGTATGGAGTGAAATTTCAGGCGCCGAGCACACCATACGACACATCAAATGGATTGATTTTAAATCATTTGGTGAAATAAATTTAATTTAGTCCTTTAAATTTTTCTCTCTCTCTTTAATATTTTCCATACATTTGGAACAACATTTGAAGTTATTTTAAGAAGTTCTAATAATAACATTACATTGTTGTGAAGTAGAAAAAACATTCATAAGAATTATTTTTATACAACTTCATTATGCTGTGAATTTTCTCTTATAACTCAACTTTATTGACATCCTTTGAATTTATTTTAAGCATTAAAAAAGATTTTCATTAAGTTTTTTTATTCACGTGAAGCTTTTCTTTTTTTAGGTGAAAATGAATGAATTGGACGCCTTAAGACAAGAAGCTGAAACATTAAAAAATGCTATTCGTGTAAGTGTCAACAAAACAAAAAAGTTTCCTGATCGATAAACATTTTTATTTGCATACATATTTTAATAAACACATAATTTTACTTTCAGGATGCACGAAAAGCAGCATGCGACACCAGCCTCGTGCAGGCAACGAATAATTTGGAACCAATTGGACGCATTCAAATGCGCACCAGACGCACACTTCGTGGTCACTTAGCCAAAATTTATGCCATGCATTGGGGAAGTGACTCAAGAAACCTAGTGTCGGCTTCGCAAGATGGTAAATTGATTGTATGGGATTCACATACAACAAATAAGGTAAATCAAATTGCATTATTCATTTGATGTTGTCACAATTGTTTTCAATTGAGTATCACGGACATTTAAATCATTCTGATTTGATTCTGTTCGGACCTTTAAATGCTTTGAAAAGCTTGATCAACTTTTCTTTTTCTCGTGCGTTCAACACATTTTCTAACATTTATTTGTATTTCGTAGGTACACGCCATACCATTACGTTCATCATGGGTCATGACATGCGCATATGCACCATCTGGCAGTTTTGTTGCATGCGGCGGCTTGGATAATATCTGTTCAATATATAGCTTAAAGACTAGAGAAGGTAATGTGCGTGTATCACGTGAACTGCCGGGCCATACTGGCTACTTATCCTGTTGTCGATTCTTGGATGATAATCAGGTAAAGTTTACTATCATTTATAGTTTATAAAGAGAAAATTTCTTCAATACTTTCCTTCCATTTTCCACAAACACATATTTACACGTATTCATATGTGGTATCAACAGATAGTAACAAGTTCTGGTGACATGTCATGTGGCTTGTGGGATATCGAGACAGGCCAGCAATGCACATCATTTTTGGGACATACTGGTGACGTTATGGCTTTGTCATTGTCGCCACATTGTAGAGCATTTGTATCCGGAGCATGCGACGCTTCAGCCAAATTATGGGATATCCGGGAAGGACAATGCAAGCAGACGTTCCCAGGACATGAAAGTGATATTAATGCCGTTACAGTAAGTGCTTATTAAAACTATTTCTCTTTTTCTTTTTATATAATTAAATATGATTCGTTTGATTTTCAGTTCTTTCCCAATGGATTTGCATTTGCAACTGGCTCTGACGATGCCACCTGTCGTTTGTTTGACATTCGTGCTGATCAGGAATTGGCAATGTATTCACACGATAACATCATTTGTGGTATAACATCGGTAGCATTCTCAAAATCTGGACGTCTCTTGTTGGCCGGCTACGATGATTTCAATTGTAACGTATGGGACACAATGAAAGCTGAACGAGCTGGTAAGTTAATTAAATTAAATTGTACAATTTATTCTTTTGTTAAATTTCATGTTTTAATATTTAAATTTTCAGGCATCTTAGCTGGTCACGATAATCGCGTATCATGTCTAGGCGTTACCGAAAACGGCATGGCCGTTGCAACAGGGTCATGGGATTCATTTTTACGTGTATGGAACTAATTTAATTAAACACAAACAAATCATCTTTAACTCCTTCTCAGAATTTACTTTAATTTTCCTTATTATTGACGATAAGGATACGAAACACGTTACAAGAAAAACAAAAACAAAAAAAAAACAAAACAAAAAATATCAAAAGATGAGCATTATGTAATCGAGAAAAGAAAGAGAAGAAAAGTTTGATGCAAAATAAGAAAAGCTATGAGAATGTAAACAATTTTTGGTCAATGCTGACATCTAAATTTATCCAGAGAAAAGTTAAACCCAAAACATATTGCAAGACACTAAAAAGGTATTACCCTCCTTTTGTTTCGATATCTCTTGTGTTATTGAAAGGATATGATGATAGAGAAAGAGGTTCGTTTGGAAAAGTGAAACCAAAAAGAAAAAAATTGCCATAAATGCTTTTTTTTAATATCAAATTCATTCATTCAGTGTCCGTGCAAAGAAAAAGGGTTTTTCTTTAAAGTTTAAACAAACACAAAAAGAGAACTTTTTGAATTGAATGGAATTTGTTTTTCTCATTGATTTGCAATCATTCGCAACACAATTACAAAAATTTATCGTCAGAAATGAAGAGGAAGAAGAAGAATGACATTCACCAACATTTATTTCTCAATTATGACAACTTTCTGAGTTGAAATTGAATAAAAGCTTTTAGTTTCTCAAATAAGCTCATCGAATTGCTAAGAAGCTAATTTTAAAGGTATTTTGGTCATGAATGATAAAGTAGTTAGTTACTTTATTATGATATTGACACTTCTGAGCTTTCTTCTTTTTTGTTTTCGTAACATAAATATTCCTTAATTCATAATTTTTTTAGTATCTTTTTTTTCTTTCCTTCCTTCTCAATATAAATGTGCTTAGAAAGGTAATAAAAAATAAGATTTCAAACATTTGGGAACTGTTCACATATAATATCACATGCATGTTACATAAGAAAAAGGCGCTCAGTTACAATGATGACGTCCGCACAAAAGAGAAAAACAAAAAACAGATAAAAGTGGTTTTGTCTAATAATAGCCAGCTTTTGTTGTGATATAATATGCGTACGAATCCTTTTAATTTATTTAAGCTTCATAAACAAACAAATTTTCGATGAGATAAGGTTCACCATAAAAATTTCATTGGAATCCTCCGATTATATTGCACAAACCAAATGAAATATTGCGCAAAAATAAAAGAAAATTTAATTTAAGATTCCAATTTCATTTAATTGGACTGTCTGAATTATGATGAAAAGAAAAAGTTTTATTTTTTACTATTTTTACTATAAAATCTCTTTTTGCCTTCTTCGTTTAATATTTTGGTTAATTATTTTTAGTCATTATTATTTAAGGCCCAGACTATGCAAAACTGAAACAATATAATTTTAAATATATTATTTTATAAGAAATATTAATGTAAAGAAGCACTGAGCGACTTTTATTTTCTTCGTATTAGTTGATTGTGCGATTTTTCTTTTGCGTTCCATGTGTCCGAAATAAGAATTTGGTTTTTATTTTGAATGTTCCATGGATGTTTATAAGAAAATTTCACAATAATTTTAGACTAACAATCGTGTAAACAGCAAAGAGCATAAGCATTAATCACATTTTATTAATAATTTTAACATAATGATATACAAAATAATTTTTGAAAACATTAACAGAAATCATTATGCATTAAATGGAGATGAATAAATCGTACAGAACCAAATAACTTTTTTCTTCTTTGTTTTTAATTTTATTAAATTATTATTTTTGCTTTCATATTATATTATTGTGTCTGAGTTGTTTTTTGAGTCTTAATTGTGATTTTGCCTTTTGAATTTAAACAAGCAAATTACGAGAGGGTAATTTTATTATTTAACATATCCAAAGTGTTCACACAGCATAACATAAAAAATTACAAATCCCCTTTTCCAATTGACAACATAATAAACTTTCATAAACGGAAACATTTATGAATCTGGTGGGTTTATAGAACGCAGAGGAAAATTAAGAGAAAACGAGACCAAAATACGATTTTTTTTATAATTTTCTACTTAATGAAATAAAGAAAAAAATCTCTGATTAATGTTATATGATGTCATAGTGAAATTAGCATTGAGAGTACAGTAGGTTGAGCATTTAGTTAAACACTAAAAAAAAGATTTAGGAAAATGTAACATTAAAACCTTTTATTTTCCTTTTCGCTCGTATAAGTAAACAATCGGGATGATTGTTTATGATTGCTTTTATTTCTTCATATTAGATATGAAAATCATTAATCAAGAAAAAAAAACCTTTCATTCAGTCTTACTAATTTTGCACTAAAATAAAAAATAAGGAAATCGCGAAATAATGCATCAAAAATAATGAGCAAAACTAATTGCACAAAACGGTTAATGAAAAAAAATTGAAGCCAACGCAGCTAATCATCGTGTGATTCAATATATAATTTTACTAAATTAATTTTAATCAATTTTATAGAATTATTGGTTCATTGCTTCAATTAACTTATCTCAAGTAAATTAAAATCATTGCATGAGATGAGACAAAAGAATTGTAAAAAATCGTGTGAATGAGTAGAGAACCATAAGCAAGCTTTTTTATATTCTCTCAGTAAGGAATTAAAAAAACTGTGAAAGTATAAATGAAATATCAACTGACTCTACTCATTTAACTTCAATTTAAAAACTAAAATTCATAATTTTCCTCGGAATGAGGAAAGCTTTCTTCATTTCATCTTGTTACAATGCAAACTTTGTTTTTACGTTTTTTGTAATATTGGCCATTAAAGTCACATACAAAAATACACGTTCCGCTTCCGAATTGCGCATTTACATTTTTTTAAATACACATATGAAATGAAGTTTCTTTTTCAACTCGTAGAAACGATGATATGTAAAAGTATTTTGGCTACACTCTTTCAAAAAAGAGTATTGATGAATTGAGAAAGTGTGAAACCGACTAACATAATTATTTCTTTAATTCGATCAGCAAACAAACAAACAAAAATCATTTTAAAAGTTCCATTAACCTTCTTTGAATAGTGGAATCGAAGACCAAACAACATCAATACCTATAGATAAGATCCTCTTAGATAGAACACGAGATCGAATTAATTGGGCTCAAGAAATAATTTTTATGCATTTGGCTTCGCGTTTTCAACAACATAAGATTCATTCAAAATTGCTCAAAGGTGTAGCTAATATTTATAAACTTCATTTTCATTCTATCGAGATGAAAGATATCTGCATAAGTGCTTTGTTACAATGTCGCATTATTCCGTTCATGCTTCAATTTTGCGAAACACCGTTTTTTATATAAAACAAATCGTGATGTCTTTGATGTTCTTTAAGGAAAAAAACTAGAAAATTAAAAAAATTGAATCAAAAATTATATAGAAAGTTTGATTGTAGCATGGATGCAAGCCAACGAGATTTAAATCGGGTGCACGCTGTAACAATTCACTTTAAAAAATTATGCAAATGATGTGCAATTCAGAGTTATTGACAATGTCTTTCTAAGAATAAGGATTAAGCGAGGATTAAAAAAAACATGATGATTTAAAGCAACATTTAAAAGTTATCATTTTTTCTTTGGAAGTTAGTAATTAGGGAATATTTAAATGTATATATTACCATAAATTATTGCATAACAAAAGTAAACATGATTGGGTAAACCAAATGAGTATAAAAAGTGTCATACCACACAAATGAGAAAAAGAATTCAGAGTTAAATCAACATTATAAAAATTTAGTGAAACTATATCAATCAGAAATTGGCCCGGATGGACAGTCATGCAAATAAAATGAAATAAAACTGTAGACAGAATAATTGGATAATTAAATTTAAATAGAAGCTTTCCTTAAAAATCGCAAAATTCTTTTCATTTTATTTTATGAAAATCAGATAAAAAAAATCTTAACAGGAATAAGAAACAAAATTTTTAAAGTGCATTCGTCACAATGAGTTTCGAGAGTAGAAATAAAAACCAATTAATCCAAAATTCATTTAGAAAAAAGAAATGGAAAAGCCGTAAATAATTTTCATAAAAAATGAACGATTTGCTTTGATTTTGGTTGATAGAAAGAACGATTCTAACGAAACGAAATTAGTCAAATTGATAAAGTCAAGTGTCTGACGGTGCATATTCCATCTCATGCCGAATTAAAAACAAAAAGTTTATCTTCTTTAACAGCTCGAAAAGATTTTAAAAATAAAGTAATGAAAAATCAGAACAAAATTGTTAATTTGTGAAGTATGAAGCATAATTCATTGCATTATTGTCGTCGAATGAAGATTTAAAAAAAATTAACACACAAAAATATATACATAAAATATATTTATAATAACGCTTTTTTACTATATTTATAAACATAAAATTCAAAACAAAAACCAAAAAAATCAAGATGACTAAAATGGAGAAAGAGAACCCTTTAAACTTGAACACAGCATCACACTAAACACAAATTAAAACCTTCATGTCTATAGCTATAGAAGCGAGAAAGAAAGAAAAAATCCAACAATTATTTATAGTTTATTATGAATTTTTATACTATCATTAATACTAACAATCAAAGGTTACAAACTTATTACAAACTCCTTTCTCTTTAACTGCAAACAAATCAAAAATGAAACTTTTTGCAACTTTTTCGTTCAAGTTTTCTTTCAATTCTTTCATCACAGAACTTTTAATAGAAAATTTCCGTTTCCAAAGAGTAAGAAATATAATGAAAATCTTTAAAACTATTTTGAAGGGACTATATTAAGAGCTAATATAATGTTAAAGAAATAAAATCATTAAGCTATCCATCAAAAAGAAGAAAAAAAAATGAATAAAAATATTGAGAACTAATGATTAAATTTAATACCTAAGGAAAGAAATGTAAATTGTTTTCTGTGTTTAATAAATAATTAAAAATGAAATAATAATATGACAGAAAAATAAATAAGAAAAAGAAAAATCACAACACATTGAAATCTTATTTTTAAATCATTTCAAACAAAAATTTATAATAGAAACATCAAAGAAAATTTCCTAGACATTAAAGAAAATAAAATTTCAAATCAAATGATGATGATTTAAAAATTTGATTTGAACAAAAAATGAAATAAAAATAAAGAAAAGAAATGTCATGAGCTTTACTTATCTTATTTGCAGTGAGCGTTTGATTGATTGCTTTCGGTTAAAAAGGAAGTGCTTAAGTACTCGACTATTCTGCTTGGGGCTTATTGATAACAGCAAACCGGATATATTTGAAGCGCTCCATCAAAATTGAAAAGTTTTTATCAAGGTGATCTACTGATATAAAATCACAGGAAGAAAAAATAAGAAGTCGACTTGATGGATTTGAACGACCTTAAAATAGAAGGAGCTAATTTCTATTTATCTAATCTGATTAAAATTTATCTGCTTGCTACTTAATAAAGGTCACATTCCTGACTCGACATAGTTGTGGCATTTAATCATGATTATGATGAAGACAATTTGAACTAACTTTATTTTGATTTATTTCTTCTAATCAATGACGTTTTTTTATTCTTTGTAAATGTTTGTGTCAAAACTTCAATCATTTTCACTTGACATTTATTTAATTAGTTAATTATCTAGACAAACAATTCGATGTTGAAACTTTTAATTCTTCTTTTTTCTGGTGATAAGATAATAAATTATAAAATAAATGTAATCACATTAAGGAAAATTAATCCACTAAGCATTGAGACTTGAAAGGCGACAGAGCAGAGTGAAAAAGTTAAAATTAAGAATCGAATAATTACAAAAAGAAGTTAAAATGAAATTGTTAATAATTGCCACTTGTTTGGTTGCTGCTTTTGCACAAAGAAATCCAAATCCTTGCGAAGGTGTTGTTTCACCACCTCCCAATATTTTCCGTAATGATTATGCTTCATGCGAATCATATTTTTGGTGCGATGGTGAAAATGCAGTTGCTGCAGACCCATGTGAAGACTCGTATTATTTTGATGAAGCAGCCCAAGTATGTGATTCAACTGCAGAATGCCAACAATGCCCTGCAGAAGGCTCAATTGCAGTGAGTATTTTTTTATAAATTCAAAAGTGATGAAATTTCTATTACAAAGAATAATTTAGGTTGCTATTGTAAGTGATAATGAATGTCTTACATACAACTGGTGTGTTGATGGAGTTCGAGATGATGAAAGTAGATTCGTAACATGTCCAACTGGAACAAGATTCAACAGAGCTTCAGGTGTATGCGATCTTGCTGCAAATGTCAGATGTCCTGGACATACACCAGCTCCAGAAACCACACCATCACCAAGCGCCCGCTGCCGTGACGAAGAAGATAATCAAATTCATGGAAATATTGCATACAGCGCATCATGTTCTGCATTCCAATTTTGCAACAACGGCGTGCTTCTTGACGAAGTTTTCACATGTGTCAGTGGTTTACATTTCAATCCTTCAATCGGCAACTGTGATTTGCCAGAAAATTTGGATGAACCATGTACTGAATCCGCTGAACCTTACAAATACTATGCGGAAATCCCAAGGGCACCAAAAGCAGAAAAAGCAAAGAAAATTCCATTTGGAGCTAGATTTATCAACAGATTTCATTTATAAACCTAATCTTATTTATCAAACTGATATAAAATAAAGAAAAAGATCATTTTATAATCGGTTGTGGATCATATGACTGATAAAATCAAATTTATTTCTTTAAATATTTGATTCTGACAGAAATTTCATCTTTTTAACTTTTCATGATGATTCTGTTTCGTTGAAAACAAATTGAATGAATATTTAATTAACTTCATTACTTCGTAAATTTTAAATTGAAATTAGGATATGAATTAATCATTGAAGGTACAGAATTTCGTTATTTTGTAAAGAAAATTTTGCTGTGATTTCAATTTACAATCCAAAGATCAGAAGTGGTTAACGGATTGCTGAAAAAATTTCATTTTGATAATTTCAGGTTTTCTCCATATTCAACCCAACTAATAATTTCTGAGTATAGATTTAAAGTTTTCCCAAAGCACAATTTATTGTAAAAAATTGAACATTCTAAGGAGGGTAAGCTGACTGACGTATGATCCATAAATAGAATACCACGAATTGAAGATTTGATAAACTCGATAAGATTAAAATTCTTTCACATTGATATCTTCATGTAGATATTTATAAATTATTTATTAATTCCGGAAGTCGTTGAAGGAATTTGGTTCGTTAATAAGTTGAACCTACTTAAATATATAAAAGTTGTCTTTCTCCAGCGGTAATAAAAATGTTTAATTAAATTTCTTTAAAAATCCTTTGTATAAATTTTATTTCCGTCTTTTATTTTATTTCGGTATTAACGAAATTTTCATCAATACATTTATAAAGGCAACGATAAGATTAGCAAATATAATAAATGGTGAGGTTGCAGTCAAGAGTTCTTTAGTCATTTTTTAAAGGTTGAAACAGAAGCTGAAGTTTGAAGTGATTTTAATTTCAAAATTAAAAAGTTAGTAAATTAAAATTTTGTGATATTTCACTCATCAATAATGTTCTTGTAGTGATTTTCGTTTTGATAACGTTGCTGGCTTTATCTGGAGCATCTTTAGCTCAAAGAAATCCAAATCCTTGTGATGCTGCAGCCCCGGGTGATTTTGTTCAGGACTACACATCATGCAGTGATTATTTTTGGTGTGACAGCGAAGGCCAACCGATCAGTACAGGGCCATGTCCAGTTGATCGTCCTATTTTTGAAGAAGGAACTCAAAATTGTGTGAGTGGTGCTGCTTGTGATGTGTGCCCAACAGGTGCTGACTTACCAATTGCTGTAAGTAAAATTTAAGAGAATCTTAAAATTATATTATTTTATTTCATATTTAATTAAGGTTGGTGTTGAAGGTGACACAACATGCACACAATTTCAATGGTGTAGAGTTGACCCTGCTGAAGTGGACCCACTTGCTCCTGTTCTTATTGGAGTTAGAGACGATCCTGATACATTTGAGACATGTCCATCTAGCCTTCGCTTCAATCGAGGATTAGGTGAATATTTATTTAATTAAATAGAAATAAAAATATTCTTTTTTTTAATCTTTCAAAGGTGTATGTGACAGACCTGAGAACGTAAACTGCCCATCTGCTGGACCTCCAGGAGCTGCTCCATGTCCTCCAGCACCAGAAAGTGGCAATGTTGAAATGCCACCAGGATGTGATACTTTCATTGCCTGTAATGCAGGAGTTGCTGATCCAACAGTTCGTACATGTCCAAGTGGTCTGCATTTCAATCCTCTTACTGGTAATTGTGATCTTCCTGAAAATCGTGATCCTCCGTGTGATGAGTCTGCCCCAGTTGTTACATTTGGAGTTATCCCAAAAGCTCCCAATGCATCTAATGCACCTAAACACGCTTCGTTTCGAGAAAGACTTATGCAAAAATTTCATTTCAAACACTGAGTGAACAATAACGGGAAAGATTGAAGCATTGAAATAATGTAAAATTTTGATATCACGCTATGGTGTCATAAATAAAAAATAAAATTTATCAAACTGTAAAAGAAAATTCTTAAGCCTTGGACTTTAATTAAATATTTTTTTTATTTTGAGGTCACGTTAAAAGTGTGTGTTTGTGAGTAACAGACAAATGGATCAGTTTTGTGTTATTTCGTGCAAATGACGTTTACAAAGTTTAATGAAATTACAAACGATCTGTGAATTTATCTATGAGAATTAATTCAATAAAGTCAAACAAGTAAATAACAGATAAGATGGGTATGACGGTGAGAAACAAAAGAATTTTATCATATCGGGACATGATAGCAGGAAAAGCTTTAAATAAATGTCAAATCTCTGACAACTTTTCATAAGTCAACTGTGTAGTTTATCTAATTAAATGCGACGCACATCGTTGATATTTTCGACACTTTTCAGAACTTGACCTGAATTAATGGAAAAATGTCAGATATTGTTTAAATAATTTTATAATTTCTATTAATTAATATTCCGTCAATTAACCTTTGAATGCTTATTCGAGAGAAATTGATTGAAGTAGACTATTTAGAGAGATAACCAATCAATTAAAGCTTATTTTATTAAGATTACCTCCTCCACATTGTACAAGTCTTCAACTCGTTTCATTTCACATTTTTAAAACTTCACAGTTTGTAAAATCAGAATAAGAAATTTCCCCAAAGTAAACATACTTTATCAGTGATAAGTCAAATAATTTTTAGCCTATAAATAACGAGTCAAAACTTTTCACTGATTCAGTTGTTTGTCAAAAATCATTCATACTTGACAAGACAAAGTGTAGTGTGGAAAATTCTCAAAATATTTCAAACGAAAAGAAGAAAAATGATGAAATGTAAGAATAAAAGACAAATTAAAACTTTCAGAAACGTAAAAATGTTTAATTTTAGTTTTAATTACGGTACTTGCTTTGATATGTTTAACAATTAAAACGCTGGCACAAAGTGAAAATCCTTGTGATGTTTTACCACCTCCAGGAGATGGTTTAGTGAATGATCCCAGCTCATGCCCAGCTTACTTTTCATGTGTAAGATTTACACCATTTTCATTGGAATGCCCTTCACCTTTCTATTTTGATCCAACACGAGGCGTTTGTGATTTTCCATCAGAAGTTGACTGCAACAATTGCCCTGCATCGGGAATACTTGCGGTGAGTATCTTCAACTGAATTTAATTTCATGACAAGAATAATTCTAATCGAATTTAAAAGGTTGCCGATCCAGATTCATGCAGACGGTGGAGTTTATGTGTGAATGGTGTGGTGTTGCCACAAGAATGTGCGCCTGGAACTTACTTTGATCCTGATGCTGGAAAATGCAATTTAGCTGAAAACGTTGCTTGCACATCTGCATCATCATGTTCGTCACTTGATGGCGGTACTGGACTTGTACCTGATATCAGAGATTGCAACTCTTTCCATTATTGTTTCGAAGGATCACAAATTTCTCAAGGTAGATGTCATCCTGATTTGGCATTCGATCAACTTCAAAATCGCTGCGTTCTTCGAAATGAAGTCAACTGTTATCCCGGAGCTTCTTTGTAACATTTTTATTATATTCCCTTAACATATTCAATAAATTTGCTTGTGAAAACTTGAACTCACTTCGAGTTTCTAGAAATTTCTTTCAAAGTTGAAACAATTGCAGAGAAGAAAAGGAAACTTATCAAACTTTTGAATTATCTAAATGTTAACTGTCAAGTAGTAATTTAACATTTCATTCATAACTCAATTAATTTTGATTACAGAAATGCTTATCTTGTCAGCAACATCAGATATCTACGAAAGAGATTGTTTTTCAAGTTTCAATTTAAATATCTAATCAATAAAATTTGGAAAGAATATTTACAATGCCACGCGTAATATCAACTTAGATATAAAAATTCGTCAATTATTTGCTTCTTAATTCCATGATAAAGTCGTAGATACGATAAATGCAAGATATTTGATTTTTTCTATATCAAATGCTTCGTTCAACTTCTCTTTTCTCTTTTATCAATCTCTTATCATGAATGCCTCTTTATATACATCTAATGTAATGTAAAGTATATCTTACAACGCACAAAAGATGTTTGAACTCGTGGATGACAATTGAACATTCTTCTCTTGATAATTTATCAATTTTTATTGAAAGCTCTGATTGATGAATTTAAGGGTTTCATTCCATTTCGCAGTCACAAAACATTTGAGTAAATGCATCCATTGAAGCGTTTTCCAATCCATGAACAGCGTGCTTAACTTTTAAAACGCCAGAATGGAGTTCAAACATTGGTAATGTCAAACAATTATAAAACAAACTTGGCCAACAAGCAAAAAAAATCCACAAACGAACGCTAGAAGGATTTTTTTTTGTTGCTTTCATGAGTAGCTGGTAAAACATGTGTTGTCGACAAGCTTTGTACTTTGAACAAACTTATCTATGATGAATTTTCATTCTCTGTTATACGCTCATCTTTCATAAAAAAAAGAATGTGAGAAGCAAACTCGTCCACTTAATCAAAAACATTTCACAAATTCATTTGAATAAAAGCCCAACTATTCTTTAACCCGACAATACTCATTCTTTCCACCTACAATTTTCAAATTTAAGAATGAATTTCATTTTATTATCGCATGATAAAATATCTTAAAAATTTGAATCAATTTGTTTCGAGAATATTAGATTAGCTTGTCTTAGGCATTCGTCAAATTATTTTTCTTCAATTTTAAAAGCTTCTACCATTTGTTAGATAAGAGATTATCTTAAGACATGAAATGTTTTCATTCATAACAAAAAAGCATATCAAATTGTTAAGCTTGCGTAAAGAAAATTTTTTTTTGTTGATGTTCTTGTCAGTATCAATCATTGTCAATTTCAGTCTTATGCCAAAAATTTCCGCGAAAGTGATTCTCTAAATGCTTTAAGCAACGTTATAAGCAACGACATTGTCAATTGATTCATTATCATCTCAAAGTTAGGATGAAGATGCTTTAAATGTTTCTACTTCATTGCTTGCAAATGGTTACCCAACAACCAAAGCTCAGTGTTTAATACTTTTAAACTTTAATGTTTCATCTCTCTAAAGTTTTATCATGAATAACTTTAAGGCAACCTCCACTACGAAGCTTTCTGTTGCTTGGCATTGAAACTCTTACAATAAGTGGTGGGGGTGTTAGAAAAGGAATATAAATAGACAAGTCGATTCAAATTTTTGATCACCAAAAATTCTTTCTCTTATATTAGATAATTATTTATTTATATTTTCGTGCCTATCCATTGAAAGTCAATATGTATGTATAAAATATTTCCTTACATTAGGTACCTTCCCAAAGGTTGCGCATCATCAAATTTTATATTTTTTATTATCGTTTCTATTATGAGAAAGATTAAGTCGAATGGCGTTTTTCATTCTTCATCGGTTATCCATCAAGCCATGAAAATAAATAAAATATTACAATAGGTTGTCAACTAAAGCGTACGACGCAACAAAAACGGAGCAGGAAGTATCATCTTTCATGACGTTGATTTTATGATGTCGTTTAGCTTTATGACAAGCGTTTCCACTAAGAAAAAATTATTTTTAATTAAAATATTTTATTGACATAACTGAAGTTTCTGTGTTTACTTTCTCAACCAAATTGTGATTTATTCATATATTCTCCGTCGCTATTATTATTAAATTTCATATTTTCTTGACCTTCGATGAAAAATGAAGTAGAAAGGATCACAAATTCCATCTGTCGAGTGGGCGTTCGTCATTTTTATTTCGCCATTTCATTCAAGCTTTCAACTTTAAGAAAATTCAAACCATTATTGCTTGAACTCCTACTCACCTGTTACAGATTTTATTACATTACAATAAAGTGAAGAATAAAGTTTTTTTGCACAATAATAAAAATTATTTATTTCCAATTTTTATTCAATATATTATCTGACATTTCCGGTTAGTAACCAATTTTACACCTACTCAATGCGAGACAATTCCTCGTGATTTCTCTTATCTAGGTTTTGCTTGAAGGCATGAAGGTTAAAAATTTTGCTACTTAATTGTGCTTCAAATGTTCTCAATATCCCAATTTATGTTTTTGACGAGCTAAGGATAGCAATAAAGTTACATAAAAAATATCATAAATTGGAACGCATGGAGTGTGAATAAATTTTATATTTATGGGACATTATCCTCACAGGGAGGCTTTATAAACGAAGATAATGCCATTTAATTCCGGTTGTATATATTTATATATTAATATTTTTCTGTTGTTACAAAGTTTTGTCCGAACTGTCACTCATCGTAGCTCAAATTTACATGTTTTTCATATTTTCTAAACAGGGTAGATATTCCTCTTGGGTGATTGATTGATTTTATGCTACCTTATTTTCTAAACAACTTTCGAGAGTTTATTTCAACAATATTTAGTCCAGGGAGCAATTAATGATACCGATGGAAATTTTCAGAACTTCTCAAATTTAATTTATGTAAATATTAGCAAGACATCTGATTAATTATTTAAATTTGAACTAATTGTTGAATGATAAACATTTACATTACATATGTATAAAAGAAACTCATTTACAATAAATTCTGTTTTATAAAAAAGCATTTTTTATCCAATCATTCAGTATGTTACTCAAACTGACTTTCTTTTCAATTATTTCTTTAATAAAAAGACATAGATAAATATCATTTGTATAAATTAGTAACACTTGATTTATCAAATACATTTTTATATCCAATTTCACGAAATTTTCTAAGATATTTCACTTAAAGTAAAATATTTCTAAATCTTTAATATTTTTCTTATAAAAAAATTTATCAAAAATTTGTAAGAAATTAATTTTTGTCGTTTTCTTGATTCATTGAATAACATTCAATGGTCGGATAGCTCTCTGTTAACATTCGATGATTTGCGAAATACTCAAATTTACAATTTTTTCTTATTAAAAGTTTAAAATTCTTACGTGACTTTATCGATTTTACAAAATATCGTGACTATGGCCATTTCCCGCTCTTGATATTTTTGATGTTAAGCGCGTCTGAAAAGTTTGACTACCACCGCACTTGACGACCTAAGCGATAAAATAAATTAAAAACATTTATCAACCATGCAATAATTCAGTTATTCAACTTTTTAATGGTCAATAAAATTCTTACTTTTCGAAATGCCTTGCGGAAGTTTTCTGATAAAAATGCATACAGCAATGGGTTGACACAGGATGAGAGATATGCTAGAACATGTGACACTATTTGAAAGCCAACAAGAAATGTTGTCTGGTGATAAACGTCGATAGATTTAAGGACTAAAATAACTTGAATGGGAAGCCAGCAGATTGCAAAAGCTAAGAAATAAATTGTTCATGATGTTATGTTGAAGTTTCAGATTCTAAAACAATTTTCATCATACCCAGAACAACTGCAACAATCATTCGCGTTACTCTCTTTTTTCCACGTCTTCAATGTATGATGATGATAAGACATGAAAAACAAAAATATTTGTTTAAGAATAATTTCTGTAGAAAAATTTCAAAATTTAATGACTCCAAGCGATTTCTTTTCGTTGCACGTTTTCTTTGTCAAAATTTTCTAATTTCTATGTACATAATAAATTAGCAAATATTTTGATATCGAATATGCTTGTTTTCATACCTTGATTCGGCAGATAATGTTCCACCAGGTGCTTGCCCTCTCCACAGACTTACAAGCATACAAACATACAAGACTGAAATCAACGTCAATGGAACCACATATGATGATAGGAAAAATGAAACCTGTAAAGAAGATTTTGTAAAAACTTAATCCTAAAGCTGTACGATCAATTCTCAAGAGCTTTTAAAGTTTTAATGATAGTTGAAAGCATAAAGCAAAGAAAGCATTAAAGATTTTATGAAGTTTATCTTGCTACAAAACACATTACGATTAGATTATAAAGATCTCAAAATTTGCTCGATCTCTGGCTAAGCATTATGCGATACAATAAAACGCTTGAGAAACGTTAACTCGAGAAAGAGAAGAACTTTTCAAACTTTCTCAAGCTTCATCAAAGACAATGAGAAATTCTTTGATAGGAAGAAAGATTTAATTAAAATGTCTTTAAAAAAAATCCTCTTGAACATAGGCAGGTTTACATCATTAAGATACTCTTACAGGTAATTTTCTTTCAAATGTCGAGTTTGACAAGAGGAAATTTAAGTTGTTTTCTTTGAAGATGAGTCTGGTGTCCCTACTGCTTGAGAATTTGTTTTCTTCCTCGAAGACATGGCAGTTCCCATGGTAACCATCATCAAAGTGAGTTACAAATTTATGCTATCAACTCCATTATCCTTAAAAGAAAGCTCTCGCCCACGCAATATGTTTATGATAATAGGAATGATTGTTTATGAAAATTGAATGAGAAATGCTTAAACTTCTGTGTTTTCGTGTTATCAATTCTTGTTTTTCTCTTTTTCCCTCCCTTTTCAAACAAGAAGATAACTGACTACTCATCCTTTTCGTTATTTGAACTTAACATGCGTTGCTTGGGTGAAATGAAAATTTTATTTATGTGAATTTTAACGATCGCATTTTGCACCACAGTCAATTGAAAGAAACACAGAATATCCAAAAAGAATTACTCTTTAAAGTCGGGTTGTTGGGTAGGTTTCATGTTCATGGAACGAAATATTAAGAGTTAGATAAAAACGAGAAGATTTCTTAAATCTCTGTTAAAAAAAGGGATGTAATTTCTTTTTCGGCATTATATATTGTTAAAAGGTTTTTAAAAATGTTGTTTTATAGCAGATATAAATAAAGAATTCACTTACTTGGAACGCCGCCCAGTTATATCCCTCATGTGAAAGAAAAATACATTTAACCATTACGACGTTGAAATCGAATAAGAATATGGTTTCACCATGCGATAGCATGACTGGTATTCCTGTGATAGTTATAAGTAGCCAAATCACGGCAATGGATCTGTAAATGTTTAATTTCAATAGTGATTTAGCAATCATTCTTAATGACAAATTGCTGGGATACTAACAATGATGCATTCTTCTCAGTGCGAAATGCGATACTTGATACGGGATGAACTACTGCTAAATATCTATCCAAGGACATCAGCACCAGCGTATAAACACTTGCATGACATGTCACAACAATCATATATTGAACCTTCATTGGAAATAAACACGAGGACAGATGTTGAGATGTTGAGTGGTAGGAAATTGAAAATAATAAAAATTTATCATCTGCTTACAAATCGACACATGAAGTCTCCGAATGGCCAAGAGTTGAGTATGTAATCAGTTGCAGTGAATGGAACGCCTGAAAAAAGCAAACTTAAAGCTTTCTCTTTTTTGAAAAAAAGGTTAAAATTAATTTAATTATCTTACAAAATATCACGAAAAGCAAATCAGAAACAGCCAGGTTTATAATTAAAATATTTGTTGTTGATCGCATCATAGGATTTGCGGCAACGACTTGGGAAACGAAAAGGCTTCGTTAATGTCTTTTCTGTTCAATTGAATTGTTTAATGACAACTCACCAATCACAACCAATCCATTTCCGATTAATCCAGCAAAAAATATGAAGCTGAATAATATGAATACAGATAATGATACTAAATGTTCAACTTCATCCAAGCCATACGACGTGAAGTTTTCATTCCAAATGCTCACATTTGTTGCATTTGATACACTAAGGTTTAAGTAAGGCTCCGTCATATCGCGATTATTTTAAATGTGAATTAAAACGAGTTTTATGTTTTATATAAATCTTCTCTTTGTATCCATGAAACAACAGACATTCAAGCATAAATATTTTCTTTTAAACCGACCATTTCAAAAGCATTCTTTCCTGTGAGAATCTAAATATTTAATAACAAAAAGAGAAAATAATTGGATTTAATTAATAATACTTCATTATCTCTGTTAAGAAATGTATTTTTATCTTGTTTAATGAATACAAGAAACAGCAGGAAAATGTTTCAATATTCTTAATCTCTTTGACATTTGTTGCGAGAACTTTTATACTTTTGCGTGTGAGTAAGTGAATGAACAGTTAACAATATTATGTTACACGAACTGTCGATTTTCAACTAAAATAACACTCTAGAAGATGACACTTTTTGTCATGCGATTTTATGTTTTATGCTCCATTCAACAGCTTTGATAAATTGCTTAGTAAGAATGTTGGGGATTAAAGTGAAGTGTCGTTAAAGTTTATTGAAAATCAAAAGATTTGCTCTTACATCTCTCTTACCCATGGATGATAAAGTAATTTTCAACATTATTATATGAATGCATCATTTACTTTTTATGTTCAACATAAGCTGTCACATATCTATTCATGGCAACCAAGAGAAGAAAAGCGAATCATACAAAAATGCACTGCAATGATGACGAGTCAATAACTTGTGAAAGAAACGTAAAATTTATCAAAAGATCTTCAATTTGATGAGCTTTTTTGACAAGATTACTTCTTTATTCTTTCGAAGGCATTTGTGATAACATCTTAACACAAATGATTCGCAGTATCTTTGAATGTTATGCAAGATCCTTGTTATTACAGTTTGTTAAGCAATTAATTATTTTCAATTTTCCTTTTTCTTCTTTTGTAACTTCATTATCGTCAGAGACTTCATCACATTTTCATTCACATTCTTTTCGCATTCTTCACTTTTCTTCAGATTATTCAGCTTAAAGAGTTGTAATTCACTGAATAATTTTGATAAGGGAAAGAATGTTATGTAAGGGAGGAAGTGATGGATATACAATATTGAACTATCTAATTAACAACGCTGCAGAATCTTCTTAAACAATTTTTGATGAATTCTTAAAGTTCCTTTATTTAAATATTTTTTTCAAGAGGGGAGGGGGTTCAAATTCACTTTTATCATACATGTCAAAAATTTCATTTTCCTTTTCTCCGAACTCAATGTTTTAAAAATTGATTTTCTTTCAAAAACTGTCCTCTGTCAATCAGAAAATATTCTTACATAGGTATTTATAATTGAACTGTAACTACTTTTATTGTTAATTCCACTAGACACAGGAAACCACCCACTAACAAACATCATAAGTCAGGTTTTACCCTTCTCTATGCGACAAGACATGAATGAAAACTGAAATGGGAAGGAATTTTTACAAATACAATACAACAGTTAACATGATTATTCGTGCGATCATCACGTCTATCATTGCTGATGTTAATGATTCTCTCACTGGAAAGCAAATGCATACTTCCAGTGAAAATGGGAAAATCACGAGAGAGAGAGAGAGATATGAGAGTAACAAAAGATTTCGGTCCGTGGCCGTGAAATTTATTTGATATTCAACAAGCTGGATAATATTTTTTTTATTATTCTCTTCCAAACAGGCAATGGATGACAATCGCTTTATCACAATACAAGTCATGAGGAAATTTCCTCGGAAATTTTATTGTTTCGAATTTTCATTATGCTATGATGACAAACACATTTTTCTTGTATATTCGCGTAACAATCGAATTCGATTAAACTCAATAAAAGAACATTCATTTCGTTAGATAAATACTATCCTTAATTTCTTTAATTATAGCAACCTTGAACATACATTGCAAAATTATAATTCAGAACTCAAACACAAAAAGGTTAATGACAATATTTAAAATAAAGTTTCAGAAGGTGGTTGAGGCATAAATCGATACAATAAAAATGAAATTAAAAACATTACTGATAGCGGCATCGCTTTGTCTCATACAGATAACATGACATAACGCCTCACATTGTTATTTAGCTTATATTTGTTTACACAAATAAATTAATTGATTTGGGCGAAATTGAACATTATACCTAATATATTTACCTACGTCTGTATAGAAATGTTTCAGTCTTTTTTTGTGACATCGATGATTTGGTATTTCTCAATTTTTGGGGACAAAAGTAAGCAATTTATTAAATGAAACATCAGCTTTGATAGAACAAGCCACATTAATCTTCTTTGCAAACAAAATTTTAATCAATTTCCTCTGAAACTACATACATTTATGTAACAAAGCATATTATTATTATTATTATATGGAGAATGATGAAAATCAAATGAAAACTTCGGCCCTTTGTGAATATTCAAGGGAAGAAATTTGATCGATAAATTCTCGACATTTTGTCGCTTCTAAAGCCTAAATTTTTTCATAATCAGGAAAATAATGAAAATCCCTGCAAAAAACGTAAGCAACAAGTAAAGTAAACTTGGAATGTCTTCTTCACCAATTTCATCCAATTGAAAGACTCTCCCTAGGACGCCAAAGGTCATGATACTCTCGTTTTCACTCGTCAAAATCGTTGTGTAATTGATATACTGTTTGCTGAAATTTTAATTTATTTTTATTTTTTCATTCGATTTCAATTACTTTAGCGAAAGAAAGCATTAATTCGTGTTTTCTTTTTCATGCGCACTTACTCTTCGTTACTGTAAACGGCGCTCCTTTCAAAGTTATACTGGGACGTGTCGAGAGGCAATATTGAAAAGTCGACATTTGTTGGCATAACCAAGTAGTCGTTTTGAGCTGTTTCCAATTCAACGATCATTTTTATCTTTATTCTTTCAAACTTAACCGACGGCTTGAGATTGTCACTTGGTTGAAATCGAGTTCCGCAAGATTTTGTTGAATCTGAAGTGCAAGCGACAACAGCGCAGTAAATCTCCTTTGAATGTTCATTAATTTGCTTCTCTTTTCCTGAGAAAACTGTCACTTTATAGTGAAATGATTCATTCACTTTCATTTCATGTTTCTTATATTTCATGGTAAACTCGCAGCATATTTTATCACTGCAAAATCTTCGAATCTCATTGTTGCTTGGCAATTCTACAGCAAATGATAAAGGGATATGCTTAATGAGAAGTTCATCCAATTGTTTCAGACTATATCTTTTCACAACGCTGTCTGTTATATGCATAGAGTATGTTTCAGTATCTTTAGGGATCCTGGAGAGAATCAACTGTCTGAAATATAAAATGCAAAGAATAAAAGTTCAATCCTTTTTTTTCAAAGGATAATTGAATCGAACTGTGTGCTCTCCGGTGGGAGTAGCATCGCTATCGCTCCATTACGTCCAATATAAATTCCACTTCCACCTTGGCCACTTATAGGGGAGTTGGCAGACGATGCTAATAGAACAATGTTGTTACCATAGCTAAAGCTTTGTTGAATTTGAAGTGATGTATAGAAAGGTAAATATGAGAACCATGATGTGGGGTAAAGTATATGTTTGATGCCATGCTGGAGCATTCTATTGTTAAATATTTTAAGAATTAAATTTTGTATCTAAGTTTGTAAATTTGCTATTGTTTAAATCATACATGTATGCTGGATATTTCGATAATATATCCAAAGATGTGAAATGTCCAAACGATACATCAAAATCTAATAAAAGAAAATTATTAAAAATTCTTTACTTAATAAATTGTAGAAGAAGTTCAAAGAATTCTTCCAGGTGAAGTTTGTGGCAGAATCTTTGACAGATGAAGTCCATCAACTCGATTCATGAGGGAAAGTTTACGTGCTGCTTCTCACCTTTCATAATGTATAGTTGGGACTTATTGTTATGATTATTATTTCAGTTCCCTGCACTTTAGGTGATTAAACTTATTTTTATGGCATTAATTTAAGCTTTCATTTAAAAGCTTCTTTACCTACTTTTCCCTAAATAAATAAAACTCTTTGTTAAAAAGGTTTTCGAGGAAATTTTAAATCAAACATCAGCCACGTATTCTCATTCTTCTTTTCAATTTGAATAATTTACATTCGTTTACATTCAATCATTATAAGAGATTCGTGGAATTTTTTTCACTTCTGCTTTCAAATTATTTGACGAGAATTTCTTGCATGTTTTCTTTAGATGATATCAAAGACTTTTTCCTTATTCTTTTCTTATCACAGTCAGATGTAGTTAAATTTTATTTAAAGCATCTTTGTACCTGTATGAAAGATGTTGACTTCTGGTATAGAAGTCGAATCTAATATTGGATCTTGCTTCGTATTATGTTTCCTATATCTTGAGACAATACATCCATTTCTATCGAAAACAAGATTTGTACTGTATAAAGATGGATTGCATTTCGTATTTTGTTGACAAGATGTTCTCTCTACAACATTGATCAAAACATAAATTTGGTTTTTCCTAGAGTTAAATGATATTTTTGAGATGATCTGTTGAAATAAATTTTACATTGCTATAGCAGATGAGGCTTTGTTATTTTTGAAAGCATAGAAGAAGCATGTTTGTTTGCTTAATGACAACAATTTTGAAAACAATGAGGGCAATCTTCTTCTATTCTTCTGTAAAGGTTTCATTTTCTCACCGATGATTTGTCGGAATAATCACAAACGTTGTTAAATGAAGTGCTATTAAAAATGTCTGTTTCATTCAATTCTACAGCGTATTTTGCCAATTTCTGCCGGGTTGCTATTCCATGATAATTAAGAGAGCCTTCAGGAAAGACAATGATGTCTGCGTTGTTCTTGGCTGCTTCGTTTATTAGTCGTAAGTATTCATCCAAAGATGTTTCAATCATCCGTCGGGGTTTACCTGTCACGACATTGGGTGTTGTTGGAAGAGAAAATTCAACAACAGCTGCGGTATAAAAGTCGTCATTCTGGGCTTGGTCTAAAGCGCCCAAGTGAGCATTTACATTAACCTCAAATGATGAAATGAAAAAATGATAAAAATTGCTTTAATAATGAATTAAATTACACGCACAGAAGATTTCATTTGAATTAAGAACAAAAACTTCCAACAGACTAAACGCCAGAAAACTTTTTTCATTTTTAATTAATTTTTTATACTTTTGCTACGCAGCTATTTCGAGAAATTCTTTGTTGTTCTCCTGACTATAATTTATGTAGATATAAACTGAACGCCGACTCACGTTGCTTCAAAGTAATCTTATCTTATCTTATCGTATCGTATTTTATCTTCTTTTATCGTCGGATCGGTTTGACTTCTCTCATGAGAAACACAAAATAAAAAATAACATTGCTTCGAAAGTAAATTTCCGAATTTTAAACATTGTTTAGTGTCAATATAAGGGCAGCTTGAATTTTTAATCTCGAAAGTTGGCTATTGAAGTATTTACAAAGTGCAGCTTAGGGATAACAACATTCACAAGTTGTGTTGTTGAGAGGAACAAGATGTTGAACTAAAAATAATTTTCCTCAAAATATTGAAGAACTTTGAACAAGTTTCTACATAAAAAAATCATAACAGCAATAAAAAGTCATGAAATTTTGAGTAAATAAAAGTTTTTGGAATTTTATTGAAAATTAATTAACAATTTTCTTCAAGATTATCAATACTTTCAGGGCTCTTAAGAAGTATTAATAAGCTCAAATTTCTGCTAAGGAACTAGTTTTAATCAAAGGAAAAATTTAAATAAGATAATCTTTGGAAAATTTATATGTATATAGAAGCGCTTTGCCTTTACAGCACAATTCTTTACAATTTTGTCAACTTAAAAAATAGATATTTCGTTTGTCGAATCCAAAATTGTCTCAAGTAAATCGTAATTGAATTTACTCGAGTTTATTAAGGATTTTGTCGACACATGATGATCATAAAAGACGTTGTCAATTTAGAATGAAAACTGAACAACTTTCACTTCGAATAGACAATGTCTTGAAGCTTTTGTTTGTTTAGGATAACTACGTGCCTGATTTTTCTATTTCTTTCTGCATGTTAAACGTCTTTCACGAGCATCGACACAATTCAGGTACTTAAAAAACTTTGATTATATTTATTCTTGATTTGACGTACGGTTATAATAAAAACTTTAAAAAGAAACATCATGTCTTGAAATATTGTTAAATATTTATGATATTACATCGATAAATGTTAATAGATATTAAGTAAACTCTCCAAGATATTTTTTTAAATCTATTTAATTTCTTTAAAAAAAAATTTTTGCTATAAAAACTTTTCTTATCAAATTTCTTCTAATCCTACAATCACTTATAAACATTTAGGTTTTAATATATTGAATACTGTTATTACTAGTTAAATTATTTATAATAATTATTATATCATTTTTTGATTTAAGAATGATGAATTTTTTTATGACAAAAATTGAAATATTTGCTAGGACATTGACTTTCATCACGATTATAGTTCATTAGGCTATTAACTACTGTCATTGTACATATATTTTTTTATATACAATATTCGAAATTCGATGATTGCATTCATATAAAAATAAGAAATTTGATTATCTAGAGAAGTTGACAATTCCAAACTTAGCCTTAAAGTGCGCATTAAAGTTGATATTTAAAAAAATATTCATACAAATGTTGTCTCTTCAGTAATCTTAGAGAAATTCGGGGGGTGAAATTCCGCCATTTTGAGCTGTGGTAGTTCGAGTGGTTCCTGCCTTGGCTGCCGGGACCAAAGGAAGTGGAGTTCCACACCAGACTATCTAAGCAAAAAATTTTAAGATCAAAGAGAAGTTTAAAAAGGTTTTTTGTTAATCTCGCCAAAGCACATAGGTGTCTTTATTTGAATGACAAAATAATACAAAACTTTTTGTGAATCTACATATGTGGCATTATTATAAGTTGGAATTTATCTAGCTTCAAGAATTATTCATGCGAATGTTGAATCTCATATTAAAGTTTTGCCTTTTATTTGTGCTGCTTCTAAATGTGAATGTGAGAAGAGAATGAGAATGAGACACACAAAGATTTACATGGCTTTTGTGAAGTGTTAAAATAAATTACTGAGCTCAAATAAATCACAATCATTTGCTATTTAGTAGCATTTCGTGCGAATTGAGTTTAGAAAAGAACTCGAAAAGATGATTCGAAAAAAGTATTACAGAAAATTTCGGCAAATGCTACTAAAAGCACAACATTCTGTTAATCTTTACTTATTACTGAGATATTATATTTAAAAGGAAACTCTCTATCATTCGTCTAGCTAATAAGCAGCAAAAATAAATCCTAAAAGCAAACAACATATGGAGTTTTGTGAGTACAAAGATTGAAAAAAAAAACAATAATTTGGGATCTAACGATAAGCACCGCAGTAGCAAATGTTAATGTTCCATGTAGTGGAAAATGTTAATACTTACTTTTCTAAAAGCTTTACGAAAATTCTCCGAAAAACAATTGTACAAGATTGGATTTGCTATGCAAAGATTTGTATATGCCAGCACATGACTAAATATTTGTATAGAAACTGTTAAACGTGTCGTTTCATACATTTGCAGCGACTTGAGTACAAGAACAATCTGTGAATGAAACCAAAAAGCTTAAGAGCGTCTTCAATATTATATTAACGTCTTTAATTAATTATAATGACGCCTAAAAGGAAATAGCAAAATGGCCGAGTCTCCATCACTCATTGCTTGTTCTTTCAAACTCACAATGATTCCTAGGCTCATAATATAATGACCAAGATGGATTTGAATATTCAATTAACAAGAGAAAAACAAAACAGAAGATTTGCTTCGGGCCATTTGATGGGATAGCAAAGATTCTTAAATTTAGAACATTGAGAATAAAATATATTACATGAACTGGTAACCAGCAGATTGCGAACGCTGTCGTCAATGTTGATTTTAAAGAGTGATAAAAAGAAAGATAGAAAAATAAATCATTATTTGAACACCGAATACTAATTAAAGAAATAATAATAATACCCAGAACTACAAAAACGACCATTCTTGTTACTCGCTTCTTTCCTCGACGGGATTCTGCTGAAACTTTACTGCCAGGCACACTATGCCAGAGACGGATAAGCATACCCACATACAGAATGGAAATCAATGTCAATGGTACGATGTAGGATGAAAGGAAGAAAGATATCTGCGAAGAAAAAGTGAGAAAGGAATGAAAAATCAAGGTCGAAGTCGCTTCAAGCGGAAAAGCGCAGAGGAAAATCTTAACGTAATTTTCATACAAAATACCTAATTATTTATTTTTCTCTATCACCACTGACTTGTCTTACCTGGAATGCCGCCCAATTGTAACCTTCGTCTTGCAAAAATAAACACGCGATATTAATTTCGTTTTTGTGATCTGCATAAGATGGAGAAATAAAGAAGAAAAATAGACCGAAATGAATAATTTCTTTTTGATGTTATTGCTGTTATGTAGTAAATTAGATACAAAGTCACTTAATATAATAATTTGAGGGAATTATTTTACGTGACTGTGTAGAGATTTCTGTAAGGTTGGTAACTCAAAGAAGTTTGCTCCGAATCTATACTTTCGAATTTTATTTAATAATCATACTCAAAATATTAAAAGTGAGTAAGCAAAATGGAATTTTAATTGAATTTTCTTAGAGTAAAAAGTTTTTAAGTTAGAAACCTTCAACAATGAAGCCCAGAAAGCTTTTAGGTAAATCATTTTGAATTTCTTCTTTCCTTGATGTGAAGGCAAAATAACTTTTCTCTTTTCTTTTTTTCTTGTTGTCAAGAAATATAATAAAGAAAAACTTACTAGAAAATTCGACAACACCATGAGATACTCCAACTGGAATGGCTGAGACAATCACAATCAACCATGTTACAATAATAGCTCTGAAAGAGAGAAGGCAAGTCTTAAAATTGTGATGTTATATTAAGAAGAAACTAACAGCAACGCGTTCCATTGTGTCCTAATCGAAATGCTTGATATTGGATGAACAACAGCCAGAAACCGATCTAACGACATCAATACAAGAGTGTAAACGCTCGCATGACACGTCACAACAATCATGTATTGAACCTGTAACATAAAGTGACAATATCATTATGAATTTTATCACTGTAAGTTACGCATTTTGCTTTTATACTTACAAATTTACACCACAAATTGCCGAAAGGCCTTTAGAATTTCATGGAAAAGAAAAAAAGTTTTGTGTTTACATTAGCAAATAATCTCATATAATATTATGTAAGTTAATGGTGTTATTATATCCTACCAGCTGGCAACAACATAATCGAATCCAGTGAATGGCACGCCTAGAATATTTATAACTTTGTGATTACTTTGATATGTATTTAAGTGAATAATATCTAAACATCATGTCACATGTGATATTTTTATTTCTTTCCGTCATCAAATGTTTGGTTTTGGATACACCTTCAAACATTAATGCTCTTACCAGAAGCTTACTATATAATCTCATTAGATTTTTCCGTCAAAGAAGTTCTTTGAATGTGACATAATTCATAGATTTCTCCCTCAACATAATATTTGAAACATTTATATACTTACAGAATATTACGAATAAGAGATCAGCAACTGCCAAATTGATTATTAAAATGTTTGTTGTTGATCTCATCATGGGATTTGCAGCGACAACTGAATGATAGAAAAAGAATACAAATAGAATTAAGAAAGGATTTCATTTGACATAGAAAGCAAGCCTTTCTTACCTAGCACGACTAAGGCATTACCAACTAGACCCGCAATTCCAATAAATGAAAACAGCACGAAGACTGTTCTCGACACAGTACATTCGAGCTCATGATCAAACGTATATGTTTCGTTATTCCAATGGAAATTGTACGTGAAGTTACTACACACTTCGCCAAACATGTTGTTTTGTTTTTCGATTCCTTTTTTTGATTCAATTCTTATCCCTCACATTAAATCTCTAGAATAAAGAAATAATTTATTTTGTATATTTTCATAGCTTAGTTACGGTTTAGTAAAGCCCTTTATTTCAATAGGATTCAATTTCACAAGATCTTTTTGTAAGACAAAAATATTTCAGTATATCAAAGACACACCGCACACACAAAGACATTTCAAATCATTCCTTGGGGCTACAGGAATGTGAAAAGTTCACATGATTGTGCGACATATATTTTACGATGTGTGGAAATGTGGAAATTTTCTTGTACTTTAACGAAGTTTTCCTCTCGAATGTTTTATTTTTTCCAAAGGTTAACATCTCTGTAAAGTTCATAAATGAAGGTGGAAGAAGAGAACAGCTTATAACGCTTGTAAAAATCACATAAAAATATCTTCAAGATTTAATGGTCCCCACTCGAAGCAGTTTTTGACGAGGCGAGGGAGTCATGAAAATTTTATCGCAATTCTTGGAATGAAGAAGATTGTTGATGTTGTGTTGTATTTATAAGGAGCTTTAATATTGACAAAGGAAATTTGATGGATGTGATTGACTGTTAAATAGCTTTTCAATAATAATAAAAATCGAGATAAAATTTTTATTAACATAGCCATCGAACGTCAGTGGAAATAAAACTCTCATACAGTGAATTACTTTCAAGAGTAAAGCTTCTTTTAACTTCACCCGTTGATGGTTTGCACAATTTGTGGCTGTGGTAGAAAAGATTTTTATTGCGAAAGTTTTCCGATTGAAATTCTTTGTTTATCTATCAGCTTCCTTTTTTATTTTATTACATAAGGCTACTTATGGCCCTTCACTCAATTTTAAAAAAGTAATATATAGCAACTCATTATTTGAAAGAGTCATAAAATATTTCATTGGTTCTCAGAGACTTTTAACTATCTACATTAAATCCCTTAGCAAGAATATAATTGAAAATGAAATGAGATGAATTTTTTCACGTTCTCTTCGTTTCATGTCATGACTTTAGAGAAAATCGAATGTCGTTAGTTCAATTGCAAAAAATAAAAAGAAATCTAGGTCAAATAAATGCAAGATATTGAGCATGACATAAATGTCGTGACCCAAGAGTTTTAAAAAGTCCTCGATTCGAAAATTTTCTCATTTTCCTCTAAATTCTTCATAGATCGTAATTGACAAATAAGAAGAAAATTTCTTTAGAATGTTTTGTGAATATTAAACACGCAACTGAATAAAGTTATTAATTATGCATCCGATGCTTTCGATAATCTAGAAGAAAGAAGCGAAGGAAGATTTTTTGCGTAAATGGGAAGTAATTATGATTTTCCTTTCCGTTTTGCAAATAACTTGAATTATAAATGCTAAAAGCTTTCAAATATTAAGATTGTTATATTTACTGAGGCTTGATAGAAAATCCCTTTCACTTCTAATGGAGGGACGACAATTTTCGTTCTGGTAAATTTTTTATAATGATTTTCAAACTTTTCCAAAATGATCCTTCTTTGTAACCGTGATTGTTTATGTTTAATGTTGTTAAGCGTGACACCATTAGTGTCAACATTTCAGTTGTCGAAAGTAAGGTTGGAAATTTTATATAAAAGGGCCTAAGTAGAAAACTTGACAGTTTCGAAATTAAACATTGTATCATGACATTTTGGATATATTATGACGGTCGAAATGAAAATGGTTCGTTCTCATGTGACAAAGTTATGACAAATGAAAACGTCTGAATAAAAGGAACAAGTCAGTGAGTATCCCTTTTCTAGCATTGCGTCATCTTGTTATCATGTTCGCTAATTTTGTTATCACTTTTTACATCATCAGCTTCTAAATGTGTCAGTTAAAACAACCAGAACATTCTTGTATTACCCGCTGCTTGTCTTAACTTCCGCTAACAGGCACTTTAAAACTTTCTTTTTTCATCTCTAAAGATTACCAGCGAAGTTGGCAAAAGTTTTTCGATTTCAAACCCTTTCCTCGCTAAGTGAATTTTTATTTACAAGAAGAGACAGAAAAAAAAGCTCTTTTAACGTAAATTGAAGCGAACTACAACAAAGACGTTTAATGAAACTCATTTGAGATTCCTTCCTTTTTTTCAAAGCTCTAATAATGTTTATTTAATTTTTTTTTTAAAGTGAAGCACGGAATGTATTGAGCTTGACAAAGCTGAAAGGTTCTGTTCTTAGAGACGGTACTCAATTTGTTCAATTGTTAAGAAGAAAAAAAAGCACAAAGTTTCTTCAACTTTTTAACCCAAAAAATTTCAATTAGAAACATCTAAGGAGAGCATCCATAAATCATTAATAAACTTTTCACTTTCGTTTTGGGAGCTTACAAGGCGCGGGTTTAATCAAATTATAATTTTTGATGGATGGAGACAAGATAAAACGTTAAGTAATATCGTTTTTATTGTTAAGATGAAATTTCTATTTAATTTAATTATATCTACACGGGCAAGTGACCTTGAAATTACCGAGAAAAAGAAGAACAGAAACTTTTTAAGTGCTTCGTTGATTTTGTAACGTGCCAAACGCGTTTTATTGAAAATTTCAGACTTTCAGATTTCATTTTAAATAAATATTGAAAGAATTGTTATGGTAGCAATTCGAAAGAGGGTAATTGCAAAAGCAGTTGAAGGAATCATTTGAGAACTTTGTCTTTATAGAAGAATTCTTGATGGAAAATCCACTCGCTTGCTAATTTTCTTCTATTAGCTTTAAACAAATTCAGCATTTCACATTTAATGTACAGACGAGAAATTAATTAATTTCCTAAGTACATTTTTTATAAAAAGTCATCATTTCCGCTTTTAAACTTAGTGGTACGGTAATTTCGCATCAAATTGTAGGTAATAGAATTATTTTCATCATAAAGAAGTTCAAATAAATTAATGTTTGTGCTAATTAAAGATTTTAAGTAGCATACATTAATACGTTGTTAACAGAGGAAGGCTTTTAATGCAAACATTGAAGACTTTTTATGTGAGTAAACATTTCTTTCATTGTACATTTGTTTTTAATCAATGCGTTGTACTTATTTACCAAAGAAACTGGTTGGCAAGATTTATTTCTCTGTTTTGTTACAGCTTGGGGATATTATGTCCAAAATATGTATTGAGCAAGAAACAAATAACATGAATCCCATAAAGCACAAAGTCTTTAATATGTACAATAAAGGAAATTTCTTGTTTTAAAATGGTCATGAATCATGGCAATGTGGAATGAAATTCAACCATTGCAAATATTCATGTTCATCCTTTTTTTTCCTTTTCGCTTCACGAGACAAGGAGATTTCTCTCATCAATTTATCATTAAGCAACATGGAACGGATCAGAAGAGTATTCAAAAGGATTCAAGTTAATAAACCGTCTGTTGGATTCTTTAGCAAGTAATTTTTCATGCTGATTATAATTGAAATTGTAAGAAGTCTGCAAGGGTTTAACTTTTCAGACATTTCAGACATCAAACATAAATATTTGAATGCGTAGAATTTATGGTCTTCTAACAACTTAGTTTGTTACCTTGACAATGCATAGTTTAATAAAATTTCCTACTCAAATATGCTCAAAATAAATACAACAAAAATTCCTTTTATTAATATTTTTCAAAGCACTCTTGAAATAAAAAAGATGAAAGAAATTTGGTTGTCGTAGGCTTTGTATTTGCGTGACACTTTAATCTTAAATTAAACTAAATTGATTCAAAAATCTGTCAGCATCATTTCAATGGACTTAAAATTTATGAAGTGAACTTTTTCGTGCTTCTTGAAAACAGAATTGTTTACGTATTTTATTTTTCCAGGTATATTTATGTAAAAACAACAATGTCGTAACTTTTTGTTGATCAAATATAACTTTTCTTTCAGAAGTTGCCAACACACCCGCCTGAAGAATGACCGCCAACGCTCAATAAAATATGCTCAATTTGTCGTCCATTCAATGATTTTGAATTATTTTCCAGATGTTACTGAATCTTATGTTTTGTTGGAAATGAATATGCGTGAGCATTTCTAGGCGTTGCATAAAATTCTTTCGAGTTTTCTTGTCTGAAGTTTCAAGGATTCTGTTTGGAATTCTTCGTCATGGAAACAAGCGCTACACAATTTTTCAATCAACATAAAAATGCTCAAACACTCACTCTCGCCTCAATAATTTGCCATTCCTTGAGCAAACATTTTATTTAAGTATGACATGTTCTGTCATGTTAAGCGTAAAAAATTGCAATATTCATTTCGGTTGATATGGTTTTATATGAACTCGATTCTTGTCAGTGTAGACATCGGTTGTATTTTCATTCTTTCTAAAGTTATTTGAAGAGTAACCCGCTACCATGATGTATACATCTCTTCTTTCTTTCTTTCTTCCATGCTTCAAAAAAGAAAAAAATAAATAAATAAAATATTTTTCCCTTTTTATATCGGTGGTTGTTTGAGTTTGAAGGTAAATCATTGTTAGATGATGTCAAATGATGATGTTTCTGAAGTCAAAAAGTTGATTGAAAATTATTTTCTGCAAGTTTGAGCTTTTGATCGTGATAATGGAATTTTTTTATAAAGAAAAATTCAGTATTTAGACGTCATATTGAAAGGATTCCTTTATGTTTATAAGAAAAATTTATTTTGATATGTTGTAATACAAAATATTCGTGGAGGTTTGAAGGTAAAGTTCTCACGGAAGGATTTGATTTTTTCGAGAGGAATTATTGTGAATTCACTTTCTTTTCATCTTCTTCTTTAACTTTTCAATTCAACTCGTTTTAGCGTACATAAAATCGTTTGCCTTATGCTGAGAAGATTGTTAGGGCATTAAGCGGAATACGTTTTTGTGAAAGGTCTCGTTTCATTCTATTCCGAAACATTCATCTTGGTAATTTTTCATTTTCATAAAATCGGAAAGATATATAAAAATATTTATGTTGATATTTAAAACTGGCAATTAGTATAAAGAAATTAAATCATGCGTGACTTAACAGAAAAATTACCCTTCGAATCATTGAGATGAAAATGAAAATGAAATGAACATTAAAATTATTCCAAAAGGTGAAATGGGAGTCAGGAGATGAATGACTGTTTGATGTTCGTTTAAACGATTTCATTCTTATATAATATGTAACTAAAGTGGAAAATCATGAAACCTCTTTGTTGATTGAGCAATTTCCGCACTGTATTTCAGCGTCTTTGTAATAAAATCGAATCCTATCGTTTCATCATGACGCTGTATCATGGTTAAATCCTTATTTTAAGGTTCCTCGATAATATCACACTCCTATTAGGTACGAGTATTACTCGCAATTGCTGAATCAATATGTGGGCTTAAACTGTGAGTATGAATTTCCTTCAATAAAGCTTTCACATGTCTAAGCTTTGCAAAATCTTCTTGGAAAATTGGAGATTTATATCTTAAAGCCAATCAAACGTCAAAGTTGTTCAAAATTGAGTTTTCTTTCTTTTGTTTCGAGATAAACACTGAAATTTGCTTTCACCATAATGTTATTTTATCTTTCTTTCTATCATGGCGCCATGATAAAAATTATCTTTACAAATGAAGAAAAAAAATTAAATATTTAATCCCAAAGTATCAATTTTATTATTAGCATTAGGTTCATTAAAAAACAATGCAATGCAGAGATACTTACCCATCAAAAAAATCATTGTTACTCTGGTTAAAAATCCTTAATCCTCGGAGAGAAATTATTGTTGCCGTTCTTTTTTTTAAAAACGTACTCAGGCTTTCACATCTGCGTTAATCTTCATCAATTTCGCAAAAAAAAATCCTTTCAAGAACATTAGATTTTTTCCTGAAACGTTTTTGAATGTCTTCTTGTTTGAAATTCAAAAGAATCAGAATTTTACACGGGGAAAAAAAGAAAATCTTTTGGAGTTCATCAAATTAATTTTTTTTCTCTCTTTGTATAATTTTTTGTTCATCAACATACAAGCCAGGAAAGCTTTTCACTTGAGGGAGTTAGAATGAGTTCACGTTTTTCACTCCACTTTCATTTCTTTTGTCATTGTTAAATTATGTAATATTTTCCTGAAATACATTTTAATGTAAAATGCTTTATTATGCTTTCGCGATCAACCTTTAAACAGTGATGAGGGAGAGGAACGCTTCCGTCGAACGTTTTTCTGAGACAGTGGTGAAGGTTATGTGCCTGATAATAATTTTCTATTATTCATGAGAAAAATAGCACATCTCGGGAGGTTTCTATCATCACAGCACATCCACGAGACGCGAACGAGAAAAAAACTTGTGCTTACACCCTCTTGCTACGTCAAAATGTTTTTATCAACATTTTTCCCGTTATCAACTATATTGATAATTTTGCCTTGGGCTATACTTTGTCGATCAAGCAATTAAGTAATTAAAATACCTAAGTGAGAGTTAATGAATGATTCATTTAATTTTTTTTTATTTTATTTTACTAATTAATTTAATAAACACCCACACATCATTTAAAATACAGTTGAATTGACTCCATTCACAATGTGCACTTAAAGATCTTGTGATTCAATTAAACCAAAGCACTTAACACATTCAATTTAACATTTTAAAAACTTATTTGTAACTTTTTTTTTTCAACTTCAAGACAGTTTGAAGGCATTCACATCTCGTTGCTGACTGACTTTCTTGTCCTAAATTAAAAAATGATGTAAGTGAAGTGGCTCCCTTAGTTATGTCGATATGATTCTCTTGAAAAGTATCTGATGTTGCTTCGACGGAAGGGAAGCATATTATACTAAATATCGAAATTCGCTCTCGTTTCCACGTGAATTGAAAGACGAAAGAGCCAACCGACTATGGCTTTTTAAAAGCATTCAATGCTCGTGATGTAAAAACGACTGGAAAATTGCTTGGAAAATTTCGAGTATTGTTGAGTGAAGAGAGAAAATGAGAAAATTGACTCAATATCTCAATTCTTTTCAGTATAATTTATGTGATAACTCATACTGTTTATCGTTCGAACAACAAAAAATGATTGCATGATGCCTAAAGCTTTTGGCTATGACTTGAACAGTTGAACTTTCAAAATTACTTTCCGCTTCTTCCACCTTTTCTTTAACTAAGTACCTACCTCTCATATCTTTATTTTTATCCTCAGATCTTCCTTGTCTCATGCTTTTCAGGAAAATTTAATATTTAAATTGTCAAGTACATCTTCTGAGAACCCTCAGGTAAAAAAATATTCCTGCTCCCTTGACTGTTCTCAACATTGCTACTTATTTTTGTTTTCAATAAATTTATTTGTCTCATCCTTTATTGAGCATTTCTTGCTCTTTTGAATTCGTTTAATTTGGTTTTTGTTTGTCATTGTTGCGTTGGGATTACGAATGTCATGACTGATAAATTTCTATTCCCATGAATTTGTATTTAAATTTATTTAAACTCCAGTCAATGACCAGTGAAAACCAAAATTATAAAACCGCAATAGTTTCTATAAAAATTTACAAGGTAATTGTGGCACCGTTATGAACTCATTTTTGGGTCTAACCTCATATTTATGTATAAAACATTAAATATTTATGTGTCGAATACGAATTCAAAAATTATTCATGAAAATAAAAAAACTTTTTCGGTCATTTGGAAACCCTAAATTTCGTTGTTTACAATTGTTGATAAATATCAGCTGATTATTTGTTTACTTCGTTAGTTTGAAAACAAATTGAGCATTGTTAGAATTTAGAGAAAATTAATTAGATTTTTGTGATTAAAAGAAGAATGAAAGTTGGAATAATTGGAGCTGGCGCTGCTGGTCTTTGTGCTATCAAACATGCTTTGTCATTTGATTGTGAAGTGATTGCTTTCGAGCAGAGTGACAGAATAGGCGGAACATGGGTTTACACCGATGACACTGGTAGTGATAAGCATGGAAATGCCATTCATTCGAGCATGTACAAAAACCTTCGCACAAATCTGCCAAAAGAACTGATGGCTTTTCCTGATTTTCCTTTCCCACCTCAAGAAAAATCGTTCCTTCCTGCAAGTGAGGTGAATGAATATCTCAATCTGTATGCTGACAATTTCAATCTCAGACAATTTGTTAAGTTTGAGCATCACGTTGTACGTGTAAGACCAACACAGAACGAATCTAAATGGGAGGTGATTGTGAAGAAATTGCTGGATCAAAAATATGAGACTTTTATATTCGATGCCATGCTCGTTTGTAATGGACATTTCACTACACCCAACATCCCTCAGTTCAAAGGAAGTAAAGTCTTTCAAGGACGACAAATCCACTCGCATGATTACAAAATTCCCGACGTGTTTGTTCATCGAAAAGTTCTCGTCATTGGAGCTGGTCCAAGTGGTGTTGACATCTCCCAAGAGGTCGCTAAATCTGCTGAAAGAGTCTTGTGGTCGAATCATTTAAAGACACCAAAGGAAGTTCATTGCAACAATTTAATTCAAAAGCCTGACATAAAAGAATTGACAGTAAATGGAGCTGAGTTTGTAGACGGAAGTTATGAATCATTTAATGACATTATTTATTGTACAGGATACAAATACACATTCCCTTTCATGTCTGTTGATTGCGGACTAGCAACAGATGATAATTATGTTAGGCCTTTATTTAAACATTGTTTAAATATCAACCATACAAGCATGGGCATCATTGGACTTCCAGTTTACATTGCACCGTTTCAAGCATTTGATTTACAGATCAGATTCTGCTTAACCTTTATAACCGGTCGTAAAATGCTACCGTCAAAGGAAGAAATGTGTGCAAACACTGAAAAAGATATGAATGAGAGATGGTCGAGAGGTTTACCTAAAAAGAAAGCTCATGCTTTCGGTTCAATGTATCAGGATAAATATTTCGATGATTTAGCATCTTTTGCTCGAATTACTCCAGTAAAACCAGTCATTCTTAAAATATATGATCAAAATAAATTCAATCAGCAAAATGATTTGGTCCATTATCGACAATATAAGTACACAGTCATTGACGACGAACAATTTGAAGCAATTCTTCCCAGAAATTAAATATTTAATTAAACATCAATTTATTTCATTATTATTTTTAGCATAAATTGAGAAGCATTAAAAGTTAATAAGAAAATTGAATAAATAAATGAAAGATTATTTTAAATTTAGAGAGTTTGGTTGGTCTTTTGTAAAGCTCAATGTCACCATGACTTCGCCCACTTGACTCAGTGCTTAATATTATTATTACATAGCTTTTCCCCAACACTGAAACTGGTGAATAATTTATTCATGAGACAAGTCAACGTTAAACGTAAACAATGAAAGCAATTCCAAGAAATGCTCATTGATGTGACAAAAGTTGTTAATGCCTTTTAAACGTATAAAAATATCACCATAAGCCAACGCAAATATCCAATAATAAGGTTTCAGACATTACAAAGGAATCTTCGACAGAATTTACTTGAATGAATCAAGGAAATTCAACAGTTTGTTTCTAAATTTAATTCTCAAGTTGAATGATTGGTGCAGATGTTATTGGGATTTGAGATGTGTGCTCTCAGGCAACTAAATTCATTTAGCTGTAATGTAATTGCAGTTGAAAAAGGTGATAAAATCACTGGCACGTTGGATTATTCAAAAGAGGTGTGTAGGTTTGGATAAATATGGAAATGATGTGCACACAACTTATCTAGATAAAAGTCTTTGCACTGGCACCTCTGAAACGCATGTCCCCTCGAAAGTGTAAAGGAAAATCTCACATCCGGGTAGAAAAAGGCTTAGATTTATTTTTTCAAATCGTTATGCTGATTTTCAGACCTTCGCAGAAATATCAGATCGGAATGTGTTGTAATTCATGTTCGGTCATTGTTAAATAACAAACGAGATATTTTTACAAAACATTTACTGAATGAATGTATTGAGACGAGGAAGCATTTCAATGTGATTATAATTTGAAATGTAATTCTCTTTACGCTCTAATGATCAAAACACGATGGCTGTTTACAATGTATATGAAAGAAATGGAATCCGTTCTCATGATTATTGAACAGCTGAACCTTTGAAAGACGAAACTATTTCACTGATCGTAGCTGGACCATCTGGTTTTGACATTGTAAGAGAAATTGTGTAAACAAAGTTGTGTGGTTAGACCATCTAAAACATATTTTCAACATTACGATCCAATGTTGTGGAAAAAACCTCCTGATGTCGTTCGACTAAATTACGATGGGACATTTTTTACAGATGACACTTTTGATAAATTGTCCAACAATTTTTGTTATTGAACTTAGTAGAGTACAGTAATGCAATTGAAGGTAAATTACGCTTTTCCGCTCTACAAGCATTGCATTTCAATACATCGGCCATTTCAGCCTTCATTGGGCTTCTATTTGTGGTTTGCAATATCCAAATGTTTGATACGAATCAAGGCTACTTTTTTCTAAATGTTCTAACGAAGTGGAAAAAGCATTCATCGATGGAAGAAATGCTTAATGACCATGAAGCGGATATTGGGGAACGATGGTCGACGAGAATCATTAAAAAAAGCGCACATCATGGGTTTCAATGTACAGGAAATATATTTTAATGATCTGAACATAAAGCTTATGAAGCCGCTTGTAATTTAAAAAGAAAAAAATCAGCAAAACATATGAAAATTTCAATATTTTTTACCATCAAAATTCTTCTTTAAAGAGACATAAAAAAGCTTTTCCAATTAGTAATTTGACTCTCGTCATTTGCTTTAATGAGGAAAAACAAAAAAAGCTTAAAGAATGTGTAAATTGATTGATTATCAATTAGGCATCTAACATTACAATGATTTATAGACATTGGTAAGCAACCCTGAAAACTCCACAATTATTGTTTGTTAAATAACCTAATTTAAATATTTATGTTCGATTTTATCATTTTAATAATATTCTGAATATTTTCAAGAGACTTTAGGACTCAATTTTAATTAAAAAAGATTAATTATAGTGTTTACTGTAACTTTAATGAGTTGTTTATGCCTCACATTTAGGTTCAGGTGCAGTACATTTGAGAAAACAATTTTTCCAAAACCATATTAAGTGAAGCATGATAGAAATGAAAATCAAATTATTGCCTCGAGATTTTCCAGACTACAGATGGATGTAGATGGATAGCTATATCGAGAGAAAATCAATATTTTTCTCGCTTTCTGATGAGATTACTTTTGATTAAATTGATAAACATAGATCGGACCTTTAAATACATTGATACTACTGAGCTAGAGCTGTCTGCGATTAATCAGAATGTATTGGGAATTGTTAACAGACATCCCAAAGGAAATCATGAATTATCCCGATTACCCTTATCAATCAACTGGCAAATCTTATCTTACTTGATAAGAGGTTTTGAAATATTTGAACGATTATTCTAGAACTCATGACCTCAAGATATAAATCAAATTTAAACCCATGATTTTAAAGCTAATGTAAGTAAATAAGTTCCGTTTATTCTTGAAACATTTTTAGTGATATTAATATTCTTATCTATGTAGCATAAACAAGTTGGCAACAGATGTTGCTTTAAGCAAAACTATAAAAATAAAAAATTATTTCAATCCCATTTGTTCAAGATCATTGACTGGGTTTCAGAAAGATTTTATAATTTATTCATGAATTCTTTTTATCAAGAATTGTTCTGTTCATTCAACTTGTGTCTTGTGAATTGATATGAAAAATGTCCAAACGATTTCTCTTTGGTGTTGCATACTTTAATGTTCAATCAAGAAATATGATTTTGATCTCTTTTGTATTCTTTGTACAAAATATTGTCAATAAATTTATGGTGATGAATAACATAAATTTTCTTCACAATCTGAATTCTCTTCCATTCATTCATTCTAGATTCAATGCTAAGAGTCAACACTATTGTAAAATTTGCGATCAATGAGATTAAAGTTGTACATGGAATATTTCCTCATAAAAGTTATTTGTAGAGAATACGATAAGCCAAATCGTTCATAAATAATTCTGTACCTGATGCCGAATGAAATATGAAAAGTTCAGAAGAATTTTGAAACTCAGAAAATATCTTCGAGAAATTATGTATGAGGAAAACAGCAATATTTAAAACTTTTCAATAACTTCAGAGCCATTGAATACTTTACAGCGAGTTGTTTCTATGCATGAAGTATTATCAACGCGATGACAACAACTTTTTATTTATTTTATCACTATTAAGAGATTAATCTGTCTGTTAAATAACATGCTTTGTAGACATCACCAGTTGAAATAAAATTCTAGTCATTTAATTTACTCAATTGTTTGAAGCTTTTGTTATCTTATCAACTCGACAATGCATTACATTTCAAGATTCAAATACATAAAAATATTAAACGTAAGCTTTAAGTATCTAATTCAGTCGACGAGATTACTTGGAATATTTAAGACGTAACTGACGCTTAATTTGAAAATGAAACTTTGTGTCATTGGAGCTGGCGCCGCTGGTCTTTGCGCTGCAAAAAATGGAAAAGACTTTGGATACGAAGTTACAGTTTTTGAACAAACGAATAAAATTGGAGGCACGTGGGTATACACAGACAATATTGGAAAGGACAAAAACGGTTTAGATGTTCACTCAAGCAGATATCAAGGCTTGTTCACAAATCTACCAAAGGAAATCATGGGATATCCAACAATTCCTTTTCCCGAACAAAACAAATCATACATTCCAGCTGAAGATGTTTTGAAGTATTACGACTCTTATGCTCAACAATTTGATTTACTAAAGCTTATAAAGTTTGAACATCACGTTTTACGAGTTCGACCAATGCCGGATGACACGTGGGAAGTTATTGTCCATGATTTGGCCGTGAAAAAGTATATAACACTAAATTTTAATGTTATATTAGTATGTAATGGTCACTACGCCGCCCCAAACACACCAAAAATCAAGGGACAAAATCTGTTCAAGGGAAGACAAATGCATTCTCATGATTATCGATGTCCTGAGTTCTTCATGGATGAAAGTGTTTTAATTATTGGAGCAGGTCCAAGTGGAACTGATTGCACAATTGACATATCAAAATTCGCGAAGAATGTGACGTGGTCACATCATTTAGAAAAGCCTCCAAATACACAATTTAATGATAATGTGGATCAGAAACCAGATGTGAAAGAAATAACCGCACACGAAGTGACGTTTGTTGATGGATCAAGTCAAAAATATTCTGTCATCATCTACGCCACTGGTTACAAATACACTTTTCCGTTTTTGTCTGCTGATTGTGGAATTTCTCGTGAAGAAAATTATGTTCATCCATTGTTCAAGCATTGCTTGAATATCAATCATCCAACAATGGGAATCATTGGACTTCCGAATTATGTCTGTCCAAATCAAATGTTCGACTTGCAGATTAGATTTTGTTTAACCTTCATGACCGGTCGCAAGACGCTTCCGACAAAAGAAGAAATGTTTGAAGATACTGAACGAGATAGAAATGAACGCAAGATTAAAGGTTTGGACAATAGCAAAGGTCATTATATGGGTGTAGGCATTCATGATCGTTATTACGATGACCTTGCAGCTACAGCGGGAATTGTTCCAATTAAACCTGTCATTGTAAAGATGTTTGCAAAAGGACTTTGCAGTTTACTACACGACTCGTCTGGATTTCGAAATGACGTGTTCAAAGTTATTGATGATGAGAATTTTATTATCCTAAATAAATGAAAAAATTAAATCTTAAATTATTTATTCCGTTCGAATGAAATATCCGTCGGATGTAAAAATTAAGAAAATTATTCATGGATCGATGTTTTTGGGTAGCATCAAGGACAAAATGAAGGAACCGCTGCTTTGAAACATCCGTTAATTAAATAAATAAAGAAATACCCTTCAAGAATAACAAAATTTGGATTGAGGCATTTTTGTCATGAAGAATTTTTATAAAATTTTTAAATCACCTCATGGATGGTTACGTTTTTAGGTCTAAGATAATTCTCAGTTTGTTAATAATATTCATAAACAAAAACTTTAAAACTTCTATATTTATTCTATATTATAACATTTATTCTATATTCCTACATTACAATCATTTGCTTATCTGTATTTAATTGCTTTGTTTCTGTCAATAAATTATAACTACAAAACAAACATTAATATTCAACACATTAATTTCCAATTTATGAATTCATAACTTATTTATTTTCAATCTAAGGAATGATAAAAATTAAACCAAATGTGTTTATAAATTTTGCAGCATTTTTTTGACATGAATTGATCAGCATCTCATGCTTTATGTAAAGATAAAAAGTTTAATATGTACAGGTAAATAATGAAACACTTCATAATTATATTTTTCATGTTCACGCGTCTCACATGTAAAACGCGATTGGATTTAGTTGTGTAAGTATTCATTTTTTTGATTAGATTGTAAAGAGAGTCGTAAAAATTAAAAATATCAGTTGCAAACAGAAATTCATTCGCGTAAGACAATTTTGAGACTCAATCTGAAACTGATAATTTAAGACACAAAGAAACAAATGAAGCTTTGTGTAATTGGAGCTGGAGCTGCAGGGTTGTGCGCTGCAAAACGTGGAGTTGAATTTGGTTGTGATGTAATAGTTTTGGAACAAAGTGAACAAGTCGGTGGAACATGGGTTTATACAGACAATGTGGGAAAGGATAAGAATGGCTTAGATATCCATTCCAGTATGTATCGTGACGTGAAAACAGACATTCCCAAGGAAATTATGGGATATCCTGATTTCCCTTATCCTGAACAACAACAGTCATACATACCAGCAAAAGATGTTCTCGAGTATTTGCAATCTTACGCCAAGCATTTTGATTTATTCAAATTTATTAAGTTCAATAGTCTTGTTATTCGTGTTCGACCTTTGTCTGATGATTCATGGGAAGTTATTGTGAAAGATTTGCTCACAAAGAGTTTTGAAACATTATTTTTTGACGCGGTGTTGGTTTGCAATGGACATTATTTTCTACCGAATTTTCCAACATTCCATGGACAAGAAAAATTCAAAGGAAGGCAATTACATACTCATGACTATCGTGTTCCTGAAATATTTGAAGGCGAAAATGTTCTCATCGTTGGAGCTGGTCCAAGTGGATTGGATTGCGTTGTTGCTTTATCAATGGTTGCTAAACATGTTACTTGGTCGCATCATTCAGGAATATTGACTGGTGTTGATGTTGGCGATGCATTATGCCATAAACCAGACATTAAAGAAATAAATGAACATTGTGTGACTTTCGTTGATGATACAACTCGTGATTTCACATCAATTATTTATGCAACTGGTTACAAATACTCTTTTCCATTTTTATCTGTCGATTGTGGTATAGGCTGCGATAACGGACACGTTTCCCCATTGTTTAAGCATTGCATAAACATAAATCATTCATCGATGNAATGTAGTGAATAACAAATGTTGTTTCAATCTTTTAGTTGTTGTTTGAGTTCGTTGAAGAATGTATTTGAACAAATGTGGGATAATATTTTCTTTAGTTTTGTATATGACAAGATTATATAATAAAAATTATGTTTGATGTTACTTTATGCTTTTAATATTGTTTTGCATCAACTGAATGGTGGAGCTGGATGAGAAATTGTCAAATGTGTCTAAAATTTAGATATTCTATAATAACTTATCTTATTCTAACTCTTGAGTTACGTAGAATCTTGCTTTATTTATTTTATACGTATTTACATTTAGATTCAGTCCACCCACCACCCCCCGTATGCGTATAATGTGTCTCTACTTTGTACGATTTTAGATCAAGAATGACCTACAGATGTCACTGTTTACGTCCTCGCTAAGGGTGGGTGGGTGGAATTAGACGAATCGAAGACACATTTATACTTAATATAAAGATTGTTCTTATCCTATTTACGTAGCATGTGCTTTACGTTTGCTTTCTTAACTGAAATATCAAAGAAGGAAAGCAAAGTGATGTTTACTATTTTTAAACATACAAACACAAATAATCAACATCTATGCATAAAGAGTCAGATAAGATGTCTAAGTATGAGTGTCTCATACGCGTGTCAAATTATTACGTGAAATATCAGTGAATTCAAGTATGTTTTCGTTTGATTAGATAAAGCAATAAGAATTGGTCAAAACAAATAAATTCACTAGTGTCAAACAGAAGGTTATTCGCGTAAGACATTTTTCAAAAATTATTAAATTATGAAACTTTGTATTATTGGAGCTGGAGCTGCAGGCTTGTGCGCTGCAAAACATGGAGTTGAATTTGGTTGCGATGTAACAGTTTTGGAACAAAGTGAACAAGTCGGTGGAACATGGGTTTATACAGACAATGTGGGAAAGGATAAGAATGGCTTAGATATCCATTCCAGTATGTATCGTGACTTGCATACAAACGCTCCCAAGGAAATTATGGGATATCCTGATTTCCCTTATCCTGAACAACAACAGTCATACATACCAGCAAAAGATGTTCTCGAGTATTTGCAATCTTACGCCAAGCATTTTGATTTATTCAAATTTATTAAGTTCAATAGTCTTGTTATTCGTGTTCGACCTTTGTCTGATGATTCATGGGAAGTTATTGTGAAAGATTTGCTCACAAAGAGTTTTGAAACATTATTTTTTGACGCGGTGTTGGTTTGCAATGGACATTATTTTCTACCGAATTTTCCAACATTCCATGGACAAGAAAAATTCAAAGGAAGGCAATTACATACTCATGACTATCGTGTTCCTGAAATATTTGAAGGCGAAAATGTTCTCATCGTTGGAGCTGGTCCAAGTGGATTGGATTGCGTTGTTGCTTTATCAATGGTTGCTAAACATGTTACTTGGTCGCATCATTCAGGAATACTGTCGGATGTTGATGTTGGCGATGCAATATGCCATAAACCAGACATTAAAGAAATAAATGAACATTGTGTGACTTTCGTTGATGATACAACTCGTGATTTCACATCAATTATTTATGCAACTGGTTACAAATACTCTTTTCCATTTTTATCTGTCGATTGTGGTATAGGCTGCGATAACGGACACGTTTCCCCATTGTTTAAGCATTGCATAAACATAAATCATTCATCGATGGGAATTATTGGCGTTCCAAATTTGACTTGTCCAAATCAACTTTTTGATTTACAGATCAGATTTTTTTTAACATTTATGACAGGTCGAAAAGAACTTCCATCGAAAGCTAAAATGTTGGAAGACACTGAGCGTGAAATGTGTGAACGGAAGAAAAAGGGACTCGTGAACAAAAAAGCTCATTTTTTGGGACCAGAAATGCAAAAAACTTATTTTCATGATTTGGCAACAATTGCAGATCTAGTTCCAATCCTACCAGTTATAAATAAATTATTTACCAGGGGAATTCATGATATTATTCATAACCCAACAGCTTATAGAAAAGAAATATTCAGGCTTACAGATGAAGAAAATTTCATCAATTTATAATGAAGAGTTTCATGTTGTTAAACAATGGATTGACTAATTGAATTTTTTGTCATGAATAAGAAATGTAGTGAATAACAAATGTTGTTTCAATCTTTTAGTTGTTGTTTGAGTTCGTTGAAGAATGTATTTGAACAAATGTGGGATAATATTTTCTTTAGTTTTGTATATGACAAGATTATATAATAAAAATTATGTTTGATGTTACTTTATGCTTTTAATATTGTTTTGCATCAACTGAATGGTGGAGCTGGATGAGAAATTGTCAAATGTGTCTAAAATTTAGATATTCTATAATAACTTATCTTATTCTAACTCTTGAGTTACGTAGAATCTTGCTTTATTTATTTTATACGTATTTACATTTAGATTCAGTCCACCCACCACCCCCCGTATGCGTATAATGTGTCTCTACTTTGTACGATTTTAGATCAAGAATGACCTACAGATGTCACTGTTTACGTCCTCGCTAAGGGTGGGTGGGTGGAATTAGACGAATCGAAGACACATTTATACTTAATATAAAGATTGTTCTTATCCTATTTACGTAGCATGTGCTTTACGTTTGCTTTCTTAACTGAAATATCAAAGAAGGAAAGCAAAGTGATGTTTACTATTTTTAAACATACAAACACAAATAATCAACATCTATGCATAAAGAGTCAGATAAGATGTCTAAGTATGAGTGTCTCATACGCGTGTCAAATTATTACGTGAAATATCAGTGAATTCAAGTATGTTTTCGTTTGATTAGATAAAGCAATAAGAATTGGTCAAAACAAATAAATTCACTAGTGTCAAACAGAAGGTTATTCGCGTAAGACATTTTTCAAAAATTATTAAATTATGAAACTTTGTATTATTGGAGCTGGAGCTGCAGGCTTGTGCGCTGCAAAACATGGAGTTGAATTTGGTTGCGATGTAACAGTTTTGGAACAAAGTGAACAAGTCGGTGGAACATGGGTTTATACAGACAATGTGGGAAAGGATAAGAATGGCTTAGATATCCATTCCAGTATGTATCGTGACGTGAAAACAGACATTCCCAAGGAAATTATGGGATATCCTGATTTCCCTTATCCTGAACAACAACAGTCATACATACCAGCAAAAGATGTTCTCGAGTATTTGCAATCTTACGCCAAGCATTTTGATTTATTCAAATTTATTAAGTTCAATAGTCTTGTTATTCGTGTTCGACCTTTGTCTGATGATTCATGGGAAGTTATTGTGAAAGATTTGCTCACAAAGAGTTTTGAAACATTATTTTTTGACGCGGTGTTGGTTTGCAATGGACATTATTTTCTACCGAATTTTCCAACATTCCATGGACAAGAAAAATTCAAAGGAAGGCAATTACATACTCATGACTATCGTGTTCCTGAAATATTTGAAGGCGAAAATGTTCTCATCATTGGGGCTGGTCCAAGTGGATTGGATTGCATTCTTGAAGTATCGAAGGTTGCCAAGAATATTTCTTGGTCGCATCATCCATCAGGAATACTGTCGGATGTTGATGTTGGCGATGCAATATGCCATAAACCAGACATTAAAGAAATAAATGAACATTGTGTGACTTTCGTTGATGATACAACTCGTGATTTCACATCAATTATTTATGCAACTGGTTACAAATACTCTTTTCCATTTTTATCTGTCGATTGTGGTATAGGCTGCGATAACGGATACGTTTCCCCATTGTTTAAGCATTGCTTAAACATAAATCATTCATCGATGGGAATTATTGGCGTTCCAAGTGCGATTTGTGCAAATCAACTTTTTGATTTACAGATAAGATTTTGTTTAACATTTATGACAGGTCGAAAAGAACTTCCATCGAAAATCAAAATGTTGGAAGATACTGAACGTGACATAGCTATGCGAAAAACATACGGACTCGTGAACAAAAAAGCTCATTTTATGGGAACAGACCTGCAAAAAATTTATTTCGATGATTTGGCTACAATCGCAGATCTGGTTCCAATCCTAACAGTTATAAATAAATTATTTACCAGAGGAATTCACGAGTTTATTCATAATACTACAAATTTCAGAAAAGGAAAATATAAAATTGTAGATGAAGAAAATTTTATCAATTTGTAATGTAATTCACAATAAATGATTTTTTTATGATACCTAAGTATTAAAATCCTTTTGAAATGCTGTAATCGCAAGTAGATATGATTAGATTAGTGAAGATAAGATTTGTTGTCATTAATTTACGAGGTATTCGAGATAAATCTTAAAAAAAGTAGCATTGATTGCTAATTGGATTTGTTTTTTATACATGAAAATTCTTATTCCTATAGAAAAATATTGAAATTATTAAGTTTAAAACAAATGTTTTTAAATATTCTAAAATTAAAAATAAGTTTTTGATTGCTAAATTCATTTTTTCGTAACATTTTGATGAAACATTTGAATAGTTTTGAAACACTTTCACATGACTGTTAAAAGGTTTTACATGTTGAAATTCGAATTTCGAAAATTAAAAAATTTAAAAAATCAAGTGAAATCTGATATTTATCATTTGAATTTAATATTCTTAATCAACACTTTAAACATGAATAAACGTAAACAGCAGCGCCTTGGAAATCTCATTAGCAGTCCTAGAAGCTACGATCAAGACAGTGAAGGATTTGCATTTGAAGATAATAATTCAGATCAAATACATTTCAGTAACGGAGAAGTTTCCATAACAATCAACAAGGCTGGAGTTAAATCTTATTCTTATAGGAATCCGGAAGTTGATGAGCAACTTCTTTTCTCTCCATTATATTGGCATAAAGTTATTGTAAGTTTTATTTCTTCGTTGTTCTTCTTAATAGTTTTTCTGAGAAATTGTCCTTTTTTAACAGATTAGCCACAAAAGACATTTCAATTGTTTAGAAGTTGCTCTTCCACAAATATTTAGAATTGTTGAAGACGAATTCTTTGCTCCCGTCAAATATATTTCATCACTTCATGAGGATTACTTTTTCGTTCATAATCAAGGAAAAGCACTTAAAAAGCTTTTTGATCAAAAACTTCAAATTAATGTGAAAGGAGAAACTGTTGATCTCGTAGTTCGACTTTGCATTGGGAATTTCAGTGAAGGAATGTTGACTTTAAATGATAAACTTTCGAATATTATTCAAAATTCAATCGATTCCGATCACAATATTAATTTGAGTCGTATACATTGTCGACAAGAATTAAAAGATGTGATATTTTCCTTAACCAACGAAGGATGTCTGGCAATGCTTTGCGAACAGCTGAGACAAGAATTAAAAAAAAAAGAACATTCTGTGATAAAAGTTTCTACTCTCAATCTAAGTGAAAACGAAATTTCTTCCCTTGAACCGTTTTCAAGACTTTTCTTTCATTTAGACGCATTTGATTTCCAGTTCAATAAAATCTCACTCATTGACGAATTTCAATATTTAAACCATTTTAAAATAACACAATTGAACCTTCTCAACAATCCGGTGACTCAAATTCCTCAATTTCAAATGAAAATCAAAACGCAAATTCCAACATTAAAAATGATTGATTCATTTCAATTTGAATCAAATTCAGTTCAAGCCATTGGAAGTCACATAAAGACAGAATCGCAAAGTTCATCTTCACACAACATTTTGTGTTTTGATAATAGAAGCGATGAGATTCGGAGTTTTAAGCAGAATGTCAATATTATCAACTTTAAAGACATAAATGATTACGTGAAGTCCATTTTTCCCAAAGAAGACAACAAGTTATGGAACAAAATTATTGTTTTTCACAACGGAAAAGTTGACAAAGAAACGATTCTGAATGCAATGAACAAACAGTTTTTTAACTTAACGACGTTCTATCCATGTTACTATAAGAGGGGAGAAAAGGCAGACAATTTTTTCTTATACAAAAACTACAGCGCTCTCAAAATACTCATGGAAAATGATTTAAAAATGGAAATTCAAGAAATTAATGAAACAGTAAAGTTTGAAGTGCATTTAGGATGTGCAGATTATGTCGATGGACAAGTCAATTGGAGTAAAAAAATTAACTACGTGATCAAGAAAAGAATCAGAGGCAGTGAAATGCATTTCGATAACTTCTCAGCCGACAGTGATTTGATCGATTTGGAAGTGACTTTGACTACTTCAGTTGGATTTTCACATATTCTCAATACGACTAAGCAAATATGTAATAAAATGTGCTTGGAAATTGAATCTCTGAACTTGCAGAACAACAAAATCTTCAGATTCAATGCACTCAATTTTATCGCAACTTCCTATTCGAATCTTAAGATTTTAGACTTGAGAAACAACAATATTGAAAGCATTGAGGAAATATTTGAACTTCCCAATCTTACGAAGATTTATTTGGATTCAAATCCCGTTTGTATTCAATATTATGACAATCCTTTCAAATACGTCACAGATTTACAACGCTTGTTTCCTAATCTTGAATCCATTGATGAGAAACAAATCGACAGCTCAACATCAATCGTGAACATGCAAAATTTTCTTATCACATCGAAAGTTTACTCATTGACTGAACAATTTTTGAATTTCTTTGAATATTTTGATTCTTATCATGAAGCTTTGAGAGAATTTTACCACAAGGATTCGATTTTTACCATCAGTAACGAGTCACAAGTCTTGAATCAATTCAACGATCTCTCGAGAAATATAATTGGAGCAACAAATATTAATAAAGTTCTCCTTGGACCTGATTACATAATTAACTTCTTTGAAACATTCCCACCAACAACTCACGATTACACAACAATGTCAATCGATGTTCCTTTAGTCAATGAAAGAAATGTTTTAATAACGACCAGAGGATTCTTTAAGACTACCGGGACATCTATCAAAGATAGTAATTTTCATGGATTTACGAGATCATTCTTGCTATCAAAACGTGGATCAAAATCCGGAACTGTTGATCCCTCAATTAAATATCGAATAATGAACGAGATGCTTCACATCAGAGACTTAAGCGATGAAGAGAAGAAAATTCCTTTTAAAAAACTCGTCGTTTCTGAAAGCGAAGTGAACACTCTTTGCAAAGATCTCTTGCCATCAGCCTTTCAAAAGGAAGAAGCACATATTTTGGTGTTTCGAAAGATAACTCATCTTAAAATTAACATTTGTAAAAGGTTTGTTTGAATTCTAAAGTTTCTTTCTTAATTTGCGAACTAATTCTTTATTTTCCTTCTACAGATTGCTTGAAGATGCCAAATGGGATATTAAAACGGCTCTCACATACTTCGATGAATTCTTGAAGCGCAATTTACTAAACTTAAATGATTTTGACTTGTAAAGTTTCTCTTATGTTTCATTTCTTTGTACATTTACTGGTTTATAATAAAAATTTGAATTAAAGCGAAAAAAACATTGTTTTATGTCAAGGTCATTGATTATACATAACATTCGTCCGCTGAAATAGTTTACTTGCTTTGTGTTTCAGTTAAGGTTGAATGAAAAGAAATATTTTTGAAAGTAGATTTCTAATGAAGAAAAAATGAACAATTTTTAAAATATTTCTTTTTGAGTGAGACTGTCCCGTAATCTCGTAATCTCCAAAGATATCTTCTGATTAGCGAATAAATGTCTACATGACTTAAATGATTAATGTAAACGATATTCAAACTATTATGTTGTAGAAAACAATGACAGTTAGAGTTAATAGTTCTATTCGTTTTTCGATTGGTTATTGAACATCTATTTATATAAAGATTAATAATATTTAGTCATATAGAATTAGATTTGACTTCATTGATTTTTTAGAATGAAAGATGAATCATCTCTCTTTAGCTTTGATATTTTTTTCTTTTTTACGACGAATGTTATTATTTGCTTTACTGATCATTCAATTCCGTTGAGTGTAGCCTTCAATTTGACAAATAAGTTCTTAACAAATGGAAGTTAAATGTTCGATTTTTGAGGTGGTTTAATTTAACTTTTTGTTTTTCTACTCTTATTAATTGAAGCAAATGTTTAATTTGACATTTGAATATGATTGGAACACTTGGAAATTTACCTGAAATTAAAATTCTAACATTTACAAGAATAAAAGTTATAGTTTTAAATTAGTTGCAAATATTACGAATTTATTTATGAAGCGAGGGAAATTCACAACATTTTCTGGTTGCCTCGGGTGAGCAAGTTTCTGCTGTTCGTTGCACATAAGATTTGTTTGATAAAGATATGAACTTTAATCTTTGTTTTCTTTTCTTTGTTTACAAATGTCATAAATGTTGGATGATATTTTTGATTTCTTTAGGAAATCATACAAACTATTGCTATCTGAATTAGGTACTCATAAATTGAACGAGTTGACAATGAAAATTGGCAAGCAAGCTCGTCATATCTGATTTGATTATGTGATAAGAATGAAAAAACTTGGAATTTCCAGTCAATTTAAAATAAATATTTTTAGAGCTTTTTATTGCAAAGAATATTTGTCAATATTTAATTTCAACTTTTTATTAATTTTAATTAAGGAGGAAATTTTACAATTTTATCATAATTTATTCAGACTTCACTCGACTTAAGCATGACTTGATTCAATGCCAATAGTTGGAAAAAAACATTTGACTTACTCATCGTTATTAGGATGTTCTTTAAATTAATAATTTATATTTATAGCAAAGCGAATAGCGTCCATGACTCAGATTTTAGTGAGTCATTTCATTTCAGTTTTGTACATTTACATCCTGAAACATGAATGAAGACACAGTCTTCGAGTTTTATGTGTGAAATTTCTTTTTAAATGCGGAATTTATCAGCATAAATAATCAAGAAACAACAGTCAAACTCTAAAATAAAGTTCTACATCGCTTAAAGGTGACATTTATTATGTTAAAAACTTTGAGTCTCTGAATTCGTTTCAGTAAATTTCTCAACAGTTGATTATGCATTCAGTTTAATATTTTTACAGCAAAACACCTACTTAACAGAAGCATATATCATGTTATAGATAATCAACATTAGAAGATAAATTATTACAGTTAAGAATTGTTTATAAGCATGATTTGTGTTTATCTAGTTTGTATAAAAGAGAGCAATACGTGACAATATGAATGAAATGAACTTCCACAAGCTATTAAGGTGAAGATTATTCTCTTGACACTTAAACTTAATGTTAGTTGTCGTATATTTCTTCAAGTTTTCTTCTTCCATTCATTCCCAGATACATAAATATAAATAAATAAACCAGTCACAACTTTTTGAAAGAAGGAGAATTGCCAATTTTATCAGCATTAAAGTTTTTTCTGCAATATCGTAACTGATTTAATTTATATTACTCTTAAATTACTTTTTATTGCCAATAAAATATTCTTAACTCCTTTACAATCAGAAGTAAAGTTTAGAATTTAATTAAAATTTCAATAATTTATATTTGATAGATATCTGGGATAAAATAAATATTTTCTAATCTTTTCACTTGGAAGAATATTTTTAATATACATATTTTCAAAAATATTAGTGAAGAGTGCTACAAACATCACAACACACCTACGCATCTCGTGACGGTAGTCTCAATTTTTATATTTCATGTTCCAACGCGAGAAAAACTGACGATGAAAAAAATGAAGTACTCTCATATCAAACCGGTTTTCACAAGTGATGTAAACATTTTGCAGTATGTTCAATTTAACTTTTCATTTGTGACAATGGGGAATTTTAATTTCAAATTTATTTTATATAAACGGGCATTCATTGTTCATTTAAGACCTTTTGAAAAGAGAAAACAAGTCTGAATAATTTTTTACTTGCTATCAGCCATTTTATTCCTTTTGCAATATGAATAAATTCATTCAATGTTTATAATAAAAATGATCAATCTTAACTATGAACTTTTGATGATATTTATCTGTTTGATTTATTGAAACTTGAATTATGTAAACATTGAAACATTGCTTTTTAATCTTTTATGAAACAGAAGATGGATGATGTGAAAATGTCAAATATTCATCTACCTTCGTTTGATTTTTAATCTACTGAAAATATTTTTTATCCTTGAAACATTTTATCAAAAGAAAGTTCAATAATCTCTTGTGAAGTATCTTCAAATGAATGCTTCAGAAACCAATTCGTTAATTCCAACCACATTGCTGTTTTTTACTATGGTAACAAAAATGTTTTTTAATATTAAACAAATATTAATGTTGTGTTTAGATCGACAAGATTAAAAATATTAAAATCATGGTAAAAGAAAATTTAATTTTAACTCAAAGTCAGTTGAACAAAATCTTAAAATGGATTCCTAATACAGAACAAGAAAAACATGATGAAAGAATCTTGAAATATCTTCAAGAAGCTTCAAAAGCTATGAAAGAAAAATGGCCCGAAAATAGTCAAATTTTAAGAGTTGAGAAAGTGAAATCTTTGTTATCTCCTGAACAGCAACGTTATGAAGATATTAAGAATGCAGATCAAAAGAAGAGAAAAGAAATGATTGAAGAAGCTGAAAGATTTGTCAATGAAAAACGTATAAAAGAATATCCGATTGAATTAAAAAGCGCAGCTATTTTGAGTGAGAATTTGCATGGAAATAAAATTCAATTAGAATTTCAAGCTTCAATTAGAGCAGATGAAAAAAAGAAAACTTTACAACAGAATCAAATCGATATGTTGCAGAGTGTTTCATGGCTTGAAGATGGATTTCAACATCGAACAAATGCTTTTAGGATAGCTAAACAACATAAAAAAGAACTTCTCGATTCCATTGTCGATCGAAAACGTCAGAGGGATGATGAGAAATCAAAACGCATTGCTGAAGAAAAAATAATTATTGAAATGCACAACAGAAATATTGAAGAAGAGAAAATAAAATGTAGAAAAGCCAAAGAAGAACAAAATGAATACATGAGAAAACACGAAATCGAGACTGTTTTGATGGCGAAGCAGAAAAGAGACCGCATGAAGAGAGAAAATGAGGTGATTGATGTATTGGCGAAAGTTCATAATGAAGGCAAAGGCAACGTGAAAGATTTGATTAAATTACAAGAAAATCGGGCACAACTTGAGCGAATTAAGCTTATTGAGAAACTTCAGCAGATGGCAAAGTTACGGGTTGACGAAGAAATACTAAAATTAAAGAACGAACAAAAGTTAATTGAAAATGCTCGGATTGAGAAAGAGAAAATGCTTGATTGTGCTCAGGAAAAAGCTAAAAATAAGAAAAACTTCTTGAAAAATGATCGCATGGAAGACTACGCACAGAGTATTAAAGCGGCTGAGTTCAAGAGATCCTTGAAAAAAGAAGAAGATAAAGAATATTTTAAAATTCGTATCAGCAATGATTTTATTTCTCGTGAATATGCAAAAGCAAAGAAAGAACAAAAATATAAGAAAATCATGGAAAATACTAATTTCCTTAAGAAACAAGCTAATGAGATTTATAAACTTGAACAAGAGAACCGCAAAGCTGATATGAGAGAATTTAATCAAAGAATTGATGATGAGTCAGCTTATCTAAATGCAAAATTCTTTGAAAATGCAAAAGATTTAATTGATGATGCTGCTGGAAAAAATAGACCCACAAAACCAATTCTTCAAGTAGTGCAGTCTTACAAAAATTGTCATTTTATTGACATAAATAAGCGAACGAGACCTCATGAAATTTCTAATGTTCCTATTGAAATGGAATTGCATAAAAGTGAAGGTGATTGGGGGAAAACTAAGCGGAGATTGAAATATGAAAAGGAAGAGAAACTCATGAAGAATGTCTACAGGTCATCAAAATTCTTAAATTATAACTAAAATTTAAAATTCTACCTGTCTAATTATTTTTATTCTTTGTTTAACTATTCAAATATACTTCAAAGTAAATAAATTAATTTATTCCATTATCAAATATATAATAGAATCATCTAATGTGTGAAGAATTAAAGCTAAAATAATAAGAGTATACATTTAAAATGAATTAAATTCTTTCATTCAATATAAAAGTAGAAAAATATTTGCGTGCATTCATCCACGTATTATAAAAAAAATCATTTAAAAGTATTATGAGCCTACATAAAAGCAAAAAAAAAGTACAGTCACCACAAAACAAACGATGAAATTTTTCCCTCTCATCATTCAATACTATAGAAGCAACTTATTTATCATATATAAATGTAGATAATTTAACGCTAAGAATATGTTTTCATACAAATGAAGTGCAGCATTTTATACTTTTACTCAATAAAAATGTTCTGCCAAAAATAAAAATGCAAAAATAAATAAAAGCAAGTCATTAGCATGAAATAAATTTTCTATATTATTGAAGCATTTTATTTAGGATTTCGTATGTGTGCGTTTATTTAATGAAACACGTAACAGCAGAAAAAGTACAGTCGGTTCAAAAGTCGGAGCTTTCAACGGGAATTTTTGTTGTTTTCCATGTCATATGATATTGCATACAGGTTTGAATAATTTTAACATATCTTTTATTACTTTTACTAACATGAGTATAAACACCTAGGTTTTTAATTGTATTATTGGAAGAAAAATGTTTCCGTCAAGCCTTAAAGATTAAGTTTTCAACCAACATAGCAATCGTGAAATCAAAATAAATTGAAAGAGTTTGACGAAAATGTTATTTATATCTTTTGAATGTGTGAGTGAAAGCTTCAATTCAAAATGTTATATCTAATTTCTGATTTTTTAATGATCAATCCAGCATTTTCACAACAATCAATTTTTTTCTCTTTATATAAGCTTATGAAATCGTTTTTCTATTAATCTTTTATGTTTATATACAACAGAATATTATTTATAACTATGATATTACATGATATCAATGTCAGTAATTAGGATAGGTATAGGAGAACTCAATGACGCAAATAGGTTTGACAGTTTTTCAGAGAGAATCGCTTTGAATTCATCAATTGTATTGCGCTACTTTCAAAATATAACAATAAAGAAAGAACATTTTGAAATAAAATGATGGATGGTTAATGGTTTTATTTCGATAAATCTATTTCTAAATTTGAAAATTTTGAAAAAAAATTTAAAAGCTCTGAAATTTTAGGGAGAGGCAATTTTCGCTCTCTGAGCATAAAGAATTTCGAGGGTGTTGGTAAAGTTTCTCTCATCAATACAAGTCGAGGTTTGTAATTCAGGATGATGAAAGATCCTCGAAATAACTAACGTTTGGTATCTTCAAAACATAAAATTTTAAATAAATATCTTTTATGGAAAAATATACATTATGCCTTTAAATTAGAAATTACGTCTATAATAGAACTCTCTTATGATATTTTTGAATAGAAATTTGTTCCGTTCAGATTAATGCTACTCCGACCGAATACGTTCAGATTAAATTCTAACTTCGACTACTATGCTCCTCTTGTAATTCGCAAATAAGAAAACTGTAAACAAAAAATTCTCAAACAAAATTCTTCAGTTCCTATCCAAACTTTTATTTATTAAACTTTTCTAAAACAAAATACTTGATTAGTATATCCACTATAATGGTAAAAATGCCGAACAATGAAGCAGAAAGTGAGGATTCAGGTCCAGATGTCAATTCAAGTGAATCTGATTCCGAAATGAGTGGCGACTTTAGCGAGTCGTCTGAAATGACAGAAAACGAACTAAGAATAGGAAGAAAGATTGCAGATTACCCAGAAATATTAAGTAAGTATAATATATTTGATTTCTCTTAACAGAAATCCTTACAGAATTTTTAAAATTATTTTCTTTTGTAGATGAGCTTGAAAAACAATTCTTCATTTTAAGAGAGGAGTTGTACAAAGAACGTATTAAGTATGACAATAATTTCAAATATAATTCCTTGATAATTTAACATACGGAACTTGTACAATTTTAGACAAGTGGATCACCAACTTCATGAGATTGAAAATGGAATGTCTAAAGAGTATCTTGGTCCACTTCAAGCTTTGGCAGACAGAATGAATGCTCGCAAAGAAGTTGCTGAAATCTTAAAGAAATATCGACTGGAAAATATACGCAACAAATTTGAATCTGAGGAGCAAGCTTCACGGCAGAATTATGAGAGTGAAAAGCAGATTGCAGTCGACAAGCTTTTCGAAGAGCTTAATGAAAAGATAAGAAGACTTGAAGAAGATAGCCATAATGTCGACATATCTTGGGCCGACTGGGGATCTAATGTTCGTTCAAGCAAAGTCCGTGGCCCAGGAAGAAAGAAACCCGTAACTGTAACAGGTCCATACATAGTTTACATGCTTCGAGAGGAGGAAATAATGGAAGATTGGACTCTTATTCGAAAAGCTGTTAAAGGAAGTCGTATGCACCAACAACGTGTTCATTCAATCATTTAGTTCGTGCAATTCCTCAGTATATTTCGTAAACTTTGTAATTATCTGTTAATAAAGATTTTTTAGATGGACTAAGAAAAGTTTGTTTTAATCTAAACTGGCTTCATTTTATTGTTTTAATTGAAAAGTTTACAATCCACGATCAGCTAAATATTTTTGAATGAGTGTAACATAATCTCCTTTGAAAACTATCTGTCGAGACATTTCATTAATTCTCGAAAAAATACGTTTTTGAACGCGTTTCGATATAACTTTGTTCAATTCCTGCTCAAGTTGCCAAATGTCTCCTTCAATGTTCTTTATCAATGTGGTTCGTCTCTGTCCTCGAAAAGTTATATGAAGATATACTGGCAACATATAATTTTTGGTTCGCTCGATGAAATATGGAAGATCTTTATACAGCTCAGGATTTGGCGCAGTCCAACCCGATGGATATTCAGATTTAACAGTAGGTTTTGGTATTACTTGATAGCCTAAAAGACGTTCCACATATTTCCATTCTGGAGGGTTTTTTGTCACAACCACATCAGGATGATTATCATAATCTTTAAACTCCTCCGAAGCGTTGAAACTTGAAGCTCTCACAGGAATAAATGAGATGGATTGCTGTAAGTAGGTAAACAAAATTTTTAATTCAAATTTATCTAATTTATTTTGTATGTTTTTTACTTACATTCAATTGTCTATGTTGCAGTAAAGGCAAACGAAATTTAAGAAAGTTTCTCAGAGCCATTTGTTAATTCTTTACCATGAAAATCTTCCAAAGAATGTAAACTTTTCCAAATCTCGTGTATAAAATGAAAGGAAATGTAAGAAAAAAAAGTGAAATAAGAAAGAGAATGTTGAGAGAGAAAAACTAAAAGCTTTTCTAAAAAATCGAGAGAGCCTGTTGATTATTTTGAAATAAAAATTGAAGTCTACAAATGTCTGTTTTGAATATAAAATCTTGTTCATTTGATTTAAAAATGTATAATGTACCAAATTACAAAAGAAAATTTGGGATAAATATTAGGAAAAGTTGAAAAATTTGACGATGAAATTTATATGAGGTTAAAATTCCTCTCCCGAATATTTCGTGTAAAAACACAAAGTGTGATAGGGTTAGTGAGTAACATTTCAAATGTTTTTTACTTTTCATGAAATCTCTCGACTCTTTAGTCGTCTTACAACTATCATTGTGTGGTTACATGTAGAACAACATCGAGGAATATAATTTTTTGAGTTCAAGAAAAAATAAAATCAACTTATAAACTACGAAGTTTTACTTTAGTTTTTCACTTTCTTTAAGTTTAAACTTTCATTTGATATATAATTTACTTTAAAAAACATAGTTTTTGAATTATTTTGGTGTAAATAAAAGCAAAGAAGTGGCATTATACTGAGTAGATTTGAGTTAATTTTTGAGCCTAAGTTGACATTTTTCGTCCCTCAATTCTCAAAGTGGTGACGGAATTGCTTTATTTTGCTGCAGAGAGGGTCAAAAATAAACAAAAAGGAAATGGAGCGCTTTTTTGCTGATCAAATGATCCTGTAGGTGGCGTTTACCGTGAGTATATATTTGGAAAATTAAAATTTTTCTTCTTTTCTGCAAACATCTTCAGTGCAAAAGTGATTTTCTCGCGATTTTAAGCTCACACTCACACTAGTGTAGTGAAAAATGTTAATTTTGCGGATCGTGTCGATAAAAGTTGACTAGTAATCTTCGAAGGGAAATGTTAATGAGTTGCAAAGCTTTCCACACACTAATTAAGTTAGATTTTTGATATTACGCTCACTTTGCAAGCTCAATAACGTAATTTAATTAGAAACTTTAAGCTCTACCCTCGCAAGGAAGCTTCGTTTAAATTCAATACTGATTTTAATTCTGTTTATCCTGAAATAAAGTTACTAGATTGACTAGCAGCAGGTAAGTGTCATTTATCTTCATACAAATATTTTATCAACATTTCAAAGAAAACGTAAGAAATTCGCCATCTTCTTTCGCATGTACTATGTATTTTGTTGTTGTGTTTTGTTTAGCAAACACCGTTTCATATATTGCTCTGTTAAGGTGGAAACTCGAGCGAGACTATTTTCTTGAGACATTAAAATCACTTCATTACCAAAGATCCTTAATATCGAATCAGTGAAAAATCATTTAAACTTAATGTCGATTTGATTATGTTGTTAGAAAATATCTTGAAGGATCTGAAGATAAATTTCGCTTTCAAGTCCAGCATTTGAATTTTCCTATATTCTGTTATCAGTGCAAATTTCTCTTCTAACATTTCTGACTCTGTAACATTCGCCGTATTTTCTCCACTCATTTTTCGTGTGCTTCTCATTCAAGTTTTTTCCATGAGATTTTCCATGCTTTTTTTTCTTGTTACACAGATTTTATGTTGTGGCAGGATCGGCTTTCCAGTGTAGTGTAAAAGTTGTCTTGCGTTTTATTTCACATGCTCTTCTCGATACCAACACAAATGTAGCAACGAGGTGTCTGTTGATTTTCACGTAATATCAACTGCTCTCGAAGGAAGAATTTTCTTTCTTACTTTCCGATTATTTATTTTTTGTGTGAATGGAAAAGTGGCATCGGGGGAAATTGAAAAACGAAAACTTTACACTGCTACAACGTAGAAAAATTATTTCAATACTTCTCTCAAGTATAAAGGAATAATTATGAAAAATTCCTTTTTAATTTTTAATCAGAATCAGAGACAAAAAAAATTTATCAATGAATATTAAAGTTAAAGTATGAAAAGAAAAATAATAAATTTAAAAATAACACTACGATTATGGAGCAAAATTATTTCCTTACATAAAGTCTAAAAAGACAAAGAAAAGCATCAATAAGCATCTCCGAAGGAATCGAACGGATAGGCAGAAAAAGAAAGAAGAGAAAAGAACACAACATCTGCACTACAACGACAATTTTGGGTAGGCATTATCATCATACAGATATATGTTTTATGCTTCGTATTTTCGTTCTCTTCTTCGTCGGTTTTCCACACTTTGAGAGAAGTCTCGGGACTGTTGATGGTGTTTCACTAACACATCCTTGTTCTGCGTCTCGCTGACTAGTTCTCCCGGCATCAATTTTAACATGATTCCAAATGTCTTCTCAAAGAATATCTTTTTCCATGTGGAAAGTGCGTGTGCTGTGAACTTCCATTTTGAATATCATTTAGTTTAATTCTGTAGACTATTTTTCTTCTTTAATCCTAAGTAAATTATCTTGGTTTAAATGTGGAAAGTTTTCTTCTTCGTTTGCTTTTATTATTATCATCGCTTTGCTTTCTGTTTTATTTCTGTTTTCCCTTCTTTCCGGTTGCTTTGCTAATAATTTTAGAACAAAACAATATGAAAGTTGTGTTGATGATCGTTTCAGTATTTTTCCCGCTCATATAATATTTATGCAGAAATATTTATTTCATTTTTCGTTGTTGGGGGGGCTTTATGCTATCAGAAGCTCATACAGACTCATCGGGTAGTTTAAATATCAATGCGATACATTTAAAGAAGTGCAAAAAATAATGTTGAATGAGATTAAAAGAGTGTGATGGTGTTTGTGAGTTTTACACAACAAGTACCTTTCATATCTACTCTTACACAGAGGGTTGGGGTTGAAATGTCTTCCTCTACTAGTTGATGTTGTTTTCGATTGTAAGTTCCCTAAAGTCTATTTATGTTTCTCAACATTTTCCCTAAACATGCGTCATTTTTGTTTTGGGGTTTCGCTCTTTTTTTACATTTTATGCTTCGACTTTCAATGACGATGTTGAAAAGTTTTCCCTTCTTTGTAATGAAAAATCTTTTAATAGATGATGCAGAGAAAATTCTTCTGTGCGTGTATTGTGAACTTTTTCTCTCCCTATCTGTATGAAATATTTTAGGCATTTTGCACAAAAAGTACAGTTTTGACTGTCTATTGTTTCGTTTTTACACTCGTGAGATGTTACAGCGCTTTATGATTTTAAAAACCCTTTGAGAAACTTTTCCATTAAATAGAAATAATTGAATATAAATTCCCATATAGAACATAAGTTTTAATTGATATGGAACTTTAAAAAAATGATTATAAATGATAATTGCAAGCAATTACCTTAGTTATATTTTTTTAATCAGTTTCTATCGATTTTGGGTTTAAAAACTTTGAAATAAAACTCTTTATTTACTAAAATATGGAATTTAAAGTGCTGGTTTGTTTGTAAGGATTTAATTGCGTTTCCTTGGACGAATAGAGTAACGAGAAATGTTATCGCAATTATAAATACTACTTGGTATGTATGGATATATAAGTAAATGTAAACAACAATAAATTTCTTAAAACTTACATTTCCAAACAGCAAAAGCACAAATTTCAATGATCTTCTCACAAAAAAGAACGGTTTATGGTGTTAAATAAGTTTCTCACGTGAACTGTATTTTGTGCACATTAAGTCATGCAGTTGAATGAAACAACGTGAATGTTTATTTTGAAATTCGTTTGAATAACTTATTATAAAATTGAAAGTTCTTCAGTGACGAAGGATAAAAATTTGATTTTATTAATCACGAAAACATTGAAAGTTTGATGATAAAAAAATATCAAAAACACTGCAATATGAAAGCTTTATGAAGATATCGACTTATGAAACCTTTGCAAAGCATTGGTGGTGACATACTTTCAGAGAAAAAGTTCTGAAAACAAATCGATTAGTATGCTGCTGTTCATTATATGTTTTGCCTTTATTCATGTACATATATTTGAAATATGTCTGAACAAGTTATGATGATTTGCTTGTTATCCTTATTGATGTGCTCTCAGAACTTGCTTAAATTTCTATCTTTCAGTTCAGCAAATAATAGAAAAGAGTTAAAATACCTTTACATTTTCTAAATATGTTTTAGCGATTAAAACAAATATATTCGATATAAAAGTTTATCGATTGCGATTAGATAACATTCACATTTGACGAAAATTCTTAAAGCTTGTTTCAGAAAACAAAACTTCAAGCACGTCATAATCATAAGCGAGACTTAAACCTGTTTGTAAATAAACTCGTAAAAGCTAAGAAATCGCAAAATTTCCTTGCTGACTTTTCATAAAGTTCAAATCGAATGTTAGCAATTAGATAATGAAGTAAAGTTATCAAAAGCAAATAAATCATTAAAACAGGAAAATGGGTTAAGCAAAGCTTTCAACTTTATTTCTCTTGCATTACTTTACATTCAACTTGTAGGGGTGAAATCATTTTATTTTCTATAAAACGGCCACAAAACCATATTTATAGTAGATTTTCTTAATTTTTATTTCATGAGCAATTATAGTTGTACAAAAATTTAAATAAACTTTTTTTTGTATAAAAAATTATAATTTTGTACATAATGATTCGACTTAGGACGGCTGTGGTGGTGAGAAAATAAATTGAAACTTTTATTTTATGTGTCTAAATATAATTTGCTTTTGTCCCAATTTTCAAGCACCTTTGAAAGCTTTACGAAAAAACAAACAATATTTGAGGACATTTATAAACGCTTTTGTGGTTGAAATCTAAAGAATAATTCAAAACTAATGACGCTGTATTTACTACTAATCATGATAGCCGAAGTGAAAAGCAGCGCACGAAACCCACACGAAGAGTGAAGCGCGTTTTGTTATAAAGCACAGATACATGTAATAATAGCTTGAGATATTTTTCTCTCCATCATGAAAAATGTTTATCGAACTCACTAAGTATTTGCACAATAATACTTATTTTTGATTAAAAGTTTTATAACAAAATTTTCAATTTAATTCTCATTTTTAATTCGTGAGAAAAACATTGAAATATTCTACTTATAATCAGTCCTATGGATGGATATTATGATAGTCGCTCGTCTGAATGGAACGGAAAATTCAGACGTAAAAGAAAAGTTTAAAATAGCAAGAGAGAAAGACAAGTAGAGAGGAAGAGAGAAAGAGAGATAAACCATCGAAGCTAATTTTGTGTATTCTTGTAGTGAAATTTTTACATTTTTTTCTGTGCTTCGTTTCACTAGAGTCGTATGTACATATTTGAGGCCTTACAAACACATTTAAAAGTAAAACACAATATGGAGGCTTTGGTTGGAAGCGGACAAAGCTAAAAATGTTATATTTCTCGTTTTCTTTGTCACTATTCGTTTACTTCACACACAATGACTTTGCCTGTTTTGTAATCTTTGATCGTCTCCTCGAAATCGGCTTCCTTAAGTTTACAAGTTGCACTTACTACTTACATTGAGATGCGCTCACGCAAACACATGCATTACTATGGTAGTGATCTTAAATTCGCTCCATAAAACTTGCAAAGCATGAAACGTCGTTTTGTTTTTTTCTCTGACGTTCGCTTTTCGTGTTATCGTTGGGCTTAAGTTTCGCCGTATAAAGCATAAAAAGAATGCTTCAACCTAGAACCGATCGTTGGCTTTTTTCTTTCCTTTCTCTCGCTCTTCTTTTTCTCTCTTAACATGACTGACTATGTCATGCAAAACATGATTCTATTCTTTCTGATGAGAAGAGTGTGGTTGAGGAAAGCGAAATGGGAAAAACATTCTTTCATCTAGTGGTGAGCGGCATATTGAATTGTTCATGAGCTCTTTAAATACTCATAGATGGAAAGAAAAATGTAGAAACGAACGGAATCATAAAACTATTCATAACTGTAATGTGCTTTTTATCTGCTCTTCATTCACTCCGGCAACCATTTTGTGAGCGAACGAGTGGTGCGAAGCCGCAAAATATTTTTTCTTTTTTTATTTTCTAGTAGATAGTTTAGTTTACTTTTTTTTTATTATCGAGTAGAATAAACTTGAAAGGAGTAAGAAAAAAAAATGTGATGAAGGAATGGGTAAATAAGCAGAAATTACTCTTAAACTATTCGAAACATTGACAAATAGAATATGAAGCGACTTCTTGCACTCTCTCACGTATAAAGTCGATGCTTTATTTTCCATGGTGTTTGTTTTCACTCATTTATTCAGATTATTCCGAGTTGTTTGTTCTGAATTTTTCTTTTCTCTCTGTTGTGCTCGTTTTCGAAAGTTTTTCCTACATTTTATTCTGCTGTTGTGATGGATATTTGAAGTTATATCAGAATCAGATAGGAAACGAATATTTTATTTTGTTTTTGAATGTTTTAACGCACACTTTAGTGAAATAATTTTAAGCTTGCATCAAAGCTTTAAGTTGTTTCATTGAAGAAGAAAGAAAAAAGTTACCGAAATAAAGAAAGAAGACGAACCGATCCGCATACCAACCATTTTTTTCTTCGTTTTACGTCGGCTTAAAAAAGAAAGTTTATGAAAACGAAGTGTTAACTTTAATATTTTTAAGTGCCGGGTAGACACTCAAGTATGTTGAAAGTTTAAGAACATCAGTAAATCATTTTATATGCAACTTACATTTCACATAAATCAGCACTAAAAATGTTTTATTTCTCTCACTGAAGAAAGCTCGAATGAAATTCACACGCATAAGAAACATTTCAAAACAATTTTCTTTTTTCTTTCTTCATTACAGATCAGCTGAAAGTTAAAAATAAATATTTTTGAGATAAAAAAGAATGGCATCAACAAGAGACCGACGTTTAAAAACAGATTCACCAACTCCAACTATCCAATCAAACGAAACAGCAACAACGCCTTCATCTAAGACAAGTTCTGCTATCAAATTAAAGAGAATGTCTCGTAATCGTTCAGGAATATTGAGCTTGAAGTCGGAAAATGAAGATGGCAATGATTCAGTAGGATTGAGTGAAGAAAGTCAGAATAATTCGGCATCAAACGATAATTCAAATGCACCGAAAACTCCAAATACAAGAAACACAAAACGACATCCAAATAAAAATGAAAAGGATGAAGAAGCGAATGGTGATGCGAAGGAAGCAGAACTGGAATCATCAGCTAAAGGCACTGCTAATGTCGATACACCAAGATCTAAAAGACTCACAAAAACACAAATATTAAAGAAAAAAGGAGCTGAATTAGCATTGGCAAGACGTCAGGCTTTGATGAAGCGTAAAACACTTCCTTTGCCAATTAAATCATCATTGCGTAGCATCCCTCGTCGTTTAAGTTCGAAAGTAAATGAAAGGCAAGAAGTTCAAGCATCGGTTAAGAAAACAAAACCTGTACGAAAGACAACAGCAATTGAAAAGAAGGAAAATGATGTGCAAGAAGATCAATCTGAGAAGGAAGGTGATCCAGAAGAAGAAAAGCAAGAAGAAGTTGAGAGTTCTGAGAAGCAAGCTGAAGAAACAAATGACGCATCTGAAGCTGTCGAAGTTGTCGTGAAACAAGAAAAAATTGATAAATCAGCAATTTCAATTGATCTTCAGAATGTCCGACGAAGTACTCGTCAAAGAAAAAGTACAATTAAGGATCGTGACAGTCCTTTGACTGCCCGAAGATCTCAAGTTCGTGAAAAATCTGAATCTAAACGCGACTCAATATCACCAGCGTTATCAAACAGCAGCATCAAAGTTGAGAAAGAAAATTCGAAAGGAATTTCCATCACGGTTGAGCCGTCTGAAGCCACTGAGAAGGATCCATCATTAAGCCCTGAAATGGTCAGTGAAGAAATGGACTCGGAAAGCGTCCAACATTTATATGACAAACCTGATTTCCTTGAGAACAATTTGGGCATTGAAAAGGATCCAAAACTTGGTGAAATTGTAAAAGTTCAAGAGAAAACAAAAGTCATTGATTCGACGACGATCAAAGATGATGAAAAGTTCACTGAAATAGATGCTGAGGAAAAAGATGAAGAGTCAGAGATGGTGGTCAATGGTGGTGAGAAAACTGATGAAAAAGACACAACTGATGATGAAACAAAAGCTGAAATTAAAATGGAAGAAGATGGCAATGAGAATTCATCAGCAGCAGCAGAAGAGGCAACTGAAGACATTAAAGAAGAAGAGCTTGGAGAAGAAAATAAAGAAAACAACATGGAAAGCTCAGCGAAGTCTGTTGACAGTGGATCGCCACGCTCTGAAGATCGTTTGAAAGTATTTAACGAAGAGAACGTTCCGAAACTTGAAAATGTCGACACTGAACTTTTGAAGCAGAAAGAATCTCATTTCTTATCGTTGGGATTGTTAACGCATAAAGCTGCAGATGAAGCTAAAGTTGCTAAACAAAAGCATAAGGAAGAGCTCGCCAAGGCAGCACAAGCAGCACAAACTGAAAGAACAAAAGCAAAGAAAAACAATAACAACAATAACAATGACCAACAGTATACCGGCACATTGAAAACAATCATAAAGCTTAATCGAAATGATAAGGAGAAGCGCAAGACAAGAATGCCGTTGAAGATGACATTTCAGAAAAAGAATCGCGATCGAGATTCAAATGGTTCGTCAAACTCGTCTGATTCATTTTACACGATTCAGGAGGTAAAAGTTTTCTAAAGGAATTAATCCAACGAGAAGTTATTAATTTGAAATTTTCTTTTTTATTTCACAGAAGGATGCCAGCTTGTCATCAGACAGTCACGGTGCGATAAGTCGTAAAAGTCATAACCGCTCTTATAACCATGGTGTGTGTTCTATAAAACAAACTTCTTTCTTAACATTCATTAATAGCAGTTTTCCCGATCATTCACTTTTCATGATTTTGTCAAATATTTTTAAGTTGTTTTTGCATCTCATTTGATTTAAATTTATAATTTGACAATTTCGTAATTTTATATTTTGGTGGAGTGTTTTATGATGCATAAATTAATTTACTTTGGTGGAAGATTTTTCAATTTTAAATTTAGTAGATTTGAAGCATTTTTAACAGTTTTAATTAATATTAATCAAAAAACTAATTTTGACATAGAAAGTTTTCGTTTGGCATTAAAATCGAAAAGGAAAATGAGAAAATTCTTCATGAATTTTATTGTTTTTTATTGAAATTAATGATTTTAATTAAAGTAATTAAAGTAATAGTTGATAAAGAATTTTATGTGAACAAAATCCTTGAAACGACAACAATATTTTCTTAAATCATCATCACGATTCATGAGTCTCATTTGACATTATCACAAACAATCATCTCAAGGATTATTTTCATAACATTTCTTTAAATTGATTTTCTTTCTGTTTGAAGTGAGAAATGTTTGACTTTTGCTTTTTTGGATAAATTTCTGTAGACCAAGTAGCTCCAAGTAATGATCAAAACAAAAATCATGAACCAGTTGTAAACAAAGAACTTGAACAATCCTTAGTAATCCCGGAAAAGGCGTCATCGTTTAAAGTGCATCCAGAACGTTTGTGCAAAGATCAATGCTTCTATTGCGGAGGTAAATTTGGCTTGTATGATACGCCATGTCACATCGCTCAAATAAAATCGGTCGATCGACAAAAGAAGATTCTTGAAAGTGAGTTAAACAATTGAAGTGAATGCTTTAACGAAAGATTTTAGAAATTTCGTGTTTTGCAGGTGAAGAAAAGTTGACCAAAGATAGCTGCTTATGTGACGCATGTTTTCGTCATGTAGATCGTCGTGCCAATTGTCCATCCTACAAGAAACGAGTTTCAGCTCCTTCACAAATGCAAGGTGCATCTAATAGCTCTCAACAACAGAACAACTTTGATCGTACTTTCGGCATTTGTAATGTTATCGATTGTCATGAAAATGCTGTTCACAACATACGAAAGAAATGGTTCTTAAAAATGAAGAAAACTATTTCGAAAATCTTTCATGTCGACATGGATCTCCAGCCAACAAATGCAAATGTTTCAATATGTGAAGAACATTTTTCTGCTCTCAGTCATATCATGGTTTGTGCCATGTGCAAGCGAAAATTGCCAAGAAATCACATTTTTTATATCAATCAGGTAAGTTTTTGATGTCTAATAATTCCTAAAAATAATTTTAATCAACTTTCTTCATCTTAATTAGGACATTACACGTCTTGAACACTTAATAGCTGAACAAGGAATGCGCATAAAGCTTGCCAATTCAACACTCGTTGTATGTAAACTCTGCTCGTATTTCAACAATTTATTGTTCAAACCACCAGAGCCAAAAACACAGAAAGCTGATTTTGTTAAGAATTACACGAAAAAGTGAGTTAAGATAATTAAATTTCCACACATTTCATTAATATTAATAATTATTCTCATAGATTGTTGAAGGAAAATAGTCTTGAAGCGGAATATGCACGACAAGTGATACAAGTTGATGACGATGACGTTCAAGAAGTTCCGAATCGTAATGACAACTTAACACTAACAATTAAGAATGGAAAAATTCAACCAAAACGCCACAACGAGAGATTAAGCAAAGAAGTAACAATAACGTCAATGAAGGGCTCAATCTTGTTAGATAATGACGTGATGGTTGGATATGACGTTCCATTTCCATTGGAATGTGAATCTCCGCCAGCACATGCGATAAGAAATCCAAACTACAAAGGCTCTTCATCACAATCACTGCCAAAGTCAAATAAAGTTCAAGTCGATCAAAATCGAAAACGTCGTGATATCAATGACAACAATGAAATGGCACGAGCATTGAAATCAAATCCAAATATCTCAATGCGTGAACTCTTTCCTGGTGAAGATGAGATGGGATTGAATGTTAATCTACCGCTTAATACGAGCAACTCTCAACGCACTGCCGATGGTTGGTTCAAGACTCAAATGACAGTTCAATACGATGAAGTTACAAAAGCATTGTGGGAGAATCTTCAACGGCCTTATGGCAATCAATCGAGTTTCTTACGTCACTTAGTACTTCTTGAAAAGTATTATCGTAATGGTGATCTTGTGTTGTCGCAATCGGCATCAAATTCAGCAGTAACTTACTCAGAATCAGTGAGAAATCGTTTACGTTCTTACGACAATATCCCATCGTCATCACCTGTTCACAGTAATTTCTCTAACGAGATAACAATCATTCCAGCTTCAAAAGTTAAATCAAAGACACAAGAACAAGTCACAATAACACCTCAACCTGGTGGATCACTTTTGAAGCGAAAAGCTTCGCAATCAGACATGTCGAATAGTTCAAAACAAAAGTTGTTGAAGTCTGATGATGGAACACCAAAGAAAAGTTCACCACCCGAACTTATTTCGTTCACACAAAAGTCTGCAACAAAAAGTAAGGATGGAAAGTCAGTGAGTGCCAAAGAAGCATCAGAATCGCCGCCAACTTTTATATCGTCTTCAGTCTCGATAACGCCCACAACAAATTCATCATCATCGTCATCAACAACGTCGACATCTCAAAGTGGTGGAGCGAATAATGGAAATGTCATTGTTCTGCCTGAAACACTCACACCGCAAGAGAGAAAACAATGCTCAAAATCATGGCGGCCAACATTAATACCAATCACGAGTGGGTCAAGTGCGATGCTAAATGCTGGCGGACCTTTGTATCAAACAGCTGACGGTCGAAAATTGCCAGCTCTCGTTCAAGTTATGTCAGGTGGCAAACCTTATCATATTTCAATAAATGATTACAATCGAATGTGCATCATTCGTCGTGAGAAGATTCAACATCAATTGAATCAAAAGTCAAAGCAACAAAACTCAACATCAAGTGGATCGCCAAATGGTGGTGGAAATACGTTCACAAATAAAAGTTTATCAATCATTCCTATGCCCAAAGATAAAGAAACATTTAAGGCACCTGCACCAACGACAAGTCCTAATAATGCACGCAACAAAATGGTTAACATTCCAAATGAAATTCTTGAACAAAATTCGTTAATTCCATTAAATTCAACGAATGAATCAAATGGAAAACGTCAACAGAATGGAACTGGAAGTTTGCCACCATTAACATCTGTGAAGAATTTAAATAACTCAAACTTAATGGCGATGAATCAAGCGATTCTTGCACCTTCAGCATTATCAGACTTATCAAAGACAGTGAATTCATTGCAACCGGCAGCTCAACTTGCTGCATGGAAGGCACTTTGGAATGATAGTGATATGAATACTGACAACATTGCAACTCTTGCTACGTTTGCGAACTTAGCTAACTTGGGATCATTTGGAAATGGATCGTTCATGGATTCAGATTTACTCTCTAAAATACCGAAATCATTAACCGTCATTCCTCAAGCAAAGAACGATCGACGATCTAGTGATGAGCAAGGAAAACATAACAGTGCCTCCACATAAATATTTTCAGATTATCCGTGAAATTAATGAGATTTGATAGTTGATGAAAGATCCCTGAAAATAAGACAGAAAAATGTATACTGAAGATAGAAATTTAAATATTTAAAAATACTGAGATCAACTTAAACAAAAAGAGATATCAAGTAACGTGAAAAGTGACCGTCACAATCAATTGTGACTTTGATGAATTGTAAAGTTCTATTGATAAATTCTATTTTTATACGATGAGTGGATTTGAATGTTAATTTTACGATGAATTACATTATTTTTACATATAAACAAAGATATCATAAATAGGATTATCATTATTATAATTATAATTATAATTTCGGATAGAAATGCAGAGCAATGGACTGATTCAATGGAAAAGCTAAAAACTGAAAATGCAAGATGGTCAAGAGAAAGAAAGCAATAAAAAAAAGAATAAAAATAAAGATTATTAATTAAGAGAAAACATTTTCTTAAATATTTTAAATCAAAGAATTGAGTTATGTTTGGGAAAAGCTCACTTTGGTGATTTATTTATTCATTTCTTCTCTTTTTTGTCATAATAAAATGCAAACAGGGAGAAGTTGGAAAAGCTTTGAAAAGAGAGATAAAAATAGTTTTTCAATTAGAATTTAAATATTATTCCTAAGTAGATTGTCGACATGATAAGCTACACAATCCTTAAGTAATAATGACAGAAATTGATGTCTTAAGTTATTGTAAATAATTAAAAATTGGATAGAAGTTTCACATGGGCAATATTCAGGGATGTTAATTAACAGAATTAACTCGGTCAATTTTTATCGATATTTTGATTGATTAAATGTTCCCCTGTAGATGAAAATGTATGAAATATTATGCAGTGGCTTCATAACACATTGGAAGTGAAGAAAAGTCGACTGCAGAATTCAAATTTTTGTCCAGGAAAGTCAAATAACTTTTACGAATGGCTCTAATTTATGCACATAAAAATTTCTTGATGATTATTATTTGTTTTGCTATTTTTCTATACGTAAACATGAAAATTAAAATTGAAAAGGAAAAAATATGGAATCGAATGGACTGATTAGCATGTGAGATGACAAAATATTTGAGGAAGCCTTCCAAAACTGAATAATTGTTTTTGGAAACAAATAAAGATAGAATATGAAATGATATAAGAATTCAGTAACTTGATTTATGTTCAAACAAAACGTAAAATAGAAACTTGTCGACAAATTTATCAATCACATAGAAATTACGTGTAGGCCGTGCCTTTAGATCCACAAAAAGTAAAATGAATTTTTTTTGAAAGAAATCAAAAGATTTTCGTCTGATAAAACAAAATGAAAACAAATATTTTCATTCACTCTTTCTTAACTGCAGAATGAATACCCACTTAAATAAAATAATAAATATTTATCTAATTAAACACTCTGAAATATAGCAACACTAATATTTATGCAAACTGAATTTGTTCGATAAGGAAGCCTAAACATGTATTTAGGATCGCATTATAAGAGAAAATATCATAATTTGTATCTATTAAGAGATGTGTATCTAAATACTTATTACCTTATATCATTGACAAAATGATTATGAGTTTGATTCAGACATGAAAATAAATTTTTAACAATCAATTGTTCGTGTGCTTACTTTTTATTGATTTTATGTTACTTTAACACCTGTGCAGTGCATTTTTGAACACAAAAAGAACATTTTTAATTTATTAATATTGTTTTTCAGTGTTATCTCTATTATCATTGGGTGGGCAACATTTTAACAATGAATATGAGAAGGAAATTTGAGATTCATCTTCACACAAATAGATTGCAACAATTAAAGCTTTCAATGTTTAATTAATTATTTTAATTTAACGAGAATTGAGTTCAAATGATGAACTTTGAAATACTCCTACTACATAAGTGCATATTCAGCACACCCTCTCAAACAATTAACAATAATCTACATACATTTAGAACCTTGTGATTGTTTGAAAGCTTTTGATATTGCATCTTATCTTTAATATTAATATTTTTAATTAGATACTTTAAGAATATTTTTTATATCTTCACAAACATCTAATGATTGCTCATATGTAACTCGAGCTTCATTGTAAATCGCTTATTTGCAATCAGGTGATTATAAAGCAATATATTTTAAGCATTAATGTTATAAAATGTTTAATTGAACTTTCTCTGTGGCATGAAATGCGGGCAACACAATTCACTTATTCTTTTGTGCTTTGATTTTTTTGAGAATAACTTCAATCAGGAAAACAGCTAAGCTTATAAACATTAAAAAGCCAAGGATTTCAAAAGCCCCTGACAATTGATCAAAATTAATCGGACGATGTCCATTAGTAGCTTTATGCTTCAAAGCATCCGTGTCTGTATATTGCTTCACCCATTTGTTGAAGAATCCGCCATTAATTATGCCTTTCAGTATCAGATTTATTTGATCCGAGAAACATGATTCCTTGTGCATATAAATTGCGATATTTTGTGTCATAATTGGATCTTTTGTGCTGTAAAAATATTTTCTCGGTGAAGCTTCAATATTTCTAAAAGCTAAATGAGCTTCAGAAGACAATAAAGCTCCCTTGAAACTAGGATCTGTTGATTCATTATACAAATCTCTTATACCATTTGGATCAGTGGTTTTTGTGCGTCCTTTAAGGATGTCAAGTTCTAATACATTATGTGCCGTTGGGTACATGTAAAACAGAAAATCCTTTTTAACAAGCTCTTCTGTTGAAGAAATCAAAGGTTTTCTCAATGTCATTCGCATAAATTGGAATAATCCGCCTCTATAAACATTTTGAATGATGAAGCAATAAAACGTGAACAGAATAAAAAGCGTGCGTGCAAAATTTCTCACTGGCACTTTGTGCAACGATCCTCCTAAAGTTATGTTGACGACATTTAATGTCACATTTTTAATATTTCTTCCAAACACGAAATTTTTAATGTTTTGATGGCAACATTCCAAAACCTTGATGACTATAAAAGCTACGATAAGAACTATTAGAAAACAGATCCATACCGTTGATTCAAAAGGCATTAAAAGCTTTTCTATCGACGAATATTCTTCTCCAGGAGGAATTGCCCAAATCAAATTTGAAGTGTAGTAAGTATCACTCGATTTCATGTTTTTGTCTCGACCTTCACTTGTAATGAAGTACCCCACTGAAAGATTTGCTTTCAAATTTTTTACCATTTCAATTGGACCTTTGAATTTAAAAAGTTATTGTTAAAAATATCATAAGAAACACAAATTTAAAATACTTTCCAGTTGTTACGTCTCCGTTTCCGTAAATTTCTCCCCACAATTCTTCGGAATAAATCCATTTGATATTGAAGTTCATTTTTAATGCAAGAACACTCATTAAAATTACTTCAATTCCATTAGGAGAATCGTTTTCCTCCTTGTCAATTTTAATGAAAGGCGGAATATCAAATGTTACAACACTCAAAGTGCAGTTGAACAAATCCTTCATTTTGTTGGGAAACAACTCATTTTTCTCCATCCATTTACCGTCACGATAATTATCTAATTGAACTGGTAATGTTGATCCGCAATCTAATGACGTAAAGGGATAATAAGTGTAAATGAAATCGTCGTCATTAGATGTAAGGGGAAGAAGATTGACATTCACAATATGCAGAGACCATAAAGTTGCAAACATGTCCGACATATATTCGCAAAGTCTGCTAGGCATGATGATTAAGTAATATCCTTGAAAATTGAAATAGTTTGGATTGATTGTGCTTAGAAAACTGTTGAATGATTCTATTGATTCACACAAAACCACATTATGAGACTGTTTAGTCATGTTGGGATGAATCTTTGTATAATGTTCCAATGTAAGGGTTGCACTTTGCTCAAGTTCCATCATGATCGTGTCAATTCCTTCAAATGTTGAAATATTTGCATCAGAAAATGTGTAAACGACGTTTATAGTTTCCGAAATATTTATAAAGTGATCAAGAATGATTTGAGTAATAGTATGAGATTTTCTTCCATTGTCCAGTGGCAATTCAAAGTCGGAAAGTTTACCACATGCAGAATGCAACAGAAAAATAATTAAAGTTTTCTTCCACATTTTAATATTTGACTTCTTCAACAGGATTTCAAATTTAAACTGAAACTATGGAAAAAATAATTTGCATTTTGTTATTAGTTAAGCAGACGTGATAAATTAGATATCTAATTTTATGTTTGACATTTAATGATCGAAAACCATTTAACAAAAAAGCACGAAAGTTATTTAAACATGCAATTTTTTATGCATCAGACACAAAATATCTATTTACCCAGAAATTATTTCTATCAAAGCCACGAGTCCCAAGCACATTTTGTTCAAGAACATTTTTGAAATTCCTAATTTTTCTTCATTTTCCTTAATATTATTTCAATCAAGAAAACAGCTGAACTTATGAACAACAAAGCGCCAAGCAACTGAAAAGCCCCTAAAAGTTGATCAACATTTATCGGACGATGTCCTTCGGGAGAAGAAGCTTTGTGCATCAAAGCATCCGTGTCTGTATATTGCTTCACCCATTTGTTGAACAATCCGCCATTAATTATGCCTTTCAGTATCAGATTTATTTGATCCGAGAAACATGATTCCTTGTGCATATAAATTGCGATATTTTGTGTCATAATTGGATCTTTCGTGCTGTAGAAGTATTTATTATCAGGAGAAGCTTCAATATTTTTATTTGCCAAATGAGCTTCAGAAGTCAACATAGCTCCCTTGAAACTAGGATCTGTTGATTTATCAAGTAATCGATCTAAACCCTTAGGATCAGTGATTCTGGTCCGTCCTTTAAGGATGTCAAGTTTTAATACATTATATGCCGTTGGATACATGTAGAACAGAAAATCCTTATTAACAAGCTCTTCTGTTGAAGAAATCAAAGGTTTTCTCAATGTCATTCGCATAAATTGGAATAATCCGCCTCTATAAACATTTTGAATGATGAAGCAATAAAACGTGAACAGAATGAAAAGCGTGCGTGCAAAATTTCTCACTGGCACTTTGTGCAACGATCCTCCTAAAGTTATATTGACGACATTTAATGTCACATTTTTAATATTTCTTCCAAACACGAAATTTTTAATGTTTTGATGGCAACATTCCAAAACCTTGATAACTATAAAAGCTACGATAAGAACTATTAGAAAACAGATCCATACCGTTGATTCAAAAGGCATTAAAAGCTTTTCTATCGACGAATATTCTTCTCCAGGAGGAATTGCCCAAATCAAATTTGAAGTGTAGTAAGTATCACTCGATTTCATGTGTTCATCTCGACCTTCACTTGTAATAAAGTACCCCACCGTAAGATTTGCTTTCAAGTCTTTTATCATTTTAATTGGACCTTTAAATTTGAATTATCGTTGTGAATAATAATTCAAGAAATAAAAATTTAATATACTTTCCAGTTGGTTCTTCATGTTCAGGTGCTTTTCCCCACAATTCTTCGGAATAAATCCATTTGATATTGAAGTTCATTTTTAATGCAAGAACATTCATTAACATTACTTCAATTCCAGAAGGAGAATCTTCTTTCTCCTTGTCAATTTTAATGAAAGGCGGAATATCAAATGTTACAACACTCAAAGTGCAGTTGAACAAATCCTTCATTTTGTTGGGAAACAACTCATTTTTCTCCATCCATTTACCGTCACGATAATAATCTAATTGAACTGGTAATGTTGATCCGCAATCTAATGACGTAAAGGGATAATAAGTGTAAATGAAATCGTCGTCATCACGCGTAAGCGGAAGAAGATTGACATTCACAATATGCAGAGACCATAAAGTTGCAAACATGTCCGACATATATTCGTAAAGTCTGCCAGGAATGACGATCAAATAATATCCTTGGAAATTGAAATATTTTGGATTGATTGTGCTTAGAAAACTGTTGAATGATTCTATTGATTCACACAAAACCACATTATGAGACTGTTTAGTCATGTTGGGATGGATCTTTGTATAATGTTCCAATGTAAGGGTTGCACTTTGCTCAAGTTCCATCATGATCGTGTCAATTCCTTCAAATGTTGAAATATTTGCATCAGAAAATGTGTAAACGACGTTTATAGTTTCCGAAATATTTATAAAGTGATCAAGAATGATTTGAGTAATAGTATGAGATTTTCTTCCATTGTCTAGTGGCAATTCAAAGTCGGAAAGTTTACCACATGCAGAATGCAACAGTAAAAGAATAAAAATTTTCTTCAACATTATAATATTTGACTTCACCAATAGTATTTAAAAATTAAACTGAAGTGGTGAGAAATATTTCGATGCTATTTTTATGCTTTCACAATTTTTTAATTAATCAAGAAAATAAATGACACATTAAAATTTAATGTTGATCATTTTATCATAAACAATTTTTTATTGCAATTAGAAAGCACAAACGTGACATGCTAATGTTTAATGTATGCTAGATATGCTCCTGGCAAAAACACTTCCAGAGTCCTGCAGGGGTGAAAAGTTTCTGCATTCTCAGATTATTTTTCGGCATATACCGACATAACTTCGCATACATGCGGAATGTCCCATATGCATGGTGAAAAATATCTACTTCAAAATGAAAATTTCAAAATCCATTAAAATAAATTAGTTTCAGAAGAGTTTCATAAATAATAATTACACCTATAAATTACAATTTGGTTTGTAATCGCTTCGAAATTTTTGAAATGCTCATTTCAGCAATAAAAATTATGAAACTCATCAAAAATCCCACAAAAAGAATCTCATAAGTTGCAAGCAATTTTTCGTTTGTTAGTTGTGTGGGTAAAGTTGAGACCTTTTCTGTTAAACATTTCTTGTCGATAAACTGCGATGCCCATACGTCTATTAAACCATTTGAAGCAAACTTCAAGAGATGTTGGTTAATTTCCTCTGTAAAGCAACTTTGGCGATGAAGATAAATGCAAAGATTAAAAACGTAGAATATCTGTTTGGAATGATGATAATATTTTTCAGGAAAAGATTTCATATTTAAGTAAGATAGATGCTCTTCTGAACTAAGCAAAGCTCCCTTAAATTCTGGCTGCAGCAGATGGACATGAATTTCACTCAGCATTGTCCGTGGAATGAAAATTGACCTTAAAATCAGAAAATGCAATTAAAGCTTAATCTTAATAATAGTTTCTACCTATTCAGTATCTTTGGTATTTCATGAACAAGATCGTGTGATGAATCGACAACATAAAATGAAAAGTTTTGTTTAATCATTGCTTTCACGCCACTAACATCTTTGTCTCGTGCGTCAGATCGGATAAATTTGAAAAGCGCTCCTATAATTGTTCACACAAAGTTAATTATTAATATACATGCAAACAAATAATATCACTACCCGTATAAGTGCTTTTGATTATTAAACAGTAAACCATGAAACATCCAAGTAAAGTTCTTGCAAAATTTCGTTTAGGTAGTTTATAAAGCGGCCCACCAAAAAATACGGTAATCATGTTCAAACTAGGACTTGTAATTCCTTTTCCGAAAACGAAGTCTTGAACTCTTTTTGGATAACATTTCACGACAATTATTGATATAAAGCTTATTAATAGCACCAACATCACACACAACCATAAACTTCTTTGAAACGGTTTTATAAGTTTCTCAAAGGATTGGAATAGCCTTCCAGGTGGGACGATCCAAATGAGTTTGCTGGTATAATAGACGTGACTTGATGACATATGCTTATTTTCACTTGATGTGCATGTTGTATAGCCAATCGTTAAATTGACATCATTGTTTATTATCAGTTTGGCTGCACCTTCAATTTGATAGAATCAGAAGTTATAAATGTTTTCTAACAATCACTTTGAATTTTATTTTTCTAACCATAAGCTGTTCCATTTTTAAAAACACCTCCTTGCGTATCAACTTGCACAATATTAATGTTGAAATTCATTTGATTAGAAAGTTCCTTCAAAAGTTTAGCATCAATTCCATCTATTGAAAGCTTTCCATCAGTGTCGTCTTTTAAAATCATAAAAGGTGGAGATGAAGCTACTGCGACTGTCAACGTACAATTGTGTAAATTGTACAATTTTTTAGGAAAGAAGTCAGAATAATTTTGCAACCAATTTCCGTCGCGATAATGATTCAATTTCATGGGATGAACTTTACCACAGAAAAATTGTGAGAAAGGAAAATATGTAAATACAATCGCTTCATTCTCAGATTCGTCAGGCATCCATATGACATTCACATTCGTTATAAATTCCTTCCAAAGATAATTAAAAATTTTCTTCGCCACTTGATATTGTTCGTCTGCGTAGTTAGTGATAACGATTAGATAAAATCCTTGATAATCAAATTTGTCAGGTGTTATGAAACGAAATATATTTTCAAATGAATTATAAGAATCAATAAAGAAAATATTGTTGACACGTTTAACAAGTTTGCAATTCGATATTTCTGAGTTTTTCAACTTCCAACTATTTTCAATTTGCACAACAACTTTTTCACGAGTTTGATATAATATTTCGTTTATTATGTCGATATTATTTATGGAACTTGTTTCGTTTTGTTTTAAAGATGCATAGAAAAAATTTAAAGTGTTTGTTCGATCCATGTAAAATTTTTCTATGATATCAACTGTTGCTTGAATAATTCCATTATTATATTTAGGAATATGAAAATGGCTTTGCCCATTTGATAATCTCATTACACAGAAACTTAAGAAACAGCAAAGATATTTCATGCTTCCTTCCGTTCAGCTAACATCAAACGTTCTTGGAACACAACTAATGACGAAATGATAAACGGAAATAGTCGATTGAAACTGAAATTATTTAGACTGCTATAAATCATGCGATCCGAAGTAAGTCCATGCTTTATGATTTTAAAACCTTCCTAGGTAGATATTTCAGTCGAAATTACTCTTATTGGTGACATAGTTAATATTTGTAATCTTGTTAATCCAGACATTGAATATGAACTGACACACGATTTATGGGAATGCAATGAAAAAGTCACTCGCAACCTAAATAATGCTAACAATTGTTCATTATTTAGTCAAACTACTACAAGGAAGTTTTCAAATAAAGTCGATAAACTCTTTTTTGGTCCTTATTAATGATATCAACACCCATAAATAAATCATTTTAAAACAACAAACAACGTGCATGACAAGTGCAATCTTTTATAAACGTGCAAGTGATGTTTATTTATAATGTCACTAATTAACATGAATTTAATTTATAGTTTATAAATAGGAAATTTCTGCCTGTATGTCTGGAAAACTATCATTTAATTATTTGTCAAGTAATGCTTTTTAATTATCAACAAACACTTCTATGGGGATATCATATCATATTAAAACATTACATCTTAATTACAATAGTGTATACATTGCAATGTATTGATACAAGCACATATTAAAAATTTTAATGTCGTATTTTTATCAACACGCTTGAAGTTATTTGAGTTCATACGTGTTGAAGTTATTAAATTCGAAAGAATAGGAATTTAAAATTATTTGAAAGCTTTTTATATTAACGATGTAACGGAAGAATTAAGGAATTGCGTATCTAGATATGTTTAATACAAAACCTAAATATAATTCTTACTTTTTAATAATACATGCAATGACAATATGAACATCCAGATGCAGTTAAAACAAGTTTTGTTTTGAAAAATTAAAGGGAAATTTAACGTATAATTCAAAAATGAAAAGCTTTGGTGCAGCGGCAAGACCGGCTCAATCTACGAGAGTGTTTTTGAACCGTTTTTGTGTTGCACTATTGAAATCATTTATGAACATAGCAAAAATATCTCCCGAATTATTGTTTTATATTTATTTATAAACTGCTTAAGTGTTCTAGCTGATAAATAACTACATAAAGGTAATTTTCAACGCAATACTTCTTTGTTTTTAATTGTAAAGGTAAAGAAATATTAAATCGCGATTTGTATCGGAGTAAAAAATTAAGAAGAAGTTGAAATTGATTAAAGGAGGAAAAAAATTGAAAAATTGCTTAATATAAGAATTGAAGCTGCCATTGGATATTAAAAATAATTATTTCTACTATCTGAATGTTCTTAAAAGTTTTTTGCAGTGTAATTAATTGTTAAAATCATATTTAAGCATCGCAAAGAATTCAGATCCGATTTATTATTTTTGCTTTAAGAACTTTGCACCTCCATTGTTTTAATTGAAAATTTAATTTCATTACCTGGCTTTAAATTGTGAAGTGATTATCATCATATTAACTACATTACATTAGTGCTTTATATTTCATTCTTCAAGTGTAATTTTCTAACCTAAAAACTGAAAATAAATTCTTCATTAAAACTTTTCTTATAAAGTTTTTAATGCATTTAGAAAATTCTAAGGAATCTTGCATGTTGGATTATATCGTATTTTTTATTATGATGATAAGAATAAATTACATAACTCTCTGGATTAAATATTTATGTATCATAACATTTTCTTTTCATCAAAATTAAAAAGAAATAGTTTAATCAATACGTAAACAATCAATATTTATTCTATTTTTAGTGTTGCAATTTGGAACAGAAAATGAATACGCTTGGAAAGGTTGCAAATGCTGAAATAAGGAGACCTAACGATCGAGTAATCATTCTTGATGCTGGTGCTCAATATGGCAAAGTAATTAAATTTGAGAATCGGGTGAAAATAGAAGGAAACTAAAATTAATTTTTAATTTTCAAGGTAATTGACAGAAAAATCCGTGAACTTCAAGTTGAATCGGAAATTTTGCCATTAGCCACAACAGCACAATACATAAAAGATCAGGGATTCAAAGCTATTGTTATCTCAGGTGGACCGAACTCTGTGTATGATATCGATGCACCGAAGTATGATCCTGACATCTTTAAAATCGGTCTTCCGATCCTCGGTATCTGTTATGGTCTTCAAATGATCAACAAAGAATTCGGTGGTTCAGTACATAAGAAAAACCTACGTGAAGATGGTCAAATTAATATTCAAGTTGATCCATCATGTCCTTTGTTTTCGTAAGTTTTCTTGTCATATTTTTCTGTTTTTGTTTAAAGAATCATAAAGGAGGACAAAGAAGAGGGTCATGACTGAAGTTCATGATGATTCCCGATACAATTCTCCAATATTAAAAGTGTAACGAACAACTATTGTGAAAATTCATTGAAGATTCTAAAACAAAAGCTACACGTTACACGATACTAATTTTAAATTATCCATTAACAGAAGCCTTCAAAGTACACAATCAGTTCTTCTCACACATGGTGATTCCATCGAACGAATTTGTGACAAATTCAAGGTTTGTGCGACGAGCTCTTCTAACATTATCGCTGGAATTTACAACGAACAAGGGCGTATTTATGGTGTTCAGTTCCATCCTGAAGTTGATCTCACTCTTCAAGGTAAAAAAATTCTCGCAAATTTCCTTTTCGATATTGCAAAACTCACAGCAAACTTCACAATGGGTGGAAGGAAAGAAGAATGTATTCGATATATTCGCGAGAAAGTGGGAAATAATAAAGTTTTGGTAAGAGAAAGAAGACAAATAATTATCAAAATTTATTTATTTCTTTATTTTTGTACAAACAGCTTCTGGTCAGCGGAGGTGTTGACTCAACAGTGTGTGCTGCTCTCCTACGTGTTGCTTTACAACCAAGTCAAGTGATGGCTGTTCACATTGATAATGGATTCATGAGAAAGAATGAATCTGATAATGTTGAGCGATCGTTACGTGAAATAGGAGTGAATTTGGTAGTTAAACGAGCATTTCATCAATTCATTAAAGGAACAACGACAGTAAAAATGCCAGGATCACTTTATACAACTGAGACGCCATTGCTTAGCATGACAGTAAATCCTGAAGATAAACGAAAAATAATTGGCGATGTGTTCATTAAAGTGTCGAATGAAGTTCTTCGCGAAATGAATTTGAATCCTGACGACGTTTTCTTAGCTCAAGGAACACTTAGACCAGATTTAATTGAATCAGCTTCAGCTATGGTAAGCTCAAAAGCCGACACGATCAAGACACATCATAATGATACAGAATTAGTAAGAAAGCTTAGAGACGAGAATCGAGTAATAGAACCATTACGTGATTTCCACAAAGACGAAGTACGACAACTTGGATATGATCTTGGATTACCAACGCATCTTATTGAACGACATCCGTTTCCGGGGCCTGGTCTTGCAATTCGTATTGTCTGTGCAGATGATGCTTATATTGAGAAGGATTTTAGTGAGACTCAAGTTGTCGTCAAGCTTATTGTTGATTACGCTGAGAAAGTGAAGAAGAATCACGCACTCCTTAATCGAGTATCAGGTGTAACAACAGCCGACGAGCAGCTTGAATTATGTCGAATTTCAAGTAACATCGTACTCTCAGCAACAGTTTTACCAATAAGAAGTGTCGGTGTACAAGGCGACCAACGAAGTTACAATTATGTTGTTGGTCTTTCTAGTGAAACGCAACCAAACTGGCAAGATATGATATTTCTTGCACAACTTATTCCTCGTATATTACACAATGTTAATCGAGTTTGCTTTATTTTTGGATCGCCTGTTATTTATCAAATCACTGATGTGACGCACACATTTTTAAGTAAATACACGTTGGGACAAGTTCGACAAGCAAATCACATTGTGAACACGGTAAGTGAATGATTTTTAACTGTTATCAAACATTCGATTTAATTCTTTTGTTTATTCTTAGATTCTTGACGAGTATAATTTAACAAAAAGCATTTCACAAATGCCTGTCGTTCTAATACCGTTGCACTTTGATCGTGATCCTGTTGATCGTAAACCATCAGCACAAAGATCGATTGTTCTTCGTCCCTTCCTTACGAATGACTTCATGACCGGCATGCCTGTTATTCCTGGAAGTGATAAGCTCCCGATACATGTAAGAAAATAAGGAAATTTAAATTGAATCTTAATTAATTTTATGATTTTCATCTTCTTAAAGGTAATCGAGAGAATGGTAACAGAGATTCTTAACAGCGTTCCAGGAATTTCTAGAGTTCTTTATGATCTTACCAGTAAGCCACCAGGTACCACAGAATGGGAGTGAAGTTGAGAGAGATTGATAGAAAATTATAACAGCGATCAAGTTGGAATTGAAATGCAAATGTCGACAGATTCTTTGAATGTTAAAGAATCGAATATGTTAAACTGAAGTGCTAAGGTTTCAGGATTGCATAACTAGGATCATAACGATTATAAAATTAAAACAAAAAGATGTTAATATAATTTAAATCCCTGATTGTCTTTACTGCAAATGATTTTTTTGTCATTAAAAAGGAAATAAAATTTTATCAATTAAAAATCTATTCTGACGTTTTGTTTATGAATTGAATGACTTGGGAGTGGACGAAGTTGGTAAATATTCCAATAAGAAAGAAAAAAAATGTTTCTTAACCGTAATCTGATGTAAAAAATATGTTGACATGTCTTATGTCTTACACATTTTATTAAATATTCATCATTTTTCAGAGAAATGTTCTTTTTACTTTTATTTCAATTTATTCTTGAATTAGAAAAGCTTTCATTTTGATTCAAATATTTATGCTCAAAGGAAATGTCAAGCGAAGAAGAAAATCAGGAATTTCCATTCTTGGGTGTTGCTTATCAGTTTATTGAATCTGAAAATATTGAGAGTATTTATGATGCATTGGGTAAGTAGATCAATTTGATTAAATAATTCTTCATTATACTACAGTCAACGTGTTTAAGGATTTTCTGGACGTTTCGACCATAGTTACATGAATTATGATGAATGCACGGTCGTACTGAGTCGAGGAAGTGACGCTTGCTGGTCTGCCGAGCAATATTACACTTTTGGAAGTATCTGGTTACTCAAAAGAAGAAAAAAATTCAGACCCGGAGAAGTGTTTCGAGAATTTGTTCCAAAAAATGGAAAATCTGCTGGTTTCATTGAATTCGATGGAAATCGAATTCTACATCTTGTACAAGGAGAAAAAACCATTGAAACGATGCGAGTTTTTGATGACAATGAAATGATCACGACAATTAAAGTAGATAATATGGTGGCGAAAAAATATTACAAAAGGGCAGAAGTAACAACGAAAAGAAATATTTTTAAAGCATGTAAGTGCGTAATTTTGCTTTGCTCCTTCGGATTGATATGTTCTGTTTTTCTAGTTATCTTGCTTCATAGATTTATTATAACTTAAATTAATGATTGTGTTATTGACTTGTGTTCAAACATTATTGTGAGAATCAAAATAATAAAAAAAGAATCAATTAAAAATAAGCTTTTGAATAGAACAAAAATCGTGAAAGCTTTTCTTTGAAATTTTAACGGTTGCGAAGTTTTTGAATTGGTCAAGCTGTGCGAAAGGGAACATTTTTCAAAGTTTTGTACCCACGATTTGCGTAAACAAAGACCTGAGTTTTTGTTTATGATGTCTCGAGATAATTGCCTCGTACCCCGACGGTTCGCGCGGATTTGACCTTCCATACAAAACGTACAGTTTTTGTTTATGATGTCTCGGGATAATTGCCTCATACCCCGACGGTTCGCGCGGATTTGACCTTCCATACAAAACGTACATGAAAAATGTGTCCGTGTAAACATTTTGTCCGTGTAAACATTTCGATGACAGCGCCACCACTGAAACTATTTGTCACCGGGGCTACTGAAATCAGGTGGAGAGTCTTTAAATAAGCGTCTACGCTAGAATTTAAAATTATTTTCCAAAAGGTATCGAAAAAAGATATTTCTTGATGTCATTTTATGTAAACATATTAAGGAGTAGCTTCTGTACAAGACTTCTTTGTCAGAATACGCGATCATTCAACACCTTTCATCAAAGAAGTACAAATGTGATAACAAAAAGAAATTCTTTAAATTTAGTTTTAAAACGATTGAATTCAACCAATTCACTACCGAAAAAACCTCCTGCTGAAGAGATAAATGTTCAAAAAGTCAAGCTAAAAGCATCCGATCTTAGAAGACTTTTATCATTAGCTAAATCAGAGAAATGGAAAATCATCGGTATGCAGTTTAATTATTTAAATTTCATTGCAAGAAAACTTCTCAAATTTATTTTTTTCACTTTAGCTGCGATCGGTTGTTTAGTGATTTCTTCATCTATAACCATGGCAGTTCCATTTGGTTTAGGAAAGATTCTTGATATCATATACTCAAGTGAATCCGCAAATGACAGTGGCATTGCTAAAAATAAATTAAATCAGTAAATTTATATTTAACTCTCTTGTTTACTTTTCATTTATTTACCTTCTTTATACTTTCAGATTTTGCCTATTTTTAAGCGTTATTTTTATCATCGGTGGTGTAACCAATTTTGGACGTGTTTACTTATTTAATAATGCATGTAAGTGGATCATAAATTCTCAACACAAAGATTTCTGGTTAAATGTTTTGTTTCGTCAGCTTTAAGAATAACAACGAGACTGCGACAAAATCTTTATGACCGAATGATGAAACAAGATTGCACCTGGTTTGACACAAAAGGAACTGGAGAACTTGTTAATCGATTGTCAACTGATACGTACATGGTTGGTAACTCATTAAGTCAGAATTTATCTGATGGTCTTCGATCAACAGCGATGGTCATTGCTGGAACAGGAATGATGATTTATACATCTCCAAATCTTGCACTTGTGGGGATGTGTGTTGTTCCTTGTGTCGCTGGTGGAGCAGTGATTTATGGTCGATTCCTTCGCAATATTACTCGAGAGTATATGGACAAATTGGCAGAAGTTATAAAAATAAGCGAAGAACGAATTGGTAATATTAGAACTGTAAAGATTTTCAGTCGGGAAAACTTTGAAAATAAACTTTTTACAAATGAATTAATGAACATGCTCGCAATTGGATATCGTGAAACAAAAGCACGAGCGATATTTTATGGAATGACAGGATTATCGGGAAATGCAATCATAATGTCGGTTCTTTATTATGGTGGAACACTTGTGAACGAAGGGCAAATGACAATTGGAGCATTGACAAGCTTTATATTATATGCTGGCTACACTGCCATCTCTTTAGGAGGCTTAAGTAATTTCTATACGGAACTGAATAAAGGCGTCGGTTCAGCTACGAGAATTTGGGAGATTCTCGATCGAACTCCAATTATTCCAACTCATGGTGGGCTTATTCCAGTTGAAAAACCACGAGGTGAAATTATATTTGATAACATTTCATTTAATTATCCGACACGAGCTGATGCTGATGTACTGAGAAATATGAATATGAAAATTGAGGCTGGAACAATAACTGCCGTTGTAGGACGATCAGGGTCAGGAAAATCTTCAATTGCTTCACTTTTAATTCGACTTTACGATCCACAAAGCGGAAAAATTTATCTCGATGGAAGAAATCTTAAAGAACTTGATCCATCATGGTTGAGACGGAACATTGGAACTGTTAATCAAGAACCTGTTTTATTTAGTGGAACTATAAGGTTTTTAGATTTTTTGAACATTAATTCACAGTTCTTTTAATTATTAATTATTTAGGGAAAATATTCTTTATGGACTTGAAGAAAATCAAACAATATCAGAGGAAGATTTTCAACAAGTCATTGAAGAAGCTCACGTCTCTGATTTTGTGCAAATACTTCCGGATGGGTTAAATACTGTTGTTGGACAACGTGGCATGATGTTGTCCGGTGGTCAAAAACAACGTGTGGCAATTGCACGAGCATTAATTAAGGTGAGTCATGCATTGCTTCATTTATCTTTTCATGATAAATTAAACTCAAATAACGTTCATCAGAATCCGTCAATCTTAATCCTCGATGAAGCAACATCAGCACTTGACACGGTTTCCGAACAATTAATTCAAAAAGCACTCGAAAATTTAACAAAAGGGAGAACTGTTCTAACAATAGCACATCGTTTAAGTACTATTAGGAATGCAACAAGTATTGCCGTACTTCAAGATGGTAAAATAATTGAACAAGGAAACTACAATCACCTTATGACGACTACAAATGGAGTTTTTAGAGAACTCGTTGAACGACAGACATTCGCATCAAGTAAAAGTTGATTTGCTGCAATAAGCTTTAGCATAAAACATAATAAATGTAATGACAGGGGTTTGAATAAATATTCAGAAATTAATGTTAAAAATTGTTCACATTCATAGTAAAACTAATTTTGTTTTATTTATTAAAATAGTTTTCATCTACAAAAAATTCGGTTAAAACTTTTTAAACAAAATTCATTGCTGTTAATTTAAATTAAAATTAATAATAATAATCGTCAGAAGAACATTTCTAGTTATAAGTTTAAATGTTTATGTCAATTAATGCAAAATCTTCCGATCATAAATTAAAGTTGCATTGAGTTTTTATTTAAAAATTATATCGAGAATTCTGATTTTTCATGAACTTCAATTTGCATTTTAAATATCGAATTTCTTTGATTGTTATCAGAACATTTTCTTTAATTAAATTTCCATAACTTCAGATCGAAAATTCATTTCTCTGAACTTCTGTATCAAAATCAAAATTAATATTTAATGATATTCCCTCAATCAAGTAAAAGTTTTCACTATTTAGAAAATGTGCATTCAAATACTGATTTCTAATCACAATTCCCTCAAATCTTGTGAATTAGAAAATTACTTCCAATCTTAATCAAACTCTTCTTATTTCGGATAGCAGAAAACTTAATTAAAATTCTTACAGTTTGTAAATATTGTACTGTTAGTAATAAAAACAAATTAAACTTAAACACTTTTACGACGTACAATTCTGACCACAATATCAATCATTAAAAATTGTCTTATCTTTATGTTTTATGACTTGTTAAATTATAAATGTTCTTCACCAGGTATCTAATAAGTTTTGATCTTGATTGTTTTCTCATTATCACTTAAGTTTGTATAAAATTAAAAGTTAAAAATATTTTCGAAGAAAATTTCATCATTTGTGGTTGAAATTATGTTGATGACTTGTAACGATCTTTCAGTTCTCTTCTCAAAATTTTTCCAGTTGCATTTTTCGGAATGACATCAACGAACTCAACTCCACCTTCTAAACGTTTGTACTCAGCAACTTTCTTAGACACAAATTTCTTAACATCTTTCTCGGTAAGTTTTTTATTCTTTGCGACGACATATGCTCGTGGAAGTTCACCAGCAGTGGGGTGTGGAATTCCAATAACAGCAGCATCAGCTATGTCAGGATGATTTCTCAGAATTTCTTCCAATTCAGCTGGTGGGACTTGGAAACCTTTGACTTTGATCAACTCCTTTAAACGGTCAGTGATGTAAAACTCGAAGTTCTCATCATAATGTCCAATATCTCCAGTTCTCAGCCAACCATCAGCCGTGATTGTCTCATTTGTGGCTTTTTCATTGTTGTGATATCCTTTCATCACTTGAGGCCCACGCACTAACAATTCTCCACTAACATTCGGTCCAACACCTCGAAACTCTGTGTCACCAACAAGAACAATTTTTGCTTCACCATCAGGTGTTGGAAATCCGACACTTGCATGGTTATTCGATCCCAGAACTGACATCAAAGCGACGGGTGCAGCTTCTGTCAAACCATATCCTTGGAAAAATTTCGCATTTGGCGCTTTGAGATTGAATCTGTCGGCGTCAAGTGAACCGATTGGCGCTGCACCAGACATGACGTATTTTATTGACTTTGTGTGTTTTTCTTGCAATTTATCGCAATTGCTCATAAAGATAACTGTGAAGTTTAAAAACATTCAATTAATTACATTCATGTGATGAAAACAAGTCGTAAATCTTACTGATTGGTGGAACAAGATAAAGCACGGAACTATCGTGCTTTTCCAAAACATTCAAAAACGTATCGGGTGTAAATCTTGGCAGAGTTACAAGTTTACATCCATGGGCAAGCTTCGACAAAAGTGTGCAAGTTAATCCGTAAATATGGAAAAACGGTAAAACGCAAGGTAGAACATCTTGATGTGTGCCAATTGCTGGATAAGTAAGGCAACCTTTCCCAGTGTCTGAATTTATTTGCATACTGTTTGAAACGATGTTCTTATGTGAAAGCTTAACGCCTTTCGAAAGTCCAGTTGTGCCACTAATTAAAATTTAAATTATTTATTTTATTATTCAATTATTATTGATGGGGACGTTTGGAATGTTTTGTCACTTCAATTTGTATTTACCTTGAATATGGCAACATTGCAACGTCATCAGCATCAATATCAAATGTTTTCAAACTTCCCAGGTCGATTCCTAAGTAAAAAGAAAAAAACAAATCCAAATAAAGTTTCGTAATTTTGCCGAGTTTAATGACCTCTGAATTATTAATTTACCTTCCGTACTGATAAGGTCGTTGAAGTTTACGCCATCAACGGGTAACGCTTCACTTTCTGTTTCTTTGCAGTAAACAACTCTGATTGGTTTTTTAGTCATTGCAACAGCCTGACGTAGAACATTCGACATGCTTGCAAGTCCAAAGATGACCTTTGCACCGCTATCATTCAATTGTCTTGAAATTTCATCTGGAAAATATTTGAAGTTCATATATAAGTGAAGTCATCAAATAGATAAATGAAGACGATCCCATTTATCAGATAAAAACGTAAACTTTTACAAAACATTGATTAGATAATCAAAATTGTTGATCACATTCGTATATGTCATTGAGCTACACTTCAATTAGATCGTTAATTGTACTTCTTTATCTTATCAGTTCAACAATAGACAGAAAAGTCTGTCGTAAAATTATAAGGAAAACGCCACGCCGCTTTAGAATCACTTAAGAAATACTTACGCTATCAGTGATAATGAGTGCAAATCATACTCGTATTAAAAATAATGGATCATTGAGCTATTGGACTTTGTGAGTAAAGTCACTTGATCCATTTTTGATAATACTTAATGTTCGTTTTCTTAATCTTACCTGCGGTATAAATTGGATTAACAGTTGTGACAATGAAACCCGCCTCCAATCCCGCCAAAGCAACAATTGGGAATTCAATTGAATTTGGGAGGCATACAGCAATTGTGTCATTATGATTCAAATGAAAAACTGATTGTAATCTGATAGCCAATGCTCGACATCGATCGCGAAGTTGTCCATACGTTATCGCTCGTTCGGTTACGCCATCCACCTATAGTTACGCATAAATTAACGGTAAATGCCAAGATAGCTTTGATGAGCTTGCGAAAAATTGACGAGTTTCGTCTGTGACTTACCACTGCTGTTTTGCTTGTCCATTTGTTAAAATCATTCCACACATATTGATCAATACTGATATCGGGATAGTTGATGGAAGGAAGCGGCGAATAAACGAAAATATCATTCTCACTATCAGCTAAATTTGGCTTGTAGAAAGTTCTCTGTGATGTCAAAATAGTTCTTGCAAATATCTTTTGATCACTTTGACACTTGTCAAGCAATTCCTTGCGGAGAATATTTTTTAAAGCGCGTCTGAACATCTTCCTTCGTCAACACTCGAAACCTGAATAAAAAAGAAATAACAAAATAAGTGGGAAAAATATTAGTGAATGGAGCGAATATAAAACGAACGAACATATACTGCGGATTATCGTTGCGTTGGGGGTACGGTACGAAGTCCAAGATGACGGTTTGGTTTCTTCTTAAACTTTTTTTTACATTTTTTTATTTGTTTTAAAAGTGGCTCTGTGTTTGCCTTAAAGTCGTTTTAAAGAAATCACCGGAATTTCACCATCACATTTAACGAGGTTTTGTCGGAGAATTTTATGATGACAATCAATGGGATGAATCGTTAATGAAGTAACATATATTTGTTTTAATGCTAACAACATATATCCGTAAGGTGCTTTTAAAATCTGCTTGTTCATCTCATATCGGCAAGTCAGTTTACATTTATAAATCCACATCATGTGTGAAAGATACGAAGTCGTAAAATTATTCAAAAATTTATGGTATCTGGCAAAAAAAATTCACGAGGTTTAACCAACACCGAGTGCTTTTCACATTGCGAAGTGTTTAGACATATATCATGTAGAATCAAGTACTGATAAAAAGCATCAACCTTAGCAAAATGTAGTAAAAGTTTATTTTGACGGGGAAGCTAATAATTTAAATGTTTATTCCCATAGCGTGCAATCATCAAAGCGCATACCTAAATATTAATAGCATGAATAGATGACCACTTCCAACCTTGAAACATCATCGTAACTGCCCTACATTCTAAAACATCAATAAATTCTATTATTAGTTACGACTGAAGCGATTTGATTGTTGACGTAGGTACCAGAATTAACATTTCTCTTCATCTCATCACATGTGAATAAATATGAAAGCGGTTTATACCGGAATCAACGTTTCAAAAGTCAATTTGAAGAAAAAGAAACATTTTTTCTTCTTAGATAATTATTCCGAGTTGAACGAGCCCCAAATGAAACATTTTATGCATTTTAAAGTTTTCATTCTCTCATTATTTTTTCGTACTTTAACTGCCTAGATATGTGCGACTTAAACTTCAGAGAAACTCTTTAAATTTATTTAATTTTAGTTTATAAACATTTTTAGTTTATCGAACTCTCTTGAATTAAATTGCTGACTCAAGCTCTTGCCCATTTGTGCTCGTTGTTTGCATCTCGAATCGTCGGAAAAAAGCGGAATTGAATGAATAAGAAGAGTTGATAATATACATAGACGAAATGAAACAACGAATGGTTTCTGCGGGGACACTTACGAAAAAAAAACTCGATTCAACTGAACTTTGATCTCGACACGAGAAAAAACAATAAAATTTTAAATTTGTCTTTCCATCGTTTTAACATGACAAGCAAAACAAAACAAAAAATGATTTGAATAGACAACTGAACATTTTTTCAACTCTAAATAATTACAAACACGAGCAGGTAAAATTCTAAGCTACTTACAAAATTATAAACTTGATGCTATTTACAGACTTTTCAACAAGTGAGATGTACTCGTGCTAGAAGATGATTACTCACCCTGAGGTTGTTTTTAATTTAAAATCTTTCTGAAAGCTTTCCGCTAATATCGAAAATCTTTTAAAATTCCTGAACGCTTTTATAAAACTGTGTTAAAAATTTTAACTTATTACTGATTTTCAGCAAATCGCTCTTGCCAGTACCAGTCACTGTATTCAACTAATTCGTTTCACTCAATCGTAATGCGATTGTTGACTTTTTTCACACTGAGACAACTCAAAACTGCTAATCACTTCTAACACGAACATTAACGTTAATAAAAACTTAATTACTTAATAGAAATGATAAGAAATCAAGGAAGAATCTTTTATTGAAACCGCTTTTGATAATAAAGAGTAAGAATAATTAGTTCTTATTATTATAAGAAAAGTACCTAAATGATTTCGGATGTTTTTCATTCAACATAAACTTTTGTTATGTTTTGTAGCAAAAGCAGCACATGCTGCTGCAAGTTGCAAGAGAGAATTTATTTGAAAACGAGAGAGAAATGTGTAGAAGTGTTAGTGAGAATTATTTCTTTAAAACGCTTCTTTGCGTGCTTCTTGGAGTCGAAGAACTATTAATGTATTTTCTTATGACGAGCCCTCTTCACTCATGTGAATGATTTTCCTTTCATTTAAAAGTCATCTAAACTAAATAATCTATTTTTAGACTCCTCAAAGAAAGTCTCACTTGTCTAGTAAGATCAACATTAAGTTAATGTTGCCAATGCTTCACAGTAAATAAATATTCAAGGTTGTTGAACGTGTCCCAAGCTAAACTTGGAAAAATTTCAATCAATTTATGCTTTTTTATGTTGCTACTAGAAATCACTTTGATCTTAACATTAAAATATAAATAAATTAAAAGAATTGTAGATGTTAAGTGACTCAAGAAAGCCATAAACTTCTTTAATTAGATTTTGATTGGATTTTGAGGTAGAAAAAAAAGTAGCACGATGAATGCATATAAGATTGTCTTAAATTGTTAATAATTTTACCTGCTATCTGTCTAAAGTTTGTACCGTTAACGGAGTAATATTTTTCCCATTTATTTTTTTTCCTACAGCCCTCTTGAGATTGCTTCTCTTCAGATTAATTTTTCATAAATTTCTTTCAAAGAGATGATGGCGAAAAATGGTCCGAGAAATGAAAAAATTATCAACACGATTTTCAGACTGACTTCAACACTAATTTCAAGGTTCAAAGTTCATGGAAAACTGCCTTTGAGAATTGTTTAATATGTAACAATTTCAACAATGTTGATGATGAGCTTAATTTTGTATGTGAAAACTTTATTAACTTGCAAAACAAACTAAACGAGTCAAAAGACTTTTAAGACTGAAAATGAAATGAAAACAGTGGAAAACAATGATTTTTCTAATTATTCATGACCACCCTGCATTTTCAATGTTTTCAGGATTTGACGCAAACTCATGTTCGACGTTGAACAAGGATAACACTACACTCTCTAATGTTGCTACTTGGGTCGGCACATCGTTCTTATGTTTTCCAGTTAGTCTTTGAGTTGAAACGGCGTTGAAATAACGAGTCGAGATTTTGTTCCGTCGCTACTTTCATGGATTAAAATGGATTTTTTCATTTGAATTTTTGTGTTGGAAGGAACAAAACTGTCCCTTACAAGAGGGCAGCGCTCTTTAAGTTTCTCATTATTCTGTTATACGTCTGTTTAACGTGCAAGTGTCTAGGATATCTTAGTGAATGTAATTAATGCAATTAGTTCTAAAAAGGATAAAAAAATAGTTTCCTTCGTCAAACTATTTATGCAAAAAAGAATGAAACTATGCTTGGGTAAATTGTCCGCCATCGTACCAAGGTGCAAACATGAAATTCTTGAGAGTGCCATGAAATGAAATCATTGAGCCCTTGCATGTAGCATTTAACGCTGTCAATCGATTGATTTGTTTGTCAAATCTTTGAGAAGAAAATTTGTCAAAAAGAAATAAATGAAAATCTATATGTAAAAGTGAAAAAAGATAGAAAAAAAAAAGATATTCACTGACATATTTCTCCGATCTCATCCCATTTCATGTCGTATGTGAGTGAGTGAACAACGAATAAAAAAGCAAAAAAAAGTAAAGGAAATATTGATTTTGTAGTGAGTTTATTTGCATACATATATGTATACGATATAAATGTGTAATTAAGTGTATTGCCTTTTGGCAAATATAGTGAAAAGCTTCTTCACATAAAATTAAACTCCGTGGGGCTGAAGTTCTCCACATTAACAGAGAAAAAGGTTCAAACGAGCCTTGCAAAATTCATAATCATGCAAACGTCCAAACGAAACCTTGTGTGATTATCAAAACCAATCTACCACAGAGTCAAGCTCATAATAAAATTATGCGGGTTGCTTCCCTTGAAGGACATAAAATAGTGAAGGGAAAATCGTTATCAAGCGTTTAGTTTAAAATTTAAGTACTTCATGTACGATCATAGGTTAATACTTAATTGACTAAGCTTTATTGACTTTTCCTAGTAATTTCCAGTTCGATTTCCTTCGAATACAAATTGAATTTTAAAGATTCATGAAGATTTCATTAAGTTAGCGAATTTCCGCAATTCGTTCTCTACACCTTCATCCATTTAAAACGTTCTTCGTCTATAAATTTCTTTTATCCATCTTATCTGACGCTATCACACTCCTCGGTTCATGTACACAGAGACTTATCTCAATGTCCACCGAAAAGAACTAACAATGATATTAAAATTTATGTTCATTACCTTGAAACGTTTTTTTCTCGCTTTTTTTTTCATTTGAAAACAAAGAAATAAAATAAAACTGTTACAACTAAAGACGTGGTAGAGGCAACAAAAAGAGCACCAAATTCTTTTTCATTTTATAGTCATGAGAGTGAGAAAATGTGAAAATCGATATGATTTTTGTAAGTGTATGTGAAGAAAAAGAAGTCTCGAAAGAAAGTTTGAAGCAAATGAAGCTTTTCTGACTTTCCATAGTGCTTGCTATTTATGTATGTAAACTATAAAACATAAAATGTTAATGTAAGAATGTAAAGGAATAAATGCCAAGTTCGAATGGAACAAGTGACCAACGAGTATGGTCATGAAGTAGTAATAAATAATTGTAAATGTAGCGAGTCGCAACAGTTTCACGAGTGTGTTACGAGAAAGAAAAGCTTAGATAATGGAAAGCTTATTCCATTGCATTGTCGAGTGTGTAGTCCAATTTGCCACAAATGCTATTGATTAATGACTTTCCTTCTCATCCGTCTCTCTCGATCAACACGGTTATAAAGGGACGAGTTTTAAAGTTATGTAATAAACTTTTCATTTACCCATCAACAACAAATGTTGTGAAAGCAAACAGAAAATTCTTCTACAAATCGTTTCATGGAACTTTAAAAGGTTTCTCATGATTGTGAAACATATCATAAAAAATATCCTTTCGAATGGTTATTTAACCTTCAGACGGCCCCAAAGGAAAAGTGGAAAAGCGTGAGAAGTTATACGTAAAAATAAAATATAAAGAAATAAATAATGCCAATTGTGCTTTGGTGACCAATATTCGCGTTTGATCTAATTATTGGTAGCGGTGTGTAGGCGTTTGACAATTTCAAATGGCTCGCAATAATTATACTGACATTATTATAATTGCCTTGTCCCTGAACACCCAATTTTCTTAACTTTCACTTTGATTCATAATTTTCACATGATATCTGACATTTTATCCGTTCCGAAATTCATGAAGGCAAAAAAAAAGGATATTGTAATGAAGGAAAGGAAAGAATTTCTGAATAAACAACAATAACTCAAATGCCAACACATAAAAAAATGATATGAAACGAAAGAAGAAAATGTTGTGTCGTGAGCAAATAAAGTTGACAATGGTTGAGAGAACGACGAACTTTGTTATATATTTATCTAATAATGCCGCAACATTTTTGTGCCTTCATCTCTACTCATAAGAAGTGGAAACTTCGTGGCAATGTTGATGATGTCATCCGAGAAATGACTTACAAATAAATACGACAAGCATGTATGTTGAATTCTTGCCACAATCTTATGAGCCGACAAGAATCTGTGAAATTTGGTATACTCGGAAAAATGATTTGATCTGCAGATGAAAGTCTTGAGGTTGAGAAAATAATTAGTGAGAAGCGTCATTAACATGTAAGCCATTAAAGTGTTAACAACGAAATAAATCTTGATATCATCTCACACCCTTCTCACAACTTCTCAAATTTCATCCTTCACCTCTCTGTTGTGGTGAAAAGAAAGGAAAAACCTCGAAAGTCGTTGGCGAAGGTTAATTGCTGGATAATGTGGTTCGTTTCCACAAATAGCGACAAGTATAAGACCTTGAAGAGACTTTCTCGGCTAACTGACTCTTTCAATTCGTTAAGAATATTTGCATAGTTTTCTATGAAATTAAATTGATTACACTTCACGATTTAGATAGTTCAACAATTTTTCTTTCGACGCATTCAATCCAGACAATCGTTTCATCAAACAAATTTTACTTCACACCGGAAATCAGTTACAAATTGTCTAATAAAAAAAGAAGCGGATAAATAAACAAACATAAATATTTTCCCTTTTTCTTTTGTGTGAATATTACATCTAAATATGAAATTCAGGCAACATTGATAGGGTTCGAAATAGTTGTTTTTGTGGTTTTAGGGCTTACATGATGCAACAGAAGCGGAAAGCTTCTTTATTCCTAAACCTAACGAATGTATCGACAATATTTGCACGAGTTGTGCTTGGTGAATAGGACGAGACATGAAATAGGAATTTGAAGCTTCGTTATGGTGCTTAAAGGAATTAATACGTTAACAATAAAATTTTGTTCTCGGCCGCAATGTAAGAATAAAAACGAAAGAAATAACGCTTTTCTTTCCTTGTCGATTTTAGGTTGGGCTTAAAAGCTGGTGGATGGAATTCGTGAGCAAAACCATTGAAAATTATTTTCTTTTCCATTCCATTTCATGAATGGGCGGCAGTAGTGAGTAGGAGAAGAGACAAGGAATAAAAAATCGATGGCAAACATGAAAACGAAACAAGGCTTTCACATTTTTTTTATGATTGTCTCTCGTTTTATTATTTTACTTCATCATAGGGAATGGAGGGAAGTGATGTTGAGTGTGAGGTTAAAGACAGCAAAGGTGTGAAAGAAATCAAGTTTCAGTCAATAAATTTCAAATGAAAAGAGGAAGTTCACGTGATGCGTCAAAGAGCGACTTAATCTCGAAGCCATTCCTTGACCGACTTTTATATTTTTGACGCTGTCACGTCATTTTATTAACAAAGAAAATGTTTGTTTCTGATTTGGGAATAAAAAAATCGTTATGTGATGAAATATTTACATTTTAAATCCTATTAAAATTGATCTTTATGATTCTCCATTGACCTGAGCGGAACGACATCGTATTCATTTTTATTTAATGCAAAACTTCAACATTTGAGGTATTTGGGGATTCAAGGAAATTTTTTTATTTTTTCATCACATCAAATGTCAATTTCAACAGCTTTTCTGGCTCTTTCTGGGCCAATAAACGTTATGTGAAGAGAAAATATGTGTAATAACGTTCATTGTTAATTTTATTGAGAACAATATAAAATTCATATCATCAAGAGGATGGATTTTCTGTCAGAATACTTATTTTTATTTTATATTGGAAAAGCAAATCACGATATTCAAAATTGATATAGATTTCGATTTGATGAAGTTGATGTTGAGCTTTGAAATTCATTGACAAATCATCCTCATTAAGCTTGATTAAGAAATCGTTTTCGTCATAAAATTCATCAGAAAGAAAATTGAAAAGAAAAATTTTTTGGAGAAAATTGTTGCGAAACTTTTATTCAATTTTAAGTAGCTTTTTCATCTTTTTTAGTCAAGTGGTCGATATTTTCTAACGTCACATTGAATGTTTATATCATTGTAGTACTACTACTCCAATGATAAAGAATTCTTTTTTCCTTGTTTGAACTGCAAACATGATTTTATGTACTCAGGGGAAAATGAGGTGGAAAAAGATCTTTCTTTATAAAAAGGTAAAATTCGCGAGCACTCACTCTACTGTCAAGGACCAAATTAATTTGCATTCATCATCATGACATAAAAAATGGAGATAAAAAGAAAGTTACTGAAGCGGTTCTACTTGTGCGTTGTCGCAGAAAGCATGAAAAATTTCCATCAAACGTATTACCTTACACATATCTAATGTTATTTACTGCAAAACTTACAAGATGTAAATACAAAAGAACAGAAATTTCATCTACACGGGGGATGATAAATAAGAAACAATGAAATTATATCTTATCTATTAAAAATCAACAGACATTTTTTTGATCATCATAATGTTGTGGGTGGAAGAAGCAACAAAATATGGCTCTGAGCTAGTTACATGACATTTGATAACATTTAATACAGTTCGGTTAAATATTATTAAGCTGGGTTGGGTTATGAGCAAAAGGTTTCCTGACAATTCACATCAAGAGAGAAATGTGACGAAGATATTTGATGTTCATGATTTTCACGCCACACTTTATTTATCGATCTTTTCTTTCTTTTTTTTATCCATTAAACTTCGCCAATTGTCTGCATTGTCTTTCTTAAGGAAAGTTTCTGTAGATTCAGCTTGATATTGACATCACATCATCGCTTTATATTTTAAAAGCTTTTAAATGTACAACATTGAATAAATAAATGAAGTTGTTTGATGTACTTACATAGATAAACAACAACAATGATGGAGAGTAATTCTTATCTTAAAAATGGAAGAAAAATTTGTTTGTGTTTTGACTACTCAAGTATCTTGTCTTGAGAATGCATGATGCGACATTTAAATGAGTCCCACAAGGAAAATTATATAAAGAAGCTTTTCACTAAATGATTAAGTAAGTGGCGATTTTGGAAAGCAAAATATCCTTAAAATGTAATAATTTATCCGAAGTAAACACATAAATTTCAATTCGACTTTTGCAGCGTTGGAAAACAAATGTCAATTTATAGCAATATCTGAAGATTCATGAAGAGATACGAGAAGGGAAGAAATGTTTGAAAGCGCCGCAAGAAATAAATTGTTCAGCATTAGAACATGGAAGAATAATTTCAAGTGTTAATGGATCATCACCATGACGAGTAATGGAGAAAATTCTTATTGCTCCAACTAAAGTTAGTTCACCATTCCTATGTGCTGCTAATAAACGATGAGTTTAGAAATTTTAAGTGCATGTGAAAAGGAAGTTTTGAGTTGAACATCCATTATAAAAGCATGGAAGAAGTGAAACGTTACAAGTTTAAAATTAAAAAGAAAAATTGTGAGCACGACAACACGAAACTTGATTAAAATCATGAATTCATGATAAAGTTTTGACAAGAGGAAAATAACCTGAATAAAAGAAAATATGATGAATTAAAGAAAGAAAGCAAGTCGCTTAGAATTTCAAGTGAATTAGTGAAGCAATAACCATAATAATTATCTAAATATTTTAAAGTCATTCGACGTTTCTCAGTTTCAATTGTTAATAAAATTCCACAGCAATTTAAGGCTGTAAAATATTCATCTGAAAAGTCATTCACGTTTTTTCTGAAATTACTTTTGGGATATTCAATCGTATTAAATTATTTGGAAACAAAAAAAAGAAAGGAAACAAATCGATCAAAATGCCGGGTGGACGAAGAGGTTTAGTCGCACCACAAAATACTTTTCTGGAAAACATCATCAGAAGGTCAAATTCACAACGTAAGTATAATGCTAGTCATTCATTTTTAACAATATTTTGAGCTTATAATAATAGCCATTTACATAAATTTTGTGACACTCTAATATAAGTCGAGCAGAATAACAATAAAAAAAATTTCCTTGGCTTTACCTTTTTTTCTTCAATAAGAAATTTATTGTTGATTGAAATTACTTTCGTAATTTATCCGCTTTACGAATTCATGTTTTCAAATCAAATCTTTTTCCTTCATGAATATAAAAAAAATCTCTCCTGAGACCCTTAAGCTCATATATTGAAATCAGCTTTAGTTTCTTGATTTCAACAATTTTTTGTGAATTTTCTCATGTTATCTTTCCTTATGTGGACTTTTATGTAAGACTTTTTAAGGGTAGGAATTTTCTTCATCATCAATTTCAGTAAATTTTATCCGCCATTGCAAATGATTGGAAAGGTTTACCAACAATAGTTGCGTTCTACTAAAGTCATTAGTCAAAGTAATAATATGAACCCAATCGTCTGTCAATGAACTCTCATTCTACTTTTAGCCTTAACTTGTACATGATTTTGACAGATAATTTATTTAAATGCTTCTGATACATTAAAAACAAAGTACAAAAAAATTATCTAATACTGGAATTTATATAAAAGATCAAAGAACTAAGTAATGAATTTAATGATTTCAAGTTGCAGATTATTAAGGATTAAAATGTAAATTTAATTAATCTACTTTATTATTTTCAAGATTTTTATCATAATTGAAAGAGGGAATTTCATAACATTAAACACGTCCATAAAGCTTCCATTTGTTTAATTTATTCTTAAAAAATTATTTGAGAAATGAACAATCACAAAAGTATTTTCCTTGAATTAATTGCTCGTCTACGAAGCTATGTAAAGATTTCTTTTTACAAACTAAAGGAATTCCAAGGCGGAATTTGCCTTTGCATTCTTACATAGTAAGTCTGAAAAGTAAGAATTTTCACAGATTTTCTTTGAGACGTAGTGTTTCCTTACGATTTCCCGTAAAACTAAAAGAAGAAAAGAAAATTTTCGGATGAAAAGCTTTGAATATGAACCCGATTTTTGTGCTGACTTTTAAATATGAAAATATATTTCAAATGAAGGAAATAGTTGTAGGTTCGTAAGGAACGTGACCAAAATCCATTTCTTAACATAAGTTCGATGTCAGCATTCACACATCAATTGCATTTAACATTTTTTCTCATTTCAGCTGATAGTTCGTTCTTGCTGGCAAACGCTCAAATTGTTGATTTTCCAATTGTATATTGCAATGAATCTTTCTGCAAAATCAGCGGATACAATCGAGCTGAAGTCATGCAGAAATCTTGCCGGTAAAACCATAAATTTTATTTATTTATCATCCAAATCTGCATTACAAATGCATCATGTAATCTTCTTTTTTACTCTTTCACAAAACACTTCAACTTTCTCCATGAATTTCATTACAACTGTGAAGCTGTGGATTTATGTATGGTGAACTGACTGATAAGGAAACTGTTGCTCGAGTTGAATATGCTTTGGAACATCAGCAAAACGATCAATTCGAAATGCTCCTCTACAAGAAGAACAGTGAGTTTGTTTGCAGATTAAATTTATGCGTAACAGATTGTTAACTTTCAAAGGGGTGTACATAAATTATGTAACAGTAAATTTCTCATATTTCTGTGTTACATGTTATGGCAATGAAGTGTAAAATTTTCTTCCCCTTAAATTTCTTTCCTTCAATTTCTTTTGCATGAACAATGTTTGATAAGCATCTGGTGGAACTTAATTTATGTATAGGTTTCAGAAGATAAGCATAAATAATTTTAAAGCTACAACTTCGAACAAACATGTAAAAGAATAAAGAAATGTTGTAATCTAAGATGCAAGCGGTTTTCTTCTCAAAACCCATGAAACCTTTGCGTTTACATGCGTCGACTGTGAGAAATCTTTTCGTAAATATATTTGAGTCACGCTCATAAAAATCTTAAAATATATCCCATTGTTTTGATGGGAAAGAATGATCTGAAATATGATAAGAAATAAGAATTATTTATAGAAGAAAAATTAAATTTATGTGAGTTTTCTTTCCTTGTTTTCCGTTCTTGTTTTCGTTTATGTATGATTCCTTCCTTGGTTCTCCGAACACTTTAAAAAGCTCCCTCAGATAAGCAGCGTAAGTTTAAGCGTTCACAATGTGAATGTTTCCTTCATCTATTTCTTTCACTTTCGACTAATTTCCTTTACTGCATCAGTAGATTTTCTATCTAGTTTTACTTTTTCATTGTGTTTTTATGCTACTTGCTACATTCATTTGGTACAACAAACTTTTATTCTTTAAGCTTTATTGTTTTTATGATAAACTTTCTTTTAATTCTTTTTTTCTTTTTTTTAGTTCTTTTTTTTCCGTGTGTAACTCACGTGTGCTGTTTAAGGACATCAAAAAATTGTCAAAGCACCTAAAACTTTGGAAGCGTTCCAAGTTTTTTTAGTATTTTAGAGTAAAATCCTTTGTTTTATTATAGTAACAAGTGAAAATTTCTGAAAGTTTTTCAAATCCACATGTGGTTTAAATTTTTACATATCTCTCTATTGTGAAAATAAGCAGAGATGCTTAAATATCTTCTACATAAAATTGTGATGTTTACAAAGCAGATTTCACTGAAATATGTTTCTAAATTTAAAATATTCCGGGAAAGGATTAGATATGTTGAAGTTTTGTTTAAAAGTCTTGGTAGATATTTATTTTTAAATCAACAATGTTTTATTTCTCATTTTGTAATTTAATCTCACGAAATGTAAATTTGAAAAAATTCATTCCTTTACTCAAGTGAAAAAGCTTCTGAAAATTTAATACGAAAACCTTCACTGAAACAACTTATTTAGTTCCAATTACATTTTATATTTTACAGATTTTTTTATGTTTTGTTTTTATGGAAAAAGTTTTAACACAAATTTTCACTAGAACCCAAACAAACCCAAAGGGTGAAAGGCAATGGAAATTCTTCTTGCACGTAAAGAAGTAACGAAGTAACGAGAAAGAAGATGAAAATATTTTAATGTATTTAGTATTCGACTTTCCTCAAGTAGATACATAAATAACAATGAACATCCGGACTTCCGTCTCATCCATCTTGTTTCTGATTTCACTTTTTCAGTCATTCTGTACCATAACGCTCTGATGATTAAATTATCTTTTTCGGCTCCAAGGGAGATCAAATTTGTATGATAATTCAATTATTTAGCGCTTTGTTTTTATACTCTTCGTGTCATATATCAAATTATAAGTTCGTCTCTGAACATATTTTTTGTTAATCATAACTCGATGAAAAAGAAAGGAAAAAGCTGGGAAAACGAACAGAGAAAATAGGATTTAGGAAATGAATGGAACAAATTGTGAGGACGATTCAGAATATTCATTAAATCTCAATCAAGTCCAAATCTGAGTTTATTTTGATTATCAATTCTACAAATATTACCAAAAAAAAAGAAGGAAACTTCCAGCATCGCAAAAATTCAGAAGACAATTGAATTCAGAAAAAAATGCTAAGCAAGCAAATATCTTAAGAGTCTTAAAACTTTTTAATAACTTTCGAAACTAAACTTTTATTTGTTTAATCTAACTTTGGTTCCAACTTTTATGTTTATTCAATGAACAAATTATTCTTTTCTCAGCTTGCTTTCTTTTGAAGTGCTTTCCCCTTCCACTCATTATCATCTCTCACAAGATGTTCATAAATAAGTAGGGCACTAACGATGTAAAGGGAAGTCAATTGGCGCACATGACATCAACATGTTTTTCAATCAAATCAACAGGTCCAATCCTTCACTCAATGACTGTTCTGGCTTGTTCATTACAGAACGTCTGGTAATTGAGATGAAAAGGTCGGATTTTGGGTGCAATAAAAAAAAGTAGCACACTCGTGTCATTGTTGATGCCTTTGTTAAGATTAATTAAGTGGAAATTTCTTGAAAGTCTTTTCTGGTATGATAAATTTATGTCGGCGCTATAAATATTCAGTTGAAAAGGGTTGGGAAGTCAGTCAAATCAGCAAATTGATTCTAAAAGAGCAAAGTATTTCTAAAATTATGCTGAGTTATGGGATCGAAATAGAACAAACATATTGGGTTTTGCTTTTATTTAGACAGGCCCATGACATCATTTATTTAAGGAAAGAAAAAATGTCAACATTGAATGTTTATTGTTGAATATGACATTATAAACAAAAACAGATGCAGACTTTAACCCTTTTAAATAAGCACTAAAATGAAATACGTCACCAACACTTTCTCTTGTTTTGAATCGGAAGCAACAATTCGTGAAAATTTGACACAGTGAATTTCCTCTGTTATCGATTATTTCATCACAACAGATGCACACACGTTTAGCTTGGACAAACAGATGGCCAAGCAAAATTATCATAAAATTTTTCTATATTAATAAAATAAATATTTTCTTTTGAATCAACACCTACTGACACAAGCACAGTCTCTGCTCACCTTTCATGACTGATTTAAGTTTATCTGTAAGCTTTAAAATTATTCAACATCGTCGTGATTCAGAGTTCAGATTAAATAAAAGGCATGTGGGAAATCAGCATGTTTGACATCATGTCAAAATGCTGTGGTTTGAGTCAACAAAGATATTTGCATAAAAATCATATTATGATAAAATAAATTGTCCCAAGTTTAACTAATCATCATTAATAATAATAAAAATCTGTAGCATTTATTCATTTGAAAAGGCTGTGAATGGGCGTATCAAACAATTTATTATTTAAATATCTACATGTCTATGTAATAATTTTTATTCCTTTTAAACGATGACTTTAAGCGAAAAATTTCTCAGGAAGCAACAATAAACCTTTTGAAAGAATAATTTCGCCACTGTTGAATGATTTGCAAATTCTTTTCACTTCTTTGAATTTGCTTTATAGATGAATGTTTATAAATTTACAAAATTGTGACATGAAATTTCTGTTGAGAGTAGAATTTATTTTCGTAAAGTTCACATTGTGAACTCATACAATTAATTAAATATTTAAATATGTTATGCCTAGGATTGAAGTAAAAGGTTTGAAGTTAAAAAGCACAACAACAACGAGTGACAAGACATAAACATTTTATTATTCATGAACCGTTTGTATCTTTAATGAAAAGAGATCTGCGATGTTGAAGGCACTGTTCGCAATCTTATTTTCCTTTCATGCTGTTTAACAGCCGTAACATCGTAGAATAGAGGAAAGGAATAAGAAAATGAAAAATGAAGAAGCTTTTTTAAATATCCAGGAAGGGAAAGTTGTTTATGGGATAATAAGAAGAAATTTAAGAATTATAAAGTCAGCGGATAAAAGGAAAATACCAGAAGATAAACATAAACTGTCAAAAATGTTGAAAAAAGCTTTAAAAAGAGAAATAAAAAAAGGTCGGGTACAAATTAGGTTACTATGATTAATTTGAATTAGAATATTTTCATTTCTTGCCTTTTTAATGTAAAAACAAAATAATTGAAGTTAATCAGAATCATTTCTTAAGCTAAAAGACTGAAAAATATGTACAATCATCTAATACTCTTTAAAGAATTGATAATTCGCGAAATCAACATTGATTACTGTATAAATCAACATTTCCCAGCCTTCATTATCATGAATTAATCAAGTAAGAAGAAATACTTTCAGCTTTCTCTCCTTCCACAAACATTTCATTTCCTCACCGAAGTGTAAAGAAAAATTTTCGTCTTCGCTTCACGCCTGCCTCGAGTGGGGGTGGAGAAAGAAAATTGATTTGAATATCTAATATTATTTGAATCTATTTTATCAGCAGATTTTATTATTTCAATATGAAATGCTTTCCTCATCTTTCATATAAATAACAAATAAAAGCCGCATATGAAGATACGAAAACAAATAACTTTTGATACAAACAGCACACCTGCAATATCAACAAATATATTCAATGTTCATCACATGAAGAAATGTCTTTCGAAATCAGACAAGATTCAATTGCTTTCTTTTATTACAACTTATAGTTAGATAACATCACTGCAAGCTAAATAAAGAGAAAATGCTTCAAGCTAATGAAATCTTGTAAATACTCAGAATAGAAAAATTAAATAACTTTTAAATAATAGTCTGAAGCTTTGTAAAATTTACCTGCTAAGTGACGCTTATAGATTACTAATAAGCAAGTCAGTCATCTTTATAAATTCTGATTTATTATTTATTCCATCTTAGAAACTCCGTTATGGCTACTACTTCAGGTGGCGCCCATTCGCAATGAGAGGGATTTGGTGGTACTTTTCCTTCTCACCTTTCGTGATATCACAGCACTGAAGCAGCCCATCGACACGGAAGATAACAAAGGCGGTAAAAAGAAAACAAAAAAATGATTTATTAATTCCAAGAGGTTTTGAAAATGAACATTTCTTTGTTTCACAGGTTTATCGAAATTTGCGAAGCTGGCAAGATCTGTAACACGTAGTCGACAGTTCAGTTCACATCTTCCAACAATAAAAGACTCTACAAAGCAATCAAATCTTGCTCATGTAAGTTTTCTACATAGATAATTGCATTTGTTAAGGCGTCAACCAATTAATGTCCTCTTCAATGTTCATCCGCCTTAGATGATGTCACTCAGTGCTGATGTTATGCCGCAATATCGACAAGAAGCTCCAAAGACGCCTCCGCATATATTGTTACATTACTGTGCTTTTAAAGCTACATGGGATTGGGTGATATTAGGCTTAACATTTTATACAGCAATTATGGTACCATATAATGTAGCCTTCAAGAATAAAACGTCAGAGGATGTGTTTTTATTAGTCGTCGATTCCATAGTTGACGTTATTTTTTTCATAGATATTGGTAAGTATCGTTCATTGAAACATTTTTCCCTTTGCTTTCATGGGAAAATCTTCAAATGTTATCTTTGGGAATATAAAACATTTCTTCCTTTAAATTTATTCAATCTTTTTATCAGAATGCTTGCTAACTGATTGCATATATATTCACTCCACCCTCATAAAATCTTTAAACGCTTTTTGCGTGATGAATTTTTTCGCCAATATTTTCCAATTTTAATATTAAATCAGATTTCTTGAAACAATATTTTTTTTTGGAAATAATGTAAACATAATTTAATTTTCTTCATAGTATTAAATTTCCATACGACATTTGTGGGACCTGGAGGTGAAGTCGTGAGTGATCCAAAGGTGATTCGCATGAACTACCTTCAGTCTTGGTTCGTCATCGATCTACTGAGTTGTCTGCCTTACGATGTCTTCAATGCATTCGATCATGATGAAGATGTAATCTTATTTCATCATTTTGTCATTTCAATAAGACCACATACTGATTCTTCATTTTTCTCCTTTTTATGTCTTTTAAACCTTCAGGGTATTGGATCTCTCTTTAGTGCTCTTAAAGTTGTACGTTTGTTACGACTTGGAAGAGTAGTCAGAAAATTGGATCGTTACTTGGAGTATGGCGCAGCGATGTTAATTTTGCTGTTATGTTTCTACATGCTGGTCGCTCATTGGTATTAAACTTCTATTCGAATCATATACTCCTACAACACTCAATTTCAACTTGTTATTAAAAAGCAAAAATTTTCGACTCTTGTCTTGAACATTTCTTGACTTTCCAGATGAAAATAATAACTTTTGCCTCCCGCATCTATTTTTTTAACAAATTGATATTAAAAATTCTTTAATAAAAAATATTTTTAAAGGTTGGCTTGTATCTGGTATTATATTGGCCGTACAGATGCCGACAATGGGGTGAGACTTCATTTGTATTTCGTTTATAAAAATATACTTCACAATGAACGAGAATGTTTTGTTGAATGAGAAATATTAAAAAAACTTTCCCTTAGGTTCAATACAGTTGGTTGTGGAAGTTGGCAAATGTAACTCAAAGTCCATATTCGTACGTTTGGTCGAACGAGACTCGATTTCCGGAGCTTGTAAATGGCCCATCAAGACGAACGATGTACGTCACAGCGCTCTATTTTACGATGACCTGCATGACGTCGGTAGGTTTGGAAGAAACAACACAAAAAACGTGAAATCCTTGCATAATTTATCTTCATGCACACGCTGGAGAGTTATTAACACAATTTCTTCTTAGTTATCATACAAAAAAATTTATGTTGAAATCTTCAAAAATATTATTTTTTTGTTATTTAATCACAATCCTAAGTATTTGTTTGCCATTCAATGTTTTGTAGAACAAAGAATATTTAATGAAGAATTTCAATTTTCATTGAAACTTTGAACTTTAATTTTCCACATCAATTAACATTTTACGTGATGTAATTTGTTTTATGTTAAATTTCAAGTTGGAGTGATTAATTATGGAAGTTTTTTTCATTACTGCAGACAGAAAATTACAATGTGCAATTAAACTCATTTACTCCTTTTCCAGGTCGGATTTGGAAACGTCGCTGCCGAGACTGATAACGAGAAGGTATTCACAATCGTCATGATGATAATTGCTGGTTAGTGTTTACGTTCCGTTGCCATGTCTCCTTAAATAACAAAGCAATGGTAGTTGAGCAATCCACTAATATTGGGGTTTAAAAAGGCTTTGTTTATTAAATTACCTTACTTGAAAAAAGGTTTTGTGAGTGCGCTAGTTGATGACTTTTTCCCCTTTTTTTTATCATAAAAAGTTTTGTGATTTCCATTTAATGACTTTCCTTTAATTATTTTCATAATTTTCAATTTTCTTTTGTTCCTTCTTAAAGTAAATAATGAAAAGGATTTTTTTAAATTCAATCTTCGCATTTAATGAAGGTTTGAAGGAAAGAGCTTGAAGCTTATGCTTTCAAATGGAAGCTTCTTCCTATCAAACATTCAATAATAGAAGATTTAAAATAATACATCATCATATTACCTACTTTATGCTTTACCTTCGACTAGTCTCTCCTTGCAGATAAGTAATTTATGAGCCGTTTTTATCAAATACTTACGTATAAATATTCTTGTAAAGATTTCTAATACCTTCCGGCACAAAAATTTGTTTCTTTCTTCTGCTTCTATCTGAGCTATTTTCCTCCTGAATTTTCTTACTGACGTTCACATTCAGGCTTTGTTTTCTCAATATGTATCGTAAATACATAAATATGTACATTCCTTCTTTCCTTCGACACAAACAAGCTTTTTAAAGGTTTGAAATTGTGAAGATATCTACATCAACATGAAACTATCGCTCTTTAAAAACCAAAGAAAGAAATTTGCTATTTTTAAACCTGTACATACTATTGGGTGCTCACCATTCTTTCTACACAAAAAATAAATTTGCTGAACACGTTTTGGAGTGCTGTGTGCTTCACCTTCTATAAAAGCTCGAATTATATGCTTGGAGTTATTGCATCGAGTTCAAGGAATACAAACATGAAACTAGAAATTTTCTTTTCTTTCTTCTTTTACTTTTCGTTCTTTTTTATTGTAATAATCAATCATTTTAATCAATATGACAGCTCTTCTCTACGCTACAATATTCGGTCATGTAACTACTATTATTCAACAAATGACCTCTGCAACCGCAAAGTATCATGATATGCTTAACAATGTTCGAGAGTTTATGAAGTTACATGAGGTGCCGAAAGCATTAAGCGAACGTGTTATGGATTATGTGGTATCGACCTGGGCGATGACAAAAGGATTAGATACCGATAAAGTATATGACAAAGACAGAATATGACTGAGAGTACATTTTTAATGTGAACTTTTCTTAATCGATAAATCAGGTGCTGAATTATTGTCCTAAAGACATGAAAGCAGACATTTGTGTGCATTTAAATCGTAAAGTTTTCAATGAACATCCCGCCTTTCGTCTCGCATCAGATGGATGTTTAAGAGCTTTAGCAATGCACTTTCATATGTCTCATTCGGCGCCGGGTGATTTACTTTATCACACTGGTGAGAGTATTGATAGTCTCTGCTTCATTGTCACGGGAAGTTTGGAAGTGATTCAAGACGATGAAGTCGTAGCGATTTTAGGTAAAGGCGACGTGTTTGGTGACTCGTTTTGGAAGGATTCAGCAGTAGGACAAAGTGCCGCTAACGTTAGAGCTCTAACATATTGTGATTTACATGCCATCAAACGAGATAAACTATTAGAAGTTTTAGATTTTTATCAAGCTTTTGCGAATAGTTTCGCAAGGAATTTGTTGCTTACATACAATTTAAGACATCGTCTTATTTTTAGGTGACTAAACAATAATTTTTATCTTCTTCAATCATTTAAAACTCTTTTACGTAATCTTACAGAAAAGTTGCAGATGTTCGTCGAGAAAAAGAACTCGCTGAGAGACGAAAGAATGAGCCACAACTTGGGTCCACACAAGATCATTTGGTTAGGAAAATCTTTTCAAAATTCAGAAGAACACAACAAAGTACGCCACTGACAAAGGAAGGTTCACAGAATAGTGACGTTGAAAAGGGCGATACTGATCAAGATTCAAAGAAGGTAAGAAATTGTTATTCATGTTGTGTATTTAAATTCCTTTGATAACATAAAATATTTATTAGATGCCAGCTAAGCTGACGCTTACAGAAGATTCGCGTATAATTTCTTCAGTTCCATCACCATCAGCATCACCTTCACCAACGACAGGGCAAACAGCAAGTAAACTTAAATCTGGAAGTAAATGGGGCAGATTACTTGGCAGCTCGAGTGTTGATTCTGCAAGCGATAGCAGTACAAAGATTGTTGTTTCAAGAAGTCTCAGCGCACGTGAAAGTTTGAGAGAAAGTGCTCAAGCAAGACCAAGCAGTAGTCAAGGGAATAATGGAGGTGGCCAGGGAAATAAGGTAATGGAAGACTTTAAAAATATTTTCATAATACAAAATTTTCATTTCCCTTCCAGATTTTTCCAAAATCTGTAAAACTTTCACCTGGACCTGCGTCGCTCACTCGACAAGATACGATTGAAGAAGGTGGTGAAGGAGAATCAGCAAGTCAAACACGTGAAGGTTCTCAGAGATCTTCAATTCAATTAGAAAGTCGACCCGAGTTATCGTCTGATCGATCAAAACCTCCACGGGATCCTTTAATGATGGATACACTTGAGAAGGATCGTGCTAAGGAACGTCAAAAAGAAGAAAGAAATTTATCTCTAGAACGCGAGCGCCAAATAGAAATGGCGAAAGCTCGTGAAACTACTTCAGATAGTTATGATAGTGGATTACGTGAACAGCCGTCAACACTCGCACAACGAGATTTGATCTCAACAGTTCTTGATATGAAAGTTGATGTTCGTCTTGAGATGCAGCGAATGTCACAGCGAATCAGTCGCATTGAAGAGTTACTCACCGATCTCGTGAATCGACTAACTGTTGATTCATCAGAACAAAGCACTCCGGGAGAAAGTAATCCCGGTCAAGCAACACCAGCATCCCCAACGACAGTAGCAACGATAAATATTCCATCAACAAGCGAAAATCTCACTCCAAGTGGACCAAATAGTGGAGGTGGAAATGGCTTGGGTCCGATTTTATTGAAAAAAAGACGAACGAAGAATCGAAAACCCCCTGCACCCGCTCCACCCCCACCTACACAATATTCTGACCCCGAGCAAACTAGATTAATTGAATCTGATGCTCCGTCAACATCATCATCAAGAAAGAGAGAATTTCTTTAGCCGAAAATTTTGATACGTCATCAAAATGACGAAACCAGCACCGATTAAGTAGAACTTTTCTATTTTCTTTTATCCCACCACCCACACAAGCAAAATCTACTGATTTGAATTCTGCTGTTCTTTTTTCTATTGTGAATAATTGCCGCCTTTAGCATTTATTGACGCATGTATTAATTATCGTCATGTCGTTTGCTGTATTTAAAAATTGTGTGATAGACGCATGAAGCGAAAAATGTATTGAAAAGTTTTGATCGCGATTGTGAAAATGTAAAGCAATTTATTTCGCATCAGCTTTAATTAGAAGAAAATTATTTCCTTCCAATAGTGATCAATTTTCTATTTTATCATTGCTTGTTGACGAAGGAAGAAGATATTTATTACGATAAGAAGCGAAGGCAAGTTTTAGTGCATAACTTACTTATATAGAGAAACTTTAGCTTTTTACAAACTTTTATTATGAGAATTTCCGTTTCCTTTTCTGTTCGACTATCGCATTTAAAGTGTTATAAGTCAAGAATGATCTTGACGACTCGAATCTATGCAATCAATCTTACAAAGAACTTCACAAATATGTAAATTTAATCAATAGATATACAGAGGAACTTAGTAAGTATAATAATGGGATTATTGATTAAGGAAATTGATGAAAGAATTTGTGAAATTCACTTATCGCATTGATACATTTCATGATCTTTATGAATCCAAAGCTTTAGTAAATAGGTAAATGAATATGATTATCTTCCAAATAAATACTTTAACTTTAAATTCTCACAAGTATTTGGATTCTCAAAGATATGAAAAGTATTTTAAAAAGGAAAATCCCAAAATAATGTATCTAAAATAAGCATCACCGAAGCAAAAAAAAAAGAAGAGATATACATACATATAAAGTGATAATATAAAAAGAGAATTATTTGGAATTTACAATTGCAGACTTGTGATAAAAAAAGAAAGTGAAGAAAATTAAAAAAAAAAAGATGCGCCTTCTTAAAGTGAACTATGATAAACTCTATGCAGTTGAAAGCCTCATTAGTCGAAAAGCTTATAATCATCGTTCATCGAAAAATGATCGAGATAATAATAAATTAAACTCATAGTTTAAGTGACGATTGTAAAGTATAAAAAAGTATTTAGAAAATATTTGAAAGATGACAAACAATGAAAATTTCAAGCACGTGATTGCTTTTTTCACACATTGCAAGATTACAATTGAACCAAAATATTTCTGACTAAAGCAATTTAAACTATCAGTCTGATTAAATTATTTTCTTTTCCGTTTATAGGACATTTGCATAAATAGTCGTAAAAATATTCAAATTGTTATTTCAGAACCTGTCATGAGAAAATAATTGAAAAGCAATTAATTGGTTCAAATGCGTATACCTAATAAGCGGATTATCTAAGGAAAAAATGAATAAAAAGATGATAAAATCAATTCCACAAAATTTTCCCAAGTATTTAAATTTCTTTTTCGTTAGAATTTTCCTTTTGAATAATCATAAAAATTTATTAAGTAGTCGGACGGAAATGGTAGAAGAGTTGTTAATAAAGATTAAAGTTTAGTGGAATAGAATTGGAACAACTTAAATAGTTTGATGCAACATGTGAATGTGTTAAGTATTTAACCGGCTTATTTTTCTTAGTTTGTGATGGAAAACTTTCAAACATTTTCTTACATTTTCGCGAGAACTTTAATTAAATTTATAAAACAAAAACATATCCCCAAATAATTTTTAAAAGTTCAAATGAAGCCACCATAAAAAAAGAGAGAAATTTCAGTTAATTTACGGAAAACATTTCGTCCAACTCTTCTTTTTGTAAAGCTATACATCATAAATAAAAATATAAAATTAAGATCTGTAAGACCAAAATATTTCTTCACAACACTGAGAATTTTTAAGACAACAAAAATATAAAAAGCTCCCTCGCCTTTAATGGAAAATAAATTGCAGAATTATTTCTTCATGACATTATGGAGCTCAATGATGAAGTCACAAATGTCGAGGCTTTGGGTGTAAATTGCAATCTAAGAAAAATCACTTTTTGAGACTTTTGCTGTAAAGTTTTAAAGTGATTTTGAAGTTTCGTAGTTTAAATGTTTAAAGAAAGGAATGAAACAAAAGATTTTAAATTAATTTAATCTGAGTAAATAGGCAAGACAGGTAATGCTTTTAGATTGCCATCTGCACTCAACGTTTGCAACTGGAATGAGCTAAAAAAAATCTTTTAACTTTTTTAAATAAGTAAAATTGATTCAACTTTAATTTTATTTAATTTTCCTTGTTTTACTTAATGAACTACGTCAATTTGAAAAGATACTCCTGAGCTATTAAAATGAGATTTTAAAGATTGTTATTACTTAATTAAACTAACCTCAATTTTTTATGTTTCCATGGTCAGCTTTCTCTTTCAAAGAATTTTACTTCAAAAAGCAACTGTTTAATAAAAATAAAAGAAGAAACACGACAGTTTGATGATACTTTAGCGAACTCACTTTTTTAAAAAGCAAGAATTCATCAAGAAGAAAGAAAAACGAAATAAAAACTAACTTAAAGAAAAATATTTTCCTAGTTTTGTTTCAATTATTTCTTCATGTTGATGGTTGGACAGTCAGTGACGGAGTTTTAATTAAGAAAATACTTTATTGAGTCAATTTTATAGATAATTAAAGTCACTATTTATGATCTAAATCTTTTGACATGTTTCACACTCAGATAAATTTCATTATCAGTGGTTGAGGAAAACCCATTTCAACATTTATGTATGTTTCCTCCCATTTCTTTTTATGTCTTCCTTCAGAGAGTTTTATCTTTGTATTTATGACGACAAAAGCAATCCCAAGTTTTAGTATAGTCCAATAATGCATTCAGACAACATGCATTTTACATTAAGAGAGGAAATCATAATTTACACAGGAATTTTTGTCTGTTCTTTATTAATTATTCCTGTTGTGCTTTTATCAGCCTCGTTGAAGCATCCCGACGTTCACAACTTGGTTACAATTGCTGATCTTAAATTAAGACAGAAGATTTTAGACAACTTTTTTGAAATTATCGAAACGAAAAGGCTTCAAACCAAGGAAGCAAATTTTTCTGGTTTGTCAATATTTAGAAATTTCACAATGACAGATTTTGAGGAATTTTCTAGTAGCCCTAAAAAGTTGCCGCGAAAATATTTAAGAAATCTTTGGAAGAAGTTTAAATTTGTAAATGGAAGTTTATTGTCAACGGAACAATTATTGAGACTTCCCTTGAAAGTCGATTGGTAAGTTGATTGAGAATGAAATGAAACTTTATTGATTACACTTCGTAACTGATATTTATATTTAGGCGTGATAAAAGCGTCGTGACAAAAGTAAGGAATCAATATAAATGTGGAAATTGTTACGCTTTAGCTGTCATTGAAACAATCGAATCAATGCATGCAATAAGAACTGGAAATTTAAAAGAATTTAGTGTTCAGCAAATGCTTGATTGTAATGATTCAGAAATGGGATGTAACGGTGGAGATTCATGTCGTTTGCTTAGTTGGTTGCTTACAACTCAAACGATTGTGCAGTCAAACGATGATTACAAATCCTCAAAATCATTAGAAAAATGTGAGTCAGTGAAGGAAACATCAACAAAAATAAAGGTCAAAGATTATTTATGTGATGAGTAAGTGATAATCTGGTGAATATTTCAAGTTGTAAACATAAACTTTCTATCGGTTATTTCAGCTTCACAAATCGAGAAGAATTATTGTTGCTTTATTTAGCTTACAAAGGTCCATTAATTGCTTCAGTCAACGCCTTACCATTGCGAAATTACAAAAGTGGAATTGTTCAAAATTACAAATCGAATAAGTCTGCAAAAATTTTGAATCACGCTGTACAAATTATCGGATATGATTTGTCGTAAGTGTCAATTCATTTCATTGTTTAAATTTTAATTTTATTTGAAAATTTCAGTGGTGACAGTCCTTTCTACATCGTAAAAAATTCCTGGGGAAAAAGTTTTGGTCTTTCAGGATATTTAAACATAGCAATAGGTGGAAATATTTGCGGAATTGCACAAAGAATTTCTGCAATAATTCTTTAACATTTAAATTAAAAATGCGCGGTGTGGCAGTGATCGTTCAAACTTACCGGCAGTTCATTTCTCATCTTGTTTTTAAATGTTTTCTAGGATTGAAATTTTATTAAGAAGAAAGCTTTTAAGTAAGGAAATAAAGGAGAAAATCAGCTTTTGAAGTTTTAACTGTCCCCATTTGTAGCATGATTCTGATGAGTTCTCCAGCCCATGTTTAATGCATCCTTCATTTCAGATGTCAAGGGTGGAATCAAACCACGTGGAATCAAAAACGTCGACAAGTTAAAGAGATCGAGAAACACTTTGTAACGATCACTGAAATGTTTTTCAACTTTGTAGTAAAAGCATTGATCAAAGAATTCATTCATAATGATACCTCAAAGTAGAACGCAAATATTGATAACCTGAACTTCCACCAGTTCCCAATTGTTGTGAACCAATCATTCGTTGAACCATAATAACGTGGTTATCTAGAATTAAATGAAATAACTTCAATATTTCAATCACGGTGACAACTCACATCTCCATTTAGTTATCAACGAGTCAATGTCCATGAGAAGAGTTAGAAGTTGATGTGGCTGTGAGAATCTTGGTTCGTCTCGATAGAATTTAATCATGATTGCGCCTTGTAATGCTTTGTATGTGAATCGTCTTTCACCACGTGAAACTAATGCTTCATGTGATGATGGATTAAAAATGGTTTCGTAAACATCTCGACGTTTCTGAATATCCATGAGGCGATAATTTCTTATCTTAAAATTGTGTGAGAAAATCAGGAGATGATTTAGTGCTGAAACGTGAGTTTAAATGTTTACTTACATGTTCTTTGGGTTCTTTGTTTGCTTGCTCTTCCTTCTCATTCAAAAGCTTGTCAACACTGTCTTTAAACTTCCCCCAAAAATTAAATCCATCCAATTCCAAGCCAGGCGTTCTTTCTAACCATCTTTGAACGAGATCACTTAATGAAGGATCTTGTTCCGAGTTTTTTATAGCTTCAATAGCTTCTGGTTCCGTTCCAAAAACGTGAGAATACTTTTGATTATATTTTACACGATGTTCTGTCTTCACTCCCAACTTATTCTCAATGAGACGAAATTGTAAACTTTGAAAACCTGAAGCTGGTGAAAGATAATCGCGGAAGTCCATAAAATCCAAAGGTGTCATTGTTTCTAAAATTGGCACTTGATCAACAAGAAGCTGAAAATATGTAAATATTATTAATAATTCATTCATATGTCACAAACAAATGTACGTCAGTGGAAAAGGTCGGCGAGCCTCTGACTAAGAGATAAAGACGATTTGTAAAGTCTGCTCGCTGCTTCGTTATCAATACAAATTCGAATTGCTTAGCAGTCTTTCCCCATTCAATGATATATTTTGAAAACGCAAAATATGAAAATAGAGTTGATCTGAATGGAATTTGAGGTCAAGTCGAGATTTGATTTCATTGAAAGTTTGAAGCATTCATCGCTGATTTGATTTTAATTTCATAAAATATCTTAATAAATGTTCCAACGATTACGTTAACATTTATGACAAGAGTTTTCCGGCTTCATTTATGTCGCGTGAGATAATTGTGAGTACAAAATAGTTACATGAATTGTGTAATGTAATCTGAGTCGCGTCCAACATTGATTATTGAAGCCATAAAATTTTATATCTCGGAAGCAATTTTTTGAACAGGAAGTGAATGACACACGTGAAAGTTAAAATTGGACACTTACATTCAGAATCAATACGATTCTGTTCAATCGTTTAAGTATTTCCAAAGTGCTTGATTCCTCGATGTTCTCACGATTGAAAAGAACGCGAATCGAATCAAGTTCAAAGATGATTTGCTTGAACCATAATTCGTAAGCTAAAAGAAGATTTTGATGATTATTTTGCTTCTTTAAATTAATTTAACTCACCTTGATGAGTGACAATAAAAAGATGTTCATCATGAACATTTGATTGCATTTTCTGTGCAGTTAAAAGTTTGTCCAACATTAAATATTCACCGTAAAGCATTCCAACATCCGATCCAAGATGTTCACCTTGTTGGGCGTCATTTCTTTATCAAGCAAATAAATGAGAATCAAACTTAGAGAATATTTTGTCAGATATCTACAACTTCAACTTGCCCATTAAGATTTCCAACGGGACAACTCATCTTGAACACAATAAATTCTTATTCCAATCACTTTTCACTTCCGATCACTACAAAAACTCAAAGGCGACTGATTATTCAACGGCTCGTGAAGCCTTTCAAGTGACGACATTAAGACTCGATGAGAAAGATTAATGAGAAAGCTGAGAAGTTGATGTTCGATTGTGAATTCGTAAAAGCAACGCTCAAATTCATTTCTCTGTCTACTCTGAGAAGAATTTTTGATAAGCGATGATTCTTCATAATCGAACAGATTTGAATGAAAATTTCATTCACAAAAGAGTTTTTTATTTATCTTTAATTTTATTCATTTTTAATTTGTTAATAAAACATCAAGCATCGCTTGTTTAATTTTTAATATTTCCCGAAGACTTTTCCTTTTCAATTATGAAGAACAAACCTCGTAAGCTTCATCGGTTTAGCACAAATATAAAAAGAAGAACAGAAAATTGATTTCTTAATTGAAAATTTCATCAATAATTCATGGAGAAATTCTGTTCTTGTTACGTTTGATTCTTATCAGATTTTTTATTTTATCACAACAATTTCCTTATCAGCTTCTCGACGAGGTCGGTCAATCTCGGGAGATTATGCGATGAGTAAACATGCTTTAAATTGGTTGATTTTATGTGTTGATAAAATAATAAAATATTCATCGAAGGAACATGATGGGCTGGTCCAACATCTTAAAGTGAAGTTGTTTTTGTTCCACCATAAAAAATATTTGTTTGACTCGCTCGAAGTTGTTGATTTTTCTCAAACTCTTCTTGTAACTGAATAATGTTGTTACGCCTCACAATCCAAAGGAATATATTAATAAAAAGCGAGATTACAAAGAGAACGATGAAGACAACTGACAACACAAGAAAAAGTGTTTCATTGTTTGAATTATTGTCTGTAAATTCTTCCATTTACGATTCAATTTAAACAATCTCGATAAAGCAAATTTGACGACTAAACTGAATTCGATTTTGCTATCCGCAAAATGTTGATTCAAATATTTTATCAGTAAGAAGCTTTAAGTCACTGATAATCTTAACTTACATGAAGCCGATAAAAAGTAGGTTTGGCGCGGAAGTTTTATGATGTCATTCAGTGACAAACTTCCTAAAAGTTATTAAAAGCTTAAAATTGAGTTTTTTTATTGCCGTTGTGTTAATCGTTGAAAAGCTGTGAAGTGTGATAAGCTTTGACCTTTTACAATTATTGGATCAAAGGAGTTTCTTTTTCTTTTCATCCAACGGGTGACACCCTGGGGTGTGACATTGCCAAATCACTTGAAGCACAAATTTTATATCAGAGTAAATAACACATTAATATTTTGATAACGATGCATTTACAGAAAAGTTAGTACCAAAGATAGCAAACGTCGTTTAATGATAAAAAATAATCTGCCGTAATTTTCATTCAATTTACGTGAATTGTAAAACTTGGAAGTGTAAATCATTCACTCAACCCTGGCTACGAATAAATAAAACTTAAATTGATTTTTTTTTATTATTATTTTGATTGACACTTGACGAAAATTTTTTATTTCGATTCTTGTTTGATTTTACAACTTTTCTTATGTTTTAAGATTTCAATGTTTGTCATGTAAGAATCTTTAAGACATACTGGACACTTATAAAGTTTCTGAAGTGATGACGATTGTTTTGGCTTTGAACTTTTATCTTCTTCCTTACTTTCAACTTCTGGTTTCTTACATTTTGACATGTGTTGAAGTTTTTGAATGCATGTGAAGTTGAAGACTTCATCACATCCTGGACATTCAAAGTCAGTGTTGAAGATTTCTTCAGCCATTTGCATGCTCCAATCAGTCTCATCAATGCTGTTTAAATAAAAAAGCAATAATGAAGCAATTGCACGTGTTTAAAATTATTAAACTCACCATCCATAAGTAATGTTCTCAGTGACAAACATTCCACCTTTAACATCATTTAAAATGCAATTAAAATGCGTTGAAAATGGATTTGGATCCAACACAAGCATCTCGTAATCTTCTTCTCTCTTTCCCTTGTAAATCGTTTTCAAATCAGCTGGCAAAAGTCTTTTAATTGTGTAAAAAATTTCACAATTCATGTAACTTGCCAATTCACGTTCAAGTTTTTCAAATTCTTTGCTTTTCGATGCATGCTCGATTTGACTTTCAGAAAGTTTTTGACTTACCAAATCATTCCATCGCTTTCTTAAACTCGCAGCTTTTACGAGTAAAGTTTGACCAGACTCGGGAAATGGAAAATCTAAACAAAGCCAAGAGTCACAAACAACTCTTGAGAACGTTACATTAGCGTCAATCTCTTGTGCAAATAGTAAAAGCGTTTGAGCTGCTGGCATTCGAATTGAGTTCATCAGATATGGTTTCGTCGTCTCCAAAATGGAAAGATAACAAATCAACTGATGTTTTGCACTTAATGGTTGTTTCGACATGTACAATCCCGTCTTTGGTATGATGTCACATTCAGCCACATTTAAAACTTGATAGTTTGTAGCGAAGTAACTCATCGGATGCATCGACACATAAGGCTTCGATTTTGTGTGGAAGAATTGTTCGTTCATTGACTTGCAGTAATTAAACTCATCAGATATTGCAACTTGAGGATACAAACCACTAACAAGAATTAATTTCAATAAAATGAGATCCAAACTGTCAGTCGTTGCACTCATCACGAGATTATCAAGCTTAGAGAAATTGTTGGAAAGACGAAAGTCAACGTCTCGAATGTCAATTTTATCATCATCGCCATCAGCGTCTTCTTCATCAGCTCGCAAGAGTTTTCTTTGTCGTGGACCTTCCATTTTATGTGCTCGTTTCAATGAGCCCAAGTAACGTTTCTCACCAGCACGCATTGCACGTTCAGCTGCGGTGCTTTTCTCGTCTGTTTCCGACTCCAACAATTGACATTCTTTCAACAACGACTCAAGTTGGCCTTTGAGTTTTGTGATTTCATAGAAACGCTGCTCTTCAAGTCCTCGATTACGACACCATCGCTTTGAATTTTCATTGTCACGGTCTCTCGAGCGTTCTGTTTGTGATTTCTTTACCAACAACCATTCACGATATAAATTCAATAAAGTTATTGGATCGCCATGATCAGATTCGCAATCGCTTCGAAGTTTCTGGCATTCCGCATCACGAAAGGCGCGATTAGTGAATGGCGATTGAACGTTGAGTGTTGCAGCTAATGTTAACGTTGCTGGAAGTTGTTTGAACACCGATCCGATTACTAACATTTTTCCAATGCTTACCTCGACAGGGATACGCGCGAGAGTTTTTCCAAGTGGCGTCAGTTTCTCACTCATTGTTAAAGCTTCAAGATTCTTCAATGCCAAAATGGAATTTTCAATGCTTTCCATTGCTGGTGGTTCGATAAATGGAAATAAGCGAGCGTTTGGTAATCCCATCGAAATCATTTGAAGAAGCAGCGATTCAAGTGGCACTCGAAATATTTCAGCTTTCGTGTAAGCTTCCAGATCGTAATATTCCTTCTCTGAATACAAACGATAACAAATTCCTGGACCTGTTCGACCAGCTCGTCCTTTCCTTTGTTCAGCTGACGCTTTACTTATCCACAATTCTTTCAAACGTTGCATTTTGTAGTTCGGATCGTAAGTCATTTCTTTCATCTTACCGGAATCGATCACAAAGCGAATTCCATCGATAGTGATTGAAGTTTCAGCTGAGAAAGACATCAAAGAAATATTTCATCGATTTTTTACGAAGCTTAAAACATTTTCTCGTACTTTGTATTGTGGATAAGCTTTTAATCTTATTAGATATTTATTAATATTTCCGAAACGTCATAACTTACTTTAATAACGAAGAAGATTAAAACTTTATCCACAAAAGATCATTAAAATTCTCAACTTACCGATATTTGTACTTATGATGCATTTTCTCAAACCATCTGGTGCATAATCGAAGACTTTATCTTGATCTTGCATCGATAAGCTGCTGTGCAATGGTAACACAATCCAATTTTGATTCTTTTCGCTGTAATCCTTTGCAGCATCGACGACTGATTGAATTTCATTTAAACCGGAAAGAAATATCAACAAATCTCCTTTCTCTTCCTTCGGATATTTCTTATCAATCATGCTCATAATTTGTATGTAAGGTTCAGGGTTTAGTCGTTCACTTCTCGACTTCTTCTCAAGTCTCAAATTGGGATTCATTAAATGTGGCATAAAGTGAAGCTTTATCGGATACAAACGACCTGGAACTTCAATGACCTGAGCTTTCTCTTCTTTGAAAAAGTTTGCAAATAAATTTATGTTGATTGTGGCCGACATGAGAACAATTTTGACATCAGGTCGTGCTCTAAGTAGACATTTGGAGATGCCGAGAAGAAAGTCGCCATAAAGATTTCTCTCGTGTATCTCGTCAATTATAATGACCGAGTAATTCGATAAGTTGTCATCATCAGCTAATTGTCTCAAAAGTAATCCTTCAGTGATAAAAAGAATTTTCGTCTTTAATGTCTTTTGTCGTTCAAAGCGAATTTGATATCCAACAACTGAACCGAACTCGCATAACATTTCATGAGAAACACGTTTTGACAAACCAATGCACGCAATTCGACGTGGTTGTGTGCACGCAATCTTATCATATCCCGACTTGTGAAGATATTGAGGGACTTGAGTTGACTTGCCACAGCCAGTGTCACCAGCGAGTATCAAAATTGATTCGTTATTAACAGCTTCAACGATTTCCTTCTCATAAGCAGCAATTGGCAGACTTGCTTGGAACTTTCGAAGCTTCTTCAACTTTTGAAATCTTTCCTTTTGTTTGAAGTCAAGATAATGTGTGATAATTGCGTGAAAAACTTTAATTTTGTCATCACTGACAGTTCGACCATCGTCGTCTTGATTAAAACTTGACATTTGATGTTTCGATGGCTTCAATTTCAGACTCATAAGGAAAGTTTTAATAAAATCTTTGGGAATCAACGAATTGGATTTCGGAATTTCTGTTTGAATTTCCAACACACTTTGACCATTTCGTCTCAATAAAGCTTCGTATTTAGACAGAAATTTCCAAAAATCAGAAGGATCGTCGACAAATTGTTCGCCAACATTGTAACCCATAAGTATTCGATGAAAGAATCTTTTGTTGTCAAGAAAAGAGAAGTTCAATTCTTCTTCAGTTGTTTTATCCTTTCTTCGATGTCGTTCATCGTCGCATGATGAACTTCGACGACGTTTGCTTTTCTTGTGACTTTCATGTCGGTGTTTGTGATCGTCACGTTCCATCTGAAAAAGAATTTATGGTTGAAAATATTTTTCAAGAGCAACAAGTCAAAAAACTTTTTTATTTAATGAAATATTTTCTAAAACTTTACAAGAAAACAATTGAAATTTAAACTCATGTCCAAGGATAAAAGTTGCTGAAAAGAATTGTCCCGACAGAGTAATAACCGAGAAAGTAATAAACGATGAGTTTCTGAGAAATGTTTAGCGTTTTAAGATCAAAAACATTCACATTATCGTCATCATTTTTCTTATGCTGATCGAAATTTCTCACAAAATAATTTGCACAGAAAAAGTAAAGCATTGGACTCGATGATGATATGAGACGAGTTGTAACTTGAACATGAATGCAAAGAACACAAAATAATGTCATGACGACTGCATGTACGATAAAAACAAACTGATTTTGATCGGAAACTTGAACTTTTTTCAATACACACGGTTGAAGATTGAAAATTCCTAAACGTAAGCAATAATCATGATTTTTCTTAAAATATTTAAATGAATTGACTAGAATAACAACCACGAGTGGTGCAGCAAGTAAGAAATTTGGTATTTGCTTCAATTCGTAGTAGTTTAAGAATCCAACATTCCAATAATGTTCTTGAATGTAAGAATATGAAATTGGAACATTACTTGAGCACCATGGAGAGACGGAATCATCAGTTCGATTACCAGCAAGAACCAAATTATGTTGATTTGCAAAATCCTTTATCAGTTCTGGGAAATTGAAGTTCTTCTTAAAGCAAAACAAGTAATAATTGTAAACTTGCATGAGACCGAAATGAAAGGCGATGATAATCAACATTGAAACGATTTTCAAGAAAATTGTAATGAATGACAAGACTGTGGTTTGACTGAACATTTTCTTAAGTCCATAATAAGCAACAAAACCGATGTTAATAAGTCCATTCGAACGGCATAAAATACTCAGACTTAATGGCACGATAATAAGCACAGAACTGATGTCGTCAAAGCATTTGACCATTAAAGAGAAGCTTAACCAACTGTAGAGACTCTCTGAGTAAGGAGCCGTAAAGAATATTGAAGCAGGATTAAAACAGAACAAAACTGTCGCTATTTCCGCTTTTCGTTGATCTCTCAAAACTCTACGTCCAAGCTCATATAAAACATTTGCTGCTTTCGCGAAGAAAAAAATGTTGATGACGATTCCAATTAAAAGCGAAAGTGCACGAACTGATAGAAATGGAACTATGTTGACAACAGTAAATTGTATTAATTTAATGCACAATGGATAGAGCGGGAAGAATGCGAGAGTATTCTCGTAAGTATAGCCGTGCTCAGAGATGTGCAAGAAATATTCGGCATCCCATCGACGAAATCCACCCAACAGCATATCAACTATCACATCGGATTTTCTCTTTTTCAGTGGATCCATCGGTGCACGAAAAACATCTTCGGCTTCGTGATCTTCGAATAAATGATTTGAAATGCATTGCAGGAATATCACAAATAATCGACTGAATATTGCAAGTTTTGTTATATTCGTTGGCATTTGAACAAGTATTATAATGTTTACAAAGCAACAATATTAAGAAGATGTTTTGTTACTCGATGGATGCACTGCAAAAAAGAAATGGAAAAGTGTGCAAATCAGATTGATGTTGATATGTCGATAGTGTGAATTATTCACGAGTAAAAACGAAAGATTTAAATACTTACAGCTTACAGAAGGTTTCTTTTAGAATTTTTCCATAGTAAAATAAGCAGGAAATAGTTTTTCAGAATATTTTGACTTTAAAGTTGTCAATCTTTTTTGTTTTTTTAATTTTATTGCAATTTTTCACTCTGAATTTTCTTCAAAAAAAAAGTAAACAAAGTGGGTACGAAGGTTTCTTGCTAAGTTACAAACTGAAACAATACAAATGTTTGAAGTCAGGGTTTGAAAGACTCTTGTTATGATTAACAGAAAGGAAAGCAGCTGAAATAAAAAATTTCAAACCCTGCATTTTATATTCAACTGTTGTAATGTTATTAAGTAAATTTCAACATACTTCACAAGGATCTAAAGAAGTGTTTTCATGACTAGATCAAGAAAAACTATACTCAGGTATCGCTTCTCGGCTGTAATGGCTAAGATCAAAGTGTAGTATCTGTTCTTATCAGCTTAACATCTGATAGTCCTCTCATAGAGAGGCAACAAATGTTAAACTGATTTTTGGAAATCGGCGGAAATAATGGGCTTGCTCAAGTTCTGCCTCGGGTTGGCCTGGTATTGCAGTACCTCCAGGAACGGCCCAAACAAATCAATACATAAACAATAAATTCTCAATTTTCTATAAAAGTTTTATTCATTTTCTTCGAATATGGCAAGAAATTTAATTTCGTTGTATGTTTTTAAAAGTCCTTATCACATAGATATTTCACCAACATTATTTAGCTTTATAAATTATTAATTTCTCAAATTATCGTAAGCTTGTAAAACACCAGGTGACCCTCCAAATGTTCCGGTATATTTTTCAATAACTTTTTCTTTTGATGACGCATAGTTATTATTGTTGATGCTTAGTGGAAGTTGAGCGATGGTTTGAGGCGTTGGAGGCTGAAGCGAGAATGCCGGTTTTTGTTGAGTTGAAGCACCACCAAATCCGCCAGTGTATTTATTTTCAATTGTTGGTGATGCAAGTGTCGGTGAAGCATATGTTGGTTGTGCTTGGGTTGATGAACCTGCACTGTCAGCAAAATTATCATTCACTAAAACACCTGGAGGTCCTCCGAAGTTTCCTTGATACTTTTGAACACCGACTTCCTTTTGTGTCGTAAAAGTATTCTGAGTAGGTGATGGTGCTTGGAATTGTTTATTTGTTGTCAGTGGATCTTGAACAATTGTAACTGGGATTTGTGTTCGTTGTGTTGGTGGAACTAAATTACCAAGAATTCCAGGCGCACCACCAAAGCTTCCTGTATATTTGTTTTGAGTTTTATCTTGTTTAATAATTGAAGTTCCAAAACTGAATTTATTGACAGTGGCAGCTGTCGTTGTGGGGATTTGTTGTGGTTGGAAATTTATATCGTTTGGTGATGGATCCTTTGGTGGAAGAAGTCCATTTGATGGTTTCGGAGCGAAATGAACTTCTGTGATGACGAGAGGTCCGTCTTGTGTAGGATTCTTAAATGTTGGAGTGTTTTGCTTAACAACTGCACTGTCAGTTGGTGGAAGCAATCCTTGGTTCAATGGTGAATCACTTTTATCAATTGGAGTTTCTGGAATGTCAAGATTGGGTCGTGGAATGAAAACACTTACACCATTACTCGGATTTGCTGGTGGAACTAAATTTTTAGAGACTGTAACTGTCTGATAATTTCCAGTTGGCACTTGAAGTGAAGCAGAAGGTGAACTTGGATTGTTGCTTTTTGGTGGTGTCAACACATGATTCAATGGATCGTCAATGGGAACTTGCGGTGTTTCAGGTAAATTTATGTTTGGTTTTGGAATGTTTATTGGTGTTTGATTGAAAGTGTTTGTTGTTGAAGTTGTTTGAGATGGTTTATCATTGTTTTGAAATGTGTTATGAAGTGGATCGACGAAATGTATTCGATCATCGCTTGCTTTTGCAGAGAAATCACCGTTGAAACTGCTGCGTGTTGGTACTTCATGGGGTGCTAGAATACCTGAAGCATAACCGGGAATAATGAACATATTTGGATCAGTGGAAGTCTTACTTGGAAGCTTCGCATCAATCGCCTCAAGAGTGTCATACGTTACGGGATTTCCATAACTGTCTCTGAGACTGTTTCTCACTCTTATGCCATCTGGATATGTCACCTGGTCTAATGATCTCAGACTCTTCTCTCCCGGTTTACCTTCGTAATTGAAATCAATGAAAATTACTGAAATTTAATTGAATGAAGTTAGTTCATCATCATGCTTTTTATTACTAAATACTTTATGTTCACGGTTGATTAGTCTCACTTAGATTTTCATGCGATATTTAGTTAATGATCGGTTAAATAAATATGAAATGAATTTTTGTTCGGCACAACATTGCAAATAAACCAAAAAGGCGTAGTGAGAAAGGAAATTTCATCATGTCAATTATCACTGATTTGACCCATTGTCCTATTTTGGAAATGAGTTTCGTTTAGAATAATTACTTTGATGTTATTTTTTGACTCGCGTAAATCTTTATTTAAGCATCTATTGTTACTCAGATATTTCAACGTGACGCAATATTTACATTGTACCAACAAGTCAATTTTTCTAACAATGCACATAAGTTTTTTATTGTGATTTTTCACATCTCTATTTAAGTAGCATCATCAGTTAATGTTTAAAATTCCAATGTTTGGGATCATCGCCAAGGTCGCCAGATTTTATGGACATAAATATTCAATAATTCTTCATAACTTTCAATTAGCACCCACATAAATACATAAAATGTGAAAAGAATTGACACAAAGTTCTGCTGCAACAAGTAATAAATATTTAAGGATTCATTAGGAAATGTTTGCAGACAATTCAAAAAAGATGTTGGAACACGGAAAACAATTCGTGAATCGTAAGTTCGCGTGTCTATAGACACCGACACTGTGTCAACCACTCATTCAATTCCACAACAACACTGTAAGTCTTCATAATTAAATGTAAATAAGGGAGACACCTTAAAAATAAACTGAATCAATTTGTTTCTGTCATAAACTTGTTTAAGTTGTAAATCCCATCGGTTTTAAACTTTAAACAGTGGCCTGTAACATTCAAAAGAATCTTTCACACTTATTTTAATGCGTCGGTGTCGCTGCGCAATAATAACTCAATGTCTATTCTTTGAATGTTGAAAGTTTAATCATATTTTTCTAGAAATCATTCGTTACAGACGAATATCTGGTTTCTGCCATTCTTTCGCCTCTCACACAACTCTTGGAAATCTTTCATTAACCTTGAAAAAGAAAATTACTAGAAGTACATAAATAAAATCTTCTTGGGGTCAGTATTACGACCTTTGAAGTCGATTCGATATTTAATGACATGAATGGAGATGTTTCCATCAATAAAGTAAGTTAATTTATATGGAAATTAAAGCAGTAGGTAATTAGATCGTTGCGAAGCCTTCACTTAATACAATTTAACATTTTTACACTCTTGATTACCTGGGCTCTCGCCACTTCTCCGCTGAGGATATGCAGAAGTGTTAATTATACTGATAAGTAAACATCCGATGACTAAACTCGATCGAGACCACATTATAATTGTGTTAATTTTAACTTCTTTCGTTGCAATTGCTTTATTTTTCTTAAGAGAAAAAGATTCACTGCTTATAAAAGATTTTAACGTGTGACTGTAATGATTTTTGCGGAATAACTGCGCGAGTAAACGAAATCATCAGTTGCTTTTGTCGTGATCCCCCCTTATGTGTATGATCACACTGTTCGCTTATTGAGTTGTTGTTGTTGTTGGTGTTGACTCTTAGCCACGAAAAGAACTTGAGAGAAAATGAATCAATGAATTTTTGGGTGTAAGTTTCTTCAATATTTAATTATTATTTTTTTTTTTCTTTTGTCATGGATGGAATGTTTGAAACAAGTTTGCTTTGAGTGTCAAACATATCCACTTACGATGAACTGTGACGATTCTTATTTTAAGCAATATTTATTCAAGTCATTTGCCTAACGAACTCTATAATTAATTGCTAAAATAAAACCGATTACATTTGTTCTTATGATCAATTGCGCGATCATGACTCAAGATTAGCATACGTTAAGTGCCTGTAATAAAAAATCGAAATTCCTACCCGGCAATAACGACGCTGTTATGACGTCGAAATATTATTACTATTATTGTCGTTGCTTTAATTTTTTGTTTTTAATTCCTTTCTTGAGAGCCTTCGCGAGTGCGAGTCATTTCTCTCATTTCTATATTTAGTTGTCATGCCTTTGAAGGTCGTCCAGTAAATATACTTGGTGAGTTTGTATGGATCATGCTTTTCATACCATTTCGATGAATTTTTTTTCACAAGAATCGTTACCACTAAATTGATTTAGGAAACATCAGGTTTTTGCTATTCCCTCTCTCTCTTTCTTTATCTCTCCCTGGCATTGTGACTCATGAACTCGCGATAAATTTTTCATTCTCTAACATCGATGGAACGAAACAAAAAAGCTTGAATATTGATCAGCAAATGTTGTTTATGGGAATTCCGGGTGATGCAGCTTTATATTTAAGATCGAACTTCTGAGAATAATAAGTTAAGTCGGCTTGTTGATCAAACAATCATAAACAACAAGCTTTCGTATACATTTTGTTTTACGTTTGTGATTATTTTTAAATTACAAATTCGATCAGATTACGGATTGTAAATTGTTTTCATTGTCATGTTCATCATGTCTGTCGTTGTTTTATTAATTTCAGGTCTTTTCTTGCTAGACATTTTAATGAAATATCAATGACCGATAATGAACAAAGTTCAGTCTTTGTTGTGTTTTAAAATTAAAAAATGAATAAATTGGAAGTTAAAGAAACTTCTTTATTGAGCTTCTGATGTACTTTACATATTCACACTTCACATCACAACAATAACTTTAATTTGTTGTGCAAGAACCGTTTATACAAGTCGTTGTTTCACATTTCCCATTGATGCAATGAACAACTTTACTGTAAGATTGAATATTGAAAGTTGTTCCACCAATATTCTTGCCAGTTGGATACGAAGGAGTAAGAAGTTCAGTAGAATCGTCAATTTCCGGCGAGCCTTCGATTTCAGGGTCTAAATATTTAATTTTTTTTTATTAAACTTGATTTTAATCGTTAAGATGTTCGTTCTGTCGACTTACTTGGTCGTGCATTGCACAAACTCAATAATGCTATGAAAGCAAAGCAAGAAATCTTCATTTCTCAACAAATTTATTCCCACAATTCACCGATAAATTGCGTTTTAGCGTTAAGCTAATAAAATTTTTGAACAACTGAGTAAAGCAGTCAAAATCTCATTGAATTTATTACTTTTGTACTCACGTTTTGTGTTCAACGAGGTGAAACATTGTTGACAATGATTCTAGAATTATTAAACTCAGTTTTTTATAATTTTAACATTGCACGATTTATCACGCGCTTTCCAGAAAGTTTGAAGAGTAATTCAGCAATTATAAATGATGATTAAAAAAAGAAGCATTTAAATGTTATCTTGATCGATATTCTCGATAAAAAAAGCTGTTATTAAAACATAAAAATTTTTATTTAACCATCAATGAACATCTGTTGAACATTCTCGAATTTCATTAAAAATATTTACATCGAGACGTAATAAAATTAGGATTTAAATCTGTTTTCTTGTTTTGTTAAAAGCAATATTGATGAATTGTAAAAATTTAAAGCTTAAAATTAATTTTGTTAAATATTTTCTGACACAATTTTCTCGTCGCAAACTCCATTTTGACATGTTCTGGTTTTAATTTCACAAATATTGTCGTGACAATTTTTATTAATTTGTTTTGAGTTGGCCCAATATTGCGACGCGTCTTTTGGATTTGTAATGATATCAATCAATCCAGTGTTGTCAAAACGCGATGCAATGTCAATTTGTGGAAGTTGAGGGAATTGTGGAAATTGGAAATTTTGAAAAATGTCAGGTGATGGATTTTTAATAACTGGGGTGTTGATTCGATACTCGTCAGCACTGAATCGATTCTTTGTGGTGTCGCAATTGTTATTGCTGCACTTTATTAATGTTTCTTCACATATATCGCCAACACATTTCCATTGCTTTCTTACAGTTGTTAAAAATTGAAGAAAATCATTCTCCAATTGTCTCTGTGCTTGGTTTACGTCTTAATAGAATGATTAAATAATTAAAATGACAAGTTTAACTTTAAATTAATTAAATATTTTACCAAAGTTTTGTGGTGCACTTGAAACAGTGGAAATGAGCGAAATAATTCCAAAGGAAATTGATAAAGTTATGAAAAACTTCATGATCGAAACTCTTCAATCAACCTTAGACTTCCTAAGACGTTGAACGACTTAAATATAAATCTCAGATTGCATACAATAATATCAACTTCTAAGTTCTTCGCCAGAGACTCTTCTTGCTTGTGTAACTCGTTGATATTTAAAATAGCAAGAACAATAATCACGACGATCGTGAAAAACTGGTTAACTTTAAAAGTGTGTTGGAATGTTTTCGTGACGCCGATATGAGACAAATAAACAATTTTATTAAAGTTTTTATCATTCAAATTCTTACACTTATAGGAGAAAGAAGAAGATTTATTTGCAAGCATCTTAAAAGTGTGAAATTTAATTCTAAACATTAAAATTATTTAACCACACTTAGATTTCTATTTATTTAATTAATTTTTCATTAATGTTGTGACTGACATTCATTCCAAAAGCTTTCTACATTAAAGTAGACACAAAAAAGGTTTCATTGAAATCATTTACAAATCCTCCAAGATTTTCTCAATGAAAATTTCGCCTATGGTGTGTTTAAAAAGATTTTCCTAAAATAAAATGATTAATGGAAGAAGTTTGATATTAAAATATTTTTTACCTGAAGATTCTGCGCATTTCCAGCAAACTTTATTGGAGGAAGCATCAAAAGAAGATGACCGTAACGTAAACTGCCACATTTTTCAATAAGCAAACAAAGTGTTTGATTTTGAAGCAGAACAATTTGGTTCATCGATGTATAACTTTCAGCCGCATCACTGCGGAAGAGAATCAACGCTTTTAAGCACGCAGCTTCAAAATGATCGACTTTAAGTGAAGCAAAATGTTTGATGACGTTCTGAAGAGTTCTCAAGAATGGCACAGAGACCAGCAATTCCTCATTTATTGTAAGTCCCCATTGCGATGCAGCAACAACGAAAAGTTCGGCCCATGACTCGTTCAGCATTTTCTTTTGATCACAAATCGGCAGTTGATTAAATGATGGAATTGATTTCGCCCATCTTATCGAAAGAAACAAAAGCTTTGTCGCTGAATCATACAAAGTTTGAGTTGATTTCAAGCGATTTGAATCGTTCAATGGAAGGAGTTGAATCTCTTCAGAACTTGTCACTTCGTTCTCTTTTTCCTTTGTTATCTTTTCGCTGCTTTCAGTGTTTTTCACCTCTCCAATATTCGTCTTCCGCATGAGTAAGTTGCTTGTCAACATTTTTTCAATCTCCAAATCGTAACTCGATGTTGTCAACACGTGAGGCTTGTAAACATTTTGTGTAAACTTCAAGTTCAATGACTCGGTTAAATGCGGATAATATGGCGATGGGATGTAGTAATTGTCAAGTGGAAATGTTAAAGGTGACGACAAATGCATTTGAAATGGAAAAATTCCTTCCTGATGTCTTGCACCATAAATGTTGGCATAAGTCAATGATTGATTTGATTGCGTAACATTTGGAATTTTCGGCGCTCGTTCATGTTGTACCGCTGAAAATAATATTTAAACAATTAAGAATCTTTTTAGTGTTTTAAAAAAGGTCATTATTGATTGTTATCCACTTCATTATCAACAATCAAACACGCGTTGACAATTAACTTGTTTTTACCCACAAACGTAACCCTCAATAATAGTTAAAAACCATTTTCCACCCTCGCTTGTCCACTCATTTATTTATTTCTTCTTCGAGGGTCGCACGAACATAAACATCAACAGATTTCATTATTCACATCAATTTGTAAATATTTAAGAAATCAATCCAAATACATTCAATCACATTTATCGTGTGACGTGACTTTTATGATTTTTTTACTTCATTTTTTTGTTTTGTTTCTAACCCATTTGCGGTTCAAATGAGCGACCGTGATATAAACGAAGAAATAATATCAGATGTCAATACGTGCATGTCAAACGGTAAGGTTGAATAAAGAAATGATTCAGCTAGTAGTGCCCTATCAACTTCTGATATCTTCGATCAACGTTATACATGATAAACTATGACATGTGTTTGGTAACTGTAAAAGTCAAACAATCACGAGAGGAAACATTTTATGATTATTTAATTACGTTCATATGGAAAAAAAGAGCCGCCTCTTGATGAATAATAGAAGTGATTACCGTAAAAACCATGCTGTAGTGGTTCATGAACTCATCAGGTGTCGTTTTCCCATGATTGCTTGATATAGATTCATAATAGTGACTTTTCTAAATTTTTCTTCCACCGTTGAGCTTATGTTGAATCAATGAATTGAAACATGAATAATTAAAGAGATTTTATACGACTTTTGACATGACATGACGTGACCTGACTTTGCGTTTTAAATAGGTACATAAAACGGTGTTGTCAATGATGATGCAACTATCATTGTGAAGGATATCAAGAGGGAATTTATAATGAACATAAAACAGCTTCATTGAACATATTTTATGATGGATTATTTTTTTGTAAGAACTTTTTTTCTTCTCATATTAAAGTGAGAGGAATTTCGATCAATCTTTCCCTTAATTTGCTTACAAAATATTTCAACATTAGTTGGCAAATGTAAATAATGTTGGTGACATATGAGTCGAGCAACATAAGTTTCATTTCCAACCCTTCAATCGCTCTATTGCCGTTTCACAATCTGTGTTGATGTTTTCATATTTACTTCCTCTTGATATCCATAATCATCGACATCCTCATCTCTACCACCAATTGTTGACAATGTCGACACTCAATTGACACAATGGGAAAATTAAATGCTCATCTCGTGTGTGCATTGAGTTACGAAAGGAAAAACACTTCAACATTTCACTTCCATTTAAAGTGAATTTACTCAGATCTCATTGGAATCACGATGGATGAAAAGATACAATGCGACACAAAGAGCAAAGATAAACTGACTAATTGAAAATGTTTGTAGCAGTTTCGTTTTTTCTGTCACTAAGATGTTTTACTTGAGTTGATGGATAGAGCGAAGGAAATGACAGAAGCAGGAATTTGTGAGTATTTAGAAAAAGAAATTCTTTTATTTAGGTATTTATTTACCTTCTCGTCTCATATTGGCTTGAATGCATTTGGCAAAGCGACATGCTTGACATTGGTTACGCCTTGATACATCGACCACACATTTTCCACCTTCCTTGCAGACATATTCAAGATTTCTAAATGAGTAAAAAAAGTTTTTTTACTTGTTAGTCGAATTAAATTTTAATTTTAATGTCAAAAACAAAAATTTCTAAAGAATAATTTTCTTGTTAACCTTCTTATGCTTCGCTTGAAGAATCCACGACATCCATCACAACTGGGAACTCCATAATGCTTTCCTGTGGAATTTAGATGAATTTTTTTAATAATTTTATTACAAATTTTGTGATTGTTTAGAAGAATCCTTGGACAACATAAAATTTGTGCCAAATATTTTTTCTTTTGTTAAATATTTTCTGTAGCTTCACAATAACACTCAATTCACAAGCTCAATTCTAAAATTATTTTACCTGAAGCTCTATCGCCACAAACTTTGCACAACACTCCCGGTCCACTTCCATATCGATCATTCATAATGAAAAAATGATCTTGTAACAAACTTTATTTAAAATTCACACAAATTTTACACAGATTTCCTTTAATTTCAACTTAACTTTGATTACATTTGAACACGAGAAAATAATTGAAAGACTTTCAACATTCTACAACTGCCGATTGATCTCTGATGAAACTCCGACGATATTAAAAACTTTCAGGAAAGCAAATCATATTTCTATTCAATTTTATTCAATCTATAAATAAATCAGGGGTGGTTGAGGATATTTCCAGGATATGTCAACGATTGTTGCGATTTGAACTTCCTTTTTAAACCGAGTCTGTTCATTGCCTTGTTCCAATCGAATTCCTTCCTTGTTACTTCAACCATTTTTTAGGGGCGGAGCTTCGTAAAAGGATCTCCCGTGCGTATCACTAACGACGCCTTTCTGCTTCGATTTCCTTCCACAGCTGTGGAAATAATTTTTTTCGTCCACTTCAGATTACCGTAGAATTTTCAAAAGTAAAGTTTGTAATAAAATTAAACATTTGTAAATAAAAAACAATTTTTATTAAACTTCAACTATGAACAATCAACAATAGCAAAAAATGGAATTGAAATGGATTAAAAAAATGATTCGGAATGATTTTTAAAACTTTTAAGTGATTAAATCCCATGAGTTGAGTGGAGAATTTTCACAAATTTTCAATTGTAGTTTTTCACCTTTCTCAGCTTTTGGTGCTGCCAAGCAGGTACCAGTTGCAACATTATAAATTGGCGTTCGTTTCTGTGAAGAAAAATAAAGTTTGAAAAATAAAATTAAGAATATTTCAAATAAATTTACCGTTTGTCGGTGATTCCATTGCTGATCGCCACCCATTTCGTGACATTTGTTTAACAAAGGTTTTGAGAAAGACGAACTTTGAGCTTCCAAACACAATAATTGACCAAAAACAATTTCATTCTTATCCGTTTCATACCAAATTTGACTTTTTATACGCAGACAAGGCGCAAGCTCAACATTTTTTCCTTTCGTCCATAAACTTTTCTCTTTCGGCCCTGAAATGGTCGCACATAATGAAGTGTTTGTGAGTCGTATCTGGAAGTTGCTCAGATAATTTCGCTTCCTGCTATGCCATGGTTGAAACTTTGGAAGTTCCATTTTTGATTTCTCGCCAGGCAAGCTTTGTTCAGGATAAATATTATTTAAATACCATTTAAACGATTTGCAGTTAAGTTTCTTTCTTAACTTCTGACGATCAGAAACATCACCAAAATCTTTTTCTTTTGCTGACTTTTGATGGTCAAGGAAATATTCGAGATATTCATCCATCCAAACATGAGCTAAACGAAGAGAATTCTTAATCATTGTGTCATCATTTCCAACAGTTCCATAAGGTCGCCGCTTTCGGAAAACATGACCAACTCGGCTGCACGGAACAATTTGAATTGATCCACCGCATTGCCAGATTCGGAAAGATATTTCAATGTTTTCCCCACCCCACACATCCATTCCCATATCGTACTCCCCCATCTTTTTGAAATATTCACGATCAATTGCGAAAAGCCCTCCAGCCATTGTTGGTGATGCAAAAGGCCCAGCAAAGTTTTCTTCTTTTGTCAAAAGATCTTTTGGAATGTTGTCCCATCGATAATGCAATCCCCAATTGAAACCGCCTCGAACTAATGGACTTGAACTGTACACGAATGTATCAGCGTTGATAATATCAATAATTGGCACAGCAACTGCAGTACTATTGTGTTTAATAAGATTGAGTAAAGGTTCCACCCATTCACGATTCACTTCAATGTGACTGTCGAGAAAGATGAGAACGTCGCCGGTTGATTTCCTTGAACCATACACACGAGATCGTATCAAACCCTCTCTCTTTGAATTTCTAATAATTGTAACCTTATGACTTGAGTCGAGTTTTTGAATTCGTTTCTCTAAATATTCCTTGAGATCCGGCAAGTCACTTGAGTCATCTACTAAAATAATTTCTTTTAATAATTTCGTCGGAGTTCTTTTGATGACAGTATTAACAGATCGTATTAAAGTGTTGATATCTTCATTATAAAAGCACATAATAATTGAAGCTGTTGGAAGTTCTTCATCATAGTTTTGTTGAGCACATCTGAAAATTAGGAATTATAAAAATTTAAAGTAGTTTAACTCAATTCTTACATTTTATGGCGAGTATCAGGGATTTCTCTAAATGTCCCTATTTGGTTGCTAACTAGAACGTTAAATGCATGAGTTTTATAGCCAGAATCTCGAATGAACTGATCCTCGACATTTCTTATCACTCCAAATTCTTCAATTTGCTTTACTGTCACAGGTTGCATTTCTTCAATCAACTTTCGACTCAGCTTTCTCTTGCCTTTTTCCTTCAACAATTTACTCTTAATATGTGACAACTTTCCATCAATGTTTTCATTTTCCTTGTCTTCAATAAAGTTACTATTTTCGTCAGATTCATCCTCACTAGAATTATCATCGTTGAAAATATTTTTCGCAAATATTTTTGTTGACGAACTCTCAGTCAATGAATAATAAAGGTAAAAGGAAAGAGTCCATGTTACTAAAACTCCAACGAGGACACCACAGAAAAAAGATTTCTTGTTCATGACATTTGTGTTTCAGTTAGATTTCGCCTAAACTTAATTAATGAAAGTTTAAAAATTATTAATTGAAATCGGTCTGCTTGTGATGAATTACCAGGAGGGGTGAAAAGCTTTGAAAAATATTTTCCTACCCCTCATAAAGACACTTTAACGAATTTGCCACAATTTTTAACGAAACATTGAAATTAAGTTGTGTAAAGCTAAAATAATAATTTTTAGACTGCAGTACAAAGTTTCCAGTGATTCAAACACAGAGAAATCATAAACCATGGGAGTTCCAAAATTTTTTCGTTACATAAGTGAACGATATCCTTGTCTATCGGAGTTAGTTCGTGAAGATCAGGTAAACAAAAGAAAAATGAATTTTATGAAAATATGAAATTAAGCAAAATTGTCAACTTGCGTAATTTAACACAATGTCATATTTTCAATACAGTTGCCAAAAAAAAGGCATAAAAATAATGCTGAAATTTTTATTTTAGGTTCCTGAATTTGACAATCTGTATCTGGATATGAACGGAATCATCCACAATTGCTCACATCCCAATGACGGTGATGTTCACTTTAGAATAACAGAAGAACAGATCTTTAAGGATATTTTCTTTTATTTGGAGACACTTTTCAACATGATGAAGCCACAAAAAGTTTTTTTTCTTGCAGTTGATGGTGTCGCGGTGAGAATTTCTTTCATTAAAAAGATCTGTTGCAATTAAATCAATTTATTTATGCAGCCACGTGCAAAGATGAATCAACAGCGTGGGAGACGTTTTCGTTCAGCAAAAGAAGCAGAAGTTCAAGAAGAAAAAGCACGTCAAAAAGGTGAAGTTTTACCATCAGAAGCTCGTTTTGACAGCAATTGCATCACTCCTGGAACTCCATTCATGTGTCGGTTAAACACAGCATTGCGATACTTTATCCAACACAAAATATCAACATCAAAAGCCTGGAGACATTGTAAAGTCATTCTCAGTGGTCATGAGGTTTGTTTTTGCTTATTTTCTTTTTTATTTTCTATTAAAAAGTTTTCTCTTTAGACTCCTGGAGAAGGTGAACATAAAATCATGGAGTACATTCGTTACTTAAAGACTCAAAAGGATTATAATCCTAACACTCGTCACTGCCTTTATGGATTAGACGCCGACTTAATAATGTTGGGTTTGTGCACACACGAGCGACACTTTTCACTGCTTCGTGAGGAAGTGAAGTTCGGTAAAAAGAATAAAAAAGCTGTGTCTGTAAGTCAACAACGTTTCTTCTTATTACACTTGAGTTTGATGCGAGAATATCTTGAGCAAGAGTTTATTGCGTTGAAAGATAACATGAACTTTCCATTCGACATTGAAAATGTAAGTTGAATTAATGAAAAAAGAATTTTTTGAATTGATTGAATTGAAATTTGCAGATAATTGACGATTGGGTTTTGATGGGATTCCTTGTTGGCAACGATTTCATCCCAAATATTCCTAATCTGCACATCAATTCGAATGCACTTCCGATGCTTTATGAAGCTTACATAAAAACGATGAGATCACTCGATGGCTACATTAACAACGGCGGTTATCTTAATCTCGCTCGTTTACAACAATTTATTGAGAATCTCGAACAATTTGATCGCGATCACTTTTTAAATCAATACGAAAATTTGAATGTCCTCGAGTCGAAGCATCAAAGCGCTTTCAACAACAGAAACGATGACACTTTTGGTGGCAATGAAGAACTTCTAAAGATGATGAAAGATACAGAATTTGAGTTTGACAGTTCGCCTGATGAGAATGAAGATGAAGACGAAGACGAAAACAGCGATGAGACTTTTGAGAAAGAATTTCATCAACATCGTCGCGATTATTACGTGAATAAAATGAAATATGCTGACATGACGGCAGAAGTTTTAGCTGAGCAAGCGGAATGTTACATTCGAGCACTTCAATGGACTTTGTCTTATTATTATCACGGAGTTCAATCGTGGAGTTGGTATTATCCACATCACTACGCTCCTTACATCAGCGACTTGAAGAACTTCAAAGATCTCAACATAAAATTCGAAATGAGTCAACCTTTCCTTCCATTTCAACAATTGATGAGCGTTTTACCAGCAGCAAGTCGCGCTCATGTTCCTGAATGCTACAAGAAGCTGATGACAAATCCCGACAGTGAATTAATTGACTTCTATCCAACTGAATTCGAAACAGACTTGAATGGAAAGAAACAAGATTGGGAAGCTGTCGTGTTGATTCCATTTATTGATGAGAAAAGACTTTTGAAGACTTTAGAGAAACATGAGAATGAATTGTCACCACCTGAGAAGGCAAGAAATGTTCATGGCCCAATGTATGTTTACACCTATTCCAACACAAGTCGTGGCACTCTTGACGCTCCTTTAAGCTTCCCAAGCATTGGCAATTTAATGTGCGATGAGAAAAAAGTTTATCGTGAAGAAATTCAAGTTATGAAAGAGAAACTCGTGCTTGGACCTTCGAAAGGAGCTTTGACTGATGTTTTCTTCACGGGATTTCCAACATTTAAACATTTATCGTACAAAAGTGTTTTGAAACGACAAAATGTTCAAGTATTTGATCAACCTTCAAGATGTGATAATATGATGATTGTTGTTAAGAATGATAATTGTGTAGAAAGCAATTTTGATGCAGTTTCAGACTCGCATGCGGATTTGGCAGATAAAATTGTGCATGTCGGTTGGCCACATTTGTTTGAAGCAAGAGTTGTAAAAGTTTGTAATGAAAGCAAAACTATTCAAAATGGTGAATTGATTGATACTGACAAGGCGCGATTTAAAAGTGATGTTCAAGCTATCAAAGATCATCACATTAAACGAATGGGAATTGATGTTGGTGAGATTCATCAAATTGTTTATGTTGTGCAAGTGTCAGGTGAAGAATATCGAATGGATCAGAAAACGAAGACTTTTAAGCTTTTAAAAACTTTTGAGAGAAATGAAATTCCATTTCCAATTCAATGTGTTGTCAAAGATGTCAAAGCGTATCGTAAGAAGTTTAAAGAAGAAGTTCCGCTCTTTGAGGCTTATAAAAATGGAACTGAAGTGTTTATGGTGACAAATCCTTTTTATGGTTCATTTGGGGAAGTCACTGATGTGAATTGTTATGAGAAGAGTGGACGAATCAAAGTCATGTTGACAGTTCCACAAGAACCTGACTTTGAAAAGGTCCACAAAATTCATCAAACGACTCAAAATTCTTACATGGAAGCTTATGAAGTTGCTTCTGTTTTAGGCATCAACGACAATGTTTTCAATCGTTTAACTGGAACTGTTTTAGTCGTTCCTGGCAGTCGACGACAAATTTCAAACGACGCAACTTCAAAACTCAACATTGGACTGCAATTTAAATTTCCGAAAACCAACGAAGCAGTCGCTGGTTACACAATGAAGACTCGCATTTGGCTTTATTCAAATAAAATTCTCAACATCATGCAGGAATATTATTGTAAATATCCAATGGTGTTCGAAAGGATGAGCAGATCAACTGGGAATAAAAATGATTTGTTCTTTGAGTCCGACTTCTTTGACACAGCGCTTGAAGATAATGACAACAACAACACTCTTCAGTCACTTTTGAAATGGTTGGCAGAACTTCCACATCAGAAAGCGGAAAGACGTGATGCTGGTTCTGAATCGATTGAGAAGGAAGTCATTGAAGCAATCAAAGATGCTGTTTGTAAAGCAAATGATCTTCCAATGAAGAAGATTACAATGCAAGTTAAGCCACATCTTCTTTACGCTCCTTCATTGACGAAATCAACGGTCAAAGCTCCTGATACTTCAGCTGAATATCAACTGTTTGATCGTGTTACTATCGCTAAGGAGAGTGAGAAGTTTTCTGTTGGAATGAAAGGAACTGTCATTGGAATTTCTCGAGTTAAAGACACAAATCCAGTGAGACGTGAATGTGTTAACAAAGAAGTTACTTATTGTGAAATTTTATTCGATAACAATCAAATTGAACGAATTTCAACATCAAATCTCATCAATGTAAGTTATGGTGAATATTTGAATGGTAACAATAAGCCGAATGTTAAAGCAGCGCCGGAAAAATCGTCAAAACATGTTCAGAATGTTCCAACAACGAGTAAATTTCAATATTCTGATATGGTAAAGAACGCTGAGAAAGCTCCGAAAGATAAACCTAAAGAGATTAATGATTTCTGGAGTGCTTTTAAGAAAGTATCTGTGGACGATGGCGAGAAAAAGAAACAAGAAGTGAATGGTGAAACAAATAAAGTTGGATTGCCAGAGATTGTCGCACCGTCAACGTTGCCATTGCCGCCACTCAAATGGCTCGAAAACACTCAAAAAGAAAGATTAAATAAGTTAACTAATCAACAACCTCCTTTCCCACAACCGCCGTTACCTTTCCATCATAACAACGTTCAAAATTCTGACTTTAATTTTCCACCTGGACCGTCTTTACCTTTCTTCAGAAGCAATTTGATCCATCAAGTCCCAGTAAGTTATTCTAAAAATTTCATTTTTGATTCATTTTCAAGTTTCTCTTTCATGTATCACTTAGATGCGTCCATTGCAACAACAAAACTTCCAACAACCAAGAAATTTCAACAACAATTTTAACAACGTTCATCGCTTCAGACCTGAAATGAATCAACAACAGCAACGACCGATTCAATATCAGAATCCCCAAGGACAATTCCAAAGACCGCAAAACTCATTTCAACATCAACATCAAAATCAGCATCAGCAACAACAAAAACCTGGAGCTGGAAACGCTTTCATCCCATTGCAAGCGTTTAGAAAAGCGACGAAAGGCAAAAACATCGTTCAAACACAAACCAAACCAACTCAAAGCATCACCGCTAAAAAAGAAGCAAATGCAAATATTGAAACCACGCCATCACAGTCTAATGTTAAAACTGAATCAATGCCATCGACTTCACAAGCAGAAAATACTGTAAAAGCTGCTAAACAACCGCCTAGAGACAACAGAAAATCTCGTCTGGCTATCAGCTTTGGAAAATAAAAAAATAAGTCTGAGTTGTCAATATTAAAATTTTAATTGAATTTGCTTCATTTTATTTTTCAAATAAAATTGAAACGCGACACTATTAAAAACTGTCAAATTGCTTTCTTGTTTAACTAATTAATGACTGAGAACATGTCTTCCTTTAAGTATTCTTCTCATTATTATCATTTGACCACCGGGAGTTGACAATCTTTTCTCCCAACCATGGACTTTGATTCGTTTTCCCTCTTTAGCTCTGGGAAATCTATTTCTTATGTTGGTTCTTATGAAAGTGAGACTCCAGGATGGAAGGAAAGTATTTGTTTGGACTGCAATATTATTTGAAGTTATAAGTGAAGTGTTACACAAAACATTTGTTGACTTTTGCAGAAAAGAGCTTGAACAGAAAAGATTAATTCATAATTTTTCAAGAAATCTTAAGAAAGGGACTCACCCAAATGTTTTACACATTTGTGACATTATTAAATCAATTCAAATGCTCTTTTTTGTTGAAATTTTTATATACTTTGAGGTTTGTTTTTAAGATTTTCTTTATTTCGTTAAGTTTTCAAAGGGTATGAATTTTGAAATTGATTTCAAATTTAAATTTCAAAAAGACGTTAAAAGTTGAGGTGTCGAGATATATCCTTCATGAAAAAAATATTAAAGGAACTGCTACTCATAGCATAATTAAATACAATTAAGAACTCTTTAATATTTATAATTTGATATCATATTTATTTCAGGGAAAGATTAAGAATACATTTTCTTGAAATCTGAGACAAATTTAATTAAGTGAAATTTAATCATATAGTTTTGAAGTATTTTTTTATTAAATTACTTAAAAATGTAAATCTCCATTGTATTATTAGCATATCTGTGTAAGTTTTTTATTGCCATTTTCTTTCATTCTAGAAGGTTTGTGTAATAAAAACCTGTATTTAAGCAGCAGAATTTGCAAAAAGAGGGAACAACTTTTTTGAATTGATATCACTATTTAATAGAATTTAAAAGGTTGTCTCTTGGTATTTATTTTGATACCTTGTAGTTTTATTAATTTTATCACAATTTTTCTGATAAATATTGTGATTTATATAGATACCTTTTTATTCATTTTAATTTTAGAATGTTTATTCATAGAGTAATTTTCGACATTCTATTAATTATACAATTTTTTTTTAAAGTTTTATTTCTCAATAATTTTCGATTACATTTGATGATATTAAATTTTATTGGGCCGATTTATAAAAACTTTCTATCGATTAGTTCCTCAAACTTAACAGAATATTCCATATCCATTTCTAGCAAACGATATGTAGTTGACACGTGCTTTAATTCTTTGGACGATTGGATGTTTTAAAAATAATTGAAACAAAGTTCTCAACACTTTATCTTAATGTAATTAATTAAAATGTTTAATGTCGTTAAAAGATTTCATTGCTTAGTTTTATGTGTCTGCAGTGGATAATTAATTAACTTTGTTTTCTTCTTTTGAATTGTTAAGAATTTAAAATAGATTAGATTAGAAACATAATTTTAACTTATTTTCAAAAGTCATTATTAATTGACTTAAAATTTTGATGTATAAAACAACTTGTAATGGTTCGAAAGGTACAATAAGTTAAAGATAGATTTTATTAAAGTAATTTATTATCAGTAGACTAGTAAATTTCTGCTATCTTGAGCTTCTTAATTACTTCATTAGCATTTCTTGTGAAATTCATTAAACAAAATAAATAAAACAAAACTTCCATAAACTATTCGACATAAGACTTAGGAACGACTTTCATACCTTATCGATTCCATTGAAGCATTTATGTACATAAGTCTAACTGATCCCATTTACCGCACAATCTGAATGCGTGTCAACAAATTTCTAATCTGATTCAAAACTATTGTAACATTCTCTTTACTGCGTACAATAAAATTTCAATATTGATAATCACAGGAAATGTCAAAGGCTTAAGCGATGGCTCGAAACTCGTGCCTGCAAGGATTTTCTCTTTTTGTCTCATGCGCTCCTAAAAGAATCAGAAGATTAATCAAAGTTTCGACATTTTACAAAACTAAATCGAACAGTTGAACATTTTTATGTCTCACCTCATACTTGTCGTTTTCTCCTGGTGGGTCTGAAACATGTCAAATCAAAAGATTATCTTAAGTTCTATTTCAAGTTGAAACTCAATGTTAAACTCACCTAGACATTCAAACTCACAGCACTTTTCACCTACTCGGAACTTTTTACAAAACTGGAAATAAAACACATAAAAATTCTAAATCAAAAATTCTTTCTAATGTTTCAAAAGCTTACATATGGAGGGTCGCAGTATATCGATTTACACCAGAGTGGTTCAGAGTGATAGCAAACACACAAACTGCAAACACCCGGGCCTGAAATATATTTTTATTTGTTAATTGTTTATTTCAATAAAAATAATTCAATTAATATTTATACCTGGAACATATAGCAGCCCGTGTGCGACCGTATTTCCTTGAAAATCTACACAATCTTCTTCTAAGCTAGCTGGAAATATTCAAAAAGAATAAAACTGATGATTTAAGACATTAAAGTGTAATTTTTGTGTAAAGAAGAGTTAAACCAGTTCCAAGTGGTTTTAATTAAAAATTAAACTTTCTCTCTTGACAAACTTCCAAGAAAACTTGAAACTTGAAAGAAAATCCACCAAGATTGTTTCAATTTAAATATTTATTGTTTTTAAAATCGTCAGACGTTCGTTATGTCACTTTAACATTGAAGATTGGAAGTAAAATGTTCACAATATGATTGGCAGAACTTCTTCAAACAAAAGGTGTGGGAAACGTCTTTGTAACTATTCCAAAGAACATTAGCATGTAAACGATATTCTTGTAAATATAAGCAGAACCAGAACTTTTTAACATATAAATAAAGAAATGCAAATTTCTCAGAAAAAAACCTAAAGTCTATAACTAATAATTGTATAATAAAAAGTATTTAAAATCCAACTTTGAAGATTCAGTTTTGATGTGTTGATCATTGAAGTTGCAATATGAAAGTTTTTTTCTTAGTTTTGGTATCAAAAATGTAAAAAAGCCTGACGAAAAATAATTGGATAAATCATGTTTTTCTGATTGCCGATGGAACTGTGGATCCATTCTATGTAATTTCATTGATTCTTCCGCACCTTTGTATGCAGAACCCAAATTGAAGGGTTGTATTGCTACTTATTGGAAGACGGACACATGCTGTCCAATTGGTGAGTCCAATCTTTGTTTTTAATTTATCAATTTAGTGTCATCATGCCACTTCTATGATAATTCCCGTAATTTACTTAAGCTTACGTTACCAATTTTATTATTGTTTGAAGAAGTAAAATGTTCACAATAATATTGCAGAACTTCTACCATCACATGGAACAAATGTCTGTGTAAATATTTAAGAGAGAAGTTTCAACTTGTTAACGATATTCTTGACAACATTTAATGACTAGAATTTCTCCACATGCTTAGGAAGAAATGTAAATTTTCAGAGAGAACTTAAAAGATCAATAAACATAAAGAAGTCAAAGACAGATCAACCTTGAAAAGCTTCTTATTTAAGAAGATTCGCTCAGAGAATTTTCTATATAATTTTAGAACTTCAGCATTGAAGATTCAGTCTGGTCTTGATCATCAAAGTGTCAACATGAAAATCTTTTTCTTAGTTTTGGCTATTGTCAGTGTACATTGTGATGAGAATAGTAGTGCAGTGAAGTGTCCTCCACCTCCAAAGCATTATGAGGAGTTTGGTTGTACTCCAGTAACTGAAGAAGGAAAAACTTGCCCATGTCGGTATGAAGTTGAAGATCATTCATAAAAACAATATTTACAGATAATTTTCACCCTTTAAAAGCTATGATTGCTCTGCTTTACATGCACGTGATTCCCTGAAATGTTATCGGCATAATAAAGTTTACAATATTGGAGACAAACTTGACGACACTCAGCTGAAAAAATCTTGCATAGTTGGATGTGAATGTTCATTAGGACACTTCACATGTGGTCATATTGATTGTCCGCAATTCTTCGGAAACGGACCAGAACCACCTAAAGAAGGATGTGTCGAATATGGAACAGAAACTTGTTGTGAAAATCGTGAAGTTTGTGGTAGATAAAATAATTAAAACTTTTAAATTTAAAATAATTTTCAATGAAATATTTGAACAGGAAAAGAATTAGAAAGCATCGAGAAATGTCAATACCAAGGCAAGACTTATTATGAAGATCAATCATTTGAACCAAAAGACAGTTGCTATACATGCGTTTGTCAGAAAGGTTTTGAAGATAAACCAGCTGAAGAGAACAAGCATTGCAGGAAAATCGACTGTAAATTTGAACTTCTTTATAGCGATCGATTCTTACGAGGTTGCATTCCGGTTTATTGGGAAACTGATACTTGTTGTCCGATTGGTAAGAATAATCTTTTATTTATTTAAATAGAAACATAAACGAGCCTATTTCTCTTTCACATAAAGATTGGAGATGTCCCAGCGATGAACCCACAAAAGTAATTGCTGGACCGAATAGCAACGACGGTCAAAACTTCGAGAATACTTGCGTGTTTGGTGATTTGAGAATGAACATTGGGGACACATTGACACCTGAAACTAATCGACCAGATGACAATTGCAGAGTGTGCACTTGCAAGGTTCCACCATACGCTCATTGCATTCAAACTTGTAATTAACAAAGTCTCTGTTTGTCATTTAATCTGACAAAAGTTACAGTCACAAGAATAATAAAATGAAATTTGGTAATTCCAATCACGTTATCAACATAAATTTGAGTGTTTTTATGTCACTTCTGATTATGATTATTCTGTTTAACTTCACGACCTAATATTATCAATTTTGTTGGTACTTAAGCTTTCATAAAATTGTGTAAGAAGAAAAGGTCAGTTTGATTTCTCTCGAAGTTTATGTTGTTTTTACAACTAAAATATTAAAATGCTGGCGCTATTCGTTCGTTTTAATAATTACGTCTTTTCAGTTCACGCCATCTCATGAATTGATACTAAATTTTATGTCATTTCGATCCATTTGAATGTCAATTTAATTACAGATATTATCATAATAATAAATATTTAATAATCCCCTTTTAAATGTTCTCAGAAATACAGTGAACTCTCGTTATAACATTTCTCTCGTTACAACATTCATTTCGAAAATAATTTCGAACGAAATCTCGAACAAAATTTTCTCGTTACATCATTTCTCTCGTTATAACATCTATGCTGTAAGTCCCTTCGAAAATGTTATAACGAGAGTTCACTGTAAATTATTTTTACCAGAATTATCTACATTAAGGAAACCTTTTTCTGCTAGGCAATATCTATGCAAATGTCTTTTGATATTAAACTTGCTATTTAACGTGACAACAAAAGTTTATTACACATCAGCATTTTTCATTCTTATTACTGGAAGAACTTTATTGGATATTTTTTCTCGGTAAATAAGCCAAGGAAAGAAGTTTAATATTTAATTATCAACACCTTTGACTGTTAGCTTTTCCACGCTATTTATTAATGAAGATATGGTAAAGATCCATCAATCAATATTAAACCAGACATTTACATAACTGTAATGATAAATAAATACAACGTCAAAGAAATTATTCGGAGATCGATAAAGCATGAAAGTCATGAGGGAATTTAATATTAACATGTTTTCTCGTTATTGTGCATAATTCATGCTTAGCAATTGAAGCACTAACAGCAGCAGATGTGCTGAAATTGGCTGTGGGAGTTTATAGTAAACAGCTTTCCATATTTATCTTTTTTTAATGGAAAATGTTCTTCTTTCGTTGGTGAATTTTGCTTTGAACATCTCAAATTTATGATTCTAAAGTAAAAATTTACAAATTTAATAAGCTTACCTACAAATCCAAAAAATGTGCTCATAAGCGGAAGTAGGAATAACAAACTGTAAGTCATTTTGATTTTTATGATGCTAGTTTAACTTTATCTTATTTAAAACAACTTTCTGCACAGGACGATGCTTATCTCTTCAACCACATTAGTAAATTTACAACCTGATGGTTGCTTATATTCACTTTAATAAAGTTTTGTTGAATATTATGTGAAAATGTTTTCTCTTCTTATCTACTTAATTTTCATATTTCATCTGTTTTGTGTGATTACATTAGAAATTTATTAACAACTTCACAGTTTTTTCCTGCTGTTTGTTTTATCTAAATAGTCTTAAGATTAGTTTTCTGTGTTGAACACGAATTTTTTATGTCACTTGCTGCAATATTTGATTGACAACTTAAATTAAATATTTATGATTATGTTGACTGCAACTGGATTGGATGCCTGGATGGAGTTTAATGCTTTTTATCTATTTTATGTTTGATTGATGAGATATGAAATGATTGACACTTGACCCTGAATTATACAATTAGTTAAATTAACCAATTAGTGTGACACTTTAAACAGGAAAATCAATGAACATTTGCAAGTAAGATTCTCAAGATGAGATGAATTCCTTCTAGATTAAATTAAGTACGAAAATTTTGTCTTTAATCGGTTTACGAAGTTTAATGCAAGCTTCGTGTTTAAACATCCATATCCTTGAATTTATGAACGTTTAAAACTTTATGATCTGTGAAAAGTTATCGAAAGTTGAAATTGATTTCCTGGATAAGTTTCATGACCATTTGTAATGATGGAGAGCAAAGTTTACGATTCGTAATGTCTTCGAATTTTGCATTTCATTGAACTATAAAGAAAATGAATGCAATTATGGTAAGAAATTAAAGCTTAATGATAGAACTTCCATGCATATTATGTCAGGAAAATGAATCGAAATTGCCTCAACAAATTTCCCGCACGTATTCGCTCACAAAATTCATATGTCATTTATTTTCACATGAGAAGTCAAGAAAAATTTATTTTTAGAAGTTTTAATAATTTTCTAGAGAATGTTTCGGACAACATGTTTGCCACTGTTCAGTTTTCCTTCAAACTTTTTTTTTTTCTTTCATTAAATGTTCTATGAAGAGCTCTAAATAAAAAAATGTCGTGATTCTAGCGACATATTGGACGCATAAAAACACTGCAATGCGATCATATCGAATTTTAACACATAAAAAGTTAAATGGGGATGCAGACACATGTAGAAATTAATGATTTTATAGCTTTCAAACATTTAAGAACACTAAAGTCGATAATTATGAATATTGTAAACACAAGCAAGTAGTCAAACATTTCTCTTATCGAATTACTTCATAATTTAATCACGACCACCGTATTTTAAGAAGTTTTCACACTTACTATTTCTTAAATTTTTGTTTTCATAAAATGTTTAGTTCACGAGAAAATTCTTCGTGAGAGCGGAAAATGAAAATGAGATAAAAAAAATGAAAAGAGCGTAAGAGAAAATGTCGGAAAATTGCTTTGTTTTGACTGCATTTTTTCCGTTTGAACTTTATTTATTTCTTTATTCTTTACCGACTCTCTCGTTACTTCAAAATAATTGCTTTCATAAAATCTCTTCAGCAATTTTCTCATTTTCAAGAGATCTGCAGACAATTAAGTTCAAGTTCTACTTTTACTCCAATTAAAACAAGTGAAGAGTGTCTTGAAAAAGAGAGCATTAAATTACAAAAATTTCCAAACAATCGACACTCGTAGCTATTAAGAGATGCACAAGTGTATCGATTTCAAAGTAATATTGCATTGAAAGTTTAATGTTTGGAAATCAATCGAAGGTCCAATTAAAAATCGATTATCTATCAAAGTTTTGTTGAATTCATCCTTGTGGTCTCTTTGAATTTTTTCTTGAATTTAATTCACTTCTTAACATCATCACTTGGATATAAATTTAAAAAAGTTCCTAAATCAAAATTTATTTTGTTTGTTGTATGAAAATTTATGTGACTTTGAACTATGTTCAAAGATAATTTTCCACAAGAGAATTGTTTACAAAATGAGCATGGAGGGCACTTGAAGACTTCGATATGATGTTGCAAAGCTTCATACTTGAGTTGTTAGTGTTTACAAAACTTGACGTTGTTTAATCAATCGAGTGTCTTGTGTGAGCTAATTATGTTCAAATGTTTGTAATTTCTTTTCTTTAATTTGATTTTTCTCTAGCTATAAGTTAAAAATAGTTGATTTTAAGAAACCTGATGTTTTTCATATTAAGCGATATGTTGATGACAAAAGCTTTTTGTTTTCACGAAAGATTTTTTTGCACTCAATTTGAAATTTTCACTTTTTCTCATTAGATTATTAAATTTTTAAAAACTTTAAGCCAATAGACATTGGCGAGGAATATGCTTAGCACATACTGACTGACGTGAATTCTGAAAAGTTTTCGTCTTGTGTAAGGTTGAGAATTTTCATCAAAGGCGACGTTTGCGCATTGAGGAAATAATGAAAGCAAAGCTTTCTCTCAAAAGTTCCACAAGATGAAAACTTTTGTAGGGCTTTGGAGGGAAAAATATTTTTAAAAACGAAATGAATGGTACAGAAATTATTAAGACGAGAAATAATTTGTTGTAATTCATTTATAGTTTGGTGTTATGTTGACCTACCTTAACCATCATCTTTATTTTTTCCAATAAAAATAATAAAATTTATAATATAAATTACATTAACAAAGTTTTTTCACATTTATTAAAAGCTAAAGACTAAACAAACATTATCAAAATATCTTCATGAATATCCTAAGAAATTAAATTTTAATCTAAAATGAATTCCATTCCATAAACGGATTTCCTTTTGTCACAACAAGCTGTAGGCTTGAACCTTTTAAGGCATGTTTAAGAACGTTGCTGCCACTCTGCCAGCGAATCATGACATTTCCGTTGCCTAATGTAAAAATAATTCTACCGTCTTCCTTTACTCTTTTGCTTAAAAGAAGTTCAAAAAAAATATTACGAGGAAATTAATTATTCATAACACATACGCAACGAAAAACCGTGAAAGTCAATGACATACAAAAATTCTTAAATTTGTGTTTCTCTTTTCGTGTTCAATATTCTTGACTGTTTTTAAAATTCTATGGAGCACCATTTCTTCTCTGGTTAGGAAATTCCTAGAATTGCTGAAGAATCATTTGGCTTCGTAAGCAACATCAACCAACCAACCTCGAAAACATTGATCGTGAGATTTATTTAATTTAATTTTTGAATAATCATTATTAGGTACAAAATATCCTCGAATTTGAATCCAATTAGTCAAGGGATTATAAATCTTCTAAGTCGTTATTCTCCCAAAGTGACACAGAATTAATTGTTTTCCTATCATGTTGTCAGCATTCGCTGTTTAAGCTAATTTTCATTTGCCCTACCTCTAAAATATTTTTTTCCTAATTCATTGTTAATAATTTTGAATTGGTGGATCATTTGATATAATTTTATGGTATTCGGCGGTAGATTATCTGACATTTCAATTAAATGTGATTTCACGTCAAACTACCAAGCTCTGCTCTTAAATAATGTGTTTCCACTTAATTAATATTTAAATATATTCACACACACAAAGCCTATAAATTAGTCGAGAAGGAGAGATGTGAGCATCATGTTGACACTAATTAATTGAAATTTATTTATTTTCGTTCGATTCATATGTGTAACAAATTTGCACAGTTAATGATGATGATGATGTTCATCCATGCCATTTAGTGTGAGAGGGTCTTATGATAGTAGTTTTCATTTCACGCACATTTGAACATCCAAACAGATAAACTTGCTTTTTCGCTTGGCCTACGGAGAAAGAGAGAGAGAGATCGAGAAAGGTTTTCTATTTTCCGCCTCCTTTGAGATTTGTTCGCATCCCGATAATCCCCAATGGCATAATAAATAAAATTTTATTTATTTGGCAAAACATTAATTCTAAATTTCCATAAATTTCGTGCTAGAAAGGGTTGAGAGCAGATAGTGGAAGTAAAAGGAGAGAAAAATTATGCAACAACAATAAAGAATTTTGCTAATCTTTCCTGTCAGAAATTATATTAAGGATTGTATAATTTTCCAATCTTTCCTGAGGTGGAAAGATTCGTATACGTCACAAGGGCAAAAAAGATAAAATGAAAAGTGTTTATGATATTATGCTAAAGGGTCTTCGTGAGAAAAGTTTCACAATCCACTATCATGATACGAACAAAATGGAACAACTTGCAGCTACTCTGTTCTAGATTTCTTTGACATCATAGCAAAACCGGTGAAACTTATTTTCTTACATTTCTCTTTTATAAAGCTAAGGTAAAATTTTTGATTTCCTTAATCAGAGATAACTAAAAAAAAAGCTTTTTACACAAAAAAGAAAAAAAAAACATCACCATGGACCGAATCTTCTTGCTACAAGTTACAATTTTAACATCTTCCAGTTAAAAGCTCGACAAAGTTTGTTTTTACTTCAAGTGGTTCTGCAAGAAAAGATTTTCATTTAAATTTACATATTTGTTTGCTGTTTTTGTATCAAAGAACTGCAAATAGATAAAGAAGTGGACTAATGATTAAACATTTTCTTCATACAAACATTTCCCATCCCTTTCATGATTCAATGCAATCTCACCGCACTTTAAATGTAGTAAAGATGAAGTTATTAGTTCTATTACATCTCGTAAGTGACGAACAAAGTGCAAGTCACTTGCTGGTAAATTAAATTTCTCTTAAAAATAAAATTTTCTTCATTTCTTTTTGAAGATGAAAAGTAAAATTTAGTTCAACACGATAACCTTAAGAAGTTTCTTTGTGTCTTTGTTTATCTTTTCATAGAATGTTCTCATTGCCATTGTGAAATGGCTTTGCTATTGTTGTAGTGAAATTTCAATTCGAAGTCTGGTCTTTAACTTTTATCTTTTGATATTTACACTCCTCTAGGTAGGATTCTTGGATGGGTATGAGAAGGTCTTTTTTTTCTAAAGGAAATGGAACACCAATGACCTGAATTTCATTGTTTTTTTAGTACCATTAAGACGAAATGTTCCTCGTAGCAATATTTATTATTCAATAAGGTTTGGATTTTTCTTTTTTTCAATTTTATACGGGATCTGGTAAAGTAATGTGGTAAGCATGATATTTACTTAGTTATGCAATTGTCGATTGGTAGTAAGTATCACGTTTTAAGCTCACGTAGAACGAATTCTACTTAAGCTGAATGTACTGATATTGTGCTTTTGCAAGCAAGCACACTAAATAACAGAATCTTAAGACTGTAAAGCAGTTTCAAAAAGTTTCTGTTAGTAAATTATCTAATGTAATTAATGAAACGAAAAGCGAGGGAAGAAATGTAATTACCACACAACAATCGTCGACGATCCATCAGGGTGATAGTAAAGGAATCTGACTCCCGCCCAATCATCAATTTTATTTAAGATTGGTGGCCTTATTTCCTTAACTTTACGCATTTTATCTTTGCAATAACCCACCACAAGAAGAGAATGAGACGGAGAAGTAAAATAAAATCCCATCTGCAGTTGTAGTTTTATTTATTTTATCTCATATTAAACCGCCCAGGACCTGATGAATGGATTAAGTAAATTATCTGTCGGAAGCGTTGATTAAACGCAAAAGAAGCCAAAATAATCTCATCAAACGGTCAAACTGGCGCAACATGATTCTATTTAGTTGGATTTATTAAATTTAAACTTTAGAGTGGGAATTTCTCAAAGCATTTCAAATGAACTTATTTATGTATGCTGTCGTTGAATATTTCATAAAAAGGATTTAATTAGATTTTTAATAAATATGAAATTTTCATAAACTGCCAACATGACGTCCAGAAAGTTTATTGGCGAATCCCTTAGTGGCCCCAACTGGAGACTTTTTCTCAAACTCTGCATGGTGCAAAGACAAGAAAAGGATATTAAAATTAAAATATTTCATACTCACATACATAAATAGAGACATTGCATTGTTGATGAATATTCTGGAAAGGGATAGACTGGCATGATGAAACATAGCTGCTTTGTAACAAATGTTTCGCAGCTTATGCCAACATCTTGCCTCTCCATCGTTCCAGTTGCAACATGCTAATGTTCTTCACCATTTTTTAATTTTATTTTATTTTCCTTTTTCACAAAAAAAAAACTTTTTTCCTTTCTTACTTCACGATACATTTTTTATGTCAATTTGGAATAGGACGAAACGAAGGGATCAGGAGAGAAGGTGGAAAGAGAAAAAGAAATGATCTAATCAACATCACTAATTAAGAGAAAAGATGTTCAGGGGAGTATAAAAATGTACACTGATAAGATAGAATTCCGAAACGCTTCGTTAGGCAGCTTTCACGCAACGATGGCTAATCGACAACTAAATTAAAAACTGAATCCGTATCGCATATCTTTAGTTCACCGAATGTCTTTGTCGTTGTCGTTTATGTATGCTTCTCAAACTGGTGGATGAGCTCAACATTTCTTTTCGAATAGGCCTTATTTGTAATGAACACTCTGCATTCGAAACAGTTCCTTTTTAACAAGTCTGCTTGTATTATGTCATTATGACTTCGAATAGGACGTGATGAGCTCGTTTCAGTATTTTTTTGGTGTTGAAGTCGTTTAGGTAAAACAAATTTTTTCGTTTTAATTTATTAATTCAATTGTAAATCTCATCACGTTGCACGTACTTCGACGACCACAGCACACAACAGCTTGGAATGAATGGAAATGGTAAAATCAACACTCACACATAAGATCGCTTTACATAGCAACATTTTTATATATTTTTTCTTACCTAATATGTTAGAATTAATGTTGATGAAGTTTCATGACTATTCATCAATTTAACCAGCTTTTCTCTTTGATTTTGACAATTAATTTGATCAATTACGGCTTCAACCGTCTATATTTGACAAACACAATGATTTTTCATGTCCAAAACGAAGCTCATTAAAATTCATAAAGTGACTGAATGTATCCGGCGTTGTTGGTTTTCTTTATGAGTTATTGTCATTTGTCTTTAAAATATTCCGTTTGATTGAGTTGAGGTTCATAAAGTTTACTGTAAATGCAATACAAGTGGCAAGAAGATGAAATATTCTTGAAGAACTTAAAGGATTTAACTTCTACAAACTGAATGAATATTTTATGAAATATCTCAAATTGACTTTACAACTGCTTGATAAGTTTAAAATCTCTGAAATTTTTGCAGTTTCTTTACTGCTTCATTTTTAAAATTTAACAAATTTACTGTCACAAAATTCATCGTTTTCATTCATTCATACGATAAAAAGCTTCGTAATAAAATGTTCATTCATTAAAGATCTAAATGATAAATTATTGGCTTTCATTTGATTTCAAACTTATTTAAAAGACCATGAAAGTTGCAGATGTTCAATTCAATTTCCCATGTCAGCTTTCTCAGATCGATTCTTGACTTTTATGTTTTACCTACTCACATTCGTCTTGAAACTTAAAGCAAAAGCTTGTACATGTCTAAGCCACAACTGAATGACATGAAACATGATTGACTTTATCCGACTAGAATTATCCATTACGCTATCGTTCATGATAGCATCCTTATCAATTCATACATATTTCCTTTTATTTTATATAAAATCTCGCAAGAAGCATTCGCAGAATTGACTTCATTTTATAAACAGGAAACTTTATGAATACATTTCTCATGTTTATGTTTAAAACATTTCAGAATGTTATGCATCTTAAATTAAGATGCGAAGCTTCAAATCGACTGGGAACGTGAAGTTACAAAAAATAAGAACAGCGTAGAAAAATGAAGGAAGAGATTAAAATGCCGAATATCTTCTTCAAGCTTACCGTGACAGTACAAGAGACAAATATGACATTAAAGGGAAGTCTTTGCAACAGTGTGGCGAATGAAGCCTTAGAAAAATTAATATTCCTTCCTGGAAATTCTTTTCAAAACCATTTTCACCTTTCAACGCACTTTGAACTTTCAAAATTAATTAAAAAAGTGAAGCATCTTCGAAGCAATTTATTTTCAATCAAAACGTTGAAAGTTTTCAAAGGATTTCCCCCCCGACTTCAATTAAGGACAATCTGGAGTTTTAAGTCTTTGTTTATCGATCTTTCTATGGTTCTTCCTTTCGTATCTATGTAACAACATCTTAATGATGCCGATAAAATTAAATTTCGTTTATGCTTTTTTCTTGTTTCTGCTGTTAGTTCCATCAGAAAATTGGTTCAACAGAGCAAAGTTTTCGAATATTTCTTGGAATTCATTAACATATTTATCATTTTTTAATCATAACAAACGTAACTTTAATGAACATAACTTACAATTCATTTAACAGAGAAATTCTATTCAGTGACGTCAATGAAAAGCTTTTCTCCTTGCCAATTTAACAAGATGATAAACTGAGTAACGTAAACAAAATTCTAATCTTTAAACATGCAAAAACCATCAGAAACGACTCAATTGAAATATTTTCTTTCGTTGACCAAAACAAATCCTACTGAAGTCGTTCAAAATTTAAAGAATTTCTTTAGAAGTTTTACTTGGACAAAGAAGGTCATGCATTAGCTTCAAAATCTCAGATAGGCATTCTCTCTCGATCCGTTTTCGTTATCATTTCGATCAACGACAAAGTCAAAAAGAAAGAAAAAAATCATTTTGCTGCTGTTCACGTGAGTCGCTTCTCAAATCTTAACGTTGTCTGTTTAAAAACGGAAAAAAAATAATTAAATTAGATAAACATAGCGTTGAGGGTTCATAAAGAATGATAATTTTCTCGTTTCTCCTTTCGGCTGACTCTTCACGAAGAATTTATTTAATTATTATTCAACGGGAAAAATTATGTGAATGACGAGGAAAAGAAAAGGCGAAATGAAGATACCAAATGAGTGAGTGGAAAAGTTTAAATGCGCTTCTAAAGAGGCTTTTGTGCTAAAAACTCGATTATTCTGTTTATCTCCTGACAGAATTGCTTCAACAAAATGCCACAAAATTTATGAATTTCCTCCTTCCATTGGGGTTGATAAATTAAAAAATATGAAAACTTTTAACTAGATGTGACTTCTATTTGCACTCTTTCCTGGTTATATTTTAAAATTTATTTTGAAGAAAAAAAATTCTCCCATAACTTTATTTCACTTGATGCAATTAGCTTTAGATAAAATGTCGAAAAAAACTGAAAACTTTTCTAAATTATGTTGAATGAAAATTTTTAAGGCGTCATTCTAACCGTACTCAAATGCTGTGTAGCTTACTATCTTGTTATACTTACAAGCTTTTCATTTTATTTCCAGCTCTACTCTCGCTAACAGTGAAAGTAGTGAAGAGTGAAAAATAAAATAAAATTGTCAAAATTAGACAGCAGAAACGAGAAGCTCTTGAAAAAGGTGACGTCAAGTGAATGAGTGACAGCATAGATAAAAATTGTCTGCCATGCCTTTTTATCCTGTTGAGTGCTAAGGGACTTCCCAATCCCACACCGAATGAATTTTTTTCCTTCTCCCATCATTTCATGGATGTTGGTGCTAATTTGGATTGAGCAACATGTGCCTCATCCTCTGGGATGCTTCATTTAGACGGAAATTAAAATATGACACGCATAAGGTTGAAAACGAAAACCATCAGCACTCAGGATATTAATTTACAGTTTATTAAATTGCTCCAGAAACGTCTAAATCATTAAAAATTTAAAATAAAATTGAGTTGGTGATAGCTTTATTTTTATTAAAGCTTTTGAAAGCACCACGAAACATTAATTTTCCTGACATTATTTTCAATTTCTTTTGACAATCCCTAATACTGCTAATACGGCATTAGCCTCTCTCCCCCCAATTAAGCTTTCAACTCTGTTATTGTGTCATAAAGAATTTAAAAATTTACTCTCAATGTCATGAATGTTTGAAAAGAAGATTAAATTTCTCTTCATTGAGACATGAGTCACATGTAAGTATCTTAAATTCGAAATAATAATTAGAACCAAACTCAAAATAAGACAAAAACATTCTTTTTGGCTACTTTACAAATTACTTCATATACCTAATTAAGCTTGATGAAAGTTAAATCGTCACTATTAGTGGACGTGTCTAAAGAGTCGTAATGTAAGCTTTGAGTTTAATTTCATTAGACTTAGCAAAAGCTCCAAAAATCATTCAGGTTTCGTGCAGAAATTTAACGACTTTCTGATGATGTAGCATTTCAGTGTCGCTTGCTTTATTTATTGTGAAAAGCTTTCACGTTTTCATTTCAGCTCGATTTCAGCTCTCTTTTTTTATCCTTCTTCTTTACGCCATCTCTATATCTCTAAAATGGCGAATCACTAGTTGTTGGATGTGACATAAAGCAATTTGGGATCATCTGATCTCGTTAGAGTATTTTTTCCCTTCTCGTAAACGTTCTTAATTTCTCCATAAGCTTCCACATCGTCGCTTTTACTGTCATCATTGTCGTAAGCAATTTATAGATTTGATGTGGAAATTCACTTGATTTGATTTTATTTTAAGCTCAAAAGGCTCTCATTTTATGTCTCATTTAATTCAAACAATGTAAGACAGCACACCATTCGATATTGTGAAGAAATCAAATCAAAAATAATACTTAAGTGTCCTTGTTGAATACAGAGTTGGAAATATTTTGGACTTTCCTTATTAAAGAACGAACGTTATAATCACTTCTATTAATGAATGTAGTCAAGTTTGATGTCAAACGATAATGGACACTAAATTAGATCGATTAAGCTGAGTATTAAATGAGATAATCTTGACAAAGGTTTAGTCTTATCATACAAAGCACACTCAACTATGAAGATTAATCAGCCATACTTATAACACTCGAAACTGACCTTTTTGTTTCTCTTTTTTTTCTACCTCCACGCATTTGTTGTTCATAAGGTAAGGGATTACTGTATATGAGTATAAATAAACATCACATTATGCTATCAACATCGCAAAATATCTAGAAATGAACGCACATGCAAGATGATCTAACTACTTATATATAAAAAAAATTCTATAGCAACATCAAGTAAGTAACAAAGAAGAGAAATTGCCTTATTTTGATACCAGTGCGAACTCTCGTAGTCTGGGATAATTTTACATGATGAGATAAAGTGTACATATATAAATAATTCAGTTAAATTGGCTTATTTGGGATACACGGTAAATCTACGTGCCACATCATCACACACAGTGGATCACCTAGAACAACATTGATGTATCATCGTGTATAAATGAGAAAGTGAAAAACTTTTACTTTACTTAGATATTTAATATCCTAAAGCCATTTATACGTTTTTATTATGTCGTCATGGAAAGCTTCCTTAATTCTAAGTTGCTAGCTGAATGATGATTGAATCGACAATGACGACCTCACTACATCCCTGAATAAGATTAATAAAATCTCTGAATTTAATTCAATGTTTTCTGTTCTGCGCTTCATTTCAAATCAAATCTTAAATTGATTCAGAGCACATCGTCTTAGTAGTGTGATAAGGAAAATTTTCTTCCAAAGTTCACTTCAGTGGTTAAAGTGTTTGCTGTTAAAGAAAATTTGGTATTTGAGGTTTAAGTTTCACTTAAATTTTTGTACTCACGTTCACCACAAGGGAAAACATTTTGTGAAATAAAGTTTTTCCAACGATATAAAATGTGTGTAAAGGAATAAATTTTTAATGGAAAATAAATTAAAATGCAATTTAACTTTATCAGATAAAAGTTTTTGACAGATACCTTTTAAAGTTTTAAATTTTAAAACATTGAAAAGAAACTCGTTAGTTGTAAATATTTCCTTGTATTGTTAACTGTCTATAAAAGCAACTTTAGATGTTCTTAAAAATTAATTAAGTTTAACATTCATTTAATCAAATGAATTTAAAAGCAATTTCCTTGTAGGATTCAAGCTTTAAATGGAATGTAAACTTACTTATATGTACACTTTCGACATTTTTCCCTTCAACAACGTACGTTTATCTACATAAATAATTCAAGATAATAAAATAATTTATTTCATTTGCCTTCTAAGCTTTCGACATTTCAACCACTCTTTGAAAGAGAATAATTAAGAAAAAGAAAATCTAATTAATTTTCATTGTGCAGTGTTTAAATTAATATAAATTGCATCTTTCTTGGATTATCTACCATAAAAAGCGATAATTTGCCTGAAGAAGAAAAGAAACTCGTTTAAGTTTTCAATGATTGCATACGAAAGTGCCTATTAAAAATATCGCTAAGAGAGAGGAAGAAAGAAGGAAGGAAAATTAATTTTCCTGCTTCCACAAACTTTATTAAATGAGGAAAGTTTTCGCATCAAAATAAGTCTACTACTGTATGTGGACTTCATATATTTAGATTGTGTACAGGAAGTCCATAATACGGTGAAAAGTTTTCCCTTTTCCATTCTTCCCCTTCAAAAATTTCTTTCTGCAAGAAACATCAAGAAGCATGCTCTTTGCATAGAAGAACTCGTATACAAAACTCAGTCTGTTAGATGGTAAAATTGAAAAGTTTATACGACGAGAGTTTCTAGAAAGTCTTAATAAAAATTAATTTATTGTGACTTTTTCGGCGCCATCCGTTAATGATGTAGCATTAAATTAAGAAGAGAAATTTGGCAATTTGTGAATAAAAAAAGTTTTTTTCTCCACAATGAAATCGTTTCAAGTCACGACTTCATCAAGTTGCCATAACGGATGACGCCTCATTGTGTAGTCCACTTTTCTCTCCTGTAATAAAAATAACAAAGCGAATCAGTTTGCAGATTGAAACGAATGAAGGGGAAATAACTTGAGAAAGCAGAGTTCCATTACGACGAGTTGAAACGACGAAGACAGCTAACGAGAAAAAATACACAATAAATAAATTTATCAAAGTATAATAAAGTTACTAGTTCCAGCTGACATTTTTATGATTTCATCTCATATTCTTCAAATAACTTTGGTCTCTTTTGCTATTAAAACCAAATAAAAGCGTATTACAATCCTGAAACTACATTAAACATCTGGATTGAGGTTTTCATCTACTTAGAGAATTTCTCCTGGGAATTATCACAAGAAGCAAAAAAGGCAAAAATCCATCAAAATTCAATAATGAAATTGAATAAATGTAATATTTTTATGTTTGCTCTGTTATTCTTGCTGTTGATAAATGACGTCTATTCGAGACGTGGGCGAGCACGTGGACGCACAAAATCAAGGGTGAGTGGTGAAACTCAATGGCACAATAATTAAGATTACAAATTGCCCTTAATGATGGTAACGGCTTGTGACTTACTTTCCTTATACGTTGAGTTGCTTTTAATAAGCATCCAATTTCATTAAATGGCAAAATAATTGTGACACCATTAGGAGTCATCGTATGATCTTTATAACGTGTATGACTTCAAGTTTAATCAATAAACCATCATTTCATGAGATGTAATTAAATTTATCATTTATACTTCATCAAATAGCAATTTTTCCAACACTTTTATCGGATATGGTTCAATGAATTTCCAATCAATAAATTTCTAATCGTTAAGAATATCAAGTCTGACACTTTTCATTTTATAATTCTGCAACAGATATTCTTGAAGTTAAAGAAGAATGAGTGACAACAATGATGATGATTGTTTGTAATTTTTATGCACTCGTAGTTTGTTGTCATCGATTTTCATATTTATTTTTGTTATTTTTCTTAGATGCAAATTGGATTACCAATAACAGGCAAATATAGAGATCCTGAATCGGACCAGTATTACAACCATAACGATGTAAGTTGGTTAACATTTTATAACTTTCAAAAGAATGAAAAATTTAAAAAAGTAGCTTTCAATTGATATTAACTGTAAACCTACGCATAAAACGTGACTTGGATGTAAAAGAGTTTTTAATTTCCCCAAAAACTGTTAAAGCAAAATATTTCTATTTCAGTTAAGTAATATTGAATCTGAAATTGCGGCGAAACTCATATAGAAGGTCATAAGCTCCATTTATAGGGCAAAAGAGATTTGCCTCGTAATATTAATTTCAGCAAAATATGTTTCAGATTGGCAGTTAAGATAATGAAAATATCAATTGTTCTTCTCTTCCTTCTGTTCTAAAAATATGTGGTAACAAATATTAGTCGCTGGTATTTGTTAAGCTTAAATAAATAGCAAGCAAATAATTTATGTCCTATATATGAAGCTTGTGTTATTTTTATATGGAAAAACATTACAACGATGACATATTTATGTTTCCAATCACTGCGATAAAATTCAAGATTTATTCACAAAATTTTTGTAAAACTTTTTAAGTTTATTCACTCAAACTGATACCAAATGATTTTTTTATATTTGACAGGGAGCAAAAATTTTAATGGCATCACACTTTGATTATGAATATGTTCTTGGTCATAAGATTGCATTTCTTTGTATTGCGCGAGGTAATCCACGACCGCACATCACTTGGTATAAGGACGGTGCTGAGATATTTTCACATCTTTATATGCATGTAAGAAATTTATTTACGTGATTTCATTAAAACTTCGTCAATGATAAATTTTTTCAAAGGTTCATGAATGGTTCATTGGAAAGGATACTGGTAAGCATTTTTTTTCCTCTACATATAAAATTAGTACACACTTTTTCTATGTTCATTCATTCCAATATGTTACTATTATTTGAGAAGTATTTTCATTATAGTGAAAAGCAAGATTGAAATCGATCCAGCCACACAGATGGATGCGGGTATTTACGAATGCACAGCTGACAATCAATATAGTGTTGATCGTAGAAGTTTTAAGACAGATTTTTCGATTGCTTTTGATTAATACTTTTTCATATATTTCTGAGTAAATATTCACTCTGAATTAAGTTGAATCTTATATAAAATGACTTTTATAAATTTTAACGGAAAAGATTTAAATTTTAAGGTTTGCATCCATTTGGACAGTTCCACTTGGACACTTTTCTAGTGACTCAATAAGTAAACAATAGAACAACGAGAATTATTTTTATACATATTGAAAGTGTAAATTTGTTGAATTGACGTGTTATAATAGTTATAATAAATAAGCAATAAATAAAAATTGTTTCTATTATTAAAAATATATATTTAAGATGAAATCATTTTTCCTGATAAACAAGAAGCAATGAGAACTGAATAATTTATTTCTGGTGAGTTAATCTGGGAATTCCAAAATCTTCAAAACAAATAAAGCACGAAAAATTACTGAGAAAAAAAATCCCAAAACACTTTTTTTTGTTTTTAAACGATTAATTAAAAGGAAGTTCCGTGTTCCAAACAAAAATTGCACCTCAATAAGTCAACCTTCACTATCAGTTTCAATTAGCATCAATCAAGTGTGCAAATTAACCAAAAAAATATTTGAAAATCTATTCATTTAAAAGCTTTATTGCTCTTTCTACATAATGAATTTGTAAACTTGCATTACAAATACTACGACCTTTTACTGTGAAGTCCTATGAGGAATTGATTAAGTTTAGAGAATAATTGATGATGGAATGTTCTAAAGCATTTTAACTGATAGCGCATGACATGAACCTTTTCCACCGTTAAATTCATGTGCCGGAATGATAACAGTGGAAGGGTATCAATTGCTTTAAATCATTCCTTGTTTTAGCAACATTACTGAAACATCTTTGGAATGATAATTTCGTAGAATTCTATGAGAACCTAACAGATTAGAATGGTGGTAAATATTGAGTCTCGACGCGAATAAACACTGCTTTGAAAACATAAACATTTATTTCAATGTTTCACCATTGCTTTATGTTGCATTCAACAATGTTTTGGGGAAATGTTCAATGTTTTTTGTATTCACTTCCAAAAAACTTTTTCATGTCTAGCAACTGCAAAACTCGAATCTCGTCAGTCATGTACTAAACTTTGTCGCGATGAATATGGATTTTCTGGTTTCTGTCTGAAAAAATATTGTAAAAACTAATTTTCCATTAAAGCTACAGATTGTACAGTGCTCAACAAAAACCTGTGTGTACATAATCACATTTCCATTTCTTTTTTTTTCTCCCATCATTTAAAAGTTCGTTGTGATTAAATGCGGAAAATGACTCACTGTGTTTCATAAGTCACCACACAACGCAACTACCAAAATAATTAAATAAAAAACTTTAATTTAATAGCTGTCTCCGATAAAATTTGTGAAACTTTCGCTAACCCAAGTCCTCGAATCGCTCGCGGGTGAATTTAAACCGAAAATAAAAAAAGGAAATGAATTTTACTCTATTTGATGTTAGTATTCAATTTTTCACGTAGTGATTTAAGCGAAGAAAGAAATCAGAGCAAAGAAATCAAGACGAAAAAATATTGAAAAATTCCAAAATCTCTTAAGAACAGATCGAGGAATTCTGATAAAGTTTCCGATTTAGTTGCCGTTGTGGATCACGAAAAAAAGGCACAAAAGCTTAAACGAGAAAAGTTTTTTTTCGTCAGTAAAGTGGATTTTTAACGTTCTGGCAATATCCTCAAAAAAAAAACATTGTGAAAGACGCACAAGGATATTCAATTCAGCAGAACAAGAAGCCAAAAAGAGCAAGGAGTGTGAATAAGAAAGAAAAGTAAGAAAAAAAGGTTTTTCCTTTAATATTAATTTCGTTTCTCGTCTTCCTGACTCGCCTTGAACAAACAGCATCGCAAATGTATCACGATGAAGTGGCAGAGATGAAAACGAAACGAAAAAGAAACAGATCTTTTCAGGTCTAAGATTAAATACACACATAACTAAAATGTTGATTTATTCAAAGCATATACTAACACGCTGTTACATTCATATGGCAAAAGCTAAATTACTTGAAATCAGACTGACAATCGATTTGAAAATTTGATAGAGGCAAAGTTGGAAAGCTTAAAACAAAACAGAAAAAAAAAAGTTAATGACTGTGAGTGTTGCAATTTTAGTCGGCGCTGTATTGTATAATAAGCAACCGAAAGAGAAGTAAAAACTGTGAAAGTGAAATATCAAAGTTTAAACGCATACTAAGTTATCGAGTTCGTGGCATTGCCTTCAGGGTTACTCGATGAGTTTTAAACTTTACCCACGAAGATAATCCCTTTTCTGTCGACTCGATTCCCGAATATCTGGGAAAAAACGTTCATCAAAATGATGAGATATATTAGAAAAGACTCCTTTTAGCTTTTCGTATTTATTTATTCTTGAATTCATTCGCTCTTCTTTGAAGTATCTTTTTCTTTTGTGCTTACAATCTTACGCTGACGCAAAACATGTAAACGGACTGCCTTTTTTCTTCGTTTTGCTAATAAAATGACCACATATCTATATTAAAAATATCATGAAAAATTGTTTATTTTATATTAAAATGTGAATGATTTCAAACTTAGTCTATCTTGTAATTTTTATATTATTGTACGAAATCAGAGACTTTAGCAAATGTACATTATCTTTCATTTCATTATGTGTTTAATAAATCACGTATACGTTGAATAATATTTAATACAATAAACAAAAAGAGAAAAAAGAAACTCAAACTCCACAAGCATATGAAAAAAAGTTTATCAAGGCCTCGATTAACAACTGAATCTACTCTGATATTTAATAACAATGTCAGACTACTTTACATTATTTAAAGCACAATCAACATTTGTGGCAAAGAAGCATAAAATGCTGCAAATAATTGAGAGAAAAAAAAAGTTAACTAGAAAAAATTATTCAAACAAAAACATTTTGAAATTTCCAATAAATTCACATGAAGAATTTTTGTTTAGATTTGCAGGATAAATCTGTCAGTAATGTTATGAAAAGAACACTTAAGGATGAATATATTGAAATATTTTAATAGATAAGTGAATTCTGAAGGCTGTTGTTAAAGTTAAACAGAATGCTGTAATGTATTCAGCTTTTCCTAAACTTTTTTCTGCTCTTGCTGTGGTTAAATTTGGACAATGCTTTTTCTTCTCTTCAAATGCATAAAAACATGAAACAAACGGCGATAAATGAAAGAAATGGGAAGCTTAAGTCTAAGCCAAATAAAAAAAGAATGAATTGAAAAAAAACCTAAACAGCAATTACACCTTTGCTTATTTCTCGCTTTTTTGCAAGTTTTCGCCTACACCTTGATTAAGCATAAAAGCAAATGAAGCGTTTTTCTTTCTTTTGTTTTGTGTGAAGCAATTTCTTTCTGTCGCTTTTCACCTTAAGGTTGTTTCGTAAGTGTTATTTTGGTTTTGGTGAAAGAATTTAAAAATATAACATTAAATTAAATAAATCATCAGCAAACAAACAACAAACACCACTCGAGCCCAAAAAAACCTTGTAAAACATTGTGCAGGGAAAAGAGGGGGAGATGCGAAAACCATGTGCCAGTAACAAAGTTTGAATTACACGAACAAGAGTTTCTGGGTGAAAACAAAAGCTTTCAGATAAATATAATTAATTATGTGCTATTTTTATTAATGGTTTAATGAATATCCGCGCCTCGAAAAGTTCTTCGAATGTTGAGGGAAATGTAGACATGAATACAGCTTCATTACAACCAACCAAAGCAACGACTTAAAACATTATCAATTATCTGCGCACAGAAACTTTTACATTGTAAATTAATCTTTCATGTCAGATCTCTTATGATACGCACCGCTTGCTCACGTCATAGTATTAAATATTATTCGCCAGACACAACGCTTCCCATACCTATGCACATATTGCGTAACAAGCGTCAAGCGACCTCATAAATATTAGTTATTAACATCGCGCGAATTGTTATTGTTATTTACTCGTAAATATGCTCGAGACGGGAATTCAATGAAAAAATCATAAACTTTTTTCCCTGTTCTGCCTTTTTGTTGTTTGGGTATAAATAGATATCAAGGTACTCATGAGAATTGTTCAATATCTTAAATGAAAGAAAGGAAAGGAAAGAAGGGATTTAGAATGGAAAAAATGCTAACAGTTGAACTTCATGGTAATTAAGCAAGGCAAAGGCCTTTGTGTATCCGAATATCATCATGAACTTCATGAACGATTAGATATTTAGAAAGGTTTCTTTGTTTTTTTTTCTCTTAATAAAGTTTTTGTATTTCGCCCTCATTGCTTCAGAAATGCCAAAATCACAGTCAAAAATATTCACAGACATGTCTGTATACGTTAAGTGTATGTGCGTTAAAATTAATTTGCATAATCTCATATACATACCCCACTCTTCTCTCCCACATCGTACATGCAAAACAATGACCGGAATTTAATTACATTTTTCTTCATGTTCCTTCCTTCTCATTGCTGTTGCTGCGTTTTATGTCGTGAAGCTGTATAGTCAGGAGAATTTCAAAGCATGCGATTTGTTGAATAAGATAAATTTATTGCATCAAACTCATTAGGCTAAAACATAAACGAAAAACTTAACTTCTATAAATTTCACAAACACATAAAATCCTTTCCTTAATATAAATGGAAACATGAAAATGCAAAACTGTTTAATTTTATGTTCAAGAAAAATTCTGTGCTTACTTCACAACAGATTTGCAACATAAATAAATTTCCACAAATTCTTCCGTAAGTTACTATCTGATAAAGCCATTAAATGTTAACAATTTAGCAATTTAAATGTGAATTAAAGTTTGACAAAACCATTTCGCTACAAATTGTTTACAGGCATGTGAATTTCTATTATTCTGTTATTTGAGCTTTTTAGTCACACGATGTGCTGAGAGCCTTCACTAATTGAAATACTTTTCACTAAACACCACGAGTTCTTTCCCCACGAATGAAGTTGTCGAAAAAGAAGAAGTAGTAAAAAAAAGAGTTAAAAGTAAGCCTTGAATTACCACTGAACGAGCAGTTTTTACTTTCTCTTATTGGAGTTTAAATCTTTGGTCTTGAAGTGAACTTTTAGTTTTTTTAAATAGTTTTCTTAAGTGATTTTATATTCAAGAATTTACCATTTAAAATACATAAATCATTTGATCAATTGCTTAACTGTTTGTCGTGCAGCTCAAGAGAACAATTCGACGAGCATCTTACATTTAAACGTGCTTTGTTACTATGAATAAAATATGAACTCAGATTGACGCTAATACCATGGTAAACCAAGCATATCAACATAAGCAATCGATTATCACTTTTAATTTTCCTTGGAATAAACTTTTGATTCGATGTTTATGCACAAAATCCAAAATTGATATTTTTCTTACATTTCATTTAATGTTTCTGTTTGTTCAGATGCAAAAAATTTCCAACACACAACAGAAAATAAAAATATTGAAAGTAAACAACCATTAGTGGAATTGAAACTAATGCAGTAGAGAGAAGAATATATGCAGTGCATTTTTGAACCATTTCACACGATAAGAGCATCCTGTGAATATTTTTTCTCTTCTAAAAGTCATGCTTTTAATGTAGTCTTTGTCATAACAATAAAATATTCATATGCAAAAGAATTATTTTGATGATGGCAACAACAAGTCAAGAGAGTTAAGAGAAAAATTACGATTCACCTCCACCATGTGTGTATAAAAATGTGCAATGAATGGCGAAAGAGCGCAGTGTTATTCGCACAATGGAGCAAGTAAGACATTATGCAATGAGTAGAAAAAAGTTGAATTCTCGTAATATGCAGCAGTAGGTACATGTTTTAAATTTATATGCTAGATTATTTTGAATGAAAAACTTTTTAATTAAAACAATACGAAAACTATGATTATTATAAAAAGAATATCCCAGCTTTTCCATCCTTTAAAACAATTGACGCATTGCCAAGAGTTTTATCTAGCATGTCTTAAAACAATTCTCGAAAATGCAATGACAGACTGTGATATTTGCTCCTTAAATGCGAAGAGAAAATCGAAAGCTTTGCTGAGATAAAAAAAATTAAAATTAATGTTAGGGTGAGAAGTTACTGAAAACTTGTACTGCTAGTAGACTTTTTGGCTTTGAAAGTTTCCTCAGAGTTAGTTCTAGTTGATGCTGACTAAGTAAAAGTTATTGGAATTTGTTTTTAAAAGTTTCAGTGTTTTACTCAATCTTTTTGAGCATTGGACTGGTAGATACTGCCAGGGGAAACGAAACACACGTCATGAACAATCTGTTTAGTTTCAGTAAAAGTTTCATCCCGATATTATAAATTTTACCATTTTTCCGAAATGGTAAACGAGAAAATCCTTACAATTTATCAGAAATGAATAAATTAAAATTTTTAACAAAACAACATTGGGAGGGAAAGCTGTAACCACCCACTAATGTTTCATTTATCTATATTACTGCTTTTCTATAATTAATAGCTGTTGAATAATAATCGATTCATGAATTGTTCTGATCGAACATAAAATACAATACAAAAAATATTGAAAAGCGAATGAAATTTAATTTTTGATTGCCTTGATTTCATTAGGCAAGTCACGCTATATAGTTTGAAAATTGTTCCCAAAGCTTCCCCCCGCTCAAATAAAAACATATTTCGGCGTCTACCAATATAGAAATTTGTGGTTTTTATATAAATGATTTACTTAAAATATTTTATCATTCCCAACAAAAAAATATTTCAATGATAATTTTCCAAACTTATGCTCGCTCACGGTGGAGAAAGTTTTTCTTGGCATTAAAGCGCGAAAAGTTCTCTTGTGAGGCTTAGGGCAATGATATCGATTAACATCTCAAGTACAGAAAAAATCATCTCCGTCGGTAAATCAACAAATCTGATTGTTTGTCTGATTTCCATCATCAAGAATCATTCAACAATTGTTCGGTTGTGGCCCCAAGATAGTCATGAGCCACAAATCAAGTTAAGTTGCTTAGAAATTCTACGGCAATCATGAATAATACAAACATAAACGAGAGAAATCAATCAAGAAAAGATTTGTGTATTTCTTCTCTTCATTTAATGAATTGGCCCATGAGGTAACTATGCTTATGCTTACAAGCAAAGCTTCGTGGTAAACGATACAGAATCCACATTCCTTAGTTGATTACAGTCAAGCACGCAAAAACATTTGAAGGTTTTCTTTCTTTTTTTAACTAACTAAATGTGAATGTTAAGGGAGCATGATGTAATCATAATTTTCTATCGATTTTTAACAACACCGGCTTTGTACCGTGTTGGTAATTTGGTCAAGAATTTTGCTTCTTATTTCTATTATCACAATTTGATTGATGACTTTTGTTTCTAATTAGCAACTTAGATCGCCTGTGGATAACAAGCTGAACATAACAAAACATCTTTATTTTATGTTTGAGGAAAGCCTAAATGATTCTGTCGACAAATGTAATTTCAGAGTAAAACTTGATTTGTTTTTGATTTGTTGTGTTAAGTTTTGAGTTATGATTCTTTGGAGTTTTGCTAACTAATGTTTTCACCAGAAAAAGCTTAGAATAATTTATTTAATATGTCGTCGGAATGTTGTGGGACTTAAGAAGGTCAGAAATGTCCAATTAGTTTCGAAAGGAAGAAAATATTAAATATTCTTAATGTGGTGTCAAAAAATTCTAAAATATGAGAGCAAGTAATGAATATTGAAAAGATCTTACCGAGGTTATTTCCAAGGTTGAGTGGCTGTACACTTACGAGCTATAGAACTCTTTAAGATAATTTAAAGTATTGATTTTGAGATTATTAAAGCTTTTTGTGTTCCAGGAAATGTTTCTTGATGAATTCTGAATAACTTCAGAGTTTAAAAGCTTAGCAGTTAAACGCTTTATCCCTCTGAATGTGCCATCTAATGAAATATTCATATTTTATCGAGCATACATGCAAATTACAAATACCACATAAGATTCATTTCAATATTTCTGAGAATATTTTTTTCTTCCTCATAAGTTTCCAACTGATTTTGTGCTCTTCACTTGACATTATACATAGAAGAATGAAAAATATGAATCTTTAAATGAGACACAATAATATTAAGTGAAGATGGAGTCGACAAACGCACTCGTTGTCTGTGAATAATTGTTCGATTAACAACGATGTCAAGATCATGTGAATATGCGCGTTGTCTTCAGCTTAAATTCTCATCGAAATGAAACCACATGATATCTTTTAATATTTTTATTTTATTAGTTTTTTAAACTTGTTCCGAACATTTAATTGAACTTTAACATTTAAATATTTATAAAGCAACCGATTTTAAAGCAAGCGAAACTCCTCTGCTTGATTTTTCTATTTAGTAAATAGGAAAAAAAGTTAATAACGTTAGAAAAACTTCCTCTCATTTTCAATATTGATCGCTGACGCCAAATTTCCGTAAATCTATTTATAGTTGTGCAAAAGTGGGAAACATCGATAATCGAATTTTGTATACAATAACGACGCTTGCGAATGCTGAATGACTAACGAGTATTGTCACAAATAAAACAGCGAACCTCTTGGCAACATCAACGTATGTTTATATTGATCGACAAAAGTCACATCCGTCACAAACGACAAAATTACACAAACTCGTTTACTAGCATTGACCTCAAAAATATGTTTTTTGACCACAAAATAAAAATCAGTCTGCCAAGTTGAATGATACACCGCTGTGAACATAACATAAGGAAAAGAAAGAAGAAAAGACAACAACAAAAAAAATAAATAATAAAAAAAGCTTCGCCAAGTTAGCACACATCGACTAACAAATGTCATTTCTGACCACAGGCAGTTTAGATAAAAGTGTCATTATGTCATCCACATCTGTTGACTTCCGAAGAACAACTTACAAAGGAATGCCTTTTCATCTTTTCAATTTAGTTCGCCTTTTATTGAGACTTCGAATACATACAAACGCACATAGGTTTAATATCACTGCTTTGTCATTCATACTCATATTTATTTCATTTTCTCTCTTTTTATTTCGTCAATGGCTCCATTCTTCTTCAAGCAATTTCTTATCACAATAGACAGTCATTGTGGAATGCTTTCTTTCATCATAAATAAGATTTTCTTTGTACACAAATGATGCGAGAATTTATAACACATTTCTAGTGGAAATTAATCAAGCTCCATTATGTGAGTCTTTGTTGAGCATCAGGTGGGTCAGTTACACACTTGTGAACAATTCCATGTCATAGTAAACACTTGAAGCTTAACAATTGTGACTTTAATGTTTAATTTTACCGCCTCTTGTCATCTTCTCAATTTTACACGAATCTCGAATGTAAATGAGCCTATTATTAAAACAAAGGAATTATTATTATGTTAATTTTCTTTACGACATTTTAGAAGTGAGCTTTTCCATCATCCCTGCTGTTTTAAATCATTTGAACTCCGTATTTTTTATACACCTCTCTATTTCTTCTACATGGAAGACTTTTAAAATTAATGAGCTTTGAATGCATAAGACAGCAGGGATAATTAGTGTTGAGAGCGAAGGGTTACGTTCAAAATAATTTATTTACAACCCTACAAGTTCAAATGCTGAAAAGTTACAACAGCCATGTACATAAAAATATATTCAAGCATAATGATGAGGAAGCTTAAGAAACTTAAAGTTTATTATGATAGATACAATAAATATTTATATTTACCGGAATGGAAACCTTCAAAAAATGGGAAAATAATTGAATGCATGAGATTTTTCAACAAATTTGCTGATAATAACTTACAACACGAAAGCATTTGACTTTGAAGTAATTATTCATCAGAAATTCCATGCACGAGTATCTGTTTGTGGTGTTAATCTTAAATATGTATTTATTTGGCTGGCTGCTTTATGGTGACATGTTTGCTTCTCCGGATCCGGATTTACAACACACAATTCAACATACGAAATAACTAATGATTTATTCTGCAAACATGCAAATTAATTATATCTTCATGATTTTCATCAATTGTAATCATGTGAATCGTTATTATCGTTCGTTGGATGCAAATGAAAGGAAAACAAAAAGTGATAAGCGATCAATCGTTACAAACAAACATTAAATGACGTAAATATTTAATTGACATTTATGGAACTCAAATCATTAATAATTTTTATACATGAGCATAGAATTCGTCTAATCTCCTTAATTGCCTTTGATGTTTCATTTCATTAACTTATAACGAAGTTAATCTTATTAAACAAACAAGTTCATAAGTCTTTGTCTCATTATTATACAAAAAATTATAAAATTAATGAGAGAAATGTTTGATGACAATACTCATGAAAAATAATTCCAATTTGCAAATATTGAGACCACTTTACAACATCTGCACAAGTTGAAACTTGTGTAAATATAAACCAACACATCGTGTTTGCACGTGTCGTTGTTTGTTTATTCAATTCCAAAATATTTACATAAATATTTGAAGCCCAAACTCGAGCACAATCTTAGCATATAGAGAAAGTAAGCTTTATTAATGTTGTTCTTTCATCATTTCACCTTGACCACGATTATAAAACAATTAAGAATAAACATTTGTATTCGACACTGTTTTATGCAAGGCAAGCAGGTGAACAAAGGAATAATGTAAATGTTGCAAACATTAAAATGTTTCTTTCGTCATGAAATCAACGTCAAAGCCTTCAAAAGCTTTTTCTCTCTTTTACTTATCCAATGTCCATGACGAGATGTCATTTCGTTGGATGCAGTATTAAGTTGTTGCTTGGAATGTTTTTGCGGTGTAGCACGATATGCAATAAAGTCATTATAATTCGCTACAAGCTGCGAAACAATCTTTAGTAACACTAAACTAGTTTCAACATTTATGAGACTTGTTTGAGGCTGAAAAGCAAACCGCGCGGAATCTCACATTTACCCAACAACAAGTTAAACACGAATGCGAAAAACTTAGCAAATGAAAAATCCGAAGTTTGATAGATTTTATACGTTTCATCAGCAACGTTGAAGCCGAACTTGATCTTGGTGATTATTTTTATTTATTGTAGTGTCTACTCTATCGATGTTTTCCGCTTACGTAAATGAATTGTTTAATTCAATGTAACCATATTTCCTCAATTAACAAGCGCACCAATTTTGTTGTTTTTGGTGAGGTACTCAATGGAGCATTTAATTTGCTTTCAATTAAAAAGTTTTGCTCAAACATGAGTGAATAAGCTTTGTCTAGGTATTGTGCTGTTTTCAAAATTGCCAGCATCAACTAACATAACTTATACTTTTTAAAGTCTACCCAACACCGAAAAAAAGCAACAAAAAATCTAAATCGAGTGGTGAGAGTAAAGTCATCGTAACAAAAAAAAGAAAAAAAGAAACTGAGGAAGAAAATTTTATTATATTAAACACAAAACTTTTGCAATGTAATATGTTTATTAAAAAAGTTTTATTTTTCCTCTCTTTCCCTTTCCCTACTGGCATTGGAAAGACGAGCATAAGAGAAACAAATGAAAAAAAAAACTTCTTTAAAGCTAAACCAAAAAAACTATTTAACTTAATAACATGAGAAAAAGTTTCCACTATTCCCATGTTGAGATCATAAAAAATTGTCTGAAAGTGCCAACCCAGAAATGTCGAAGTTAGATCAGATACTTAGAAGTGATAGATAACATCGATAAAAGGTTTTAATATTGTGAAAATTGTTCATAGCAAATATAAATAGTTAAGTGCGAATTCATGCAATGATTTAATATAAAAAAAACTAAACAATTGTTGTAAACTGAAGTCCAACGATTAGTACAAACAATAGTAAAGTTAAAAAAAGAGAATATCATCAATTAGCAATTAAATATTTGCGAAATAAGCAACACAAAAACGACAAACTGGCGATGTATGAAAAAATGCTTTGTTTGATGAATAAAGTCACATTGCAAAGACACTGAAAAAAATGACCGAGGTCACCAATGTTTAACTGGCGGTACTAATAATTTAATTTATTTCAAATTTCGACATATAAAATCAAAATTGAATTGAAAGGGAAGTTGAGAGCTGAAATTATTTTGAAGATAATGGAAATAAGCACGATGGGTTGAAGTTTAAATGTATCGTGACTGAATTTAAGATTGATCTAAGCTCTTACGATAATTTAATATATCAGTTCAACATATTGAATGAAACTCAGTGTCAAAAAACCAAACGATCTTGAAATGTCCCGAAGCATTCATTCGAAAGCTTTGCTAAGTCATTCACTTAAATTCAGTTTTTCAGCACTTGTTTGGAAGAAAAAAATCAAATTGATGTAAGACATGATGTCGACGACATTGATTTGGCACTCAGTGCTTTATATTCAAAGCAATTTATTTATTTTATTAACGATAGATATTTATTTGGTTTCATTATCAACAATAATAATCTATAATAATCAAATACATGCTCCCAAGAGTTCAATTATTTCCCATAAACAATTTCTGATTGATTGCATTTCAAACCACTAATTGTGCAGTCGATAAATTATAATAATAAAGAAAAAAAGAGCAAACACACTTGCTGCGAGTGATAAAATAACTCAAGAGACAAAAAAGGAAATAAACAATGTAAAATAATTAACTTTTTTTTTCAATCTATTCAAAATAATTGTATGTTAATCTCATTAAAATGTTTTTTCAGCTTTATCAAGCACTATCATGAACTCCTTCTATTGCCTTAAAATCAATTAATGCTTCTGATAAATCTGTTTTTTATTGTCATTCAATATTAATTTCGTTTTCTCCGCCTTTGCACTTTATTTTCAGTTTGTAATCAAAACGAAAAAGACGAAAGAATCAACAAGGATAGCAAGCAATTATATTTCACATCGAAGATGATCCAAATCTGAGTAGATCTTTTGTGGGGAAAAGAGAATTCAGCAATTCACAAAAGACGGAAGCAATTCAGTGATATTAAATTTCAATTTTGATTAAAAAAAAAGAAGCAGAAAAGGAACTACGGGAGAAGAAAATCACAACTTGTGATTGTTCAAGCAATCGAAGCAAAAAATAAAAGCAAACAAAAACAAGTCTCATGACATTTCAAGATTTTTTAATCTATTAACGACAACCAACTGAAGCTAGAAACAACCAATCAACGAACGAACCGACTTGAACGACAAAACAAGCAATCAAGCAAGTCCACAGAGACTCGGTTCGACGTAAAATGCAATATAAGGGCTCATCGATAGCACATAATCAAAATGTGAAGAGAAAATATGCAAATCAAACAAATAAAAGTGGCAGGTCCAACTGCAGCAACAGCAGCATAGACGCATTATCGATCAATAATCACCAAACATCATCACACCGGAAATGTGAATTGCTCAGTAGTGAAAGTGATATTAGCTCCATACAGATTCAATTACGTAACAAATTAAACCGAAATCGAAATAATGTGCACAGCGGTTATGTGAAGCGAAAAGTTGGATGGAGTTGTGCGGCGCTGGTGCTCATATGTTTAGTTGTTAAGCTGGATTTAGTGATTGGTGCTTTACCTCTAAATTATAATTCTGTAAATTATTACAACAAATCGAGTTATGCGGTCGTTGACGACAGTGATATTGTGCCGTTCCTAGTTGATGATGAGACGATTCGACTTGACGACCGACCATCATCGCGACCTTCAGTAATATATCAGAATGAGTTCGCTGTTTTTATTCCGGGTGGCGTTGAGAAAGCAAACGAAATTGCTGAGAAACATGGATTCACCAATATGGGACAGGTAAGCGCGAAATGAGATAGTCAATGCAATAAAATTCGTATGGCATTCGCCTCACGTCGAATGTTATGTGCTCGAAACATAAATTTAATGGGACCCAATACGACATAAAACCTTCACTTCCTTTACGATTACTGCAAAATCGATAAAAACTTTTTTCTCTCTCTTATTTTTTGATCCTTGAATCAGCAACGGTGTTCAGTCAGTCAGTTTAGGTGTCGTTGATTAAAAGATTTCTTCTTTCTTCTTAAAAGAGATCAATGATCCAACAGTTGCAATATTTATGAAAGAAAAATGAAATATTTTGTGAACTTTGGACATGTCATGATGATAATCTTTAATCGTGTCATTGCTTCATTAATTTAATTTTGTTGTCACTGTATCGAAGTACAAAGTTTTAGAAAAATGTATGAAAAGAAGAAGGTTGAGGGGAAGAAATCATAAAATCTTTGTGACGATAAGTGCGGGTATCAAATCAAGGGTAAATATTCCTTTTGATCCCCATAGCGACACCACTGCCTCACTCATCTTCTCATCATTATAAAATTATCTTCAGGCAAGCCTTTTAAGGTCCAACATTCAGCACTTATTTTCCTATCACTTTCATAACAATCTTAATAACGTTAAGGGAAGAATCACGGACCAAAACCGTTTTGTCGTCAAAAGCCATCATCATTTATGTGACGATACACAAAAAATCAAGATTTTTTTTATGATGATGCTCGTGTTTATGTATCAATCAAACTTTTATTTCGTTATCGAAGAAGCAAAAATGTTATTCAGAAGAGAAGTTTTGTCGTTGCAGCAATTTTCTTCAATCGATTAGCTATTGACTAATAACCTTTCTGTCAATTGCTTTCTCAACAATTTCACCTGATAAATATCGATTTGACTTTCGCTTTAGCTTCCACCATGTTGATATGATAAGATATGGAAATAAAAATATTTTTGTTATATTATTCTACGTACGACGACTAACCATAAAAAGAAAAGTTTTCGTGTTATACATAAACAACGAAACGCTGGCAGAATGCTTCAGTTGATGGTTTATGTGGCATCGAAATATCGAGACACTATGGCAGCTGTGAATGTTTATCGAAAAGACAAAATTATGAAGACATTTAGATGAGAGTATCATTATTTGATACGCATAGGGGAAAGGGAAAGAAAGAACGTTCACAGACATATCATCAGATGACTAAGTCGAGACAAGACAAGAACAAAAATATCGTTTTGATGTCATGTGTCGAAGCAATTTTGAGTATGATCTCATAAAAAGCCAATTCGATCATAAAATCAATGATGCTTCTGATACGTTTAATCTGACATCATCAAAAATGTCATCGACAAATTTTTATCGTTGAGCTGTTAATGTTGAATGGTGAATCGATAATCACGATTTCATATCCTTCCTTCCCCTTTCTCAACGAACGAAAAGATGAGAGCTCCTCATTCTCAAGGATAATTATTTTAATTACGCGTCATGTCGTTTATAAATGTGGATCATGTTAACGGAACTCAATATTTGAACATGGAAATTTGATGTGACACAAATGAATTCTAATAACAAATCCGTCTCATTCCACGTCTTCTTGAACACAGCAAACTTAATAAATAAAATATACACGCGAAGCGATACAAAAATGTTGATTTAATAACGCGAGCCGCGTTTCTCAAATGATTGTTATGAAATTATGATTAAACGCCTAGAAAATTTGGGAAATGTGAATAGAAATCATTAGCGGGAGTAGGCGGTTCGAAAACTTCAGTAAATTATTAATTATTCATGTGTTCTCCATGAACAGAAATGTATATGTTTAGGAAAGTTTTTAAGTTTATGCATTTACCAACTTTTTCCATACAATGACGCTTTTCTGTGACATAATTTAAAGCCACATTGTATCCAATTAGTGCATTACAAAGGCTTACAAAGTTCTTTGATATTCCTACATAAACAAGTTGTTTATCAATGACATTTTATGTCAATTTAATTTTGAAGGTCTTTTAAGGAGAGACTTTGATAAAGTTCACATTTAATGATGAACCTTTTTATGGAAAGCTACTTTCAATTTAAGCTTCTCTTCAATTGTTCAAACTGTTGACTGATGTATGCACATTTTTTGACGACCAAACAAATGAAATCTTTTCCCATTGAAAAACTATTCATAAAAGCGCCATCAAGTTGAATTTCTAAAGTTTTCTTCTAATCTTCGAGATGCATTTTACGATTGTTATGAGCAAACAACTGAATATTCATATAAAAGTCATAGAATTGAAATAATTTTCATCAATTTCTTTGTTTTGAACTCCTTTTTCAGAACTTTATTTCCAAGATGAAGTGGAAAAGTTTTCTTTATTTTGTTTTTACTTCTTTTCTAAATGGAAAATGTAAAGAAATAAAAGATGCATGATGAATCATTGTTTTGATTCACGTATTCATGCCATAAGCTATTGGATAGGTTTTTGCAACATTTCGATCGACAACCTCGTGCTGTAAATTTTAAAATTTTTTTGACTCCCCAATTTCTCCATAAAAAGTAAACATTTTTGCCTCGAAAAAAGGAATCGTAATAAATGTAGATAAAAGAAGAGATTTCGTCGAGGAAACATGCATGTTGAAGCTCGGAATCGGAGCGAGAATATTTATTCAAGTCACACGAAGCAAACAGAATAAAACACAGAAGCTGAGCTGCAAATGATTAAGAATCGTACTTGAAACGATCGAGAGTCTGAAAATAATTTTCTGGAAAGGAGTTTTCCTCTACTTTCATTTCGTTTTATACTTTTTCTTTTGCCTTCTCTCTTTGGGATGTGAATTGTGACGTAAAGAAGTAAAGAAGAACATGAACAAATAAAAATCTTTTCGTTGATGACTCGACAATGTGAGTGTGTTTGTTCAAGAGCATTGAAGTAAATCATTTTTTGCTGAAACATCCAATCAAATAAAAGGATTCAAAATATCCGGTTACCGGAAGGTATAGCGTTCTGTGGGCGACGAGGTTTCATTGTGTCGATGTAATGCGAATACTTTCACCCGCAAATATCTATCTGTTCTTTCACCTCGCTTCAGACGATTGATTTCCATCCGCAAAGGAAAAAAAATGAGAAAGAGCCTGTTATGCTTCATCACTATAAAGGAATCAGCACAGTGCTGCGAAAACATTTAATAGATAACGATTTAAAGGCAAATTGATAGCCCAGAGGTTGTTCAGGCGTGGACTCGATGAATGTCAAATACAGTTCGCTCTTAAATTTGAACATAAAACGGATCCTCTTTCTTTTTCACTCTACATTTTCATCGACATCAGCAGGAATGTGAGAAAGTAGAAAATTGAGAGGCAAAAGGATGAATTTAGAAGAAAAAAAAATATAAAAAAGACGATGAAATCTGAAACTTTATTCGATCAGAAAAGAACTTTTATCTTGTTTCACTCTCGTTACCCTTTAAATTGAATTTAGATCTGCTTCGACACGAAAATCTTTTATTTTTCTGCTTACTCGTTGAATCTTCTCTATTTTCGTCACCAATTAAAATCCACTATTTTATCTTTTTTGAAAAGAAGTCCTTAACATCGTTTGACGGCGGTGAGAAGAAACTTAAATTTCATTCAACTCTGCTTGCTGACGTAAGTGTCACGTTTACCATCCAATATAAGCTCGTTTAAAATTTACGCGGGTGCAGCAATTTTATGTTTTATGGATCTCTAAGGGGTTTCAGATCCCAACCTCATCGTTTGAAGTGAAGGTCGTCTTATTGTTAAATAAGAAAAATTTATTTTTATCATTTCATTGCAATGTCTTTCTTTTATTTCTTTACAGATTGGTAGTCTCAAAAGCTACTACCTTTTCAAACACAGCCATGTTAGGAAGCGTTCATTGGAATCGAACTCAACACATCACGAACTTCTCAACAAAGAACCTGAGGTAAGCGTTGTAAAAAGGAAACATGAACAAACTCAAAGTGAAATGAGCTGACTTAATGAACCAAATAACAACAAGATATTTATTTTTAATGCACAAGAAAAATCTTCTATATTTTCAATTCGAATGGGCAAAGATACGGTTGAATCGAGACAACCGTAAAAATTTTCTCTTTGTCCCCCTTCAAGTCGACATACTAAATAAATTGAGTTCACAGTAATCCTGGTAAATCCCAGGTAATTTTCATGAGATTTAGAATGGTTGTGAAAAGTTCTCTCGTGTCTTCATCATTGTCGTAGTTCACTAAGGTATCTCTCGAAAAGCTCTTTCAATTGTTTTATGGTACTTTAATCTGATTCACATACTTAACATTCTTTTTTTTCTTTCTCTTTTTCGTCCATTTTTAGGTGCGATGGGTCCAACAACAACATGAAAAGATTCGCAAGAAACGTGACTACCAAAAGGTCAGATTTCCGGGCGTTACAAGTTCGCGCATTTCAGATCCGTTAAGTGTTTTAAGAAGCATTGCATCGCAGTCTCAAATTCAATATCGTAACACCGATTCTCATCTTATCTTCCCTGATCCACTGTACAAAGAGCAGTGGTATTTGGTGAGTGGTCACGTATGTGTTTATTTTGTTGCTATTATTATTATTATTTTTATTTTTATTACTATTGTTGGCTTTGTTTTATCATTTCCATTATTCATCTCGATATTGCATTGAACAAAGACGCTTAATGGGAGCATCGAGTGGAATTATATTTCATGTGCTTCTATTGTGATAATTAACGTCGAAAGATGGTATAAAGCTTTTGTTTCACGAACCCATTATTCATATCTCGTAGTGTATCATAATCACTTTTAATATAAAGAATCCTCGACTTCTTCTTCCCTCGCTCGCATTCTCTTCTCGGGTTGTTGTTTTTTCTTCTCTTCACCTTCACTGAAGCATAAAGCCTTGAATGAACAATTAAAAAGCCCAATTGAATTCAAAAAGCGTCTAGGATGTTTGTATGTTACTCGCAGAAGAGACACGAGAGTGTATAATGAAATATGCCATAATTTAAAGTAAACAGAATGGAACGATATGAGAGCACTGTTGTCTCGAGTGCTGAAACTTAACTCACAAGCTCATACTTGCTGTTATTTTTTCTGCCATTTATATTGTGATGGTGTAAAATATAATTCAATAAATGGCGAGTGGAGTTTCCTTGAGATAAGCATGTGAGTTGGGTAGATGGGAAAGCGAATTTTCACTTTGATTTTATACTTATTTCCTTCTCTTTTCCATGAATTACATGAAAATTATATCAGACAATTTTGCCAGCACGAGGAGAATGCTGAATGAGTCTACTTAGGAGGGTCTTTGAAATGACGACTGTCGTGGGTGTGAGACTGTTTAATATTTTCATCATATTTCATGAAAATGCTTTTTTTATCAGACTGAGAGAAGCAAAAAGGAAAAGAAACGTTAAAAAATAAAATTTTCACAGCAATAAATTTCAACACAGAAGATGTGGCAGAATAAAAGAAAGGAAAAGAAAGAAAAAAATTGCTCGAGAAAAATTTATTTTACCATAAGCCAAGAGTTAAAATGGGACTTTTTTCTGTGTTCATTTTGAGTCGTTTTTCATTTATTGCCACCACCGCCATTGCCATTGTGCAAAAGATTTTTTCTTGAGTGATATTTCAATAAAATTATAAGAGGTGTTGAAAAGTGATGTAACATCATAACTTTTCATTCCATGACATGATAAAATTTCCTTAAATTTGTTATAAAAATTCCTTTCCACTGAAAAAGTCTGACAAGTTTAACTTTTCCTTGTAAAATTTCTTTGAATTTTCATTCCCTTGCCAAATATTTGAATGAGAAAATAAATCATTTAAAAATGACTTAACTTTAACTATTTAGCTATGTTGACATGGAAGAGAATGAATAAAGAAAAAATATATAAAAGGAGAGTTTCACTCCTCGTTGTTGCATTTTAATATAACATAACATCGCTTTATTATAATTTTCAACCTCTGCTGTCAGAATTTTTCGAATTCATGAAGCTTTTGTGTTCACATATGCACTTAAGGATTTTTCGAGCTTCGTGATGTTCTAGAAAAGCACCAAAAGGAAGCGTTGTGATGATGGTGTCAGTTAGAATAGAGTGAAGAGCTTTAAGTAAACAAGACCATCATCACACAATAAATAAAAACTTTAACATTGTTGTCACTACATATGAACTGAATGTGGAGTGTACAAAGAAGAGCTTAAATCTTTGATCTATGCTTTGTTAAAGACGAAATTCCCTTACAATGAATGCATGTGAAGGGACTAATGATCCCAATGCTCTATAAAGGATTTATTCCAATGTCTCAGTTAAACGTCATTCCCTAACATGGATAAGGAAATATTTAAGTTTCTGTAAATATATTTGTTTGTAAGCTGTTCTCTGTAAATTTGAGATCATGTTAAAAAATGTAACATAAGCGCAAACAACCAAAATTGTTTGCACATTTTATCAGCCGGAGCCGCATTTACATAAAAGTGTCGCTCACTCCCCCAACTTTCTGTTTTCTTTTTTTCTCTTCTGTTATTTTCTTTACATTCTTTTCATCTTTCTTTTATATATTTATATAAATAAATAAAACGAACATATTTGTTCATTCTCTCATACTTATTGCAGACAGATAGTTGATTTCTATGTGAGAATTGAAATCTATAAATTTTGCGTTGTCTTGAGAATGTTTATCTATGTTTTATGATGGGCCATAACACACTTGTGATATGTGATAAAAAACTTCAATAAACTTCTCTCCCGAATAAAAAAAGCTGCTTCTTATTTTATTACTCATCAATATCTATTTGTGTGAATTTTTCAGAACGGCGGCGCCAAAGATGGGCTTGATATGAATGTTGGACCCGCATGGCAAAAAGGATATACAGGAAAAGGAGTCGTCGTGTCCATTCTTGATGATGGAATTCAAAGGAATCATCCCGATTTAGATAAGAATTATGTAAGTTGTCCTTCTTTCTCATATTTAGAATGAAATTTCCGTCACGAAAATTTAGATAAAATAACTTTCCACCCATTCTGTCAGCTGAAGTTAAAAGTCAGTTCACAATGAATGAGAAAACAACCCACAAAACACACAAATAGAAAAGTTTCCATGCAATAAATCTCGATTCATCTTATGTCGTTTGTCAAATACGAAAAACTTTAAGTTTTGCATTTCTAAACGATCTTAAAAGCAACTTCTAGAATGTATGCATAATGAAAGTTTCGCTATTAAGTAATGAGCCATAACAAGCGTACAATTGTTATGAATTATTCCCGAAAAAATGCTCGGATGTTCTTAATTTGAAAAGACATGAAGAGAATGTTTTCATCAAACCAAGAACTTTTTTAATTTGAATATTTCTTTCTTTGTTTCCTTCATTTCTTTCTTGCTACTGCTGCTGCTGTTACTGATTCTTAAAGAAGAAGCTTTCATTGCGCCTTATGAACAGAATAAATTTCAATTATTTGCATATTAATTAGTGGCAGTTACTATGAAGATGATTCACGTATTTAATGCCTTCAGCATGAAGTGAAGTGACGATGGATTACAATCGCGTTGAATGAGTAATTATTTATATGATGCATTGCTAATGAACCTTAATTGAATTACGCTAATTACAAATATCCGAGCAACTATACATAGTCTCAAAGAGATATTCTAATGAAGGAAAAAATGTTCATTCAGTGACATGAATGCAAACTTGGGGGTGGAATTTGTATTTGCGTTGAATGCGTTGTCAGTATTTGTGACGTTGCCATCCAACAGAATTACGAATGGAATTTTTTACATGAACTGTAGATTTAAATCTCGTTTATTTAATTTTTTTTCTCTCGTCTATCGTAAATATGTAATTTCTGTGAGAATGCAGACATGAAGCGCAAACTTAAATATTCCTCGTAGTGAAATTCTGTATTGAATTTTCTGGTAAATTCTAAAACGAAATTTAAAAAATTTACAAGTTTTGATTGATATATTGAAAGTACCTACGTAGAAGTTTGAATAGTTAAGACGGAATGCTTTCATCATTGCTTGTAATGTGCCATGGTGTTTATTAACTCTGGCGTCGTTGAATTATTCAAATATCTCTATTTGATTAAAAACAGCAGGAGATGGTAAAATATTTATAATAATTTCTTAATTACTTCAATGATATTTAAACTGTTATTATCTACTTCCATTATTACTCACATTACACTGCACTGTAGTGATTAACATTTAAATACCTAACGATCTTCTAAAATATTTATTTATCATCTCACTAAAATTTAATTTAAAACTATTCATTGAAAGAATCTCATTTTAAGTACCGAGACAAGGAATTATAACAAAACAGAGAAAAATTGACAAAAGCTGCTTAAGGAATGAACGTTATCAACATTTATGTTTACATCGAACATAATTCTCGTTATAATTTTGCTTCCAATTATCTGCATTGTAAAGCTTCTCTAAAATTGGCGCATATTTAATTTCAACATATTGTGAAGATCCTTTCAAGAAGCTTTTGTATTGTTTAACCACCATAAGTAGATTTTCTTGAAAAGGAAACAAATAGTTGTCACAATGTTCATAACTAGACAGCGACAAGAAGCACAAACTCAATACGGTTTACCGTAAACTGTTTAATGAGATTTATCTCAATGAAATATTGTTGTATAATGATTCTCTTCGTGTTTCTATCGTTGTCATTGTTCTCTGAATAATTTTCAATCTTCACTCGAGTAAAAATGATTTCAATATTGATGTTGTACAGAACATAAGAATGAAGCATACATTTAGTACTAAGGAAAGAGATTTAAAATGATGTTATGAGTATCCTACTTATTTGATTCATTGTTGTTGCATAATCATGTTTGCATTATCCTTGCTTGTCATAAAATCGACAGTAAAATTGTGGACAGAATAAAATAGCAATTGAGCAACGGAAGTAAAAAAAGGAAAGAAAGAAAGAATGGTTGCTGACAGAGAACCATAATTAATGCTGATGATTTCAGAAATCCGTATGATCATCACGTTTGGGTTTTAATCATAATTTATATCACTTTCTTTCTCTTGCTTCAAATGTTGTTATTGCTTTGTGTCTTGTCGTGAAAATGGAAAAAATGGGAGATTGGAGATAAACTGGGGGTCGTTCGCATTACGCATTCTGTTGCTGATAATCCTACAGTTTCGCGGCCGGCTATTGCGTACAAAAATTAATACAGATTAAATATAAATTCTTGCATTACATCCAAAGCGATATTTCATCGCAATTCTTTCTTACATTTCTCGGTTGGGAGTCTGGTGAGCGTTCATTCGTTCATCCGCTATCAGCTGCCATTTTTCATTGCAATAATCATAATTTCTTATCAACGGTTTCTCTGTCACTTCCAACAATTATTTACGACTCGTTACCTTCGTTCCACATTGTGGTTTTCGGGAAAGGCGAATTCGTGTTATGTAAGTAGGAAAACAGACGTCATTTCATTCAGCAGTAGCTTTCAATTTAATGATCGTCGTCGTTGTCGTTTTCTTTGCTTTTCTTCTTAGATAAACATTTCTCTGATTACTATTCGCATAAATGCTTTCTTGGCGTTTTTACAAGCTTCATTTCATTCTTTCATTCACTTAGGATCCTCAAGCGTCTTATGACATTAACGGTAACGATCCTGATCCAATGCCCCGTGACAATGGCGACAATAAGCATGGGACAAGATGTGCTGGTGAAGTTGCTGCCATTGCATTCAATGACATTTGTGGTGTAGGAGTTGCTTATAACTCGAGAATTGGTGGTGTTCGTATGTTAGATGGCACTGTTAACGATGCTGTTGAAGCCAAATCTCTTGGACTTAATCCCGACCACATTGATATTTACAGTGCCTCATGGGGTCCCGAAGATGACGGATCCACCGTAGATGGACCAGGTAAATGCCATTTACACTCAATTTTTTTACTTTCATGACAATAAACAACAAAATATTTTCTTCTTTTATTATTTTTTATTGTTCAATCAGGTCCATTAGCTAGACGAGCTTTTATTTATGGCGTGACAAGCGGTCGTCTAGGAAAAGGATCAATTTTCGTATGGGCGTCAGGTAATGGAGGTCGATACACGGATTCATGTAATTGTGATGGTTATACGAATTCAATTTTCACGCTGAGTATTTCAAGTGCTACACAGGGAGGGTAAGAAATCGCTTTTATTATTGTCACTTCAACTCGTCAATCTTACAATTTCTTTGACAGTTACAAGCCATGGTATCTTGAAGAGTGTTCGTCTACTCTCGCTACAACTTATAGTTCTGGAACGCCAGGTCATGATAAAAGTGTCGCAACTGTTGACATGGATGGTGCTTTAAGACCGGATCGTATTTGTACAGTTGAACATACTGGGACTTCAGCTTCTGCTCCGTTAGCTGCTGGTATTGTGGCATTGGCTTTAGAAGCAAACCCATCATTAACATGGCGTGACATGCAATACTTAGTCGTTCTCACGTCGAGACCAGGTCCACTCGAGAAGGAATCTGGTTGGATTCTCACTGGAAGTAAACGCAAAGTTAGTCATAAATTTGGATATGGACTGATGGATGCTGGTGCAATGGTTAGCTTAGCTGAAAAATGGAGAACAGTACCAACTCAACATATTTGCAAATCACGTGAAATTAATGAAGACAGACCCATTGAAGGTTCGGTTGGCTACACACTGCAAACCCACATGGATGTAAGATTTTATCACTCTTAAACTTTTCCTTTTTCTTCTTCATTTTTCGACACTTAACTCAACATAAAAAATTATTTCTTCATGTTTTTCATATACAGGTCAACGGTTGTGCTGGAACTGTCAATGAAGTGCGATATCTTGAACATGTTCAATGTAAAATTACATTGAGATTTTTCCCGCGAGGGAACTTAAGAATTTTATTGATATCACCGTCGGGAACGACCAGCACTTTGCTGTTTGATCGACCGCGTGACGTCACGAAATCAAACTTTGACGATTGGCCTTTTATGAGCGTTCATTTTTGGGGTGAAAAAGCTGAAGGACGTTGGTCACTACAGATTATCAACGGTGGAAAGCGACGAGTTAATCAAGCTGGTGTGTTAGCAAGATGGCAGTTAATCTTTTATGGTACACAAACCAACCCAATTCGATTAAAGTCTGACGACGACAGCACAGCACGTTCATCTATTGCTTCAAATCCTTACATCTCACCAACTGAAACGGATCTCACACAATCATCAGTTGGCAGCAACTACTTCGGAAACAATTTCAACGGTTTTGTTAATTACCAGAATCTATTCTCCAGTGCTGGCTCAAGTGTTGATAAAACTTATGCATCACTTGACGGTCACAATATTCCCACATCACAGCGTGAGAACGTGATGGCTGATGCAAACAACAAACTGGTTATATTGCACGATTGTGACCCCGAATGTGACCAGCAGGGATGCTATGGCCGTGGACCAACTCAGTGTGTCGCCTGCAAACATTATCGTTTAGACAAGTAAGGAAAATTGATTTAAAAGGAAAAAATAAGAAGAAAATCTTTATTTCCCTTTTTCTGCATAGCACTTGCGTGTCTCGTTGTCCACCAAGAAGTTTTCCTAATCAAGGAGGCGTTTGTTGGGCTTGTCACGAGTCTTGTGAGACATGTGCTGGTGCGGGTCAAGATTCTTGCCTAACATGTGCTCCAGCTCATCTTTACGTCATTGACTTGGCTGTGTGTCTTCAAACATGCCCTGACGGATATTTCGAAAGTAAGTTGAAGTTTTTAATTGACATTGCCTGTGGTGATAAATGACGATTTGATATCAAAATCATCGAGGGGATTTACTCTCTTCCACTTCAACTTTGTCAGATTTAACCATAATTCTTCCATGTCACAACTTCCGAACAAAAAAAAAGGGGGAAAGATGAAAAAAAAGAACGAAAAGAACAACATTCATAATGATTGGGAATGAAATGTTGAAAAAGATAAATGATAAAAAGCATTTTTGCATAATCAGAACGATCACTCTAATCAAAATGAGATGCCACCCGGCAGATGATGACTCGAGAAAAATGATGACTGATGTGTATGAATATCATTTCCATTAGATGCTAATACGAATGAATTTTATTGCGAGACTTGAAAACTTTGTTTCATCGCTTTTCCTCTTTTCTCTTTAGGATTAAAAGTTTTCCTTTCTCATCGTTTTTTTTCTCTTTATGTTCGTGTAAGAATATTGAAGAAGTTTCTTTTATTTCACAAAAAAAAGAGAAAAACGAAATTGTAATAGCAGAGATTGAGTAGCATGATAAGATACGTAGAATATGCTACGTACGTAATTTCAGCATACGTTTGTAACTTACGTATGCTTTAACTTTTAGTACAAACCAAGCTTTTGCATAAAAATAATTCTCTCCTTGGACTTTCATTCACCTCAAGATGAAATCTCTGATTTTTGATGAAGAAAAACAATGGAACATAAAATATCTACATTAACTTTTACGTTCACGAAAAATGTCTCCCTCACAACCTTACTTATTCATATTTATGTACATATGCTGGAAGGGAAAAAAGCACAGCATCATCTCCAATATAATTGTTCATGTTACGCCTTAAAAGCATCATAAATAACATATAATGTTACAACGAGTTTCTTCGCTAGTAGATGTTGCGACATTAGCTCAATGATTTGTCGAAAAAAAATCTCTCGAGAAAACCAAAAGTTCAAGGAAACTTTTCTTTGCACTGCAACTTGAGAGTAAAAGTCTTAAAACTACTTTTTGACTTTCTACCTCGTCTTATCAATTTTCCCGTAGTTCTTACGCTGAAAGTCAATTTAAACCAGCAGTGACGAAGAGAAGTTGTTAAGATGAGAAACTTTTTTCTTATCTAATTGATGATGGTTTGATATTCAATACTATGTTGTATACTATGTTTTCCATTCATTAACTGCATACTCAGATAACAAATGTATTTTCTCTTCATTACTTCTTACAATATCAATTTATCTTTATTTCAGATTACGAGAATAAGACATGTATACCATGTGAAGCCAATTGTGCATCATGTCAAGATCGTCCCGATTATTGTACAAGTTGTGAACATCATTTGGTTATGCACGAGCACAAATGTTTTGCAGCTTGTCCTAAAAACACGTACGAGACCGAAGACTTCAAGTGAGTATATGAAGAATTTCATTTTCTTAATTCTCATAAGGATCTGTCAGTTGAAAACGCCTCAAGAAATCAAAATTCATTTATATTTTTCCCATTCGTGTCTTTATAAAAGTAAATGAAACAAAAAAAGTTTCAAGATACAAGAACGACTTTTATTTTTCAATAAATCAAGAAGAAAACTTTCAAAAAACGGAGGGACCGATGAGGCTTATGGGACGAAGTAAATTGAAAAGTTTTTTTTTCCTTTCCTTTGCTTACCTTGCTTGCTGTTGCTTTTTCAATCCATCCGCAGGCCCAAAATGAGCTAAAGATGAACAAGTAAAAAAGTGAAGCCTAATGGATTCGCAGATTAAAATTTATGTTATTTTCTCTTTTCTTTCGTTTTTTTTGTTCACTTCCTAAAAAAAGGATAATTTTTGAGACATGTCGCTTTTTTTAACGGCTGAAATTTCCAGGTATTTCGCTTTCTTTATGACTGCTCAGCCATAACAGAAAAACTCGTTTTCAATGCTTTTGAAAGCTTCTCGAAAGCGAGACGTAAAAAGGCTTCGAGTAAAACTTTTCTTTCCTTTCTTGGTGGTGATTGATGAGCACTGTTCTTGACTCTTCTTCATCCTACCCACACATTTCAAGAATATTTCTATACCATTGACCCAAATAAATAAATAAGAGAACATTTGACTTTGGGATTGTAAATACTTGAGTACTCGATAATCTTCTTGTGAGTCATGCATGAAAATCTTTGATCTCTGAATCTTCTTCTTCAAAAATAAATAAATGACATTGATCTGCTAAGGAAATCTACAATTTCCCTTATCACTTTAAAGCATTCTTTGCTAAAAATATATATGATTGAAAACGATTCAAATAATCGATAATTATAATTCCATTAATGTTTTCAACAGTTGTGCTGATTGCCACTCATCATGTTCTTCCTGCAACGGATCATCAGAATCGCAATGCATTCTCTGCAAACCAAATCGATTTTCACTCGAAGGAAAATGTCTTAACAGCTGTCCCGATGGATATTATGGAGATAAGAAAAGAAAAGAGTGCCTTCCATGCTCAACTGGATGTGCCACCTGTAGCAGCGACAAGTGCTTAACGTGTAAGCCTGAATGGGTGAAGAACAAGAAGGACAAATGTGTTACAAAAGGAAGTAACAACTGCGATGAATGTGAGTGATTTTTATATGATTATCAAAGTCGTTTCAGACATTCATTGCACATAACATTCAAACGTTTAAGTTTTTATTTTTATTCTTTCCATTGACTTTCGGTCATCTTTTGATGTTTTCACAAAAAGCCACATCACTTTACAAATACCTAATGCTAATAAAAAAAAATTGTAAATGTTGTAACCAAAGAGTGGAAATTGTTATTTTATCTCCTTCTTTCGACTCTTACTAACCCAACATTCAATTCATTAAATGTTTAAGAGCGGTAAATTAATTTACATAGCGATTTCACTTTGCAAACAAATTTTCTCTAATTATCAAAATCATCTGCTTTCCTTCCTGTTTTTAAATTATTTAAACACAAAAATGTCCTCAAAATAGTTGTTTGCTTTCATTAAATATTTGTTTCCTTTCATTTATAAGGATGTTATTTAAGTTACGTCAATTCACTTTAACTTTATCACGGAATCGTATTTGAATTATTTAAATGTTTTGCTTATCAGAATGAAGCTCAAAAGCTTAAAATTTTAGTACATAACTACGCTTTATGATTTTCGACCATGAAGTGAACGTAGACAACGCAAAGCTCCTTACATTTTTCTACAAAAGAAAAGCCTAATACTTATAAGTTTACGTAAATTTAATTTACAACGTAACACGATTTAAACAAAATGGATTACGTGTAAAAGCTTTTCAAGAAGGCCGAAGGGTCGATTTTTTGAAATTTTATATCTCTTTTATTTCTTCTTTATATGTAAAAGTTACTCAACTTTTAAATTATCCCTTCTGCGAACCAATTCTTTTTATTGAGCAAATGTACAACATGGTCTGGTCTTTGCATGTCAAAGCAGACACATAACATGTGGGAAAAAAAGCTTTCATACATTTTTAATTCATAATCCTTTTGTAAGTTGGACAGGAAAAGCAGCAGTTGTGTACATCCCGAATTTCGTTATCAAATATTGAAACAAAACCTGATTCTGATCTACCTTTCTTGAGTGTGTATGAAAAGTAAGAGAAAAACAATTTCCAACTTACTTACGCAATCTAAAAAAATATTTTTCTTCTTCTGAGAGTCGAGAAAAGATAAAATAATAATAAAGAAATACACAGAGAAAATGTTGAAGCTTTGACTGATACAAACGAAAAGAAAAAAAGAAAAATTCTTTTGTTGAGCTTCATAAATGTTTTATAACAAATTTCGCATGTGCTGTTGATTCCCTTGACGTCCATCGCTTAAACGTTTCTTTCTCTTTCATATTTCCAAAAAAAAATTATTTAGCGGAATATTTCGAAAACGGTAGATGCCACTCTTGCCATTCTACATGCGAGACATGCATGGGCCCAACGGAGAACGATTGCCTCACATGCTCCAATAACCTTCTCTTACAAAACAACAAATGCGTCAGCACGTGCGATAAAGGATTCTTCATGGAGGCGGGGATCTGCACCCTCTGTTTACACACCTGTACACAATGCGTCTCCCGAATAAATTGTACAGAATGTGTGAAAGGATTAGAGCTGCAAAGTGGCGAATGCCGGGCAACGTGCGCCGATGGGTGAGATAAACATTAAACTTACTTAATCCAAACGACACCGACAAGAGAATGAACAACAAAAACATTTTATTTTTCTTGATGAATTTTTAATGAATTCAACTTGTTTGATAAATAAGGTTGACAGTAACGGACAAGTGTTGCGCGTGTCTTTCTCTCTATACGACGATGATGATGATGACGACGACAACGATGACGTGGTTTAATTTTATGACAGTCAATTTCATTAAGAATTCATCACCTTAAAGTTTCATTTGAAATTAACGTTTTCATTATACTTTTCAGCTATTACAGTGACCGTGGCAGTTGTGTCAAGTGTTATCTGAGTTGTGACACATGCAGTGGTCCCCGTAGAGATCAATGTGTAAAATGTCCACCAGGATGGAAGCTCGCAGCTGGTGAATGTCATCCAGAATGTCCTGAAGGATTTTTTAAGACCGATTTTGGTTGTCAAAAGTGTCACCATTACTGTAAAACATGCAATGGTATGAATCATTCATATTCATCCTTTCTTTGTTTTCAATTTAATAATACTTATAAATGTTTCTTTTGCTTTTCGCCCCATCAACAGCTGCCGGACCATTAGCATGTACATCCTGTCCGAATCATTTCATGCTTGAAGGCTCGCTTTGTACAGAATGCCTTAGCATGCAATATTACGATCCACCCACGCAAACCTGCAAAACATGCCACGAATCATGTCGGTCATGTAGTGGTCCAGGACAATATTCTTGTGTCATGTGCGCTTTTCCATTGCACTTGGATCGCCTAAACAATCAATGTGTGCCTTGTTGTGCAACCGAAGCAACACCCGAAGACCAAAGCTGCTGTCATTGTGATAAAGATACAGGTTGGTATTTTATGAGCCTTCTCATCCCTCTTTTACAATTCTCGTTGTTGTTTAAATTGAAGCCAGAAAATTAAAAGATTTATGATTATTTGTTGTTACAACTTTTTTGTTCTCTCTTCTACTCTCTGTTTTGTCATACGATTGGAATGGGATGGAATGGAATACGATGCGATATATTTCCTTTTAAAATTCATTGTTTTTATCTTCCACTTACTCATTCCAGCCGTACTCTCTCACTGTGCCATTAAAATGAAAATTTATTGTCGTTTTTAAGGGATTTAAAAGTTTTTCGTTTCTTTTCCTCGTTTTGTTTTGTTACTCGTGGCAGAGCGCGCAAAAGTACAAGAACTGTCACTTTGCTTTTTTCTCTTCCACATTAGAGAAAAGTCTTTCACCATGTGCATGTTGATATCAGTCGCCAATGTGAAAAACAAAAAAAGAAATAAAAAAAGAATTGTTTAAATGCACATTGAAAGTTTTATTCGTCGAGTCTGTCTGTGCTGCTTGGCGTTATAAATAAAAAAAATGCATTGAATGTTTATAAAATCAATAGAACAAACATCATCTCCTAATTCTCACTTACACATTAAAAGAGAAATAAAAGGAGGAAAAAAATTCTTTTGCAACCAGGAAAATTCTTCCTTTCTGCTCTCTTTTTATTTTATTTCTTTCATCGCTTTGTCACCAGATTTTCTTTCACCCATTTTTCAACGACACCACTTTTCACGACAGAGAATGAGAGTTAGCGACAAAGTGATGAATTTCACGTGAATTTCATTTCCATTTTCGGCAAGGCATTGTCATTTGTTTCTGTTTAAAATGTGCCATGTTCTCTTTCTTCAATGTCATCGCCGCTTTAAGCAGGATTGTTGGTTGGATGAGTCTTTTGTGTTTTTTGTTTTCATTCCTAAAGCACATATTGAAGTGTGTAGGTAGGAAGATATCTTCTTCGTTTACATACTTGTAACTTTTCTTTAAGAAGAAGAAATTTTTATATTAAATGTAAAATTTGATTTTCATTTCACAGAAATTGATTGCTCAAGTTTAAGTTGTAAAAAGATAAGAAAAAGAAGAAATAAAGCAATCAAGATTCTAAATTGTCAAAAAGCTATAAAATCTTTCGAAAGACAACTCTGCATATTCATCCATCTTAGCTGTTGATGACAAAGCTTTAGAGAGAGAAGAAAGCGCTCATGACAATAAATAAAAATTGATAAAAGTAAATGGATCAACATAAAGAAGAGAGATGAAAAAAAAGTTTTAAATTACGCTCGCAACTTGACACATTCACCTTTGTGGTTTATACTTATAATAAAAATTTATTCATGCCTTTTCTCTTTTTCTCTTTAATCCGCAGGTGATTGCATCAACTCTTCACCTGCTGGCAAGCGTCGTATTGCCAATGAAAAGGAAATTTCGCAGCTGACCGACGAGGGAAACTTATTTAATGGTGATGCTGCCCTAATGGATGGTTCTGTCGATAACAACGCAAGCTCAATGGATCAAATGAAATCACCGATGGCATTTGTTGCTCTTGTCGCTTTAGCAATTTGCTTCGTTTCTATTATTATCTTTGTTACCATCTTTACCGTTCTACAGGTGAGTCGGGATATTGGGATTGGGCTGAACAAATTTGAGAGAACATTTCTACCACATCTTCCATGTCCATTGTCATGCCATTTTAATGATGGTTCAACATTTCCTATCATCATCATTCCTTCTTCTTTTCCACCTCAACCACCTTCTTCACTCTTTGTTAACCTCTGATTTATTCCGTCATCATAGAGGCAAGCTATGTGTGAATGTTTTTGTTGGACCTTTACAAATGGTTAATGGAGCATGACGTACAATAATAAAATAGTTTTTTCCCTTCATTTTCCTTCCTATTCAATTTCCATTACTTGCACGACACAATGTCCGGTTTGAAGGCGACCGGAAACGAGTGGAAGAGTAAACTGTTTACGGTCTCCAAAAACCTCTCAGTCGGAAGGCGATGTTTCATGCTTCATTTTTCCTCTACTCATACTTATTCGTTTGTACATTTATTTATGCTACCTGATGCTCTCATATTGGTTTTCTTCCATGACTCTTCATTTTTCTTTCTGCAACCTTTTTCCAACATTATTTTTCTTGGATCTCTTGCTATTATCGAATGTTTTTACTTTTATTAAAATCGTAAATAGATATTCTTGTTACATGTATGAAAGACACACACGAATGTCTATGCTTTTAGTTGGTTATCTAAATGGATTTTATTCATGCTAGGACCGAACTCTTCTTCTTATTTATCCAAGACCTGTATTAAATTTTCATCCAATCTTGGAAATAATGATTTCCTTGTTTCTTGCTTCTTTCACCACTTCAACAGTTTTCCTTCCTTTCTTTCTTTTTTTATTGAAGATCTCATTGCGGAGAATCATAAGTTGACCCTAATCCAAAGCATCATATACTTTCCTAACGAGAAGATGAAAAAGTGTGTCGATTAAGCGACATTCAGCCGCTTTTCATGTTCAACTTTATTACACGTAATTTTTTCTCAATGATGAGCTAAAATACTTTTGGGGTGTAGAAATGTGTAACCTATAACATCACTCGAAGCGTAAGAAATGGATCCTAATTCTCGTTTCCTCCTTCCTCTTTGCACCTTACATGTAAACAGATGTAGTCCCATTCGTAGTAAGTAATATTGATGAGAGAGAAAGAAAAGTAACCAAAATATTGTGATGATAATGAGAAATCGCATTTTGTTCCACCCACACTTCAATATGAATCAATAACATAAGAAGAAAAGGAGATAAAAATATCTTTTGGTTGACAGAATTCCCTCGAAGTTTGCGTTGTGTCTTTAAGTAGGCTTGGTTCGTCATATTTAGATTTCTATAAAAATAAAAAGGACGACAATTCGTAATAGCATTAAAAATACTTCATACAAATTTCATTTCTTTTGAAGCATCTCCACAAAGCGCCTTTTCATCTCACAATTTTCGTTATTTTCCGCAATTCGGGTTGTCCACTTTGTTTGTGGCCTGGCCTTTGTTACAGTGATTATGGAACCAATTTTCATTATTTTAATCAACCTCGAGTAACTTTTACAGTGAAGTAACTTTAGGGATGCGTCATAATGACTTGTTTCGTCGACTTTTTTCTGTTCATTTCCGTTGATCCCTTTTTCTTGTTGTTCTGTTTTGTTTTATTTCATTTTATTTTTATTCCTTTCCTTCTTTTTCCATCATGAAACTTTATGTTCATCATCTTTTTTTTCTTTTGCATTCTCTCTCGCTTTCTGTTTTCCTTTCTGTGAATACGCACACAAAAAGAAAAGAAAACGAAATGAAAGAAAAAAGATCATAATGGGAAACGCCAACAATGTCAATTCTCATTTCTCCCACTTCGTTTCCCAAGCTCTTCTTACGGAGAACTTCACTTTGTCGCTATCACTTGGCATCGCGATAAATATAGGAATAATAACCTCTCTGAGAAAGTATTTGCCTTAAGCTAATCGTGTCTAGATGTTTGTACAAATTTTTCCAACGCTTGAAAATCTTTCTTGCCTTTTTTTATATTTTTTTTTGTCTCTTCTTGAATTTTTCATGGCGCTTAACTTTTTCCTTCACTTTATTCGAATTGATGGAGCGGAATGTAAATGATGAAACAAGTTTAAATTGATTTTTATTCGCTTGTGTTCTTTAAAAGTGAATTCTTGACTTTTATCAATGTTTTTCTTTTAAACTTTAGAAAACTCACGACAAACATTTTGAAGCTTCCCCAACATTCTCATTTCCACTTTTTAATTTCAATTATTGATGTTACTCTCATTGTTGGTTTGTCTGTAATTTCTTCTGCCTTTCACGTTGATTAATTAGAAACGAGGGTGCTGATTGCCAAAATAAGCGACAAACGGTTCGCCATGCTTACTTTTCAAGTAGCTCATTGTAATTTTTTTAATGGATTTTGTCAGAGATTTCAGTAAAAGTTTTGCGAGTGGTGGAAGTTTCTCGGAAACTTTGCGAGGTGAATGGATTGCTGTTCATTTACACACCGTAACCCTTTTGGATTTCCCACTCCTTTTGACAATGTCTCACCCTTGTTTAATACACTTTTTTTATTTGCCTCTGAGAGCCCTTAAGAAAAATTCCCTTGACGAAGTTTGCTATCGTTATTATTTGGTTGGAAAAGGTAGAAACAAAAAATAAAGCTCGATGAACATTGTACACATTGATGCTTCAATAGAAAATAATCTGACAATTCAATTTCAATCTCTTCTCTTTTTTTTGTTGTTTAATAGAGAAACAAGCGTCAATCAGCTTATGAAGGCATCAGATATGATAAACTGGGAGGATCAGGAGAAGCTGACAAACGGAACATGAACCTTAGACCCACAGAATCGTTGATGTCAACTGACGATGTTGAATTGAATCACGAAAAACTTGAACAGGCTTATAGCGAATTAAATCTAGAAGAAGAGGAATGTGACGATGATGAAGATAACGAGAGTGAAGAGACGCGCTTCATAAACAATAAACGAAGTAGCTTTTACACATCATCAGAACGAACATGATCCAACATTAACAAACAAATTATTCTGTAAATTTTTAAAGAGTCTCAAAAACAAAAACACATTTTTTTACTTATACAAACAACAACAAAAACAAAGCCCAGAAAATCTGTGACTGTTTCCCCCAATTTTTTTCTCTCTTATTTTTTATGAATGTGAATAAATTTTTAATGTTAATTATGGAGCGAATGTGTCATTTGACTGAAAGGTGTTAAATGGATATAAAAAATTCTTTTATTAACACAATGGCGATTTACGTAAATGATGTCAGAAGCTTTTTTTTATATAGAAAAGAAGAAAGAAATTAAACTTTTTCAAGAACAAATTGCTTTACAAAAGCATCTCTGATGGGAGAAAAGAACAAATTAAGGGAATAAAGCATTTCTAACGTCTTTTACGGATGTCGCCTATGTAACTACATATGAGAAAAATGAAAAAATATATAAAAAATTTTTTTTTGAAAAAGAAAACCGAAAAAAATAAAAAAAAAATCATTAAAAGGAAAATTTTTGTTGCTAAAGAAAAAGTTTAAATTTTCAGAGAAATCTTTTGCCATAAAATGTACTGAAAATAGCACCCAAAGCGACATTCAAAAAGCAATCAAAGGAAAGATTGTTGAAAGTAAATCGTTCAGACTACATTCAAAAGAGATCCCTTTTTCCTTAACTCTTACTGTTGCCGCGTCTTGCATTGAAAATTGGTTGAGCTTATGAGTTTTTATTAGAGTCAAAGTTGGCACAAGAATTTTTCTTCAATTTTCACGCCACTTAGAATCTGAGTAGATTTTCTTTCATTTCTGAATGACTGTCGTCTTTGATATCGTTTCAGGTTGAGAAAAAGAATTAAAGATTTCGTTTGATGTATGTGACTTTGATGGAGGAGTAAAATTCTTGTTCTGCTTCTGATTGACTTTTAAGGAGAAACTTGAATATCAAAGAAAACAAGTGAATAAAAAATTCGAAAGTATTCGTGGTTAAAATTCATAATTTATTAAATTTATCATAAAAAAAAAAAATTTATCAAAAAAGAAAAGAAATCTTTCATGTTTATTTTTCTTGTAAGTATTCCAATTGTAGAAAACACTTAAAATAATCAATTCCATTATTCAAAGTTGGAAGAAGAAATTATCTCAATATTTCTTGAAAGTTCCGAGTAAATTTGCTTGAAATATAAAACAAAGAAAGTTTTCATAAAGCAAAACTTTTGAAGTCTAGTAAGTTGAATAAAGTTTGAACAACGTTAAAACATGGCTAAACCAAACTCTGCAAACACGTTTGAGTGTTCATTGGTAAAATTTTTCTGAGCAATCTTCATCATCGTAATCACGGCAGTATATTCAACGCAAATACCATGAAAAATGTTTTTCATGTCAGGGTTGTTTCTACGATTAAAGTTCGATTCAATGCAAGATATAATAATTATTTATTATTTAACTTTCTCTACCACGATATACAATTTAGTCACAGTCATGGCTATGAAAATATATTGCAAATATATGTTGATTAAATAATAAAATTCGTAAAATCTTCATTAGCTAATAATTAAAAATACATACGTTCAAAATATCCGTGCTATTAATAATAATAAAGCATCGAACATTAAACGCAAATCAATATTTGATCAAGCGATTCATTGAGGTTTTAATTCAATGCATCGATAAATGTTGCAGGTAATTCGATTTTTGGTGTGACATTTTTTCACACAATATGTTGATAATTGTACATATTTAAACAAACAGCTTTAAATATTTGATATTTATGATTGAACAACCTTCAACATAAGTCGGCGTTTAACATAGTAATGAGTAAAGCAAATTTGCCCAGCGACCCCAACTGAAAAAGGATTCAGTTTTATCGCAAGGACCGCAAGAATTCTTCAACTCAAATTAAAGATTTGGCTGAGCCTTTTAACGTTCATTGGTGAGGTAACAAGTTATTTATATTTAAGTGAGAACCAACAACAAACCCATGTCTTATGTCTACTCAACACAAAAAAACATTCATCGAAGGAAAGAATGTTTTTGTGGGGTTTTTGCTGTAAGAAAAGGGTTCATTTTTAACCATCCCAAGGCAATGATTTGAACGCGGGAGACCGTCCTAAGACACAAGATGAAGATGAAAAGAAGAGAACAGAATAAAGAAAGAAAAATGTCTTAAGACAAGAAATTTTCACTTTAATAATTGATTTAACGTCTCGTCCCAGATGTAAGAAGTAAAAATGTGTTATAACTTTCTGGTTTCACTGAAACTTTTTTTCTTTCTCTGTTTCTCGTTTTTTTCCCATGGAAAATGAAAGGGGAAAGATGTAAAGAAGAAAAGACACTAAAGAAGTTGGTGGAAAATCTTTTATTGGGCAATTTTTCTTTATGCCCCGAAATGAACCATTTAAAAATCATCAAGCGAAGAAAATTATTATTATGAATAAAGAAAATTTCCTCTCCTTTCATCAGCCAGAAATTACACCATTTAATAATTCTTTGAAGAAAGGCAGGATGTCGAATGAGTGAATGAAAGCGATATGAAGGAAGAGATTTGGCGGGGGAATTGAAGGAAACAAAAGATATAAAAAAGGGTTTCTCGAATCGCATTTTAACAGGAAGATGAAAGTTCGTAAGAGGGATTTAAAGTTCACAACATCAGAGAATGTGAAAATGATGTTACAATTACATAATTAATTTGTTGTAAGAAAAGAGAAATTGAGATTGATAGAAGGCTTGATATTAATTTCTTCTTTACAAATATATTTCTTTCTTTCTTTTTATAATTTATAAGCACTGATGATAATCCTTTTTGATAGAGACTAAAGAGAATGAAATATCACAACATCTTCATCATACAAAACTGTCAAGTAAGTAATTTTATGATGAATTCTTTTACTCTTCTTACAAATTATATCTATTTAAATATCGTCTTTTCTGAAAAGAAACATAATAATTCAACATCATATGCAATGTCTTTGACTCTTATACTACTAAGTAATTAATCTTTAATGTCAACATTTTGCTCTATACAAGTTATCCAATCTTCATTTTCAACCTCACAAATGTCTTCAAATTTCGTCGTCACAGAATCACTATCATCATCTTTCTCATATTTATTTAAGTATGGATGTTTGAGTGCTGTCGTTGTGTCGATTCTTTCGCATGGCTCCAATTGCAAAAGTTTTTCTAGAAAATCGATTCCGGTTTCGTCATCACATTCATCAAAAACTCGTCGAAAGCTCTTTTTACGAAAGAATGGCAAAGATCTGACAAACTTTTCGCCAGTTATCAAATTTTGAGTTATTATGCAAAAATGACAAGATGGATTGAAAAATTCTTTTGACGGGGTTCCAAGTAGCTCAAGAATCAATCTTAATTGTTGTAAATCTACAAGAGAATAATTTGAACATTTCATCATAAGTTATGAATAATTAAATTATTATGTTTGCAGCGACATACGATCACGTCCCGCAAATATAATTCTTCCGCAAAGAAACTCAGCCATAATGCATCCCAAGCTCCATAAATCAACTTTCTCGGTTGATGCTTTCCACGCAAATAGAAGCTCAGGTGCTCGATACCTGTAAGAAAGGATTTTACAATTCAAACGTTAAGTTGCAAGCTTGCAATGGCAAACCATTTCGTCAACACATAATCGGTTTCTTTCGGTCGTTCAACATTCAAATCAATTATTTTTATGCTCAAATCTTTATTGATTCCAATATCCGTGGGCTTTAAATCACCATGAGTAATGCCTGAACTGTGTAAATAATTTAGTCCTCTCGAAATCTGATAAATTATGTATCGGATGTCGTCGCTTTGCAGTCGCTGTGCTCTGATGATATTATTCAAATTATCTTGCATGACATCCATGACGAGGTATAATTTGTTGTCTTTATAGAACGAATTTGTAAGTTTCACAATGTTGTTGTGTGTTAAATGCTATGATAAAAAGAAATATGACGATAATTGGTGAATTATCATTCATTTCAATTGTTGTTTACTTACTCTCAGCATTTTCAATTCCAGAAAAGCTTTTCTTGAAGTTTCCTTATTGCTGCTAATACTCCATCGTTTGATTTCAACTGCATTTTTGTGCTTTCTGTCATAAGCAATGCTTCATTTGAAACGACATCAGCCAAAAAAATAGAAACATAAAATTATTAAAAAGAAAGGAAACATTGAAAGAGAGAAAAAAAGTTTAAGAATTATTTTTAGAAATCAAATTTAATTTTCTTGTCAAATTTTTCAAATGAAATTTTGTATGTCAAGTTGCTTTGCACTTTGTCACTTATTGCTACTCACCAATAAATTCCAAATGCTGATCGATGTGAGAATGATAAATTGTCGTAGTATTCGGGAATCTCCCATTCAGTTCGCAGTACAGGAACTTTATGAAATTTATTTGTCATCTCGAATTCTTTCGTGTCTGTTTTTAATTCTTTGAGATGAAAGAGACGAAAAAAAAGAAATTCACTCACTTGCACATAATCGTTTCATGACGTTCCGTCGACGACTGAAAGCAAAGTCTATGAAATAACGCAAAAATCACTCACGAAGTCTTGTAAATAAGTAATTCAATGACTTTGTGAAATCTTTCTTCGCTTGTTTTTACTCGCGCGCTTTAAAAATATTCATAAGTCGGAAGCAGAATGTAAAGAATTTATGTTGGAAAAAGTTTGCGTAATTTTGTGCGTTTGGTTCATGAACTCTATAAACTTAGTTTATTTTCATTTCAAAGACTGACTGACTGACTGACTGAACACATCAATGCTAATTTTCGTGGAAAACTCAGAAGAAAAAGAAAAAAAGAAATTTAATAATGAATATAAAAAAATTCCACATTGCTTTGCTACGATCTCACGTTTCGTCGTGTTTTCAGCCAGAGAAAAATTAGTTAGTTTCAGATATTTGAGGAATTTGTTTTTCGCAGAGAAGTAGAGTTTCAAAAGCCGCAACCCAATTTCTGTCTCAATATCGCTCAACTCATCTTAAAGAAAAGCAAAGCAAAGCAACATTTAATCGTCAGAAGATGTTTTTCTCATTTAATTAGCATCTAAAAATAACGTCATTATGAGAATGAAAAGTGGAAACATGAATCACTATCACGCTTCAACAAGAAATTTTCACAACGAAAAAGAAAACAAACAAAGCGACGTAAACAATGCGACAGGAAAAAGTCGTCAAGTAGTGGAAAAGTTTTAAACAAAAATTTTCATTGTTATAGCTTGAATCATCTTTTAAACGGTTCTGTTGTTGATACAATCTTGTCCGATCTAATTCCTTTCTCGCATCAAACGAGTTTGGATGTTTTTTTGCTGTAAATAACAAAAGGAAGTCAAAGGTTTAAGTTACAGAGATGTAATCACATCAGATAAGTAATCATTTAAATGGGAATGTTTCCTTCAACTTCATATTGTAATCAAAAATTTAGAATATGAATCCCCAGACTTCAATTATATGCTTAAGCACTCTAAATAAATATTTCCTTTTATAGAAGTAATAGCGTCTAAAGCTTGGAAAATTTTCTGTTTTACTTGACAATTTACACACTAACGCAATCAATCTTCCGAATCAAGCAGCCTCTAGAAATAATAAATCAATAAAGAGAAATGGATTACAATTAATCACAGTGAAATGGAAATCAAACTCAAATCAATAAAAATCAGCACGTTTCTTGAGTAAATTTATTTTAAGGTAAGATCATAAAGAATAATGTTTTAGATGCGTGTTATCCTGAGATTGAATGCTGAACATTTTCATTTTTGAATTGCTTTCTTGTGTTGCAAGACACTGGAAAGTGCCATGTTTTTATTCGTGCAAATTTATTAAGAATTGCTGCAGAAAAACCTTCAATACTTATAACAATCTTTTTCACAATTCACATCATGCAATTTCAGTTCATAAATAATAGAGATATGAAACTTTTCCTGCTGCCTTCCATTTTAAAATCTCAGGAAGAAAGTCGAGCATGTGGAAGAATGAAGCGATTGAAGATATTTAATATGCATCGAGGGAGCCATCAAATTCTATGTGACACTTTTTCGAAAATGATTCGTAATAATACACATAAGCAGAAAATCTAAAAGGAAAAATCACAGTCGCAATTCTTAAGCGTTACGAACATTTCACACACGTAAATATCTTTCATTCCGTACCATTTCATACTTCCATCAGTTTTATTTTATCACGAATGTACTAACTTTTGTTGAGAAATGGAATGGGAGAAATAAATTGAAAATTTCGTAAATCTTGTGGATGAATTTATAAGTAATGTTAAATTCATTGGATATTGTCTAAAGATATTTAGAATAGTAATACCAACGAAATTGTTAAACTCTTCCTATGCGGCATAAAGCACTCGTTCCACTCTCATTTCAATCTTAAAGACATCTCATTTTTTTCTAGCAGCAAAATTTCAATTCAATTTATTTTTCTGCAGATATTCGTTGTATCGAAACATCATTTTTCTCAATTTCTTCTATTTTTGTCATCATACATGTACATATAAGGAGCAGATATCTATGTTGTATCGATACATAAACGGATAGGAATTTCATTGGTGGCACTTCAATACACATGACTTTGTGCCATCGTCATGACTGAATGAACTGCATATCGAGCTCTTATTTTGCTTCTCACGAAGCATTCAACTTTAAGAAAACAGTTTTTCGAGTGTTTTGACATGAAAAAGAAAAATAAATTGAATATTGAGAAGCAATCATGCTGAATTGTGGGGTTTGACGGAAGCTCATGTCACAAAGGAAACGTTTATGTCATTTCATTATAACGAAAGCATTCATAAACATTTCTCATAAATGATGATATGAAATCTCATTGAAAGTGCATAAGAAATCATTGAAACAACCACGGAAGTATAAGAAAAAAAATGTTCTGGTTTATAGAAAATATTCAACATTTAACCAATGATAGAAAACGGAAGTAGATCGGTCAAGATTTAAACACAGCAGGGAAATTTTTCATCTGATGACATTTTTGTAAAACCATTTTCCAACATTTCTGTACAGAACTTTTAACATTAAAACTTGTCGTTTTTGGAGAAATCCTTTCCTGTCAGCGGAAGCTTTTGGTGTCTCATATTTTATATTTACGTTACGTTGTTCATGTTCTGTATTCAAATTTGAGAAGCTTCATTGACTTATTTCGGTTTCAAGTTGTTACATTCGGTATGTTGTTGAGAACAAGAGAAAGCAAGCATTAAGACAAACATGTGCGGTTTTATTTATATTTATCATGTTATTGGACGTATTTATCACTGATTAACATTGATGGATTGCTTCTATTAAGGTGAAACCTTCTCATGACAAATCAGTTTGACGAGTTGCAATGTTGTTCTTTTCACTCAAATTCAGAACACAAAGAGTAACTTTAATCTTTCAATGGAATTTATTGGAAACAGCGAATCCCATTCGTCTTCTGTTTTCTTTTCTTTACTTTTCTTCTCGCTTGAAAGATGTTAAAAGTTATTCCCTCATGTGAATGAAAAGAAGAAGTCAAAGAGAAAATTCGTAGAATTCTAGTTTTTCTGGATGATACAAATGTTAAGATTGCCTTTAATATTTCTTTCTTTATTTCATTTGTACGAGTTCTTGAGATATCTTCGTGATCTGTAAAACTTCATAATCAAATTATACTTGATTGATTGAACCTCTTTTTTCTTTTCCTTTCTTTGGGAACGTTACATAGAAGCATATAAGGTATTAGCAAGAACCGAGAACAGATTCTCATCGCTAGATACATACAAGATGAATCATTCGAGTACGTTATTGCCTTTGGGGAATATCTCAATCTATGTAGGCTAACGTAATAAATCTTTAAGAAAGAAAGAAAAAAAAGCGAAGAAGAGAATTTTGACACTTTCATCTTTAATGAGAAATGATGGAAAACTTGACAATGAACATTACATGTGTTGAACATTGTACATATTTTTGAAAATTTGTACAACCATTACATGTGTGACTGATGGAAAATCAATAAGTAAGATTGTTCTTTTATTCACATTTTTCATGGTTATCAAAGTTTGACAATCATTTTATATCGTTCGTCTTCTTTTTGCTTCAAATGTGAATGAAATGTGAATAAGAAGAAATCAGTTCTATTATCGTTTGATCATGTTCTCATGCTGTGTAAGCATTTTAAACATATAAACATACACGCGAAATCAATTCATGATAGCGGAATTTGAAATTATATTTGAATGAGAACTGAGAAGATTGAAGTGGTTAGAGAAGTGATTTCCTTTCTTTTATCTCGACTTCATCTCCATTTTCCTTATACGAAATGTTTTCTCAATCATTTTAATTTGATTCTTTATTTCATTTCGTTTGCTCTGTGTGACTTGAATATCTTCCTTTCATTCTCCGACGTTGCAATGAAAATATTTACTGGTAGAAAATGTTTCCACTCTATTTTATCTGAAAATCTTCAATCTTTTTATCTAGAATAGAAATCCTTAACGTTTCATCTTCACTCTGCCACAAAAATGCTTCTGATGTGATTTAATGACAGGCCAAACGATGTGGAATTCCTTCGAAGCTTTCATTATGTTGAAATGTGTTAAGTTTAATCCTCAAGGCACATTCTCATCTTGTTTCATTGAATGTTTAAAGTCCATTCGAATAGAAATTAAGCTTTAATCTTTGTCATAGCCCGTACGGTCAAATTGTATTACTTTTTGATGGAATCACATCGCTACATCATTTTAAATTAATTTTTCAAAAGCTTTTTCCCGGTCATTATTTGATTTTATTGTTGGCGCAAAAAAAATTAGATCGTCGTGACGCGTTTGCGAGAGCCGTAAGAACAAAATGACTCAGAGAACAGACAGAAGAGCAGAGATGCATGTTCATAAAACGACGTCGTAAATTTTTAGCAAAATTACATAGCATTGTGCCATAAAACTGTGACGGGGGAGACGCGGAATGTCTTTAAAGGGCTAATAAAAGAAACACCAATTTTGACCATCATTTTTGCCAGCAAATAAAATTGTTTTGCTTTCGCTTTTTGCTCTCTTTTGTTCATGCTACTTTTATGAGTTTGCGTCATTTATTATCGTTTCAGTGTCGAGCGTATTGCGCTTTGTGTTTGGGGAATCATTGACTCGTCACGAAAGCAAACAAAAACCAACGCAGCACAGAAATTAACTGTTGGAATAACAAACCGCATTACATTAGATGAGATGAATTAGTTGAGCTTTGAATGCCGTCAGCTATGTTCATAAAATAACAAAAGAAGGAAGGTATCAGTAAATTACTGTGATAAAAGCATGGCGAATGTTTACTTCATGATCTAGTTCAAGGTATCATGGGAAATGTTCTGAAACAACAACCATGCAACAAAATAAAAAAATGGTCATAAACTTTTTACGACAGTTTAATAAAAAAAAAAACTTTTCTCAACAAAAATGTAAAACCATTCATTCTAGATTTCGAAGAGTGAGTGAGACTCTTCATCATCCAGAAGTCATTACAAACTTTGACTTACATATTAATTACTGATCGTTTTGCTGCTCTTACGAGAATAGATAAAATGTATGAAAGTGAATATTTTTACATGATGTCGAAATAAAATAAGAAAACGAGTCGTAAAAACTATTTTAAATTATGTTTACAGGAAATTTCCATTTGCCCTCCTACAAACATATTGTTACATTGTTAATTTTGGCCCCTAGTCAAAACTTTTCCCTATGTTGGTTCAAACTTGATGGCGACTTTTATATCATCGTCATGACTCCACCAAAACCATGAGTTTGCAAAATATAAACTAAAATTGATGTTTTCCTTCCTTTGTTCATCTTCCTCATCGGATGTTATGGGAAATTAAGTGAAATGAAATTTGTGCTTGCAAGTGATCACTTCTTTTAATTTTAAGTCATTTTTTTCCATTCTTTACCAGAAGCCAAATCTGTTTAATGCTGTCGTTAACAAAATCTCAGCTCAGAGTATGTGGTTGTAAAATAAATACTTACATCACAACCTCTTGAACCTTTCTGAGCTCCACCCATGATATTTCACTTAAATGTTTAAGACAATGAAAACAGTTTAAGATGTCTCTTCTACTACCCGTAAAATCCCACAATTCAAAAAGGATGAAATCTTGTCAAACCAATAATTTCCAGTCATAAATCAAAACTTCAAAAGTTATTGACGTAATTACATCGGATTAAAAGTGTTTTCATCGTTTGACCATTGAATGATGAGTTCATGGTTAAATCATAAGAATTGTGTTATCAAATATATTTGAGAATGTGCATAGAAGCTTCGAAGGAAACCGATAAAAAGCCTCTTCAAAATAAATTGGATTTTTCGTCCCATTCACCAAAAGAAGGAAGGCAAGAAGAGAGAAAGTAAAACAACACATTTATATTGAGTGGCACCTAAGTTCGTTGTTTAGGGATCCTTGGACGGTTAGTTATTTGATATCAGATTACAAATGTTTTCATTTAAAATAGGAAATAAAGGCAGAAAAGATATAAGCAAATTTACATTTATTTTCATGATGGTATTTTTCTTTGTTACCCATCAAGTAAAATTTATAGATTTATTTATATATTTGTTGTTATCACAGCGTGTGAATGTGATTTTTAGTGTGAAAAAAAAGTATGAAAAGTCTTAGAGGTGTAATAAAGTCAATGTTCTGAATATTCTACTTAAGTCAGCTACACGATGTGTTTAAACATGAAGACAAATGGGCGCTTTCATCCTTTAACCCCATGAATGAAAAAAAGAAACGAAAGAAAGCAAAGAACAACAGCAGCGATCTTATTTATGAAAATTTAATAAAACAAATTTATAATGCCAATGTTTTTATCCCATTTTATTTATCAAAAATTATGACTCTGTGATATTATATGCAGAGAACATGTTCCGCACACATGTTATGCTGAGCTTTAGTGTTATGTGCTCCTCATTTACATCTAAGGAACATTTAATAGCAATTTTCAAAAATAAAAATTGTAAATATATGGCACAACATATTTTATTATTATACTTTTCATCAGAATATGAAGGAATAAAGACCGTCGGTGTAATAAAGAGCGTTTAAAAAGAAGAAAAGAATTTATTAACATTTTAAAGTAAATTTAAGAAAATGAACTTCAGTGAAACGAAGACGAAGAATATATTCCACTTACTATTTATTCACTTGCTCGACTTCTTAATACTTAATCTTTTAGCACTGGAGGTAGTTTAAGGAAATCTTCCTATAAGAGCTGAGCATAACTATTAAAAACTTTCTTTCATGATGAAATGAATGAATGAATGAATAAAGGAAGTTAGCTGCCGTGTTTAATGATGGATGAAATCATTATCGTTTCCTTGATATTCTTTGCAAAATTCCTCGAGTGCAATCAGCTTTAATGTGGCTGAAAAATTAAATTACGCTATGGGAATCAAGTTTTTAACATTCATGCGCGTTTAAAAGTTTCAAGCGGATTTCATCGTCAAGCAAAAAGGGCAACGAAGGCAATTTATTATATTTAGTAACTTTTTCTCCTTCTCTCTTATAATTTATTTTTTTTCTTTTTACTTGACTTGTATATCCCAAAAGTGGCAAAAACAGAAGAATGATTATTTAAATTCTGAACTTGATCAATGATATATTATTCACTGACACTTGGCTTTTGTATCAACATTCCAGTGGATGTCAATTAATCCTGTGCCACTCCAATTGTTTGCTTAACTCACTCTACTATGTTGTCGGATTAAAACTGCGAGGGGTTGATGGTGTTTCTTTATTCTGCGTATTCTCATTGCTTTATTAAATTAAACCTTTTTAAGGCCACAAATTATTCGAAGTGAAAATCATCTACATGCAATATCTATAATGTTTAAAATAAAATAAATGCTGTGAAGTTTGTGGGGATGCCGACAAGAATGTTATAAATTGAAGTGTCCCTTCTAATCGATGCCCATTAATTTAAATTTCCTAAATCAATAGCTCGGGCGCCATCAGCAGGCTTACAAACATAAAATGTAGCACCAGAATATTCGCTATCAATTTGCTTAATAACATTATCAATTTCCTTTGAAAGCACCAAGCTCACCGTACATCCGCCTAAATGGAAACAATTTTCAACGGTATGAAATGTCAAATGCAGTCAAAGTGGCGAATAACGCCGGGAGATTTTTTAAACTCACCAAAACCACCGCCTGTCATGCGAGAGCCTAGAACACCATTACACTGCATGGCCAAATCCACTAATTTATCCAATTCATGACACGATACTTCAAAATCGCTTGATAATGATTTATGAGATTCAAGCATAAGTCTACCAACCTAAATCAAACACAATGGGGAAACAAGAAAAAGAGAGAAATGAAAAATGAGAAAAATAATTTCAAATAAAAGAATTATGAGAATGAAAGCTTTTCAGCGAAGAAAGAAAATAAAAAATCACGACTCATAAAGAGCACAAACAGAAAAAAGATTAATATTCACATGATTTACCATTATTCAAAGGAATCTCATTTTTTTTATGTTTCTGAAGACAATTTCTATGAGTAGAAATGAGTGGGAGGAGGAAAACTTGAGAAAATGGCAGATAAGAAATAATTTTTTGAAGAGAAACTTACTGTAATAAAGTCACAGCTTTTTAAAGCTTCGGAAGCTTTTAAAGTTCTTTCAATTTCTCCAATAACATGCCTGGCTCGCTTGATCAAAACATTTTCTGCGCTTCCTTCCAGTGCTGAAAATAATAATAATAAAAGAAACAAAATATTTTCATTATTTTTTTTCCTTCTTCGCTATTATCGGAGGATAAAGTTTATTTTCAGTTGACTTTCAATATCATTCCTTTCACGTTCTTTCTAAAGAATATTGAAGTAAAACATTTCAATGAATGGAGAATTTTGAAAAGAAGAAAAAATGATTGAAATATTATTTATATTCATGATATAACAAGTTATTCATAATTTTTGACAGTTATCAGAGTTAAATATCTGAAGCATGGTTTACAAGTTCATCTACATAACTTCAGTAATCAATAATGAATTGAAGAGAAAGGAGAAAAATTTCAACTTTTCTACGCTTCATTTCATTCTTTCTTCAAACTAATTTAAAAACCTCCAAGTTTCATCGGTTCAATAACTGAAACAACTAAGAAGTTTCACAAATCCATCCATTAACCCCTCTCATTTACTTCATTTAAATTTCCTCCCCATTTTCTTATTCGAATGTAAACATAATTTGCGATTGTTTTCTCACAATCTCGGGCAAGATTTAATCACTTAGAAGGGAAATTATTTGAAGCAATTGCTTAAAGTAAAATCCTACAAAACTTTCTATTCTATCCTGATAAAGGTTGAAGAATTAAAAAGAATTTTAGAGAAATCAAATAAATTCAAGTTGGCACTAGTTTCGTTCATGAATTATGCAATCTTTGATTCCAACGAGCTGTTTTCATTCATCTACGGTCCTATTCCCTCTTCTCAATTTCATTCTGAATCAACCACAAGCAGCAAATAAAAAGTAAATCCCGATGAATGAACACATAAAACAGCGAGATTATGAGCGAGGATTTTTCTGATTGCTGACTTAGGGAAATCGATATTTTCCTTTTCAGACTCTTAATGTGATTTCTTTAGCTTTATGCTTTCTCTTTCGAAGCTATCAAAGTTAGAATATATAAGTACAATTGAGAAAAGATTTAAGCTTTCAGTCATTAGCGAGACAAAGCATAAATGTGAGAAAAATCCATAACTTTTATTCATTCATCCTTGTCTGCCGTATTTGTTCAAAATATCGCTGAGAGGATTTTTCTTTCATTCTTTTTTATGTTTGCACTTAATCCTTATTTGTGTCAAATGCACATTTTTTTCACTTTGAAAATCCTTTTTGGTGGGAACTCGCTTCTCATTCTTTTCACACATAAAATCTTTACTTTTTTTAAATGCTCGAATACTTTCGTTGTCAAAGCTTTCTTCAAAGATCCATATTTCAAATCAAAACCATTTACTTTACACTCCACAAAAGAAATACGAAATTCATTTAATTTCACATCAAGTAATGCACATGAGGAATTGAAGACGAGATAGAAATTTTCACAGATATTTTACAATTTGCTGATGCACCAGAGAATTTTATTTTCCAACAATTTTCCATGCTTTTCTTAAGAAGCTTTGCTTTTCACACTAAATCAAATCGCATTATCGATGAGGTTGATTTTGTTGACATATTTTATGAAATATCTCCTTTGCGTCACCTCTAAGGGATTTAAAATGATTTTGTATTAAGTTTTGAAAAGCAAAAAGCCGAAGAAACATAAATTCATTTAAAATAAATTGTTTCAAGTGACAAAACTTCAAAGTCTTTACATGAACATGAAAAGCATATTTCGTCGAAACATTTCATAAAATTCAATCTGAATGTCATTACAATATCAACATCAATGATAGAGTCACCTAAGCAATTACGTGATACGTTTCGTGTCAACATTTAAATTGGAAACTATCGATGAAATCAATATCTATGAACATACCTTTCAAATGCGATAAATTAGCTTCACGATAACTCTCCAGACCCATTAATTTCAACGCTTCACTGCATTGTTTACGCCTAGTAGGATATTCACTCGAAGAGAGCTCATGTTTTACATTGGAGTTACAAATTAAAACCAACAAATCTTCCGCATCAAAAGGTATATGGTTAACATTGAGCGACCTTTATGGTTGTGATGATATTTTAGAGAATCAATTTAATTAAATGTGATTGACTTTGATTTTTGGAGAGAAAATTTATTTACATAATTCCTAAGGTTGCATAGATTGAACATAAACATATCAGCGAAGTGTGGGAAGCGAACATAAATGTTAAATTGTTCAAGTGCTACTTCGCTGATACATCACGAATGTCAATCTTTACAGTCGATAATAACTTTTTAATAAACTTACTGACAATCAATTAAGAGTGCATGTTTTTCCTTTCCCATAACCGAAATGAATTGGTCCATGATACCGCATGGCATATTGGCAAAAGTACTGTCGATGAAAATGTCATTGAATTGGAAGAAATTCTCGAGGGAGTTTTTTAACTTTGTTTTTCACTTACTGTTCTGCCTTCTGACAAATCAACGCCTTGTCTTTTTCCCTGGAAAAGGATGAAAAAAATGTTTCAATTTATTTATGTAGTGAATTGGAATCTATTGAAAATCCACGAGGAAAGGCTTGAACACATTCAAATTTTACTTTACATTTGGGAAATTACATGGAAGCATCGCCACTTAATTGTAAATATGTACAAATTCTAAAGATAAAACGCTCAAGGGCTTTCAAAATGAGCTTTCAATAAAGTATTAAATCAAAATCAGATAAAACTCAATTTCTAAACAACATAAAAAGTAATTTTATGATTTTAAGTGAAGCTTTAACTCACTTTGCATATTTTTCATCAGCGATTATCTCGATGAATTTCAGCGTAGCAACTTCAAGAGCGGCACTTGATGATAGGCCTCCACCAATTGGAACATTTGTATTAATCACTGCATCAAATCCCGGGACAGAAAATCCGTAATGAGAGATAACTCCTTTCACATAATTCGCCCATCTAAAGTAATTTAGAAAATTAAACTTTCTCTTCTAAAGCTCATCGTGTAACAAATTAAACTGTCTAGGAATTTACTTCAAAACTTTTTAGGATGTTAGCAATCTGTTGATTAATTCTGCATAATGAAAGAATGAGTAGGAAATGTACTTATCAATTATCTCTATGATTTCAAGTTGAATCGATTCGGTGAATTGAAATGGAAATTCAATCTCGAAGCTACCTGCATATTAAAACTTGTTTTGCTTCATTGTGCACATTTTGCAAAAGTAAAACTTTCACAGATTTCTATCATAGTCATATTCGGATGAAAATAGTTATTTTATTTAGTTATTGTTATCGTTTGGATTTATTATCTTCACATGTTGTGCTTGATTCCTTTTACGTAAACTTCTAAGCGAGATGATAAAAGAAAGAATGTTGCAGTTTGGATGTCTGTTGAGAACGCTTCAGGTATTTATAATTCATCACCAGATTCTCTAGTCAATTGAACTTCCTGATAGTCTCGCATGGAAATTAATAAATTAAATTTTACGATATCTTCCATTTGAAATCAATACTTTAATTTCAATGCATTAATTATAAAAATAAATTGAAAACCGAAATGCTACAGGTAAATCCTTTACGTGACATGACATTTAAATTAACCCTTAAGCTCTACATTTCCGTTACCTTCAACTTTTTCAAAGCATGACGAGGAGAATGAGAAAATTAATTTTCTATCGAACTGCTTGAAGGAAATTTTTTCTTATTTCTTTTGAATCTGATTAAAGGTGTTTCATGGTTCAAAATTTCAACATACGCTTCAACGATTATCATTTGATTTGATTTCTCATTTGCCACTAAAGAGAGAATGAAGATTTCATATCGTCATGTTTTTGCTGGCGGCTGAAATTGACGATGGATTGTAAAATAAATCGAAACTCCACTAAGTTTTTTTAAAATTTATGTTACTGATTACTTGCTTCTTCAACATCTCCCCAAACCTCGAATTGAACTTTTTTTTCGAACAGCAGCTTATTATGGAACTTCATTATATCCGCCGAGAATAAAATTATCCCATTTTATCATAACGACATGGTCTGATTGATCAATCTTTCGTTTCCCTTCATTCACTTCTTTTCTTCTCTTTTAGGGAAGAAACGGAAAAGGCAGAGAACGAGAGAAAAAAGAATCGAGGAAAAGGGAAAACAAGGGAAAATTTTAGGTATACACTGACTTATCAGAATCTCAACGATTGTTGTTGTGTGAAGCTTGTCACACTAAACGAGTTGGCAGCCGTTGCGACAGTAGATGAGAAATGAAAAAAATGGAAAGGAATGAAAAATCCACCGCAAGATATGAGTATGATTCAATTGATATTCATGATGGCAGTTGATTGAGTCCCATTGAAAATTCGTGAGCAATCAATGGCCCTGAAGGTATACCAAGAAATTGATTTTTTTTCCAACATGAACAGGGTAAAATTAAATATTGACACACGCACATTTATGCTCTTATACAGCATAAACTTTATTTTATGCTAGCAACATCTTTCCAATCTGACTTCGCAGCATGTTCGCAAAGCGTGTAAATTGATAATGCGTCTCAACTTGATTCATGATTCCTCCACATCTTTCTCTCTCATTTTACTCTTCTGTTGTTGTTGTGCTTAACGCGTAAAGTAAAGTAATCAAATTCCACGCAAGAATGTTATTTCAGCACAAGGAAAAGCGGGGGTTGGGGAAAAATGCCGACAAGCAAACACTTTCCCGTTCCGGAAATTGTAAAATATTAGCCGTGACTTTCCTGCAAGGCAAGTAAGTTATACTGTTGACGTTGTAACATGGCAAATAATGATTTAACCAAAATGGTTGCTTCTTTTTTCACGTTATTTATGCTTAACAATTTTGTCTAAATCAAACATGCTGATAAAAAAAAGTTGCATAAATTCAAATTTGAATTCCCAAATATAAATCCAATAGTAAAATTATTAAATCCTCAATATCATAGCAAGAAACATGATCAATTTGCAACTTAATACCTAAACTTTTATCAACTCCAATGACACCACAGCAATAAAGATGCAAGGGAACGATAATGTAGTGAAGTTAACGTAAACTTTTCTTTCTTTCTTTCCCCAAACTCTCAAACTTTTTTTCACACAAAAATGTTATTCAAATCAAATTTCTTCATTAGATTTTCTTTCCCTTTTTTTCCCTTCTAGCTTCGATTTTTTGCAACTGAAACGTTGTTTCATAAATGAATATTTTGTTCGTCTTTTTTTTCACTTTTACTTTTGCTTCTGCTTACTTTTCTCCTGTTCTGTTCCCTTCAATATCGTAAAAAGTTAACGCAAGATATGCATGAAATTTGCTTAAAATATTCATATCTGTAGGATAATAATACAGTTTAGGTGAATGAGCATTTAAAGGCATGATAGCGCTTGTTTGTCGGTGGATCAACATTTTTATAGGCTTTTATGCGGCTTAAGCTGATGACGGGGAAAGGAAGATTCACATGAAAAGGTATCAATGCAAACAATAATGAATATTCTTCAGATTCTCCATGTTTTCAAGTCATGATGAAAACGTAAAACGACATTTTGAGTATAGATAAATATCATCATGCTATTGTCATGATCGTTAGAAGATTTTTTTTATGTCGTTCTATTGTCGTCAATAAATCACTTCTAAGAAAGTCAAAGTATTTATGTAAAAGATTTTAAAAAGGTTTCTTTACTTTGAGATTCTTTATATTTACAATTATGCGCAAGCACAATTAAAACTTTCTCTTCGCTTTAATATGGTCTCAGTTGTGTGTTAACTTGAGGGAAAGAATTCCGGTAATTTAGAATGGTTGAACGAAGTAAAGAAATTCTTCTTCCTTTTTGGTTTTAGTAAAAATTCGAGAACATTTTCGGATACATTCAAATGGTGAATTCCTGCATAGATAGAATTGCAAAACAATATTCAAGGGTATATATGAGTGAATTACATCCCAAGTTTCTCTTTAGAATTGTTACAAATAAAATTATAGAAAGAAATCGAATAAAACTCTTGGAGCTTTAGGAAGATATTTTGGAAGGAAATTGAATGACAAAAATTTTTAGTTATCACATTTTCCGGAATGGTTATCATTATCAAAACTTTTCTTCACAGGGATTTAAATAATGTTGTTTGACTTACTTAGGTGTTCCGGAACAGAGATTTTCAATTTGAAATTGAACTTGTTTGGGTTGATCAGCTTCTGCGCACATTGTTGTGATGTTGCAATCACTTTTCGTGTCATTTTTTCGACCTACGATTATTGTGACCATGGGGAGTGCCTTGACGGATGAATAAGTAATTTAATCATTGAAAATATTGGGAAATATGTTAACTCACCATTGGTAGCACAAATCCATCGCAATAATCGATGTGTTCGCCAATTAAATTCACGCGCCCTGGAGCACAAGCGGCGATATCAGGTTTCCTTTTATAAATGTGCTCAAAGCTTGTCGCAGTTTTCTTGAGAAGATCTTCAAATGTTGGAAGTTGAACTGCCATGACGTCTGAAAAATAAGATTTTCTTTATCTGAAATAACATATTTTTGAAGGGTGGGTCAACTTTTTGACATTTTCCTCTTCATATCGTTTTGATTTATTGACTTTAACGTAGTCCTCTAAATCTTTTTAACCATTATCGATAGAAAACGAAAATATAAACAAAGCGTTTCTAAATCCGAAATTTAAAGGTCTCCAAGACAATTTCATCGAAGGATTTGAGAGCTCCTCCAAAATCAACTGAAGCATGACGAAAGCTTATCAAAGCTATTTAAATCCGAAGCCCATTTCATGTACTGTTCAAGAGGATTTCTTCAACTATTTGCTTCAATTGAAAGCAGATTATTTTCGACTTTTGATCCGAAGGAGGGTAACGAACCATCGACTACCCCTTCCGGTTATCTTTTTTATTCTGAGTCGCCTTAACAATATTTCCTAACATTCTTCGTTGATTATCTTCATGTCGTGTGATCATTTTGATTGGATAACTTTATTTCCTCGAAAATTCTACACCAAAAATCTCATTTGCCTTCGAAATTCTTTTCAAATAATAAACACAAATATATCATCATCATTCCTTCCTTATTTACATAATTCTTTGTAAATACTTATGTATGTAGATATAAAAGGAAAATAAGGCAAACAAACAAAAATCATTATGGAGTTAATGAATCGGAATAATTTGATTTCTTTTGGATGGATTGAGTGAGTGTAAAAGTATTAGAAAAAAACAAAATCACAGATTAATCATTTGAACCATTGCCAGTTTGCATCTCTTTTTAAATCACAGATTAAAGGATTATTATTTATTTTTCTTTTTTGAAATTTTAAAGCCAAAAGTCAATGTTTTTTTTACTTATTTTAAATCTCTTCAATGAATCAAACACTCACTCGTCGGATGTATGCTTCGAGTAATTTGTTTCTCAGTGGTTTTCGAGGGTTTATAATCAAATCATGGCTTTTATTTTTCATCCCATATTTATTCGGATTTGAGTTTTGTAAATTATTGCAAAAACGCTCTAATTTCAGTACGCATCTTAAGCAGCTTAAAGATAAATGACTTTAAAGCTTCACTTTCTTTCTCTCTGTCTCATATCTCTATGGAGAATAAATGTGTTTGTTATGCTTTAAAGAAGCTTTCTTTCTTTTTTTTCGCGTGATGTTTCGTGCTGTTGTTTGATGATGCAAGGGGGAAGAATATAATGCGATGAAAGAAGTAGGAATGAAATATGAAAATATTATTAAAATTGCGTGGTTTAGTCTCGATCATAAATTCAACGAAGGCTTAAAGCTTTTAAAAATTAATACTCTGAGAAATTGTTGAAGCACAATAATTCTTCTTTTGTATTGATGAATCAAAATAGAAAATACCCTTTATTTCCTCCCCTGATTTACGCAAAATCCTCTCATAAAGCAAACAGAAATAACATAAAATTTCCTTCATTATAAAAAGATTCACACAACAATACATGAATGGGCTGGAAACCAACAAAGCTTTCCTCTCCTCATTCTTCATATAATTACAATACATTTTCGATCATTGGTCTTTTTTCCTCCTTTAGGAGTTCACGTTGTTATGAAAAATGATGTAATGATGCATGAATTTCATTCGGGACCGAAGCCTTTTATAGTTAGAAACTGTGGGAAACGTTTATACAATATCCAAGGAATGAAAAATTGAAAGCGATAGGTTTCGAATAATTTTTTTCATTTATTCCAATACTCATCTCCGAATAGTCGTAATAAATCATTTCTTTATGTTTAATCATCGTCAATCGCTTTTTCACATTTTCATTTTTTTTCTTTGAAATGCCGTCATGTTTTTATGGAACTTCATTTGAATTTGATTTACAAATGACAAGAACATTTGATGCACGCGTCATTAATTTTCCAGTGTCCTTAAAACAACTTTCTCTCCTTCTCCCTGTCTATATCTCTCTCTTTGTCTCTCTTCATATATGACTTAGCCCCGCAACAAGACTCATAAATATTTTTGATGCTTATCATTTTTTTTATAACGAAAATTGGAAAATAATAATTTCATCTTTTTCATATATCTTGTTTCTCATTTTTCCTTTCTCTGTTTCACTCTCGTGGCATCGAATAAAAAGGTACGCAAAAAACACATTTGATATCATAAATAAAAAAAATATTATTGGAAACTCATGGATGTGTATAATATATCAAAAATAATGGTACGTTTGACAGATTTATTGTTGAAGTTTAAAAAAACTTTTCATGAAATATTTTTTGTTGTTTGCTCTTGTAGGTGAAAGGTTCTGATGCTTTGTCACGATAGCAAAGAACGTAAAGCGAATAGACTATTTAATGTATTAAATTTATTAGTACATAACACTGACTTCCCTCCAACCTACCAAACAATTTATATTTCTTTTTTTCCCCTCTTCGCCGGGACATTTTTGTAAACAAAGATGAGTGTTCAACACAAAGTTTAACAAGATAAAAAGAAGAAAAAGAAAGAAAGTGAAGGAAAAGGCTTCGCGGGAAAAGTAGTAAAGATTGAATAATTTTTATTTGACGACTACGTTACAAAAAGGGAATTATCTTAGTTTGTTGTAATCTTTAATGGTAATTATGCTAGCTAACGTTCGAGAATCACCACAATTTAATTTCAAGAAATTTCCATTTCTATCGCACTTTCACGATCTCTATCGTTTCATTTGATAGGGGGAGGTAGGAAAGGGCGACGGCAGCATATCTAATAGCGACAAATTAATGTTAGAAGTAATTTCCATTTCAATTACACAATTACGCATAAACCTCGACATTTTTACACAGGTTTTATCGTTCTTTAGGTTAAATAAAATGGTTGAAGCTATGAAAGGGAGGGAAAAGGAAAATTGACTTGAAAGGAAAATGCTCAAAACACCATTTGCATAATTTCGACATTTATATTTTGCATAACAAAATGTTTGTTACATAAATGTGAAAAAGGAAATTGACAACTTCAATCACATTAAAGCGCCTTAAATTTTCTTGCTTTCATCATCTCATCTTAATACTTATTTTTAAAGACGAGAAGGGAGAAAAGATTCACGAACCATAACTGTAAAAGTTTATATTAAGTCAATCAATGTTTCAGAGGACGATAGAAATTTCAAATCGATAACAAGAATAGCCAATTTTGGATTGTGGCGAATTGTGACAAAACTGCAGACCAATTTTAATTAGCAATCATCGAAATTTGAATATGCTTCAAATCATTTTAATTAAATTGTGTCGTTCTTTTGTGTTCAAAGGAAAAAAAAACAAATTATCTCAATACTAATTCATGTCATTAACTTTCTTTATGCTTCATCGTTACATTTTTTATATTTCTCTGTTTCTCAATGACAACTGAACAAGTGAAACATTTTACAAATTTAACTTTATTGGGATTGAGTAAATTCTCTTTAAAAAACGTAATAAAATTAAGAACGGGCACTAAAACCGCGAAACGACTTTCCAACGATGTCCAAACACTGAAAATGCCATTCACGATTGCAAATAATGCAATTAATGCTTCATGTGATGAACATGAAAGGTTTACTAATTATTTTAATTCTCACACATATTTACAACGTCAACTACCATTTAATTTTGTATTTAATTAAACCTTTTGCAATATTCAACATGTATGCAATATTTAACATATCTAATTAAATTATTCAACACGATGGATTGTATATTTGAAATTTTTATCTCTCTGTCCATCAAACTAAAACAATGTAACTGAATTTATTTATAATCAAAAGCACAGATGAAATATTTCACAAAGTGTTGCTAAACTTAATACCTTCTAAGATTTCTGTTCGAGTGGTAAATGTAATCTGCAAACTATCCTTAACTCAAATGTTCATCATTCAAAGGAATTATTTTTGCCATGAAGATAGAAATTTGGGGTGAGTTTGCAAACATGCACAGAGATATGAGGTGAGATAACTCGATAAATTAATTTCACGCTCTTAAATTCTTGATCCATCACAGATACATTTATTTAAATAATTGAGTTTGATAACTTTTCAAATATTCCACAACTTTGTTGTTTGATTGAAAACCTGACAGTCTCTAAACACGTTAAATTAATGTAAAAGTCAATAAATCAAGGAAAGTTTATTATAACATCGAATTTGTCAAGTTTACAATTCCTTTTTATAATTTGTCAAACAGATTGTTCAAGTTCAGCGACGATAGTGCCAACACTTCAACTTACCAAAGAAACTATTTTATTTCTCTTCTATGTATGTATGAATTTTTATTTTTATTCTCCCTCTTCGTTGTTGCTTTCTTTAATGGCTTTTAAAAAGTAATTTATCAATTTTTATATTTCACTCAGTGTCGAAAAGACTAAATTATGATGCATAAATATAAAAACTGTATTTTATGACGACAAATTAACAGATTTAACGACACGGCCTTTTTCCTTTAGCAAATGTCTCTTTTTGTGCAACTTATGTATGTAGATTTAATGCTACCATGAGAAAACTTGAAAGAGTTATTGAAGTTTTGCTGTTTATTTCACGATAAGCACTGGCTATTTGCTTTGAGCTACTTTGAGGTTTCTACATAAATCACGAAGAGTGATAACACGGAATAAAGTTTCAGTTGAACACTAAATTTATTAATCACTGCCACCAGAAGGCATGTTAATGAAATACAACCAAATTCCTTCCGTTCAACACACGAACTGAGACAAAATGTTGAATATGAATGTATGTTCATAAAAAAAATTCTATACGGCTGATAAAACACGAGCTTTTGTTGAGTTACTGCCTAGTCTATTCTTTTTTTACGAAATTTGTTTATTTTTTGATGACGTGCAATTATTTAATTGACCCGAGATAACGCTAAACACACAACGGATGAACACCGATTGAAGAATAAGCCTTTTTGTTATCTTCAGTTCCCTTGAACTTGTCTTTAAAGCTTGATAGTGAGAAATAAACTAAACCATGTATGACATCAAAAATAAATAAACGACATGGCGAACTCACACTTTCGTATTTAATAACGAAGCATCATATTTTGTTGATAACGATGAGCTGAAGTAAGAAAAAAACTAGTTTTTGTTGTTTTGTTTTGTTATTTCTCTTCTCACTTCTTCTTCTAAATGATCACAGTAAATGGGTCAGTATTTCGAAACGATGACACAAAATTCCAAACCACTTTCGATAGTATGCTTGACGTAGTTGATATCTTGGAAATTTTAAATTTCACAGGAATTATTACGAAAGGTTGAAGACGAAGATTTCACAACACTTAAAAATTTAATGAAGTTGTAAAAATTAAGCTAAATTGTAACATATGACAGACAGTAAAATGAATTCCAATTATTCAGTCTTCATCACTGCTTGCCTTCGTTAAGTCTGCATCAGCAACTTCCATTGTGTGTAGGTTGAAAATTTATTTTATTTTTTCTTTCTGGCATTAAAAGTTCATTTATTGAAGTGAGTTTATTATTACATTCCATTGTGAATAAATAACATTCACCTTTATAAACCTGGCAATTAAAAAAGTTAAAGTTGTTTGAATTTTAATTTTGGAATCTTTTGAGGAAGTTTTAAAAACAATGAATTGCCGTATCTCATTGTTCGCAATGTTTTGGTTTATTTTCGTATAAATGGAAAATCTTTGTGCTTTCATTAACAAAGAAATAAAAAGCTTATTTATAATGAACTGAAAATTACTCGTTGATTATTTTGGAGGATTTAAAGCCCGAAGTTAAGGAGGGGGTGGAAGATGAGTGAATAAGTAATTAACTAAATAGCTTATTTTTGTAAAATTTCGCTTGTCTAAAAATTCTCCATGGCATCCAAACATCAACAGCACTTATCTATTCGAAATCCCAAACAATTTTCCGTGCCATGAAATAGCACAAAAATATGTTGATTGTTGAATAATTAAAATCACAATTTTGCGAGCAAATCCTTTTCCATTGTTTACCGAATTAAGTGCGATAAAAAAAAGAGAATGGCGAAGGGAGAAGAGGAATGAATTCAATGAGCATTGTCAAATTATGGTCTCGGTAAATATTTGAACAGTAATTTAAAATTCCACTTCACTGCTCAATCTCGCTTCAGTCGTGATTTATGTTACGCAACGGTAAAATTATGATGACACGAAAGCTTTTCCGTTTTTTTCTTTCTTCTCAGTTATTATGAATCAAATATAGGATGTTGTTATCATGCAACAAATATCATAGTAATTCACCTGAAATTAATCATTTTAATGTCTGCATGTTTGACTGATTGAAGATGATTTGTTAACATTCAATAGTGTCACTCAAAATTAAGCATATTTATCGGGAAATCATTTTTATTCTTCTAAAATAAAAAACATTAAATTGAAAATTGTTTCTATAAACATTGATGGCCAATCAAAAAATTGCTTTAATATAAAAAAGCTTCGTCTTAGATCGTTTAACTGCAGCACAATAAACTGGTTATTGCTTTATGCTATCATCATAAATTCTTTTTAGAAGAACTTTAATCAAGGAAAGAGTATTTGGCACAATCGGCCCGACTTATCTCAACTCATAATTTATTATCTCTTACTCGTAAAAATGAAATAAAATTGAGTTTGAGACAATAAATCATATCATTTTGAGCTATAAATACACATTAGACTAGTCATTGCACCCGTCAAGTGACGTGACAAGCGATAAATAAAAATTTATTACACTTGGAGGAATCACCAAAGTGTATTATGTACCTTACTCACAGAACCTTCCACAGTTCAACATGGATCTTAATTTACTGTGTTGAAGTTGGAAGTTTATGAACAACTGAAAAAAGGTCCAAACCCGTGAAATCTTTTTCATAAATTTCATAAACCTTGAAACTTACGAGAAAACTACTTTATAAACTAATTTATAAAGTATCCCCTGTCCACTTTGATGACGAAAATACTTTTAAGTAATTAAAAACCATTTTGATGTTCATCTTGACGTTCTAAAATTCTGAATTTTATGTCCTTTTGTAGCAGTTGATGTTGGACATGAATGGATTTTTTACTGAATGCACGACTCTTATTAATAAATATCAATGACAATGTTCTTGCAAATTTGAGAAAGAAAAAAATGTAAATTGCTGTGTGCATGTTTTGCTGACAAAACAACTATCAAGTTGAAAGCTTTTGCAATCAACTTACAGTTACAAAAAAACTTTTTCTATAACAAACCCTAAAGAGAGCAACAGTTTTTGTGTTTGAAAGTATAAACGAACTCCAACATCAATCACTCTATCTGATTTAAATATGCAAATACAAATGTTGGTCTAAAGTAATGGAAAACATCAATTATTAAATTAAAATTTTATTTTAACCTTCTTTTCTTAAGGCACAAAACCTGAAGAAAGAAAACCTAAAAACATAAAGTTCGATTAAAAAACCTAATTTTAGAAATCTGAAAAAAAGTTTTAATGACATCTAAATATTTTAAGCATGAAATGATCTGAAAATATTTTAGATAACATAAGAAAACCCATTAGTTTATTTCCTTGAAATGATTTATTGAGAAGTTAATTTTCTTTTAAATAGTTTTCTAAAATTTAACAATGTTCAATATAGATTATAATCTAGGATAATCTGAGTTTTATCTCATTTGTTTCAAAGTAAATAGATATGTAGGTAGGAAGCTTCTGATCCATATCCCAAATAAACACATAATTTAAGAACAGATTTCTTTTGAAAGATTAAATTTGAATATTAAAGTTGAAAGTTTTCCCTTCGTCAAAAGTTTTTACATTTGTGCGCCCTCGGGACAAAATATTTGCTATAAATGTTCAACCCAAATTATGAAGAACGAAGCTCCAAAATGATTTATATCATTTTCGAGGAAATGTTATAATCATGAAACTAAATAATGTTAGAAATTTCATTTCATATAATTTCAATTTCACGTTTCTCATGTTGAAGATACTTGAAAAATCATAAAAATTTTATTTGTCATGTATTCATTTGCAATGTATGTTAAATTGAGTCTTTCAGATGGGAGAATGTGCACGATGCTCGCTTCCAAATTCATTATAATGAATAATACTACATTTGAACTGTTTCCTTTCCACATTAGTATCTATTTATGAATCTGAGTTTAATTTTTAACCAAACATTTTTCTCTCTTTCATGCTCCGAGAAATGAAAGGATGTGGAAATTTTCATTAATTATATATTATTACTGTTATTGAATGGGAAAGTTTATACGACTGAAAACTTTAACTGAAAATTATTTATAGATTTAGTTGCGTCACCTTTAATACCGACGTTAATAAAAATTCAAATCTTCTCACAGTGACAAAATTTTCATTTGATGCCATTGAAAGTTTTTCACGCTTGACACTTTCTCCCTTAACATATAAAGCATAAAGTTTAACAAATATAGATATGTTCATGATAATATTTAGTGTTTGTTCACATCGCATTCAAAAGGAAATGTTTCACTTTCTGCCATGCTTTAAAGCTCCGAAAACTTCTTCACTCATTTAACTGTTTAATGTGCTTTCCATTCATTCTCGCTTCGCATAGATGAAGCTATTAGCAATTCAAATATAATTAATTTTCATATGTATGAAGATTTTCTGACTCAAGCACTCCTTGAATTTATGTAAGTATGATTGTGAAGTGTATGTCTGTGTTGCATTAGAACGCTCTGGTTAATAAGTTGTTGTTTCTGTTGTTATCTTTAAAGGAAAATTCAGTACATAAATCACGACTTTATGGTGTTGTGTGGCGGATAAAATGGAAACAAATTTCCGTTTGTCTTATTTTAATTCCATTTCTTAATTTGCATGATTTTCTCGTTCATTTATATTTACATGCTCACATTAAATTTTAATTGCTTTAATCTATTTAATCATGCGTGATAACGATAGCTCTTTTATTTCTTCGTCTTTTGTTATTTCGTCTTCACTGAAGATGTTTGAATTACACATTCTTAGCGATGAAAGCAAAGCAAAGGAAAGGAAAGCTCGAGTGGTGTTGTGAAAATGAAAATATGTTGAAGCTCCATTCAAAATACATATAAATAAATGTCGTCTGAGAGTTGAGTTAATATAAATCTGAGTCAAAGTAACGCTTCTTACTTGTCATGATTCACATGCTATGTAGATGGTTTCGCTTAAGTTTGTAGAAGAGAGATGGAATTTTCATCTTTCGTTGTTATCAGAGAGATGCAAAGAAATGATAAAATGCTTGCGTGTCAGAAATACATTAGGGAAGAGATGCAATGATGTTTGATAAGAGAGAAGGAGAAGAAGAAAAAGAGTTTAATTAATTTCGGGGTCGTCCCGCAAGCTTCTGCTGTTGCTGGTTCTGCTGTTGGGATTGTTGTGGTTGTGATGCTTGTGCTTCAGTGTAGATGTTTCTCTAAAGAAAGGAAAATTGAAACGATAAAGTTCAGTAAAGGAATTGAAAAATTTAATTACTTGACCACGTTCAGCTTCTGCCGGATCATCATTGGGAGCTGGAGTTGCAGGAGCATCGCAATCGTCAGTTGGTGGTACAACACATCTCAAAGAGTGACGGTCAAAGACCAACATGGCGGGACATCTCTGTAGACGAGGATATCCGCCTTGACAATTCCAATAGCGGTTGCATGATTTCCCTAATGGCACATTTCCGTTTGCATCATCATTACAAAGTGCTGCAAGGAAAAAAAGACAAGAAATTTATTCAAATTGCACTTCATAATTTCCCTCGACATTATATCAACTTTTCAACTTTATGTTCATATGCATCTTGATTTAAACTACATTACTTACGGTGCTTCTGACATCCTTCAACATTCTGAAAGAAGATAAAAAAGTGAATCAAAAGTTCATTGTGACTTTACGTCTACTACTCATTTCCTTCCCTTGTGGATATGATTTAAACAGAAACAGATTATATCTCACCTCTGGCCAGTCACAACTATGAGCTACTTCATTATAAAGTAATCCACCAATGCATAATTGCTCAGTGGCAGTTCCATTCCAACAAGTCCAGTAACGTGTGCATGAAGTTTCATGTCCAAAAATTCCGTACAACCAGTCGCAATGTTCATTTGAAAGTGGACCATCTAAAAGTTGTTTTAAAATCATTTTACTTGATGGACGTTGATTTAAAATTTCTCTTCTCACTTGCTGTTTGTTTTCCTATACAATATGACGCTCTCCATGGGTAATCACATCCCTCAGTTACGCCACGATTCTTGCCAGCAAAAACAAGGCCATTAGGACAATCATAGAGCTCTGGTTGACCATCGACACACTCCCAATAACGATCACAGTATGTTGCGTCGCCTACGACACGACTCTTAAGCTTACAAGGATCTTCTTGATTTTTCTGGCATTGGCAGAAACCTTACCATGGAATGAAACAGAATAATTAATTAAAATTTCAAAGTGATGGAAATGAGACAATTAACACTGCAGCTCGTATTAAGTAGGAGTAAACTGAAAGGATATGCAATTAAAATTGACAACAAATAGCTATGGAAATGACATTCGTCCTTTCCAAAATATCACAGTAAATCAGACATGCAGATTTTGTGTCGGTGGGTAAGTAAAAGCAATCCAATTTCGTAAAATTTAATTGGATTGTTTGCAGTTTCGAAGCAATGTCATGCTTTTATGGCTTGTGTTGCTTTTTTACATATTTACATATGTGTACACATATATTTGATGTCAATAAAGGTTTTTGAAAAAACAAAACTCTCAAGAGAATTAAAATGGCAAATTGAGTTTCGTTCATGACAATTTTGAAATTGCCAACAAAATTCTTTCAATTATTTTGAAAATGAACGAAGATTTTATTTGAAAATATTTGCTAAATAATGAGAAAGTATTCTGAAAATTAAAACCAATCGCGCTAAGTTTTATCAGAAGCCGAAAATCTTCTCAAGACAAAAAGTGCAATAATTTTTCATTAAATCGTTGTTTTTGTGTTTGTGAAACATATTAACAGAAAAGCAGACTAAGCGGAAGCAAACAGGCTGCTAGTTTATTGAATTAAAAGTTCAGATGCAGCAACATTCATTTTATGTTTATTAAATAAGTGCTTAATGTACATACATGTTCAATAAATGAGTTTTCTAATTATTTTATTTAATGCATAAATTCCATTATTGCTTTTATTCCGAGATCAATAGAAGCTCAATGAAATTTTAATTATTTTTGTGTCCCTTTTTTCGAGAATTGGCACGAGATCATATCTAAAGCGTTTGTGTATTGAAATTCCATTTAGTTCAACTTGTACATGTGATTAAAGAAATTTTTTATTTAAATATGAAGCAATATTGTGAGAATTGATAAAATTAATTAATAAACTTTTTTTCATTTTCAAATTGCAAATAAATTTCCACTTGTTTGATTTAGCGAAAAAGTTTAATGGAATTAATGCTTGCAGGAAAATATTTTTGGATGCAGAAGTGAACATTTGATTGCCATTTTTTCAGCTTACATCAAGGCAGAAAAATTTAAATGAATTTGTTGCATCAAAACTGCCTCTTGACGAATTTGTTACATCGATTTCGATGTATGCTGCACATAACAAAAATCTGCATAGAACAACATGCAATTAATTATGCTATAACAATAAAACTCGAAAGCATTTTTCGATTAATTCGAAATCAAATTTGAACAATATCTAGACAGAAATAATGTCAAATAAATAGCCACTCAGCAAATGCCATCAGAAATACGAAAAATAAAAATATGATAGTAAACTTCAGTTCAAATTAAACCAACCAACCCTACAGCCTTGTACCAAGCCTTGTGCCACATACAAAATGATGTATAATTTTTAAATCAAATCAACAGTAGTTGTCTAGTAATTTAGGTCATCATACAGAATTGGATTTAGCAATTGTTTCCATTCAACAGCTATTTGTATTTGACTTTTAGCATCGCTTAAAACTTTCATTGGAAGATACAAACATTTCATAAATAGAGTCAGAGTTCAATGTTTTTATCGTGCATGATTAAATCACCAATAGTTGAGTTCGAAAAAGCTCAACCAAATCAATTTTCATTCTCTTGTAGCAACAGGGAAATTTACAAGAAAAATCAATGAATGAGAATAATTTTTATTTCACACGAAACATGGAAAGCATACACAACACTTGTTTCATGAAAATGCTTCTTTTTTTGTGAGTACATAAAAATTTAAATGAAATGGAGTTTTCCTTCCCATTCCCTCTTCTGCGTGCGTGCAATAAAATGTTTTTTGAGAGACAACGATGCTCTGCTACGCATGAAAGCATCGAATAAAATAAAACAAATTAAAATACAAATTGCTATTCACACTCCTCGACAGCGGCGACGAAAGTGTACAGAGTAAACCTTCTCGCATTCAAATGCTCGCTTTCAAGAATGTCGAGGGTTCTAAACTGCAAATTTCACGTCACACAAATCCCAAATTGAATTTTGTTCAGGGCAAGGAAAACATGCCAATGTGAGTTCACCAACTTAAAAAGTTTTCATCATGCAGAGTTTCGATCTGTTTATTGAATAAGATGAAACTTAAATTTATCAAATATGCTGAGTTTCAAATCTGAATAAAGCAGAATTTTAAAATCAATAAAAGCTTGAACTAATTCGAATTAATCTTTATTGAGTAAGAGTTTCAGACCAAAATCTTCACGTGACACAAATCTTAAAATGAAATTTGTTCAGGTTGTAGAAACTCCGCTTGTCTTTATGTTTACCTACTTAGAAATTGTTCTATTGAGAGCTTCATCCTGTTTATTGAACAAGATAATACAAAAACTTGTCAAATGCTTGCATCTCAACATAAAACTTCAAAAGTTAAATTAGTTTTAATAAGTAAAACTTGTTAGTTACATTAACTTTTTGCAATCTCTGTTCATGTCATTTTTAGAGATCTATGTAAAGAAAACTCTAATAAAGATTTAAAAGATTTGATTTAAACAAAATATAAAAAAGATATGATTGACCTTTTACAAAAACTAGTCAACATATAAAAGTTTATGTAAAAAATTCTCTCGAGCGTTATTTTGAGAGATTTTCAACGATAACATATCTTCATCGAGTCAAAAATGTCACTGAAAATTTTTAAACGACACAATTTGTGTCACACAAATTAAGGCCATCACTTATTGCTTAGTATAGCAGCACTCATTAAAAGTCATACGACTCAACTCTGGAGTTTTCTTCTTTGAATTTCTGTAAACAAAACTTGTCTTTCGATTTTCATCTTAAACTAAAACTGTGTAACAAGCAGAAGAGAGAAAGAAAGAAAAAGACAAAAATAAAACAGCTTCGAAAGCAACTTCGCCAATGTTTTCCTTTCTGTTAATCTAATAACGATAATGTATCTTCTTTATGAAGCTTAATCCTTTTATTTCACTCTTCTTATGATGAAATTCAGGGGCGCAATCCTTGAATGATATCATTAGCTGAATACATTTCAGCATTTTATAATTGTTTGAAATTTACAATTTGTGGTTGTTGCTACATGTGGTTTCCATTTATTGGTTGTAACTTTTACATTTTAATTAATTTAACATTGAGGTTTCATGTCACAACCCATTAAAAAATTAACGTGTCATGGTGAGGGACACGCGTTGATTTCTTCTTGGCTTATCTTTTATGCTCTAAAGCGAAGAAGAAAATGTATAAACAAGAAAATAAAATTAGAGTCTTTTGCTCAAGAAAGCAATCTCATTACTTTTATTTCTGATCCCGAAAATGGAAAATGGTTTAGCGCGTCGAATAAGCGAGTGTATGGCAAACATTTCGTTGTCGTTGTTTGCTTTTAATATCGCCGAATATAGTGACTGTTGTAGATGCTCGTAACATAATCATAAACATTTCATTTCATGTTATGAAGCTTCGCAATTCCAGCTCTAAAAAGTATTAAATTTTTCCTTTTGGATTATGACGAAAATAAATATATTTTTTCACTCCTAAACTCACTCCCATTGCATCATCCGCAACGCGCCAAGATAAATAAGATAAATTCTTGTTTTCATCTGGCAAATTTTATAAAGCTTTAGAAAAAAAAAAATTGTTGATAGACATCGGCCGGAGAGCAAAAGCACATGACAACATTTTAATTGAATTGGAATTGAGATGTTTTCTTTGAGATGGAATAAACATGTTTAGCTCAATACATCCCATAAATATTTAATTTCTTCTATTTTATAATAAACGAAATTTATTCACCTAAAGCAAACTTTTATGTCTTAATTTAGTGCTAGCAAATGGAAAATCAGATTTAAGTTAAATCAGTACCTTTCGATGCAGAAAAGAATTTATCTTAATGAAGTCTTCTTCTAAGATATTTTAGCATAGATAAAATTTTTAATAAATAGAAATTCACAAAGAATCTGAATACTTATAAATATCATCTAGGAAATTTTCTCATTGCTTTAACAGTTTTGAACTTTGATACATGAAACGATCCTTAAATAAGTAGAGATTAACCTTATTGTTTCTTCACCGTCTTTAAATGTACAGGAATCGCTATCAAAGAGAATGGAAAATCAGATTAAAGTACATTACACTCAATCTAAGGTCATAACAGCTTTGAAAAATATACGGATGAGTACTTAAAGTAATCTCACTGACTGACGGTTGTTATCTAAATAACATCGTTCGTTCACTTTCAACTTGAAACGTCTGGTCGAAAGTTTTCATTATGAAATTATACCTATCAAGGTATCTAGCGATGGATGGAAGGAAAAATTAATTTCACGCATTGTAAGCATTCGGTTTAATGCAGTTTTAATTTAAAAGATTAGCTGCTTCTGATTGTTTCGTCAACAGAAATGAAGAATTCTTCATACATTGGAATATGAAGTGAAGTTCTCTCATCAACTTGATGAAATATTTCATGAAGATTTCGAAGAAGATTCAAATTTGAAATCATTTGCGGTGCTTTTTCATCTTTTCATCATCTCATCTCTGGAAATGTTGGAAATTCTTTCATTTAAAAGTTTTTTTTCCGGTAGTTTTGTCAAAGAAACTTTTCCACTAGATTTAACATCACATCCTTACCATTCCTAAATATAGTGCAATATTTAAAGTATTCACACCATTCCGTTTCTTATGCGACAAGGGAATCGTCAAAAAGAAATTCAGATATTTCGCTTTTACAAAGTTCAAAAGTTTCAGATGAAGATTGCTCTTCATAAATTTTTTATGTTTCTCATCAACTATGTGTTGCTAGCATTCTTCAACACTTACAAAGTAAATCTTGTGATGTATGTAGTTATTCTTCGAAGAGAAATCGCCCAAACTAAGCACTAAAAGTGAAGTTCATTAAAAATTTTCTTCATCTTCTTTCTCGTAACTCATGATCATTGTCATGACGATGACGATGATGATGATTAACGACAAACGACAATAGAGAAGCAAATAAGAGTTTGCAGACAGTTTTCTCTTCAAAACAAGGATTTAAAGATTGCTTTCTTATTGTGCCTTGTTTCTGTGTTGAAGTTCTTGAGAGAAGAATGAAATAACATGAAGACATAAATAGACAACAAACAATGAAGAAAGAAATATATGTTTACGTTTTATTCTGATGTTTATGTTGCCAGAAATTTTCATTCTCTTCATTTCTCGTTTCGAAAGTCAAACCACACATTTTAGTTAAAAACATGCTTCGCTTGTGATATTTAATTATTTAAAAATGGTAATATTTAGGTAGCAATCTTCATGCCACAAATAGCTAGCAGCATGTTGAATTATATTTTTATATACATAGAAGTATTTGAATCTTCATGACGGTAAATGTTGTTGTTCATTTTGTGATATTACGAGTTTAAAAATCTCACGAACGAAACAACAATTATAACGACACATAAGCAAGGGTTTAATTATGTAACTAAGGTAATCATGTCAAATGGTGGTGTCGATGTATGCTTTGCTTTTTCACCTTTTTGAATTTGATTTGAAAAACATTTCAAAATTTAACACACGAGAAAACATTTCTGTTAAATAAGATTTCATGTCATTAAGTAAGTATAAAATTAATATAAATTTTAGTTGCTCGTTTTTGGATTGCTCGTGATGTGTGACTTACATCAAGGCGACAATATTTAATCATGTGAACACTATCAATCTTGTTTTAATGTATTATTTGTATTAGAGGTGAACTATAAGTTTGTTACGTTACAAAAACCTATCGTGGCGTGTAAATGGGATATTATTTCATATAATTATTTTATATAAAACTTTGCATGTCTTGATACACATTCGTTGAATGGGAAACAGTAAGCTGAAACCCATGAAATCTGATTATGTCTTTAAACCACATATGTGGATATGTTGGAACATACTGCAGATACATACTTAAGCACATGACATCATATGAACATACGTTCTGATGAATCAAGATAAAGTTTTAGGAAATTAAAGCCTCAAAAATTGCAAACCATTTGCTGTTAAAGACAACTTTTTCGGTATTTTCCTCAACATGTCAGTTAATTAAAATTATTTTACCGACTGTTAAACCTACCACTATACCTCACTTCCAAACACACACACACAAGAACATTAACTTGCATCAGTAAACTTGGAAAATAATGTTTTGGGATGATCTTACATGCATGAATGAATGTGAAAAGATGTGTGAAAATTTTACAGCAACAATTTCCCCGATGGTTTTTAAATGAAGAAAAAAGGGTGAAAAGGAAAAGGAAAAATCTGCTTTTTTGTGCAAAGATTAAAAAGCTAAAACAGAAATGAGTTTTGTACAGTTTCCTGTCTTAATACTAAGCATTTGAGGAGTAAAAATGCTTTTTCAACATAAACCTCGTCTTCGAGAGATGAAATTGTAAAGGGAAATGCTTGCAAGAGCTTAACTTTTGAGAATAATCGTACGGAAAGCAAGTTATTCGCTGAAACAAATAATAAAGAAATAGGTTATTTGAGATCCCATCTTCATCTCTCAACGAGATAAATTGAGTGTAAAGTTCCCATGCTTCCGTCCTTATTGCTTATCGTTGAACCTAATTCAATTTATAAAGTTTCGATTTCATACTTAATAATTCACGGTAACCAATAAAAAGTTTAACTCATAAAAAATTGAAATACAAAATAAAAAGCAGGCAAAGAGCGAGTGAAGAAACAAAAATTAAATTCCAACTTTGAATAAATTTGACATTTATTGTTGGCAAATATGGAGCAAATGGATGTAAAAGCTTTTAAAATTTTCAATGCATGTTGCAAAAGTAAAATTTTACCTCCACATAAATCTCATATTTCAGAACTTTTATGCTTTACTTTCTTTTTCTTGAAGATTTCATATATGATGCTTTGAAATGAATCCTTCTGATAATGGCACATTTATGTGCAGTGCTCACAAGAAGCATTTCTTTTTACAATCACCCTCAATTTATACATAATAATAAACATAAAAATATCGAAGAATACTTTCTGAACCCTTGACTTCTTAGTCGTTAAATAATTTCACATTATTAATGCATTTCTATCAAGCAGACTAAATAAGCAGATGTCGAGAACTTTTCATAAAGGTTGGATGACAATATTGTTAAACAAAATATCGAAGATCATTAAACTGAGATGTTTTCTACCTTGAATTCATTCAAAAACTCTTTTCTCATGTTATTAAAAAGAATTTATGTAACCGCTGCAATTCTCCTTAGATACAAGAAATATCGAAAGAAAAATGGTTTTTTTCTCGGTTCCGCATTCTCCTTTCATGAATTATATTGTCTCTTCTCGATGCAGATTGTCGAGCATCAGAATTATGATTATTAACATGAGAAATACTCAAGAAATAAAATCATTTTTCATTTCTTTCAAGTTGAAACGGAATGCAATTTATTCCTTTCTTTTCCTTAGAAAGAGCGATGGAAATTTTAAGATAGAAGTTGAAAAATAACAAATCTTTAGGGTGAGCAACGAAATAAACTTTATTCCAGTGACTTTTTCTCGAACATGAAAACTTTGACTTGCGAATTTCCTTCCAAAAAATTCCGTTTAGTTAAATAAAACTTTCCACTCTCGTCGAACTTCTGACCACTTCAAACTTTCTCCTCGAGAAGAAAAAGAGGAGATTAAAATGGAGAATGAAACATTTAATAAAAATGCAAGATAAACCAAGAATACCAGAATGTAAAATGTAATGGCCAGTCAGAATCAAATGCTAAACTGAACTGTAGTCAACGAGACTCAATCGAATTTGTTTCAAGGATAAGCAATATTTTAGCATTATTTTCATTTCATTACGCCCACTTCCCCATTCAATTTAATTTATTGCTAGGAATTTTTGACTAATGTTGAGCTTTAATAAAAATTAACTGCCGAATTTTCTTCTTCGAATTTGTTTTCATTCACTGTAACTGAATTATTTACTTATTCAGATAAGGGGTTTAGTTTGAATTGAAAATTGTTAAGAAAGTACTAAGAAAACTTCTAAATACAACAAAGAATATTTTTGGGTCTTCCACATTTCATCGTTTATTATCTTTTCCCCGCCTTTCGTTTGAGGTAAAATTTCAAAAATTACTAAGCATGGAAATTTCTCAAGACCAAAATGATATAATAGTGGGATTTTAATGAATTTCTCCAGGTGTTCCTCTTGCGGCAGTTTCAAGACAAGCTCTAACTCGTAATATGTGTCAAGCCACTCTACGAAAAAATCGCATAAAAACTCAGAAAATTGAAAAATTATGTTTTATGATGTACGATGTTCCATCACTGCACTGTTAAAATCTGTCACTCCACATTTAAGAGATCTTTCATCAGTCTTTAAAAGAACAGTAAAAATAAATGAGAAGTCGAACTAAAAAAACTTTACAACACATAAAGTGAAACTTTATGCAAATAACTTCTCCATTGAATCAACAATTCATAAACAAAATTGCAGTCTGTCGTCTATTTTCTTTGGATATCATAAAACTAACAAGGAAAAAATGTATGAAGCTTGTGTTCTTTTTACTTCAACTATGTTCTTTATTACTTTCAACAATAAATTTTCCATCGCAATGTCATCAAATTTACTATACTCACATCTTCATCTTATTCAATATTAAGCGCAGTGCAACAACGATACGTTCTTAATGCCGCAAAACTATATTTCTGCTTCTCGCCTTTGTTAGAAACTCATGATTATTCATTTTTATTGTACTTTAACATTTCTCATTTCGTTTCGCCCAGCATGACATCATTTTTCTTCTGAGCCATGTTTTTATGAGAGTGGATTGCTGCTGCCAACGATCGTCATCGTTTCTCATAAGTATGAAACTTTTCGAGGAATAGTGGTGAAGGCGAAAAACTTCCTTTCTTAGTTTTCTTAGCAATTTTTCAGTGAGAACCAAAATATCACAAGCACATAGGGGTGAAATGTATGTTTTAACAGAATTTACAATAATTTCACGGGAAAATTAAAAAAGAATTTTCTACCTTCGTTTCCCAACATCATTGACAAACATTTCCGCAATGGAGACAGTTTAATCGTATTTTTCAGCACTTGGCATCTAACAGGAATAAAAATGAATTATAAAACGATGATTGCTGAATAAAAAGAAAGATTTTCCAATAATGCAAATGCAATGAAAGCATTATAAAAGAAAAAGTGGATGTCAAAGAGTATTAATTTAACAATTTTGACACTTTTTTAAGTTTAAGGTGCAATAAATTTTACGACCATTTTTATGGTTTTCTTTTTATAATATTTAAAGATTAGATTTTTGAGCTTTTTTCCTTGTCTCATTCATTGCGAGTTTATGACAAACAATGGAATGTAACGTCGATTTCTTCTATGCATCAAAATTTCCCACAGTTGTGTCAACAACATAAACAAATCTTCAGATGTTTTGAGAGTAAATGTTGAATATCAGTGTCGTACACGAATTGCTTCCTGAACAGTTGATTTTTCTCTTCGCTTTTATTTGAGATCACGTCACTTACATATTTATTCAAGTATAATGAGAAACATCGGTCTCTTGCTTTCGCTCTAGACATGAGGGCATGAGGACAAAGTCAGAGTAAATAAACATGACACGATCCACAAACGAGCATTCGTAGCTTCATGTAAACCATTTTCCCATGTTGATCTTTCTACTTCTTTTTTATTTTATTTTCTATCATTCGCCGCTTCGTTCATTCACATAAATATTTTGCCGTTTTAGTCCGAACAATAACTGACTTGATATTAAAACGAAATGAAGTAGATCGAAAAGAAAACTTCACTTTCACTCTTTTGCAAACGTGTTTTATAGTTTTTATTAAGTTTGTTTTCGCGTATTTCGGGTTATGGAGCACTTTGTGTGCCATTCAACTCTTTTGTTTCAATTTCTATTTTATAATTCATTCGACAACATGAAATGAAGACAGCAGACAGACATGAAAACTTTAAAACAAAAACAAAATGTTTGTATGAATGAAATTATGATTTTCCTCTTCGCTTCATATTTATAATCTAAATAGCATCTTGTCTTGATATAATAAACAATCATTAAAGCGTCACAAGGTCTGGTGAAACTTAATTTCGGCATCCCCGCTTACTGTTTTTATCGCCAAGTTTCGCAACATCAGTCGGTGTATTAATATTAAAACTTTTTTTAACAAGTCTTCGTTCCGTTTCATTACATAATCTTCAACTTTTTACCATCACCGGAAAGCCCTCCGCGAGAATTGAACAGCGTCAAAAAAAATATTAAAAAAGCATTGGCGAAAGTTTTTATCGCTCGTTGACACTCTACATTGAAATGACAAAAAGCCAAAATGAAGAATTATGGCATAAAAGAGCTGGAGACAGTTGAAGAAGAAAAAAAAGTTGAATTACGATCAGACAAATATTAAATATTGGCGTTGAAACAATAAATTATTGGATGAGCATAAAGCATGTCATGAAACAAGAACTTTAATTCTGTTTTTTTAATGTTTCAATTTTATGTAGATACATTTTAGTGTTCGGATTCATTTCTTCGCATTCAAGTGAAATTAAATTATGGAAACAGAAATTTATTATTAAAACTTGTGAATTTAAAAGTTATTTGAATCATAAGTCGATGTAAATTGATGGGAACGGCCAATTAATCTGAAATAGAGCCGAGTTGATATTTTTTTTGACTGAAATTCCAGCTCATGAACATGAAAGAAGCTTAAGTAGTCGAATGTCTATAAATTGCTTCACCAAAGTGCATTGGCTATGACAACCCAAAATAAAAATGAAACTGTTTAATCCATCCTGCAATCAAAAGCTTAAATTCCAATTAATGCTCCAAGCTTTTCACGAGAACATCCCGATGAGAACACGAGTTCAATTTAATATTTGCATTCGAGCCGAAAAATAACAAAAGAGAGTTTTTGCCTCAACGGGATTTCTCGATTAAAAATTGCAACATGTATTCGAATAAATCTTTTGAAATGGAAAATTTTCACAGCATTCAGAGATTACATCAGAAAAAGTCGATGCGATGCGACAAATAACGCAAATTTTTCAAATGACAGAAAATTGAGATACAATATTTGAGAGAATTGTCATAGCGCCAACCCTGGCAGTTACATTGGGTTATGCATGAAGTTTGTTATTTTTTCCATAAAGGTCTTGTATATTGTTGACTTTTGCATGTTGCCATTCGTTTTAAAATCATCTGAAATATCACGAAAATTTCACAAATTAATGACATTACGAGGAAATTTATCATTGAAATGTGCATGTTTACGATAATTTATTATCTCGAATTGTCTGACATTTCACGTGTGAATAAAAAGCACAGGAATTATAAATCTATTGTCAATATCATGTTAATAAGCTCGTATTGATAATTAGATAACAACTTATTTTAAAATTAATTCAGTGAAATGTTTTAAATGTTCGAATTTATTCAAATAGAATCTGTTGGGAGTTTTCAAATTATGTCAGCGATTACTGTTTTGCATGTTTGTTGCATAGTTCAAAATCGCTCTTGTGTCCATTCATTCTCCCAATCTTTCCATCCACCCACCTAGCAATATTTCCAATCGAAATGTTTTTCATTCATGTTCATGAAAGCTCCAACAATGAATGCTACAGGCAAAGAAAATATTTATTTTAAATTGAATGCTGCATGTGAGTAGATATGTCATATGATTGATTGATTGATGAGTTCGTTTCAAATATTATTTAATGAAAACTTTTGACTAAAAATAGGAAAAGGTGTTGACGGCATACTTTAGATTCAATTTTCGATTACCGCGATTTACTCTTCATGATTACTGTTAAATTAAAATATTTAATTTCAGCGTTTTCATTGTTACATAATCCAATCAAAATTTCTTCGATTTTCCATTACCATACATAAAATAATCATTGTTATTCAATCCACGCAGAAATTTTAATTCCGATCATATTCATTCAAACACATGACGGTAATCATTAATAAATATAGTTTTATGTCTCTTTACAATTTTTGCATGTTTCCTGAAAAATGAAAAGGTCTTTTTATTTTTTAATTTACATTCTGAACAAATCGAGTTAATTATTCGAGTCTCATATATGGAGGCACCTATGTACAATTTTTTTTTGTGTTTTTCAACCGTTTCCGTATTCGAGAGGAAAAGATAAAAGTTGCTTCTCTGACAAAGAGGGAACATAACAAAAAAAATATTAATTGCATTTTCGTTCCGAAAATGTTGCAATTATTTCTGATTTTTAATTAAACATTATGTTTCCTGAATTTATAAACTACTTGATTGTTGGGAATGGACGTCCGTGAAGAGACTATCAAGCAACTTTAATTCATCTCGAAGATAAAATGTTTAAAATTCTGCATAAAACAAATTTTTCACTTGAATTGTGTAGCTTCGAACTTTACAATTCAGGTTGAAAAAATAAACTTTGACTGCTTGGTAACTTCAACAATTAGAAGTAATTGGCTTACACAAAAATAAATAAAATCATCAACATTGTTTTCATGTTCTCTTCATCAGGAAAGATTCCTATTTAATATTTACGAAATATGTTTGAAAAGTTTTAAATGCTAAAATTGCTGCTTATAATGTAAATAAATTGATTGAATTTAAAATTCTATTTTTCAGGTATGATGATGTATTCAAAAATTATTCAAAAACTTGATATTGTATGAACATTTCTCGCTTTACAAAATTTTCTCATGAATGAAACACGTGGAGTCGGTCGTGGAATCGACTGATCGTCGTTAAGCAGCAAATGAAAAAAAATCTGCGCCATGGCTCCGCCAGTCTTCATTCCGAAGGTGATTTCGACATGAATTATTTTCATTTGCGAAATTGCATAATTATTTATGAGCGCACAGCCGCAATTTGACTTCTCAACAAAATTCGGTACGATACTCGTTGCTTCTTTTTTAGATGGGATAATTACATTCATACATTTTTCATACTGCTTCATGGCAATAAAAAATAAATAATGAATCATGCTCTAGTATAGTTAGGAAACACCGAGTAAAATTTGGGTTAAAAAAACAATTAAAAGCTTGTTAAAGTTTCTTTCTCATGAGCAAGCATCTAACAAAATTTAAAACTGAGTAGAAATGCATCTCAAATAAGTTTTATTAAATCAACATCATACGATGTTAGCTTCAACAACATATTTGAAAGCTATCAGATATTTACGCACACTTTGCATTGCTGGTTTAATTAAAATCTACAAACTTCCAATGAACAAAATCTAAATGATGATTCGCTTTTAGTTAAGTCGAACTGCCAATAATTCATCTCACAAATGGTGAAAAGGGAAACTGCAAACAGATGCTTACTAATGCTTTGAAGTCTCATCGGATATGCAATGAGAGCTGCATGAAAGTTAATTTGATTTTTGACCACAAATTACACTTTTTCACATGTTTTTAATGTTCGAACACTCTTTCGTTTTCTCTGCCTTTCTTCATCAGGGATTGCATCTATCGCATTATAACAAGAAGATAAAAAGAATGGCGAGTTAGTTGGAAACACTGCAACAGAAGTGTGCCCTATTGAATCATTGAAAGCATTTTTTTTCTCTCTCGAGCTTCAACTAAATGGATTCGTAATTAAAAACTCCATTCGATAAAAAATAGTTTTCAAATAGGGACTTTACCACATGTTGTGTAACAAATAGAGTGAACTTATTTAGAGAGTGTCTATGAGAAATTGATTTTCTGCAAGCTTACTTAGGTGATTGACATGGGGTGTATTGACTTTGTACTTAGATGGCTTAACTTCGTTGATATTTACAATATTATGAAGATTAAAGATTTTTATTAGATGCTTTCACAAGCATTGAACTGTTTAACTCAACAAACTTCAAATGACATCATTCCAACATTCATCCCACGACTAACTAAATAGAACAAAAAAAAATCTGCACAAAAGAGAGCGCTACGAAGCTGATGATGCCACATGCAATTATGGAAGAACTTTTTTTTACTAGAAGTTCGCGCGACCATTTATATGCAGAGTGCTTTTTCAGTGATAAAAACACTTCAGAATTAACTCGTTTTTATATTGAACTGAGTTGCGAGTAAAGAAGCAAGTTCAAACTGCACTTTTTTATTTGAAATCCAGAAATGTTCTTCAAATGCAGCGTAAAAGCAAAGCGAGATTTCCATTGCTGAGTGGAGGCCACTTAATCTCAGTTCTGCTCTATAAAAACAACCGCAAATAATAAATCCAATTTAAAAAAAATGTATTAAATGCTTTTCCGCATTCCGAAGTGCACGAATAGTTCTACTTTTGCTTCACTCCTCGTTTAAAGTTTTATAACTTTTTTTTTAATTTTCTGATTACATTTTATTTTCTTTAAATTTTAATTCTAGTTGAAGCTTGATTTAAAAGATCCCGCAGTCGAATGGCAACTCATTAATAATATTAAGAAATCTTTTGATTAACGAGATCTTCCGTTTTTATAATTGTGAAAAATCTTTTTTAAAAAGTTACCAACAGACAGCAAAGAGATCTGGAAGACATTGGAACAGCTTTTTAAAAGCTACAATTTTAACTTTAAGTGCTTTACGTTGATGATGATTTCAATTTAATTGAAGGTTTTTTTCCCATTCTTCTTTAATGAAAATTAAGATGACAAAAGGAAGTTGCCCAACTCAACAAAAGATCGGCAATACAAGCATTGCATAATGACTTTACAAATAAAATAATGAATATTGAAACACGAGAAGCATCTTCGATAAACGACTGAATTTTAAACTTTTCATACTCTTTAATTGATTTTACTTTTTTTTTACTCAGTGTTCTCTCAAATATACATATTTAATTAAGTTTGAATAATTAATATATTTCCTTAACAACGCCCGGTTTTTCCAGAAGCTTTTACGAAGTAAAAAAGAAGCGAATTGAACCAAAACCTTCTCGAACGTAAACTAATTTTAATTGAATTAATAAACAATTAAGCATGAAGTGTTTTTCACTGGCTCCTGCGATTTTTCCATCGCTACTCATGTTATATGTCTAAGAATATTACGAAGAAGAATCGAGTAAAAGGAAAACAACTTAAGGACAATTCAGAAAGTTGCGAACTGTGAGAATTCATTAAATTTTTAAGTGAGAAAGTTTTTTTTTTCTAAACAAACTTTATTTTACGTCATTTGTTCATTATGCCTCAAGCACATCCATGGTAACTCACCGATTGTTAATAGTAATAAAAGGAATTCCATTCGAATCATTTTCACTTCTGTTCTGTCTCGTTTGTTTTGGAAAAAGTGTTCTCAAGCTTATTATAAACTTTGTGCTGGGCAACTTCGACTATCAGATAAGAACAAAACAACTTATTTTGAACAACTTTTTCTCGTAAGAGTTCTTAACAATTTTCTTTTGAATATATTTATGAACAACACTCGTGGAACTTCTTTTTCTCTTTCTTTAAATTCTTAGATACTCGTAATTCGAAGTTGAGTTCTTTCACTTTTGATAGTAAATATTTTTAAGTTTAAAGAAAAGTTTTTAAATTAAGTCCCGACTATTACTTGCACATCAAGATGCTTCGACAATCCGTGACTGAATGAAATAGGATTTTAGTGAATAACATCTATGCCGGTGAAATTAAAGCGAGAAATCATTGAAACTGGTTTCTTTTGCTTTGCAAGTTCGTATTGGATGTATTTTTTATGTAGTTTACAGCTACTAGATGTTGTTTATTCATTATTCCATCTCTTTGCATAAACGAGGTGAGGTAAGAAAAATGTAAAAGTTTCTGTTTCAAAGTAGACAACACCACTTGACAAAGCAGTTTGTATTTCCCCAGACAATGCAAGATTAATGTGGTAGAGGAGAAAATACGAAGTGAATACCGTCAACATGCATGACATGAATGTCTTTGTTAATTAGTTGCAATTAACTTTGAATCATAAGCGAACATGTTTTATGTTAAGTTCCATTCTTTAACCTTTCAGAAGACTTTAGGTTTCATATGTTTATAAAGCTTCAAGGTGTCAGCTTCTCATTGAACAACAATAGATGCTAAAAAGCTTTAAGTAAATGTCATTCATAAAGAGTGCAAATGTCAAAAATTTTTATTTCCTTATATCAAAACCCCATCATCATCAAAACCCCATGAAGTCGAGCGAAAAAATTCAAACGATAAAACCTCATTCACATATGAATAAAAAATTTACAATCAATAGCACCGTTGAAAGAATGAAAATGAAATAAAATAAAAAAAAATTGAGAAAAAAAATCATTGCCGTCCGCTTCATTTCACTTTCTTTTCAAATCATTCGTGCATAAGCATTGGGCGCTTTTTCTCATGCTTCATAATGTAACTTTTCTCTCACTCATTATTACCTGGGAAAAGAAATTAAATAAGAAAAATGATTGCAATATTCTTCAACTATTCGCAGCTGTAATAATGATAAATAGAAACTTTAATTAAGACAATCTCGAGTTATTAAAAATAACAAATCATTTGAAAAATTCCAGAATCGTAAGAAATATTTTTAATCAATGTGAAATCAGCATACAGTTCAAGTTCATAATGAGAGTGAAACAATTTTCACCTAGAAAACTGCCTCAAGTCACCACTTCACAATCTCCTTGGTATTCACAATAAACAATAAGAATTCAATGAACAGAAATAAATGCGACTTTATTATAATCTCCCTTTATATTCTGCTTGAAATAAGAATTGATAATAAAATTCTCAGTTACTTTCTTGTGATTATTGATGCATAAATAAAAAGAAAATGTCAACAGGTCGCGTTGAACGATTTTTTATTAATCTTCATCCTTCGAAGCTTGCTTACTTACTTCGATACTTCGATGCTTTTTTTCTTGCTTCTTGATAAAAATAAATAAGAATTGCATTTGAAACCTTCTTTCATCATAAAAACATAAATTTTATTGCATCGTTCTTAAGATGGAATCTTTCATAAAGAAATAAGGAGAAGAATTCTCCCACCCACTCACAAAACTCTTGCAGATGTTGTAAGTACACATTTATGTTAATAAAACCGAATCACTTATAACAAATTGATATTGATACAAGATCAAAATTCCTAAATTAATGAATTTCAAATGTTCATGAAAAGGTTTTTTGATGAATAAAAGAAAGTTTCTCGTCCCAAATCAACATTTCCAGTCATCGGTTGATTGATTTTTATCAGCAGAAATGAAAATGCTTTGGAAAAATGTTAAATGAATGGAAAACAAATGACAAGAGAGAAATTTATGTCTCAATTTCTTTTATTATTCGGTTCTTTCTTTTTGATAAAATAAAATGAAAAAATGAATATCCTGTGAAAACATTCTGTATCGGAAACAAATCTTATTGTTATGCTGATAAAAATTGTAAAGTACTTCAAGGTATGTACTTGATTGAATCTTTTTTCTTCTCATTGTAATGAAGGATATTTAATCATGGTGAATAAAAAAAGAAATTATTTATCATAAAGATGGAAAAGAAAAAAGTAGAAGAAAAAAACAAAAGAAGATTTTAATCAATCCTCGGAGATATTTGATATTAAAAATGACGGTAAAGAGAAAAGAAAGAAATTAAAATTCACGACGATGATAGCTGTCAGGATCGAAGTAAGACGTAACAACAACACGATCGCTAAACTTACGACCGGTGAGTGCTTGCTGTGCATGTTGGCAGTCCAAAATGGAATTGAACTCAACAAAAACCTTACCACATCCTGGTACGTCGACACCTGTTGGCATGAGAAGAGTTTATAAAGAATACTTAATAAAGAATGTGATGAAAAATTACCTTCGATTGGTCTTGGAATTTCAATCGATCGAACGACTCCATATTTGTTGCATTCTTCTTTGATGTCTTCAAGAATATCTTCATACTCCTCTTCGTCTTTAAGTTCATCAGCTGTGACCATATTTAGCAGACATAAAACATCAGTAGCCGGGCCTGACGCTCCAACACCGGACAATCCTGGAACTTGAATTTGAACTGGTGCAACTTGGCCGACTGTTGCATTTTTAGCTCCCACACTTGCTCGTTGCACGATAAGCTTTTTATCTCCAAGTTGCATTCCATTTAATCCAGCTATCGCTTGATCTGTGATAGCGTATTCAATGTATTCTGCAAAAGCGTATCCTTTCGACAATCCTGTCGCTGCATCTTTCACTAAATTAAATGCCTTCAATTGTCCGAAGGAAAGAAGTAATTCCTTCACCTGAAAATGTCACATGAAAAAAACATTTGCAAAATGGGAAGCGAAACGTGATTATGATAAAAACGAGTGAATTGTTTTTCGTTTTCTATTTTTATCTTTGATCGTCCATCTATTTGTTTCAAGGGAAAGATTTTTATGTTGTTCCTTCTTGAAAGTAAATAAAAGAATTTCAAAGGCCGACATTTCTAGAGAATGTTATGGAGACGAAAGAATAAATGAAAAATGCCCGAGATTTTGATTTTTTTTTGCTTGTAGCATTTTAAATTAGGAATCAACCAAAAGAATGAACTTTTCTGTTACAGTTTTACTCGCTTAAACACATGGACTTGCAAATATTTACACAAGCTGAAAATAAAACTGAAATGAGAGCTGCAAGGAGAAAGAACTGGTGGTGTTCACACTCGTTTTAACTCATTCGATGGTGGTTCAGTTAATGCTTTTATCTAGAAAAAGAGAGAAAATTGTCCACAATGCACAACTGACCACCAGCTGCAATTTTTGTATTTTCTTTTTTGTTTTTCACTATCTTTCGGCTCTTTTGCTATCATGTTCATTGGTTTTTGTTTTGGGGGGTTTCTTTCTTTCTTTTTTTTCTGTTTATGTACACGAAACAATCTCATTTTTTTCTTCTTTCTTTTATCTTTATGAGCAACATAGCAAAATTAAGTTAAACTGAAAATAGAGCTGAAACGAAAAGGTAAATTCGATATAAAAGCTCGTTGCGCTTGGACTAGAAATAAAAAGTAACTTCAGAAGAATTCTCAACTCCACAAGATGCGACGCTCTCGTCTCGTTTACAAGCAAAAAAAGAATTTGATTGTCGGCTTCTGAAAAGTTCGAGAATTCTTTGTCAGAACTGAAAACCTAAGAAGTTTGAAAGTACAAAGATTGTGTTTCTGAAAAGACATTTTTTGTTCTTCTCTCCCCTGAAAATGACCAACTTTGAACCTTTTTTAACACTTTCTGGACGGATTCCATTGGCGTGCTTGTGGACTTTAAAAAATAATCGGCATTTTTTCCCGCAATTCAATATCCCGTAAATGAAATTCCTAAACTAAATCAAAATTAAAGAGAATGAAAATTGTTTCGACTTGTGTGGTGCTTCGATGGTTGGAGATGAGTCAGGAGCTAAACCTGAGACAAACTTTAAGCGAAAAATGGAATCGAATTACCAGTAGAAATCGCGAAACACATACCTGATCTTCGTTTAAATAGTTTGGCAAACCCCCAATGAAAATTTTGTGTGGTGAGTCTGGAACGACGGTGCTGATAACACCAAGAACGGGAGCATTAATAGACACTGTGTCAGTCATCCCTGGCATTGGCTGGTAGTCGTGTGGTCGTCGAATTTTCAAGCTTTGTCCTTTAAAGTTGATCCCTTTAAATAAATATTTAAAGATTTAGTAAAATTACTTAATTAACATCTAATATCTTCTCACCATCAAAAGCCATAGCTTGTGTTGTTTCATCAATCGATCGGAACTCCAAGAAAGCAAAATTCTTATCGAGATTAATTTGACAAGCAAGAACAGGATTTCCAACAGCTTGGGCCAGTCCTGATAGATGCATTTGTTGGTTAAAGAATTCCATCATTTCCTCTTCCGTCACCCCAAATGGGATGTTGCCAACGTAGAGTCTTCTAGCTTGGCGTGTTATTGTTGAGCCAACCACTGGGACTGCTGCTTGTGGAGTATCAGCAACAATATTTGCTGGAATTTGACCGGCGGCTTGCATGGCTTTATATTGCAGTGGCGTAATATGCTCAAATCCGGGTGGTGGCACATCCCAATACCTAAAAATCATTAAAAATGTTAGAAAAGCAATTGAAATTTTGTGGAAATTTTTACTTACAAGCTTGGATTTCTTCTTCTGGAAGATTTTGATGCACGTCGATGCTCTCTTGAGCGAGATCGTTGTCTTGAATTATATCGGTCCTTTGAACGTGATCTTCTCTCTCTAGATTTTGAGCGGTATGTTCTACGACGATCAGCTAAAAGGAATAAAACTGTGAGCTAGGTCTGGGATTTTTTTCCTTTACATTATTTATTAAGTAAAAAAATATTTTCGCTCTTCCGTATTTATGTTTTTCACTTTACTTTAATAAAACTAGAACTTATTCAACACTTACACATGTTTATTTTGAGTTAATGAATCGATTTATATATTAATAAACGAGCAGAATTTAGTTTTTATTTACAAAATTGAAGGAAATTTGATTCTTGCTTTCAAATTAAAAGCCTTCGAGCTTAACATAAAAGCGTCGTAGCTTTTCTTCCGTCCCTTCGAACATGCAGGGAAAAGTGCCAAGCAGACCAAATTCAGTTTTTCATATGAAATTTGTCCGTTGTAAATTATAACAATTTTTTTGTTTTCTGAAAAACTGAGCGAGAAAACAAGTTTATTCAATTTAATGATTTAATGAAACAAATTACGGTTTTCAGATTGTTTCATTAAATCATTAAATAAACATCAGACGTATTTATAAATATTACATCAATTTATTCAATTTGTTTAGAATATAAAATTATGAATTCCAATATCATAAATATAATCAAAAGATGTTTTATGTGACTAGGAAGTCATGACTTTGCTATGTTGCTGTTAATAATATGTTATCTGATCTTATTGTTTGAAGAGTTCTTCAGCTGATAACAATTCTGTTAGTTGCTCTTCTGTTTTATCTTTATCAACTGTATTAAAATTGTCGTTATTATTATTATTTATCGACTTTTCTTCTAATTTCACTGTGGAGGGTTCAGAAAGTAATTCTGTTAGTTGATCCTCTGTTTTACTTTTATCAACTGCATCAAAATCGTTGTTATTATTATCATTCATCGACTCTTCCTCTAATTTCAATGTGGAGGGTTCAGAAAGTTCTTCAATTGGAGTATTTGCTACCATCAAACTCAATAACAAATTTTCTATTGCTTCCCTCTTCGATAAAATGATTTCGGGGTCAAACCAAGCTCTTAAATCCATTGGTAAACGAAAGTCGAAAATAGGTGATTTAATGAAAAAATGTTCAAAAAATTCTAAAAGAAAAAGGCCACAATCTGTGCTGTTATTTTGAACGGGAACCTTTGGGAAATAAAAAATATTCAATACGTAGGTACTTAATTATTCTATGAATTATTCTTGACTTACTTTTATTGATCCACATCCAATCAAACTGCTAGATTCGAACTCAAATAAACCCTCATATCTTGATTTGTATTCTGATTTGAAAAAATTACGAAGATGCATTGTAACCATTGCTGAACCAAAGCTTTTTTTCAAAGAATCAAATACCAAAATGCACGATTGCTTAACTTGATTACCAACAGTGGGGTGTTTCATATCTCGCATTGCTTCTTTTAAACTCACACGTTTGTCATCTTCGATTCTTATTGCACCATTCAATTTTGGATAACAAACAATTGCTAACAACCAATGTTCTCTTATGTTGCATGGAACAACAATAAAGTCCTTCTCAAACAAATTTACGGCTTGATTTGCATGAAAGTTTGAAACACGACTATAGCGCTTATCAAGTGATTTACTTGTGTCACTTCTCCATCCTGAAAAGTTTGAGCTTACTGCGTAGTTTGAGTAAAAATCGGATTTGCAAATATGAATTTTCGACCGCATTTCTTCAGAGAAAAGCTCCCAATAAATATATTCTAGGTAGAAATCAATCAAACCATTTGTTAACAAACCATCATTTTGCAATGATCTGTAATCTTCCTTTGACATCGAAATGTCTCGGTAGATTAAAATTATATCTGAATCATCTTGCTCTGCCATTTTTCTGAAATTCAAGTTTCATTTATGTTATTAAAGGTTAGAAAGAAATTGCTTTACTTTTGGAAGTGAATATTTATCGAGATTAATTAATCATCAGTTATAATGTCATGTTATACAACAATTTCCAATTTAAGTAGACTTACCTCAATAAGTATTAGAACTAACTTTATGATGTCTTGTTATTTTATTCCTGATTATTTGATTTTAAATCAATATCTAACTTATTGCATGCTTTGATTTTTTCAATCGTTTGTATGAAAAGTTATCTACTTGGTATTTTTTAAAAATTTCTTCCCGCACAATTCTCAATCTTGTGTGTGTTAAATATTACCTAGTTCGATAATTATTTAATTGACTAAAATATTTTATAAAACTTTTATTTGTATAATACCATCAGCATAATATTATTACATTTCCAATTCACAGCTATGACCATGAACATTCTCACACTTATGCTAATCCTATGTCCATCTTCTCCCCTGATGGAGTTGGGAAATAAACACTACTAGCAAAATATTCTTTGACATATTCGCCACCCATTTCTTTATAATCGCTGCTTGTCATTTGGTATTTTTGGAAGTTGCTAGTTGCGGCAAATTTTCTTGCTCCATTCCAAGCGTCTAAAGAAGGATCCTTTGCTATTTTTACTCCAAATGTGCTTTCAAAGGGACGCATTTCTAAAAGTTCTTTATTCAATCTCTCTTCAAGTCCAGGAAGCTTTGAAACAGATCCAGTTAAAAAGATATTGTTGACAAGTTTTTGTTGATCCTCTGAATTGAAAAGCTTCAAAACATAATCAATAGTTTCAGCAAGACCAGCTTCCAACACTCCTAACATACTCGGTTGAAATAAGACTTCAGTTGCACGAATTGCTTCGACAGAAAAATGAAGCTAAATGATTAAAAAAACGGTAAACGAAATTTTAAATTTTTTGTAATAAAATTTGGTCATCTTGGTTTGTTTACTAAAAAAATCGATTGAAATAAAAATGTTAGCAAGCCGATTACATTTACCCTCAGTTATAAGAAATCTTATGACTCCTTTGAGCAGTGTACGTTACGAAGGAACAAGTACATATGATGGAGATGGAAAAACAAAAGTGTCAATATTGAATCAAGAAGTTGAATCAGGATTGATGATAAATTCATTTAGTCAAATGGGATTTCGATTAAACAATGGAATGATGGTAATAGGACCTATGGCAATTTTCCCAAGGTAAGTTCAAGTAGAGTTATAAGTGTTAAATAATTCAATAAAATCTTTTTTAGAACCGTCTTTGCTTGGAACGTTAAGAATTATGAAGAGATTAACATGAAATCTTTGAGTCTTTTTATCACATTGGAACCAAAACTTGATGTACTTGTTGTTGGATCTGGGGATGAACCAATGACACCAACATTCTCAAAAAATATTATTTCATTTATGAAGAAGTACAACATCAACGTAGAAGTTTTACCAACTGAACAAGCATGTACCACTTTCAACTTTCTTGTAGGCGAGAAAAGAGTCGTTGCAGCTGCTTTAATTCCACCAAGTCTCTTGTCAATCAACGAAAGTGAATTTATAAGTAATCAATTGGAACGTAAGAGAATGTTGGAACTCGAGGATTAATTAATTTAAAGAAGTTAGAAAAATAAATATTTTAAAGTGAAGCTTACTTGATGATATTCAGCCATTCCCATGCTCAATTGAGGCTCGTCGTTTTTTCCAAGAAAAGGATCATGATGTCGCAATATATCATCGTATTCCAATAGCTTTTCATTTTCAACTTCTGAATCGCTATCTTGATCTCGACTTATAGCTTTGTAAACGTCCCAATCTTCATCTCTGGAACCAAAGTCGTCGGTTCCTTTTTCTTTTCCAGCTAATTTCGAAATAATTCTCATTCTCTCTTGAGCTGCTGCAGTTCTTCGTTTCGCTAAATCTGAGCGTCTTTGTTTCCTTGTCTGCTTCTTTTCGAGAATTGCATTTTTCTTCTCGCGAATTTCACTGAGCCATTCATTCAATGTTTTGTCAGCTGGTGGCTGAGGAATAATGACAGGCTTTTCTTCAATTTGTATTCCTGACTCTACTGCTAGCATCTTTTGTTTAACTTTCTCAATTCGTCCTTTTGTCACAGAAATTAATTTCTCTAATTCCTCGTACGTTGTCACATTGAATTCCTTCAATCCCATTTCGAATTCCTCCTCATCTTCATCATCTTCATAATTTTGCAAAAGCTCCTCCATACGCTGCAATTGGTCTTCATCTTCAGCTAATTTTTCTTCACGCTTCCTTGCATTTATCTCTGCAAGTCGTCTTGACATTTCCTTACGTTTTTCATTCTTCTGTTCAGCTGTAAGTGTTGGAGCAGCAACCACTTGGCTGAATGGAAGTTGAATTTTCTTAACGTGTCGTTCATAGAAGTCATGCGATGCCCATTGGTTCAATGACTCCTTATAATCCAAAGCAATCGAGCAATGTTCATGTAAAAGCTCTTCAACACGACTCAGAGTTATATTGTTGACATGAATCGGATATTTAAGTTGAAGAAGGCGATGCATGTAGAAAATCATGTGAAATCCTCCAACATTTATTCTTCGAATTTTATCAGCAACTTGTTTTCCATCGATATATGGAATAACATGTGTTGTTTGATAGCCAATAGATACAATTAATCCTGTTCCATTCATATTGTCATTGAAACTAAAACTGAACAATGCGTCGATGCCATAACAAACTGATGGAACTTGATAACATTCAAACAGCAATTCAGACATCACTGGAAGCAAAAAATTTTTTAATATCTTTTAAAATATAAATAGAACGGAAATACTTACATGAGCGACAATAATTAGGATTGACAGGAGCTTCTGTAATCATGATTGGATGATTTACTGATCCTTTTGTATTGACACCCAAGTGTGTGAAAATGTAATCAAAGATTTGCTCCTACAAATAATTTATAACTTTAAAATAAATATCAATTTAACTTACAAAGGTTCTTACCTGAAGATAATAATGAGTTACAACATTTCTATCGAATTGAGTTCTCAACTGGAATCGCATCGCTTCGATGTTAACGATGTCGTTGCCAATTAATGTCATTGGTTGAACATTTTGGGGTTCCTCTTTTGTTTCTTTCTTGTTGCGATCTTTACGAGGCTTTGCAACCAAGTTTCTGAATATAAGCTGAGGTTTTTTATGGCTCATAAAGCCAACACGACTTTGGAATGATCCATTGTCAATAACCAAAGGAACTTTTTGATATTTCATGGAATATTCGTGAACAATATCAGGAATTGTTTTAAGATCCTTGAGAATAAGTATTTTGTCGTCCATTTCTGTTTGAATCTCCATTTTTTAAATACGAAATCACAATTAAATTTCAAATATTAATTTTTGTTTACAATTTTACAAGCCGGCAACGTTTACGTAAACGTTTTCTTAAATACGTACGTTTAAGTTTACGTAAAACGTTTCCTTCGTACCCCTTAACATCTGAGCAGACAAAATTATAAGCGTCAGAAGAAAAAAAGTTTTTCATTCCTTCTCAATTTTTTAAACATTATTATAATTTTGAGCCATTATTTAAGAACTTAAGCTTCTTAAAAACACACAACAGCTATGTCAGATTCAGAACAAAGCAATAATGCATCAGAAGGATCTGATGTGGAGTCTGTTAATTCTGGTTCTAGGTATTTGATATTTTATCCTTCAATTGCCTCGTCATAAATTATAATTTTTCTTCTTTTCGAATTATATTGCAGATCAAGATCGGTATCTCGTTCTCGATCTCGAAGTAGATCACGATCTGGTTCGGATTCAGATGCAGCAGCTCGAAGAAATAAAAAACAGAAGAAAAAGAGCAAGAAACGTGAATTGGATGATGAGGAGGTTGAAGATGAACAAGTGAGTGTGAAATGATTCAAACTTGAATGTATTTAAATGATTTCCTTTGAATTTATAGGAACCTGAAGATGCTGAGGATGTTGACTCAGAGGAATATGAAGATGAAGAAGATTATGATGATCGTCCACGCAAACGAAAGAAGAAAGCCAATGACAGGTAAAATCCTTCAACAAAAGCCTTCAACATTTAATTCATAATAATAATTACATTTAAAGATATCGAGATTTCATCATCGAAGAAGCTGAAGTTGATTCAGATGTTGATGAAGACGATGAATATGAAGATGCTGTAGGCGAGATTGGAATAGTCGGAAATGAAGTTGAAGAATCTGGTCAAACAGCTCGTGAAATTGAAAATCGTAGACGAATGGTTATGCTGTGGGAGTAAGTTTCATTTAATAAAAGTGTGAATAACATTATAACATTAAATTTCACATGTTTCAGTAATCAAAAAGAAGAGGAAATCGAAAAACTTTTAAGAAAAAAATATGCTGATAGTGAACATCAAGCTCGAAGTCATTTCGGAGATGGTGGAGAAGAAATGTCTGATGAAATCACACAACAAACACTTTTACCTGGAATCAAGTAAGTAAATGATTAATTTTATATTGTGAAATGTTAATTAATTTTCTTCTTATTAGGGATCCAAATTTGTGGATGGTGAAATGTCGAATTGGAGAAGAAAATGCAACTGTTCTGTTACTTATGCGTAAATTCTTAACATACGCAAACACTGATGAGCCATTGCAGATTAAATCAGTTGTTGCACCGAAAGGAGTTAAAGGCTACATTTATGTTGAAGCTTTTAAACAAACTCACGTGAAAGCTGCAATCACAAATGTGGGAAACTTAAGAATGGGAATATGGAAGCAAGAAATGGTTCCAATTAAAGAAATGACAGACGTTTTGAAGGTCGTAAGCGAACAAACAGGACTAAAGAAGAAGCAATGGGTTCGTTTAAAGCGAGGATTATACAAAGATGACATCGCACAAGTTGATTTTGTAGATTTAGCCCAAAATCAAGTTCACTTGAAACTTTTGCCTCGTATTGACTATACAAGAATGCGTGGAGCTTTAAAAACAAAACTCTCAGAAGCTGAAGAGTTGAAAAGGAAGAAAAAGCGTCGTCCTCCAGCAAAGCCATTCGATCAAGAAGCGATTCGAGCAATTGGCGGTGAAATTACATCAGACGGCGACTTTCTTGTATTCGAAGGAAATCGTTATTCACGTAAAGGATTTTTATATAAAAACTTTACAATGTCAGCGATTCTTGCTGAAGGTGTGCGTCCAACATTAGCTGAACTTGAACGCTTTGAAGAGCAACCAGAAGAAATTAACATTGAACTGGCAGTTTCACCTAAAGATGATCCATCGAGCACGCATTCATTCTCCATGGGTGACAATGTTGAAGTTTGTTCTGGTGATTTGGAAAATTTACAAGCTACGATCATCGCGATTGATGGTACAATGATAACAGTTATGCCAAAACATCAAGACTTGAAGGATCCGCTCATCTTCAAAGCAAATGAATTGAGAAAATATTTCAAAGCCGGCGATCATGCAAAAGTTTTAGGCGGTCGTTATGAAGGTGAAACTGGTTTGATTGTACGCGTTGAAACATCTCGTGTTGTTCTTGTTTCCGACTTATCAATGCACGAACTTGAAGTTCTTCCACGTGATCTTCAATTGTGTTCAGATATGGCAACGGGTGTTGATTCACTTGGACAATATCAGTGGGGAGATTTGGTTCAATTGGATGCACAAACTGTTGGAGTTATCGTTCGATTAGAGCGAGAAAATTTCCATGTTTTAAGCATGCATGGAAAAGTCATTGAATGTAAACCGACAGCATTACAAAAGAAACGAGAAAACTTCAACGCAGTTGCTTTGGATAATGGACAAAATCAATTGAGACGAAAAGATATCGTGAAAGTTATTGATGGACCACATACGGGACGTGACGGTGAAATCAAACATTTATACCGAAACTTGGCTTTTCTTTATTCACGAATGTACACGGAAAATGGAGGAATTTTCGTTTGTAAGACGAGACATTTGAGTTTAGCTGGTGGGAATAAAAGTACACCGAATGCGATAGCTCCAACTGGCGTGTTTGGGTTCATGTCACCACAAATACAATCTCCAATGCATCCATCAGGAGGTCGTGGTATGGGATCGTTTGGAAGAGGATTCTCAAATCGTGGTGGTCGATCAGGTGTGTCGAGAGATCGAGAAATTCTTGGAAAGACAATAAAAATCACTGGTGGACCATATAAAGGAGCTGTTGGGATCATCAAAGATGCAACAGAAAGCACAGCGCGAGTTGAGTTGCATTCGTCATGTCAAACAATTTCTGTTGATAGAAATCACATCGCAGTTGTTGGAGCACCGGCTAAAGATGGAAGCATTTCATCATTCCGTACACCGAATCGAACTCCTGGTTATGGTGCAAACACGCCACAATATCATGCTGGCAGTAAGACGCCATTACACGGCTCACAAACGCCGCAATATGATCTCGGAAGCCGAACTCCTTATGGCGGCATGACACCTTCCCATGACGGTTCAATGACACCACGTCATGACGCTTGGAATCCCGCTGTGACTAACACACCTGCACGTCCAAATGATTTTGAATTTAATTTGGACGAATCGTCGCCAAGTCCAGGATACAATCCATCAACTCCTGGATATCAAACATTCACGCCACATACTCCTGGTGGTTTGTATTCGCCTTTCCAGCCATCGACAAGTCCAAGTCCATCATCGTATCAAGTAAATTACACGCCAAGTCCTGGATATTCCCCTCAAACCATGGGCGCACCATCATCGCCGATGAATCCACAAACACCAGGCGCTGGTTTGGATTCTCATGGTGAATGGTGTTCAGTTGACTTGGAAGTGAAGATTCGTCCACCAGCTGATGCAGATTTTGTTGGACAAATTGGATACATTAAAACTGTCAATAATGGAGCCTGTTCTGTGTTCTTATCGGTTGAAGATCGAACGCTTTCCTTCCCGATGAATGCTTTGGAACCTGTCATACCTCAAGTTCAAGATCATTTTAAGTTAATTTATGGTGAAGATCGTGATACAACGGGAGTCGTATTGGCAATTGGTAAAGATGCCACAGTTTTGATTAATGGCGAGAAAAGATTAATTCCATTGAACTATTTGTGTAAGATCACTAAAGGAAAAGCTTTGTCGTCGGGAGATTAAAATCAAAGACAAATATGATGAATTATTAGAACTTTTCATAACTAAAAGAAATTAAAGAGTTTTTGATTTTAAATGATTCAATGGATGACAAAGAAATAAAATAAAAATTAATTAGAGAAACAGAAACTTTATTAATTGCACTTAATCTCATCAAAATTTTGAACAACTTGAAAGTTTTTTCGGTTGTCTTGAGATAGAATTAAAGGATTGTTTGGTCGATCAAGGATTGTCACTTTCATTCCAGCTTCTTCTGCTGCTATGACTTCGTTAGGAATATCAGAAAGGAATAAAATTTCTTCTGCTTTTGCTTGAAGCTCTTTGGTGATGTTTTTGTAGCTTTGAGTTTCTTGTTTATGTCCGACGTTTGTGTCAAAATGTCCACTTAAGTATTTTAACATATTTCCATACTTTGAGTATTTGAAAAGAAGTTTTTGAGCTTCTACGGAACCGGAAGAGTAAATGTAGAGTTCGAAGCCTTGATTGACCCATTTCTCAAAATTTCTCGGAACATCATCATATAAATGACCTGTAAAAAGAATTTCGAGATTGTATTAAAATGGTTCTTAACAGAATTTTAACTGAACCTTTGATTGCTCCAGACTCGAAAGCTTCTTTCCATATTTTCCCTTGTAAATTTTTCAATTCTTTAGTCTTTCGATCTGCTTTGATTTGGTTCTTGACATTATCAACTATCGAATTAATAAATTCATGTTTGTTTGTGCTTTTCTGAATCGGATTTCCATCTTCTTCGGAAAGTTTACACAAGTCTCTGACGATTTCCTTGACGTCTGGTTCATCGAAAAGTTTATTCAAGAATTCTTTGCAATTATCTGACGCATACGGAAATAATACATCTTTAACGAAGGCAATATCAGTTGTCGTTCCTTCTATGTCAATAAGAATAAACTTCACAGATGGCTTTTGATCAAAAGTCATGATCATTGAATATCAAAATAACCGAACGAATACCGAGATGACATAAAATTTATCTCATTTAAAAACTAAAAAAAAAGAGAACAGTCGACAAATCTGCGGAAACTTTTTAATTTTAATTCATTAAATCTTTTGTTAGTAATAAAATTTACTATGGATAATGGTGCTAAATATTGTGATTTTTCAGAGGATTTAACTGAAAAGCTTCGGCAGTCTCAGAGTGTAAGTAAATAATGTTTAACCCGGAAATGAGAAGAATGATCAATAAAATATTTATTTTAGGTACTTAAAGAAGCTTTCCATAGATATCAGAAGCACCAAATTTTCTTATCATTCAATGGTGGTAAAGACTGCACAGTGTTACTTCATTTGATGTGTGACCTTTTTAAGGATTTCATTGATGAACTTAAAGTAATTTACTTACAATCAGCCGATCCATTCGAAGAACTGGAAAGTTTTGTAAAGTTCTGTGAGATTCACTTTAGAGTTAAGATAGTAACGATAACGTCAAGTTCATCAATGAAAGAGATTTTAGCAGACATTTGTGAAAATGACAAAGATATTGCAGCTTGTATTATGGGATCGAGACGGACAGATCCTTATTGTGAACATCTTAAAAATTTCCAAGTGAGACACGAAACAAACTGAAGTTTTGTAAATATTTTTTTCAAACTTCTTTCATTGCAGCCAACTGATAGAGGATGGCCAGAACTTATGAGAATAAATCCAATGCTTGAATGGAACTGTGCAAATGTGTGGGAGTACTTAGTTAAACTTAAAGTACCTTACTGTTCATTATACGATCGTGGATTTACTTCAATTGGCAATAAGAAGAACACGCAACCAAATCCAAACTTAGAAAATAAAGACAAACCAGGAACATTCCTTCCCGCTTATGAACTTCTTGATGATTCTCTAGAAAGAGCTGGTCGTGTGACAATAAAATGAAACGAATCATCTTAACTTAGAAAAATTACTTAGTTTTGTTTCTTTTTTAATTTCATTCTTTTATTTCTTGTTAGATGAATGAATTCCGTACTTGCAATAAATTTTTAAAATATAAAAAAGCTCAGAGTTGTTGAAGCTAAGCTTAAATATTACTTAAATTATCCAGATTTATTATTTAGGAAATTATTGTTGAGGAAAGAGTAACAACGGTTAGCGTAATGACCTTTGCCACCACATTTGAAGCAAGTAATGTCTTCGAGCTTTCGAGGTTGAAAAGGCGGTCGTGGTTGGTGATGGTTCTGATGATTTTGATGTCCATGGAAATGACCGGGGCCGTGATTTTGTTGAAAGCCGGGTGGAGGCATAGACAAAGGCGGCTGTGAAGTGTTGATGGACTGTTGAGTCAAAGGTGATTGGTCTCTGTGTTCTTCATTTCCTGCGTTCTCTTGTTGTTCTCTTAATTGACCTTGAATCTTTTGTTGCAGATGATGATTATATTGTGGATTTTGTTGTTTCATTAATGCAATTTGACGATATTTCATTTCATCTGCTTTTAGTTGTGCCTCACGTTGCTCGGGTGGTAATTTCGGGCAGAACGAAGCTTTGTGGCCGAGCTCACCACAATAATGACAAACTGGCGGTCGTTTTGGCATTTCTTTACTGAGATCCGATGCTGCAGGTAACTCGAAACGAGGATGCATGTGTTTGCAGGCTTTTCCGTCGGGACAAAATCCAGCTAAATAATTCTTACACAAAACTCGTCGAACGTGTCTGTGTCGACATCCTGGTCCATGTCTGCAAAACCCTCGATCATACCATGGACAATCTTTAATTTTACTTTCTGGATCAATATGAAGAAAAGTGCATTCTTTTTTGTGACAAGTGTTGAATCGTGAATAAAAGTAACATTCAGGCATTTTTGTCATGTCATATTCGTGAAGAAATTCGCAACTATCTCCTTTCTTACATAAAGCCCTAAGCCAATGTTTACATACAATCGTCTTCTGTTCTGCTTTAATATGTCGAAATGGGCAAAATTCTTTATCGCATTGTCCTATAAAAATTTTAAAAAAGTTAGGAAAAGAATGTTTACAAAAAGATTTATTAAATTACCTGAATTGAAGAAATTACAAACTGCAGATGTAGATTTATCCATGCCTGAGAATGGCAGAGGGAGAGCTCCAATCTGTTCATTAAGTTCATATTCAATTTTGAACAAGGAAGTATCAGTATTTGCAATTATAAATTCCATGATTTATAAAAATTTGTTTTCACTTTGACAGACTTTTTATTAATGCTCCTCGGAATTGAAAGCGGTTTAACATTATGTCATCTAAGTAAACGATTTTGTCATCTTGGAAAATTATTACTTAGTTGACCAATTTCATTCATTTAGAAAATCTCGCGAATCATTTACTTTCACAACAGAAAATTTCTTAGTGATATAAAGAACAAAATATTATAGCAAAATGCCTGATCATTTAGGAGATGATATGCGCAAGGTGAAAGTTGAGGAGAAAAAGGAGGAAGAGCCGGAAATAAAAGGTAAATTAAATTTTATATGAAATGTGTCAAGTCATCTGCAATTGTTTTGTTTGATTTTTTTCAAATAAGATCTGGATGAAGGAGATATTGAACTTTTGAAAACTTATGGTCAAGGCCAGTACCACAAGAGCATTAAACAAATCGAGGATGATATCCAGAAAGCTATTAAACAAGTGAATGAGTTGACAGGAATCAAAGAAAGCGACACGGGATTAGCTCCACCGGCTCTCTGGGATCTTGCAGCTGATAAGCAGACATTACAAAATGAACAACCTTTACAAGTTGCACGCTGTACTAAAATTATTAACGCTGATACAGATGATCCAAAGTACATCATCAATGTGAAGCAGTTTGCGAAGTTTGTTGTTGACTTAGCGGACTCTGTCGCACCAACAGACATTGAAGAAGGAATGAGAGTTGGCGTTGATCGTAATAAGTATCAAATTCATATTCCATTGCCACCAAAAATCGATCCAACAGTGACAATGATGCAAGTTGAAGACAAGCCAGATGTCACATACTCTGACGTCGGTGGATGCAAAGAACAAATCGAGAAACTCAGAGAAGTTGTTGAAACTCCACTTCTTCACGTAAGTTAAGATTGAAATGATTTAAATTCCTAATATTTATTGTATGATTTTTGTTCTTTAGCCTGAAAAGTTCGTCACACTTGGAATTGAACCACCAAAAGGTGTTTTGTTGTTTGGCCCTGTAAGTTAAATTTTCAACTCAACATCGACAAAATTAAATTAAAGTTTCTTTTTATTTGAAGCCTGGAACAGGAAAGACATTATGTGCTCGAGCAGTAGCTAACAGAACTGATGCATGTTTCATTCGCGTTATTGGATCAGAACTAGTGCAGAAATACGTCGGCGAAGGTGCTCGAATGGTTCGTGAACTTTTCGAAATGGCACGCAGTAAGAAAGCTTGTCTCATCTTTTTTGATGAAATTGATGCGATTGGTGGAGCTCGTTTCGATGATGGAGCTGGAGGTGATAACGAAGTGCAGCGTACTATGTTAGAATTGATTAATCAACTCGATGGCTTCGATCCACGTGGAAATATCAAAGTTTTGATGGCAACAAATCGTCCGGACACGTTGGATCCAGCTTTAATGCGTCCAGGTCGATTAGATCGTAAAGTTGAGTTTGGATTACCAGATTTAGAAGGGCGAACACACATCTTTAAAATTCATGCTCGTTCAATGTCAGTCGAGCGCGACATTCGCTTCGAACTTCTTGCTCGTTTATGTCCAAACTCGACTGGAGCTGAAATTCGTTCAGTTTGTACTGAAGCTGGAATGTTTGCCATTCGTGCTCGTCGTAAGGTCGCCACTGAAAAAGATTTCCTCGAAGCTGTTAACAAAGTTATTAAGAGCTATGCGAAGTTCTCAGCAACTCCACGTTACATGACTTATAATTAATTTAATTGTTCTTAGCTTCACGTGGAAAAGTTTGAATAAATATAAAAAATAAAAATTTTAAGATAAAGAAATGAATTTTAATATAAATTCGCTTTTCAATCCCAACTTCGACAACCAATTAAATCAAATTTCAGATTTTTATTTCCAAAAGTTTTTCAGTTTTTATTATTATTAGATAATTGTTACAGAAAGGATCGTTTCATTAATTTCTCTTGTCATTTCTAGATAAGACTTTCTACATTGCAAACTACGACATTATTTATTTATTTATCTCATTAGTCTTGTTTTATAAATGTTTTGCACTTACTTTATTTATTGTGCATTTTATGGCTTCGTAGATTTTTAAAAGTTAAAATAGTTTTTCTTTCCTTTGATGGCCTTTTTCATGGCAACAGAACGATTGGTAACAGTGAGATCTTTAAAGAATAAATGAGGTTTCATAGAAATATATTTTAACCAGCTTTACATCATTCAAAATGATTTCTTATCATCACGAAATTTAATTAAAACTAAACTGAAATAAAGGAAAAAAGTTTTTTGCTTGTGCGCATTTAGAAAAGTTCTGGAAAATATAAAGTTATTAATATTAATTTCTTTTAATGACTAGAGGTTCACTAAATTTGCGTTGAATAATAAATTGCGCGGTGCTTGATAGTCATTTTAATTCATTATCATCTACGATGTGTCAGGAAGTGTCCGAAAGCAAATCATTCAGTTTATCAAATGATTTATTTTCGAAAAATTTCTCATCTTTCCTTGTGATTCATGATTTTCTCACCAAATAAGTATCAACAGTGACGGGAGGATAAGATATGTTGACATTTCATGGACCACTTTTACTTAGAATGACGCTATGGATTTGCGCTTGTACATTTTCTTTACTATCAATGGCTTGGGTTAATTGAGTAGGAATAATTATTGATGGCTGCTGTTGAAGATTTCTTTGAATAATTCGATTTTGTTGGCGAACCGCTGATGTTGCAAGACTTGATACATAGCGGCTGAAAGGAAATAAGCAAGAAATAAGTTTCATAATGATTATTTCGCTTCTACACAGGCATTACCTCAAATCACCTATTTGTCCATTGCTATCAAAGACATCATTTGGTGAACTTACACCAGCCGCTTGTGCCACAACAGCATTTATCGTTGCATTTATACTTGAAGTTTGTACTCGATCCCTGTGCACTCGATTGTGATGCCTTATCAGATAACTATCACGAATAAAAGTCCTTCCACATAAATTACATTCAAAGTTCTGACCTGCAATGACAATTAATTAAAGTGAATTTACTTCTTCATGTCAATTAAAATTTTAAATACCTGCAGAATGAGTTCGAATGTGAATTGCAAATTGACTTTTACTCGTGAATGTCATTGAACATCTTTCACAGCTTAAAGGCTTCTCCGACACATGCGACCATCGATGAGCTGTTACATAACTTTTCACTGAGAATGTTTTCGAACAAATATCGCAAGCATAAGGTTTGACTCCTGTTTTGTAAGATGAAAGAATTATTAATAAAATTAACACAGAAATATTTTAATTTATCTAAGAATTAATGAAAATTTCAACAACACCTGTATGAATTCGATTATGAATATTAAGAGATGACTTTTGAGTGAATCTTTTGCAGCAAACTTCGCAAACAACTAAAAATGAAAATCATTCAATTGGTGACTTAAATAAATAATTGGGAAAAGTTTTGTTCTTACAAGGTTTCTCCCCTGTGTGAATTCTGTTGTGAATATCAAGATAAGGCTTGCGACAAAATGCTGCTGGGCATTCTGTGCACTGGAAAGGTCGTCCTTGTACTACATAAATGAAAAGACAAAGAAAGACACGATTAAGACTTTTCATCGAATGCTTTTTTGAAATTTTGATTAAGTCCAACTAAATGTTTCATGCTTGTCAATTTAATTAATTTTTTTTTCATTTTCATTTTATGATTCATTCAGAATTTGTTGAAATTTTCATTAACTTTTCATCTAACTGAAGCTTTTTATAATTTTCTTCACTGACCTGTATGAATCCTTTTGTGAATATTTAATGTTGATCTTTGAGAGAATTTCTTGAGGCACAAATCACACTCAACTGAAATTGATTTAGAGAATGTTAGAAGGAAATTTAATGAAATGAATAAATTATGATTTATTTACAAGGTCGTTCTCCTGTGTGCGTCTAAATTAAAAAAGAAAGAAAGCAAATGTCATAACAAAATATCATTCTTCGTGTTGTAATTTAATAATCACCCGCAAATGAATATCCAAGTATGGCTTACGACAGAAAGCTGCTGGGCATTGAGTACATTGAAATGGACGATGACCCGCTTAAATGAGAAAAAGGACAAACATGTTTTTCTAGATTTCATTCTCTTTTTATATTTAATAATAATTAAAAGATAAACTCACCCGAGTGAATTGTTTTATGTATGTTTAGTGACGACTTCTGACTGAATCTCTTCAAACAAATTCCACATTGAACTTCAATAAATTAAATTAATATTCAGTATAAAGAAAGGTAATTATCATAATTATTTACATGGCCGTTCTCCAGTGTGCGTTCTCATGTGAATATCAAGGTAAGGTTTCCGTGAAAAAGCTGAAGGGCATTGGCTACATTGAAAAGGACGATCTTGGATTGTATCTTCATCAAAAGAAGAGAAAAGTAAATAAAAATTCAGAATAAATTATTGTTGTCAATAGATTCACGAGTTTCTTCGCTTCTTTTTAAATGTATAAAAGAAATTCGATAACTTTTCATTTAAATTAAAAACAGAAGTTGAACACAAACATAAATAGAACACGAAACGACAATTTTCTTTCGGTAAATTAATACTGGCTTTCAATTAGGCTTCAAAACCAAGAAAAATCATTTTTAGATGGTTTCACGGAACTAAATTACGACCAAATTTCTTTCGAGGCTGAACATTGCATCGTAATGCAAAATTAGCCCCGTGAAATCATCCTGAAATGATATTTTTTGATTAGAGTCTGAGTTACCAAGACTAAGTGAACGCCAGTTAACTAATAAGAAAAATAAATCTTAAAAAATAACCAACCGTCGTTCGTGTGAGCTCGCGTATGCAATGTTAACGCACATTTTTGTGTGAAGGTCTTCATACATGATGCAGTTAAGCATTGGAATGGCCGAACGCCTGAGGGTGGGAAATGACAATAAAATTCAGAAAGTTTAAGAAAACAAAATTTGAAAATATTCCACAATAGTGTACACGATTGAAAGTATGAAAATTAAAAGAGAATAAGTTGAAATATTTTTAAATAAGATAACTTTTGGGAGTTTAATGAAAGCCCTAATTCTTAATTTTTATTCAATCCGAACCGAACTTAAAAAGTTGCCCCACTTGCATTCCCCTTAAAGTTCAAATTTGAAAATGCTCATCTAAAGTTCAAATAAATCCGGTTAAGGTTTACAAATTTAATACTATGCTCACCTGTATGAATTCGTTTATGTGTATTTAAAGATGATTTCTGACTAAAACGCTTCAAACAAATATCGCATCCAACTTTAGGAATAAATTTAATTAAACTTTTCATTCAAATGGAAATTACGGAATTTTTAATTAATAACTTACATGGTCGCTCTCCTGTATGTGTTCTCATATGAACTTCCAAATAAGGCTTCCGACAAAAAGCAGCATCACAGACTGAACCTGATAGTCAAAACCATTATTTAAAACCTATCTTAATTATATTAAATTTATTCATGTTCTTACATTGAAATGGTTTCATTCCAGAATGAAGCTTCATGTGAACGTAATAGCTGCTTGCAGATGATAGAACTTTCCCACAAACCTTACAAGCTTGAGGTTTACTGGCTCTTGAAGATGAAATTGTATGAGTCATTCCACTTGAAGCGTGTGTTTGATGCATGTTCGGTTGCGATGTTATATTTATTATCTCTGGTTTGATGTGATCGACGAGTGTCGGGATAATAACGTCGGTGTTCTGTATGCGAAAAAAGAAACGAAAAGTCTAAAAATTAGCTGTTTACACAGTTTATTTCTCTTTGGAGCGTTACTCACGTTTGCTTGAACATTATTTTTCTCATCATTCAAAGTGATAACAGTCGCATGCTGATGATTTTGAATAAGATTTTGTTGCAATACTGCTGCTGTTGCTTGATGAATTTGCTGTGGCGTGATTTGAGCTGATAGTTGTTGAGGACATGACGATTGATAAAAATGAAGAGGTTCAGTTTTGATTTGATCGAACATGCTCATTGTGGCCAGAAGGTCAGTTTCCTGAGGTGGTCGACCACCCCAATGCTGTTGAAAACTTATATTGAACGCTTTTTCTTATGCGGTGTATTGAAATAGCTCTTGAACTTGCATCTTTCTTCAAATCTGACTTCAGTTTGTATTTTATGTCAAATGTTGAATCAAGTCAACATGTGATGAAATGCTTTAAATTTTCTATGAGAAAAAGAAGAAGAAAATTTAATTTATGACGTTTTGAGTGATAGAAAAGTGTATAAAGCGAATTTAACATGTCAGTGCTTGAAGAAATAAAGAAGATGAATAAACATTTTATGTTGTACAAGCATAAAATGAATACAAATTATATGAAAATTGAAAACGTTCACCTTCAAGGTCGTTTGCGAATTAAATTTAAAAACTTCAACTATATTCATAAAAATGAAGCTTCAAAAGTTCATTTGAATCATTAAACTAATTATGCTTTATTTTCTAATGTAAATTGTTAATAAAATTCCGCTGTAATAGTTTATCATGTCAATGTCCTAATCATTTTATAACATTTAGTATTATTTTGATAGTTCACGACCTTTATTGACATCGCATTAATACTTATTTGAAATATAAAATATATTTCATTCTGATGTAAAAAGACATTGAACTTTCTTCGTTGTGTTATTGGATTTATGAGATTTCCTTTTGAAATAATCGATAAAGCCTTGGGCAAAATAAAATAACTTGGAGACGATTCTTTACAAATTGTTCAAAAAGAAAACTTACAGAGAATTTAATTTAATTCCAAATCTTCTTCTTACAATTTCGAATTTTTGTAATGCTATGACAACAAATGCTTAAAATTGCTTTGAGTCATTCTTCATGACGCATAGCAATCAATTTTATGTACTTTCATTTCACAAATTATTCTTCATACCTTTCCATCGATTTAAAAAACAAACACAAACGTTCTATCCAACTCTCATTTTAAGATTTGTACTTCACTTTAATGTTTTAAAATATAAAATGAAAATGACAAAATCGAATTTCTTAGACATTTACGTAACTAATTCACTGAATCGCACTGAATTTAATTTTCTAAGTATCTAATCTTCTCAAAAAAAAAAACGGACGATGTGTATGAAATAAAATGAAACTCAATTTAATTTCTTCCTTTTTTCAATTCTCATTTTTCCAATCAATTTCACCGAAAATTTCAACAGTAAAAAGTTTTTCATTCAACTAAAGTAGCTGATAAAAGACTCGAGTAAATAATTTCTCATTCCCTTTTTAAAGGGAAACAAACGATGGGAGGTATATAAAGCTACACCACAAGTAACGTTGCGGTTATCATGAAAGCACATTTACCGATATAACAAATTTATAAAAAACACATTCAGCGCGAGATGAGAAATGGCGATGATATCACTGATACATATGCCTAACTTTGCTTTTAATTTGTTCACCTTTTATTGATCGATAAATATTTATTTAGTGCATGAAGGGCAGAGATATTCTCTGAGGCTCTTTTCATTTAAGGGCAACTCAAGAACGGAAGTGAATTTATAATCTACAGGAAATTTTATCGGAAAGAAAAGAAATTCTCTTTCGAACGGAGCTTTTAAGATTCTTTAATAATTTGTATTTTTACTACTGAAGTAATTTTTCAAGCAAGCGTGTCTCCTTATAAAAAAAAAGCTTCATGAAATAAATATTTGAGAGAAACGAGCTTTGAAAGTGAAAACTTGCAGGAAAATGAGAAAACCTGAGAGGCTAACAAACGATTCCTTCTCTAGTGTTAGTGATGTAACGATGTAAACATGAAACTGTTCGGAAAATTAATTCTCACGTTCGGATGGTTGAGAATGAAAGTGTCGGGGGTGATTCACAAAAATGGATTTTGATTCTCTTTACGAACGTTGACTGTGTCAATTAACCCTTCACCTTTTCAGTTGGAAATTCTTTTAGTCCTTTTTGCCTTCGTGTTGACAGCGGGGGATGACGATGATTTGTGGTTCAAAGGGAGATAGTTGGGGAATATTTAATAAGGATTGAAATCAACGCAATCTCAAATTTTCTATAGATTTACATTAATCATTTTACAGTATTTTGAAAAATTTATAAATCTATTATTTGCATTGCAATGGAACATCCACAAACACTTTCCACTGAACAAAGTGAAGCTTCATAAGACAAACGCTTATTTCACCTTAAAAAATCGAAATCATTGATGTGGAAAAACACTCACAGAAATTGATTTTTCTTCTTTACAAAGTTTCCTTCAACTTGAAACTTCTTTTTGTTCGTTTTATTTCCGTTTTAAACTTGAAAATGACGAAGTCTGAATTAAAATGACGCGATACAAATTTACTTCGTATTGTGACGATTTCTGGTTTTTTTTTTGCTTCTGTAAAGGAACACAAATTATTCTGACGATGAATAAGCGGCCGGTGGAGTCTTTAGAGTGAAAATTATTACTGGAAAAAGGAAAACTGTTCTCCACTGATTTAACGACGAGAGTAAAAAATCGTCGATGGTGCAATGACAGCGGAGAGAATTTATTGCTTCTTGTGTTGGTGTCGAGAGATTGCGGAAAATTAAAAGAGAGCTTAAGGATGGGATGAGGCATTTCAGTCCTGAAATTTTTACAATTTTGCTAAATCAGCGTTCAATACTAGTTGGTTGTTTGTTCTATGCTCAACACAAATAGAGTTTAAATAAGATTTGTAGTTGTCAGCAAAACAAGCAGATAGTCAATCTTTCTCAGGAAATTTTAAATAATTCTTCTAGTCTCAAACTTTTTTCACTTAATCACATCAACGATATGATGTCAAAAATCATTCATTAATTAAATAATTAATTGTGAATTCATCACACATTAAGTCACTCCCAATGACTGTTTATTATCAACTTATCATCAATTAACCTCGATTAAAAAAAATTAATTGATTTGCAACAATGTTTTTTTTCTTATTTACGATATTTATGAATAATTCATTCGAAACATGAATTTTAACAATGTTTTGAGGTAGAACAACTTCTCGTTTATATTTTCTTTTTAAGGTTTGAGAATTTTGAGAATTAAGATCATTAAATAAAGTGATTCAATAGCTCATCCGAAAAGATCTATTTACAAACAACATCCCAGTTTCTGTCTTAAGTAATTTTAAGTTTTAATAAATGTCCGAAAATAAATCTAACGCCCACGCACAACGCGAAACGTACATCATCGATTATAGCAAATATTTTTATAATCTTAATTAAAACTTTTGTTCTTTTCAGAATTAAATGATAGTTTTAATAACTTAAAGCGCTTAAGTTTCATTGAAAACGTTTACATTGCATCTAATATTGCATGTTTCTGTTCCAGACAGCAACAGATTCAAGTTTGTTGTTTCTTCGAATTAAATAAGAAATTAAAATTTTTATTCCCAATTTAGCATAACTTCTGAGAACAAAATAACTAGATTAAGATAGATGTTCCAAATATTCTTATAAATGATCAATATCTAATTAAATTTACAACTTAGGCACCGTGTGATGTTATTGGCGACTATTTCAAGGACATTTCACGGCAAATATTACCACTTGAAGTGGTCCACTTCTAATTTATCACAATAATAAACTAAAACTAACAGTACCTTATAATCCTTATTGTTCCAGCACTTGTATGAAAACACTTAATTAAAAAGCATAAATGGCAAATTCTTTTTATTGCATTGCACAAAATGACCACAAAAAATACGAAACACAAATTTTTGCAAGTAACAAATTGCTTTTTCGTTCGGTTTTCACTCTATTATTATGAAATCAAAATAATTTAACTTTAAAACTTCATATAACAAGTTTCTTATTTGTTTTTGATAGTTAGTAAATTAAACAATTTCTTTGTCACATTTAAACTAAGATTTTAGTTTACAATAATTTTTATTTTCTTCTTCTTGATTTTTTCACATTTTTTCATTGAATACATCCAGGGCTGCCGAATGAACTTATCGAATTTTTTATTTCCATCTACCTAAATTCCTTGATTTTTTTATCTCAACTTTATTTGAAAATTCTTAATTAAATATTAGAATATGTACAAACATTTTATTGTCGCGATGTTGAAACATTAAATACTGCTGGTGGTTCCACTGGTTGTGGGGCTTCAACCGGTAATGGAATATTTTCGGGTGGCAACCAGACTTGTTGATCAGGAGAGCTTGAATTATTTTCACTATTTATTTGATTAATAGCATAGAATGGAAATCTTGCAAGAAGTTCATTCTTTGCTTTTTCAACCAATTGACGCTCTCTCTCTTCCTCTTGCTGCTTCTGAAGTTCAGAATACGATACATTTGCTTGTTTTGCATTGAACATGTATTGTTCCCCATTCCAGTTCCTAAATCCATAACCATACGAAGATGATTCGAAATTGAAAAGTTGAGGATTATTTTGGACAGGATAGGATGGAAATGGATTTGCTACTGGTACTGGTGCAATTGGATGATTCATTTTATGTTGATTGCTGCTCATATGAACTTCAAGTTGTAATTTCGTTTGCATTCTAACATCACAACGCTTACAATAAAAAATGACTCCGTCTTCGATGAACTCGTTTCCTGATGATTTGAATACTCATTAAGAAACTGTTAAGAATTTGAGAGTTATTAAGAACTTGCCTATAGTTTCAGCAGCCCGCACAAAGCTATGCTGATATTTCTTTTTAACATATTCTTTCGAGATTCCAGGATAAGTGTGAAATTTATGTTTACTCTTTTTATGTTTCTTTGATGCTAAATGAGCCTCCCATGAACATTTTGATTGGCAAGTAACATTGCAATTGACACATTGCCATTCCTTTTTGCTTTTTGAAAGTATTTTTCGCAAAGCCTTTTCATTTTCTTTCTTTTCAAAGTTGTGCGTTAGTCTTATGAGCTCCTCTGGAGGCATTAACGGGGGAATTATTTTAGTATTCTCTTGTTGTATCGGATTCTCCGATTGACTTGTAGATTGAGCAGGTTCAGTATTTTGTACAACAGTCGTTGCAGGTATAGGTAATGGTTTATATTTCTTAGCATTCTCCACATGCAATTCACTGGTCACATGAAGTTCCCATTCCGCTGGATTCTTTGACAGATGATTGCAGATGACACATTTCAAGTTTATCGACTTTGTTCTTATTCGTAATTTCAACTGGTTTTTATGCTTCCTATAAAATATGGTTTTGAAATATAACTAAAATTGAAACTTTTAAATGATATTTTTAAGAATCATAAAGAAGAAAGGAATAGCAAAATTAACAGTGTTATTATTTTCTTCTTATGCTACCCTATTGATGAAATGGCAATCTTGCCTTCCTTCACGGTGATCCCTGAGCACAACCTATTGATTGTTGCAAAAACATGGAATTATACATTTTTCATGTAAACAAAATGATTTTTAACTTACATAGCTTGAAACCATGATATTGCAAACTTCGCACTTCACTTCTTTCATTATAGCAGGCGTAGGAACATTTTTAATGTTATCTATAAGTGCTTTTGTTACCGGATCCATTCTTTCAAGAATTTTTATCCGAAATTAAGAAGATAAACAAATCGAGAATTATTAATTTCGTCTTATCGGAAAATATTAGCAAGAAAAATTATGTCTCCTTGGAACGTTTTATCAAAAGAAATTGTTTTCAACTCACGATTGAAAACAAAACTTTTATCGATTAACATTGAAAGTTTCTAACAACAACGTATATATATTAATTAAGAAAACTGTTATCAATAACCGAGTCATGTCGTTGACTTGGTGACACCAGTTTTTATTTGTATTAGTTGGTATTTAGTAAGAATTCAGAAATTTATTTTTCCTTGATTATTGAGCTGTTGGAAAAAGGTGAAAATGTCAAGGCCACGAGGATATCTTGCAAGAGCTCTTTATGATAAATACAACAATGACCAGTATATAGAGAATTACGATTATTCTTTATGGTACAAATTACCAAACGATGGAAAAGAAATTGCTGAAAAGTAAGAAAATTAAAAATTTTCTTTTGATCCTTTGTTTATAAAATAAATTTTATTTTAAAGGTATCGCTTCAAATTTTTTGACCTCAAAGAACCAGATTCCATTACAATGCAATGGATAGACGAATCTAAAATTAAATCAAGTGATCTTTGGTTACAATTGTGGCATATCGTAGCAAAATTATTTCTTAAAATTTTCCTTACTCAAACTTGTTCCAATGGTTTGCTCAGGCGCGGATCCATGTTTATCCTTTCTGAAAATGTGAGTAAAGAATATGACGAGTATATTTTAAATGATTAATATTTATGTATTTTCATAGCAATTTGCTGATTTTCTCATCAGTGGTGGATTGAATTTTGGAAACGAAACAATGATACAAATGCTCGATATTGGAGCTGGAGATGGAAAAATAACAGTGCGTTTAGCACAATCACTTCTACAACTAAACAGCAACATAATGCTGAATGTCTATGCAACCGAGACATCTTACATTATGAAAGATCGACTTCGTGAAAAGAACATTACAGTGATAAATGACATTCGTGACACGGAGAACGTTCATTTGATTTCTTGTCTAAACGTTCTTGACCGATGCGTTGATCCAAAATCTCTATTGACTGACATTTATCACTCTCTTCATCCACAAGGAAGAGCCTTGCTAGCCCTTGTCCTGCCCTACAATCATTACGTTGAACGTAATTCATCTCATCTGCCAGTTGATCCATTACTACCCCACTGGCCTCACAAGTCCCTTCCATTCAATGACGAAATTAATGTTTTTTTCGAAGAACTTGAAATGATTGGATTTAAAATCGAAAGTTTCACCAAAGCCGGCTATTTATGCGAAGGTGACATTCGGCAAAGTTTCTATTGGCTCATCGATATCCTCGTGATTGTTTCTAAAGCCTAATTTCTAAACGTTCCTAAACATTCAATTATAAAAAATTTATAAAAATTATGACACTGCACTGAGACTTTTCATTTGAAATGTTTTCAGTTTAAATCATTAAGATGCATTCCTTTTGTCTGAATAAACAATCATGATAGGTTGACTTTCTGAATTTAAACTGTTTATAAATGTACAAGCTTAGTGACAAGTTCAAGTTTAAAGCAATATTTTGTGAAGTGAGCTTGTTTTTTAGTTGATTATACATTTATTGTGAGGCTCTCGGAAAAGAGCATAACTTTGCGAATTCTAAGCCGTTCAATAAAGAGAATAAGAATATTCCCAAATTATTGGTTTTATTCTGTTAATTTCAGATATTTGCAAACATCATCATGAGTGCTGAAAGTACCTAATTGAAGAAATTATTATTTTTTTATTTAACTTTTACTTTTTATTCATTCGATATAGTAAAAACGAAAATATAATTTTTCATGCCGTGTCATTAATCATATCATGAGGATTATTTTCATTCATGAATGAGGTGTTGTATTTTATTTGCTTTTTATACTCAACTTTTTGATTCTAAGCGATAAATTTAAAAGAAAAACAAATCCATGTGGTTATGTTTTGTTTTGACGAATGAATAAGCAAAATAATCATCAATCTAGGTAGTTATATTTTCATATAATTTGGCAAATTTCTTAATAAGAAGCTTTTTTTCTTTCAATATTAAATTAAAGCTTCATTTCGTAAGCATTTTTTTTTTCTTTCAACGAATGTCATGTTTGTTGTTGTTTGTATATTTAAATATTGTGTTGGACGATTCTTTGATGCTTCTCATTGCATAAATAAGTCATTAATAATATGACACACAAATCTAGCTATTCTTTCAATATGCCTGAAGTTTCTTTTTATCATGTTTGAGAAGAAGATTTCTTTTCACAGAAGGAAGGATTGTCGGAAACTCAATGAAACAATTAATGTGTTTAATGTCGGGAAAGTAAATAATTTTCACCTCGTCCACTTACTGAATCTTCAATAAAAAAATTTTGATATCATTTTCTCTAAATATCGTTTCCATCATTTGAAAAGTTTTTCTCTTTATTATTATTTCTTTTGTTTTTGTTGAAAATCTCACTTAATATACTCATAGGCAGTATTATGCAATTGTTTTTCTTTGACATACTTATAATGTTTGTTTTTCATTCATAAAAATGTGAACGCACAGAGTGATCGCTGCATATTTTCTTTATCGGCTCTAAATTTCACATCAAATTTAATCTTCAATGAAGAAGAATTTCAAAATAAATATTTATGTCAGATTGAAAAAAAAGCCAATTTGGATTAAAATACGCAAAATTAATTAAAATAATTATCTATTCCTTGCAGATAGAATAATTATTTTGATGAAAATATTTACATGACTTTGATTTCGTTTTGGAAAATAATTTTTCTCATCTGATTTTCTTCAAAGCGACACAAACTCAAACAAATTTGAATGATTCATAAAAGAAATGTGAATTGAGTTGACTTTTCGAAACATAATTCCCATTACAAAATGTTATCGAATTTAATCTTTCTTTTCTTCTTCTAAATATGTTTTATTAGTAAGAAATTTTATCTACAACATAGAGGAAGCAAGAGTATTATCAAATTTAAATTTTCCATCATCATTCACTGCCGCGCGATCAAAAATATTTGCTTTTGATTGGAAAACTTGAAATTTTTTAGCGCTTTTTCATTCAAGAAAACAAAATTTAGGAAACTTTCCAGATCACTTTGGACCCAGAAATTTCTTTTTCTTTGTTTTATCTAATTTACAGCTAATTACATAACCGCTATCTGTCACCAAATATTTTTCTGACTAAACTTTACTTTCTCTTTTAGAAAATAATTACTTATACCTTCATGTCTGAATACATTTTCGTCTTTTACTAGCACACAATGGAAAGAAAACTAATTCAAATAATGGAATGCTCTGAACTTCGAAGGAAGGAAAACAGCGAAATTCATCAATTAAATTCAAACCGACAAAACGACATGGTAAATAAAATCGATTTCTCTAATATTCTTCACAAAACGTAATCACTTCTTATCTTAATTAAAAAATAAAAAAAAAATCTCTTCGATTTTCCAATTTATTCTAAAAAAAACCAAACAGAAGAACAAACTTAAATTGTCATTAGACTTTCACTTTCTGTCATCATTCATGCACATAAATTTACATCATGGGGTTTCATTGCAAGTTTTCTTTCTTATTTTTCCATTTCCTCATTTGAACTAACATCTAAAAATTGAGAATGAACCTAAATCACCATAAGTGCATCAAAACGATGCGTCTTTTAAACTAAATCAACAATATTGGTATTGCAAAATGGATGAAGTTTATAAAGTAGTTTATGTAAGTAGGTAGCTCAACTTGGAATCTATGCAGTGATAGCCATAGGCAGATACTTGAACATTGATGCAATTAATCCAAGGAAACGACTCCATAAATCTCGAAGTTTTTTCGAGCGACTCATTAAAAATCGCCAGAAGAAAAACACGGTCAGAAGTTTTGTAATTTGGTGAAGTATTTTAAGTCTGTAAATATGGAAATTGAATTAAATAATTCTCGATGAAAACTAATCAAATTTCATTCTCTTACTTTGTCATTCTTCTTCTGCTTGCTTCAAGTGACGATGGATTCATTTTAAAAAGAAATTGTCTGAATCCTAACACATAATTTTCAACGTAATCTTCCCATTGAATGGTGCGAACATCAAATTGAAAGTTTTGACGATCATCTTGAGTTAACGCATCAAGAAGGGCCACCACATTGTCACCATGAAACTTCCATTGATGTGTTGTAAAATATTCCAAGCATTGAACAGATTTTGCTAGTTTGTCTTGTACTTTAATCATACTGTGAAAATTTTATTCATTAATGAGATGGAAACTTAATTAAAATTTTATCTTACATTGGTTTCTTTCCGGCCATACGAGCGAGGATATCAAGAATATATGCCGGTATGTAATGAGCCAAAACCGAATGAATTGCATTCAAAAATCTATTTCGTCTTAAATTTCCCGTAGGATACCAAAATGTTCCTTCTGAAAATGTAAACATTCGACATGTTATCTTCACTTAATTTCATTTCTTTCTCATAAATAATTACCAAGCGGATGAATTCTCATTTTTTCTATTGCTAATGACACTAAACGTCCCCAAGTTATCGGCTTTACTTCACCAGTACAACAATTGTAAATTGTCATGCCTGCCGGCTTTGTCAATGCTCTCTTCCAAGCAGCAGCCACCATCAGGTTAATGACCTTCAGGCGAATATTAAAAATAACTTTTCAAAATTCTAGTTTTAAAAATATTTCACTTACCATATCCACTGGAATAAAATCGGCAACGCTCTCTTCATTACACATTATTGTGTGAAAAATTCCTTTTCCCACTGCAGAAACAATTCCAGTTGGTCCATTCTAATAAAAAGACAAAAAGAAAATTAATAATGAACAAAGAAAAATAATTTTATTAATTAGACGATTTATTTTTCCTACCCAATTATCAACCCATCCTCTCAACGGTTCATTAACGCTTGCCAACACTAATAAACATTAACATAAAAAATTGTGGAATGTTACTTGCTTGGCCTTGCAAACGAGAATTTTCTACTTACCAATTGAAGGTCTTACAATTGCAACTGGTAAGTTGCCAGCTTCTTTTAACAACATACTTTCAGCTAATGCTTTTGTAAAGGTGTATGTGTTTGGCCGGTTACCAATTAGGGATGGCGTCAACTAAATGTCCACAAATAATTTCACAAGTTAATTTCACTGATAGATTTTGTTATAGAAATAACAATCGGAAGCTTACTTTATCCAAAAGATCTTCTGGTAACCATTGAACCAGAGAAATAATGTCGTCGGGACTGTAAGGTGGTGAATAAATTGTTTCACCAACATCGTATCTGTCACAATTGCAATATGCTGTTGAAACGTGCACCAAAGCCTTAAATAAATACGAAAAATTAATAATTATAAAGAAAATTTTGAAAATTCTTCAACTTACATCAAGTGATATCATTCGCTGACAAAGCTGTACGAGACGTTTTGTTCCTAACATGTTGATAGTTACAGAAAGTTTTAATTTCTCATCAAACTTTACTGTTGCAGCTGAATGAAATACGACAGAGACTGTGCGACTCAGAAGTGCTTGATCTGCTTCTGAAATTCCTAATTCTTCTGATGTTATGTCACCGTGAATTGGGATGATTTTATTCAAATCGTTGGGACGCTCCTTTCGGAGCTTATCAAAGAGCGGTCCATTGATGATTTCACTAAGTCGTGAATTTATTTCTTGTCCCCGCTTCGGTCTGATCAAAAGGTAAATATTCTTAATGCCTGGACATGATCGCAGCAACTTCTCTACTAAAACTTTTCCCATAAATCCAGTTCCACCTGTGATAAAAATACTTCGGCCATCGTAGAATTGTGGTATCGAAATGACATCAGCAACAGAATCCTTTTTGTCACGTAATGCTGTCAGTTTGTTTGGTGAGGAAGAATCTTCGCAATCTGACATGATTATTCCTGATCTTAATTTTCTTTCTTTCTTTTTTAATAATTAACAGCTATTAGAAAAATTTAACACGCTTTTTCTATGTTTTGATAAGCTTCAAACATAAATTGTTTCAACAGGAAGCAGGATGTTTTTTTTCTTTCTTAAGTTGTGATACAAAGTGAGCACCAGCTCTTGCTAGGTAGGTAGGAATTCTTAGTTATCAATATAATGGAAGATGATGATGAATAGAAGAACTCGCTAGATATTCAAAAAGATAAAACGACGTGATTTGCACAAAAATATAATCAGTGCTTTCAAAAAGTCTAAAACCTTCTGAACCGTGCTATAAAATATTTCTGATGAAGCACTCGTTGACCTGAACATTCATGATTATAATCACCAAAAAGTAAGTACGCTTGATTTTTTAATGTTTCGTCTTTTAACAGCTTTTAAAATCTGGAAAGAAATGCAAAATATTTAAGAGCGTTAAAAACCTTTAAAAATAGATCAAAATTGAATTAATTGTAAAGATCGTTAATTAATATATATGCAACAAATTGAAAATTTACGCTTTTACATTTAATTTCGAGAGTTACACAAAAAGTGGTACATTAATTTTATTTTAATCTTGTGATCTTCGATAAAAGACTGAAACTAATCTGGAGAATTAGACGACTTATATATCGATATTTATCGTAATATTTTAATTGTATCTTTATTAAGATTGAATCACATGCATTGCTGTTCAGAAGATAAATGTCTGATTCTTAAGGCCGGTCAGTTACTAAAAGCTCAATATTAAGTCAATGAAACATTTCAAAATGTATTTTCTGTTACCAACATACAAGAACTCTTTTATCTAATTAACGTTTATTTTTATCTTTTTAACTTTTAATAAAATTCTTGACGTTTGTATCCAACCAAATATTAGTTGCGCTGATGTTAAACACTTTGATTTAAAAATAGAAATATAAAAATTAACTCTTATTAATTAAATCAATGCATGTGATAGGAAGCAGCTTAACAATTGATTTCGTACTAATTTATGAGTTGATAAAAATGTATCCACTGAGTAACTTTGTTGCTTCAATGTTTGTTACAGAAATGAGAATATTTAATGATGTTCTTCTCTAGTTAAATAAATCAGCACAAAAAGTGTCAATGCTTCAATAACTTTCGTAACTTATTTTTAAATTTGACTCAAATCAAGCCAAATGACATAATGGAGATAATTTTCTGATAAATTTTTGCTGATAAGAATTGCAAAATACCAGAAAACAGGAACAACATTTATTAAAATCAACGGGTTTGATTTATTCTACGTTTTAAAATAATTTAAAAACACTTTTCAGTCTACCTAGTTTGTAATTTTCTTATAATTTCGCTCCATGATTAGAATTATTAGACGACATGTTTCCCACTTAGTTCAACTCTGAATACTGAACAAAATGAGACATTCTCGTGCTGACTTCACTTATCACGTATTATGATCTGATAACAGTGAGAAGGCCGATGGTACCAAATAAATTTTCGTCGTGTTCTTTTCTCCAAAAATTCTCTTTTAAGTTTGATAACAGTCTGGAAAAAGAGTTCAGACGAGCTTGCTCGTAATACCACAGAATTACTTTTATCAGTTCTTATTAACGGAAAATTATAAAATTGATACGAAATTTCTAATTCCCGTGTTTGTGTGTGGTAATAAAAATATCTTCGCATTTATATGCGATAAATAACAAAATCAATTCACAACACTTGTTAACTTGTATCAATGAATGCTTCTTGCTTTAAGAACATAAAAACAGAGATGGGAATTTATCAGCTTCTGTAGACTTTCACTGAATGTTAACAAAATTAAAATTGTTGAATGAATCAGAAATTAAAAATTGCATTATCAAGGTCAATTTTTTACCAATGAGTCAAATGTTTGTCGTAATTTTGTTTACTCATATTTGAAATGAAAGCGAAATTTATTTACAATGTTGCATGATAATATATCCAATTAATAATATTAATTTTTTATTACTTAGCCTGGAAGTACTTTTGCTTTCATGAAAGGTTAATACTTAAGTTATGCTGTTAATTTATGTACATAGGTAAGGAATTTTTACCCTCCTGAACTTTTGACATTTTATCAACAAAGTAATCATAACAGCCGATCGATAAATATTGTTAGATCAATCATTGTTTGTCAAGTTTGCTAACGAATAAAAAGTTAAAGATTATCATTCTACAGTCAAAATTGAGTATTACAGAAGGTACTAAAAAATAAAATCTAATTTGATCTCTGATAAAAAATATTTTTGCTAATGTTTTCAATGCTTTTGACTGTCTCGAAATTTTTTCATTAATCTGAAGACAATTTTTATACCGTCACATTCAGTCAGAGAATTTCCAGGAAAATCCTCTTACCCACCTCTGCATAAAACTTTCTTCTGAAGCATATAAAAAAGAAAAGAGAAAACAGGTCACGGGATGACTTTGAAGCAATTCGACGAAGACAAGAAATTCTTTGAAATTCGTACAACAAAATCATTTAAAATAGCAAAATAATGAAATTGTGGGTGAATATATGGCATTATAAAGGTTAATGTCTGATCAATGATCGAAAGTGTTTTTACGGTATTCTGTCAAGGTTAAGAATGTTGAGAGTGTTCATAGAAATGTTAGTATCGATCAAACACTTTATGCACATATGTGCAGTTTTACATATTTCTTGACAGCCTTGACATTACTTCTAGATCAAATAATGTTAGTTTAATTACTCTCAAGCTTTGGTTTCAGTTCAAGTCCATTACATCGCTTTTATTATGAAACTAAATAGCCTCAAGTGGGTCATCAAACCTGACAAAAAGACATTAGTTAGATTAGAATGGTTGAAGTTCATTAGTTTTATGACGAAATTTCAGCTGTACAAAGAACTACGCAAATTAAAATGCCGGCAAATGAATCATGTTAATCACGCTTTTGACGCTTTCTATTTCTTCTTAACTGAGTAATGCTTTTTTAACTCTCAAGATATTTAGTTCACTTGGGTTGTTTATTTATCGTTTCAATTGAAATTATTTATTTATGTATCGAAAAAAAAATACAGACAAATTGTTTGTTCCGAATAATAAAAACTCACGTTGGGTTGGAAATCTTTTTGCGTTAAGCACTTGATTGAAAAGAGAAAATAAAAATTTTGAAGAAAATAAAAATGTTAAGTCTAGAAACGTCGTTTCACGACAAAAGCTTTTGCACAACTGATTTGTTTCTTCTTTCATTTTTAAATACAAAAAGAAAAGAATTCAAACTCAGAGAGGCCTATCGCTTATGCACGCACCATCCATACAAAGCATCATGCTTTGAGAGCTTTAGCTGCATTAATGTCCGTGAAACAGAATAAAATCTTTCTCTTTCTCTCTCTCATATTACCGTTCGATTCATACATGCTCTTAGCAATGCTTTTCAATCAGCTGTTAGAGCTGTTAAAAATATTTTGAGCTTCAATTTATATAACATTTAAACGTTTTAAGTTTATTGGATGATTACAATGCTATTTATAGCATCCTCACTATTATCTCTTATCAAATTATTATGAATAGCGCTATATTTATCATAGCATTCATTCATGTATTGAATAGAACACTTAAGTGTATACACTGATATTATTTAAATGCAAAGGCGTTGTTGAGTGGCAAAATGAAGATTCTGATAAGTAAGTTTTGTGAAGATTCATATGAGCTTATAAATAGAACGGAATCAATTAGATAATAAAAAATCATTTATTAATTTTTGAAGGTAAATAATCAGGTAACATAAAAAACTGTTTCTGATCTCTTTCTGCACTTGAATATTTATAGTGTAAAATGTTTATTTGCTTTTTTCTCTTTGCACATTTTAGAAAAGTGAGATTCATGAATCATTAAAAATTCAGCAGCTTTGGGAAGAATAACAGTAAATAATGAGTATATCCGCAGACATATAAAAACTCAATTATTTGCAGACATCTATTTTATAAGGTGATAGATTTCATAGACTTGACACTTAAAAAACATAGGTGAAGCCCCAATTCGAATTATATAAAGCAATTTAATCATTGTATTGATTTGAACGTCAAGTCGTCATGCAATATTTGTAGGTATCTATCCACTAAACTTTTTTTTTAACAGAGGGAAAATAATGAAGCAGCTGGTACAAACTTTCCAAAAATTCATAATATAATTTCATATAGATTTGGGTTTAAAGAGAGGGAAAAATTTAATGCCTTGCTATTCATGATGTGATAAAATTTGTTCAGAAATTGTATACACCATTGTTGGGGAAAGAAAAAGCAAATTTTATTTTAATTTTTGTCTGCTTTGTGCGTGACATTTAGCCATAAATATGCTGAAGTCATTCTCTCCACTCATTCTGTTACTGTTGCCGACAGTGTGATGCTAGGCAGTATCACCAGGTATCACTAGGTTGGGGATGAAAATGTTGCCAAGTTTCAAATTAGCTAATGAATTAAAGTCTACACAAGAAATTTATTCTGCTGTTGCATTTAATAAATTTTGTAAATTTTTAATTATATTTTAAATGCGCAGCCAGTCTGTCGTAGATAATCGGTGAACTATCATTATAGATACAGAAAATGTCATATTTTCAAAGTGTCGTGATTTTCCACATTAAAGACATGAAAAAAAGTAAATTTCTTTTCTTCTGGTTATTATGTGCTTGAAGAGACGGTTCAATTACGTTCAAATAAGTATCATAAAATATTTATGCTTGCTTTCTTTTCTATCTCATGATCGAGTAATGGCTCATCGTAGTACGAAACTTTTCAGCCTAATCAAGACACGTCACATGTTTTTCGAATGCTAGACATGATGTTCCAAAATCTATTCATGAACCTTTTCATTTCATATTTTGGTTTCGGTTAAATATTTCAACTATAAGTTAATAAGAAAACTTTTTTTGTTCGTTCTGATTGTTGATGGAAAATAAGTAAGTGGTTATTGATTAATATGTAATCTGCTTTTCTTTAATGAAAAATGATGAATGAATGATATTTCAACATTTATAGCACATATCTCACCTTCATAAATTTGAAACTGCTATTAATCCATAAAATTTGACGAATTCCAGAACATTAATTTGACTTGTTAAGAAAAGCCGCTAAATGTAACCGGAACAAAGCATGGATTATTGATCTCAAGCCATGTGCTTTCCGATGGCAAGCGACAAGAAAAAATCAATTTTTTTTGCACTTTGTATTTCCCCGATTACCTTCTTTGGGTAAGATGAATTTTTTTTTTCTTTTCACAATTTTTTAACTTCTTTTCCAGTTGTCTTTTCACTTTCGGAATGCCACTTTTTAAATTTTGTGAGGTTGTTTTGGAAATTTCAATAAATCATACGATTTCGACTTTGACTTTTCCTTTTTATGAAAATTGCTTTGAGCACGCCCAACGACCCTGCCTAAACTTTTTCCTACTTGATTTATACACTTCACCATCCACTAGAAGCCAAAGTTTATGACTAATTCAAATTAGGTCGGCGAAATTTCACGATAAGTTATGAATCACTTTTATTCTCGATTTGCTAACTGTTATGCAAAAATATCCTCGATATGAGGTAAGTTACTTTTCATTAGATGAGGAAAACTCACTAAAGATCGTTTGTGTCGATTGTCCGTGCAGGTCGACACACAACCGATTATTCCTTAATTGGATCGCAAATAAATCGCCTGACACAACTCGTTTCTTCACCCATACACTTTTTTCTCCCCTTCAATTCATTGAACAAGGCTGGAAATGAGAATCAGTGACGCCATAATGATTTTAACACGAGTGAAAGACATAAAAATTTTCCACTTCCGCGATTTCCACTGTACGGCAAATAAAGTCACCGTCTCGTTGTTTTATTTAAAATTTCGTGTACAATTACAAATTTCAAAAATTTGTCAACTTGTTGGGATCGAAATATCATTAACTCCTTCTACACCTTTGAACTTTTTATTCCTTTCCTCTATCATGAAAATATACTTCCGTGAAAATTGATCGAACGTTTCTGTACAAACAGGCCACGCCGGGGATTTTATTCCATTGTCATTACGTTTTGACACTTTCCTGGGGAATTTATGGCTTGATTTTAATAATAAAATGAAATCAAAAATTGTACACAATATTTCAAATAATTTCACTTCAATCTCTGACACGGGTTTAGAAGTAAAGAAAGTGTCTTTTTTCAATCAACCAGAGATTTTTTTTGCCTAGAAATTGCGTCTGCGCACAAGTTAAAAGAATGAAGATTTCCTATGTTACACGCACATAACTACATAAAAGGGGTCTACGTAATTTTCTTTGAATGCGTTTTGCGTTAAGCCTAACAACATTAAAAGGATATTTACAAAAATAAAATTTAATTTAAATTATGTTAATTAGATATTTTTATACTGCATATTTATTAATGTTCAAGCAGCATATAATCTCAGATATCGAAACATTAGCATTTAGCAAACATTAATGATGGAAATAAGAAATATTCGTTACGTTTTAGCAATTTAGCATTCAAAGCTTCATTTGAATTTAAATTCAGAGCTTTTTGAAAATCAGTTAAAATTCCTAATAAGAAAAATAAACCGGCCACAGATATTTAACAAATAAATTTCCATATGGGCCGTTTTTCTTGAACATTAATTTTAAAGTAGAATAAAAAAAAATTCTAGAAAAAATTCTTTAAGATAGTGATTTTATTAAATTCTAGAATTAATATTCAGAAAATTTAAATAAAAATTTCCACATGTGTAACACGGGTATTTAATAATCTATAACTCTAAAGACCTCAGACAGGTTTTTGAAAAGTATATGTAAAGATTAATTTATTTGTTGCTAACTGTAGAGATGATTTGCTAGTTTTTTGATATTAAAGTTTTACGTTTTATGAAAATTTTTCATTTCCGAACCGGCTTTTCTGAATGTGTCGCAGAAGGTGTCATCTTTATGTCTTCCTTTTTTCTTTTTTTTAAACTTCCTGCTTTTAAGGGCAGATTAATCATATGAATTTACTAAATATTAATATTATGCATGCGTGAATCATTTACATTAATCAACAATCGCATCAATGATTCTCACAAATATTTACAAAAATGATGTTGTCAACATTTTTGAAACGATGATGAAAAATTTCTATTCTTATATCAACCTTTTTGAAAAGAATCAAAGTTTTCAGTAACAATAAACAAGAAAAAAATTTTGCAAAATAACATGCAACACATCACGTGCTGATCTTTTGTATACAAACTCTTCATTAAATCATGTCTCTTTTCTCTATATTCAAAGTCAAGTTCAATGAACAAAAGACATCATTATGAAGAATAAACTTGTTTGCGATATATTATACGTATTATAAATTTAAAATGATACGAGAGAGAAAATATGACAACTCACAACGCCGAATCTTCTCCAACCAGGTGAGCAAAAAAAAATGTTTGTAAGCATATTTTTAAAAAATTTAAAAAACCACAAAGAGAATGAAAATAAATGAAAATCGCAAATCTTAGCATTGGCCAACCAGTAAAGTTAGTTCTCGTTGGAAAGCTGAACGATAAAGCCGCAAAAATATTAGTGCAATTTAAAATTAGTTAAATTTCTTCAATTCATAATTTTTTTTCTTTTGTTTGTGTTTAATGTTTTTAAATGACAATGCAAGAAAATAATTCTGAAAAAGTGATATCTGCCGAAAGTAATAAAAGTATAACAGTCGCACAATTCTTGGAAGGCAAAAATGTGTTCATAACTGGTGGAACAGGATTCTTAGGGACATTACTGATTGAACGACTTTTAAACTCAACACCAAAAATCGGGAAAATTTATTTATTAGTCCGTGCTAAGCATGGGGTTAGTCCTGAATGTCGGATCCAACGGCTAATGTCCAAAGTTGTAAGTTGACTAATAGTAGGAAGAAATGATAATTTCCTTGGTGAAATTATTTATTCGGATATTTCTATTTTCTCGAGACACATCATAGTTCAATATAAAAAAAATAGCGAAAAAGTAGTTTTTGCGAATATTTAATCAGTGCTTATTGAATGAAAATATAAGATTGAAGATGATCATGCATATTTTTGAATGTCCAGAAACTGGTTCTTCATTGATGTTTTTTCACCTTTCCTTGTGGTTTATTTGCTTTAACAGACGTCAATAGGAAGAACTGTTTTAGTTTTTGGCTTGTTTGGTAAGCTTTTACATCACCAAAGAACCAATCAAATTAAAACCCATAAATTTATCGTTCTTATTCAACATCTTAATATACGTCGTTTCTGACGTTATTTTCCACACACCTTGAAATGGGAATCAAAATTTTTACATTTTCATACGTTTTGGTTTTTGCTGTTAGTTTAGAGTGGGCATATAAAAAGTTAGGAGAAGTCCAATTTTTGTTCTAAAAGTTAAATTTATAGCCTGGTTTTTCTTGTCTTTTTATATTTCCCATGACTAAGAGAATACGTCGATGACTTCAATTTGTCAACCTTCAAATCATCTTTTAATTATTGCATGATAACTAAAATAATTGTCGTCACATTTATTCAATGTTTTCGCTGCTTACTTAACTGCTGATGCATACAAAATATGACTTTTATTATGTCAAAACATTTTTTCATTAAACTAAAAGTTATGCAACGGAAAAGAAAAATAAATGAAACATTGAAGTGGGAAAAGGTTTTTGGCGAAAACATATCACTTATTGTTTTAAGTGAGGTAATGAATAATAATTTGTCCAAAGGGGAATTTCCGCGTTTTGTATTGTTTACTTTTCTTCCTAAGCACGTATCATCACATTGTTGCTTCATTTGCCATTATAGATTTTTTTTTAGTAGGAATGAACACTACAGGGTCATATGCTAAATTTAATATTTAGTAAATTTGTACACTCCTTGTAGAAACTTTTCTGATCTAACATGCTTTAAGTCATAACAAAATCATTCCTATTTATATGTAAATATTTTTTTTTAGATTTTCGATAAACTTAACGATGATGATAAAGCCAAAGTAATTCCGGTTGTTGGAGAACTAAGTGAAGCTAATTTTGGTATTGTTGGAGATCTGTTGGAAAAACTTCTTATGGATGTAAACATTGTTTACCATGTCGCTGCCACGATAAGATTCAATGCGTTCCTTGGTGACGCTATTAAAACTAATTTAGTTGGTACTCAAGTGGCTGTCAATTTCGCTAAGCAACTACACAATCTCGTGTCTTTCATTTACGTTTCAACAGCATTTTGTAATAGTTGTTATCTGAATCAAGGGATCAAAGAACAAGTTTATCCTTCCCATCATGATCCACATGAGATGATTAAATTAGTTGATGATAACAATAATGAAACGAAAGAACTTCCAAAGACTGGCACAAAGGAACTTCAAGAAATTTTGGGTATTCATCCAAATACTTATACATTTACGAAACAACTTGCTGAAAATTTAATACTCAAAGAAATGAGAAATTTACCTGCTGGAATCATAAGACCATCAATTGTTTATGGAACTTATAAGGATCCTGACGCTGGTTGGGTTGGATCAGCCAACAATGGGCATATTGGATTTCTTGCGGGTTTCACAAAAGGTCTCTTTAGAACGATGGGGGGAGATCCAGATTCAGTCATGGATTTAATTCCTTGTGATTATGTGGTGAATTCAACTATTGTGCTTTCATGGTATGTTGGAAAAAGCCACATAGAGACTCCTGAAGTAATTCATTGTACCAGCGGTGAAATTAATCCGTTAACATTCGGCAAATACTGCAGAATGTTGAACAAAGCAACCAAAGCACATCCAAATGACTACATCATCTGTCAACCCAAAGTTAAAGTTCGAAATGGTTTTCGTTATATGCTTTTCACTTATTTATTCCATTATATTCCTGCATTACTTCTCTACATTCCTGAGATGTTTCTCCATAGTAGTAAAAAATCATCGAGAAGGTAAGTTGCTCATGATTCAATTTAAATCTAATTAAATAACAATTTATTATGATGACTAATTTCAGAACCATCGAGTATGTGAGAATCTTTGACAATGGCATAAAAGCTTTTGATTTTTTCGTTAGTCAAAACTTTCACTACAATATGAAGAATTCATTACGGATTTTAGGATGCCTTGAACCTGAAGACGCTCAAAAATATAACTACAATGTTGAGTTTTGTGATTGGGCTAATTATTTCGAAACTCAGATCATTGGAGTCCGATATTATTTTTATAAGGAATCGAAAAAGACAAGCGTCTGGCATCGAATAATGTGGCATACGTGAGTTGTATATCTAATGAATTTATCCAATTTATAATTAATTTATTTTCCTCTCTTTCCATAGATATGGAGTTGTTCAGTTTTTATGGTACGTTGTTGCGTTCATTTGGTTCAAAACAATTCTATCATTGTTTTTCTCAACAACAGTCTCTGTAACTGTTTCTTTATTAGTTCTTTTGTTTGTCAAATGGATTTAAAATAGCCTGGTTATTGAGTTTATTGAAAGGAACTTAGGATCGTTTAGAATTTATTTTACAACTTTACATGGTTTATTTAAATACATTGATGTAACTTAATTATACATATTATCCCCTTCATTAATAATTTATATTTCATATTTTAGGTAGATTAGAATTTTGCTTAGATATGAGAATTCGAACATAATTTGAGTAGCATAACCAGTTTTTCCTCTGAAAATCAAATTGTAAGTTGTTGAGAATTAAGGATGAATACTGCTTCATGAATCCGGGTTTAAAACCGAAACCACTAGTTTGATTAATTCTAGATGAAAAATTAATTATGCTACTCAAATTTTATTCAATTTCTGACCCATTTTTCTTTTTATATAAAATTGAGGCAATAAAAAATTGACATTTAATTTCTATAAACCTGAAAATTGTTCTTTTATTAATCAGATAATAAAATATTTTTAAGCAGATTTATTCGAAAAAGGTTTTAACGACTCATATTTGAAACCTGTGTAAAAGCTTTTCCTATGATCAGGTGATATGAAATAATAATTTTACTTCATTGCAATGTCATTCAAATTCACAAGGATTTAGCGCACTATTGCAAAACAATAACACATTTCGTTAAAAATCCTGGGCGCTGAATTATAAGAATTTACACAAATAGCTGACTGTCAAAATGACATCACATCTCATTGCATCACAATAATTGCAATAAATTTGAATGTCGAAATCATGAATTAGAAAGGAAAAATACATCATCCATTAATTTATATTTTTTTCAAAGCTCAAAAGTTGCAAGCTTCTTTCAATGAGCTTTCATAAGCATCAAACTTAACGAAAATTTTATTTGAAAGCGCTTAAGCAGTAAAGCAAATCCAAAAGTTTGTAACTTGTTTTTTAAAGAGAGGAAAAACAAGAGTCGCGAAGTGAAAAAATAATGTTTTTTAAACTATCAATCTCTCTACATTAAAAAATCAGACTGTTTGATACTGTCAAGTGTGTTTGGAAAATTGTTAATACGGTGGAGATTCATTTGTTGAATTTCCTTTGAGCTAATTGTGATTATTTTGTTATCTTTTTTTTCCTTCGTAATTTTTTCAAAAATCTGTGTGTTAGTGAAACAAAAAAAATTTGTGCAATTTTTTTATATCTACCTTGAGAAGAAATCTCTTTGATTTCGTTCAGATAAATAAAAAATCCTTTAATGAACAAAACTACAGTTGAAAGTTTTCATGCAAAAGGATCTTTACGAGTCCTTCAATATCAAGGATAATTGAGTGCTTCATGTGCTATATAGGCTATTAAAACTTTAAATTGAAAAGGATAAAACAAATTATATCAAGAAAAAAGGAAGGAGAAACTTCTTGGAGCAGAGAAAACGTGAAGAAAATTTCCTTCACCAACACATTCGTACAAGGGGCTAAAAAAAAAACGAAACATAAATGCCAGCGGGCTAGTGGAGCCAGAAAAATAAAAGAACAAAATCATAAATTTTAATCATCAAGCTGTTCGCTCTTTCTCTCTCTAGTTTTCTCGCTTCCCCCTTTTCCCTTCCTCACGCACAAATACATCAACAATTCAAAGGATTAGTCGTCATTCATTCTTTACTTCAATAGTTTTCTGCTTGTTTCGATCGAATTCAAAAAGGAAGTCCAAATCACAGCACGAAGTGTGAATTTGTTGATTCTGTTAAATAAATAAATTCGTCGGCTCATAACAGCAGTGAAAAATGCCGTTATTCGGAAAGAAAGATTCAGGAAAGAAATTGCGAAAAGATGGCCATAAAGATATCGACAAGCAGATCATAAATATTGAAGACAAATATCACTTAAGACAAGTATTAGGAAAGTAAGTGTTTCGTACAAAAATATTCAGAAAATTCTTTCATCCTCATCGCTCATCGTATTGAGAGCTTTCCTTTACTTATATCACTTATCATATTCTTATATCATCTTTTTCACTCCCTTTTTTGGTCGTCACACGTTCACAAATGTAATACACACGAATCATACATCATTTGATATTACTAAAAAAATGAGCCTCGCGTCGAGCCGCCTCAAAAACCCCTTGAAAGTGCTTTCGCAAAGAAAGCATGGGAAAATAAGAATAAACTTGCGAGGTGGAAAAAACTCAGAATATTTTATGTGTATATTTTTTTCTTTTTCTGGCTCATAACATTCACATTCTATAGACACAGATTTTTTTATTATGTTTGCTGTAATATATAAAATTGTTAAACGAAATGCTTTTCCCCATTTGAACATGATTCGATTTTTTGTCGCACAGGGATTTGTTTGAAACGTTCGTCAAATTGAAAGTCGCGAATTTTCTAAATGAATCAAGCGAGCTTGTGGCTGTGGCAATGTCCTAAAGACGAAATAAACACGACCCCGCACATAAAGTTCCTTTGAAATATTTTTCTCTCAAAAGATATAAAAAAACAGACACAGCTCTCAATACGTTGTTTCGCTAGTTTTTTTTCCATTCTTACAATATTTTTCCATCTGACGATGACCTTCTGACTTTTTATGCGATTAAATCCATGTACACACGGAGTTTCTCTCTTCATTCGTCTCAACAGAGAATAAATACTCTTACACAAAAGAATACTTGTTTTTCTGATAGCTCATCTTTTGTATGTTCGCACACAACAAGCTGTCTGCTGTTGCTTCGGTACAAAAAAAAAAATACAAACCTTAATGTTTAAACAATCTATATGCTTAAGTAGTATTAATTTTACCACAGGTATAAAGATATTCAAAGAAAAAACATTGATATGTAAAGCAAACTTTTCACCTTAACCGTATAAGCCATCAGTGTTATTATCATTTGATTTATTTCTGATCGGTATCAATCAACCAATTAATTCTCATCATACACGTTTCAATTTTCACTACGTATAAAATACCCCTGATAACGTGAGATTATAAAAATATTTTTCATGAATTCTGCTTCCTGCTATATAGCACGTGTGAAAATTAACCAACGAGTATTCTCTTCTCACTCTGAGTGTTTCATTAAATGACTGATAGGCTTCTAAATTTTTATAATGTAATGCAATGTGTGTGCTTTTTTCATTTGCATGAATGAGATGAAAAATGTTTTTCATCAACCTCGGGAAATGCTTCAATATGTGCCATTTTTAACTCATTCAAATCCCTTGAGTCTCTTCATAAAACACCAAGCTGTAATTTAATTCATAATTTTTTTTCCGTCATGAGCTTCATCATTCCTCTGAGACTAAACCATAAGCTTGCTGTCTAGCATTTTAATGCAGATAAAATAATAAAAAAAATTCCTTTTTTCTTATTTTTCTATGTATTCTGTGTCGTCTTGATAGCGGTGCCTTTTCTGAAGTTCGACTTGGCGAGAGCAAAGAGAATCCGGGTCAATTATTCGCTGTCAAGATCATTGATAAGAAAGCACTCAAAGGCAAAGAAGATTCTCTAGAAAATGAGATAAAAGTTCTCAGAAGGTGAGTTATCATCCAAAGTTCCATCACATATTGTTTCAGGATCAATCCCTGTGAACTATTCCATTACCTTTTAATATTATCATATATCTAAGTATCACGCTAAGCCAAATGTTTAAGAAACGTAAACGCAATGTATATGTCACCTTTTTCCTACAATATTCCACACAAATTTATTGAAGCCAATCCAATCAGTAAATATATAGAAAAAGGAAAATTTTCTCTCAACATTCCTCTGACAAAATTTATATGTTTATACCAACAACAATTCTTTGCACTTGGGACTTCCAAATTTATTCATAAATATAAAAAAAGTATCATTCATCATTATTCATTCAACAGTCGGTTATCATTCATGTTTCCGATCGCTTTTCTTATTCATTTTCGCATTAAATTTTTCTCCTATCACTTTTTTTTATCTTTTTAAATTGATTAATTAGTTTAGGAAGTGAATCAGTGAAAAACCACTCCCCGCAACTCCCAAGCGAAAAAAAAATTTAAATACAATTTCAATCCCACTGATAATTAATATAATGACATAATTGGTTTAGGTCTCTTTAAATCTCCCTTAATTTTGAAAGTCCTACTGAAGCTACATTTAATTCATCTGACTAAACGTTCTTTTGTGTTGCTTTCTTTTTTCATTTATTTGTGGCAAGCACTTAAAGTTATTTTCAATGTTTGATCGCACATAAAATTTGTAAACATTGTTGTTTCCAGCCAGAATTTAAAATTGATGAAAATGTTTTAAGATGTGCTCTTTCTCGTTTGCTGTTTACTGGTGTTTAGCTAAATTGGGATAATCTTTTAGAACGTGTCCCTGAAAATGAATCGCTATGTAAATTTGAGCAGAAAACTTCCATCCAGGCATCCCTTACCATTAACAGCTTTTTATTCTCATCGACCCACTCACTTTTTTTCTTCTTTTTTGGTCCCTTTGTTCAAAAGGCGAATATTATGCTCTTGAAATATTAACGATGTTCTGTTTATGGCCACAAAATTCAGATCTTTATAAAATGATAAACACGATTCTGATATGTACACATTTTTCCAATTCAATTCAAATGCAATAGGCTGGGTTAAGGCATCAAATTGATGAATACTAACAAGCTTTATAATTCCTAAGTTATTTAGGACGATTTTCAAAGCAAACATATTTTATGTAATCTAACATACATACACACGAATTATGAACAAATGTGATCCATCGCATGTATGAAAAGCACTTTCTCTAAAGAATTGTCGACATCGACTAATTGAAATTCAATTTCACTTTGCTTGTCAGCGTATGATGAAATTTAAATAATAAATTTGCATGAAGATTAATGATATCATTATCTGACTTTTTTAAAGCGTTAACGAGCCTTAAACCTGAAGAAAATTTTTCTTATTTTCTTCTCACTCAAAAAAGTTCTGTAAATATATATCTGAATATCTAAAGCGATTTCGTCTTTCATTTTCAATCCTCATGAATTTTAAATTTTCATTTCATTTTTGAAGAAATGCTTTTTGAATTGTGCATGATTCAAAAATGATGTTCATTTTAAGCACAGATAAAAAGCAAAACTATTTGAAAACAATTTTATTCTTATGACGAATTAAAAATTATCCACTTAAAGCATATTCAAGAATTTAATAAGAAATTTGAAACATTTAAAGTTATAATCAAGCATACAATGTTCATACGATGAGATGTAATTCTTAACGAATTACTTTGTTCAACTTCGAGGGTGCATGGGTAGAGTATTTTGTTTACTTTTGAAAATTTTAAGAAAATCTAGGCGAAACTTTTCCCTTCCATGTTAATATATTCCGAAAGTCGTAAACACAAACATTTCTAACAAAGCCACGAATTTTTGATAAGAAACATTTGGTTAAGGTTGGATTTTACTGCTTTTGCTCTAGAGAAAGCTGAAAGGAATTAGCGCTAAAATGTGTGTAACTCATGTTCCAACATTACTCCCCTTTTTTTCTGTTTCCAACTCCTCCAACCCCGTTACATAATATTACCAGTTTCATTTCTTATATGTATGTACATATTAACCTATATGAAGGCGTTAGGGTGTGTGTATGCGTTACAACTGAAATTAGGATAAATTTCTGGGCGATTTTGTTATTCCCTGTTCACCATTTGAATTTAATTAACTGAAGCTCGACTCTTTCACTTCAATATTTCATCACAACATTACACTACTCTATGCTATAAAAAATGGAAAAGCTTTTGATGTTGAACAATGGAACTTTCAAGGGTTCAAAATTGGTCATTAAATTGAAAGTTAAGAGAACTTTTGTTGCTGCATAATAATAGAGAGCGGAATATGCGACAATAAAAAAATTCCAAACATTTTAATTGAATAAAATTAAAGCTTGGTTTCGTGTTCCACGAATATGCAGAGTAATTATTGGCAGCAACTTGCAATGTTGGAATGAAATTTTTATGATTATAAAAGTGAAGAAAAGGTGAAAAATCTTGAATCCGAAATGGTGTTTCTTCAACACTGTTGGCATCCTAACTCTTTCTTTTCAACATTAGAGTATCTACTAAAATATTAAAAATAAACCTTCGATGTGTTCAGTTCAGACTTTGTTTTGAAAACCCACAACGAGATTTCATTTCTCCGTATCTTCATTGAACGTCAATATTTTTCTATCCTTGCAATGTTTACGAAACTTTTTCTCTCTGATAACAATCGTCGGAAAGTCGACGACAATACATCAATGTGAACGAGACGAAATAGTTTTAATTGAAGGGAAAATCATTAAAGTTAATTAAATAACGGAAGGAAAAACTTTATTAAAATTACTTAAACGCAGAGACATCAAATTTAACATTTTTAATGTTGCAAAAACAACTTTTCAAAAACGTTAGACAAGAACTCATTAATGATTCAACTTTTAATTGTAAGTTGAGTAAATTTTTGTGTAGATAAAAGTGAGACATGTGCATGAATATCTGGCATGCAATTCGATTAACTTTGTTTGTGTTACACTCTAATTATGACTAAATTAAAGCATGACATTAAATAAACAACCTGTTCTCCACTCTTATTAACTCACGTTGCTATTTTTGTCCAAGCAAATACATTTTTTATCAATCAATCGTTTTTCTCCACAAACATATTAATGTTGTGTGAAAATTGAGCTGCTTTATGTTCTCAATTGTTACGGTTCCGATTGTTTTGCTTGCTGAATGCTATTCTCCTATTTGTATTGCATTGTCCTCCACCCTCCTTCAACATTTATTCGAAAAATAGTTTTTCATCATCCAATAATTCATACAACTATTGGAAATGTTTTACGATGAATGCACAATGAACAGCGTTGCATTTGACGTTTTTCTCATTCATATTTTTTTATAAACTTATTGTTTCTTTTAACTGCTCAATTTGATGACAGCAGAATGCCCAAAGGTTGACAGCAAATATCTATACAACAGTATAGCATCAAGCAACATTAAATATCCTTTTTTTCTTCTCAGTCGAGCGGAACGTTGTTCTGTATCGATTTCGAAGCTTTTGTCTTGCATGCTGTGGAATGAGACTAATTATATTTTTAATTACTTTTCTTTCTATATCAGTTTCTATCTAATTAACATTAATTTTCCTAAGCGTTATTTTTTTTTCTTTTATGCAATTAATAAAGCGTAATAAAAATACAAGAAAAAATCAGGGATGACATTTTCTTAGATTTTTCTCTTTATTATTAAGGATACGTAAATGATAACAACATCAAGTGGCACGACCGTTTTTACTTTAATTATTTATATTTGATTTTCCTTCAAAGCACTCAAAGTAATTATGTTTTATAAAATGTTACGTTTTACTTTCTTTACACTTTTTTTCTTTCACAAACATCCCTGGATTGATGTGTATTTGTGGAAAAAAATTATTAATCAATGACTTGTTATTTACGTTTAATTTTTTTAAAGCTTCTTTGCTTTTACTAATTTATAAAAAGATAATTTTTTTAAGCTTTTTTTGTTTATTTTTTTTTCTATCTCTATATCTTCTTCTTCTATAACAGGTTCTCGGCCATGCCTGATAATGAGAACGATCCAGACCGAAAACCGTGGTGAGTTTAAGTTTTATAATTTCAATATAATTTTTTGCAACAATATCTTCGCTCTGCTGGTCAAATCTATTACCGAAGTGATTAGAAAATCCAAGTTTTTGTGAGTAACATAAATTAATTTCTTATGTTACTCACGTAAAAAAGTTTTCTTTCTGGATATTCTGATGCTTGTATTTGTTCTTTTCTTTATGGCCTTTTACCATATAATTTCTGTTAATTTATGTTTGTTTATGTATTGTGAGTTTTGAAAGCAAAACTTTTCTACGATGAACGAGTTTTGGTTGATGTTTGGACTATCGCTTCTTTATCTATCTGTCGTTACTCTGATCTTAATGTCTTTAATAACTGGTTGTGACTGTAGGTTTCTCATTAGAAGATTAACTTAATTCATCTAGAAGCCAAATGTAAACATATAAAAGTAAATATTTTCCTTTGAAATTTGAAACTAGATAAATGAACGATTCCGTCATTCTCAAGTGGTAAATCACTCTAAGTATTTATATGTTTCTTGTCTGCTACGTTAATTTTGTTTGTTCTCAAGTGGTTTCTCATTATTTTCTACCGAAAAACTACCCAGATACATCATCATATGAGCGAACACATTAATACATACTCAAAAAGTATTCTGGAATGGAAGCAACTTCTAACTACTTAATTGTATTTTCTGCCTTGAAATGATTGTTTTTAGGAAATCTGTGGGAGACTAAGAACGATGAGTATTTATTGTGTTAGATCGTGTTCAGGATGGCAAAAAGGGAAAAACATAAATGAGAGAGAAACATAAACAAAGTTTTCTTTTAAATGATAATCACTCAAGTCAAGAACTTTCCTCAGCAGTTTTCGAATGAGTTAATTAATAAATGCCAAGTATCATCATATATTTACATCTTGATAATAAATATTTAACTTATTTTCTCGTCCTCCTTACCCTTTGAATTTTCATTCACTATAAAAGGCACTTAACAAAAGTGCTGATGCACGATTTCCTTTCTTAAGCATTGACGTTTGTCACCTTATTCATTTGAGAATGTTATAAAATCCATTCTGACAACGAGCGCTTCAAAGTCATTGAAAAAGGATGCTCAACATAGATTTCATCTGTTTATTTATTTTTTTTTACTTCGTCAATCACATTCATTTCTCTTCTGGTATTTTTTCAATAATGTTTTGACATAAAATTTTCTTTTTCATTCATTCATTCATCGATGATTTCGAAAATAAATAAATAAATAAAGAAAGAGAAAAAGCTTTAAATAATGACAAAATGAAAAAAGTTTGTATAAATTTAGAAGCAAATAGCAACAGCCGATGCCTTCTTATTGAATATTTTTTAATATGTAACTCGAACATCATTCGCTTTCTAGGAAAAATTGGTTGTTTTCAAACCTTCTTCAGTCTGAAAAACTTCATAAATATTCTTCTTGTTTCCTTTCCGATGCTATCACGTTGACTAAGTACACGAAAATTCAATAAGAGAGGAAAAACAAAATTGAGATGGTTGCTTTCTCGCATTTTGTATTTCCTGTCCTACAGGAAGTTCTGTAAATACATAAAATTTTGTGCACTCAATATCACTTAAAATATTTATTCAGAAGCTCTTTATTATTTTTAAAGGTATTAAAAATATTTTGTAAGCTCGTAAAATTTTCCTTCTCTTATACAACATCAAAAGAATCAAATCTTACATTCAATTGACTTTCTTTTGATACTGTCACTTTGTATCAATATTCTTGTAATAAAGGAAAAATAAAATATTTGTCAATACCTTTCTACGACGAAGCTTTGTGTGAAAAATATTTCATTCAATGTTGAATTTTGTGGATTGATTTCTTATCAAAAGATGCCATATATCTATTCTGACATTCATCAATGTTGACATAAAGATCTCTTAATCATTTCACTGAAAAGAATCGAGATTTATATCTCAGAAGTAGAAGGTTCACTTCAAAACTTCTTTTTTCATATATTTCATTTGCTTTGACACTTTTGCAACTTTTCTTCTTTTTTTCTCTTTCAATTTTGCTTTCTCATTGTCTCGCGCCATTCATCGAATAAAACAAACATGTTTAACATATCACTTTAATGGAAATATTGAATCAATGTATGTATGTAGGTTGTGTCATCCCAACATAGTGCAATTGCTGGAGACGTACGAAGATAAAACAAAGGTTTATTTAATCATGGAACTGTAAGTTGATTCAAAGTCCTTAGATCACAAACTTATTGATTTTTAATTTTTTATCTGATTTATTAGAGTGACAGGTGGTGAACTTTTTGATAGAATTGTCGAGAAAGGTTCATACACTGAAAAGGATGCTTCGGGACTTATAAGACAAGTTCTTGAGGCTGTGGATTATATGCATGAACAAGGAGTTGTACATAGAGATCTTAAAGTAATTTCCATCATTTCTTTAACTCAAATACCTCGAAGTTGTTCATTAATTAATAATCTTTCTTCTTGTCAAACAGCCTGAAAACTTATTGTACTACAACACTGATGAAGATAGCAAAATAATGATCAGCGATTTCGGTTTATCGAAAATGGAAGATTCAGGGATTATGGCGACAGCATGTGGGACGCCTGGTTATGTTGCTCCGGAAGTTCTCGCACAGAAACCTTACGGAAAAGCGGTTGATGTGTGGTCAATAGGCGTTATCTCGTACATTTTATTATGTGGTTATCCACCTTTTTATGATGAAAATGATGCAAATCTGTTTGCGCAAATATTAAAAGGTAAATATTTTCTTTGCGAATGATTTTTCTGTCTGGTTGTTATGGGTCGCCAGTTGTGTAATTCACGGTTTATTTAATTCTTTCTGTTAGTATAAAATGAACTGAAAAAAATTACTCTTTGATATTTTATGTTAAAAAGACAAAAAAAAGTTCAACTTCATTAAAGATTTAATAAACTTGACAGCATTGCATTGATTTTACTTCTACTTAAGTTAGTTGAATTTGTTGACGCGTAGAAACAGCAAATCATTGGAACAATTCCAATTAACATTAACTTATTTCCTTCAACACTTGCAATTACTCTCGAGATATTCATTTCATTTCCATTACAGGTGAATTCGAGTTCGACTCACCGTATTGGGACGAGATCAGCGACTCGGCGAAAGATTTCATACAGCATTTAATGTGTGTTGATGTTGAAAAGCGTTATACGTGTAAACTCGCGCTAGCCCATCCATGGTAAGTGTAGAAAAAAAACAATAACTGATCGAAGTTCGTTCTCATTAAATTATCACATCACTATGATTAAATTTATATTCTCACTTTAGGATATCTGGCAACGCTGCAAGTAGTAAAAATATTCACGGCACTGTATCAGAGCAGCTTAAAAAGAATTTCGCGAAATCGCGTTGGAAGGTAAACATTGATGGGGAAATGTTGGGAGAATGTAAACATGAACATTAATAAACATTTATATGAAACATTTTAGCAAGCATATCATGCAGCGACAGTCATCAGACAAATGCAACGAATGGCTTTAAACAGTGGCGGATCAAGCCGAAACAACACAATAAATCGTACGGAAACAGAGAAGCAGCCATCAAATTAATGCTGAAAACATTTTCTCGATTTGTTTCATGTTATTGCGTGGGAAAAACACTTTCCTTGAAAATTCTTTTTTTAATGTGTTTACTCATTTTTTTTTAATAGATTTAAGTGAAGAAAAGTTTTTAATGATTCAGAGAAACGAAGCAGAAAAAGCTTTCAAAATATTTAATGTTCATGACAATGTATTTACGTTTCTTCGGTTTGAATTGTATTGTCTGAGGGAATTATTTTTAACTATTTATGTTAGAGTGAAAATTGTAAAGTTTTAGTAAAACTAAGATTATTGTCATTTCACAATGCTAAATGCTTCAGTGGGATTTTCATTGACGATTGTTAACACCAATGGTTGAACTTTTTCATTTGTTGGTTTAGCAGTAGAATTGTGGAATTCTCACTGAAGGTTTCAGTTTAACTGAGTAGCAATTCAACTTAATTTTAATCCCATTAATCAGTTATTTGTGAAAATATATTTTATAAACATAGAAAACCCTCATGACATCTGATCTTGTTCCTTGGTTTTTACATCACTTTTACATGACTTTCAACAGACAATTCCATCGAAAACTTAACTTTAATTTATGTTATTTAAACAAACAAATGAAAGTAGCGAAATGGAGGAAGAAAAGTTTCGGAAAATTTCTTTTTTGACATTTTCCTTACAATTCTCATCTTTAATTAAATATTGCTCTTTTTTCCCTTCGACTACTCTTTATCGTACTTACTCAAGCGTTTCGAAACTATAATTGAAGACATATGAAATTATGCAATTGAAAGAATTTAATATTCAATCCTTATCAACTAAACGAGTAAAAGTTTTTCCTTTAAAATATTTATTCGTTCATGAATATTTATGCTGCAAAGTTTGCTTTTATACAGAATTTTTTTCAATGTTCTTTCCCAATCTGCAATCATTTAAGAGACAGAAAAAAAAGTTTTACAATAGAAAAACAGAAGAAATCATAACTGAAATATAAATTTTCCTTTTCTTGACCATTCTATGCTTTGAGCAACTTTATATCTAAACTTTCAATGACTATTTGAGAAAATATATCAAAATGTGATATTCCTTAAAGCATAATAACTAACAACTCTTACCTAAACTTGTAAGCCGTTTGATTATAAGAACATAAATTGGAGTTCTCGACGCGAGAACTTCCCTTCCTCTGTAATTTATTGCCCTCCTTTGCCATCCCTTGAAAAATATTGTTCAAATTGTAAATATTTCGTGATGCGACTACAAAAATTGAATGAACAAAAATTACTTAAAGAACAAAAAATAAATATTTTTAGCATTTTAATAATGAAAACAAATTGGTGAATAGATGTTGTAATATTTATGAATACAATGAAAGTATATTATAATGAAAATTAAACATTTGAACCACCTTAAAATTCTCCGATTGTTGAGATTTTGAATTATTAATTGTTGACTGAACATCCAGTTAAACTATTTGATGGATTTCTGGAAATTAATTTTCACTTTGTTGGAAATCAGTCGTTTGGTGTTAATCGTGATTGTTATTTTCACAACTGAAAAAGCACAAATATTTTCAATTTTTTTTATTACTTAAATTTAAAATTTCATGCAGAAATGAAAGTTTCGTCTTAACCAGTTTTAACGGCAACGTGGTGCCATGTGAAATATTTACTTACTATACTCTGAAATTTTTATTTTGAAGTACATAAAGATTGAATTAAAAAGAAACTTAAAAGCTGAATAATTTTAAAAGCTGCCAAACACAAATCTCTCTCTAAGAATCTGATGACTCACTTAAAAGAATCTTAAATAATTTACGCCAGAAACAACATTTAATTGAATCATTTCTCTATAGTTATACTTGCCAGCTCACTTACCACCTTTCATTGAATAACGACATTAATTATTAATAATGAATTCATTATATTTAATTAATCTATTTATGCAGCAGAAATTATAAGCAAAATCGTTACTCTCGACTCTTAACTATAAACTTTTTTTATTATTGATGTGACAAACTTTGCATAGATAAGGAATTGGGAAAACTTCGTTTGTTTAATTTCTAAAAGTTTTGCAAATTTATTGTTTTGTTGAAACTTTTTGCTGTTCAAAATTTTATGAAGAAAAGGAAATTAACAAACACAACAATCAAGTTTGAATTTATTCATGAAAACTCCCCAAAATCTTCGTAAACTTCTTTCGAATGAAAGCAAATAATTTAAATGTGTAAAAAGAAAAAGAACACTAACTGAATTTTAATACTTAATGGAAAATTTATGATTATATTCTCTACTATAGTTGATAAAATAATATGAAATTAATGAAATTGATTGAAACTTTATGGTCATAAAAATGGTTGTCGGTGATTAATTAATTTGTATGGTGCAAGAGATTATTTTATTAAACATGAGTAAACCTTATTTATATTGAAACAAATACTTAAACTTAATAAGTTGATTCTTTATTTTTCATATTTTCATTTAAGAGACTTTTAATTTAATCTAAAAATGATCAGGAATATTTCTTTTTGAAAATATATTCGCAATCTCAAAGTAAAAATAAAATAAAGAAATGAAAAACTTCAAAACTTCCGGGAAATTATTTACACTCTCCAAATATATAAATAGTGATAAGTGTGATTAACCAAACGATTTTAAATCATAATTAGTGAAATGCTCTGATGAGACCTGATCGTATGAGATTCCATTGAAGATACTTAAGAAAATGAAGAAATAAAGTCACGATGACGTTGATAAGAAGTTAAACAACTACATACAATTAGAAATCATTTAACCCACATTTTAAACATTTAAACAGTCCCAAATATTTAATAATGAAATGGAATTGCAAACAAATATAACGGTAGCTGACTTAAATAATGAAACATGAACAAAACATTTAACTACGACATTCCTCGAAACTAAACGTTATAAATCTTTAAATTTATCTGAAAAGAAAAATTATTTAAGAAGTCTCTCACTTTTCTTATTCTTGTTTTGCTAAGATACTTAAACAATTTTATGATCCATCTGATGTTTTACTTTCAATTCTAACATTGACCTTGACGCTCTCAGATGAACAAAATTTGTTACATTTTTATATAAAAGAAACAATAAGAGAAACAAATAATGTAATTAAACCTTTAAAGAAGGTTGATAAGGTTGATCTGGCACACAATAACAGTTGTGAAGTCGTGATTTTGCGCATCTAAGGACTTTGGTCAATGGTTGTGAATAAGACAAGAAAGTTTTTTCTTTCTCGTATTCAGTTTATATTTATTTTAAATTTTAAATAAATTCATTCTTAAATATATTATTGATGATGAAATGAAAACTGTGAAGAATCTAAATAAATAAAAGTTAATTTTAACAAAAAGTTATAAAAAGTTTTTGTATAAATATTTTAAAATATTTACAGACAGAATTTGCAGTTCTACTGATGTTGTTGATCATTTTGGTATTGCTCAGTTAAGTCAGAAATCGATGAAATGACTGTTTTCTCATCTAAAAATAAATAATCATAAGATATTCAAGCAATTGACTAAGCGTTCAACATTTTACCTTCATTAGTTTGAACTAAAGATTTTGATTTATTCCAAACTTCGTCAGGGTTTGCTTGATGGACTCTTCCAGATGCTATAAAGTCATGAGGCGCGTTTCGTTTCGGTTCTGTTGGTGGGAAAAAATTTCTGCGATTATTAAACGTCTCTGCATTCGGAAGTTCGAGAGTTGGCTGTGGAGGTTTCGGTGGCAAATCCAACACATAATTAGAACTCAAAGGTTTTCCAAGGTTCTCAGATGGAACATTAATTGGATTCGAAAATTTTGTTTCTGTGGGTTTCTTTGTTGTTGTTGTTTCAACTTTCTCTGTTTTACTTTGAAGAGTTTCAAGTTGATTAAAATTATTTTGCATCATTTCTTGAAGGTAAAAGCTTGTTGGAATGACATCTTTCGGATAGAAATTATTCTGTACAGCTTCTTGGGGATAAGAATTGAACGTTGAACTTGTATCCATATATTGCTGACCTGCTGAACTTTCTCGAAGTGCTTGAACCATTTGATAATATTGTTCTTGTGTTAATTGAATTGCTGGTAAAACTGGCGACTCTCCAGAAGTTTGTCGAATGTTAGGATGAATATATTGTCGTTGAACAGATGATTTTGGGTTTGAAGTCTCGTTTAATGGAACTTTTTCTCTTGTAGTTGGTGTTAAAAAGCGACCAACATATCGTAAAACGTCCCACCATGTGCCGGATCTTGGAACACTTGTGACTTTGCCAAGTAATTGAGCGTCCTTTGTTAATGATTCAACTCTTGTAGGTGGTGCAGAGTTGAACCATGTTGACGGTCTCCACCAAATTCTTGGACTTCCATTTTGATTATTTCCAGTTAAAGTTCCTGTTGTTGATGCTTTTGTTGGTTGATTTGATGGTGGTGATGGCGATGGTTTTGTAGGAACTTCGTAAGTTGGATAAGGAAAATCGAATGGTCCTTGAACTGGTTGAATCATATTATCAGGAACTTCATTATTTTGATGTGGTGGTCCATATTCATTAGATGGAACTCCATACTGTTCTGGAAGTAAGTCATGACTTTGAATGAATGGAATTTGTTCTGATTGACTGAGTTGAATTTCACCAGCTCGGACATCTTCATCGTAATTATAGAATTCGTCATCGTCGATACGATTCTCGTCATGATCTAAATATGATTTTATAAGTTCCATTCCTTCTTGTGATTGCGCAACCTCACGAATGCCATCGATCGTGTCTTCTGCATTTTCTGTTCCCAATATCATCATCACATCTGTTATTGGTGGTAACTTTGTGATGTCAGCTTTGATTTTAAACTCCTTAAGCAAATCTCGAAATTCTTTAGTATAATAAAATTCTTCAATTGCTGCAGTTTTAATCGATAAAGGTTCATATGTGACAGCTGTTGGTAAAGTATCAAAAGATTTCTTTATTGGCAAATGTTGATTCGAACTGAACGGTTGTTGAATTGGAACTCCATTGTGGCCTGAATTTTGATGAACAAATCGTTGATTTTGATGAATGTCTGGAAGAGGTTGAACTCTGCCATTCAAGGAGATGCTTGGATTGAAATTGGGATTTGGATTTACAGGTTTCATGATAATTTTTGGAGCTTGTTGTGGATGATGTTGCTGCTGATTTTGAGTATTAACAGAAGGCATGTGATTAACTCTTTGTTGTTGTGTTTGACCTGACATCCTTGGAGGATTAACAAATCTTACCGGATGTCCAGGAGGTGGGTATGGATGACCACCAGCTCTCCTTTGAATATCTTTGTGATCATTAACTCCAGGTAACAAATATAAATAATCAGGTGGAAGTTGCGAGTATGTCTTTCCAGTTTGAATATCTTTTTTAACTTCTTCACTTGGCCATAAACTCCATCTACGATTTCTGGCCGCACCATTACTATTTGAAGTTTGTGTGATTACAAAAACTAAAAGTGAAACACGGAAAAACTTATTCATTTTAGGTACGATATCCGTTGGCACTTGTGTCACTTAACAATCCCAAAATATAAATGAAGAGCATAAAATGTTAGCAAGGTCTATTTAAAGTTTTTATTTTCTTAGGTAAAAACGTCATAGACATTCAAAGAAAGTTTCGAGGAATACATTATTTACCTGATAATGGAAAGAAATTCTTGTTAAGCACTTAGAGAGTTGAGCTGTCAACGAAATTTTTTCAGAGAAATTTTTTTTTATTCTTGCTTAGCTGTTTAATGCTAACATGTAATTTTTTCAGGCTTTGTGGATATTAAATGGAAGTTTGTTTCATTTGAAAAACAATTTCAAGAATTGAGAATGAATTCTTTTATTTCCGCTCTCAAAGATAATTTTCTTTTCATAGACACTTAAGCATCTTTATGAAAGTAAACATGAATTATTTTGATACTGAAATATTATAAATAAAGATTTCTTTTAAATATTTACATCTTGTTCATTAATATAAAAATATTTTAAAGATTTTAGTTTGTTTTTTACAATTTGAGACTTAATTTGTTTTAACAAAGTAAAATAATTAAATTTTTCTGATGACACTTTCAAGGTTGAAATATTTGGAAAGGATGAAAATATTTTTGTGATTATGTCTTCTGAAATTGTTGCAACATAAATTTCAAAATGTTTAACACTTTTGTGTGAGTGATTTAAGACTTTTTCTTTAATGAATCTTTCGTAAGAATTATTATGAACGTTATAAAATCTTGGCATTATTTTCAACTTTTCGAGTTTATTCAGACGATTGAAAGATGAAAAGTTTTCATAATCACAGATTGAATTTACAATCACGTTAAGTGACTTAATATTCAAAGCATTATCTATTAAAACTCTCAACTGATTCTGTTTGATATAGTCAAAAGTTCGAACTTTAAACTTCTCCAAAGAGTTTGCGTTTTCTTTAATGAGTTTCTCAAATCCAGGAGAATTTTGTTCCAATTTTGAGTTGAAAGAGAGAGAAATTGCTTTTAAGTTGGAAAACTTTATGAATGAAACATTTTCAAGAAATGTGTCATCGTAATTAACATCGTAAAAGTTGATTTTGTTTAATGTTGTGCAGTTATTTTTTAAAATCTTGATAACAAAATTATAATTCTTGTTTCTGTCACTTTCACTTTCATGTGGTATTAGACAAACTTTGAATGTTTCCAATTGGTTAGTTAAGTTTAGAAAGAGATTTAAAAGATTATTACTGCTATATAAGAATATTAACACTTTAAGATTAGGCAAGTTGAGTCGAGGAATTTTAACTTCCGATGAAAGTGGGATTGACAACTCAACATAAATTCCTTCGAATTGCAACTCGTGCAGATTTATGAAGCTTTGTAAAAATCCAGAAAACATAAGAAATTCAGACACTCGGACATCATCAAGTTTCAAGTATTTAACACTCGAGCAATTCTTCCAAACTTCACTAAATAAAATATCTTCCAGATCATCGCTTGTTGTATGTTCCAACTTAATGTTGATGTAAAATCTTTCACTTTTGATGAATGTTTTGACATCTTTAACATTCGCTATGATCCTTCGAAGAAAGAAATTTGTATTGATAATCGAATTAAACTTCTTACACACTCTTGAAATTGTTAAAAGATCGTCAAAATTAAGATAGGAAAATATTTTTGATATCAGTTCAGTCGATAACACTTCCATTCTTATTAAATTCTGTTTAATGACTGATTTTCAAGTCGTAATGAACTCCTATGAACTTTTTTATTGTTCGCACAGTCATTTTATTGTCATTGCAGCTAATAACAACATCGATTCGATTATTAATAATGCAAATTTTAAACTCAAAGAATGTTGCGAAAATTTAAAGTATCGAATGAGTCATTTAAATTAATTCATATCTCTTTGTAAATTTCAGAAAAGAAAATCAGAATGTTGTGAATTCAATTGACTTTAATTACATATCAAGTGATACTGTGTGTCAAATTAATTCCACAAGAATGCTTCTTTGACACTATCCAATGTTTTCCATGGAACAAATGTAAGGGACAAATGAGAAAAGCAACACAAAAACGAATCTCCAGAGGATAATTCCACTTATGTCATGTTTGTATTTGAGGCAATACGCTTGGTGCCGAAAATAAATTGAATTACTTGAACAATAAATTTGTTTTGCGTGCCCTTTTTACGTTTGAACGAGCAAATTTAAAATACAGTTTGTGTATTCATTACAAGCACTTCCCTGTAATATCACATCAATTTCTTCATTTATATCATGAATGTGTTTGCGTTCCTACATCATTTATGAATAATTGATTAATTTGTCAGGTTTCTGAGGCATACTTAGAAACTGATTTAAATCAAAGCTAGAAATTGCCTTTTACATGACGATGACTACAAATGACGTGCATCAATCATGTTTCATGTTACCATTACGTAAATTACTAAAGATAATAGCTGAGACAATCAACATAAATAAAATAGAAATATTCAAATAGATTTCTAATTAATTCATATCAAGAGATCTCAAGAAGCTTAAATATTTAAAAGTTTCATAAAAGAAAAGCTTTCTTCTCTTTAATTTCTTTCATAGCTACTTCAATGTAACTTCATTTATAAAATAATAATTCTAAGAAAATAAACAATTCAATTTCAAATAAAGATGATACAATTTCCATTCATTACTCAAATAATCAACAACAAGCTGTATAACAAGGAATTAAATTCCACCCTCCTACAGACAAAAGATAAGTTAAATTCACCCTTAAAGATGATTCTACCAAAATTTGTTTAACAGCATTTCACAACATCTGCGAGAAAAAAGAACTCAATGACTTTTTGAAGTGATTATCGTTGTTATTATAACGAGTAAGTATAAATTAAATCAGAGTGAAGTGAGACGAGAAAATAATTATGTTTTCTATGTTGTGATTATGCAAATTTATGTTCAAGTATAAGTATTTTGAGTGATGGATTTTATCTGTTGTCAAATGAACATCAAAGTGCAACGCATCGATATTTGCTATAAAAATTCTGTGAAATTCATAAGAAAATGAAAATGAAAAGAATTTTCCTTCAAATGTTCAATAACAAGAACCTTCTACAAGATTCAATTCCAAAGTCATAAGAAACTTGTTAAGAAAATCACTCAGTGTAACGTGAAATAATTTATTTTCTGCTTTTAGAACACGCCATTGTTGCAGTCGTTAAATGTCAGAGAAGTTTAACGATGCCGTTTGAATACAAATTTCCTTGCAAATTTCCGTACTTAAAGTTCATCGTCTAGTCTCGCGGGACTTTTCTAACATTTTTAAGGAATTTATTTATCTTGCTTATCCAGATAACTAACAGTTGATCAATGAATCAAGAGAACTTCACGACAACTAGACAAAATATTAATTTTTCGGTGCACTGGCTTGAAATAATTAAATCTAGTAAACATATTCCGACTTCCAAATGATGGAAAATTAATGAAGTCTCACCACAAAAATTAATTTTCATAACTTACTCAACCCGAGAAAGCCAATTGTTTAAATCTGGAAATTTTCCTGATGATGGAGAAAATTAATTTAAATGGCGAATGTTGTTAAAGAAACGAAGTCAAAGAAGTGGAAAACCGAATCTCTCACTGGAAGGAATAAGAAAATTTGCTGTTGTGTTCCGCCCACACCAGGGAAACGTTCCAAAATATTTTCCAATATTTCTTACATGAACTTCAATTAAATTTTGCATATTTTGATTAAATAAAGCATTGATTTGAAGGATGATAATATTAAACTATGAATTATTGGTTAGATATGTGTCGAAATTAAATTTATTTAACAATTTGAATGCTTTTGGAAAAGGAATTTTTTAATAAAATTACTCATAAGTATTCAGAGTTAATTAAATGAATCGAAAACTTTCCCTTGAATAACATTCGAGATATTGAAATTCTTTATTCCCCACAATATCCGAATGACTTCAACTATCCAACCATTATAAAAGGTAATGATAGAGTTAGATACGCGTGTTTAAAATAAACAAAGGCGAGTGTATCAAGTGTGACTTCATTGTTTGCTGTCTTAAAAAGTTCAACAAGTCATATCGATCGAAATTCTCACAATACCTTAATTATAATTAAATTGTAAACCAAATAAAATATTAAGTGAGGGCGTGTTAGGTGATTTAATTTGATTGGAAATTACACAAGCTTTCCCCCTTTTTCATTCTATCACACATCGTTGATGTCATTTAATCGAATAACTTGATTCAATGCTTTAGATTGTATGTCTAATCAATTAATTTATGTCATTTCCATTGAATTTTTGAAGGTGATTTCAGCAAAGTAGTTACATCTTATTAATTATGAATCTACTGACGAAAGCGATGAAAGCGCTTCAATTTAATTGAATATTCAAACCAATACTGGCTTTTCAGCCATTAAATGTTTGCTATGGAAACATAATTATCAATAATCCTTTATGTAATTACGCGTCGTTTTCATTTTCCCCTGAACGTTTGTTTTTATTTACTCATTTAATTACTTTAATTATTGAAGTAGCTTTTCAACAGAAAAATTTTCTGTTATGTTCGCCTTTGCAAATTAATTATTAATGACCTAGAAAATTGTCGGGGAGAAGTGAAAAAGTTATCTAGCAAGGATTTGTCGCTTGTAACTTTTGGAACCATCTAAGTAAATTTCTGTGATTGAAGAAGTTCAATTCAATTAAAATTAAAAGAGCTTAGAAGAGGATTATTTTCGATTATGTTGTTTACATCTAACAATGATTTAATCTCTTCAACAACTTTGTTCAGTTTACTTATCAGACATTCCTTAAGGCAAATTTCGTTTCCTTTTTATTGAAGTAAAAATTGCTTTTCCCGTTTAAGTCTTACTAGAAATTAGATAACAGATTAAAACTGATTGAGTCTTTTATTATTGTCGCAGAAATTGTGTGACATTGAAAAGGTATAAAAGAACAGTTAGGATCATGACAACAGACATTAAAGCATGTTGGCATTTTCGATTAACTTCTAGAGGGGTGAACATCATGTAATGAATTAATTCCTGAGGGTTGTTCAGTGTTTCTGCCTTTTTTCCTTTTTTATTTCTATTGAACCATTCTTTATAGATATTTTTTTATTATCTGGAATTTATGATTGCGTTGAACGATAGCAGATTTATTTTCCGTAATTTTTAACGAAGTTAGGAGGTCATTATAATTGTATATTTTATTGTAATTTGCAATATCTTCCAACTCAAACAACATTTCCCATAATTAATAAAAGAAGGAAGTTTCAATTCACAAACAATTAGGATTAATGTGGCATATCAAAGTAGAAACCGAATTTGAATCTGTAATAACAACTTAGAAAGCAGATGCGCAATTCGTCACACCTTTTCCACTTAAAATGTTTAACATTTAAAGGGTTCATCATTAAAATGATACACAAAACAAAACACTTGTGCAAAAACAACATGTGCATGGTTAATTTTGCAATCTATCAAAGTGAAAATCAATGTTTTAGCTTTCGTTATAAACTAAATTTTATTTAAATCATTTCCACTTCATTTCGTTTTTCTTCTCAACTTTTCATTTCCTTGCATGCTAAAATTTCTTGTATTGATCTAAAATCTATTTACAGTTCTTAGAAATATCTAAATTATCAAGCGAATTGAGTAGGTGCTTAAAGGAGCTTAAACCTTTCAAATTGACTACATTAAAAACCAAAATGAAATTCACCTCAAAGTGAAAGAGATTCTAAAAACTCTTAACACTCAATAAACTTTATTCATGTACTGAATGTTTATAAATGTGCTGATGAATTTGTCATATCGAGATGATGAAAATTTCTCTGATGAATCTGATTGAGTTGCTGATAAAATGAAGTTCTTGAATCGTCTTTCGAATGATTGTTATTACATTCCAATGATAATTTAGCTACTGACCAAAGTTCATTTGTTTTTCCAGGCATTGGACATCCATCTGCTTCATTCTTTCCTTCGAGTTTTGATGCTCCATGAATTTTGTGAACATAGTTTGGAGATCCCACCATAACATCATGTTTGCTCGGCTGGAAAAAAAAGTAAAAAAAAACGATTCCGTTTAGCTCCCAAGAGATCAATTTCAAGTTAACAAAAAACAAAAAGAAAAAAGAGAAAAGTTCTCAGTTCGTGCTTCATTTAACGAAGATTTCTTTTCGCATTTTCTGAAATCACTTGCGATAAGGCAACGAATTGAAACAGATAACATTAATGATATCATTCTCAAATCATTTATACGTGACCAGAATTAAGAATTCTCATTCAAGAACTTTCTTTCCTTAAGCAATCTCGACATTCAGGAGACATTCAGGTGCACACGAGTGAATAAAATTTATTGCTGGATTAATATGAATTGATGTAAAATCGTCGAAATGACATCAACATTAAATAAAAGTGCTTTGTGCAGGGCGCATATGTGGAAGCTCAATTAGTTTGATTGCCATTCTTAACACGACACATTTCGATGTGATTTTTTTAATACTTTAGTCCTTAACTCTTGTTTCATTTTCCTTTCGTTATTCAACAATATTTTTAATTGCAGCCATACTGCAACTACATATCTACATCGATTTAATTAATTATTCATTTTAACGACGATGAACTCGAGGATATTTTTTAAATGTCTACTCATGTTTTGTTTAAGCACGAAATTCGATCTCAAATATAAATACAATTTGATGAAGGCGAATGAAGCATGTTTCACATTCGTTTTAAATTTTTTATGCCCAAAGATAAGAAGGATTAGATCAATTTGATTGAAATGATTTAAAACCTCGACAAAATTGGAAAGGGAAAAACTGAAATCAATTTCTCGATTGCATTGATCAGCCCCACTTTGTTCAAAGAGATAGAAAAAATATGAAAAATCATTCGACTGGCACATGATTCGAGAACATTCATTTTTAAATTTTCAATTTTCCGCTTATTTAGACAACATAAAAAGAATTAATCTATCATAGCTACCTCTTTTTTCAAATTTATTGTCCATTCAGCATATTGCGGCGACATTCTCGAGTTCCTTTTGTTCACATAAAATTCATCTTTGTCGCGATCGCTTCTATTGACAATTTCTTTTAAAGACTTTATCGGACTTTTTGATGTCTTCACATCCCTAGATGGCGACATTTCTCGTTCAAATGATTTCAAATTATTGTTGTTTTCAAGTTGTGCGAATTTTTCGTCTGTAACTTCAATTTCTTCTTCACGATCTGTTGACGAAATGTTCATGTTGTGTTGTGACACTCGATAAGGTTGAAGATTTAAAATCTGAATGTCGTCTTCTGTTGTTTCAATATCAACCATCTCGTTCTCATCATCACTTGTCATTTGATCTTTCGTTTCGTCAGTGAAATCATTGACACGCTTACATTTATTCTCACAATCGTTAGAAGTTTCATCAATATCAACATAATAATCAATTTCCTTATTCTTAGGATTTCTTTTTCGAATTGTCGACTTCTTCACAGCTACTGAAGATTCGTCATCACTTTGATTTGTTGAAGATGCTGTTGTGTGATTATAATTAGAAGATGTTGATGAAGCAGGCGATTGAGTGCTAGGATTGACGTTCACCATTGGTGCATTATTTGCATTTACATCGTCATTCAATCTCATATTGATTACGGGCTTAAATGCTGAATGAAAGTGATTAAACACCGGATGCTTCTCATCGTTTGATGTTGATATTGAATTACCATTTGGCTTGAATAAAAAGGATGTTGGTGGTTGTTTGATCCAATTCAAAGCTGAATATGGTGGAAATTGAAAATGATTCGCTTTATTTACAATGGTTGGAGCATTAACTGAAGTGGATGTTTGCTGTTGATGATGCCACATGTAGTCAATCATAAAAGAGCGTGATAATGAGAATGGCAGCTCTTGAGGGAATGATGATGAAGGGCGAATGGTTGGAGGGTTTGCATTTGTAATTGGAGCGATGGAGTTTACAATTGAAGGTGGCTGAGTGTTGGTTGTATTGTTTGCAACTGAATAAGCGTGAGTCATGTTTACAGGTCTAATCGGAAATTGAGTATGTTGTGTAGTGTTTGATGCAACAATCGAAGCTTCTTTCGATTTCTTAGGTCCCGAAGAATTATTCGAATTTGAGGGATTTGATTCACGAATCGGTGTAATTGGCGATGACATTAAACGTTTTCGTGTTCCACCATTAAACATCGCTTTGACATCTTCCCATGCATGTGAAACATCATCCGGCGGAGTTCCACTCAGCCTCAAATGCCGACGCCATGAATTAAAATTAGCAGCATCAGGTTGAACATATTTGTCATTTGCAGAAACCCGATGGGAATGAAATATGAATTTATTTGGGGAGAAGAATAATCCACAAAATGTGCATTTGATGCATTTCGCACGAGATGAATTATAACGTGAAGGAAGAAATGATCCACGACAACCCCAAGCACATTCATGAAAAACAGCGAAGGAAAAATCGTCAGGAAGACGAGGTGGCGAGTTGTCGCCCAAAAAAGATTTGCATAAACGTTCTGCTTCTCTTCTCGTGATCATTCCACAACGTCTTGATGACACTGGCATTGCATTTGCCCGTCTTAAGATCTCAAGTTGCACTGGTGTACACTGAACACAAGTTATTCCTAATGCCACTCGTCGATTATGAATTTCGTTGTAACTAAATTGCTTCAGGAGAGTGTTTGAGATCTGAGCCAGACATAATCGTTCTTGCGACTCAATGTATAATGAGACGATGGGAATTCCATAGAGAATCACTGTACCAACCTGTTTAGACGATCCAAAATGATTTTTCACCTTAATTGGAGAAATCAAAAGTCTCCTTCCAAATTTACTTACTTGATTTGGTTTTGGTGTCGTTACATTATTGTTGTTCGAAACTATGCTTTCTGTTGGCGATGGCGATCTTGACTGAATCATAAATGACGAAATTTTATTACAATTTGAAATTATTGAAGAATTATTTGGTCGCTTTAAATTGTGTCTTTTATCATGAGAATTTGATGACAGATTTGTCATTATCGGTTCCATTTTCTTTTTTTTTTTTAATAACTTAATTTCACACAACAAATTTTGCAACTTTTCTTATGTTTCTTTAAAGAATTAATTAAATATTGAAGTCTTTGATTTCCGAAGTTGTTTTATTTTGGACTGCCGCTCATGAAAATTTTGAACAAACTGATCCCTGCTCTTATTTAACAGAACGAAAATATCATTATTTTTAGTTAACGGAAAAACAACACAGAGGAAAAGTCTCCTCCTGCATTTCAACTACATACGCAACTCAACACACTCACGAGTCATGAAAAATCAATTAAATCGCTTCATGTTGTAATCAAACCTCACAGAACATTGTTTTGTCAAGTGGAAATCCTGGAAAAATTTTCATGAAAGAAGGTGAAAAACAGTTAAATTAATGTTGAGTCTGTCGACCAATCAGAGAAAAGCAAAAGTCACGCCCACTATGAAAAAGGAAACTTCCAGTCAGTGAAAATAATCATTTCAAATCAACTTTCAAATCAACAATAAGAAACAAATTGAAATATTTATGTGGAAAGATTTTTGTTTTCTTGTTTTTTGATTAAATAAGAAAATTAATTTTGTCAATAAAATTATAATTAAAGACTTATTCATAAAAAGTTGAAGAGAATTTATTTGAGCTGGATTTAAATTCTATTTATATGAAAAGCTTTTGAATTAATTTTAATTTAATCGGAAACACAAGCATATGAGTGAAATTTTAAGACTTAAGAATTATTCGCATGTTTATAAATTTCCAAAGATGTTTAAAAATAATGAAGTGATCAGTTATCTAAGATTTATATTTTATTAAGAAAAAATTTGACAACTTTTAGTTAGATCTGAACTAAAAAAACTTAATTTCACAGCATTATTTATTAGACCCATTAGACTATTTTTCTCTAAAATTTTATTTATTTATAAAGTCATTGAAATAAATTCTTAAAAGGAACTTTTAGCAGACGCCTAATCCGATTTTATTTTGGTAGACATGAAAATATTCTAAATTTTAAGGAAAATAAAAGATCAAATGGGAAGAAGCCAAACAAACATTTTAGGCATAAATAAGTTATGTAAGTTATGTAATTGAAATAAAACAAACGTCTTGTTTGTTTAAAGTGTCGACTCAAACTGAGACTCTTTATTCATTTTCTTATTCTCACTTACTTATTACTTCTTATTACTTCTTATTACTTCTTACTTGGGGAATATGGGAATAAGGGAATGTGGGTTTCGGGAAGGGTTGGTTGGGGAACTTGTTCTAACTGGGGAACCTGTTCTAACTAATATATTCTAATTGAGTGAGAAAATATTTTTAGGGAAGAATTTTATTCAGTAAATTGGTAATTGCCATCATAACAAGAATGAAAATAATCTTGCACACGTGTCTGTCGTGAAGCAGATTTTTATTAGATATCAATAAAAAGATTTTTCACTTCTGATAAACATTTTTCACGCCAATTATTTTTCTTACTTTATTAAATTACAAGAATTTGAAAATAGTAAACAAGAATCATTAATTTTTTATTTATCAGCATGTGGTGAGACAAAACAAACATTTTTTATCATGCAAACAGTGTCAAATCAATTTTTCATAGTTTTAATATCAACAACAAACAAACTAACAAGTTACAACGATTACATCAGGAATTAGACACATCATATTTATAAAAAAAGGTTTTGAATTAAACCCTTTTGAAGATAAATAAACATCAGCGAGATTTTATGAGGATGAAAATCTCACCATGAAGTGTGTCAAATTTTACATCTGCTTGCACTTTGCTATCTATCGTAGATGTTAGCATCCTTAGATGAACCACAAATTAAATAAAATTTAAGATTAATTCACAAGTTAAGCTCACTTCTCGCTCATTATCAGGCACATGTTCATTCGCATTGAATCTGAAAAGAAAAGTGAAGATTACATTTTCCTTTTGTATCTTTTTCCCCTTTTCAATTCATTCATCATAACGACCTTGTTAAAAGTTTCTGAAACATTAAATATTCTGATCGTGTACCCGCATCGACAATGCAACAGACACGGTAGTATCAATTTATGGCTTTTGTTTGTTGCTACATTAATTGAATTCACGTGAGTGTGCTTATAAAAAGAGTTTTCATGAATTTTTGCTGAAAATCATTTGTGAAGTTAATAAAGTTGTTTATTTTCAGGCAATTGAATGGCTTGAATTTAGTTGTCCTTAAATAAATGAAATTTATTCATAAATTCTTCAATAGAAACTTTTGAAACTTTTTCAATCCGCCGCAATTTAGGTAGGAAAATATTTAATATCAACTTTCCATTTATGTCAACAAAAAATTAATGACAGTCATTTGAAAAATAATCACTGACATGTTCTTCATCCGAAATCGATCATTGTTGATTCACAATAAAAAGATTTTCTGTCCTAATAACCCTTAAAATGATTCAATTTACTGAATAAGTATCTATGTTGAGGGTTCACTCGTAAAATGTATTTATTCTATTCAAAATCTCCCTTGAGGGATTTTCCCCAAATTGTGGTCTTCTGTACAGTTTTTCTCGAAACCGAACACATAAACGAAAACATTTCCTGAAATAGGATTTAACCAGCAATTCAATTTTCAAAACATTTCAGGTGCTTTAATTAAATGAAAAATCTAGTTAATTAATTTTAGTCAACATTCTTTCTATTTTTGGCAGCCATCAGGAATTAATTAGAATATTTCGTAGCAACTTTTGTTGATGAAATGAAAAGCATAATAAAGCTTTTCCCCATTCCTCTTTCACTCATTTTCAACAACATTTGTTGACATGACAACGTTAGAGTTAATTTAATTCATGAAAACTTTATTGTATTTTAAATAATTTTATTATTCATTTAAATTGTTCAGCTTTTGTTTAGGGAAAATTAAATTTATGTAGATAAGTACATAATGTAGAGATGAAAATTTAATCATGGAAAGCAAACAGTTATTCAAAATTTTGTCCTTGACTTGTAGAGCGTGAAAAATGGAAAAATTATTGTTAGAAGAATTTTTGCGTTTATGTTATTGGGCGTGTCCTTTTTCTTCTACCAGCATTGGAGGGTTGAACACATTAAAATGTTTGTAGATACAATGTGAAGTTGAATGGAAAATTAAGAGAATTTTCCAATCATCCTTCCAGAAATGGAAGAATTTTGTTCATAAATTGATAATTGAATTTGGGAGATATTATAAAATTAGTTGTTAACTGGGCATATTGATGCCGAAAATATTATTCCAACTATTAAAGACTGATAAATTATGATTATGGCAAAATTTAATTGTCATTGTGAAAATAATGTTAAAAAAAGTGAATAACAATCTGAAAATTTAAGAAAGAATTTTGAAGTTAAAAAATCTTTTAATTAAACCTTTTCAAAAAATATGCGATCTGATTTTTATTTCCATATCCAAAAATATTATAAGTAAACTTTTTCATAAGAATTCTTAGAAATTTGGAAAGTAATGAATCGGAGTACTTCAAGAAGAAGTAAAATATGATAAGCCGAAGAGATTATAACAATTTTGTGAGGGAAATGAAAAAAGAAAATATAAAAAAAAATTGTTCATGAAAAATGTTTTTAAAGCATTCCGAAGAGGATGTAAGAAAGAGGAAGTGCTAAGAAGCATTTCATCATTGGAACACCCAAAATACAAGCAACCAACTTCCACACGCCGGTATGAATTCCAACTTGCAAGAGAATGTGAAGAACCAACAAAATTTTATCCTTTTTCCTAGCAGCTGGCAATGTTTTCAAAGTCTCATTGTTGAGATATTGACGAACACCTTGAGCCAAATTGATGAAATAATCTTCCCATTTCAATGTCCCTATATCAATGTTAAAATGTTGTTGATCAACTGGTGACATTGTCTTACTGAGCAGCAAAGTATTTTTGTTATCAAACTTCCATTCAGTGAAAATGAATTTTTCAAGCAACTTCAGAGATTCCCAAACGTTTGTGTGCAACTTCACAAGTCTGAAAATAAATAAATTAAGCATATTTAACAAGAGAATTTGTTTTCATAACTTACATCGGTCTACCGCCAGCAATGCGTGTAACAAAATCCAAAATATAAGCAGGAATGAAATGAATAAAAATCGCAGAAATCTTGAAAAGCATGAGACTTGAGAGGAATTTTAAATGTGGATACCAAACAGCAGATTTCAATGGATACATGTGAAGTAATTCATTTGTTTTGTCAGCAACTCTATCCCATCTAAATGGATTGTATGTTGATGATGTACAATGATAAATTGAGAGTTCTCCTGATCTTTTTTGTGCGACATGGTAACCAGTAACGAGCACTTGGTTGACAACAATGTCAACTGGAATGTAATCATAAATGAGGGAAGTTCCCACCGGTAAACGACGAACAACGCCTTTACTCGCTCCCATTAAGAAGCCTTGTGGTCCATTCTTACTTATTGTCCATCCTGCGATTGGTTCCTTCCATGCAGCTGTAATCATTGACGGACGAACAATTCCGCAAGGAAATTTACCGGCACATTTATTGACCTCATGTTCAGCCAAATGTTTCGTGAATGTATAAGTATTTGGATGATCTTTGATCAAACCAGCAGTCAACGTATTAAGTTCTTTCTCATCTTTTGACTGTGCAAGTTCAATGACCTTTTCAGCATCGTCTGGAGCTGGATAAAGCTTTTCTTCTGTTTCCAATAAAAATGCGTTAACATAAGCACTAGAAATATGCACCATGGCTTTTAAGTTTTTCATTTCTTGACACAACTGCATGACTCGACGTGTTCCAAGCAAGTTTATGAACACGGTTGGCTTTAATGAAGCTTGAAAGTCGAGTGTTGCTGCGGAATGTATAACAACATTAACGTTATTAGCCAAGAGTTGTCGGTCGGCTGGAGATAATCCTAAATTTTCTTCTCCAACATCACCAGCAACAGCAACAAGCTTTTTGAAGATATCGGGAGATGATTGCTCAAGAAGAACAGAGAAAACTGAATTTTTGGTGATATCTTCAAGACGTTCATGAATTTCTTTTCCTTTTTTAGGTCGCATCAGCAAATAAACTTTTCCAACTTCTGGACATGATCGGAGAATCTTCTCAACCAATGCAATTCCAACAAAGCCTGTGCCTCCAGTGATGAAGATGTTTTTGTTTTTATAAAACTCTGCTATGTTTGATGCCATAATTGAATAATTAAATTTTCTTCTCGCTTCTGTCGAACCTGTAATGATACAAACCATTATGTGGTTTTAATTTCTTTACATTTGCGGTTGTTTTATGATTATTTTTCTCAATAAATGCCTACTTTAGGAAATTAAAATCGGAAGAAGATTCTGCTTGTTTATAAATTTTACTTTTTCAATATTGCAATCAATTTCAGAACAAGAAGTTGATTAAGCAGAAATAACTAACACCAACCGGAAAACCAATGATTTAATGGGAATATTAGTTATTGCTACCACAATGGAAATAAATAATAAAGAGAGAAGAAGCAATTCACGACTACGTTATATCATCATCGTTACATGAATGTACATCTTAAAGTTAAGTTCAAAGCAAATAGATAGTTGAAAAAAATTCGTTACGAAATTAATAATAAAAGAAAATGTAGATATGTATGTGCATCATTGACAAAACATTAAATAGTATAACTTTCCAAAAAAGTGGCAACGGCGGAAGTTCAACAATGAAATAACTTTGAAAACGAATACGATAAAATTATTACTCACAATTACCTGTGATGTAATTGGCAAGATAGTTAATATGTGCTGTGTTGCAATTAACAGCTTAAATAAAACAACCTGTTGCATTTCATTGCTTTTTATGTCAATACTTTAATCAGTAATGAGTTAAGTTAACAATAAGTACATATTGCTTAAACATCTCAAGTTTTGACGTAAGCCTTGACATTGAACTTTGTATTCTTGAGATCTTACTTACGATCGCGACACTATCAAAAAAATTCAACACACATACAACTTCAATTTGATCTATTGTAAGAAAAATTGATGACGCAGGTAAAAGGGAATAGTTTAATGAAGTTATTTGTTTAAATATTAAACAAATTCTTAAAGTATGTGAAGTATTTCCTGGTTCGCAATTCCGCATCTTCCATAAATCTTGTATATATAATTAAACTAACTTTATGAAAAGAATAGAAGCAAGCAATTTCGAGGAGTTTATTCTATTTGAAAATAGTTTTGTTTTAGGAATTGATAATTACACGCGAAAAACAATGAATTGTTTACATTAATTCCACAAAACTCTATAAAATTATCTGCCGGTTGTTTATTTTTATCAAATGTATTTAAATAGATCACCGAGCTCACCTTATTAATTGATACGTCCGCAGTTTTCTTTCGTAAGGAAAAAGAAATCTTTGCTGCTTCGCGTAAGATGATTTGAACAAGACTAAATCGGCTTTAATATTGAAGTAAACAAATCTTTAAAGAGAAGTGAAGAAACTTCACTGAATGCACTTAAACGTAACGGTTCAATCAAATGTTGTTGCGGTTCAAAAGCGAAATTCTGACATCCTAAGATTTGTACAAGCGACGGAAATATTTTTTTCTAAAACGTAAATTTTTTGCTTGTTCTTAAAAGTTAGTTCTCTTATCGCTCCCAAAAAGTGAATATAAATTGGTAAGTTATAGAAATTTTGATAACTGACCGGAGAAAGTATTATCCTTATTATAAAGGATGAAGAATTCTATTAATTGCGTAAATCAATAATTTTTCGTTCGAAGATTTTCTTTCAATCAAGTTTAAGGTCATTTAAGCAAATGTTTTTATAAACAATTGATTGAAATTCATAATATTTATAAATGCCTCTTCATTAATACTTCCGAAGAAGACACTTTCGATTAATTTGATTCAAAGCTGCTTTAAGAAATTCTGAAATATTCTCAGCTGTTTTTTTGCAATAAAAATATTTTTGGTTTCATTTGCCTTAAAAAGGAAATTGTAGATTTTCTTTGTTCCATCATCTCTGTCCGCATAGGCATTTTTTTGTTTGTTGAGAACTGAAGAACATAAAATTAGTTCATCATTTCCGTATTTTTGTTTCCAGATCCGAAAATTGTAATCAGAGGAAGAACATAAAGTGCAAAATAATAAAAAATGTCTTCGCCTTCAGCAGGAAAGAGAAGGTGATTGATCCCAAATACATAAGATAAAAATTATAAATAGATTATAAAATAAAATTTGTTTTTCTTGTTCAGAATGGACACCGATGTGATAAAACTCATCGAATCTAAACACGAAGTGACACTGCTTGGATCGAACCTTAATGAATTTTGTGTGAAATTTTATGGACCAAGAGGTGAAATTGCTTGTTTGTGTAGATTGTGATAACGAAAAATTTTTTGATGGATTATTCCAGGTACACCATATGAGTCTGGAATATGGAAAGTTCGTGTACATCTCCCTGAACATTATCCATTTAAATCACCTAGCATTGGATTCATGAATAAAATTTACCACCCGAATATCGATGAAGTGTCGGGCACAGTCTGTTTAGACGTAATAAATCAAGCTTGGACAGCTTTATATGATCTTTCAAATATCTTCGAGTCATTTCTACCACAATTACTAACTTATCCGAATCCAATCGATCCTTTAAACGGTGACGCTGCTGCCATGTACCTTCATAAACCTGAAGAATACAAAAAGAAAGTTTCAGGTAAATTCGCACAAATTTCCCAGCATAATAAATGTTTGAATAATTTCAAATTTGTTTGTAGATTACGTGAAACGATTTGCCACGGAAGAAGCTCTTCGTGAGACGGAAAAAAATGAACAGAGTAGTGACGATGAAAGCAGTATGAGTGATTTCAGCGAAGATGATATGGCAAAAGATATGGAACTGTGATTCCAGTGTAGTAGCAATAACAAAATTATCGTACGTTAATGTTATAAGATTTTCTTCATATTTAATAACAAACAAATTTTTCAAAAATCAAAAATAAGAAGAAAGAGGAATCCTTAATTAAAATGCTTAAAATAAATATTAGAATGCCGTTTGGTTAAAAGAATATTTAATAATTTAGTAACTAATATTAAGAATTTATAACAAAATGAAAAAAAGGAAAGAAAGTTTATGAATTTATCAGGGAAATGAAAGTTTTACTTAATTAGCTTGAACTTGATCAGCTATAAATCATTGGAGTATTGACGTCTTGTTACTTTAAATGAAAATTTTGAAAAATTAGAGTTTCTCATAAAAAATTCCAAATTGTGCAGCAAAATATTTTGATTAAAATGTTTCTGGTTTTTCTATAATCAAGAAAGTTTATTGAGTTGGAAGAGTTTTTTAAAATTATTTACTTGTAATGAAGTAATTGAATTAATAACGATGAAAGTGGTTGTCATAAATGTAAAATTTTTCTACATCACTTTCCTAATTTAACTTTGAAGTATTTCGATATTATGCTTTGCAATAATTTCCTTTAAAACTTTCGAGTTTTTTATGTAAATATTTTTATGTGATTTGGAAAATTTAAGCTTGGATCGGAAACAATAAAGATGAAGATTAGATGTGAATTGTTGAGTTTATAGACATTGAGTGTTATTGCTTTTTTTCATCGTTTCAGAGGCAATCAAATTGGCACTTCTAGCAGAAATTCAATTTTTGAGAAGTTTCTTGAATTTGCATAGTAAAAAGTTTGAGAATCACAGGAAATTTTTCTCTTCATACCATAGATACTCAAACCACTTACCAAACTTCCTTTTATTAACAATTTTTTAATGATTTTTCTTAATTTTAAATAAAGATCTAAATTATTATATAACGTATTGCAGCAAAAGAAATTTATTATCCATTTAATTTACATTTTATTACAATTTCCAGAGCAAAGAGATAACAAAGGTTTAAGGAATTAGCCAAGTTCTCTTCATTGTGCGAAGCCAACTTTTATTCTTAATATTTCAGCATGTGTTAAAAGATTTTTTCGAAGCCTTAGGAGGTAAAATTTTACATAAATCATGTGAATTGAAAATTCAACTGCTGAAATTTCAAGGTATCATTGTTTAATTGGAATCAATGGAAAGAAGAAAAACGAAAAGACAATTCAAGAAAATTTAAAAAAAATTAGGAAATCACCAGCATTAAGTCACCGAAAGTTTTGGTTTTCAATTATTACTTTGCTGCATGCACCATAAAGTTTATTGATTTAAGTCTAATTATTTTTATCGTTATCGACACTGCGTCTTCGTCAGATCACTTTATCTTTAGGTTTTGGGGATCCATTAGAGGTGGTTTGTGATTTTCCTGTTGATGTAGGCGATTGAATTGGAGGTATTTGTGATAGGATTTGTTCACTTTGATTCTCAACAACTTTCTTTATTTTAGGATCGATTTCATCAGCATCGGACTGAAAAAATTATTTAATATTAATTAACATTTTATGATTCAATTGAGAGTTACTTACATTCTTCGTTTCGGGTTCAAGTTCTTTCGCTTTATCTTCTAAAATAAATTTAGCTTCAGACTCGGTGAAGTCTTCATCTTCCTTCTTTTTCTGTTCTTTCGCTAATTGCTTTTGTTCCAATTCTTTCTTCAAAGCTTTCTCAATTTTATCTTCTGTTTCAATGATTTCTTCTTTATCCATAAGATCAAGAATTTCGTTGACTTGTTTTGGATTAAGTTGAACATTTTCTTTTCCAATTGTTTCAATAACCTGGCAAGAGATTTTGTTACTTAATTTTGTTGGATTACAGTGAATAATGAAGAATTTACCTTTAAAACATCTTCAACCTTCAATGAACCATCTTGATCGTCATCAATTCGTCCTAAAATCTGCTGAATTTTCTCCAAAACTGATTCATCTGACACTTTTTGAATCTGTCAATAAAAGAATTAAGATGAGTCAACATTCAGAGAATTTTCTATTAACAAACCAAACCTTTCTTATCGCGTTCATCATTTCATCAATTCGCACCAACTCCGCAGCTCTTTTAGCATCTTCTTCAACCAAAGTCTCTTCAGCTTCATCTTTTACTGGCTCTTCGATGAGAATTTTAATTTCCTTCTCTTTCTTCTCCAAATCATCCAACACCAAGTCAAGTTTGTTAATCATTGAATTGACTTTCTTAAACAAATTTTTAGCTGCTCTCGACTCCTTCAACTGAGTCTTTTCATCCTTCTGAAGTTCGACAATTTGTTCTAATTCTTGAACGTCTTCTTGATATTCCGCAATTTCTTCTTTGATTTCTTTAATCTCTTCTTTCTCCAATATAAGATTTTTCTTTTCCTTTCCAATCGTTCCAAGTGCATCACTCAGAACTTTCAAATCTTCAGATGACAACTCTTTTTCAACTGGAATTGCATTCTCAATGAAAAGTTTCTCTTCTTGCTCCATGACTTTCTGTTCCATAAACATTTGACTGATTTGTTCTCTTGATGGATCGGTCGCAATGACCGGCGCTGCATCTTTGAGTTTTTGAGCTTTTTCCAATTCAGCTTCCTTCTCTTCATCCAACTCTTCTTGGATCTTACGTTGTTCTTCTTTAATAATTTCAATCTTCGTCTTGTTATCAATTTTACCTTCACGCTCACCAATCGCTGCTTTAGCTTGTGTTCCAACAGTCTCTGGAAGTGAAGCAAGTGTCGCTTTAAGCTTCTCACTAACTTCAACATCTTCAGGTAACATAAGAGCTCGCGACAAGAGCAACAATGAAGGTGGCACTTTCTCATTTAAACTTAAATTTATCCATTCTTGAAGTTGAACTCTTAAACGTTCTTCGCTGAGACCATAAGCTCGCATTCCACGAGCACGACAGGCACTTTGCAACTCTGAAAGATTCAACGTATCAATCCCTTCCTTTTGAATTAAACGATCATCAGCTGCAAGACTTCTCAACTTCATTCTCAATTGAAATCGAAGAAGATTTGACGTTCCAATTGTATTCGCTTCGAGAACACGACAAAGTGCAAGCAATTGTTGGCGACTTAGAGAGTCCAAAGTGATTTCATCTTCAAATAATTGTGAGAACTTAATAATCTCTTCATTTGACGCATAACCACCTGATGTTCTTAAGTTCTGAAAGAAAACGCTGAATTCTTTCGCTGCTTCCGATCGATGATCTTTATGTTGAACTGTCATGTCGTCCAACGTCTTCTGTAAGAACTTCGCCATTTCAATTTTCACTTTAAGACTTTGTTTAATTTTATTGTCTTGATCACTAGCACTTTGAAAGGTTGATGGGAGCATTCCAGGAAAGAGTTTAATTGCAACTGGTAAAAGCAATTCCATGAAGGGAACGATGATGAAGACTGAGAAGGGAACTAAGCGGAAAAGGTCAGACGTTGTTCTGACTACCAACCGATGTTCCCGACGTGAAAGTGATTGGCCGTTTAACACTTTCCACAAATATTTTCGACAAATGTTAATGTCGATGAAGAGCAGACGAAATCCGTGATAATAATGAACAAGCTCAGCCCAAATTCTTGCTCGAAGACTTTTCTTAACTGGCGTTGTTGCCACTGCGGTTTCTGGAGCGATTTTAGCCAACTGTTCTGAAGGTTCAGCTGTTGTTACTGTTTCTGGAGGTGACACTGCTGCAGAAGTTACAGCTGGAGTTGGTTTTTGTTCAGTTTTCTCCTTTTCCGCACTCTTTAATGATTTCACAACATCTTCGACTTTTGAAGAAGATTTCTCCATAAGTTGGAAAGTCGAACAAATATTTCGACTTATCGTGTATTCCAAAGCATTTGCTGACAGAAGTCTTGAAACATTTGGATCACAAAGCAATGAACGTCTCGTGCACAAACGATTTTGAATGTTGGCAGTGACAGGAAATCTGAGTTGAGGTTGCGTAGTGGAAACTGAATAATACTTGCTGTTTCTGATCAGTGTCGGATTGTTTACTAAAATGTTTAGAAAGAAAGAAAATGTCAATGAATTGCTTAAAAGCAAAAATATTCATTTTTGTTTCTTTCATTCTGTCAATCATTAAGAAAATTTCTTTTTCTTTCCAAAATCACGCTAAGAGGTGATGACTTAGATAGTGACGCAAATTTAATTTCTTCTTCTTTTCTTTTAAGCACATTTTTTTATTCATATCGAACTTTATACTTTGCTGTGCTATCAGTGATTACACAAGTTGAGAATTAACAACTCATCGACCTAGACATTGCACATTTCGAAGATTTCATTTATTTAGAGCAAAACCGATGAGAATTTGATGGCAATGAAGTGCACAGCAAAGAAAATCCAATGTGAGCTTAAAGTTTTTCATTTGCGATTATTTTTGTAACAAATTCAATGCCGCCTCGTTGTCTAAAGCTTCAATTTAAGATTTAACAATGATCAAGTCATGTTTAAATTTAATTAATGAAAATATTTTAGAATTATTAAGAAAATTTCAAGAAATTATAAAATCGATGGAGATTCTAAGAATAAATATTTGCAGAAACTGTCAAGGATTTTGTTTCTCATTAAGTTTTTAATAATTAATATTAAAAAATGTGGCATTTAGTAGATTCAAAAGTATATTTTCTTGTATATAAAAATAACAAGATGATCAATCCCCGCATTCTCTCTTCGCTTACTCGCGAACTTGACAATCAGATGTTCGACTCAACGGGATTACGCTTTTTCCAAGCTCTTTTTCTTATTTGCTACGCACATGATTCACATACGAACAAACATTTACATAATCATGCTTTTTTGATAACACCTTTAATTTTGGTGTCAAACTTGATTAGAACAAAGAAACATTATAATCATATTTATTATGTTTTTAGAAATATTCTCTCGATTTTCCGGCTCTCACAAATATTTTCACAAGTTCATACACACTTGCCATCATTGTCGTGTAAAAATATATAATTTTTGATGAAACTAAAATTTTCCATTGTTTCACTATGATTACGGAATCAAACACTTACAATTCACTAATCGACGGTTTTTCCGTAACCTCAGGATAACTTTTTGTTGATTTATAAATGCATTCATTATGATGTTCCTATATTTAAATCTTATTGACGAAAAATTTTCAATCGCAATGAATTAAACTATTTCCATTAAAGGTTTTGTTATATTTCGATGTTCAATGGTCTTTAGAGACACCAATGTTATGATTTTCAATAACAAAAATTTTTAAATCGATGAATTTAGAGATTTTCAATAAATATAAACACTCCAAATTAGCGATCGAACTTTCAAATAAGTTGATAAATATTCTAAATGACGAAGACGAATATGAAAGCGCTTTTCAAAATACTTCATCCGTCACATTTGTAGTCCGACTTATTTACGAGTAGAAGTAAGTCAATGACATTATTGCATTTGATAGTTCAAACCGTAATAAAAGGGAAATTATAATATGGAAGGCACCGCTCATTTACTAGATTTAATTGACAGTAAGTACCTAACATAAATCTTTAATATTTTAAAGAAATGCGAATGTTTCTGTAGGAAAATTGATGATTCTCTTGAGAGATGGACGAACACTCATCGGGTTTTTAAGATCCTGTGATCAATTTGCAAATCTTGTCCTTCATAAAGCCATAGAAAGAATTCACGTAGGTGACAAATATGGGGATATGGAGAGAGGGATCTTTATAATTCGTGGTGAAAATGTTGTACTCCTTGGAGAAATTGTAAGTCCTTAAAAATCACAACAATAATCATAGAATTTATCAAATATCATTTCAGGATCGTGAAAAAGAAGAACAGTTAAATAGTAAACTTACACAAGTATCTGTTGAGGAAATTCTTGACGCACAAAGACGTGAGATTGAAACGAAGCAAGAGAAGTCGTCTTTGTTACGTTCCCGTTTAAAACAACGAGGTCTGGGAGGCTACAACAATCCACTATTAGAAGAAAACGAGTGAATTAATCAACAAAAGAAAAATCATACAAAATACTTTACAAAGTTCTTTAGTTCTTTTATTATTCTAAACAGATAATTTGATAAGATTCTTAAGCTTTTTGTTTCCTTAAAATTTGATTAATGATTCGATTAATTAGTTAAGTAATTTCTGAAGAAATAAAGTAAAAACGATTTTCGATTGATGTGGTTCCAGTCCACGAATTTCTTAAATGTTTTCAAATGTCTGTAAAGTCGTTGTTATCCAACAAAGGTCGTTTCAATGATTCCGTTGATGAACTTTCTTCTAATGACTCATCCAATTGTCTTTTACGGGTTTTGTTTGGTGATAAAGTCTTCTCAGTATTTCCATCCAAACAATAAAGCAAACTTTCACTCAATTGTGATTTATTTAGAACTTGATCAATGTCAACAGTCACATTTGATGTAGATGAAGTTGATGATTCCAACTTTTGATATTCGTTTGAAGATTCAAAGTCATCTGGTTGACTTGAAAATGAATCATCGTCTTGAATAGGTTCACAAGGAATGTTTCCACGTGATTGAAAGTATTCTCTAAATAAACAAAAATTAATTAATGTTAAAGAAGCATAACAAAACTAATGAATTCTCACTTGAATGCACTTGAAAGTGAATCTGCTGTTGATGACGAAGAAGTGGAACCATAAGAACTTAATGGTTGAGCAACAGGAAGTCCATTGTCATTAGCTGATGAAATGTCATTTTCACTCTTTGATCGTATATTCTTCAATTCAAATGAATTCAGCGGAGCATCACCCGATGATTGTGTTTGAGTGTCAGAAGTTGTTTGTAATTCAGTTTCTGACTCTTCTAACAATTCCGAAATGTTATTCTGATAAGATTTGACATCAGAATTACCGAAAATTGCCAACATTACTGGTTTCCTTGAACGTGGTGTCATAATACTTTCCTGGAATTGAATTTTGATTAGAATTTCATTCTTTCAACGTTCGTTTCAACGTAAAAAATAGCTAGAAACAAGAAGAATGTCTGTTAGTAACAACGCAACTTACTTGCATAGATTTTGGCATTCTTTGTGTTGATTTTGTGATTGGCGACATTGAATTTCTGACTGCTGGATGTTCTTGAATGCCTGTTTGATTCAAAAAGTAATTGATATTCGAAACATCAACATGCCAATGCTCTTTATTCGCTTCACATATTGAAAAGAACAAATCAGACGACTCTTCCGAATCGAAGCTTTCAGTTCCACTTCTCATCATCATTTGCTTTCGTTTATCATCGTCTTTCTCAATGTCAATAAGAATACTTGAAGATTTTGATTTCTTTATTTTCGGTGATGTCTTCGAAGACGATTCCTTCGAATGAAATGGAAATTTTAAGTTTCCCAAGCTAACACCTTTGATTAGACCCGATTTAAATAACGTAGATTTCTTGCAAGGTGTCGTTGCAAGCAATTCTTTATGCTCCATTTGATCAACATGACCAGAGACGACCTTCTCTGATGATTGCCCTTCAATGCAATCCTCTTCATCTGATGAGCGGAAATCTTCATCGTCAATCATCTCTTCTTGTGATATCTCAGCATGATTGTTAAGAATATTTGATCGAATTGGAACGTCGTCGATTTTCTTCTTACTTAAGGCACTTGATGAAGTTGGAGTCGCTTCACTATTTAATGTTGTTGTTGATGTTGATGTGGATGAAATGGAGAGCGAAGGTGGATCAACAATGATTTGTGGAGGTACTTTTAATTCTATTAATGGTGAAGTTTTTGTCGATGAAATTGGACTTTGAAAAAGAATTCTTTTGTTTGCATGAACCTGGAAATGTTGCAAGCGGTTAGTCACGATGAAGAAAATGTTAGTTAGTGAATTGCAATCAATCACATGCTAAGAGTTCATTGAGAAAGTGAAATTTAGTTTCTTTTTATGATTATTGCACAACAATGACAAATTCCGTTTATGAAAACTTACTTGAACAGCAAGTGGTGTGCTTGGAATGTTCGATGATTGTGATGGTGTGTGGGTGGAATTGCGTTTCGGTGTTTTATGAAGTGTCTTATGAAAAATGTGCTTTTTAATTGAATCTCCTATAGAGCGACACGCTGATGATGACTTGTCACGATTGACAAATTGCAGTGGTGTGCCTGTGAAAAATAATTAAAGAAACTTTTTCATGTTGCATGTGATGAAAGTTAAAATAGTTAAAGAAATGATTTGATTAATTAGAGAAAGGTCAGCATACCAAAAGTTATAGAAAAAGAGAAAATTTCAATTTTAATTTTAAATTCTGACTTACTAAGTGCTACATTTCTCTTTTATTGATTCGAGATTCTTCAAATATCTCTCAACGACTACGAAAAACATAATTTGGAAGTTCAGCTTCGATTTATAAAACTCCTAATTAAACTTTTAATCTTCTCACCTTGTCCATTTTGTTTGTTAAATTGCTTTATAAGTTTTTTCTTCTTGGAAGACTCGGGAAGTGATTGAATGTGAGCATAAAGTTGTGCAAGTGCAGTATCGGTAGGATTTGAAATGTGAGCTTCGGCAGTCTTTTCACGATCAACAAATGTGTAAACAGTGTTGGCGACAGAATCTGAGATTGATTCATCGAGAACTTTTTCCGGTGTTTCACGTCTTCGTTTTTGTTCAACAAAGTATGCTCTAATGTCAGTTGAGAGCTTTTCTGGTACGAGGAAAATTGATGAGCCACTGCTTATAATGAAGCTGATCATTCTTGTCATTGCTGCTGCTGTTTGATGAAGAACTTCTGGAGGAAGTTTTCTCGGACAAATCAAATGAGGAGTGAAAAGTGTTGCTAAAGTGTCGGCTGTCATTTTATTGTGACTTTCCATTTTAGATGCCTTGTGAAGCAACATTATGAGAGATTCGAGAACAGTTCGATTCTCATACGGTAATAACAAGCACAAAAGTTGCAACGAATTCATAATTCTATTCTGTTCATCATTTTCTTTTAAATTACATATTTCAGCAACTTGTGAATAGGCTGGAAAATATGTCTGAAAAGAGAAAGCACACTTGTTAGTTATAATTGGTTTGCCTTTGTTAAGCAATGTTTTGTCAACGCCCGAAAAAAACTGAAATTGTTTCATACTTCAGTGAGCAGTGGTTGAGGCAAATCTGCTAAAATGGATTTCATCACAGATGCTACGTCGTGACAAGTAAATTCATCAAGATTAAGAGGCTTCAACTGGTTGACGAGATATTTTAATTCTTGTTGTCTTGACACAGATCCTGTTTTACGAAAAATTCCTTCCTGGCAAAGATCTTTAATAAAAAAAACATTTATGAATGAATGAATCTTTTTATAATAAATTTACTTACTCTCATCTTTCTGAAGAAATTGCATCAAGACTTTTAACTGTTTAATGAGATCTTGTGTAAGGAGTGGAGGATCAGGACTCAGAACTCCGCATTTTGATGTACAGATTGAAGGATGCTTTTTCTTCGGAAATAACCAAATTTTCTTGTGCTTTGTCTTATCAGTAATCTCCGATTCATTTCTATAAAATTATGTTTGCGTAAATTATTAATTAAAGGCGTTGCACATCTTTAAAAATCTAACTCACTCGTTCATATCCAATAAAAACGATAAATGCATCTTTATAAGTGTGTTAAATTGTGTTGGACTTTCTTTTCTCAGCTTTTCCGCAAACTCAACATCCAATTTTGCCTTATTAAACACATTATTTGCCTCTAACATCGTGGATTAACAAAATACGAGACAAAATATTAATTTAACTTTTATTTGAATTTTTCTGGCCGTTGAAATCCATCTACAAGTTTTGTCACCTTTTTAAAATCTTGTTATAGATGGCGGTACGATCGTTTTGAGGGGGAAAATAAAAGCGAAAAGTTTTGTTTCTTGAGCTGACGAAAACAAACAAATATTTTATTAATTTCCGAGTTCTCATTATTACTTTGTGATCATTAACTTATAGAATAGGTTCTTGCTTTTGGCGAAACCTTTTGCTTGTTAAAACTTCGTTCAAAAAAGAAATTAAACTGACCAAAACTTGAGCAAGAAGAAAAATGGTTTTCGATACGAAATATTTTATACAAAAAATTCTACAATATCCAGAGATTGTGAGTATTATAACAAACCTAGGTATATAATCAGAAAAGTTTAAAACGTATCATTTTTCAACAGTATGATCCAAACAATGCTGGTTTTAAACATGTTGATGATAAAAATGGAGCTTGGGAGAAGATCGCAAAAGAATTAAATGTCGATTGTAAGTGATGAAATTTCAAAAGAACACTCAGAAGTTTGACTGTTTTGTTTTAGCTACTTTTTGCAGAAAGAAATTTAGAACGCTCAGAGAAAGGTACACAAGAGAACTTCGAAAGAGTTACCTGGAGCCAAGTACACCAATTAAATATGAATATTTCAAAGAGTTGTCTTTTCTTTCGCCTCATATTAAGTTCCGATCAATAAAATTCGAGAATACTGAAGGAAAAACAATTGTCGTTACAAAAAGAGAGGAAGTTGATAAGGAAACGACTGATGAAGATATGAAATTGATAGATCAAGAAGAATATTTCACGGAAGATCAAGAACCAGTGTATCAAGAAGGTGGAAATGGACAAAATATTATTTATGAAACAACAACTGTACAACACGTCCCAGAATTTTCCGGAAACGCTCATCAGATACATGAAGTTGTTCATCAATCTGATGAGGAACAACACCTCAGTCCTTCAAAGAATAAAGATCGCAAAAGAAAACTCAGTTGGGATGAAGTTGACCAAAATGATGATAACAAATACTTCGCAATGAGTGTAGCCTGTTCGCTGAAACGTCTCTCAACATTAAACAACTTAAAAGCTAAAGTTGAGATTTATCAAGTGCTTGAAAAGTTTGCAACGAAAGAGCAATGCGTGAAATAAACTTTAACGACATTTTTAAAATATTCATCCTCAGTTCGGATCAAGTTTTGATCTGATTTTAAGTTTTCGAGTTAATGACCAAGAATTTTTCCATTTTATTTTAATAAAGTAAAATCAAAACCCTGAATATAAATATGTGTTTAATTCTTTATTGGCGTTTAAAGTGTATTTCTTAATAAGCGATTGAATTCAATTATAAACAAATATTTACAACTGACAAACATCGAGTATCGACTTGTAAAAGCGCTTTCTGTGTAAACAAGCTTTAGGTTGAACTCAACTTGTTTTGATGAAAGCCATTTTCATAAAATTTTGTGGAAATTCTTTAAAATGCTAAATCGGTTTATTTAGTGCTCTAAATATTAAACAAAGTGCAAGAAATTATTGATGAAAATGGATCCAAAAATGGAACCTGTTCATAATTTTACCGCCGAGGTGAATTGTGCTTAAAATTAAAAATTATTGCTTCCATAATTAAAATATTTAATGTGTTGAGATGAAAATGTGTCACTATAGATTATGATAATTGCAATAGAATGACAGTATCTTATTTGTCACATTCTAAATAATTTAAAATTGTTCATTCAAGAATTGATTTATTTAAACTTTAACAATCTTTCAGCTATTTTCGCTTTATGACTACAAGATTCCAATTTCTAAGGCTAAGATGGGATCAATAACAAAAACGGCAATGAAAGCGATCAAATTCTATAAGCATGTTGTGCAGAATGTAGAAAAATTCATTCTCAAATGCAAACCGGAATATAAAATTCCAGGACTTTATGTTATCGATTCAATTGTTCGTCAGTCTCGTCATCAGTTTGGTCCTGAAAAAGATGTTTTTGCACCTCGTTTTGCTCGTAATATGGAAGAAACATTTGCTCATCTATTTCGGTGCTCGCAAGAAGATAAGGTAAAGAAAGTTTTTATTTAACTAAATGCTCATTTTAATACCTTTTTTTCTTTCGTTTTAGAGCAAAATTATTCGTGTGCTAAATTTATGGCAGAAGAACAACGTCTTTGCTCCCGAAGTTATTCAACCTCTTTTCGATTTAGCTAATCCTGATCATCCTGTTCATCAAGCTTATATCCAACAGCAGCAACAAAATCAATCAGGAGACGTTTCCAATGGAATGAATATACAAAGAGAATCTCCTCATCAAAGTCAGAAAGAAGAGCAAAGTGGAAGTGAAACGGTAATGAGCTTAATGTTGTTTTAAGTTTATTCAACTAAATTCTTTATCTTAAATTTCAGCTCAATGCATTAAATATTCAAAAGTTTCAATATCAACAAATGATGATGCAACAACAGCAGCAATCAACAATGGATCAAATTGCAGGGATCGATTCAATAAAATTTAACAATCAATTGTTAGAATATGATTATGGCTCAGAAGGTGATGATGATAAAGGCGATGCTGGACAAACAGTTACACATCAGCATCAAATGCAGATGCCGGTTTTACCATATCCTTTCAATAGCTTCTCAAAATGCCTCGAAGATCCAAACATTTTGAAACAATTGCAAAACATTAAACAAATTGATATGCAACGATACTTGAATGATATTCCTGGTGCCAGTAATTCGATGATGGATCAACAACAATCACAAAACAGTGGACTAACATTGGCCAATATCAATAATTTACGTGGCCCGCCACCAATAAACGACTCAAAGGATCAAGACGTAGAATTAGTTGGAGAATTATTGCCAGCTGAAATTATTATCCCTGTAAGCTCACGATCACCAACACCAAATCGTCATAAAAGACGCAAAACTCGGTCACGTTCACGTGATAAAAATCGTTATGGAAGACGAAGAAGATCTCGCTCAAAATCAAGAAGTTACTCAAGATCACCTCGCAACAAACGTCGATCATCACGAGATCGAGTGAAAGATAAAGAACGTGAAATTGAAAAGGAACGAAGACGCAAAGGCTTACCAGACATTAAGAAGGAACATTTATCAGTTTGTAGTACGACACTTTGGGTTGGACATTTATCAAAGCTTGTTCAACAAGAAGAACTTTCCGATACTTTCGGTAAATATGGCGACATTGTAAGCATCGACATGATACCACCACGTGGCTGCGCTTATATTGTGATGAATCGACGTCAAGACGCATACAAAGCGATGCAAGCATTGAAAAACCACAAAATGCAAAATCGTGCGATAACGATTTCATGGGCGGCTGGTAAAGGCGTGAAAAGTAAAGAATGGAAAGATTATTTCGATCAAACACTTGGAGTCACTTACATACCTAACAATAAGTTGACTCATTCCACTGATTTTGAATCGATTGAGGAAGGTGGAATGTATGATGAAGATACGATGCCTGCGTGGGTGAAGGAGAAGCTTAAGCAGCCTCAAATTCAACCGACTGTTAATAAAGATGGAATGATGATCCCGCAATTCTTTGCACAGTCCATTGATACGAGTCAACCGCCACCAAATTCATCACTCTTACCAACAATGCCTCCGTTTCCATTAGGTGCCCGTCCTCTTCTTATTCCCGGTTCTGGTCTGATGCCTTTAGGAGTCCCTCCGCCAAATATGCTCGTGCCTGGAATGGTTTTTCCAACAGGTCAGCCACCTGGCATTTTAGGCTTTCCATTAGCTGCTGGAGCTCCTTCGGGAAATTCAAGCGCTCAACAAATAATTGCACCACCAACAGGTCATGAACAGCCAAGTGGAGATGATCACATGGACATTGAGATGGAAGATGAAAATCATTCTGTGACTAAGAATGATGGAAGTCAAATGAGCATTCAACAAGCGTTTTTCAATCAACCACCTCCAATGAACTTAGCGGCATTGATGATGGGCGTCAATCAATCTGCAGCACTTCAAAATGCTCAACCAACAACAAATGATCAACAGAATGATGGACAAGAGTACAATATGATGGGGAATAGAAATAATCGAAGTCTTAGTCGTGAAAGAGATCGACAAGATTTTCGATCACGAGGACATCGTGACAGAAGTGACAGAAGATCGGGTCCAGGAGGTGACTTTAATAACAGAAATTCTCGTTGGCCAAATGATTCAAATGGCAGAGATAGAAGTCGACCAAGAGATGGTGAGTTTGACATTAATTACAAATTCAATTTAATTAACTTTTAATTGCTTTAGGTTTATCACAAAATAATTACAATCGAAGATTAGGAAATCAACAAGAAATTCCAAGTCTTTTATCACAACCAATGCCCTTACTAGATGAAGGAATAAATCCCAGACAACGAAACAATGGTAAGATTAATTAGTTAACTAAATTAAATGTCTTTTTAATTGATTTCTTTTTAAAAACAGATTTTGGACGAGATGATTTTGATCGACGAGGAGGATTCAACAGAGGAGGTTTTCAGTCAATGAGAGGAAGAGCAAGAGGACAATTTAATCGAGGAGCTGGTGGTAGAGGTGAGAAGATTTCAATTATGATTGAATTTGTTGTTAATTCTGTTGGAAGTTTAGCGACCTTCTGGGAGTAAATCTTTCAGGGTTTGGTAGTATGTTTGACATCGACTACCTACCTCTGATTTTTACTGGGAATTTGCTGTTGAAGTGTTTCAAAGCAAATTATATGCTTCGCTAAGCGATTACTTAGTAAAAGAAACCCAACAAATTCTAATAAAAATTTCAATTCTCTTCACAGGTTTCAACAATAACAATTTTAACGACCGACAAGGTGGCTTTCATGACAGAGACATGAATCAAAATCAAAGAGGTCGAGGTGGTAACAGAAATTGGCGTGATGATGACATGGATAATCGAAGAAACTTCTCACAGAGAGGAAGTTTCGATCGTAAAGGTTCACGATGGGTTGGCAATCAACGAAATGATGAATGGGATCAAAGAGACGATCGAGAATGGGATGATGGCGATGATGATGAAGATCAAAATAATCAACAGAAGCAAGAATCGATTGAGAACCAAGAAGAAACAGAAGCAAGAAACGACGATAATGTAGAAAATAATTACCAACAATTAAATGAAAACAATGAAGAAATGCCACCTGGCACCGAAGCTCATGAGAATGAATTTGTGTCAGAGAATACTCGACAATTAGACAACTTCCAGCAAGAAGATAATGAAGAATCATTCAATAATCCCGTTCATAGTGAAACAAAAAATGTTGATGATGATGGTGATGATGAAAATCCTGGAAACACAACACCACTGTGTGATGAAACAGAAGCAAAAGATAACGCGTGAATGATCGTGTTTTGTGCAGAGTTAAAATAGTTGAAAGTTTTCGTCAAATCTTTAACTTTATTTTCATTTTTCTTATTTCTTTTGCTGTAATTATAAATCTTATTTAATTGTGTGTCTCATATCATGATTCATCAAAACAAAAACAAGAGACAAGACTCAAAGTTTTGTTCAAAAGAAAAGAAAGATTAAGTGCAGGAATTTTCTTCTAACTTTCGACATAATTGCGAATTGCGATGGCTGTGATATAACAAGTTAAATAGATAGACAAACAAACTCAAATCTCATTGGTGAGCTTTAAATTATCTAACAAAGTTTCACTTTGAAACAATTGTTTCCTAAATATGAGAAGATGAGAAAGCGACAAACTAAGAAACATTAAAAAAAAGATTTTTTTGTAAAAAGTGAAATAAATTTTCAATTAAGATGAAAAATTATCTTTTGATAAGCGACGGAACCATGAAAAATTAATTAATGAATTTCTCTTACACTTATTCAATACTTATCAATGGTTCTAGCTTTCAGCTTGAAGCTTTTCTTTAGAGAGATTAAATAAAAACCGATGAGAGTGATTTGCATAGGACGATTGAGTGTCACATTCTCGAATTGAGATGTGATGCAAGGTACAGTGAATCAAATATTATTATGAAATCATTTTATTTCTTGATTATTTTGATCACACCAAAACTTAAATTTATTTTTCTCTTTTTTTCTGTTTTGTTTCGAGTTCATTTCTGTGTCATTTGTTGAGAGTAAAAAGCCTCCAAGTAGCTTTTATAGTTGAAGTTAAAAGATAAAATTTCCTTTCTTTTTTATACATAACAACTTTGGGGAAAATTAATCAAAAAATATTTGAAATCTACGAGAAATTTTTCTATTTAAATTATCAATCAGGAGATCAGTTTACATTCTTAAAACTTAATCTAAAGATAACAAAGAGAAAACTTGTATAAAGCGAGAATATTTTTCCCTTCTTGTACAAAATGAAAGAAAGATTTAAACTAAATTAAACATTTAAATAAAGAATGTAATGATGATGATGATGATGATGATTATCTTAGCGACGAAGTCCTTCGATGTTATTAACTTTCTAACTTAACAATAAGATTTATTAAATTATCAATCTAACCCTTTTTGAACCTGTAAAGAATTGATTCCCATAAAGCCCAAAGTGACATCATTAGTTTTGATTTAAATATTAATGAGAATGAAATATCAATTCAATAAATTATAAAACTTACTATTTCAGGTCTTCTTCATCAATATTTCTATTTTTATACATTTCAGTTCGTAAACTTTATCAATTGATTAAATTAAATTAACAATATGCTAATAACTGAAATTAGTTGATTGTCAAGTGATAGTTTTTTATTGTTAAAGTGCACTTTAGATACTCACTTTGACCTTGTCTTTAATATTGAATGTTGTTACAAGTACACGTCAGTGGAGTTCATTTCAATTGTCTACTTTAATAACCAATTAAGGAATTGATGAACGATCTCTTTAAAAACCAATTAGCAAATTTTGTTAGCAAATTTCTAATCATAATCAGAAAAGATTTTTTTAATTCCTTCCTACAATAAATTCTGATAACGTTTTGAAGCTAAGCAGACCTCGAATCATGATGAATGAAAAGCTACTTGACCTCATAATAAATATCGAAAAATTAATCGAAATGTCCAAAGTTCGTCGACTTTATTCGCATTGAAAATACTTTTAAGAAGGAGAGATAAATAAATATGTAAGTTAAATGCCGTAAATTTATTATTCGAGCTTCGAAGTGATGAGACTCGTTATTCTCTTGTTTCGTCGTATGTCATTAGCTTCAGTTTTTTTTTTTCAAAAAAAGCCTACCTAAGCGATCATCACCTTTGCATTTCTCTTCTTCCTTATCTGTAATTTCATTGTTAAAAGTCCTTTACTCCGACTGTGTTTAACTTTACAGCATTGAACTGTTGCTGATAAATTTTCATAATTCTCTGTATTACGCATCAATTTGTAGGAAAACGATAAGCTCTTTACAGACTTTACTAACAGAATACTGAGTCAATCGTCTTATCTCCTTGAATGTGGGACTAATTACAAATGCTTTCCGACAATCATTTTCTCTTCGAACACTTCCCTATTCTATTCATTCGTTTTTTTTACGTTTTTCGTACTACATCAGACCTCATTTTGCATTCTTCACACACAGCGCACTTCTAGGCGTACTTACATTCAAACATATTAAAATAAAACAAAGTAGGAAATAATCAAAATCAAACTCAATCGTTGATTCAATTTTTTTTCTTTCTTTCTTACTTACGTTAACTTTTTAGGTCAACTTTAAGACCCTCAAAAGAAAAGGCTTCGAAATGTCATAAATGATTTAACGTTATTGAAGAAACAAGAACGATAAGCTCTCTTTGTTGTTTATTTATGTTCACTGATAAAACTTTATGTACGATATAAAAATGTCTGTAAATCTAGTTTGGAGGTCAAGATTCTCTTCAGTAAAAATAGAAATGTGACCTTTAAAAGTCATAAAAAGCTTCAAAAGAAGATATGGAAAGAAATTGTGGGCGGATCACAAAGATTTGTATTAAACTGTAATGTGCCTACTGCATATTCTACTTTGTATATATTTTTTTAATTTTTTGGAAGTGTGTGAGAAAATGTTGACAATCGGTTAATGATCCCAAGCAATTTACTGGTAAAAAAATATAAAAAGCTTTATTAGTGAGTCACTATGAGAATTTCTCTTGCTCATCCCTTCTTTTATGAATATTATGAGTGACACATAAAACTACCTAAAAACAATGATCATAAACAACAGTTTGTCTGCTAAAATCCATTAAATAATTTAAGACAAAACAGTCGAGTTTTGGAGTTGCAAGTGTAAAGACCGGCAAATTAAAGAAGAGAAAAAAAAATAAATAAATAAAAATTTATTAAAACGCAGTTTATCAGCAGACAGCCGCGTCAACGACCAAAGAAAAATAAACTCTTGAGAAGTTCAAGTTCGCATTTTCAAAAGAAAATTTTATTTCGACACATCAAGATCTGACTCGTGTTGTTAAAAAAAAGACGCTGTAATTCAATAACCTCCGAATATATGAAAGTATTGAAACGAAAACAAAAGACATTCGAAAAAAATAATCAAAACAGAAATCAACTGATTCGCGTTCGAGAATTTCTAACACAGATGATCTAAATTCATGTCATATGAACACAAATAACTAACGATGTTCGAATGTGTACTTCTGGTTTGTGCTATATCGTGAACTTTATGTAAAACTCTCTCTATTTTGTTAACAGTTCGTTTTCTTTTGCTTCATTCGCGCGCGTTCATCAATACAAGCAATACAAAAGAAATAAGTTGACCGAGCACAGGGAAAAATCGCTGCTTTAATGTCTCACCGTGTTTATACATACAAACACTAATGCTTTTAGACTCTTTACACTTAAATATTTGCGGGACGCTGCTGAGATATTTAACTCAGTCGCTCGTAATAAGCAAGCAGAAAAGATCGCATTTTCTTCTTTTGAATTTATTTATCATAAAGAAATTTTACAGACGCAATAATCTTACACTAAATTTCCAGGAAATAAATGTGAATCAGGAAACAGTGGAAAAGTGATAGAAAAGCGTAATATAAGAATTTCTAATCTATGAAATTAGAACAGGGAAGATCGCAAAAAATTAAAAAAGAGAGAATCAAAATAAAGAAGTGAAAAAACTTCATTGAAGGACAAACAGAAAGTGAGTGAAGACAATTCGGAGAGTGTGACAAATGATTTCATGTGAATCGTGCAGAATTGAGGAAATTTTCAACAAAGAACCGAAGTCAACTTGAGGAAGTTTTGAAAGTGCAATTTGGATTAATTAATTGGGGCCACTTCCTAAATATAGGTGAGCTGCATGTGAATAAATATTTATATCTGTAATTTGCTTCGTTAAGCTCTAAAGATATGTGATGATGCCAAACAAATTAGATACTTTGGCTTGTCATCAGTGTTTACATCAGCTTTATATATAAACAAATAAGAAATTTTTGCGCAGATAAAAAAACTTAACTGGTGGCATGTGCGATGTAAAATTTCGCGATTTTTTTTGAATTTCTGAAAACAAACGAAGATTTCTTGGAAATCCCAACTATGTTATTGAAATAATTAATAAACTGAACATATCAACAAAATGAGTGAAAATAAAACCCGAAAACGTCACAAAACGCTACGTCAGTGAACGCGAATCGTGATGACTATTTTTCTATGTGCGATTCAGTCGAAGCTGATTCATTTAAATTTCCCTTGTAGTTGCTCGTGTCTGCTACTTATCGAATTGAGTTTGTATTTTTTTTGTTTCACTAGAAAAGCGCGTTGCTATCAGTTGATGTCATATTCACTGTTTAGCTTAGAATTTATTTTGAAGTGTTTTGTTAAGTAAATTTATGAGGAATATTTTAAGTCAGATTTTAAGTGAAAAAAATAAAAACTTTGCGATTATGATGACATGAATGTGATATATGTCAGCAAAGCTCGTTATCAGATATTGATAATTCATACACAACCCTCCTAGTTGACCTCGAGTAAAAACTACTCAAAACTAATCACTTAACAATAAAGGTCTTTTCAGGTTTTCTTTTTTACATGTGCCCCCGCATTGCCACACATAATAATATTTACTCATGCCATCAAACGGCACTTAAAAACGATAATAATCGACAGTTTTTGCTTGTAAAAGAGAAACAAGGTCAGATTGACTATGAAAGAACGTCGTTGAATTTTTGCACATGATAATCACCTGATGTTGATTCTTGAGGCGATTTTCTCATCTTCTATTAAATGAATAAAAGTTCGTAAGAAGAAAAGAAAACTGTTTTAAGTTTATATGCCACATGTAGATACATTAAACTGCTTCCTTTTTATGCCAAACCATTATAAGGTTTGAATAAAATTTCCTGTATTTAAATTAATGAAGTAGCAACTTTCAAGTTTTGACTTCATTGATTTGCATTTCATTAGGAAAGTAAACATGTTTATAATTTTACTATAACTCTAAGTAATCAGTGTACTTGTATTTACCCTGCTCCGCATCTTCAAGCTAAGCTCATTCATTTAACTTTATTTATTCATGCTTACAATTACGTTGACAAAAACACGTTTGTAACAATAAAGACTCATTTTAGACGAACCTACGATAACATTTTGAAGAAAATAGCACGTATTGTTACTTAAGAAAGCTGAATCGTTTCGTGATTTACAAGTTTTTCGTACAACTTTACTTCCACTTGCAATACAAATGACTTCTCCATATTCTGTCCATTTAGTGGAGGTCATAAAACTCTTAACATAAAATAAGTTTAAATTAAAAGATAAAAACAAAACCGGAAAATAATTAATTTAGGAAGATTGTACGATCATAAACCATGTGCTTAAAAATCACTTAATTAATCATTAATTGTTTTTATTGACTTAATTTATAAATTAATTGTTTCAGCATGCTGGAAATTCAAGTTTCCACGTGTCTAAGAAATAAATTTAAGAATTGCTTTACAAAAATTGTAACGACTTTGAAAATTTTAAAGAAAACATTTCAACACAATTGATGAAAGACGTTTTGATTGAAAAAAATATTTCTCTCACGAGCGTATATCGGAAGTTAAAATAATATTTTCAATTGATTAATAAAATTGTCACGAAAAGACGTGCAACCTTGAACCAAGAATATCATGACAAGTTGTTCTAGTAAAATTTGAAATAGTAAGCAAAAAGAGAACAAGATGTTCAATATAAAAAAGTCATGAATAAGGAAAATAAAAATGGGAATGAATTAACAATGTACATTTTCTACCTGAATTTCCCCTCTCGATGTATTCAGTGATGGGCGAAATCTGCTTAAAAGGACTGCGAGTGTTAAAAATTTTTATTCTGCATACAATGTTACTGATAAACACATTCCATTCGCCTACGTAGATTTTTAAATGTTGAAGACGAAGAGAATTAAAAACAGTTTAATGTTTTTATTTCTTAATTAACTCTTACAATTTAATAACAATATTTTTGACAGTCTGTCAGTTCGGACTATAAAATCGCCCACCACTGAATCCACTCACACTAATGTACGGTTTCAAACTGTTGTACTGTTTTCACTAAGTAGTATGCGAGTGAGAAAATTTTAAAACGCGAGATCAAAAGTAATTTTCTTGTTACTCGCGGATTATTCTTCAAGCAAACAAGACGTTTTTATGTGTTTAATTTAATGATAAAAAAGAAGTGAAAGAAATCATATAAACCGATATAGAAAGAAAAGTATAAAAAGAGAAATGAATGATCAGGAAGTTAAAACAAGTGAAACAAATTGAAGTCAATAATAAAAATCAATATCATTTAAATAAAGGCCAATATATAAAAACCAAGTTGCCAATTGCATGTCGAAAACAATTGAATGGCAAGAAACCGGTGCTCGAAAAAATAATTGGAAAATTTAAGCATCAAATAATCCGACCTTGGAATGAAAACAGTGAAATAAATATTCAAGAAACATAAAACAAATTCATCATCAACCATGCTGGATATAATATTTGTCGGAATATTGATTTTATCAGCACTTGCCTACGGATTTTGGCAATACTTTGCCCGACCCAAAAACGCCCGTGAAAAACGTAAAAGTAAGATAATTCCAGACTTCTTTTATACATCTATATAAAGTAACACGTGGTTAATAATATTCTAAGTCGGAACCTCTTTTGACTGACGCAATCTGTGTGATTCATAATTCTTACTTACTCCTCTCGTTGGTTCTCTCTCTGAAGTCTTTCAGATATTTATTTATTTGTGAGAGAAATTAATTTCATATGAGGACAACTAAATTAGTCACAAAAGCATTCCATTTGTTGATCACAAAAAATTCGTGACTCATTTTCATTTTAATAGAAAATAAAACCAGTCGATGTTCGTGGAAAATGATGCAATTTTAGCGCTAAATTTTTATACCGAAGCCTTAAGCTTCCTAATAACGAACTAGGCTGATGTCAATGAAAAGAAAAAAAAGAAATAATGCTACGACGTTTCTGAACTTCAAATATTTAAAAAGAAGTCGAATTAAAAAAAAAGTTGATGGAACTTCGCAATAATCCAAATGATATTGTGAAACCGGTGAAGATGCGCGTAATGCGTGTGTAAACGGTAAACTCGTCATTGATTGTTGTTTGATTTGAGAATGTAAGACAAAGTTCTGTTATTTCATCTGACGGGTCCGTTTTTTCATTCCATTTGCTTTCATTTTATATTCGCTTTTCTGTGCAATGCATTTTATAAAGAAAACGAATATTTTATCGCATCATCCATAAAGAATGCGAAAAATCTCACCGTTTATTGGCAAATCGGTATAAAAAGAGAAGAAAGAAAGGGAGTTGAACTGGTTTCGTTTCACAACAAGCATGGACGATTGATGAGAGACTTAAAATGCAGTTTACACAGTTGCTTATTGGAATTTTCATTCTTCTATTTTTGTGAGAATGAGAACACTAAACAGACGAAATTTATGCGACTGTCAGAAGAATTAGTTTAGCTTTTTTATTTGTTATTTACCATCTAGGTTGTGTTAGCATTAGGAAGTTATTGCGGTCCAATTATTTTATTACCGGATAGATAAAACATTTTTTTCTTTTGTCAATATCAACATTTTTACTCTAAATATAACGAAGATTACGCAATGATTGTTATTCTGCTATCAGTTTCACTACTTATTTGCCATTTGTTAGTTGACATCGTAGAAACAGAAAAAAATGAAGAGAAGCACGTAAAATTTGTAAAAATGAAGCGTAAAATTGACAACAATGCTTCTTTGTATATTTTTAAATTGTTTTCATGTTATGCAATTAATCTGACACCATGTGATTCGATAACAACAAAACAAAAAGCAAAGAAAAACTGATACGAAAATGGTGACGAGAGCATTCATTGTCATATGTGTTTGACGACGATGATGATGATGATGAACATCGAATGCTATCGAATACAAAAAAAAGAGTAAAAATTGTAAAATCAACACAGAAAATGTGTATAGAATTCACCTTGAACAGCATTTTAGAGAACTTTGAAGTAGTTGTACAGGCGGATTGATGTGAAATCTGACAACGTTCTGTGACACGATCGCACAGTGAATTGTTTCGAGCGATATCTTCTCGCGCTCTGAATCGCATTGAAATGATTTATGTAAAGAAAAATAAATCTTCCCTAATGATGACTTTCACTGTTGTATAAACTGTCCCCAATTCATCTTTCGACTTCTGCTCTCAATCACGATTGTCTAACATAAATAAACTTTACAATGTTAATTTATTCATGATAATGTCAAAAACGAGAAAATCATCTCAAAAGCATTTAACAGCCAAAATTAAAAACGATTTTCATTCATGAAAAATATTTCACCTCATTTACGGAAATTAAAAATAAAATAAAACGCAAAACACTCAAATGATATCTGTAAATGTATTTTTATGATTATAATGATCATCATCATCATCATTGTAATCATTGTGAGAAAATCAAAATGATTTAAATAAAATTTCTTTCTTGCTAATAAACAATTGTGATCTGGATTGTGCAACTTGTGAGAATCTTAAAAAACTTTCACAAACGATTTCTCACTCTGCCGTCAATTTGACACCCACAAGTTAACTGTAACAATTTATTATTGTAATTCAATGCCTTGGTAGTATTATTTTCCTGACACATTGCATCATTCTCTATCATGTTTTCAAACTTCAATAACCATAAATTGATATCTTTTAAATAAGTACAAAACTGTTGAAAACAATCGTCCATTACTGCATTCATTGCAGAGTTTCAATCCACCATTCAACTATTTATGAGACAGGAGTCGACTTGTTAAATATATTTAGACCAACAACAAAGTTTGTATAATTTTCAAATTGAGAGACAACTAAATAAACATTAGAAACGAGAAGTTACTTACTCGATTGATGAGAATAAATAACCGAAACCATGGACAAAAACCGTTCATTGTCCTCGTTAAATTACATTAGAAGAAAAAAAACTGTTTAATAGTAGTACCTACAAAAAGCTGTGTGGAAAAATGCTTGGTTGGCTTTTAAGTTTGGAGGATGATAATTTCTGATGTAAATATTTACGTTCGTCTCAATGTGCGCATTTGCTTTTCTTCGTCGTTGTCGTTCTTCTCTTTAAAAAAAGTTATTTTTATTTCATTTTGAGAGAAAATATCTCAAATACTCAAATGACATCACCATGCTGGGGGCATATATTTAATAAACAAATAATAACGTAATGTTGATAATGCTATTAAGTAGCATTTACTTTGATGAACAGATAATTAAATTGTAATTTAATACGACTCAGATCTACTTTGAAAATAAAATTATTTTTGGCTTTTGCGCGATTGCAATGACTTTAAAATTTAACAAAGAATCTTCTTTTTGTTTTTGATCATTTCTTTTATTAATAATTTTCTTATCGTCTTGTTTGTTTTGTTATAGATGAGGCACAATATAAGAAATTTGACGAATATGCACCAAAAGATTCAAAGTCAAATCTCAGTAAGAAGTCAGACAAAAATCAGTCTTGTAAGACAAACATCGTTAAAAATCCAAAGCGATCAAATTTAAAGAAGCGATCAGATAAAACCAACTATTCCCACGATTGGCTTTTGACCACATTGAAGGGACATACTGGATCAGTGTTGGATATGAGCTTTTCATCCAACGGAAAATATCTCGCAACTTGTGCTGACGGTGAGTTTGAACTTTCTTTTATTTTTTGCGATATTCATTTCGCATACTAACTCTAGATTAAAAAATAAACAAAAAAATCATCCCACGATCCTCAAACTTCACAAAACTTACATTTTCGGTTTTCTTTTTCACTCATTTTGAATTTTGCATAAGGTAGATATTGAAATAAGTTAAGTACCTATATCGATGAACTTATCTACCATATGTTCACAGTTAAATAAATTTTGACTCTTCGTGAGTTCATTGAAATGTTTTTTTGACTTCAATGCATTTGCTGCTGTTTTTTTCCACAATGTGAAGATCATCCAGCGTATAAAAATATTTCCTACATGTTATTTCTTACATACGTTTATCATTATCATAATTTGTGGTGTTAGTTCATTTACTATGGTTAATGAATGTTACGAAATTGGTTGGTAAAAGTTGCACTTGACTGCTTTAAAGATTCTCTCTTCTTATTTCTATTATCTCATCACTTTGGGTCTGAACCAACAAAAGATTTCGACGCTTGTTGTTATGTACTCATCACTTTTCCTTTCTTTAAGCTTTTAAGTATTTATTAAAATAAATATCAGGAAATATAAATATGAACTTTGTTTACAAGTCAAATATCCACAATCAGAACATTTACTCTAATCAGCTGATAATAAAGTTTTTATCTTTTTAAAACAGAAACAGAAAAAAATGAGACCATGTTGGTTTTGAGATTAATTTTTATTAGGAACTTGAAACGAGGGTGAACACATAACAAAAAAAAATTGTAATAAAATAATCTGTTTTGGTGGAAGGACAATCCACTATTGTCAAATTAACAATTTTTCTCACACAATGTTTTAACATACACTCAAAAGCATGAAAAAGAGTTAAATGATTGCCTTTGCTATGAACGAAAAGACTGAAAGACATAAATTTTCATTGCGAAAAATAAAGAAAAAGAAAAGGGTTAAGGTGACGTGACAGCATTTATAAATAACTTATGATAGGCATAGAAACATTAAAATTGAGGTGAATTGATTTAACGCTCGGTCTTTAACTTTATTCAATTAAAATCTTGTAATTATTTTTGCAATGTTAAATCATTTTTATGTTTCTATCATCGACACTTATGACATTAATTAAAATTAAGTTAACATCAAAATTAGCGTAATTAATCTCAATTTCCGATCTTGTTTTTCTTTCTTTCTCTCTTAAAGATTCCAAATCAATGTTACAAACTATTGATGTTGAATCGGATGTCACAAATGAAACATCGACAAGTAGTGAAGATTCACCTAAACAAAAGCGAACACAACGTAATCGTAAAACAACTCATCAGCATTTCGTAAAACAGCGTACAACGCGTTCAAACAATCAGGGCGGCAAAATCATGAGTCATCATTCGGTTCAGGTCCAGACGATCCGTTCACCACATAAGAATGAGAATCAAGGTTATCGTGCACTTGAGCCACCATTACGACAACACATTAAATTAAACTTGAATGATGCACAGCTTGTGCAATATTTAAAAAATTATCTTTTGGATGAGACATTGATGCGTTTGTTGGGCTTTCCAATTGAATATGATGTCGCACCAAATCTTGCCATCATTTATAAATATCCGCCATATGAGTTTATATCACAACGGAAGCAATCGTTGGCATCAAGTACGACGACATATTATAATAATGATCCGATAATTGTCAACGATAATGATGGATTGACACCAGAAAAAGAGAATTTCGGTTCTGAAATCAACGACAGTGACAGTGGACAAGGATCTGGTTCGTCATCACCTTCAGAAGACTTCGAAATTAATCAGACACGTCCGGCTGCTGCGTCCGGATCATTGCCACCACATTACATGTCGATGATTGGATCACAAAAAGAATGTACACGATGTGGCAAAGGCTTCTACGTCACCAATGGAGGTGATTATGTAACACAGGAGCCATGTTTATATCATTGGGGAAAAGTTAATCGATTTTACGATGGACCTATGATGCGACATATTTATTCATGTTGTAATCGTGATTACGATGCTAATCTTATGAATGGATGCACAGCAAATCGTGTTCATGTTTGGACCGGTGTATCGCCTGGTTTAAATGGACCCTACGAAGGTTTCATTCGAACAAAACGGAGACCAGGTTCGCCTCCAGAAGACGGTAACACTGGAATCTACGCACTTGACTGTGAAATGTGCTTTACAGGATGTGGCCTTGAACTGACGAAAGTGTCGATTATAAGATCTGATGGAAATCTTTTCTATGAGAGTTTTGTTCGTCCAGACCGTGATATTGTTGACTACAATACCAGATATTCAGGAATAACTGAGAAAGATCTTAACACAACAACATCAAGTTGGAATCATAGCAACAACATGCGTCGGGCATCAACAGCTTCTAATTCAAGTTCAAGTTCCACCGGATCAAACAACGGTCATACAAAAACAGTTAAAACACTCAAAGAAGTACAAAAAGATCTTCTCAAATTCATCTTTGATGACACAATTCTTATCGGTCATTCGATCGAAAATGATCTCAAAGCTTTGAAGCTAATCCATAAAACAATCATCGATACATCAATTACTTTTCCCCATTTTTATGGTCTTCCGTATCGACGTTCACTTAAAACACTTACAAAGAGTATACTCAAACGTGATATTCAACAGAACAGCACAGGTCATTGTAGTTTCGAAGATTCACGTGCTTGTCTTGAACTTTTATTGTGGAAAGTGCGAAAAGATTTCCGAGCTGTGCTCGAGCAAAATTAAAAAGAAAAAAGCCGACGAGTAGTGAAAATAATATTTAGATAATCAATTGATAACAAATCTACAACAAATATATATTTTTTTAATGAAATCAGTAACAAAATCAACAAACAACGTGATGTTAACTATTTTTGTTTCTAAAACGAAAAGAAGAAAGAAAAAAAACTTTAAAGAGAAACTAAATTATTTCGACTTAATTCCCACTGAAAATTTAAAGAAAAAAAATGTTTTTAATGAAAGGAAAAGAGAAGTGAAAAATATGTCACTTTAAACACCAATCAGAGTCAAGGAAAGAGAAGAAAAAAGTGAAAATGTAGCAAACATGAAACACTCATTTGAGATCGTTAACACTAACTTCGTTGTTACGTCACAAGTTTGACTATGGAGAATTGTAATCGATGTAAATAGAAGTGGAAAGTTTATAATTAACATATCTGAATGAAAAGGAAGATTTAAAGATTACATACTTAAAGATGCTACACAGAAATCAATTCAATTCAATCCTTCAAAGTTACATTTAGATAGAAAAATATTTTTAAGATCTAAGATAGAACAAATGTGATTTTGTGACATGCGAATCAGTCAACTTCTTCTCATTTTAAAGCAAGAATTTTCTCGTTGACGTTGACAAATTAAAACAAAACAAAAGCGCATCTCGTGCTTATCTGAATGTAAATTATACAATCAAGACGACCTTTAAGAAGGAATTAGGTAAATAAATGATGAAAATAGATAATTGAGTTCTGATTTTTTTTAATCATTAAACACACAAGATAAATATGAAGACGTTGAAATTACTTAAATTGCCTGATGAATTGTGTTGTGAATTGAAACATTTTTACAATGAGAAATAATTTACGTTTTTCATTGTTTTCCCTTCAAATTTAATTACCAACAAGTTTTTAATCAATGATCAGCTTCATTTGCTTAATTTTATGAAGCTAAAGTTTAAAGTCATTTGCAATTAAACACCAAACAAAAAAGAAAGAAAAAAATTGTGATAGGATTTTAAAAAGTAATCTTGAAAGTTGAATTCCGGATAAAAGTTGAAGTCATTTCTTGTTTTCTTTTTCTTTTGATCGGTTGAAAAAGACTGTAAATAAAATAAACAATTTTAACAAAGAAATCAAGTTAAAATTAAAGCTTGAATGACAGCCAAGAGAGATCGCTAAGTTCTAAAGTAAATAAGAAAACTTGAACGTCAAAAACGTTTCTAAATTCGCGGCTGCGGTCAAGGACAATGAATGCGATTTGCAAATTATTTTTTTTCTGTTGTAAATGATCGTTGATGATGTTTGCTTAGGAAAACTGTGAGCTCACAAGTATAGGTAGGCAGATTCTTTAACATATTTTATATACAACTTGAAACGAAACAACAACAAACTGTGACAAGTTTATTAGTTTGTCGCTTAGGAAATTTCTTTTAACATTTAAGTCGTCGTCAGTCATCAAGCTTCTGCTACTCGTTTTGTCGTCGTCACAAATTCACGATGTTTCTCATTGTAAAACGTATGCAAAACAGAAATGAAATAAAAAATATGAGAAAACTTGGTTGGCAAATGAGCTGTCGATTGTAAAAGAAATGAAGTTCGCGATTTGAATCTTAAATTTTGTTTCGTTTCATTTTTGGAAAGAAAGAAATCACAAAATTAAGATTCACGATAGTTAAATGACTTAAATATTGTTGACAATCGACATGAATTGACCTTAAATTTACTGTTAACATGAAGGAGAGGATAAATAAGACTCAGAATGAGGTGAATCTTTGCCTCCATGTTTTTCTCAACCAAATTTTGCATACGAATTGAATTAACAAAACATAAAAATTGCTTTCTGTAATTGAGAAAGAAAAATCGAATAAATTTCTTTTGTTTTTGTTATTGTTCAATAATTTAGAAGAATTAACATTAGATTGATTATAAGTTTACTAGATAATTAAGTTTTTTTGAACGAAATGAGACGAACGTCTTAAAACTAGTTAAGCACCGAGAAAAAAAGATAAAAAATCAAAATAAAATTAAAGAAACTTTTTTTAAAGAAACAAAATGTCTTTTAAACTCATTTAAGGTTGTAAAATCTAAAACAAGGTTTTCCCAATGATAACTTTATGCTAGTTTCAGCGAAAACCTTTTATGTAGACGGAATGTTCACTTCCCCGGCACCAGCACTTAAATACTTGTCTCGTTTTATGTATTTCCTTGAGCCCATCAACAATTTTTTGTTTTCAGATTCAACTTACAACTTTCATCATTATCCGCTAATTTAGACTGTTCTCTATCTAATCATGTTAAGTCAAAACGAGTTTTGAAAGTTGAACGACACAATTCTTATCATTTAACTCTCAAATGCAATGCGCGTGTCGTAAGATCGACTTTAACTCAATTTTCAGTAACTAATTTTAAAAGTAAGATTTGAAATATTTCTTAAGAAGTTTTCTGCTTTAAAATGTTGCGAGAGTACGGGAAAGAAGAAGTTGTAAGTTAGCGGTTTAGCGGTGATCTCCTTCATGACTCTTCAGCTCATACTGTGTATGTATCACTTCCCTATGTCTAACATGAAATGAAATGGGGAAAGAGAGTCACCGAGTACGAACTTTAAACGCTGTTGAGTGGTTTGTTTTACGGTTTCCAACACGCCATCGCTTTAAACTAAAAGCAGCTTTCTACTTTCACTTCGATAAAGCAAATTTATTTTTCGCTGCTTTATAACACCGGCGAAAAAGCAACACATGAAAGAAAGGAATGAACTTCTGCCAAATGCTGAAATGTGCAATAATTTCTTGTTTTTCTTGCTCGACTTTCATGTCGCATAGTCAACAGCAAGTTTTTTTTTGAGGAAATTCAAAATGCAGCTGATGCCTTTCGCTTTTCTAAGTATCTAACAATATTTATTTATTCACGACTTCTTTGCATTGCTAATCGATGGTGCTTGTTACTATCATGCGACGTTAGAGGAAGAAATATATCGATTTGCTAAGTATTTAGGAGCGACGAGGGTACGAGGGGAAAAAGTGAAACACACAATCGATGACTTTGAGCATGCAAAAATTGAACAAACAACAGAAAAACTTGATAGAAAAGTCTCAGTTCGTGCTTAGATATGTTTAAACATTTTCTGACACAGATTTCCACAAACAATAATCCATTCCAATCAATTATCATTTCATGTTTCTTTTTCTAAAAACTTAAATCAATTGTTGTCCATAAATAGTCACGAACTTTTCGCTTCGTCGTTTGTAAGCTCGCAATAACGTTTGCTTTGATATTGAAGTCAAGAATTGTAAGCAACAAGCAAAGCTACGATAAAGACAAAAAAAAGAGTCTTCGCTTACATAACATGATGGCAACACACAATTCATTTTCTGTTTTCGAATTATTATTTATCGTCATTAATAAGCATATAGCTATCCACGCATTGGCAATCACTCATCTGCTTCGGCATTCATGTCTATAGAAATTTGCATCTTAATTGCATTGCAAGCACAAGCACCACATGCTTTGTTGATTTGCTGATGATTTTGTCACACTCAATATCTATAAAATATCTACTTGGCATTTATATAGTAAGCTTCTTAAACTGAACGACTCGTCTCTTCACGTTTCATCTCACACATTCGTTTTGAAACATCGCAGCGTATCGATGCAATTAATTGCGTAATAAAATCATCTTCTGTATGGTCGGTCGTATGTATAGAGAGTCAGTAACAAAGCTGTTGCAATTTGTAGGGCATTGAAGCTTACGATTGTAAATGGTCAGTTGATTTCCATTTTATCATCAATAAATTGTTTAAAGCTCTTTTTTTCCCTTCCACCATCTGCAAATTGTGTATTACCTGAGGGAGCATGAACGAAGTTTTTTTTATCTCTTTCCCTCTCATCTCATGTCAATATTCAAAGTATGTTGACAGATTTATTTGCGTCAAAATATATTTAAAAATATGCTGTTCTAACCAAGTCTGTTAATTTAAACAAAACTAGGTACCTACTTAGATATTTATTCGCCTGATCGGTTATTCGCTTTGAGCTTTGAAAATTCACATCACGAACTTGATTTTCAACATCAATAGGGTGATTTGCAGCAATCACCAATCGCCATGTTAATGACAAGAGAGATGGTTTAAATGGTGGATTTCAAAGATAAATTAGTAAACATTAACGACCATGAACGTTGTCTTTTATCAGATCAAGATGACGCGCAATAAATTAACACGAGCAACATCTGTTTCTTTCTTAGTCATTTAGCGTAATTTCCAAAATTGATTAAACATAAACTCAATGAAAATTTTTTGTTGATCTCATTTGGACGTTATCGATGATAATTCTCCAGTTTATTGTTTGTTGAATTTTTTTAAAAAGTATGGAAATGAGAAGCAGTTGAGCAAATAATCATTCTTGAAGTCTTTCAATTTAATTTTACTGCCAGTTTGAAAGAACTACTCATTAGATTACTGTCGTCCGATTACAATGCCGTTTGTTGTTTTATTCTTGTCGACTATCAGCAACCTCTCCAACACATGTCAACGCATTGTTGTGCAAACAAAAGACTCCACAAATGTGATCAATCAATTGACACATTTTTTTATTTTTTATTTTTTAAATTGCTTTGTTAGTTAACGAAACTTCCTTCATGTCAACTACACCTAAACCATTAAAATTTAATTCCGATTCGAAACTGAATGATTTTTATTTTATGTCTTTTTCTTTTCATTTTCATTCTCTTTACAGATCGTACAGTTTTGATTTGGTATTTGAAAGATTTGTCGAATGCGAAGGACAGAAAAACGTTTCGTGTAAATGTGGATTATGATCACTTTTACAAGTTGGTTTGGAGTCCCGATTCGAAGGCAATCCTTGGTATAAAATCAACTGGAAATGCTATTGAAGCTTATCGATTAGAAAAGAAGGATGGCGCATTTACAACTTTCGCAAAAGCATTGACATTTCCCCCATCAAATGAGAATGATGACATGATAAGTTTAGATATTGCTTGCAATGGAAAATTCATCATGACCGCAACAAACACAACCGATATTGTTTTATGGGATATTCGAGGCAACGTTTTGGATCACTTAGACACTTGTTTAATGACAAATTATTGTGCGAAAATTTCCCCATGTGGTCGATTCATTGCTGTGTCTGGTTTTACTCCTGACGTTCGATTGTGGGAAGTCAAATTTAACAAAACCGAGCTCCGTAGTTATGATAAAATTGTTAAAGCCTTCGATCTGACTGGTCACAAATCTGGAGTTTGGGATTTTGCTTTTGATCAAGATTCAACACATTTGGCTTCAGTTTGCAAAGATGGAACATTCAAATTGTTTCATATTGACAGTAAGTAGAATTTATGTTGATTATAAGAATCTCCAGGGCTTGCAGGAGTTGGTTTTTAATACAACACTAAAAAAAATTTTTCATTTACATTCTCAGTCGATTACTTACGAGGTGAATCTCCGAAATGTTTATTAAATGGCGCCTATGAGACTAAAGCTGTTCCACCATTGATTGCATTGTCGAACTCAGCTCACGTCATAGCAATTGCTGTTGGATGTGATGTTTATTTGTTTTCCGGAATAACGGGAGAGTTGGACTATAAAATTGAAGGAATTTTCAACAACAATATTGTGGCAATGAAATTTGAAGCTACTCAGTTATTCGTAGCTGGTGATCGTCAAATTCGTGCCTTTCACAACATCACCGGATACAAAGTTGCAATCTCAATCGCAAAGGAAAAAATCAAAGAAAGAAACATCACTACTGCTACTTATGAACGTTTAGAAAGGCAAATTGAAGACTTTAAAGCTATCTTGAAAGAGCACGAATATTCGTAAGACTTCAACAATATATTTCTATGCATTAATACATTTAAAAATACTTTTGTTTGAAAATAAAATGTACGAAATTTGATATCATGAATGAGATTTGAGTCTCGTTATATTTTGCATTTAATAAATAAATTTATCAAACATGAAGCCAATGATCGATTGTTATTTCCTAACATCCGCTATGAATCTGAAATTAATCTTTGATATCGTTGAATGAATGATTAATTTCTGATCAACTGACGTCAATTTATTTATCGGCAAATTCATATAAAGCTTACAATGTTGTATGTAAATTTTGTAATCTCGAAGCTTATTTAAAGTTTTTCTCTAAATTTTTATGCTTTCAAACATTTGTACAGATTTATGTAGGAAAATTCGACAATTGTAGAGTTTCATGTAATACAAAGCTTGATGCTTTGTCACACGTAAATAAGATTACATTGTGCAAGACAAAGTTTTATACATTATTCAAATAAATATTTCTAAACATATTTTTAAGATATATAAGTGTTTACCTCAAATAAAAAGAAATGGAGAACTTAGAGAAGTTTAAAGAATGGACAATCAAAACGAAAAAATTTCCCAGAGACATGAGTAATTCAAAACCTTTGATTTGTCAGACGATTTACTGAAGAATTAACTTTTTTGTTATCAGATGAGATATTACTTGAACGTTATCTAAAAACTTGTGAAGATGATCTTGTTAAAGCACAGAACTTGCTCGAACATAACTTAATGCTTAGAAAGGAAGGCCCGCAGTTATTTACAAATCGCGATATTATGTCGGAAGAAATTCAAACGGCAATGAGCGTAACGTGAGTGTTGTCAACATATTTATGTGTTATGATTTAATATTACTTATTTAATTTAGAAAATTGACGGCCTTTCCTAAGCTGACATCTGAAAATTACAGAATTTTTATGACTAGAATTGATCCCGACCCGACACATTTTGATTATCTTCAATCAATAAGATCAGCTCTTATGTTGTATGATGCTTGTGATGTGATGTACGATGATGAAGAGAATAAAACCATCGCTTCTGGATACATTTTCATTGTAGATGCCAAGGGAATGTCATTTCAACATTCCATGAAAGCGATGAAACATTTTTCAACTGCTCGACTGTACACTCGTTACGTTCAAGAAGCAGTTCCATTTGTGATTAAGAAAATGCATGTCTTCAACTCTTCATGGGTTCTTGATAGAATGTTTAAGCTTTTCCGTCCTTTTATAAAAAAGGAGATTTACGAGATGATAAATTTTCACACTGAAGGACCTCATCTAATGACAAACTACTTGCCGAAAGAATTTCTTCCTTCAGATTATGGCGGCGATCTTCAACCAATTGATGAAATTCATAAAGATTTTATTAAGAAAATTGAAGGAAAACGGTAAGAGTTTGGAGAGTTTATAAACAAATTGTGATTAATGATTTGTTTTTTTTTCTTTTTTAGGGAATATTTGATGAATGATGACAATTGGAAACTTTTGCAATGAAATTTAGCTAGAAAAGTTGATTGTTAAAGTTAAAAACCAAATGTTTTATTATGTTGTCATTCCAGTGGATTCATCGATTGATATCAAAGTCTTTTTATCTCATACGAGGTGATTGATTCTAAAAAGTATTAATAACAACAAATTTATTGTAAAAATGTCTTCCAAGTAATCATGAACAGATTTATTTTTTTATAAATATCTAAAATCTAAAATTTGATAACAAAATTAGAGAAAACTTTGAATGTGATTCGTTTCGCAGCCTTAATATCTTAGTGGCAATTGCAATAATCTTATTTAAATTAAATAAAAAGAAATGATTGTAATAATCGATTCTACGCACAAAAAACAAAGGTTTGAGGTGAAATGTTTTGTTCTTATTTATCACAACCGAGGCACAACTTTTAACATTGTTAAGTCACGGAACAACTGAATAAAGTATGAAAGTTTCAAGTGTCTTAATTATTTGAAATGTCTAAAGTTCTATTTGGAAGAATTACTAAATCATCTTCGTCACTAATGTCATCTTCTGAGAAATTGTCTTCATATCGCTCAAGTGGATCTAAAAAGTGAATGAATTAACACAAAAATATGTTCATAAATTAAATTAAACGTCTTACGTTTCAAAGAAGGAGGCGTAAAAAGCTCTTCTTCCTCGTCATCACCAAACTCGTCTTCAAAAAGCTTTGGTTGTCTCGTCTTTCTCGTGAGTAATGAAAATTTGTAATTCTCACCCAAATGACGATTTCTTCTCCTTACACAAAACTCAACGAATGGACATGAAGCTGAAAATCCATTAATTGCACAAAATGTTATGCAAATGACGGAACAAATGATTGCGATACAAATAAAGAATATGAAGATGAGATTATTAAATCCCATGTCTTCATCTGAAGGACTTAATTTAAAAATGACATTCTTTGTTGTCCCCTGGAGATTCATCATGACAAGTTTCTCACTGATTTTAAATCCACTCGCTTTAACTGTGAGAATCGCGCTATCGCCTTCAATATCTTTCATATCGAACTGCCCAACATGATTCGTGTAAGCTTTCTTCCTCCAATTTCCTTTGATTCCAATCTCGGCATCTGAGACTGGAGTGCCATCGCCATCTGTGATGAACCCGGAAAGATCATGAAGAATTTGTCCCTTAATTGTCGTATCAAGTTCAAGAACAATTTCTTCCAAATTAATAATAGCTGCGTCAATATTTATTCCGACAGTTTTAGTCGTGTAGTTGACACAAGTGACTTGAATTTCGCAAGTTCCTGATGGAACGAGAACGTGGAAGAACGCGAGGTTTTTGGAAACCTCATGAACTCGTTGGCTTCCTTTGACAACAATTTTTGCATTTCTCAATGGATTTCCATTCTTATCTCTGACATATCCTTCAACTCCACCTCTTGCAAGATTAATAAACTTTAAAATCTTCTCAATATTCTCCTTCCATATTTCAGCAATTTCTTTCTCATTTGGCATCTTGCAACATGACAAATTTATCGAGTAAAGTGGCAACTTAAACATTTTGTACATAAGATTTGTGATTTTTCTCAGAGAATCATTTTCATTTAAACGAAGCGCATTTGAAGCGCAAAGTTGATTTTGAGCACCAAAACGTGAATGTGTTTGATCAGCAAATTCAGCATAAAGTGCTTCACGATCTTTAAGTACTTGAGAAATTGCGTCATCACCAGCAGTAAATGTCAATGCCAACGAAATTTCTTCTTTCTCGAAGAGTTTAAAGAAACTGTCTTTGACATTGTCACTTTCAGCATTTAGAAATTTATCGCCAATTTCTTCCTTTAATTGAGGATCACAAATTGTTTCATTCTGATAAAATTGTGAATGAACTTTATTAAAGTTTGTGTTCACAACGACAAAGTGAATGACTGCCTTCTGCAACAAATCACGCATTGGCGGTTCTTTTGTGTTGTATGCAGCGATGACATGACGTGCAAGATTGACGACAATTTCTCTTCCAACTGGCGACGTCTCAAACAAAGATGAAAGAATTAAAATGTGAACTTTCTTCTCTTCAGTTTGTCCAAGACCTTCAGTGACTTTAAGTGCACTGTAATGATTAACATTCTCCTCATCTTCAACTTGCGCCATCCACCAATTCTTCGTTTGAAGCTCCGTGAAAATGTCTTGAATCTCATTACTAGAATGATAACGCGTCTTTAAAATATTCTCAAGAATTCTAAAATCATACGCCGACGACCAATGTTGAGGATCATTTCGCATTAATTGGAAATTATTAATTAATGATTTATTTCCATTATCAGGAATTGTAATTTCAGCCGTTTGTGCTTCATATCCCTTCGCTGACACTGTAATGTTATACTTTCCAGGTAACAACAACCGATAATAATCGCCATCTTTCCCACTATAAGTTACATGTTGAATGTTGTTAACAGAAATTGCTGCATGAGGGATTGGAGTTCCAATGGAACTGCTGACGATTCCTTTGAGTCCCATGTGAATTTGTTCAATGAATTTAATTAAAGCTTCTTTATTATCCATCCAATAAGTGCTGAGTTCTTCTTCTTTAGGAAACTTATAACAACCAACTTCTAAAGTCAACTCGTAAGTTCCACCATGCAAATAACTCCAATCTTGCATTCCACCAGTCACAGCATACCAATCAGCTCCATTTGTTATTCCTTCTGGGAAGCTTTCTCGGATAAATGATGGACAAGGCTTACCCAAATACATTTTCCTATGAGCTGTCGCATAAGTTCTTGCAAGATATTTAAAGATTTCATTCTCTTCTGTTGGATTGCTTTTCGTCATCGGATCAGCATTTGACATGAAATCTTTTTGTGAATCATCGAATGGATAATTTGCAACGAGTGCGCCGCCATGAATGTTAGCAGACAACACAAAATTATTAGAAAGCGACCAATTCATTACAGCTTTAACTTCCGGTTCTTGAATCTTATTAAACTCATTCATGCCGTATTGGTCGGGGAAGTTTCGATTTAAATCGATTTTATTAGCATTTGGTCTTCCAATAATTCCACCTTCATCTCCTGGAGTTGACATCTCATAACCATCTGCAAAGATTATCAATTAAAATTCTTAATTTAAGATTTGAACAAGATTTTAAACTTACCAGGATTCATTGAAGGCATGATGTGAATTCGTGTCGTGTCAATCAAGTCAGTAATTCTTTTATCAATTCCATAATTCTCACAAAGATATTTAGCCAACAGCAGCATCAACTCTCTACCAACAACTTCATTTCCATGCATGTTTGCAATGTACTTGAACTCAGGTATCAAAGGTACATGTTGTCCAGGATTCTTGCTTATCTCAATCACCCAAAGATCTCGATTTTCAACACTCTTTCCAATCGAGTAAAGATTTGTCAGCTTTGGGTAAGTTTCATGAAGTTCCTTCAACATTTTCTCCATTTCCGATTGATTGTGATGTTTAAATTCAGTTTTGAAAATGAATCCATACTCGTCGGCACCGATTTTAACTGTTCGAACCTGTTTGTACTTTCCTAAAATTCATCACAACTTACATTAATTGATTTGAAATTCATTCATTGTCTCGTCATGCCACCACCATTAACTATTAACAAGTTGAAATATCGAAATGATAATAAAAAATGCCGAAACCATGAAACTATGTAGATTAATGTGATATTGTTTTATATTGTCAATTAATTAAATAAACCACATGATCGTGTCAATGTCATTCACAATTATCAATTGAAACATTCAACTGAAAATTCATTAAAAGTTTTTATAATTAAAACACATTCGCAAATGCATGTTTTGTGGTTTTTTTTTATCCCATTTTATTATTTACACAAATACAACAAATTGAATAATTTATTTAAATTCACTTTTACATTTTGTCTCATGTTTTTAATCGGATTGGATTGTGTTTAATTTTTCTTTGTTCTTTTTTTTGCAACAATAAATAAAAAATTTATTTAAGCATCATACAATTGATCGATAAAAGTTAGTTAGATTGACATTTTATTAAAACTTTTATTTTAAACATTCAATTGCTATACTTCTTAGATAGATTGTTGATTTATAAACAATTGGTGAACTTTGATAACTTTCATAACATTATGCTTAGGATTTAAATACACAATAATGATGAATAAAAGCGTAAAAATAAAATAAAATGAGATTTCATCAACTTTTGAATACTTTTTTGGACAAAATCAAAGACCAAACATCTTTCTTGATAAACTTAATAAACCTGGTGATGCATTCACCAAAACAAGCGTAATCAACCAAAAGGACAGCAAGGCTTGAGGGCAAGAACTTTGAGCTGAATCAATGAATTATAAAAGAATAAAAATCATTCAAAACTGACTAGTTAAAATGACATTAAAATTATATTTTTTCAGTCTGAATCAATTCACCAAAATTGTGACAATTTTTGATGATGTTAAGCACAAATTTAAAATAAATTTCTGATTAAACAAAGAAAATATTTTGAGAAGAGTTCATTGAGCTGAGTTTGATGCATCATTTCATTTCAAATAAGAATAATAAAGTTTGTGAGTGAGAGATGAGGGATAAAGAAAAGTTCCCAAATAAAAATTGATGAAACAGACAAGAGAATGTGATAAGACTTGGTTTAATAATGAAATTCTGTCATGATAACATGAGATTGTATAAGTTTTGTTATGTGCATTGACTGTTAAGTCATGATAAGGACGAATGGTTTCTTATTATGTAACAATTTTCCTTCTTTCTCCAATGATAATTATATTATTTATTTATTTAGACATCAACATCAAATAATTAACTCTCTCCCTCTATAATCGAAATGAATTTTTTATCCATTCAAAAGCAAGAAGAACTTAGAAGTCATCGTGTGTCTCTTATTGAGATAATTTATCGTCTTGCGACAATTTCTAATCATTTTCTTTGTTATTTTCTTTTTTTTGGAACTTGTCCAGTTAATTTAGGTCAGTCGCCGCGTTTCTTTCTTCGCCACATTTATTTGGAATGAGATTTGTGTCTTTGTGAATAAATATTTTCCATTTCTTTGCGTTGGTTAATACATTTAACATTTTGACTAAGCGAATGAGATGTAGCTCGATTACCTTTTAATACTGCAATAACTCGACTGGAAAATTATCGCAATTGAATCGAAAAACATGACATTCACAATCTGTTTTTGTTATCTGCAGATTTTATTGATGTACAGATAAGTTGATAAATGTTTTAATTTCTCTTTCATATTGTGCCAAAAATAAATAAATAAATGAATGAGTTGATGAAGTATTGAATTGTTAATCTCAAAAATCTTCATCTTAAGTAAGTCAAATTATTATTTCTCATTCTTTTGATCAACTTTCCACCCACCAAACTTATTTAACTAAGTGAATTAGTTTTTCATCTTTAATGATAGTCTAAGCAAGATTATTTAATTTAAAAAATACCTTCAACACTATCGGATGGTGTCAGAGTGAAATTGACAACAACTGCTCCAACTTCATTGACGACAACTTCCAAATAAGGTGACGGAATGTATCTGTTGTGATATGAGAAAGAAAATCATTTGCAATCAATCGATTTTGAAAGATAACAATTGCTGACGATTCAATGACGCAGGTTATATAAAACCACCCACGCATGCTACTCACCCAAAAGCAATTGCTCTGACATTGTAAGTTCCTGGGGTGAGCAATCTCCAAAATTCTCCTCTTTCAGTTGTTCTCACTGGCTTTTCTTCGACTCCTTGCACATAAATTTCAGCATCGTTGATTGGATAGCCACTCACATCTTTAATTAAACCTTTGATTCCCGTATGAATCAGCTTCATGTACTCAATCAGAGATTTTTTGTTTTTATGCCATTCTGATGGTAATTCAGTTCTTGGCGGATATTTACAACATGAAAGTTCCAAAGTGATTTCAAAGCAATTAGTGAAAACATAATTAAAATCCTGCATCCCACCTGGAAGTATCAAAAAAATTCAATTTTTGTTGTTTTTATTGTCTTATCGTTTAACTTACCCGATAAATCATACCAATAAGCTCCATTTGTAATACCATTTGGGAATGTTTCGTTACAATCATTGCCGTCTTTCATTACCGGATGATTCTTTGCATATGTACGTGCTAAATGTCGAAATACGGAATCATCGGGTGTTGGAGAATCTTCACAGCAATCGTGATGTTTGCTTTAATAATTTTCAATTAAATTTCATTCTTGTAATAGCATTTCAATGACTTACATTGTGTTATCGTATGGATAACTGGCCACGACTGCTCCACCATGTAAATTAGCTGACAATACAAATGGATTCTCCTTAATCCAACTCATTACGGCGAGAGTTTCTGGTTGTCTTCTCATGTTGTATAATCTTTCAATGATTTTCTGATCGAAACGATCTGGGAAGTCACGATTCAAGTCGATTCCTTTACCATTGTATCTTCCGTAATAATTTTGCATTGATTCGCAAGATCCTTCTTTGCTCTTTCCGAAGCCATCTGGATTCATGCTTGGCATGAGATAAATATCTGTAGTGTCGACTAGTTGCGTCACTTCCGGAACAATTCCGTAGTTTTTCACGAGATATTCAGCTAGATACACAAGTAATTGTCGTCCTATAGTCTCGTCACCATGCATGTTTGCCACATATTTGAACATGGGGATTAGAATTGAACGAGGTCGTTTCACATCCCGATGAATTCGAGCTACGATAAGATCTTGTCCATCTAATGACGATCCAATTGATCTTATGTCAATGAGATTCGGGTAGCTCTTTTGCAACTTAAGTAGATAGTCTGGTAACTCGATATTTGACGTATAGTGTGGATTGTCAAGAAAGCTTTCATCTTCATTTTTCTGGACTTTTTGTACCGTAAAAGCAAATGAAACTAAACAAAAATAACTTAGTAAAACATATAAAACTTTTTCAACCATCACGATTAATCACAGAGTGATGTACGTCTTTTAAGCTTCGTAGCTGTTTTACGATTTAAACACTGACTTTTAATAACTTTAAACTAAATTGAAACTTTTCTGTGTCATTTCTTTCACGACTAAAATAATTCTTCGAAATTGACGTCATAGATTTCGAACTTGGAATGCAGTGACGCCGTTTTCGAAATTGAATGTACGAAAAAGTGTTGAATGGATAGAAGATAAACTGCAGTTACTGCTACTAAAACGATATCAGTGTAAATCTTCTTTATGAATTATTTAGTTAATCATAAAAATTTTTATTATTAAAGCATGACGAACAACATAGACCGTCACTGAATGTCAAAACAAAAAAAAAGTTTCATTTTCGAATCATTAACTCTCAATGTAAAAAGCTTTCGTGTGATTTTTTATTTGTTTACAAATTGAGGAGCTTTTTTAGTTTTCCATGAATGACCTTGCAAAGGCAAGTCAAAGTTTTATAACTGTAAATATTTAATGAAATTGATGTTTGCAATTGAAAATGAATGTGATAGAAAAGAAGATTTTTTCTAAAAAGGAAAATTAATTCGATTTCTCTTTGACTTCCCTCGAGGTTTTCCTCATGTATCTAGGTAGTAAATAAGCGTTAACGTTCTCTATCTTTATCAGCTTTCAAGAAAATGTGTGAAATATTTATGGAAGACGCTTCTCGATTTTATTCGAGAGAAATATCTTTTCTGTTCCGTTCAGACAAACAATGTTTATTTATATAAAATTGTTCTTTAATACCGAAAAAAAACTTTTTCTCTCGTTAATTGGCGCAGACTCAAAGAAGTTGAGTATTTTCTCAGGACTGAACCATCATTTTATTAAATTTATCCCCGCAAAAAATAAAAAGATATTTTCCTTACACTTTATTCAGTCGATTTTCAGAGCCGAGTTAATGCTAATTAACACATTTTCGCGACTTTTCGTGAGATTTAAAACAATTTAAAGTCAGTTTGGAAACGAAATCACGGCAACAACAAATGATTTGAGGTGGTTGTTGAAAAAAATCAATTTTTCTTAAGTGCATAACGTAGAAAGTGTGAAATTAATTATTTAGATACATTTCCATAAACTTCTTTGGTTTCTCGATGACATGAGATCATAAATTTGTTTCATATCAATGACTAATATTTCCGAACTATTCTAAAAATATCATCAATTGAATGTTAAAAATAATTTACACAAAAACAGAAAAAAAAGTTTTTTTGCCCACAAATATTCACACGTCGTGAAGCGAAAAGTCGGACAATATTCGACCCGAAATGAAGAAAAGAGAATGAAAAATGATTAAAAACTGTCTCTTTATTTTTAGTCTTTTCTGCATAATCGAGGCGGTAAAGTTCGAGGAATTCGAAATGAATTTTCACAATCATACGGAAAAGCCAAGGGATGTTGTTGATGAAACGAATCGAAAGATTTGTTTATTGAGACCGACCTAAAGTTGTTTTTCTTCCTCATTTTATGATCTCATAATGATAGTTTATTTTAACAGCAGTAAAATTTAATTTCATAAACTCATAAGTTATAATAGCTGCAAATAAAAATCTGACTCAAAGCCAAACATTTAATCTTCACAACTGAAAAGTGCATCAAAAAACAAAATTTAAAAGCGAAAATGATGGGAATAATAAATCTATGGAAAGTTCTGTGAAGGAAAAAGAGAGAGTGAAATGGGAAAAATATTTATAGATTCGAGAATAGTTTCATCTTTTAATAAATTCAAGTTCAGATGCGCCAAAGCTTGACAGAAATGTGTATGAAATTAAGAGTATTAAACATTTTATGCTGATGAGATGTGAAAAGTGAAAAGGCAATGTCAGAAAATTAATAAAATTACGTCAAAATGTAGCTTAAAAAATTTCGCGCTAGAAACCTGTTAACGTTTCTCATAGCTAGCAGTGAACAATCTCATTTCTTGGCGAAAATTTTCGTCTTCTTTTGAATAATAAACATTACGTAAAATTGCTATTAAAAGCATTTGTGTTGGGTACAAAAGGTTTTAAGCCGACAGTTTCTGTTTAAAAGACTGCTGTTTGGATTATATTTGTTTACAAGAAGATTTAGGTAGAAAAAGAATGAAATCTTTATCATAAATATGACAAATACATCTCCTTCCTGATTAATGACGTTCACTCTCTTCATATTTGGCACATCATAAGATATTTAAGCTCGTGAGGCTTTCATTTCACTTGTCTAATATAAATCTTCTCTTTCATAGTGTTTCAAGTGATGTTGTTGTTGCTTCGAACAGAAGTATTGATTCGTGATTGATCAATAAGACTTGATAAAAGAAAAAAACAGTTGATTGAGTGAATAAAGAATCACTTAAAATGCGCACAAATAGACCGACAACAGCTGCAGAGGAAATGGGTCTAGGACCCAAAAAAACATTTCTCGTGCTGTTTACAGTAGTTGGATGTATAGGTAAGTTAAAGCTCAAAGAATAATTCAGAATAATTTAAGTGAAAAGCGAACAATTACAGCGATTCTCTTTCCGAAAATCTTTTATCCCATGCTTATGGGAGCGGGAGGTGCAAAAGATCATAGTCGCGGACCACCAAGTAAGCTTCAATAAATTTATTAAACACTCAATTAACAGACAAAGAAATGTTTTTGTTCAAAGATCTTTTGAAACAGGAACGACCACCGTACTTGAGTGAAATAGTCATTCCTGGTATGCAAGAACGTGGTCGGGCTATTCCTCCACATTCTGTATCGATAATTGAACGACCAGGCCGTCCAGGTGGGCTCCCTTCACGGCCGGGAATGATCGAAAGACGAGTAAGAAACTTCTTTAAGTGTTGAATAATTTTAAATTGAAAATTTTATCACAACAGCCGGGCAGCCCAATGGTTCAAGGACAACCTGGTCCAAATATGCGTGCGGCAGCATATCAAGCTCAAACGCAAAGTCAGCCAAAGGCACAAGGCCCAACTTCTATCATAATGCCAATTTACACATTCGGAATTGTTGCATTCTTCATCTTCACGATATCAAAGCTTGTTATGAAGAAGTTGAACAAGAATCAAAGTCAACCAATTGAATCTGATCCGGTTTTCGTGGAGAAAGTCTTTAGACAAACTCAACCAGATGCTAAGAAGAAATTGGGTAAGCTTCACATTGACGAATTTTATTTTCTATGATCTCATTTTTTATCTTTTAACGCTCCAAAGGATGGAAAGATCACAACGCAAGTAAGAATTCGGAAATTTTTCACGATTTTTCCTACATTGTCCAAAAATAAATTAAATAAAATCACACGAAATTGTTTTTCAATCCCAAGCACAGATGATAATTAATGAGATGTTTTTATTCACAGAAAATATTAACTAAAGATCTTTTATTTCAGTTTATACTGCTATTCAAGGGATTATTGATGCTACAAACGATCAACTAAGAGAAATTGAGAAAGAGTGTGCTGAAAACAATTCAGTAAGGCAAACCTCAGATTTATGTGCGATGATTTCAAATTAATTTTCTTTATCTTAGGAGCACTTTGACAACAATTCTGAACGATCGAATGCTCATAAATCTGAGCATGAGGAAACTGATGAAGATACTCTCAAAGAATCTTCGGTTATGTCTGATGATTTGTCAAAACTTGATCATGATGAAAATGAAAAAGAAAAATCAAAAGAACCTTCAGAGCATGACATTGAAATTGAGAAGCGATTGAGTCATCTTAAGGAAGCAATGCACATCAAATCAGTTGAAAATGACGAAAATTCCGATTTCAAGTCAATATTTCTTGAAGGTGAACTTCCACATGATCCACAAATTTTAGTATCAGCTACGGAAACAGAAACAAAGACAGAGAAAATCTCAAACTACGCAAAAGAACTAGCAGATGACGAAGCAGTTATTTTAAGTGGAAAGATGACAATTTCTTTGATCAGTTTAACAAATAATGATGAAGAGAAGAATGGAGTGCTTGATGAAGAACAACACACAACGACAAACAATGTGGCGTGAGAATGAGGTCAAAGCCACTTGATCTATATAGAAATTGAGGGAGAAATATTTTGAAATTATTTAATAATCTTTACACAAATCTTCTCTCCATTATTGTACATGTTTTTCATTGTTAGGCTTATCAAGAAGCCAAAGTCCAAAATTTTTCACAAAGATTTCTATTTCCGATATAGATGGTACATTAGTAATGACATCCAAACCATAATTAACCATTAATTTGAGATCGTAAAGTGTTTTGATTCTCGTCATTGTTGATATAAAATTTTCTTTGCCGCATTATCGAAATATGCAGCCCAGTATTCATGCCAAAAACATAGAATTCTAATAATAAAACGTAATAAAAGTCAATCTTGTTTTTCTTTTCCATTTCAGCTTGTTTCGAGAAGATTTAAGAAAACTTCAACATTTAACTTGCCATAGTGATTTTAGTATAAGAATAGAAATAATGAATTATTGAACCTAGCGACGTTAATTAAGTGGAAAATTCGAGAACATTTTTCATCTTTTGCACATTTTCTAAGTAGGTAATAAATCTAAGGATAATTAATGAGGTGATGAATTCTGCTGAAATATTTTTATTGATCTTGAGTTTCAAGTTTTGCTGCAGAATTGAAATAAATTTTACATTTTTTGTGGGGATAATTAAAGCATAACAACAATATAATTTTTGTCTGTCTATCTTCAGCCTGATGTCATCTTCATGAGAGATATTGGAGGGGAGGGGAGGGGATACGCATATCAGATAGTTGTAGCAAGTATTCGACTGTTTTCGACCGAATAGCCCTAACGCAGTCATGCGGAGTTTCTCGTAAGAGTAACGCGTCACGAACTTTATAATGATGAAATTTGTTTAAAATTTGCTCAAGAGTTCTGCTGCAGAACAAAGAACGGAAGATTTGATTTTCCCTCCACTTAATCCATCATAATTATTTTTAATTCTCATGTAAAAAATAACTTTGAAAAAGATAACTTTGAAGCAAAAGGTTTGGTATATCAGAAATAATAAAAATTTAACGAGAATAACATAGTCACACATAAGAATGAAAATTTGAAAGTTTTTCTCTTGAGTTTTTAGTATTTTCTTGGAAGAAATTTCCATCATTAGAAGTTTTTCATATTTAAAATAAGGCATGTTTATTAAAAACGTGAGTAAAGATTTTTAACATTAATAAACTAATAATCTATGAACTTAAATGCAAACTTGCTTAAATCAAGAAACGCTTCAATAATCTATCAACTTAAATGCAAACTCGCTTAAATCAAGAAACGCTTCAATAAATTGAAATCTACCACACAATACAAAACAGAGTTAGAAGTTATTTTGCTCGAAACAAATAAAATTTGTTTTTATAGTTTCAGAGTATCTATATTACAATAAAAAATATCAAAGACACCCGAACGTAATCTTATCTCGTAAAGGATTTAGATATTTTTAACTTTTTGATTAAAAGAAATAATGAACGTTCACTGGTTTTAATTCTGAATGATGACATCGATCACTTTATCAGCATTCCTTTCCTTTTTTCAATTAACAAAGTTGACTTAATTAAAATATTATTAGAATGTATGCAAGAATGATTCTTTTTATTATTAAAATATCTTCTTAATACAATGGATTGGTAATCGAATATAACATAATTAAAATCGGTACTTTTAATTATCCAGAAAATAAGAATGACTTTACCGTTGGGGCTGTAGGAATCTCAACTGAAAGTTTAAGGATGTGAAAATATTAAAGTACCTAATGCAATTAAAGTTCTTTTAATTTTATATACCTGGTACTGTTGGTATTGTAGGAACCTCAACTGAAAATTTAGGACATGAAAATATTAAAGTACCTAATGCAATTAAAGTTCTTTTAATTTTATATACCTGGTGGTTCTGTTGGGACTGTAGGAACCTCAACTGAAAGTTTTAGGATATGAAAATATTAAAGTAATGCAATTATAGTTCTTTTAATTTTATATACCTGTTGGTACCGTTGGGACTGTAGGAATTTCAACTGAAAGTTTTAGGATACGAAAATCTTAAAGTAATGCAATTAAAGTTCTTTTAATTATATGTACTTGGCACTGTTGGAACAACAGGAAATAAGAATTTGAAAGCCGTTGGGGCCGTAGGAATCTCAACTGAAAGTTTTAAGATATGAAAATATTAAATACTAATGCAATTTAAGTTCTTTTAATTTTCATACCTGGTACTGTTGGAACAACTGATGGTGCAGTAGCTAGAGTAGTTGTATCCCCAGGTACAGTTGTATCCTCAGATACAGTTGTTTCTTCTTCCGGTACTGTAGTCGTTTCCTCTTCTGGTGCTGTAGTGGGCGTGGTTGTTTCTTCTTCTGGTGCTGTAGTCGGCGTAGTTGTTTCTTCAGATGTTGTTGTAGTCGGCGTAGTTGTTTCTTCAGCTGTTGTTGTAGTCGGTGTAGTTGTTGGAGTGGTTGTAGTTTCATCAACTGGTCCACAAGTCACAGGAGGTGAACGGCATGATGAAGAAGGTGTATCAAATAACATCGGTGATGGACATGGTGGCATTAAAAATCTGAGAACATTTTAAAAATCTTTTCCAAACTAATGTTTAAATAAGATTAATTAATAGAAACCTTTGACCAAAGTTGCATATGTAGTATAAACTACAATCAGTTTCATGTGGAAGTCTGGTTGCAGGAATGTTATCTTGAGGGCAACGCGAGTCTGTAATTCCTTGACTTGCTACTAAAGTAGCACACATAAAAATTAAAATAATTTTTTCCAACATTTTGTATTTCAATTTTAATTATAAACTTTACAGACCAAAAGCCAAACTGACAATGAAATGAAAGAGAACTTTTAAATATTAATTTCTTTGACGCATGAAATTTCCACGTATCTAAAGATCAGATAACATTTAAGATTTGATTAAAAATACTATACTGTAATTTTTTTATCTTATCACTTTTCCGGTTTTATTTATCAAAGAAAAAAATAAAAGTAGATAATAAAAGTAATAATAATAAAATAATAAGGACAGGGTTGAAAACAAAACTTTTTCCTCGACTTGATACCTTCTTAAAAAATTTACTCATCGATAACAAAAATTAAGATAATTTGTGTTAACGAATGAAAAGTAAATGTGAAGCTTCACATTAGAATCTGAAAAACAGAATGAACCAAACAATGAGTTTATGTTAATTAGAAACTGGACACAACATGTTCATTTTTGTAACGAACTTCTTATTCGACTCGGGGTCTTCTGAAAACTCAAGTCACTTTCACTTCAATAGAAACAGATTGATTATTCTTTCAACACTTTTATTTTATTTTTAATGTTCACTCTTACAAAATGAATTTAATTAATCTTAAAGGATTGAAAAACTAAGAGCCAAGAGCCTCGAGCATGAAGTGCTCTCGGCTTTTATATTAAAAATGTTTTATCTCTCAGCCAATCAAAGGGCTGAGAGATTGTTTAGTTTATAATCATCCCCACTCCAAGGGATGATCACGAGGACAGTGTCGCAATCTCAAGTGTCTGATGTAGAAATTCCTGCGTACTATACGCAGTTTTCTACATCAACAGTTGAGATTGTTACATTTTCTTATATATTTGCTTTTATTTCTTATGATACAATGTTGGGTTTTTAAGGGTTTTTATTCATATTGATACAAAACAGCGATTATAACAACTAACTATTTTTTAATAATTTTAATAATTTCATTGTTCATATAATTTGACAACTTTCCTTTAAACTTTTCTATCATATTTATTAAAACTTTAAAACATTATTTTCAACGATTCGTTAAATATTAAGATTGATTTGACTGCTTTAATACCTGATATCGAAAATGATGAAAATTTAATGAGAATAATTTATTATGTTGCTGATTATGAATTTGAACGATAATTTTATTGATTGAATCTTATGAGAGGTTTTCAAGAAAATTTATTGAAACAACTTTATGTAGGTAGTCAAAGCAGCTGCTTGTGAAATGAAAACCTGGGATGTTTCATAACTTCCAATATAATTAAATAACATTCATTAAATATGTTTGATTGATGGTTATTCAAGGAAAAGTTCATGCAGATGCAACAGCATAATAAATGTCAAACATAATGGAAGTATCCCAGCATAAAATGTTCCAACAGATAATTAAAAGAAATGACATTAATTGCGTGACAAATGTTAAGATAATTAATCGTTTAATAAATGTTCATGTTTTGAGATGTAATGACATAAAAATTTAAAAGCCTAATAGGAATATCCCAACATCTACTCAAATGTTTCAACAATTAATTAAAGTCATGAAAACATAAAATTAAACTGCTAATTACGTGAGAAGATTTTTAATGGACAAACTATTTAGTTAATGTCAACAACATAAAAACATGCACTTGAATCTGCATGAAACTTATTTTTTAATTGTAAAATAATATGGTTTTCAGCATTCTACTTAAACTAAAGTTCACAGCAACTAGTTCTTTGTTTCATTCAAGTTAATCAAGTTCAGACATTTCCAATGTGGAATAAAGTTTTTCTTATACTTATTGCTTTGCAATCTATTGAGGCTTCTAAATATTTAGAGCCAGTAAAGAAGCCTTCAATGTTCCTTCGACCTTTAAAATATATAATTGAGAAATATCATGATAAATTTTGGGAAAATAAGCATTATAGTACTGTGATACTTTTTCATAAGTATCCGAATCATAATCATGCAATAGAAGATGAAGTTGACAATATTTTGACGACAATTGGAGCAAAAATACCAATCAAAGTGAAAGGATTTTCAAAAGATATTTCCACAAAAACTGAAACAAGAAATTTAAATATTGTATTCTGTCAATCAGTTTATGCATATAATGACTTTTATGCCATGATACTAGCTAAACAGTTTAACCCTCACAGCTTATTCATTCTTGTAGTTACATTTGATACAACTAAATATGACTATTTGTTTAGGATGTTTGACCTTTTCTGGAAACTTAGTGTTTCGTTTATTGACATATTAACAATATCACCAGACAATCCCAATGATATCCTCGCTTACACTTATGCTCCATTCGTAGGGAGTTGTAATAATATAACGATAGGCACATTAAATTCCTACTTTGCCATACATGATAAATGGATAAGCGACGATTTTTTTCTTCCTATAACAAAGAAAATCCATGGTTGCCCTGTACGAGTAGCAACATTCGATTATCCACCGTATATAATGGTAAAGAACGATTCAAACGGAAAATTAACTGTTGATGGTATTGAAGGAAACATTTTAAATACTTTATCGCAAATGCGGGATTTTACTACAGAAATAATTTTGGCAGATAAAAAATGGGGAGAAGTTTATGACAATGGAACAACAACTGGTAAGTTTCATTCAAATAAACTTATAAATTAAAACAAAATCATTTAATTAATTTTCACAGGTATCATAGAATTGGTTGTAAATAGGAAAGCAGATATTGCAATAGGATATTTAGCTATAAGTCATGAAAGAGAATCACTAATGACATCAGGATGTGTTTACTATTCGTCAAACTTGATGTGGACTATTCCACCAGGAGAAAAGTTTTCCCCTCTCCAAATTCTGATGAAACCATTTCAATCACCAGTGTGGATTTGCTTTTTCACTGTTCTTGTCTTAGCTTTTGTCATCATTGGGATTTTGAATTTTTTTCCAACGAAATTTCGACATTTTGTGTATGGAAGAAATGTTCGAACTCCAGGATTGAATGTTGTGAACATCACTTTTGGTGGTAGTTTGCATAGAATTCCTTCTCGGAATTTTGCAAGAACAATTTTCATATTATTCACTTTTTACTGCTTCGTTATAAACAACTCTTATAAAGGAAGTTTATTCTTATTTATGCAGGGAGATTATACAAACCCTCCCGTCAGTTCAACTGATGAACTCATCAAGAAAGATTTCCAATTTTACATGATTCCAGAAGCAAAAGGTTTTGCAAATGATTTACACATTCTTAAACGAACAGTTTACATTAAAAGTCAGAAAGATATTTTGGAATTATACGGAAATTTATCGGATTCAAAATTTAAAGGAGCGATGATGAATACTGAAGAAAAGTGGGCACACAAGAACATAGAAAGTTCACCAAATAATTATTATCATCGCACTAAGGATGTCATTTATCAACAAAATTTGGCAATTTACAGAAACAAAGTTTCACTATTCAGATGGGATTTCGATAATGTGGTTACAAGAATGTTGGAATCAGGTTTGATTAATAAATGGAGCAAAAGATTCACCGATAGCGACAATTTGAAAAAGAGAGACGAACAAAGAAAATTGCCATTGAATTTTGAGCATTTCAAGGGAGTTTTTCAATTACTCGGTGTTGGCTTTCTCATCAGCTTCATCGTTTTTATTGCAGAAATTTTCCTTCATAAATTAAAATCTCGATAGGTTTAAAAAACATTAAGTTAATCAACAATTGTTGCACGCGAAAGTGTTGCACGTAAAGTTTTAAATGGATTTTCTGTGTTGATAATTTAATATTTAGAATGTTGAAGTTGAATGCAAAATTCACATTTCTTAGTTATTAATATTGAATGAAATTAATTAACAATTACGAGACAAAATGATGAAAAAAATTGAATTTCATTGAAATTCCTTCACGTAAGCAAATAAGAAATTTCACCAGAATTTATGAGAATTGAATGATAATTTTAGTCATTGCATCTTAAGAGAGATTTTAGAAGAGATTTATGATTATAACTTTGTACACTTAAAGCAGAGAACGGTAGAATTTCAACAATAGACCAACATAAATTTATGTTTCCGCTTGTAAATTGAAGATTTGTAAACCTGAAATATTTTATGACTTTTAATTTCACTAGAATGTGTCGTAACTTTTATCCGATAAATATTTAGACTAGAAATAAACTTCATTTTTATTTCAAAAAGTTTGCAAAATTTATTTTGGAATCAAACGTGAAATGGTACACAACATAAATTTCTTTATCGTTTTCAATTAAAAAATAATTTACAAAATCAATTAATATGGACACTCGTTTTTATGTATTCTCATTTTGTTTTTGATTAGATTTTTTATCATAATTTTGAGGCTTTTAGATGTTTCACTTTATAGAATTTCACTTTCCAGCCGCATCCATATTTTTTGGTAAGCCCAGAAGTGAGTTGATTAATTCTGAATTCCGTTTTGACGGAACAACTTGCCATGTTTTGATTCTTTCATTATAAGATGGATGAATACGATTGACCAGACTTGCGCTTATTGGGTAATAGCCAGTTATCCCAGCTTTGTTAATGACAGGAATCCATCCGGCAAGTTCCTGATCATACTGTGAAATAATCCATTAAATATGTAAACACAATTTGCATTTCAAAACTCTTCCAACACTTACAGCACTATCGTAACTTTCTTCACTCACTGGCATTGTAAAGCAAAAACCAAACAGTTGAATCATCAAGAAAATTTTCAATAAATCACTCATTTTTTTAATTTTTTTCCAATCTTGTGTATCTAAGTAAAAATCCAAGGAACGAATGACAAAGTTTGGTTCATCGATGCGCCATTTTATAGCATTTTGAAATAATTGGAGGCATCATGTAGCGAACGAACTTGCAGATATACATAAGCATCTGACAGTGAAAATATTAAATGAGAAAGTGACTTGTCGCGTACAAATGTTATCTGTTCAAATTCAAAGCATATAGTACCAATTATGCAATATAAATAACTGTGTAACAGGATGGGGTTGTGATTTCGATGAATGATAATGAACTCCTAATCAAATCATCCTTTTTTCTATTTTATAGATGACGTAAATATGCTTGTTGAATTGCTATCATTTATAGAAAGGCATAAAATTCCCTAAGTTAATATTTGTGATGACAACAAGTTGAAATTTACGACATTTCTAGGAAATGGAAGAACAAGCAAAAGGTGAATTTTACGTCATGTCCTTACAAATACAGTCTTACAAATAAATTAATCTGATTCAACGCTCAACATGCTTTTATAATCAAACGTAATTTTATTTTGTTATCTAAGACTGCATGCTGCCAAAGAAACGCCACGCATATTGAACAGTAATAATAAAATGATTAATTTCATATAATTGCACATAATGTCACAAGCAGAAGCTTCAGGAATTTTTTTTATTCTTCCGTTGATTGTTAAATATTGAAATAGAAAGTGAATAAGAAAAATTTAAGTATTAACGACACCAGAAGATTCTCATTTATCTGCCCTTTAACATCTCCTACACCACGAACAAAGCTCTCGTGGGCAGTTGAGGCTTCTTTTACTGCCTTGAACAAACTGAAAATATGAAAAAAAAACAGCAAAATAAAATGATGACAAACGAATTTTGTGGAAACATCATTTCTGCTATATGTTTATTACATCTAATAATCAGTTGTTTTAGTTAATAATTAGTTCGTCTGCCTTTTCTCTTTAATAAATAGTATTTTTGTATTGTTGGATAATTCGTGATATTCCTTTGTGTTTTGTGTACATTGTCATCTGTGGAACAATTAGAGTAAAATCAGAATAAACTTTTATGGATACTGAATCGTCTGCTTTGGGGTTCACATCGTTATCTTTAATTAACGATCATATAATCACCAGTGCAGGGAGAGTACAGAATTTTCGTATTAAATATCGAGTTCACTTACAGAGCAAATTTTGGATCATAAAATAAAATATCGATAAAACTGAATCAATAAAAATAAATAACTTTCATATAAACTTTATCTCATTCTATCTGTCAATTATGTTTGCTATTCAATAATTATTTTTCGTTTTATCTGTTATCAGTTGCATTCATTTGTTTTGGACAAAAGGGGAATATAATTAAATTACTTAAATTCTAGAGATAATCATAGTATTTAGTTCCACTAATTAAATAAAATCGTATTTGGATCTTCGTTGTCCATCTTCTTGACATGTCGTAAAACGTCTTTCTTTGTGATGACACCAAGTAAACGTCTGTTGAAAGAAATAAAAAGAAAACATGAAATTATTTCTTTTGATAAGAAAGTCGATGATTTACAACTCACCCATTATGTGTGACTAATGTTTGACGAAGTCCAAGCTTTCTGAACATATCAACAACAGTTTCCATTGGTGTTGAGTCAGTCACAGTGATTGGTGCCATGTCAAGAATTTTTTTTAGCTTCAAAGGCGCTGGCCCGAGATTCTGGACGGGAGTACTACTGGTGAAGATCACTAACGATTGACCTGTGACACCTTCAAGTGATCTTTTGGCATTTGCTAAGAAATGTAAATGCAAATAAATTAAATTTGATTTTTAATGTTAAATAAATTTTTATCTCACCAATAGCCAAATTCAAATCTTTTCTTAATATAAAGCCAACCAAATATTGATTCTCACGAGATACAACCACAGGATATCCATTATGTTCCGTATCTTTCAGTAGCACTTCAACATCATCAACTGTCATTGAATCTTGTGTGATGACTGAAAGTCCCTCATTACGTCTAAGAATAATTTCAAGTTCAATAAAGTTTAATAAGAAAGAATTTTAATTACTTACTTAGGTTGCATGACATCACCAGCTAATGTTGTATGTTGAAACTCATCTTTACTGTCCAGGAATGGATAACCATTAAGAGCAATGTGTGCGTCATAAATGCCCTGAAATTCATTTCATCACAAATTATTTTCATTTCAATCAAAAATTATTTTTTCTTTTATTTACTTGACGTCCCAAAGCATCGCCAACCCATTTAGAAGCCATTGCAGCAGCCATTAGTGGAACAATATATCTTACACCGCCTGTCAACTCAAACATTATCACAACTAATGAGACGGTCATTCTTGTGACACCACCAAGCACAGCTGCTGCTCCTACCATTGCATAAAGACCTGGTTGAATGCAATCGTCGCCCGTTGTACATTCCCCAGAGAATATCCAATTTTTAGGGTAATTATAAGCGAGTTGTTCCATCGCTATGCCAACAATTCTACCCATAATGGCACCAAGACAAAGCGAAGGAATAAACAAACCACAAGGAACTTTTATGCCGAATGTGAATACAGTAAGAATAAGTTTTACGATCATTGCCAAAACAAGAAGCCAAATTGCATGATAAACCCCCGGCCCAGCCGCAGCAATTTCTATCGCTTGATTAACATTTGTAAAATTTCTATTGTAATCGCTAGATAATGAAAGTAAAATTGTGAAAATTAATTAATGATATGGAATAATTTGAATTAATATAACTTACCAAATAGGATTATCGCTGGAAATTCCACATTGACTAAAGAGAAGAAAAATCAATTCGCTTGTGTTCATTCGTGTGTAAGGATTTGGAAATGCGACAACTGCTGTAATGAATGTGACACAAAGAACCTCAGCAACTGGATATTGTCCTAATTTGCTGTGTTTACGGTAATTGCACCAGAAGATATTCGCTTTTATGAATAATGTTCCAATGCATCCTCCCATGATGCCAAGTCCTATGAATGGAATGAGTTCAACGAAAATCCATGGTTTATTATACTCGACGAAGAACAGCACAGAATGTTCATTTCCGAAAGGATTAATTGAGCGAAGAATGAAAGCAGCTATTAAAGCGCAGAAAAACGATCGCCAAAGTGTTTTCAATGGGAAATAATACGAAACTTCTTCTAAACTGAAGAGAACGCCTCCAATTGGTGCTCCAAAAGCAACTGATACTCCAGCTGCCGCTGCTGCTGATAAAATTTCACGTTTCTTTGCTTCATTCCGCCCATATTTCGGGAAAAGATATGCCAAAATATTTCCAACACAACTGGCTATGTGAACCATTGGGCCTTCTTTGCCAAGACTTAAGCCAGCTGACACTGATAAAATTATTCCAACTGACTTTATAATTAAAGTCCACTTTCCCAAATATCCTCGAATGATGAAACCGGAGAGAATTGTTTTGATCTCAGGAATACCCGAACCACAAGCATATGGAGCAAAATTTTTAACAAGAAGTGCTGCAAGTGTCGAAAAGAACATTGCCCAAAAGATATAGAACAAGTAGGACATCACGTAAGCACCGAAACCATATTTGGCGCTGATCATGAATTCCGACCATGTGAGCCACTAGAATTAAATAAAATAAAAGTTAATTTGTATCTCACAAAAGAATGTTCAGATTAAAAATACTTGAGAGCAATTTCCGCTGTCAAAAGTTGTTTCATTTGATGACCAACAACATTGTTCACGATTGAGCCAAAAAGCTTGTGGACAAATTCCAAATTTTAAGTCAGTCATCCAACTAGCTCCAATATCTATCACACCAGCAACACATCCCGTCACTAATCCAACTAATAAAACGCACAGCCATCCTGATAAAGCGTCATGGGCTCCCTTCACAATAATAAAGTAATGAATTTGAAATGTAAACAAAAGATTTGATAACAAAAAGGTTTTTTTCGCATTATTGAATCTCATTATAAAAGATGACGATTCAAAATTGATCTTCTTCTTTTTGATTTGATAAACTTACTTTAATTAGCTCCCATAACGATTTCTTTCTTTTCTTTACTATGTGACGATGACGCATACGGTCGCGAGCAAGATCCCTTTGCCAATCAATTGTATGAAAATCGGAATATCCTGAAAATCCTACTGAATCCTCTTCAGTGGATATCCCAAAACCGAAACCATCGTGATCTTCCATTTTAATGTTTTCTATTGAAGTTTATTATTTTATTTCTTTGGAAAGGTACACATTTGACGTTCTTTTTAAAGAATTTTATATTTGAAAATATTTATTTGCACCACTATTGCATATGACTGTACACAACGGTGTCAGTCACGGTTCAATCAGTGTACGTATCGGCTTAAAAAGAAAATATTTTAAATCTCATTCGATCGTTAAACTTTTAAAGGCATTTTGTACAAACTTTCAAATAGGTAGGTATTTGAAGTTCGAATCGAGGAATTTTTTTTCCATGAATGCAAATAAAAGACATCAAAGAGAAAAAAGAAAATAGGGTAAAGTGACATTGACTGGTTACAATTAAGCTCTTAAGGTTTTAATCTTTTTTAAAAAATTAATAAAACAGTCCTCAAGTAAAATTGAGAATCGAATTTTTAACAGTAGGCTTTACCATCCTTTTCACAGTTTTTTGTTTTTAAACTTTCCGAAATAGTTGCTTAATTAAGCTACAATACGGATTTTAAAAAAGGTCTAACATGGACATATTGTGGTAACAACTTTTGCATCAGGGACATATTGTGGTTACAAGATGGGGACATATTGTGGTTACAAGATGCAAGACTAAAAAAAATGTTCTACAAAAAACAAAAACATCAGCTGTAGCCATAAAAACAATTAAATATATTAAATTGATTTAATGTAGGAAGATTGTTGTGTTTTATTTAACATTGTTTCTAGTTAAAAATATATGAAAACGTAAACAAACCGTTTTGCGTCTTCAGTTAGCTTGTTTCCGCGAAAAATTTTGCAGGTTGTCTGTTTTGGCCTGTTGTCGCTTATTTTTTCATTCCATTTTTGGAGGTATAAATAATGCGAACGATTTTTACGGAAATGAAGGGCAGAACGTAGTTAAAATAAGAAGCATAATTGTTTCTAAAGGTTCAAAGCACCTCTGTTAAAAATTTTCAGCCATACCGATTTAAAATAGCGAAGAAAATCATACTCAAAGTGGTTTGTTACCACAATAGGTACTCATTTTCGTTGTAACCGTTTAAGGTACTTTCACCCTACTAAATAGAACATGAATATAAAATAAAACTTTTTAAATTCAGTTATGAAAAAATATTTTCCGGCTTCTTTTCAAAAGAAGATAAAGGTAAACAAAAGTATAATCTGTTAAATCCAATGTTCGGCAGAATCTGTGACTCCAACGAAATCCACGAAAATGGGAGAGGAATCAATGTAATCCACGAGAGAGTTGAGAAAATGTTGGAGTAAAATAAAACTTTTTCGGAGATGTTTGTTTCAGTTGTACAGGAACATTCGAGTCGAATAAAACGAGCTTCATTGCGCGCAAACAATGGATAAGAAAAATCGATAATAGGACTGAAAAAATCTTAAAAAAACTTCTCACTGAAAAGATGCTGATAAATAAATTAGAGTTTGTGAAAAGTTGTTTGTTACGTATGTTTTAAGCCGTAGATATTTTAAATCATTCGTTTTTACAAGTGTTTTAAGCTGTTTCGGTGAAGATTTAAAAAAATAAAAAGAAAGACACAAGCAAAGGATAAAAAAGAGAGTAAGAAGATTATTTCCCTTTTTACTCCGTTTCGCCTGCCCCCATCGCGATATTGTGAGTGCAAAAGAATTTCCACCAACTCAATTGTACAATTCTCCGCTTAAGGAATAGTGATACATTGTCGTATGTAAAATAGACTTTGTCGCTTACCAACTTTATGTGCAGTACTTCGACGACAAATTATCCTCGAAGTTTATGAGCGGACAGGAACGATTTGAATATGTTAATTAAATTTTAAAAGTGTGATTCAGGCATTGAAAAAACTTTATTGGAGCTTATGTGACAAATTGCTTTGTGATTTTAAGCGTTTTAAATTAAAGAAGACATTTTTAGATTCCATTGGAAAAAAGTTTCGTTGATAAGAAAAGAACAAATTTTCCGTCTTTTGTGTATGTTAAAAGAAAAAGAAGAAGTAAAGAAAGCAAAACTCAAATGGTGGTCAATTTTCAATTTCCATCGAAGCACGGGATAAGAAAATCACTTCAAGGATTCTCATCTTCCGTCTCCATCTTCTATCGTCACCGGAAACAATTTCAACTCGTTTTTATTATTCTTTTCTCTTTTTTCTTTCTTTTTCTCACTCGATGGGATTCGATTTGACAGCGAAAAGGATTTGAGAAGATAAAAAGTTATCGTCTCCCTCCACTTGAAAGCCTCCAGAGACCTCAGCGCAACAAAGTAGTGTGTTAATTGTTTAAGTTTTAACATTAACTCCAAAAGCTTATTTTCGCATCCTGAGCGAAATTTTTATGTACAAGTCAGTAAAAAAGGGCTGAAAGTGATAAGGAAAACCTTCCGAAACGTAGATTTTTTATCCCCCATCATACATGCATTTAATACACCATTAATTTATCAGTAAAACCCTGAGAACAATTTAAACATTTTTTACACAACAAACATAACACGAGAAGCAGTAGCAACGGGAGGAAAGTTTTTTTTTTCTTTCTTTTCCCTCCATATTATAATATATAAAAAGATCGTCTCCGAAGCTACAACAACCCCAAAACAATTAATCTTCTCATGTACCTCTTGTAACGCCAAATATATATATAAAAAACAGAAAAAAAAGTGTGAATCCATCGAAAGTTTGAAGAGTTTGACGAGGAGCTGAAGCACAAGCCGACAAAAAAAGTGTAGAAAATTGTGTTCAACGATAGTTTATGGTTGAAGACCAACGCGAACTCATAAAAACAATTTTTTTTTCGTTTCGTTGAAATTGAGAACATCCGATGAGCTTTTTTTCGATGAATGAAAGAAGCACCAAAAGCAAGCAAAAAAAAACTGTTAATTATGATGTGATTGCTTTCTTTTACATAATAGATAATCAATTATAATTGATGTGCTGTGAAGAAGGCACAGTTTCAAGAAAACAAGTGTTGAAATAGTAGAACTAACAATAGAAATAAGACAAGAAGTGTTTTGCTAGCCAGTTCGTTCTTTGGGTCAACTAAATCAGCGCGCGAGCGAAGAAAGCTAAGAAAAAGAAGAAGATTCATAAAAATCCATTATTGGCATCTGAAAATCATCATCGAATAATTACTGAGCCAAAAAATTGGATTATTCGTTGCTTCAGTAAAATAAAATACATGAATTGAGATTTCGTTTTTCGATAGAAAAGTAACAACAAATAATTTCACCAGCAGCCTGGTTATGAGATGAATGTAAGTACTTTGACCGAATATGTTAAATGAATATTGTTATTCCACCACCATGAGTACGTCGCTTCGATCGTCTTATCGATATAGTGTCACATGGTTCATAAATTTTCATATTTTATCCTGTTTCATTCGTTCACATTTTTTTTTTTCAACTGGCGTTTTTATTGTTGTGGGAAATGGGCATTTCACGTCCGATGATGATTCAATTAAGTTTTGTGATTTAATCCGATTACGGTGGTGGCTTTTTGGCAGTTTCTATGCTCATTTCTATTTCCAGTTTTTCCTTTCTAACGTTTTCTCGACATCCCAAATTTGCAATGATTTTTCTTCTGTCATTCTTGTAAACTTGACCGAAATCTGATCTTTCAAAGTGGTTAATAAATAATTTCCCAGTAAGATCACGAAGCAAAAGGAAGCCTCTATTGAATGACAGCATCATTAAAAATCAATCAATATTTTGTGACATCTCCACCACTCTTCGTATCTTTTTTTTTAAAAAAAAAAGTTCTTTCTCTCACTCGCATTCTAACGAGGGTAGGCATAAGAAGAGAATTTGAAACATCAATACTGTCCATACATAACACTTTTCAATTTGCAATGAAAGCTCTTTAATTTATTTCCCCGTCGTCTAACGAAAGAAAATTTTTATATCTGCTTTCGGTTGTGCTGTCGGTGCCGTTAGCTCGCCGTCCCCTCCTTTAATTTTTTTTGTTGTTGATGATGCACAGCTAAATGAAAAAAAAACTTATAAGTTATAACACATATCCACAGTTCGTTGGAGAATCCTGGCACACACGATAACAGAATTCTTCTTTTTTGCTCATGTCAGTCTCTCTGCTTTTCTCGGCATGGTTCAGCAGCAATAGAGAGAATAAAAAGTGTATGAAAAAAATATATAATATGAAAAAAATATTGTATATCACGTCAAATCATCCACCCCCGAAAAAAACGCGCTCTTCTTGTCCCACGCTCCATTTTTCCCCCCTTAAAATCGTAAGCATTGAAACGGAGTAGGAAAAAAAATACGCATCTCATACAATGATCCGACATCGTCACACACAAACAGAGAGTCGATAGAATTTCAGTGTTTTTTTTCGGGGGAGACTTTGAGACTGTGTGTTTTACTGTTGTATGCCAAGCGTAAGGATAAAAAGATGGAGCAAGACAAGGAAGTCTTTAACTACTAGATTTGTCATAAATATCAGGGAATAAAAGTCACTAAATTGATATTTGATTTATTTTGTAATTCAAAGACAGTTTCCATCGATTGATAGTTAAATCGATTTTTAAAGTTTCTTGATTCAATATCTCATTAAGATTATTAAATTTATTGTCACATAATTAAATTATGAGTGAGAAAGTTATAATAAAATCACTCAACCTATTTGCCATATATATTTTTTAATAGATATTTATTTTATCACGATACTGTAATCAATCACGTCATCGATTTATTTCATCCCTAATACTAACATCGATTTAAATTTCATGAATATCTAATCTTGATGCTAGAGTATTCTTTGAACAAAAAGAATATAAAGAGAAATAAAAAAAACGAGGCATTGCGAAAGGATGAGAAAGATGAAAATTGAAACATAGGCAGCGACTATATGGAAATACTTCTGATAAGAGAGTGCGGAGTGTGTGTGATTGTCGAAGCATGAACATAAAGCAAAATGCTGAACATTAATTCCATCTTTATAAACACAGACACAGCCACCCTCTAATTGTATGCCACATGACAATTATTGAGCTTCTATTGAATAATTAATGTAGTGTATGAGCTTGCACAGTAATCTCGAGGATCTCTGTGCTTTGGCTTACTATTCTGCCACAGCTCTTGAGAATCCTGAACGTTGTATGAGTAAGAGAATGAATAATAAGAAAAGTTACTCTCGAGCAGCCAACAACACATAACAACAAAGGAAAAAATCATAAATGAAAAATCACGGATATGCTTGAATTAGGAAAGTGGGTGGAGATAGGGTTAAAAAATAGAGAAAAGGAAATCTCGAATGGCACATAAATAGTCTGAATCAGCATTTGTCGGATAGCGTACGAGAGAAACAGAGGCGTAAAGGCTGGAAAATCATATTCGGGGTTGAAATTTGGATCTGTTATAAAAAAACGCTGCTATATGCTCAAATGTTTTCACGGGAATTAACAGCAATTGTTGAAATAGTTTTCATGCTTGATGAGAGAATGAAAAGAAACGAGAAAAAGGAAATTCAGAAATTTCTCGTGCATAAGGACGTTTGTAGATGCGGCAAAAAAAAATACGGCTCATTGTGATATTACTTCTCTACAATGTTTTGTGCTACGGCTTGCCTTTTCCAAAAGACTTCACCATAATGTCGAGTGAGTAAGAGAAAGAGATGCGATAGATGCGATTAAATTCAACTCTTTTTATTCGTAAGTGTTTTCGTTTCTACTGCTGTTGCTATCGTCGTTGTATGCTGTGATCTTGTGTGCTTAGATTTCCAGTTGATTCAGAAAATATAAAATATAATGAATAAAAACAGCGAAATACAACAGCGATTACACACAGAAAAAAAAACTCCCCCAAACTTTTTTTTTCCATTCTCTTCATTCTAAATTATTTTTTATGGCCATTTGCGATTATAAAAAGCTCTTTTGAGCCTTTTGTTTGTCGAGCTCGGTTGTTTCTTTTGTTAATTGATTTTTTATTGCACATCATGGGCATTCAGATTCGAATAAAAAAAGCGAGAGGCGATGTGGTCAGCTCTTGAATAGGAGATTTGACGACGTAGATAGGGTTTTAACTGCACTTTAAATATTGTTTGCCGTGTGAGTTGTAGAAAAAAAAGGGAAAGGAGAACGAGTCGCAAGAGTCGTGAGTAGAACAACTCTGCATTTAATCGATTTCGTTCATTGACATTCCCCTCGAAGAACGGTTTAAATAATCCTCTATTTGAATGCATTCCACCCACTCAGCGCGCACTTCTTTTTTTTCTTTCTACCACTCGTACTGACTCTCGTTCCATCAACTAGCCCGTCTATTACATTCACATATCATCATTCCAAGATCTTTTCTCCCCTACACTCTCCCTTTCTCTCTTTCAATAAATAATGTTGATGTTGGATCCTCACTTGCAAGAGTGGAAAATGCTGAAGCTATGAAGAAAAGTTTTCCGTTTTCAAAAGAAGTAGAAGAGAAGCAAAAATGCAATTTTCTCGATGAATAAATTTTTCGTGTTGCATAGCATAAAGCAAACAAATTTCATTGTAATTGCCATTTTCCATTCGCTTCATTCATCCCGAAATAAAAACGAGAAACGGAAGAGATGAAGGTGACGGGAGAGAAAAAGCAACCAATTTCTGTGATGCCCGATTACACATGTGGATGCACAATATATTTTCACATCATCCAAAGCCGGAATGTTCAACATCTTCGCTTCACATTTCTTTTTCTTTACTTATCGGTTAACGACGTTCAGTGTTCGATTTATGATGTTTTCGATAGATTTTATTCTCAAGTTCTTCTCTAATTGCATCTATTTATGAAATGATCTCGTTCATCTTTGAGGGAAGAATAATTGCAAAGTCGGAGAGGAAATGGACGCGCCTCGTTGATAACACTTGCACAGGAACAACAAATTTGCACTTTTCGTTCTCGCAAATGCTTATGCCAGAAGTCGCTTGACTGCTGGTTTTTTTTTTATTTGCTTCTTTTTCTCAATCATCAAATTGCTAATTATCTTAGTCTTGATGTTGTTATTTCTCGTTATTTCTTTCTCCACTTCTCTTGCTTACTACATGGCGAGCATCTTGTTCATTGATTGTGCTACGTAGTGAAATGAAGAGTCAGAATACCGCAGCCACTTGATCGCGTTATAGCTGTTCTCTGGTTATTGATATCTTTGATTCAAGTTTTTTTTTCATTCTCCTTCTTCTTGATATACATTATATTCACATAATTTTATGTGTACATTCATTACGCTCAGCAGTTCAGCTTTTTTTAATGAGTTCTGATAAAACCAGTTTCCAACCATATCCGCCCTACAAAAATATTAACAATCATTTTGCTGCGAGCATCAATTTCTTCTCTCTGGTTTTACAGTTTTCCAGTCATTGAACAATGCAAATCAAAGAGAGTGTGGGAGAAGAAAAATAAGGCAAACGCTTCTAACAAATTTCTGTGGCTTTTCGTCGTCTTTTTCCGGAAGTTTTTCTACCGTAATGAGATAAAACTTTTCTTTGACTTTGACTCAGTGAGAAATTCAATATCGTCAAAATTATAGTCGATATGAGATTTATGTAGATGAAAAAAGCCTTTTTTTTAAATTGGCCATCATAAACGTTAGGCTTAACTCGCCATGACTCAACATCCCAATTTCCATTCAACCGAAAGTTTATTTTTTTGTGGTTTGATTTTTTTACTTCACTTCGTTCATGCTTTGCTCTTGTTCTTGTTTGATTCGTCATCATTACAATAACAAAATCTCAACAATGGATTTCACCGTAAAACAAAGCATCAGAATTGAACCAGAGTTGATACGATAGAGCATGGAAAAATCTGAATTGAGTAAAGGAAAAAGAAGTTGATTTGATACTTCATTTTTTTTCTTTTTTGTTCTCTTTGCTTGAAACACAATTGTTGTAGGAAAGTTTACGTAACGAGGAAATCGGATATTCCAATGGACCCATACACACGTTAAACCGTAAATTTAAAGACATTAAAGTTGAATTGTTGTATATTGGAAGCCACCTAACTTTAACAAAAAATTATATGCATTGCTTAGCTGGAGACGGATGAGTGCACAACAATAATATTGACAAAAGAAAAAGTATTTTAAAGTGAATGAAACACCTCAATACAACCCAGACTAAATTTGTTTCTCTTGTTTTTAAACTCTAAGTTGTGAGCTTCACAAAAGAAATCTCTCAAGAAAATATAAAGTTGAAAAGAAATGAATGGAAAAGTGCTTTGCCCGAAATAAAAGACGGTCGTCGCGCGGAAACAATACAAGAACAAGAAGAGTGTGGAAAAATGAATTAATTTTTTTATGATGATTTTCAATTGAACATAAAATAATTAACGTCAGCGAATACTGTATCAAGCAGAAATGAGTAAAAACAAAAGTTAAACAGACATACGAAGGGAGGGTGAATTTTCCTAGTAAAGACTTTTTTTAATCAAGTTTTGCATTAATGAAGTTTAAATTTTGATTCTTTGGGAAAGTTGTTTCAACTTTTGAATGACGTCTGGGAGAACGATGAAAAATCAACCCTCAAGGTTTTTATAAGTAGAAAAAAAAACGCAAAGAAACGAAAAGTTATACTTTAAGCTTTGAGCTTCTCCCCCTCTGCTTAATGAAGAAACCATTGCGCTTGAGAAACCACCGCAAGACCTTTTAACGAAAAAAAAAATTGAAGAAAGAAAACAAAAACACCAAAACATCTTGCTGTATGTAAAGCATGTAATGCCTAAGAATGGACGTCAAAAACAAAAACAGAAAAAGTCAAGAAAGAGGAAATGACGGTGAATATTCCGAGAATATAATTTTTCTGTTTCAAGCGCGATTTGAGACCTGGTTTAACAACAATTCAGGGGCATCGTGCGCACTCACCCAAATGGTCAATAATTTTACAATGCTCTTCCGATTCATATCATAATTTTTATGTCTTTTATGCTCTTGCGAAATACTGTGAGATAAAAAAAGATTTGAAAATTCTTCTTTTCTTGTGATGAGAAATTAAAATTTAATGTGAGTTCCCACAAAGATTTCACAAGTGAGCACACATTAAAAGCAGAGCAATTGAACTCTTGGGAAACAAGATAGCAGCGTGCAAAGGAAAAATATAGAAAAGTTTGACTAAAGTCTCGCGCAATTGGGTTCGGTTGTTCATCATTCATTAACTCATTGAGATATGTTGTTTAAAAGTGCTTTTATCACTTTTAATTATAATTAAACTTCTGCTTTGCTCCAAAGTCTTTGAACGCTTCTCAACTTGCTTTCTGTATTTTAAATAGAGTCGTCACATGTAATATATCATCTCATTAAAAATAATCATGTTTATTTGGTTGGAAATATTATTCATGTGCTTCTCTTTCTTTTATTAATGTTCATCGCTTTATGCTGAGTTTTGTAATGCACAAGTTCTTTCTCATTCCATTTGCCCCATTCTCCCCAAATCTCCTTCTACTCTTCATCTACACATCCATCCGTCGTCATCCAATCTAATCAGCAAAGATGTCTTTCTTCGGCGTGGTTCTTTTGAGATGACGTGCGGGAAAATCATAATAATGTATACATGATCCTAGTGAACGATGAAAATCAGCTTTTCTATGTTGGGATGAAATTGTTCTGAAATTGGTTCGGTTTGAATACTTATGCTGTGCATGTAGTACGTACAGATATTCTACATACATATATATAGCTATACGCTTAGTTGATGATTTATAATGAATTGATTTATCGTCCATGACTAATTTATGGTGTTATTTCTAATTAAGCATAAAGTCGGTAGGATTTGTGCTTTTCATCAGACAGAAGCGAATCAAAAAAGGGAACGATGAAAGATGAGATTTCTCATCCCCAACGCTATCTAACGTTTGCCTTTTCCATGTGCATGTGAAAGTGTGGAAATCTCCAATCTCTTTGCGCAAGTGATGTTTGAATGATATCAAACATGATGAAACATAATTTTCCCTCTGGTTAACATATGGTTAAATCCATCGCACTCTTTACCATCCTTCTTTGTTATATTCTATAAAATTTTTTGATATTCGTTAGCGACGAGAGAAATGTTTTAAGTGAGTAGAGAAAGACCAGAAACACAAAAAGCAAAATTTAGATACGATCAAGGAAAAAAGAAAAATGTCTTAAGAACAAACGACGACGATGAATAAGAACCAGATCTAACAGAAAGACAAAAACGAACCAACAACCCAAAAAGAGATTCAGATTATGAGAAAAAAAAGTTTATAATGTTTTAATGAATTAATAAGACGGAAAAAATAATAATCCACACTAAGACACACAGAACCTGAAAACGACAATCTTGTGAAATCGTAATGAGTTGAGATCAAGAGGGAACAATAGCAAGCGACTAGAGTAAAGGGAACACTTGAGAGCGAGTGATTAAGCGCTTTAATTAATTGACTCAATTGATGACGCATCCAATTCTTAAACTACAACTTTTCTTTCTTTTTTATCTTTCTTTTTATTTCTTCACAGAGTCGAGGTTCATGGTTCAGTGAATCAACGATGAATCTCGCTTAAAGTCAAATTTAAAGTAAATTTACATACAGACACGGCAGAACGGACAGACATGTGAAAAGTTCTCACACTCTGAACTATTTACAAAGCTGTTTTCAAAATGGTAATTTCATTTTATTAATAAAACAAGTCTTGATTATTGGTGGATCAAAACCAAAAGCTGAACAGAGACAGAAACATAAAAGAGAGCAAAAATTCGTCGCGAAGTTGGCGTTAAACAAGATTAAGAAGAAGGAAAAAAGAATAATAATAAAAAGAAGAAAGCATTAAAGAAAACGAAACTAAATTTGAGTTCTGCGGAGTGACAAAGTGCTTAGTTTTATTCCTTTTATGATTTCTCCACAAAACTTTTTCCCTCTCGTTCATCGCATCAAAGAATCATACACGAATTTGTGGATGAACGACCATCTGTGCAACTTTGTATCGGGAAAGTTCTCGACACTTGTTTGTAACGTTCCTAAAACTTATGCTTCTTGGTGCAGGCAACCCAATTTATTAAAGCAAGTTAGACAAGAAAGAAAGAAAAAAAAACTTTTGTTCGGTGTTTTGTGAGATAAGAAGAATGAAAAACCGAAGGAAAGAAAACATAAGAAAATCTTATTATCTTCACACACAGTTCTTTAACATCTTATTTCAGCTTTTGATTCTCTTTCAAGACTTTCTTACCGTTTGTGTCTTCGACAACCAGCCTCATGATCTCTGTTTCAGGTCGGTCGTGATGTTGATGTTACAGTTTATTATACCTCTCTCTCCCGTCAATTTTTTATTCTTCTTATTTCTTTATTCATTCTTGTAATTTACTTAAAAACTCAAAATTGTTTTCTGCTCTCTAATTTGTTTCTTCTTACCTAATATCATCAGACACACGTTTAAGTGGAGAAGCTCAAGAAAACGAAGACGAACAAGAGCAAAAAATGAAAATAAATAAAAAAAAAACAACTTTGCCTTATGTTTTCATAGTGATTTCTTCTTATTGACGTTTGCTGTGCCCATCTTGTGAGATAGTTCATCGTTCCGTTCGACAATTCTCTTTCTTTTCGCTTCTCAGTGTTATCACATTGCATATTATTAATAATTTCTGCTGGAGCGAAACGAAAAAGTTTATCGTGAAAGAAAAAAAAGTTTTCTTACTGCAAAAAATGTCGACGCGCTGAGTTTTGTTTGCAGCAATCTTAAGATGGTAAAAGCCATAGAAAGATTTCTCTCTTTCCTTAACTTCATAGTATGCAAAGTTAATGCCAAATTAAATATGAATGTGATTGTGTGTATGCCATGGTTGTTCATGTGTGCAAATTAATGATACATTCCTGTTTTCGGGGTGTGAGTGGGTGGAGGTAGCGACAGCAGCAACACGAAAACGAAGAAATAAAATTTCACAACGGTTGTTATGATTTTTTTTCCTCTCGACTTTTTCGTCTTTCCAAGTACATTTATGGCTGCCAAAAAGGACAAAAAAAAACGTTTTCATTCTTATTCTATGAGTTAGTTCATTAGGAAAAATCATGCATGAAGACACAGTCTCTTTGGAAACATACTCTTATGCGATAACGAGGAATGAACAATAAGAAACTTAAATTTATTCATTTTCACAACGCAAATTGATAACAAAGAAACAAGTTGACATGAAAATAAGAAACAAGGAGATATGAAAATATTTGAAAATTCTTCCATGGATGAATGAAAACTTCAACGATTGTATACTTCCTTTCGAGTTCATTGAAAAGTGAGATCATTAAATTTTGACGAAAGTGATTTGAGGATACAATGAAACCGTATAAAAGAGAATAAAACAGTCGTTGTTACATAACAAGGAACATTTACACGCGCATTATATAAATTGATTTGTTCTTTTACAGACATAACAAAATTGAAATTAATTTGGACAATTTGTTTGAACATTTAGCTCATGAAATATTTGTGAAATGAATTTTTTTTATTAGGATTCAACACAAACTTTGCTATGAATAAAATTTTTCTAGCTTAGATTTGGTTCTAAAGGTGAAGTTGTAAAATGCAAGGAATCCTTATGTACGATGTACCAGCAGCTAAGATATTTCGATTGTCGTTTTAACGTCTCAATAATTCCTATTTCTTTAAATTTTACTATCAATCTGTACAATCTTATGTTCCACACTTGTCTCACACCTGTTTGCCTTTTTTGCAAGGAGATGTTCTATAAAGTGCTTACGAAATCACTTCGAAGGAATATTTTGATAAAGGTTAAGGAACCATGCCATGTTTTCTCCCCATGTGAGACTCGGTTTTATTGCTGTTGATACTAAAAAGACGGCAATTAAGACGATGAATTATGGACAGAGAGGTCTTGAACTAAAACATCAGACAAGAAGAGATGGAAAAGAAGACGAAACCTTAAGTTTTGACTTTTCTAACCCGCCCCCGAAAGTAGAAAGGAAACAAATAAAAAAATCTTTCCATGCGCCACACTAGATGCGTCATTTACTAACGTTGTGATGAGATCACAAAGCGCAATAATGGATGTGAAGCAATTAAAGGCACATTAGCAATTTAATTCAATTTAAGCAAGTGAAGTCAACGATGAAGTAAAACTAAGTAGAAAGAAAAAAAAAGTCAATTGGTGAGTCGTAAAACTGTCGCCCGTGAACAATCCTTTTCGTTTCTATATTCTCATTTACGGACGTGTAACTATGGGAAAATACCGATTGTAACATAACATAAATTAACTCATTGGCAAGAGCGTCTTGACATTTTACGCCTCTGTGCTTATCTCCATCCATTGATCATTAGCATCAACATGCGTTGGTTCCAAAATGAAGCAGTTGTTTTTACAACAAATTTCATTTTACTTTCTGCATCCTCCATTCGACCATTAATTTCTGTTTTATGGCTGTTTCATTCATAAAAATCACTAGCTGTTGATCATGTTGCTTCTTTTTATTCGTTGTTGTGTTTGTGTTGCGAAAATAAAAAAGTTTACAAAAGACTTTGAATACGCACGTGGTCAACTACAGTGGAACAGAAAAAAAAATCTTCAATCGAGCGAGAAGAGAAAAAAGCAATCGCTTTCAAGCTACAAGTCTATTGATGGCTTTATATGGAATTTTTATTGTCAAAGGGAACGTCAGTCTTGCTTTTTTATTTTTTTATTGGCAATCAATTTAACATTCGCTGCATGCTTTTAATCTCTTCAATTGAATATATCAAAGCGACTAATAGTTATTCACTTGCCACGTACCCTCCGGATATTACAAAATCGTAGTACTTACCTTTTACGCTTCATTCAATCGTTCATTCATTCATTTCGATCGTTCTTTCATTTTTTCTCACTCATTTTAAAACTAAAATTAATCGACACGATTGAATAAAAATTGCTGTTGGATGTTGGTACAACACACATTTTCAATGGCGTTATTATTATAATTTCAACGTCACATTCAAGACCACTTCCATCAACCCACACGCTTGGTTTAAGCCTTTTACAACTTCTCGATTGTCTAGTTGACGAGTTATAAATACGTATGTATCGAGTTGACTCCTTTAGCGATCGTTGTTCACAAAAAAAACGAAATCGACTCTCTCTAAGCGGTATAAGGTACAAGAAGAAGCTGTAAAAAAAACTTGATTCCCATAACTGTTTGGCAAGATGTTTAAAGTCGATTTTCGGATGAATTCATTGAACATCAGCAGGGAGATTGGAAGTCGATGTTATATCGCTTTTTGATCAATCAAACATAAAGAAAGAAAAGTAAAAGAGAGAGAGAGAGAGAAAAGGAGAAAGAACGACAAAAAATATCAAGCATAAAAAATCAGGTTTTCAAGCTTTAACGTTGTCATATCGAAAGCCAATAAAAAGATTGATTTCATTCTGAGTGGAGTTTGAACCTCAGGAAATTTAATCTTTCCTTCTTGTACGACCCAAGGAAAGGAAGTACATGAGAAGTCTTCTTTTCTTGTCATTGAATCGATTCAATAAAAATTCGTCGAAGCACTGAGTGATAGTAGTGATAATCAAATGAGCTTACGAGAAGGAAACAAGTTTTTTACAGTCGCTCAGTTACTGATGCTGGGATATAATAATTTTTAATACTGTTGATTTTCAAGTTTTGCAATGCAACAGCAAATATGAAAGAATTGAAGAAGTAAAAGGAGTTGCGAATAATAAATAGGCGCGAGTGGTGTAAGAAGAAATAAGTTTTAAAATTATGAATGAAGACCGAAGCGAGTTGAAGCAACAACAAGACAGCTATAATACAAACGTTAACGTGGAGAATAGGTTGCTTGTGCAAAAAACAACAAAAAATACATGGACGAAAGCGAAAAAATCTCAACAAATGGTTGAACTCTTTGTACAAGTTAAGATTTTTCCATTTATTTTCTCATCCTTGCGCTGAAGGCTCTCTGCGTCTATCGCGTTTCGCCAAAAGGAGATTCACATGTCTAATAACTCATAAATTCTGTGACAGGAAAAAAAGAAATGAATTAAAACCATCACGAAATCCCTCTAAATTTATCGTTTCCAGGTCACAATGTGTATGTACGTCGATCAAGAAGCGCAAAAGGAAAATTTCTCGTCGCTTTTCTATGCCATTTGCCAACCACAATGATAGAACGAGTAAAAAAAAGCATTAAGAATGCACTTGAGTTGAGAATAAATTTGTTTTAAAGAAATTTGAATATGATAATTGTAACTGAGGTTATTGCACGATGATGGCATTAATTGCAAGAGAATTTGAATTCAAAAAATGTTAACAGATGTAAAAAACCACAATGCAATAGTCATTGATGTATAGCCTTGTTTATTTCTTAAAGTTTTTGTCACTAAAAGCAATTTGTTTCAAGTTGTAATTTCAACCAACTCCTGAGTTAAATGTCGTTCAAGTCCGGGAAGTTGAATGATCGTAAGAGTCCCAAAACCGTATAAGGTTTCAAGTAACATTGACATTATGTGGGTTTTCTGGTTCCTTTCAGAAACCACTTTCTGCTATTGATTAGGGCTTGATTTGACAACTACGTGCTTGCTTTTTACTCATTCACTCCTTCTCGCTAATGTGCCATAAAATTTAAGCCTAATTAATCGTAACGCATCGCTGGCTATTCTCATTATTAACATGAAATGTTGAATAGGAATAGTCATGACTCAAGTTGACGTACAATTCCCATTCATTCATTCAGTCTTAATTTTGTCTTACCCGTACAAGAGAAGAAGCTATAACCGGGGAAAAATGGAGTCATAAAAATTGAACTCTCATACAAATACATCAGAATGAAAACTACATATGATGAAGATAAAAAAAAAGCCACAAGAAAGAATCAACAAAAAAAACTGCTACACTTGACAGAGTCGAATTTTCTTCCTTTCGTCGATGCCAGAAAAGTTTCTTTGCATGTCTTTCTGCTCGATTTATTGCTCATACATAAAGCGAAATGGAAGTATTTGAAATTCAGAGTGCATTTGCACAACATCATGACGTGAGAGCGACATTATATTTTTTTTCCTCGTTTCTTTTTTATGCTTAATGTCTTTCAAGGGTATCAACATGCTTTTCGACAATGTGCACACAAACCAGCTCTGAGTAAGAATGGGATAAAAACAAAGAAGACGAGCAGAAGAATTATGAAGAGCACGTTGAAATAAAATAGAAATTAAAGCAGGCAAAAAAAAGAGAAGAAAGACGACGGGGCGATAATGAAATGTATTTTCCCAGAGCATTAGCATAATTATGTGCGCGTAGCCTCGCGAGAGTACAGAGTAGAGCAAAGGCAGGCAAAAGGCGAAATAAAGAAACAGAATTGATGGAAGATTTTTCGAGCGAAGAACTTTCCTCATGAATGTAAAGAAATCGTCGCGTTGAGACGACAAATTTATTATGAAAAAATAATTAAGCTTCAGTCGAACTCACAATCGAGTGAAGCATAAGAAAAAAAAAGAATTGAACAAATGAATAAATTCTTCTTGATTTTTGGGGTGCTTTGCGTCGTCCCGAAAGCATAGCAGAAAATTATTTGGGAAAATTGAGAATAACAGAGGAAAAAAAAGTTTCATACACAGTCAAGTTCATCATCAGATAAATATTATTCATAGGCCTTTTCAATGAGTTCATTTCGGTCGAAAAAAGAAGATAAAACCGCGGCAGGGCCATAAAATGTATTCTACTTTCTTGCCTAATTTTATTTTCTGCTTTTTCTAAAAACAAAAAAAGAGAAATATCTGTGAATGCTGCGCAAAGGTAAAACAAAAATCGACATCTAAAACGACGTGAACTTCGCTTATCTTTCAATGTGAATCTGATGTAGATGAAGATTATGTCGAATGCTGTAATTAAAGACGCGCTTGATTGCTAGGAAAACTGGAATTACCGGGGCCTATTTAAATTCTCATTCGCGTTGAATGAGTTCGTTTACGTTGAATATTTATTTATTGCGTATTCTATCAATGGCAGCATACAAAGTGGAATCAATCTTGCAAAAAGGAAGCTTTGGGATAATAGAACTTCCCTACCATCGACTCGTGTGTGTGAACAAAAAAGAAAGCCAAAAAAGTGCCAATTTCCAATCAATTTTCATTGCAAATTGATCATTTCCAGGCGTCGGCATGAGAACAGTTATCAGACTTTAGCATCGATTGTGTTGATGCTACCGCATTTTTACCTCAATATTAAATTGTGAGGGCAGCTATGTAAGCCCGAACGAACTTTTGTCACAAACATTAAGCATAATCAATTGATTTTCTCACTAAATTTTATTCTCTGCTCTATTCAATTCCAGATAAATCGACTCGATGCAAAGATGAAAGCCAAACCGCATTGTTGGTGGTATTTCGTGGTAATTTTATCAACAATAGGTAAGTGAATCTGGTTGACATTTTCCATTTCGTTAATTTGATTTCAAATTTCATATCGATGAATGTACCTAATCTAAAAGCAATGACCATGTAAATTCAGCAATAGGATTTAAATATTTAAAGTTTAAAGAAAGTCAAAAGATAATGATGATGAAACACATCCGTCAGAACAATTTAAAAATGTCAAATGGATGAAATATAAAACGATTTTTACACTCAACACCGTATCCACGCTTGAAATGAAATCTATTCCAACTCATAACTTTTCACTCTTTAGAAATCAAGTTCCAACGCGTCTAAGCTATTGTTTTCATTTATGACATCTTTTCCATCGTGTATCGTGTAGGAATGAGAAGAAGTGTTCAGAGCAACAAAGAGTGACTTCGTATCATTCTTCTAACAATCCACTTTTCGCTTCTTTATTTCCCTGATGCTAACTCTATATACATACACACTTGCAACAACCGTCAGTTCCACCTGATGCACAGGTGCACCGCTTTCAATTAACTATAATAATAATTCCCCTCGATTCAAAAGAAACATGTGCTTCATTTTTTTTCATTCGTCTCTTCATTATATATCTTTTCACTGTTTGAGAAGCAAGAATTTGCTTTGAGAAATATTTTCCTTTTGCATTGAGTTTCGTGCTACAAACGAACAGTTTTTTTTTTCAACTTCACTTTGTTAAATAAAATGTTCGTCGAACAAAACTAACAATATAAAAGAAGCATGCACTAAAAATATGAAATCCGAACGGAATATGCTTATACTCATATATTTCCAAAAATATGGTGATGATTCCAGTTCTCCTGCATGGCTAACATGCACTTCTCGACACTATCGCACAAATAAATTTTCATGAAAGCTGCAAGCAATCGAGAGAGTTAAGAATATTTCAACAATTTTCGAGTTTCTTCTTCATATTTATAAAATAAAAAATTCAACAATTGTGTCACGTCGTAGATAGTTTAAAACGGTGGATCATGTAAGTTTGAAATTATAAAATTGTATAAAGATAATTTCAAAGCATCTGACATTTAATTGAAAAGAAAACGACACACAAAGTGATCATTTTCTGGAATTTTGAAACCAACAATGCGAGTAAAATAACCATTTAACATTTATTCAAGTTATTTCTGCTCAAAATTGATGTTCTATTTGACTAAATTTCTAGTTTAAAGTTTGCAAAAATTTCAATCTTCTGCTGCAAATGAAAAGGAATTCTTCGGCATCAAAATCAAGAAGAGAGATGTGACGTTGATTCCATCCCTATCCCTTTAAATATCTCAGCTTCCAACAGCGAAATAAACATGTAACATATTTGTGTCATAAAGATTTTCTTCTTCATCTTTCATTGCTTTTCATCTGTTTTGAAAGCCCGCATCTTAATGTGACGTTATTTATGTTTAATCCTATCAAAACTATTGTTTTCTCATTGCTTTTATTACGAGAATTTTTTTGGGATTTTCAAATCTTTTGTATTATTTTATTATTCTGCAACCAGAAACAATCAAACATACACATTGACAAAACGAAACGTATTTAGCACCCCGGATGATGATGGCATTAGACAATAGAGTGGGAAAATTTTTCATTATGTTTTATTTTGTATTATCTATTATGCGATTGTCTTTCCTTCTCACTCTTTCTTTCACTTTATTTTGCCCTGAACAGCACCAATTTATGATGATGATGGTGAGAATCTCCCTTTAATGTTTTATTCTGTTTTATGATTTCATTTAAGAGTCAAACGAGACTCTTTTTGGGTAGATAGAGCGACGCAAGGGGGAAAGGTGTAAATTTGTTGCGCTGTTACCTGCTTTCAGACACCTTAAGCAGGGCACGTGTATGCTGAGAGAAAAACAGGTTTCGTTGAACCATCAGGTGGAATCTTTACATTTTTTTTTCTTTTTCTTTTGTTCTTTTTAAATTAACACAAAGGCACCATCCCTAATTAAGCTTTGTGCACATCCAATCCACGGAATTATTTAAGAACATTTCGTGCACTTGACATCGTCGTACCTTGCGGAGTCGAATCGTTTAACTTTTAAAGACATTCGCGAAATAACGAAAGCAGCATCAAATTAATTTTCACCTGCTGAAAGAAAAAAGAGAACCTCGTGACGGTATTTAAAGAACATTTTTAGGATGGAATGAGAAACTCCACGCTGTTCACATATAAACACAGACAGGCGAGTTATTCTGAACATGAACCACCGGAATTGGAAATACAAATAGAAAGTAAATTCATTATTAAATTAATTCGAATCTTAAGATTCAGCTCCACATTTTCTTCCCTTACTCTCTTCCTATCTCTCTCGTTTCCACATCCGGTCGAGTGCCCAAGGTGCTTTTCTTTATCCAACAAAACATTCTGATGCATTCGAGGAGAGAATTTAGATAAGCATCATGAGATTTTCAACACATTTTCTGAGTTGTACTAACGTGCGTATTTTCCATAGAAATGCGAAAACGAAAGAAGGAAAGTGTTTAAATATTTAAAAAGATTTCCTTTATTTCTGTTCTTTTTTAACTCTGTCAGTGCGACGAAGGCACGGCATGGAATAAAAGAAACAACAACATTATTCTTTATCTCCTCATAACATGAAGTTTGTCCCTGGTGACGCACAAAAAAAGTGGGCAGCAATGGATGTGGTGATGGTGTGGCTTCTCAAATGTCATCTAAGTTTATAATTTCACCTTAACGGGAAAAGACACACAAAAAAAATGAAAGGAAAGAAAAAAAAGAAAATGCGTAGAAAGAAAAAAGGAAGGAAAAATCCTTTTGGGAAATGTCATCAGCGAAAATCCTTCTTTAAAATTCTTCCTATCTAGACAGCAAGAAAACGTTGTGCGAGTGAAGCTTTCGTATATTTAATGACAACTCATTAATGTTTGAAAAGAAAAAAAAGAAAATACCTGGAGGCCACAATATAAATTGTTTGTTTAAGTTTGTTGAGAAGAAAAGATTTTTGTCTTGTGCCAGGGTTGAAAATTAAATATTTTTTTGACACAAAGTGACATCTGTCAACTTAGATCTGAGGAAAAAATCCGATGATCTTTTTCTCCCTTTCGTTCTGTCGAAAATCAATCCTGAAAGTTTCATTAAAGTAATTTGGTAACATATGTAAGATCATCACATAAACATCTTCATGCTCTAGTTTTTCCTTTTGCGAAATCTTTCTTCTTTTACTATTGTTTTCCAATTTCGGAATAGACGAAAATAGATTGCTTACTTCTTGACTTCTTGACACTTAACATTTGACTTTCAAGAACACCAAGCATCTCTTGACTACATTATCATAAATCCATGCAATTTACCATCCCTGCTTTCTCAAGGATTGACGAAGATTTGCATAACATTCTTAAATTTCTCAAAACGACTTTAAAGGCTTTCGTGATGTGTAAAAAATGTAAAATTGCTAAGCCCTCCATTCGTAATGAAGTTCACACACGTACGCCACCCCTATCCGTTGGCTTAAATGTTTGAGTGAAGAGTTATTTGCCAAAGCTAACATATCTATAGAGAGGAAAGAAAAAGAAAATCAGCTAAAAACAAACGTACAAGCTATGTACGCTGAAGGAAAAGAAAACAATGGAAAAATTAAAGAAAAAGAAGTTAAGGAAGAACGTCTTAGAAATCGCTCCATTTCACTCTCTCACCACCATTAGATCGACTCAATTTTTTCTACGCTCATTTTGCTATCTTTCTCACTGCCGGGGTGTTTATTCTTACCATTCATTTTATTTATCACGTCCTTATTAAAGCTAAATTAATTTTAATGCCATTAACGCACATAAATTTGTTCAGTTTTGTTTGTGTCAGTGGATGGGGGACGATCGCCGGAGACTTTTTTCTCTCTAATACTCATTCCCATAACTCGGCCGCTTGGCTTTCCTTTCTTCACTTGAACTGCTCATTCTTTTCTTTGCTTTCATGTTACACTCAGTCGTTTAATACGAATAATAAATCATTGGGGAACGTTTGTAGATGGAACAATTGAAGTTGAAGGAAAAAGCGAAGAACTCTAGAGGGAGAAGAAAAAGTGTTTAAAAATGCAACAATGTAATCAGGGAATCATCCCAACGGCAAACGAAATTGATGTCAAGGCATTTATTTGCATGCTTTGTTTATCGTTCGTCACCACCGCCGTCTTGTTGACGATGTCATGTTGATGAAATATAAATAAATTCACGTGGATTTCAACTTCTTTTTCCTATTCTAAGTCATCTCCCACACCGAATAAATGTTATAACGTCCAACATAGATGAATGAAAAGAGAAGGCAAAAACAAATGTTATCGCATGATGAGTTCATAAAAAAAGAAGAGAAATGTTCACAAACGAGGCCTTCACAATGTACACAAACTGAGGGCGCTCGAGTCCGAGTGACTGATGAGGGGTTAAATCGTGATATTCATCTCTCTCGAAGGGACGACACAGAATACGAGATGGCGAAAATGGAGTTGAAAAGGAACTGTATTTAGAAAGGGAAAATAGAAAAAAATGGGAGGAAGGAGGGGTCGAAAATGTGAAAGAGAAAGAATTGAGGGACATTTTTATCGGTGAATGTGGCACAGAAATGTCTTTTGTCGACGCTTATCACCCAGCAACATTGAAGAAAACAGACAAAAAATGTTATTATAAAAAAAAAGAAAATTTTCGGTTGATACAAATTTTTAATTACCATCTCCCATGATTCCCATGTCGCCAGCAACGATTTTTCTGCGCTGTTGCGGATCAAGATGGCTCGCGCGCCTGTCAACGGCCTATCTTGACCTTTCCCAGATAAAACTTTAATAAATAATGTCTGTAATTTTCGAGACATGTGTTTTAGTTTTTTTTTCTTTTTCCTTTCCTTTCCCTCTCCCAGGCATGAGCAACAACAACCAAAGCGATATTTCAGTTTGTTTCTTTTTCGGAAATTGTCTCAAGCAACGATAATTTCTGTCGATCTGTTAGTCGAAAATTGAATAATAACATCAGAACTGCGGGAGAATGAAGAACATAGAAGTGTATACACCTAGTGAAATGTTTATGAAGTTTCTTATTATGAGGACAATTTATTTTGGGGGAAGCAAGAAAGAAATATTGAAATATTTCTTTTGTTCGTTTCGCTATCTCTTCGAGCTCGATGAATCTAATTAACCAAACTACATCATCGTCATCAAATAAACGTTTTTCCTTCGCTCTGCTGTCTTCAATCAACAGAATAGGGAAGAAAAGTAGATGATATTCAATTATTGTTGTTTAATTCTCTTAGAAAGTTTTTATTATCTGATTAATGATATCAACTGCCACTTTTCAATCTGTTACTGCATCACTGAAAGATAAATCTTCTCAAGATTCCAATCCATAATAAATTTGAGAACATTGAGACAGATGAAAATTGTTTTTCTTTCATTTTTATTATTGTTTTCATAAGATAAGAGGTGAGAGATGAAAAATAACGTTTCGCCAAGCTAAATAAAATCTCGACATGTTGTAGCAGAAAGGGGGGAAGCAGGCAAAAGCTTTTTATTCGCATATGTTAGTGAAATAAATCATCACCTTTCATCACGTTGTAGAATTTCAATCCAATTTAAATGCAAAAGAAAAATATTTTGCGAGCAAGATTAAAACTTTTTCATACTTTTACATTACATGACATCATTATATTGGATAAGTTTTAAATTTTTGTCTTCTTAGTAATGAAGCTACAAGTGAAACTTAATGAATTTTTATGCTTTTTTTATTCTATCATATAATCTCTGTGTAAACATTCATTTCTTCATGTTTTTCACTTTCAAATTCAACGAGTAAGTGAGACGAGAAGGAAACTTTAATGACGATGACTTTAACATTTAAAGTCAACTTTATTTCCTTTTAACAACATTTAAGTGAAGGCTTTGTTTAAAGTACATAGTTGCAGAACAAATAAATGTTAAAGTTCAAAGTAATTAATAAAGTTTCAAAAGGGTCACTTCCAACCATGTAAATCTATACATAAATCTTTCAATCATTAACAATAAGTATGTTAATGAACAATTTGGAATAATTTCTTTTTTTATCCGTCTTTTCTCTTAAATTCTAAGAATGTAACGCCTTTGAAAAGTCGTTCATCTAAAATAGAATAAGTCTCATTGTTGATTGTTACCAATGGAGATCACCACGGAGGCGTCAAATAATACAAGAAATATGATAAAAAAAGATGTCAAGATGAGACTTATTATTACGCCGTTCAACATACGCACTGACTAAACTTTCGAGAACAAAAACATGTGTCGCATGAAGAGAGTGAACGAATTTTTTATTAACGACAAAATCATCCATCTCGTCTCTAACACATTCTTCTTCTACATCTTCTTATTCTTCTTTTTATCATGTTTTGGGTTGTTCTTTTATATTTTTCTTTACGTTATTTATGAGTTTTATGGCTGATACATATCTCATGCTGAGTCTCTTGATGTGGTGTGATGTTAAAGTTCACTCACACCAGAAGTTTGTCACTTTTAATAAGAAAAATCAATTAAGTTTCATTCTTTTTCCGCATCATCTCACTGCTGATATTGTCGTTCATCTCTTATTGTGTTGATGTTATAATTGGGAATTTAATTTTTTGTTTTGTTGGTTTCCATCACGATTTCGTGAAGCTGAAATGCGGTTCATCATCTTCCGCCCGCACATCAAACCACTTCTTAAATTTTTATTTCGTTCCTTATGATTCCTCTCGTGTGCCCCCTTGGCGTTGCTTTACTTATAATGAGTGAGACACGATAAAAGATCATCATTGCGTCGTAATTGTTTTAATTAATTCTAATTGAAATTTTTAACGTTCTCTTCTCATTCTTCTCATCCAGTAGCACATCACTCAGTGACAGCAACTAAACAATATTTCCGCACCCATCCCACAAATCTTCAAGTGCTCGAGGGATCTGAAGCGCTGTTACGATGCGAAATCACAAATCTAGCAGGCAGCGTTCAATGGGTCAAAGATGGCTTCGCATTGGGTAAGTTTCAATATTTTCCTTTTTCATCTATTTGTTTATACATACAAATAAATTTTCGAATCTCAAAATAATTGAAATATTTTTATTCTTTTTATAGGGTTTTCGGAGAAAATTCCGGGCTATCCACGCTATAGTATGATTGGCGATCGTAACTATGGTGTTTTCAATTTACGTATTCATAACGCATCGCTTGAGGATGATGCCGAATTTCAATGTCAAGTTGGACCAGCAAAAAATTCCGATCCCATTCGAACGGCAGCTAATTTAACTGTCATATGTGAGTATCAAAAGAATATTCTTTGCATTTATTTACTGTTATTTGATATGAGAGATACAAAATCAGGATCATTAAATTGTTCAAACACTCAATGTATAATTTATTTCTGGATTTGGTGCATGATGTGCCTTAAATAAATAAAATCCTTTGTCAATATTACAAGTTGAAGTCAGTCCACACATTGGTCACCTCAAGAACAATAGTTTGACAACATGACAAACACTTTCACCCACAAGATTTGCAAGTGTATGTATGTGTTGGTTAGTGTGACTATAAGTCTCGGTTTCACTTTTCATAACTTCCATAAAAAAAGGAAAGAAAAAGAGGAAAGAAAAACATTGTTTGATGAAGTAAATAAAGTTGAGAAGAAAAGATTCCATCGTCAGAAAAATAATAATTACTTTTGACATCATCTTCCCCCAACAACCACCCGAGAAAAAGCTTCTCTTCTAGCCAACTTGAAACGCTTTGGTATCATGAATTCCTATTCAGAGAAAAGTTGACAATTGATATCTTTTGTTATCGCACCGTTTATGTGACTTTCGACTGTCTGTGTTCATATCGTTCGAATGGAAAAGGAATGAAGAAGAGGAAGAAGCGGTGATATTGAGAACGAAGGGGAGGCGGAAAATCGAGGAATGTTGTTTTTAAATACTTAACAATTTGTTGTTGCTGTGAAAATAGACACCACTTAGCCACCCTTAGTTATCATACCATTCTTCTTATTCGCTCCTTGGCAACGCTAAAAACCCGTTCTGATAAAGCAAAAGAAGCTTTATGAGGTTGAGTAGAGAGCTTGCTACTGCTGTTGAAGCTTTTTACTCCCAACTTAACAAAAGTGAGCGAAAAGTTATGATGTACGGGAAAAAGTTTGTGAGTTTTAACAAATAACTTCAGATTTATTACATTAGGAAACTTTTCAATGAGACTAAAACTTTCGACGCAAACAATGCACTCTTTGAGCTCAAATATTGCCTCAACCCATTGCTATCGTCTCAGCTATGCTTTTCCTAAGAAAATGGCAGATATTTAAAGAAACAAAATTTAAATTTGACGATGAAAACAGTAGGAAAGAAGAAAGAAATATCGCGGAAAGTATGTTAAGGAAAATGAAAATTTTCATCGTTTTTCCTACAACGAATTTCTTTATATTGAAAATACAAAAATCAAGCAAAGATTCTCTTACACGAGCGTAGCACATGATTACATATTCAGTACATAATATTCGTATGAATTTTCGCTTGATTGTTTAAATCGAGAGCAAGCGAATAAAATTCTTAAAATGTAAGAACAGAATTTCATGGATGATGTCATTGCTTTGCTTAGCTTTCCTTCCAGCACGTGGGCTTAAATTTAAAATATAAATAACTCTACACAGTCGAATGGTTTATAGGAAAAATGCTCGTCTTAAATCTTGTTTCCATCAAAAATCAATCACGTAAAATTATGAAAATGAAACACGATCTTTACATGTTTGTTGCTTGAGAGACTTCAGAAAAACAATGGAAGATTTATTTTCCGATAAAGTAGCGCACGGGTAGCTGTTACAGCATCTCGTCATAATGTCACGGTAAAATGTTATGTTTTCAGATATCCTCAAAATAAACAAACATTAACTTCCGTAATGGCTATAAATGTATACGTAGAGACGACATTATTAAAAAAACGTTCCCATTTCACTCGTATGAACAAAGAATTGTAAAGCTTGAAACTCAATTTTTACCAATTGTGTTCAACGCGAATTTGTAAAGATGAAAAGAAAAGTTCATTCTTTCAGTTCTCGCTTTTCATCCCATCCGAAGAGTTTCATCTTTGTCGAGATGTTTCTTCATACTTGCCATGCTTCTATCTTCTCATTTTCATGGAATGTAAGGAAAAAGAAGCATATTCAAGGAGTATTCAGCGCACCCCTAAACAAACATTCGCTCTTCTCTCTTGAAATCGGATCCAAATTTTTTTTTTCTTTCATCCTTCGCTTTTTTTTTATTTTGTTTTTCCTCCGCGTGAAGAATAACATCAACAAGAAAACATTTCTTTTTCTGTTAGTCGTTTCCTTCTCGCTTTTCTTCTCGTAAGAACACAAATTTATTCATCACAGTTAAGCAGAAACAACATCAAAAATGTATAAAACAATACGTATTGTGAAATAAAAAAAGCTCAAGATAAGAGTCCTTGGGAAATTAAGATTGATTCGTAAATTTTCCATCACATTTGCAGTTCTAAAAGGCACGAGGATGCATTTACATAAATTATTTCTTTTTACAAATATGTATACGCGAATGTGGATAAAATAATAAGTTTGGGTGTGGGTTTGAAACAAAGAGAGAAAAGAAAGGAAGTGAAGCGAGTTTAGCCTCAACCACTTATGATGAAAATTTTCATTTAACTCCTCAAAATAACCTCGAGCTCTGTACTCGACAAAAACTCTTTTAGTAGGTTACATATTTACTTCAGCAAGATGGAAAATGGAAAACAAATCGTGCGTCTTAGCATTATTCTTCCCATTCCATATTTCAACTGCGCTTGACGACATCAGACACAGCATTGTTTAGCATAGCATTTTAAGCTTCATTCCCTAGTCTCATTTCACCTTCATCTCAAATCACTGAAGCTTTTAAACAGCACAAAAATAAATTATTACCTGCTACCTGAATATGATGGCTCGAGATTTAAAGCTTCTTTTCTTTCTCTTTGGGACAAGGGTGAGCGACTGTTGCCGCTTGGTTAAAGTTAAAAAAAAAGGAATCTCAACGAAGAAACGTACATTTACGATCCTCATTAATATTTCACATCAATGCTTGGGATGTTCACTTTCTGATTTTTTTTTTTTGTTATCTCGTTCTCTCACCCACGTTACAAGTCTTGCTTTGGTCGCCACCTTCTTCTCTTCAAGCATTTTCTGCTTGGCAGAAAATTCCATTAGAATAGTCGTAATGAAATTATATTCAAAGCATAAGTCTTGAGAAAAAAATGTAATTGATTTTATACATTTCTGCTTTCGTGGTGTTTATTTGAGGATCAGATATAAATAAAAGTTTCTACACAACATCACTCCATTCCTCCTCTAATCTCGCTATGTTTATGTTGCCTAAATTATGGAAAAGCTGTTGCTGTTGCATTTTGACAGGAAGGAGAAAAAAATTGAATGAGAAAACTTGGATGAATTATCACCCTGAAAAGTTTCCCATAATAAGTCTTAATTCTACCCAAACTCTAATGATATCTCATTATTTACACTTTGAAAGAAGATGCTGAAATTTTCTTATCGCAACTCATTTTACATGAAAATGAAGAATGAATAAAAGAAGAAGGAGATGATAAAAAATTCTATGTGAAAGCAGATACATTTAAAGACGTTACATTCTCTACGTACCACCTTTCCTTCATAGAAGTGATGGAAAATAATGAAGAAAAAGCTACGGAAAGTTTAACAGACGGAAAAGGAAAATTTCACTGCCAGAGAATGTCAATTGGGAAACATAAAGTAATTTTCCCGACGTTTCAGAGCCTTTTTCGAAACCACACGCACGCACGCACGAATCAACCTCACACAACATAATCGCTCACACACATACACATTCATTTATGTATTTTATTTTGTAAATATCTACATATATATTGCGGAATGTAGTAGAATTATCAGTGGTGTCGTATAGACTGTCACGACAAATTAATTATTCCCTTTACGCCCCAAAAACTTTCCAAATTATCGCACGAAAAGTTTTTAGCAACAGAATATTAACTTTAATTTTCTGCAGCTCCACCATCGTCCATCGACATTGAAGCCTCATCCTATGGCACAATTATTGCTAAACAAAATAACAAAGTAGATGTAAAAGAAAATCAAGACTTGATGTTGTCATGCACAATCGCAAACAGTAAGCCAGCGGCCGAAATAAAATGGTATCGTGGGCATGTTGAGATGAAGGCATCGGACAATCGACACGACGTTGTCATCCCATTAGACAATAAACGATTCACTGTATCGTCAAATTTGACGATAAAAGCATCGGCCAATGATGATCTCGTCGATTATACGTGCAGGGCGAAGCATCAAGCTTTGTCACCAGATCATCCCATGAAGTCAACAGTACAAGTATCAGTATTGAAACCGCCTGGTGAACCATTTATAGAAGGTTATAGTAAAGGCGAACGTCTCCGAAGTGGCCAAGAAGTCGAACTTGTGTGTCGATCTTATGGTGGAAATCCTCCAGCCCAACTTATTTGGTACAAAAATAACCGACAAGTTGTTAGTCAATACACAACATCGGGTCGTGATTCAGCAAGCACGTATCGTTTCAAAGTCCAATCGGGTGACAACAAAGCTCGGTTGAGATGTGAAGCAAGTAATACAATCTCAGATAAATCATTAAAGAAGGAACTGGACTTAACTGTATTGTGTAAGTATTTTATTTTTATTACTTATCCTATTACTTAAATATTAAACATAAGAATCTTATGATTCATGCTTTCACATAAAAAAGCTTTTTTCCCTCCACATAAATTTCTAAAAATAAAATTGTCGACGAGATTTCTTCAAGTATAAACTTTAAGCAATTACGTTGTTATCAATTAATCGAGAGAAAAGTTTACAAAGACTGTTGCTAAAGCTGCTTGATCGGCGTTTATTCTAATTCAATTTTAAAGGAGGACTCTATGAGTTACGTAGAGAGTTTCGAGCAGATGCTTAGCATCATAAAAATCACGACTTTAACGCTCTTTTAAGCTCTCGAAATTTATCGATGTTCCCTTAATCGCTTTATTGCTCGTCTTTTACCTGATAGCAAAAGTTCTTCAGTAATTTTTATCGCTTTATGACTCCCGCAGTTCAACTTCCATCTCTGTCTTCTTTTCTATTTTCTCCCTTTCCAATTCTTTTACTTATTAGTTACATTCAGATGATTTTTTTCAAATAAATATTTATCTTTTTTCTCTTCTTCATGTTAAACGAATCAAAAAATATAAAGTTCCACCCACACAAGTTACAATAGCCGGTCCAACAGAAGCTCGACAAGGCGAAATTGTCAATTTTCAGTGCTCGAGTGCACCTTCAAACCCAGCTGCTGAGATCCGATGGACAATTGATGGTCGACAGAAAAGAACCAATGGATCATCACAAATTCCAAGCAACGAAGGTGGTTGGATAACAACATCGAATATTTCAATCAGCGTTGATTCGCACAAGCGTTCATTTTCATTGTTGTGTCAAGGAATCAACATGCAATTGGCTGACAACGTAATGACAACTCACATGCTTCATATTCTATGTAAGAATTTATTTTATTTCATTTTCTAAAACATAAATTGATTGAATTCTTTATTCTTTCTTTAGATCCACCGTCAAAACCAGTTATTTCTGGTTACATTGAAGGCTCCGTGATTCCGGCTGGTTCCAGTCAAAAGCTTTTATGCATGTACGTACGATTAATGTTCTTTCTTTTTTCTTGTGTTTTAAGAACTTTCAGTTTGATTAATTTTCATTTTTATCTTGGCTAAAGGTCTTCCGGTGGCAATCCGCCAGCATCTCTCATTTGGTTTAAGAACGACAAGAAGGTAAATGACACGTGACGATGTGGAAATTTAAAGTTTCTTAGGAATTTAATTAATTTCAATCATCTCTCTATAGATTAATTCTCAAACAAAAACGATCAACAATTCGGTTCAATCGGAGTTGAATATCATTGCCAATATCACCGACAATCAGGCGATTTATCGATGTGAAGCACAAAATAGCGCAACTGACGTTCCATTGTTGGATTCCAAAATCCTCAGCGTGCATTGTAAGTTTTCTCTCTTTGTTTTAAGCAAACTTAATTGTTTGTCTCGCGGTGATGTTCAATTGTCACCGTGTTTTACTCATAATTTTCCAACATAAAAACTTCTTCGTCTTTTCGCTGTTTTTCTTTTTCTTTTCGTGTCCAAACTTGGAAAAAGATTTAATCAAATATTAAAAAATCTTTTTTACACAAGCGGAATGGCACCAGCTGGCGATTCGTTTTCTCGCCGGGTTATTTGGTTCGATCGGCAACTTTTTTTCGTTTTTTGTTGTTATTTTATTTTATTTTATTTCGTGAGGCGAAACAAAGGAAAACTTTTTTTTTGTTTCCTCTCATCTTTTTTTCTTCTTTTTTTATTTTTGCAACTCTCCAAATGTCGTCATTACGATGTATTTTCACCCACTTTTATGCCTCGTTCTCTGCTACTCGTTCATTTCGTCCTTTTCTATGAAATATAACAAAACACAAGATTTTTTAAAATAATTTTTTCCAACTCTTTTCTTTCTTCTTCAATGTAAAGTTTTGCCTGAAACTTTGAAAATTCGTGTTGAGCCTAAGGCTTTGACCGCTGGTACAGAAGCCACTTTGTTCTGTGATTCAAGTTCGAGCAACCCACCAGTCAGATTAGGTTGGTATAAGGATGGAATTCCAATGATGAGTGAGGGTGGAGTTACAAATCAACCAGGATTATGGGGTGGTAAAATCTCATCGACCCAAGTAAAACTCAACATCACACAGGACATGAATGGCGTAAAAATCGCTTGTCAGGGAACAAACGAAGCTCTTCAACGTAGCATTAATGAAGCCATTGAATTGCAAGTTCTCTGTAAGTAGTACAAATAAACACAAACACACGCACATATTCTCAGAAATGTGCGAAATCATCATGATGATGGCGAATGTTTACAGTTTTAATTAAATTTGTTTTTCATCATTCTCGTTCCAGTTCCGCCAAAGTTCACGCCACCACCTTCGTCGACAGCCGTTGGTATTGAAGAAGAGTCTTTGGTAATTAGTCTCATAGCAACGGGCAATCCAAGTAATATCCAATACACATGGACAAAAGAAGGTTCACCGCTTGAGGATCATGGTGAGTAACCGAGCATTTCTAATCTTATTGCCTCATCTGTCAACTGAACTAATCCTAATTAATATTCAACAGACAACCAACGAATCATCATCGATGGTCCAACGTTGAATTTCACTAAATTGGCACGTGACGACAGTGGCCTGTATACGTGCGAAGCACTGAATTCCCAAGGCTCAGCTACCATCAACATTACAGTTGTCGTCGAATGTAAGTTTTGCTTTATCCATTTGTTCATGAACCTCGACGCTGCTTTATGATGAATTTTAATGAATGTCCTTTTTCCTCCTGCTTCTCTCCATTTCTCTTAACTCTCCCTCTGGGATCTGACGTATGTTACACGGGCGAACAGATGGTGCAACTATCAAGTCTATCTCTGAAAACATTGTGGTGAATCCAGGCGATGAAGCGAAACTTTCGTGTGTTGTTGATGGTAAGTTTCCTTGTCAAGCTTTTTTTTTATATTTTATTTTATTTTTTGTGTTTTTTTCATCTCATGCCTCCTGTTTTTATTTCTGCTACATTGTGTTTTGACGACTTTTGTTCTCTACAAGTTTCTTTTTTTCCCGGAGTTTCACGGGGCAATGTGATATTAATTATCGTAATGGAAAATGTTTTTCTTTTGGGGGAAATTTGAGAATGAATATTTATGTGAAATTTTGATGTTCAGTGAAAAGGTTTGTCATGAAACTTTCTGACAACATGAACAAAAAGATCTTTCAATTATTCTAACTCTATAAATCACTTAATATAAAAAGTTCTCTTCAAACCTTTGGCAATGATAAAACAATTGAGTGGCTTAATGCAAGAAGAAACAAGAAAAGTTTGTGCTTTTAGTCTAAAAATGTCTCTTAAGGCGTGAAATAGAAATGCTTTTAATTTAACATTATCTTAAGCTTTTCTCAAGAAATTCTTTCATTCATGTCAAAATAAATTTCTAAGTTTTATACAAAATTTTATCAAATTCTTTGGAGCTTGAAAATGGTGAAAAACTTTCTAAAGAAACTCAATAATAAATAAATAAATAAATAAATATGTATGGGCAAACAATTAATCCTCTTTTAAAACAAGATGAAACAAAAATAAACATTGAATTGGTTAATTAAAAGGGAGTCAAATTTCTAAAGCTAAAAAAGCTTTTTACTTAACTTCTAACGAGATAGGAAAATAAATGTTCTTGCCTTTTTTTACTTTCTACTTCAAACCTAACTAGTAGGTTTTTGGTAACAGAATATTTTTCATATCTCCTAACCAGATATCATAAAAAGAAAAAAAAAACATCTAGAAGTTTATTTATCTGTCATGTTTTGAACTTTGTTTTAAACTTTTATTTCGTAATCTCTAATGTTGTTGTAAGCGAAATGTGCATTGCGAAAAATGTCGAGATTAAAAACTCGTATCTTCCTCTTTAAAATGTTTTCGACTTTAGATGTTTTCATAAATAATTGTGAGATTGTGGTAATAGAGTCGACAGATCTTTTTTAATCATAATATTGCAATGATTTGGTATCAAAAACCATTCCCGTATAATCTCAATTAAAATAATTTATTGAACAAACACTCTGGCAAAGTGTTTTTAATTGGAAGTTGTTAGATTTTCTCACTTAACCAATATAAATATAAATGGAAATCGAATAATTTTCTTAAAACTAATTAGGCGCCATTGGAAAAGTTTCAAATAAACAAACTTTAAAAAAATCGATTAAAAGATTCTCGCCGTCTTTCCGCTTTTTATACCCTCAAGTATTTCTCTTCGATAATGAAATTGCAGATAGAAATTATGAGCATTACGGCAGTTGTTCGTGCTTTGTTGTGTCTCTTTATTGTTATTATTCCTCAAACTGCTTCGAATTCGATTTAGAATTTCTTCTTCTCTAGTTTTTTATTTTTTAATTAAATTCTTTCATAATTTATATCTAAGGATAATCTCTCGTTGACTTTCTTTTTCAATTTGTTATCTTCATTACTTCACAAATAAATTTTTTAACAAATATTATGAACTCAAAGCGGGAGCCGCATTATGTGTATCTTAAAATTAATTAAGCACCAGACCAATCAGATATTTAAAATGGTAAAGCTTTGAATAAATTATCTTTTAATCGATTTAAATGAAGCACTTTGTAAATTTCTCTCAATGTTTTTCTTTTTTCGTTCTTATTTATTTCTTTTTTTCCGTATGTATCTTCATGTTTAATTCACAAAGCTTCATTCGACTTCAAAGTTTAATTCCTCTTCCACGAATCGTTGCGAATAATACATTACAAAGACTGTAGCAAAATATTTGGCGTATTCATGAAATACTGACCGACCGGGGAGAGAGAAAGTTTGTCTTTTACGACAGCTGTTTAAAATTATCCTTAAAGCTCGTTCACATAGAAAGCAAATATTTATATTTTAACATCTCTTAAGTAGTGTTTGAAACTCTCATTTACATTGCCATTTGCCCAGAATGAAATTAAAATGTTTAAATTTATATCATGATTGGAATAAGTACGAAATTACTTCCATTTAACAATTCGTAACAGTCTTGTGAGATGTAATGTATGATCAGCATACATATCATCATCAAAAGCTTAAGGATAAAATGAAAAGTGAAGTTTAGAGTGCACTTCAAGTTTATCTTCCTAAATAATTGATTTGGTTCTTGTGAAAACCATGAGAACCACAGTCTCATTTCTATTTGAAAGTGACCATGGATACGCATACATAGCTGTTTATATATCAACTTTGTAATTTCAGGAAATCCACTCAATGAGAATCACATTCGATGGGAACGTGTTGACTATGAGATGAGCTCAAAGACGAGAACAACATTTGAAAATGGCACGAGCTATTTACATATTACAAATGCTCAACGTGACGACATTGGACACTTTCGTTGCATCGCTGATAATCGTGTGGCAAATCCCATTAGTCGTGATGTGCTATTGATAGTGAAATGTAAGCTTTAGAAATTATAAGTCAAAGCAAAATAGGATTACGACGACGATGATGATGATGATGATGATGATGATGATCAATTTATTCATAATTTAATTTTTCTCTTGTCATTTCTCGTCTCTTTTTCATCTAGTTGTTCCTGAAATTGATAAATCACCAACGATGCTTCGTGCAGCGAGTAATAAAAATGAGAAAGCTCGAATGGTGTGTCGTGTTCAAGCTGCTCCAAAGCCATCATTTATTTGGTCACGGGACGGTAGGAGTCTCAACATTTCGAAAAGTAGTGGAAAATATTCAATTGAGAGTCGACAAATTGATCCACTGACTTACGAATCAGTGCTTATGGTGGAAAAGGTTGATGCAAACGACTACGGATTATATGAATGCAAAACAGAAAATGAACGAGGAAAGAGTATGGAAAATATTCGCCTCGATGTCACGTCTAAGCCTGACACACCTTTGAACCTTAATGTGCTTAACACAACTCACGATTCCGTCACTTTGGCATGGACGCCAGGATTTGATGGTGGTTTAAAGGCAAAATACAGAATCCGGTATCGTGAAGCATCATCAAATCGCTATCTTTATGCTGATAGCTTACCAAACGCTCATAAATTGATCATCGATGGATTAAAATCAAACACCGTTTACTTATTTTCTATCATGGCAAAGAACAATCTTGGCGAAAGTTCTTGGCGTCCCGATTTAACAAAAGCACAAACTAAAAGTGAGTTTCTTTCCTTTTCTTTTTCTTTCTTTTCATTGATTCTGTCGAAAGTTTAAAACCTTTCACAAAAGAGAGCATTCGGAAAAAAGGATATGAAAGAAATACAAAATTTACACAGCATGTCGTGATTTCTGAACGCTCCCTTTGTCAATCAAAACTGTTGATCCATAACATGTTGCTTGGTTTTTTTCCCATAAATCTCACCCAAACCAACAACAACCTTTTAATGTGACTAATAATTTCTCCATAAAAAAAATAAATAAAACAAAATTTGTAACATAACAAAATCAGCTGCACCGCAACCATCCATGTCGATTCTAACGACGCAACAAACCGAGACGACGGGTAGTCCGTTTATGAACACAACGAGAGGGCTCTTGATGTTGATTGGAATTTCATCAGGGACTGGATTAGTTCTTATCAATATATTACTGATAGCATGCTGTCTCCACAAGAGACATAAGAAGAACTTCAAAGGAGGTAACTAAACTACGTACATGCATAACAAGCAGGAAGCTTGTTACTTCCTTTGCTTCTGGTCAAGTGGAATCATCATCATGTTGTGTTAATGGGCGCTCTCAGTTTCGACTTCTCTTGCTTTTATTTTTATTAACTAAACAATTAATAATTCAATGCTTTTTGCTAATTTTTTTTTCTTGCATTTGCTTTATTTATTTATTGTTTCTTTTTTTCGTTTTTGTGTGTTTTTTTTCATATTCTTTCATTCATTTGATGATGTAACAAAAGAAGACTTGGAAATCGTACATAAAGAGTTGAAAGACGATGAAGCTCTATCAAAGTTACTCGTATTTGGCATTGCCGTGATTGGACTTGGACTATTAATTGCAAACACCGCACTTGTTGCATGGTTCATCATTCGTAAACGAATTAAAGGTAAAAACAGAAAAAAGGAAAAATAAATTCCGAACAACAACGAAACAGTTTTTAGTTGATTTTGCCATTTTCAATTTTTTTTACTTCTGCAAGTTGAACGATTTTTCATATTGTTTTATTTAATATCTTTTTTTATGTATTCATGTTGGTTTCCATTGTTGGACAACACGCTTAATGTTTTTTATTTTTCTGTCTCGGCTATTCCGTTGAACAATTTTCACTCTGGATGCTTTTTCGCCAGTGAGTTTAATTGTAATTAATTTTTGATGACAATATTCTCTTGCTTTTTCCGCTGCCTTTCACTAACCACTCCACAACATCCCTCACCATTCTTCATTTATCCTCTGCCCTCATGCCCAACGAACAAATTGTTTTCGGTTTGCGGGGGCGAATGGGCGTGAAGTGGGGAATAGTCGGCGCCTTAGCAAGCATCCAAAAAACGGAAACTAAACATAAGAGCGAATAGAATAAAACATGATGATGATGCCTTAATTGATTTTCTCGATAGCTGTTTTTCTTTTCTTTTTTTTCGCCTTTTAAAACTAACAAAAATTTCTTATCTTTCACTGTTACACTTGACAGAGCCCACCGGCGCTGCCAACAGCAAATCGGCAGCCATCGAGATGTATGCACCGAGTAGCTACAACGATACGGTTACTGGCGAAACATTATCGTCCGTTTCGGATAAAAGTGATTCATATTCCAATGATGGCAGCCAGCCAGATTTGACGGTAAATAAATTTTGTGATATTTCGTGAACCAATTGAAAATAGTCAAAAGGGAATGTTCATAAATCAACGAAAAGCAGTATTTAAACTAAAGAAGTAATAAAAAATATTACAGATTAAGAATTTCTTTTGTTTTCTATGACTATTGTTAAAGAGAAAACATTAGAAATGACTGAACATGTGAACATTCCCCAAAAATAGAAAAAAATATCGTTTTAAAAAAAATTTATTCATCCGCTCGGTCAAATATTCATGTCGCATAAAAATGATTCAGATTAAGTTGATTCACTTGTAACAACCATTTGCTTTACATTTGATCCTGCAAATATATTTCTGCGGTTCTCGGTTGAATCTAAGCCAATGCATTTTCCATGTTTTCTGCAAAATTATTTTAATTGTGATTTTTCTTTTTCTTTCCCTTTGTTTCATTTATTTGCGACTGTTTATAATTGTGTGTGTGTGTCTACGATGTAGGACGAGAATCGAAAACAAACCGCATCATCAACATATGTGGTCGAAGATTCTGACATTCCACCACCACGTTATCAAAAGGATGGTCGACTGTCGCCGTACTACCAAACTAATAATTCAAACCAAATGACGATCCATCCAAAGAATTTGCAAATGCAAAACCCATCACAGATGAGCTTCTTGCCATCGTCCAATTATGATGATCAATTCATGAATCAAAAGAATTATGTAAAAATTCCGTCACCAGGGCCGCCCATGGATGGTTCATATTATAGTGCATGTGATCGCTATTTGTCATATCCACCGATGGTAAAAGTTATTAATTATTATAAAAATGTTACATCGTAAATTAAAATTGACCTTTTTTCATTATCCCAGGATCATCCGATGGATTACACAGTTGCATCGTCAACACTGCCTCACAATATGTCCACAAATTCCGAGATGAATCATTTAAATGCGTCTCGTAGCAACACACTAAACAGGAGAAACAGTAATCTGATGGCGATGAATCATAACATAATTCCGCCACCAGACGTCACGCACACGACAAAAGCGATGCCGTTAATTGTGAGTAGTGGAGCGGGTTCGCTTTACAGCAATAAGCCTAATAATCATCCGCCGGGCATCCTTAAAGATCCAAAGAGAAACCAACAGAATCAACTGAACAATGTAAATAAAGATCTCCAAATGCAGTCGATATTAATGCCAATGCCACCGTTAATAATGAACGATGGTAGCATAGCAAATCCGCATCACCTTAGTGCAGCACAACTCATGAATAATTTCGATGCAACGAACGCCAATCTTGCGAATTTTAATCACCAAATGGGCTTCCCCGGAGACGGACATTTAGTGTAAGCCGTATAGTCGAGTTTGTTCAGTAAAGTTCACTTACTTTATTAAATTTTTAAAGTTAAGTTTGATTTTTCGTCATTTTCTTTATTATCTAATTCTGTTAGGTTTAAATTTCTTCATTAATTAGATTCACAAAACTGTGTACAACAAAACAGAAACAAACAAACAAACAAACTTTCAGGCACGAAATCATAAGAAAGTCAAAAAAAAAAAGAAACAAAAAGAGAAATACTCAGAAATATTTTTACTAATTAATAATCACAGCAAAAAGGACTGTTCATGATTTACGTCACATTTCGTTTAATGTTGTTTGTTTGTCAAGGAAGCAACGCTTGAAGCGTTTTATATTTCACCATCAAAATAAATAAAATTGTCATGAGATTTTTACGATGTTACTTATTTAGGTTTTTCGACATAAAATAACAACAATGTTAGCATGGCTTGAAATTGAAAATAAAAAGCGATTTTATTTTAATGTAATAAATCGTTTTTAAAATTCAAATTTCAAATTTATGTGCATGTTCCAACTCGTCATACTTATTGTCGTTCACTCTGAATTTATCAGACATTTAATCTTGTCCCTGAGAACATCAAAAAAATAAAGGAAATGATTTCATTCTTTCACAAGAATATTTTGTTTAAAGTGACATCACATTCAAATAAATGACAAATAAAGCTTCTTAATTGATGATTGTTCTAAAATGTTTTATAATTATTAATTACGTATTGATTAAATCATTGTTTATAGTTGAAATGAAACCTACAAGAGTTTTCCATAGGGTTGTCTCGGAAACGCCCGAAAAAAAAGCTTCCCCCCTCCCCCTTTCCGAGTAAAATTCATTATAAGATGAGAGTTTTAAGACGAGAAAATTTAAATGAAAATGTTTAATTAATTATCTAAATGAAAGTACGAATGAAAATGCTATTAAAATTTACTATTAAACTATTTACAAATTTAATATAAATAAAACAAGAACATCTTTAAAGCTCCATTGATCTTCATTTTAAATTAAAGCCAAGATTTGAAAATTCTCATAAATAACGAAAAGAAAAAGAAAAAAAATGTCAAAAAATGTTAATGAAAAGTTTTACTAAAATTATATTTAAATCGCCCGACCGATACAAAAGACGGATAATTAAAGCAGTTATTTAAATTTCTTTCTTGTGTATAAGTGAGAGTCAAACGCAGTAAAAAGAGAAATAAAATTAATTATGAAACCAAGATGGACATGTGTTCGCTTGCGTTTGAGCTTATCGCCCACGCGCATCATCATACTGTCCATTAAAGACTCACAAAAAAATAAATAAATTAAAAAAATGTGTACATATTACAATTAACTCATTATGTAACTGAAGATTTAATTTAATGAAGATACATTATTAAACTTTGTATTAAAAAGAATTTTTTTCGCTGTAAATATTCTCCGATAAAACAATGACGAGGGAAAATGAAGAAAACAACAACAAACAATAATTAAAAAATAAAAAAAATGAAACATAAAAAAGTTCTTCCGCTTTCTTTTTTCTTTTGTTTCTAGTTTTTTTTTTCTTTCTCGACCATTAAGAGTCTGATGAGGAATCAGAAGAAATGGCCTTTAATTACATCCGATGTTTATGAGGCAAAAGGAAAGCACCGGAAATTTTCTTATTAAGTATCAGGGACCTTTTATTTACTCCCGCAAATATTGTTTCGATTCCGAAATCGAAGCCGGAAGCATTTGAACATGTTTTTGATCGCTCAATCTTGATCGAATATAGAACTTAATTAATTGTAAAACGTTTAAACAGTTTGATTGGATCAGTTGGGAGTCGTTGTCGTTCTTACTCGTTTAGTGTAACAAAAAATGTCAATTAATGTGTCGCAAAGATTTATTGAAAAACTTTTACAAATCGTTTTAACGAGATTTTAAGCCTTGAATGGGACACAATAAGGCAACCGCCGCCTTCCGCCAAAAAATAATCTTTTCTTCTCGTCTTTTATTTTTTCCTTTCCACTGATTCAAACATCAGAATCAACAGAACACTTTACAAAGTGAAAGCTCTGATGACAAATGATTTATGACAATTTTGACGGTCGATTTCATTTTCTGCCAGATTGCGGGGGTGTTCTCTTCGCTAAGCGTTAGGAGATTCACGGGAACAACAACATCAATAAGTATAAGACTTACTGATGAAGTAACAAATAAAATTTGTTTCTCGCCTTGACTCTACGCATTCATGAAAAATTAATGAGTCGATTCCATTTAACTTGCTTCACATCTACGACTATATGGGATTAGAAGTCGAATGCCGATAAGTTGAATTGCCGATTGAGGTTTCCATCGGTTAATCACCATCAGTCGAATTCTCTTTTCTGAGAGGCAACGGTTACAAATCAACATGTTGTTGATGATGGAACAAAAAAAATAGAAAAGGAAAGGAATAGTTAATTGTTTAGATGGTTGCGAGAAAGAGATGGAAATAAACAACATTTTCAAATGTAAAATTTATTCAAATTTATCGCGTGGGCGACACACTCATAGCCTTTTTTTTCATTTATCGAACCGAACACCATATTTTGGGAGTCTTTTCAGCTTCGCTTAATTATTAATGTGTCCAGAAGTATATGAATAATTTAAAGAAACTTATTAGTAGTAACAACAGCAACAGCAACATCAACATTGAAAACGGTCAAAACGATTATGACGTCGTTTGTTTGAAAGTTTTGTCGTTTGCTTTACTTTGCTTGCATACTTGCTTATTTCTTTCACTAAGCGTAAGAACGACATCATGCTTCAAGCTTTCATGACTGATTCATGCCGTAAAATTTCTAAAATATATAAATTATACTGGATTAAAGCTACCAGTCTCTCTGCGTTAGAAGCTGAGAAACCACAATATTTACATATTTACACAACAATTTACATCCCCCCTGAAGTCGTCTTCTATTTCTGCTTGCTTAAATTCTTCGAATGTTGCCTCGAGAGTTGAAAGATTAAAACCGCAGAATACTCTTTGGAATTTTCATTTCTGTCGCTCTTAAACCCAGATGTATGTAGTATTAAAGCAAGTTGATAGTTTTATTACGTTTACGGGAGTGAATTTTCATACGTACAATTACAATCTTAGTTTAAGACACCAAGGCTATGTGACTTTATTATACTGTTTCTTCATTAGATTATCACGCTTTAGCAAATGGACCATTGAATGTACATATAGAAAGATAGATGGATGGATGGATAGACGGTTGCTTTTATTCATCTCAAAAACATAAAAAAAATGCTTCAAACAGTGAAATGGGTAGAAAGGTAATATGACACAATGTAAACGAAGATGGAAAACGTCATTATCGAGTGTGAATGGTGAGTCGAGAGAATTCATCAGAGTAGAAACAAAAGCGATAATTTTCACGTAATTTTCCGTTCGAATTCATTCCTAAAACATTCATCTGACAGGAATGATGATACTGATATGAATTTGGGATTTGAAAAGCTCTCTTTTTCATACAATTTAATCAGATTTATTTTAAATGTAGAAAATATATTGTCAACAATTGAAAAACAAGGCTGAAAGAATGTAATTAAATTATAAGCAAACACATGTTGTTTATAGAGTTTGTCACTGTTCAAAAACGAATTTATTCACAAGCTTTAATTATAGTAATAATAATAATAATAATAATAATCGTAATGATATTAATTAACACAAAAATAAAAACAACGCAACATGCATTTGACAACCGAACATTTTTAAAGAAGACGTCGATGATTAGAAGAAATCGTTGAGATGTTTCATAAAATGAATTTTAATGTTGCTAATTGATATTCCAATATTTTCTTTTCACCCTCATGAATTCATTCATTGGAGATAAATAAATAAATATTTTTCATCAGTTTATATTCCGATATTTTTTAATATGTTTCTCTTCTTTTAAACATGTGTGACTCATTCGAGTGATGTTTATTTGAGTGGCTTTTCGGCCACGCTTGTTTTATTCTTGTTTCACTCGTTGTTAGCCTCGAATATTTACGTCTGGTTTTGTAACATAAAAATAGTGAAGTCCAAAAGTCAAAAAAATGCACATTTAAGTTTTTGCTTTACTGATATTGCAATCGGGACCAAGCTGATGATTTATGATTTACATGACGGTTTTTTTTGTGAAAGTTTTATTATTAAATGAACAAGTAAGGAGCTCTTATTAAAAGGGCTTTTGGAAACATGTACATATGACTGAAATAAAAAGAGAGAGAGAGAGAGCTCTGAATGCACTCAAACTTTAATAATTTTATTTTTTGACAAATTAAAAGCTTAAAAAAATTATATGCACTCATTTGAACCGTAAATTGAATTATCGTTTCGTACGAATATTAAATACTCTTGCGCCAACCCCAATAAATCTCCAATTGCGTGAAAATCACATGCAATTTGGTATATACAAATACTCCTCCGTCACATTCGCTTTGAACGTAACGAGCGACAAGCAATGAGAGAGAAAAAAATAAAATATTTTATGAACTTAAAATTAAAAATAAAGTAAATTAATTACACATAAAATCCATCAGAGTTGCACACGTACATTGCCATCGGGTTTCATAACTCAAACGATTAATATAATTATACAGATATCATATTTTAACTTTATTCATCAAAAAAAAAAGTAAAATAAAATGAAGATCCTTAAGCTTAAATAGAATTTGTGAAATTTAAATAATAATAATATATTTAAAAAAATTAAATTTCTTACTAGATTCAAGTTATTAAGTATTTAAATGCACATTTTTTTCATTATTGTTTCATGAAATTATATTTTTCATGACATTTATTTATGCTTTTTTTCATGTTTAATATCAATATCATCTCTTTAAGTAATTTCTTTTGTATTTTTGTTCTTTGATAGAAACTTAAGTAATTCGTTGATTAATGTGTGATTGGATTGGAGAGTGAAATCACAAAATACGGCTAACTAAAATTTATGTTGTTGAATTGAAAAAACTACGGAAAGAAATTTTTACGAAAAATTTATTTGCAAACTGCAATTGAGTTTTCATAAGAATTTAATCGAATCATTTCTAAGACTTTATATAAGTTCCATAGAACGTAGTTTCTTGAATTGATTGTATGCTTTGTGATTTCACTCTTCACCAGGTAAACAAAGTTTTTCATTTTCCTTTTCTTCTTCATCTTCATCTTTTCTTCTCTTTTTCTTATCTCCCAACCCTTTCCTATTTTCTTTTAATTAATATATTATCTTACGATCAGACCAGAATTTAATTAAATTTAAATACAATAACTTTTCTCTCCCTCTTCTCAAATTAACAAATAATTCAAGTGAAATCTTAATCAGCAACTTTATGCCATATCTTCAACAATTTCTCATCCACATATGCGGAAATTTTCTTTGAGTTATCACCCATAAAAGCTCTTCAACTGTTGATGAACTTTGATACGTTATTGTTGTGTGTGATGTTGTCGGTAGTTTAGTTCATTTTCTATCGAATGGAAAGCGTGGAAATTGTTGTTCTACATATTTAAGTCGAATAACAAAATCAGAAAATATTATTTGCATCACAAAATCGATGTTATTAAAAATTTAAGAAATAATTTATATTCAAATTCACCCCAACAACGAACGTTGGCTTGATAGCGAAATTTGTTTTTGCCAACCCTCTTTACTAAATAAGTATTTGTAGATGCCTCTATTGAAAAAGTATATTTTCCACATCTAGTGCCTTGCCTTGCTCTCATCTATATGGAGATATGGAGCCATTGAAGAGAAGGAGAAAAAAAAGTTGACATCACTACACAATTTTAATTGATTTAATCCTCTTTTTGTCGGTTTGGTGTTTAATGGTATGCGAGAGTTTATGATTCTCATTTGCTGCTATGTTTGCGTAAATTAGGTTGCTGCTTAATAGGGGCTTTGTATATAAAAAAATCCTTTTCTTCCATTGTTGTGTATATTCAAGTGTAGAGAGAGAAGAAAAAAAATCCAATTCTTGATTGTTTTTCACAAAAATTCTCATTTTCTTTGAAATAATTTTTTTTCTTCTTCAAATAAAAGAAATTTGTTCGAGATGTTTGTTTCGTCTCAATTTGCATGCTTTGCTTGTTTTTAATGCTGTACGCTTTCAACAATAGAATAAAAGAAATATTTATAGCTATCTTTATGTATATATTTAATATATTTATATAGAAAAATAACAGAAACTATAGGAACCTTCGTGAGAAATGATAATCAACAGTTTCAACTACTTTGTTGTCCATTTGGAATACGAGAGAGTCGTGAACACTTCATGATGTGTACAGTCAGCTATCTCCTATCCAAATGAACATAAATTTCCATCTTGATGACGGTATTTTAATGCACAAAAATTGCCATCAAAGTTTTTTGTTCATTTTTTTCGGGATCCCATTTATTTCTGCGTCGTCTGTTCACGTAACATGCAAATTTTACTGCATTTCATGAATTTAAAAAAAAAAGAAGAAAAATGAGTGACAATTTTCTTTCCCTTTTTTTTCCTCGCGCAAGCACGAACTTCCAGCATCGATCGTGATTGCTGCATTCCGATCAATTAATAACTCATCAGTTTTTTAAAAAATATTCTACATGGATTGAGTTTCTTGTTTCATAAAGTGATTAATCATTGTTACAAATGTTTTGTCATTAATATCTACATTTTTGGTCCCATTTAGTATGAATTGTGATTCCATTGTGTTTGCATGCTCGACGATTCACCCTTATTGGTTTGTGGGGGGAAGGGGGGAGGGTGGGAGGTGATGAAGTTTTGGGTAGATGAATTCGCTGCGCCAATAAAACTGATTGAAAGTTGTTCTGTCTTTACTTTTTTCCGAGGATCTCCCTCCACTTATCAAACTTCTCCCAATCTTCTTCCAACTTCAATGCTTCGACGCATCCAACAAAGTAGTCAGTGGTGAAACAGCTCTCCCTAAGAAAATTAAAAGACAAAGACGAAAGAAAAAAAAAGAGAAAATGGCAATTAGATTTTGATTAAAGAAGTTTTAATTAAAGCCCAACAAATGTTTAAACGATGGACTTGTGAAGTATAAATCATGGAAAAAAATAAAATAAAACAAACAAAGATTTCTTTCCAAGTCCAAAGTTACAAAGTTTCTTGAACTCAGTAATTTGTGTGATGTGATTTGTTAGATTGTTTTGTTTAGTGAAATTAACGTTTTATGCGAATGTTATTAAATCGGTCAGTGTTAACTGTTAAGTGGTTAATCGATTCTATTCTACTTAGATAATAAATGAATTGTCTGTCTGACATTTAATCCATACCAGCATTCTTGAATGATATTTATTGAACAACAGTTTATTGATCTATTGCACTCAACCGCACTGACTTTGGATGGCTTTGATGTGATTGGTGACAAAGTTATCAAATTGGTTGTAAATAAGGCGAAAAATCTAACATTTTTATCACGACGAAAACAATTTTTGATATTATCGATGATGAGAAGAAGAGTTCAGCATTATTATGAAGTCGATGAAAACAATTTTCAGATGATTAAATGCAAAACAGTTTTGAGATTGGGATGATGTTAATTTATGTACAGTCAAGTCATATCATAAAAACATAAACATCAGCCATCGAAATTGTGTGTATGTCTCTCTTTAAAATGCACATGCGACAGCTACCAAAGCTTCATCAAACGATGACTAATTAACTGAATTATAAATTCTTTCTCCCTTTCCGTCCTTCATTTCCATTCCCTCGATTGAATGTTGATTAAGTTTAATAGAGAAAAAAATTGGAGGACGAAGAAAAAATGTCATTTTTCGGGGTCGGTGGTTGATTGCGCCGGAATTCATAGTTGATTTTATTAACTTTCTCCCTTTCTGCACCATCATCCAAAACATGCATTCATGCTGCTTCTAAACGTTCTTATGATGAAAGTCTGAAAGCGAGTACATCGATATCCGACTGGGCGAATGTGTGCTTGTCTGAGCTCATCGTTTTGTGTGCAAATTTTTAATTCTCTTTTTTTTTCTTATTTATTTTCGTCTTGGGCATATACAGGAACTTTGTTCGTTTCATTATATTTTTTTTTGTCTCATAAGTATGACAAGTTGATGTCCAGCATCGTTTAGGCCAAGCACACACTCACAGCATGATGACTATAAGCTCGCCCCATCTTACTCACTTCTTCTATTCTCTCCCTCTCTCTCTCACCGTCTTTCTTTCTTTCTTTCCTTCTTTTTTTTCTTGTTTCCTTTTCTTTCTCTCAATCAGTTTAACATTTCGTTTGGGGATGCCAAGGGGGATGCGAGTATGTGTTTTGAATTTTTATGATTTTATTATCCCTTTTTTAAGCGATTTGTCCATTGTTCTTCTCCTTCTTCTCATCCGACTGTCGAAATCCTTCATTGGGGGCTTTTTGTTTGAATTTGTATGTGTGAGAATGGGTGGCAGAGGAAAATGGTGCCAAGATCTTACAGATCGATTAAGCATAGAGACTGAACACAATTTTCAGTTGCTCGAGAGATTCGGATCGGCTCCATTCACTAATTTGATATAACTTTTAATGGCATTCACTTCATCTTGGAGCTGTAGTGCCTCTAGACATCCTTTGAAGAATTCCGTCGTGAAGCACTGTTTCCTGCATTACCATGAGGAACATACAAGCAACATTTATATTAATTAATCAAAGCATCGTCCAATAAATCAAAATAATGAAAATGGGAAATGAGAAAAAGAAGGAGAAGGAGAAGTGAAAAATCAATTTAGCGAAAAGAAAGAAAAAGCTTTTAAATTTATTGTGAGAAAAGATATAAATTTAGGGATCGCCTCATAAATTTCGCAACAATATCAGCTGTCAATTGAAAACAGGCAGGTAACACTATGAAGCTTTCTTCATCAATGTGTTAAAAGCAAAGCATGTAAAAATAACGTAAAAAAGGAGTTTGTGATGTCAACTGAGGAAACAGAAGAGACTCCATGTGATGACAAACGATGAGAAGGTAAAGAAGAAGAAAAAGGAATAAAATTATGAGCTTTGGGAAAAATAATGATAAATGCAAACAAGGAAAGTTTGAAAGCATAACTTAACATAGATAGAAAGGCTGCACACTCATCTGCTTTGACCTTTCAATTGATATTCCTTAACTGAGAGAATATGAGGTTTATAAAATTATTATTTGCTTTTCTAAGAAACCTTCTTTAATAGAGAATAAAATCAAAAAATATATAGCAGCCTAAGCATGAAGTAGATAGTTTCAATCAGCATACAAATTAAGCCGATCGTAAAGGGTTGACGATAAAGATAAAGGGATGACAATCGAAGCTGGAAAGTGTCGTTCAATCCGCTTACAAAGATTACTAAAATATATACTTTTAACATGTCCAAAGCCCTGGGTAAGTAAGCTTAAGTTTCCTAGGTAGACTCTGAACGGTGATACAACAAAATGTTTTGTTTATTGAGAAAATAATCCAATTCAGGGGCATTTCACCATTTTTAACCTTTCCGATATCAAAAATACGCAATGGGTGTAAAAACGAATTAAAATCATTCGAAGGCTAAAGTAGACTGAAATAACAAATTTCATGGGTCAATGGCTTTGAAAATTGACCTCTCTCAAAATTATAACAGCGAATTAAGAGTCGAGCAGGCAAGAGCCTTTCAAGATTTTGTTCAACATGAGAAATTAAAATAATTTGCACGGGTAAAAGTGTAAAGGAAAGAAAGATAGAGATAAAAGAGACAGAGAAAGGGAAAAAAAGAAGGTAAAGGTATGAAATAAAAGGATGACGGAAAAAGATGCTCGATAGGAAATCCCAAAATGCAAATTGAATCAGATCCCGAACCACACGTCTCAGGAGGTGGAAAAATAATCGGATGTTCGTTGCGTGATGCATAGCATATTGAATTAAAAGAAGGAAAAATATAAACCCTGATGATATCGAAAGGAATTTTTCTTTTTCACGTTTTCCGTTTTTTTTAATCCCTTTTCAACACGATACTTACTTGCAAAGTGAATGCAGCTCGACTTCACGGAATAATGAGTAGCAATCCTCACAGATGCGATCCAATCGAAAAAATATCGATTTGTTAAAGACACCTAAAAAACGAATACAAATTTGATGTTTAAGTTAATGAGATGAAACTCTGCATTAATTTATTTTACCTTTGCAATCGATGTCGAAAAAGGAACTTCGTTTATGCACATCATGATGTGGATGTGGTAATGAGATGATTAGTGGCACTAGGATCAGTAGAAGTGCCGACAGGTTTAGCAATTTGCAAAGAAACATCTGCATCAGAAATGAAATAGATAAGTTTAGATAGTCAGAAACTTTAATCAAACAAATTACGGAAGAATATATGAGCTTCAATTAAATCTATGGGGCTTTCCGTTTAAACTAACGTCATAGCAATTAGTCTAAGTACAGCTGTTATTACTAAGGTGATGAATGTGTTCAATCGAATTATATCCAGTCATCAAACTTAATGATCAAAAAATAACAAATTCTTTCCCGCTCAAATTTCAACTTCAGATTCGCTATTCGGCCACTTCATTTTTCGATTCATCTCAATTTCTATGTAAATGGCTAATTTTCTACAAGATTGAACGCATTTAAGATTCATTTTCTATAAAATTTAGTCTGAACTCTGAGCCAGTTAGCACAACAAAATAAAAAGAAAGAACAGAGAAAAGAAAGAAAAAAAAAAGTTGTCCATAAATTAGCAATCAATCAACAACAAGTTTGCTGTGTAGCGCGATCTTAAAGTTTGTATTATTATAAAATTTGAATGATTTCATTTCATGCATGATTCAACAGTTTCTACGAAGTTTTTCTTCTTTCATCGGCGATGTACATTATATATTTGTTTGTTTTTTGTTTTCAACAGTGTTGTTAGCGTGTCGAGAAAACATGACTTCATGGAGGCAACTTGTCAAAATATTAGCAAGCTGCAAATGGCTTGTAAATTGAATATAATTTGTTTGAATCAATATCATTGTGGAGGTTTAAAGTTCTAAACGGAGAATTTTCATTTCGACACCAAATGACATGCCTTGGGGAGTTAACCTTTAAACTATTTTCCAACACCAAACGAAACAATTAAAAGCTTTTATTTTATCAATGAAATTAGGAAGATTAAAATAATTGCCTCGAGATCGATCTCGAACATAGATAGTTGGGAAGTTCAATCAGAGATATTCATTACTAAAGAAAGGAATCATCATCTATTAGAGTTGATAAAGAAATGGAATTAATTAATAAGTTCTTTTCTTTTTTCTTCTTAAGTGAAGCATTGATTCCATAAGCGTCATTTCAACAACAAGGAGAAAATCCCCTAGATAAAGTTGTAAAGCCACAGAGAGAGATTATGAATAACAAACACATAAACACTGTTTTAATTAATCAGAATCTCATTAAGCAATTAATACGAATGTAAAAATTATTATTCATAAAGTTCAATTGACCCTTCAATCAGTTACGTTCACTTGATTACGCAGCATAAAAACTGGTCTCGATTTTAAATTAATGTTTTATGTTTTTGTTTCCATTTCTCTTCCAGTTTTACGCAATTTTTTTTTCTTTTCTTTCCTCCTTATCTCTTGTCACGTTCTTCATGTAAATGACGTGAAAGAAGAAATAGAAATGAAATGCTAATATTAAATTGCTAAATCAACATGAGTGCAAGCTTGTGAACCTAGATGTGTAGTACATAAAAGCTACAAATGATTAGTGTGACATAGAGATACGAATACCATCAACTAAATAAGAAAATTACAAAAGCAAAATTGCCAACAATTAATTTGATTTCTTAATTAATGCTTCACTAAACGGCTTGCGATGTGTATATGCTATAAACCAGCTACTTAGAAAAGCATTAAGTAATTGTTTCTACAAAAAATAATAATAATATAAATAAATAACCTAGGGGTGGGGATAAACGACTTACGATTGTCCTCGAAAAGCTCATGCGAACAAGAAAACAACATGTTCTGCTTGCAATATTTGCAATGTGTTTATGCGATTTTAATTTTCTTTTCCAGAAAATATCTTCGCAAGTCAAATTATTATTTTCGTTTGATTTTTATCGTTTCGGTGATGTAGCTTTGAAGTATCTCGATTGAATACGCTTTTTTTTCCTTCGTCTAACTTCTTTTGATGTCGATTCTTTAGAAAATTCTAGAAATCTTCGAACGAGAATTTTCATTTGCGTAAGCGTTGTTTTTCTATTCTTTTTTTTTCACAGAAATTTGCATCAATAAAGATGAGAGAGAGAAAAAAGAAAGAAATAAAAAGAGTTTAAACATTTATCAAGAAAGCAGAAGTGAACAGCAGTTGATTCAATAAATATTTCAATCACACAATTGTGTGGCACATGAAAGCAATTTTTAATTAACTCGCGATGTTAATTTATGACCAACACAAAAAGCATAAAAAAGGCAAATTAATTATCATATGCGGAACCGCTTTTCGAGCAACACATTAAAAAATATATATAAATTAAATTTCAAATCCAGTTAGGAGAGAGATCAGGCATCTGCGAAATCGCCATTTTTCTCAGAAAAAAAGCATACATCGAATTTCGTTTTTATTTCATACATGAAAGGCTGAACTAAGCCCCTTGAGTATGCTGTGAAGAGAGCGAGGAAAAGGCTGCTTTTATTTATTGTCTTTTCCCTTCGATCCAATGCTAATAATTTTTTTTCCACAGTAATAAATTTATGACGTTCATTCGTTTAAAGGCTTTAAACATTCAAAGGCTCAAGTCTTCCGAGAAAAAAAATTAATTTTGCTAAATGCTTTGCTAAATCATTAATTAATAAGAGTCGAGCCTCCAAAGACCTATATACACAACAGTGATATAAAGTACAATAAAATAAAGGAATGAAATCTCTAAGCTTAAACACGTCATGTTGCGGTATATGTAGAAGTAGATATGTACGTTGTTGGTTGGCATTCGCGAATTATGATGTCTTAAAATATCTTTTTCCCTCCTTGGAATATGCAAAATGACATATGAAACATGAAATTTGAGCGCCTTTTATACTATATGCGATGGTTAAGCTGTTCGTATGACGAATATCACATGAGAAGTTGGAATATTTTTGAAACGCGTCATATTGTGCAATTTATCAAGAGAATTGCGTTAGATTTTATTTCAGATCCCTGCGACCCACAAGAAAGTTAAAAGCAAAGTGAAAAGAGAAGAAAAAAAATCCTCAACTAAATGAGTTTATATTCAAAGGGATACAATTAAATGTCTCGTCTTCTTCAGAGAGTTCTCTTACTTAAAAGAAATAATAAATAATATCACGTCAGCACACTCTGATCTATATTCTGTCTTTCTCGGTTAATCATCAGAAAATTTTATTTATAGCAAAGTGTGCGAGACTTAAGCAAAAAAGATTGTTTATTAAACAATAAATATATAAAGTCGTGCCTTCAGTTTGGGGGAGTGAATGCGAGAGAAAGAAAAAAATAATCACACGCACATACACACTGTTCAACTTATTTTTTTGCTTTAACTTTGATATCAAACGACATCGACTGAGTGCTCGCTTGAGTACAACAAGACTTTAGCAAATCGCGCGAATAAATATCGCTCTTACATATAATAAACTTGTTTTTCTTATGGGTGACATTAAGTCTGGGCGCAAAATGAATTTTTCTTTCTGTCGTTTTCGCGTTAAGTTTTTTTTTTCTCATTGCTTGCTTCTCTTAATCACGAAAACAGATATTTTATTCATGAATCTGTTTCGGCTTGAAGCTGAATGTGTTATTTTAAACTGAAATATCTCAATGTAATGATATACTTACAAATTAGTCAGACAACAAAATGAAATAAAATGTGAACTTTTCTTGGTGATTCTCTGATTTGTGCTCTCTTTTTCTCTTACTCGTACAAATATTTCCGACTTTTCTTGAGTTTTGATAAGAGATTTTTTAAGTAATTTCTGTTTAATAATTCACGAAGTCAAATAAGTTAAATATGAACTTTTTATGTTGCTTTTCCTTTCTTAATGGTGATTTCAATTCGACCAAATACATCAGGTGATATTTGTAACTTTGTAATAATATCTTTCTCTCCTTCGTACTCGATAAATTATACTCTAAGCCTGATTTCACTGGATTGCTCTGCTGATTCAATCGTATTTCCGGGATTCCTTGCCAATAATATTGGCTGACAAAGCAACCAATATCCTAATAGAGTAATTTTGCGCCTTTTATAGTGAATTCAATAGCTCAAATACACCTTAATGTGAGTTATTGTGATTTCTTCTTTTTCTTGATTTTTGCTTTGATATAGCTTAGGTTTAAGGTCTTTTGAAAGATTTCTTTTCTTCTTGCAATTATATTTCTTATATTTTGCGAATCCGTACTGATCGGAATTATAACATAAACTTAATATTGTAAAATGGCTTTTAAAAAACCAACGAACGATAAAATTCAACTTGTATGACAATTTGCCGACTTTAAACTTCCACTACGACTACGAAGCACCAATAAATTATTTAATTAAAACACGCAAATAAATAAATTATTTAAATTTTGTTTCTGCAATGTCTTTATCTCTTGTTATATATTTTACGACTGGCACTGACACAACTTGTCAGATGTTGACTAAAATCATTAGAGGTTCTCTTAAAACACTTCTCAATATCATTCGCGACTGCTTGTCCACACAGAAATCATTTATCTTCAATAATCACATAGTTGACTGTCAAAATAATGAGCTTTTAAGCATCATATAAAAATATTAACTAATTTTTAATGGCATTTTTTATCTCTTCAAATAGATTAATAATTTTTTGATAGTCATTAACTTTTCATTAAACCGCACATTTTTATTGTAGAGCGATGTAATTATTTCACAACTTGCTTCCTTTTCAGCACTTTTGAATTGTCAATAACCGTTAATTTTATTCCAGGAGATAAATGTTCATGAATTTTATTATTCTATGTACTATCTAATTGAGTTAGCATGACCTTATTGATAACAAATAATATAAATTACGCCTTCCCGAAATAGCTTACTATCAGTGTATAAGAGACTATGAGATAATAATTTTATTGGTGATACACGTGTGAACTATTTACGTACAATTTCGTACCTCGTATTTATTTAAAGCATTTTTAAGATAAGGATAACAACGTCACTGTTGTATAAATTATCTGTTTTGTATTTACCTACTCCTATGTAATTGGAAGTGACAAACCAGTTTTATACAGTTTTCCATGAGCAAATTCTTTATCAGAGTTTCACTTAGCAAAATTCTTGGAAATTATCTTTTAATTGATGGTGGTGACACTTCACGGAAATTACTTAATAATATTTTGATAGATATTTACCTTATCTTTTCTGACATAGAGCGGAGCAAATGGTTTTGTACATTTCGGTAAAAAAAATTGTAAAAAAAGTAAACTACACGTGATTTGAAGTGCCATGAAGAGTTTTCTATTTTTAACTTTGAAATTAGGTAAGCAAAAAATTAACATTTGAAATCGTATACTGGGGGTAATAATTAAAATTGGAAAGGTTTAATATTGGAACGCTTCATGACGTCTTAAGTATGTTTAGGTAGATTTTACGAAAATTTTGGGACATTGCAAAGAAATAGATCAGATATGTAGATAGAATAAAAATTCAAATCTCAGTAGAAAGTTTTTAAGAGCCTCTGGCGCTTCCAAAAGAAGAATAAATCATTCTGAGGGAATTTCCAAATTTATAACAAGTGACAGTATTCGTTCAATACGTTTTGAATTTGAGTGAAGTCTCAATGGATAAATATTACCACCGTAGTTACATACAAGTAACTGTAAGTTAATAACAAATAAATTTAACAACTTACCATCTGTATGTATCTTGAATCTTTAATGTTGGTAAAATAATATTTCCAAATACTTTTTAAAACAATGACACTTTTTTTAGTCACAAATTGCACAAATCTCAATTTTCATTAATTACTTCATCATTGTTAATAAAAGAATTTAACTTTTCACCCGTAACTATTTTTTTTTCTTTTCCTTGAATGTCTTTTTCGATGTTCTTCATTTGAGGTTCTTTTCAGAAGTACAAGAAGTTTGACAAAGTGTTATCGCATTATATATGAAAAAGCTTATATATTTTTTTCTCCCACTAAGTTTTACAATGAGCTTGCTTAACACATCTTCGAAGTGACGACACAGCAAGCGGCACTTAATACTCATACAAGAACAAAATGTTTGAAGCTTTCAAAAGGGTTTTCTTATTGCATTGATGAGAAAATTCTTATGATTAGTGTTTTATATTTACGTTGCAATGTCAATGATGATTGCATGTTTTTTTTTCATCTTTATTTTTGTATCCTTAAAGATATGTCATATGTGAGTTAAGCTTTTGAATAAATAGTGATGTCATTCAAAGGACTCGTGCACATGATTATCGCTTATCACACTGTGCCTCTCACACTATGTAATAGCTTAACGATCATGACAACAAACATTCTTTAATTAACGTCATGCTGGTGGTTGGATATCTATATTGATTCATCAGTACAATTTACGACCCATTCATTCACAATATTGAGTTATAATAATTTGTTCTTGTCGTAGTTTTTGAGGGTGTAGAGAAATGTTATCAACACAGAAGAAAACAAAATTAAAGGTTTCCTTTTCTATTTTATTTAATTCATAAGTTTTCTCATATATTTTGTAAACATTGAAAAGCTTCTCATTTTTTTCTGCAAACATTAAATGAAGATCAGAAAACATTAAATGAACTGCTCTATAATTTATGTCCACAAATTTACGAACAATTCTGTTTTTGATTAAAAGATGATAATGATGTTGTATAATTCGATATAGCAGATGAAAGAAAATCACAAGTCGAATACTTTTTACTTAAATCAGAAATTGGAGTACAACAAATATTTATTTCTTCTTGAGATGGCGACTCCTTAGTTAAAGAGTTGTGATATCGAAGCTGTTCAAGACGTAATTGATTTTGACGCTTCCATTTTGTTCTTCGATTTTGATACCTGGAGGAATGAAAAATTATTAACTTAAAAGATAATAAGTCGAATATGGTCTTAATTAATTACCATGTTTTAACTTGAGTTTCCGTTAGATTAAGTTGACTCGCAACCTCACCACGATCTGCCACTGACAAATATTTTTGACATCGGAATTTTCGTTCAAGGAACGCTAACTGTGAATGTGTAAATGCTGTTCTCCGTCGGCGGTGTCTTTTATTATCTAGATAAGAAGAAATTCGATGTGGTTAAAGGGAACACATTAAAATTAATGAATTACTCAGATTTCCTTTACTAGACAACAACGTTGAAAGTGACGATTCAGGATTTGGTGGCTGAGAACAGTGCATACTTGAATATACGTAGTTGAATGTGTCTTCAATTCCGATATCAATTTCTTGACCATTTGTTGAGGAATCTGCATAAAATCAAGTTATTAAAGTTTATTACATAATTTCAACTGAATTTGTATTGAATTGAACATTGAATTATAGTTTTGCGTTTAGCATAAGCATAAAATATTTATGTAGCTAACCGTTTATATGCAGTTATGTTAAAATTTAACAGAAATTTCATAAGTCATATACAAAGAAAATTTACTGAAGTAAAATTGTCTAACATCAACTCTGCATAAATATTTTATCCCATATTTTCTTTCTGACTCTATCACTTTAGCTGATGTTTTGCATCTTCGATTGAGATTAAGTTGTTAAAATTATCAGTTTCATTCATTATAAGCAGTTAAATAGATAAATTTCAGTTTTCAGTTCATGACTGACAAGAATAATTGCTTCGTTAAAGTTTCGTTAAATAACTCTTGTAAATTAATTTCTGTTTTCTGTGCTTTTTGATTGGATATTCCTTCAAGCATTTAGCAGTTACTCAAAAATGATCTTCCTGAGAAGAGCTTACAGAATTTGATTTCATTGCATTTCATTAAAGTAAGTTCAATATTTTTTAATTCATTTTTAATTTTTAAAATCTACTTTTCCTTAGCTTTTCGCAGTTTCTCAATAAGTTTTTGGAATTATATTCGTGAGATATGAATAGAAATGTTCAAAACCATTATCACAATGGATCAAGACATCAAAATAATGCTTCAGATGGCATCACTCAGTCAGATGCAGTATCACCAAGATTCAGAACAGATCTCAACAATCAAGAAGTTATGAATTTTTGTTATTCATGCAAATCTGATTTCATCATAAGATCTGTACATGATTTAATGGATCATTTCTCGCAACCTCATGAACGCTTTTCTTCGTACTGTTTGTATTGTAAAACAGGAAAAGTGCATCAGTATAGAAGTGATACGAAAGGTCTTCAATTCTATCACGATTGCTATCGATCAAAAATGAATTACGACAAATAATCTTAAAAATTGATCAATTCATAATTATCATAGTATTTTTAAATATTTAGATATCATCTTTGTAAAGTGAATCTTGCACGATTTTTATGGAATCCAGTTTAAATGTGCAAAATATCAGACAAAATATAAGACTGAATGCGTGCTAGCAAAATCCATTTCATACTCAAATGTCTGTTTAATTAATCAATGAATGTATTAAAAATGTTACATAATATGTAAATGTTATTTATTCTCTCTATTTATCTTAGTTTCTTTATTTAACATAGCACGTTGAATTATGATGTAATTTAGAAAAAAATTCAGTTTCACGATTGAATTTTTTAAAAAAAATAATTTCTTCTCTTAGTATTTTACTCCAAAGAACTCGGGTTTATTAATTATCATAAATGAATTAAATATGAAATTATGAAGTCATTTATAGAAAACTCATTTGTACGAAGATAATAAAACAGATCGTTATGTATCTGCATGAATTGTGTTGTTTTTTAAATTGAGAAACAAATAAATTTCTTCTTAATTAACAAAAAATAAATCATAAATGCACAAGCATGAAGTTGAAACTCATCAAACCCACAAGCGCAAATTAGAAAGAGTCGAATGAACGCTAATTTTTCTCCATTTTTTGCCATTCATATACTTCAAATGGATTTCTTCAATGGTGAAACTTCACTCGATTTTCAGTTTAAGAGTCTGATTACAGATTTAATCTACGTGAAGTTTACTCATGATGATATGCGGAAAATGAAATTAGAGTTGAATTTTTAGTTCATAAACTTATGAAAACTCTGCTGTTTCGGCACGTGATGACGAATTGAGAGATTGAAAGTATTTTTCAAAAAATAAAGGAAAAAATCATCCCCTTAGACATACGTTTGGAAAATAATGAACTTTTATTGTTCACAATATAGATATAAGAATGGAAAACCCTCAAGTTTAAGAGTACTGAATTTTTAGTGATTTGATGATGTGATTATAAGGATGAGATGATGCATCAAACATATTGACATGTGTACTGACTGTTTTAGCCACTTGACTCTTTTCTCTAGTGCATTCTTATTGAAATCATTACATTATTTGTAAGATCCAATGATTTATCTTATATAAAACTTTTAATGGAAGCAGCTAACCAAACCGAGAAAGACAAAATTTTACTATTTGCTTACATAACTTCTTATATCGACTTCATTGTTTTGTCTTTTAAATTTGATGGAAATTTTCCAAGCAGGCAATCAGTAAAAATTCCCAAAGGCTAAAATTTATGTAAATTTCTTACGCGAAAATTTAAATTGTTGAGGTTTTTGTTTTTATTATTACAAATCACGTAATAATTTACAAATGCTTTGTTTGTTCAAATTATTTGTTGATTGTCTTGTGACATGATCCTTATTGTTGAAATGAAAGCGAGGGTGGAAATATCCGATATAATTTTTAAATGAAGTGTGAATGTTTAGCCAAAAGCGTTTTATGTTTTGTGATTGAGATTCATGATTAATTTGAATGTTTTTCAGATCTTTTAAGATATTTAAATTAAAGCACCGACGTTGATAAGTTATTAAATATTTATTTAGATGTTAGGGATTGTAATATTTATTTTAATTACCACTTTCGTCATTATTACATGTGTTATTTTCTTCCGAATTCTTCACAATCAAATCTCGTAATAAATCACGAATTAAAAATGATTTTGTTCCATTTCCTTCCGTATCCATTTTCCAATAAAAACCAAATCCGTTTTTTATAATTATCTACTGATTAATTATGTTTATTATGCTTTTTCTTTTAAATAAAAGCAAACACTTTAATGACCACAACTTGTCGCACCATTTGTGGTTTTAAGACTAATCGTTACAAAAGTGATTTTTAATTTGTTTCTCATCAGATTTTGATGAAACCGCAAGAATATTTTGCATAACATTTTCCTAGAGCAATTTTCCACTGCGCGTTCATTCGTTAAAAGATTTTCATGTTAGCCAATCGTAGCTCAGTTCCACCCACACAACTTTCTACTTGATGCAGAGAAATTAAAATGGTAAAACGACGACGAAATAAGAGCCAGGGAAGTTTAAAGGATTATCTTGTGAGATTTTCTTTATGAAATTCAAATTTATTTTTAATTCTTCACTCCTGTAGGACATGAAAAGTTCAACATGAATAAATTCTTCTGCACAGCGGCTTTTTAAGAGGCCACAAACGAGGTAGGCTCTCAACTTTCGAGCTATTATCTATTTAATTATCATTCTTCCTTTCACATAGCTTTCCTTAACGATGATATCATTAATTTGCTGTAATTTAATTGTATGAAACAAAAATAAAACCTTTGATGAGTGCACACTTTTTTTTATTCGTCATAATTTATGCTCTTACATATTAAATTGAAAATTGTGAAAAATTCATTCTGCTTGAAATGAAAATTTATGATGCTAGAAGAAGTTTAATATGTAAAGAGAAAGAAAAAATCAAAGTGGGCTAATTTGCACCAACAAATTCTTATATATCTATTACAATCCTTATTTGAGATGTTTTGATGTGTTTTGTGTTTGTTGATGACGAATATCTGTGTTTAACAACTTATTTATCTTTTAATTGTTATTGTTAAGATGTAAAAAGTTAGCATTGAAAAAACAAAAAAGTTTACACATGCAATTTTAAATTTTAAAAATGTCGAACGTCCATCCTTACCAACTACGTTTATCTTAAATATACTAAATTTAAAAAATATTATCAGATTCAAGGATGTGAATCATCAAGAAAGTTTAGGAAATATTTTCTCCTAATTATTCTTCCAGTTGCTGTGACCACGTTGATTAGGCATTTGTTGTGCTTGTGACAACATTTCAAAGTACTGCCTTTGCATTTCAATCGCTCTTTGCATGTCTAAAGCATTGTTCGATGATGTACTTTTACCACCTGTTAGTTAAATAATTTAATGAATTTGAAATGAAAAAATGATGAGAAATATTCTCTTACTTTTGCCTTTTCCTTTGCTACTTGATGCTTGTTGTGCTGCTGCTGCTTGTGCCATTGCCAATTGATATGAATAAAGTAATGGACCAAGTTGCATTTGAGCTGCAAGATTCGCCTGTTGATTACTTGAAGACATACCTTGAAGTCCTAAATGAAGTTTAAAATATTAAAAACTTTCAAAAAATTGTCGTCAATGACTTTTCTCACCTCTAAAGAATTGTTGTTGTAAAGCTTGCATTGCCGCAGCTGTTTGAGACGAATTTCCAAAACTTCCCAAAGATCCTAAGTTTCCGAAATTTCCTAAGCTAGCCAAAGCATTTAATTGAGCAGCAAAAGTCATGCTAGCCATAGGATCAGCAGCTGCAGCAGCAGCAGCAGCGGCACTTACTGATTGATGACGTGATGATGAGCCCCTTGACGAGCTTTGAGGTGGTGGAGTTGATTGATTTGGAGGGGTGGGAGCTGGCCTTGGTGTAGTGTTCTCAAGTCTGGGTGTCTTACTCACAGGTGCTGGTGAGAGTGCAATCGGGACAGGAGCTTGATGTTGTTGCTGTTGTTGAATAGAAACATTAGAAGATGACGAAGATTGTTGAGCTGGTGAATGAATCGAAAAATCAGCTGCACCAGATGATGTTGATGAAGTTTGAGAAGCCATTCGTTGTTCAATTTCTTGTTCTTGTTGCAAAGCTTTAACAAATGCGGTCTTCAAACGATTTGTGTGTTCAGCCTTCAACGCTTTCTTCACATTTGTTGTCACGCAAGACTCACAAATAATGCGAGGTGCTATAAGAAAACAAAAACATTTACAACTCAATTCAAATTTTAATGTGAACCAACTTACTAGCTTCAGATCCACTTCGCTTGTCTTTCTCCATCTTCCAGACAGGAGTAAAATCGATCTTACATTGAGCACAACGAAACGGTTGTTGTGGCTGTTGTGTTGTCTTCTTATCCTTGGTCAAATAGTCTACAACATGTTCAAGGCCAAGCAAATACACAAATTCACCGTTGCTTGGATTAGGAATAAAATGCATCTCTGGAGGTGGAGGTTTGGGTGGTGGAATCTGAAGCAGAGTCTTTTCAAGTTGTTTCCGTAATGCAAGTTTAGCTGCTGCTTGTTTTTGTGCTTGAGTTTGTGTGTCTTCAACACGTGAAGATTGATTCATTGAAGTATTTTGGCTGATTGAAATCGATGCCGTAGGTGTGATGGACACAGAATTGTTTAAATTAACGGAAGATTGCTGAAATATTTTAGATTAAGTTTTTGTCTGTTTTGATCAGAAGTTAGCTTACATTTTTAGTTTTCAGATTCATGACTGGTCCGGATGTTGGTGTTATAGTAACCGATGGAGTAATCGACAGATTTGACGACGACCTTCCTTCCATAACAGTCTTGCCTTGGATGAAAGGAGCACGCGATGAAGTTCCTGTAGTTAATGTTGCACCACCTGGTAGTGATTGTCGTGGCAGTGGGAAGCACTGCGCTTGATTTTCATTTAATGACGATTGCCTGAAATATTTCATTAGAATTAAAATTTTCCTAAAAATTTCAAGAAATTTAAGTTCTTACCTTGAAATCGAAGCACCACCTTTATAATCAGCAAGATTAGTTGGAATAACAGTCAAACTTCCTTTGGAGAGCGACTGAGGCAACATAGCTAATGGGTTATTATAATTTTGTGATAAGTTTTGAGCAACATGAGCCATATTCGATGGAGTTTTATTCTCCTTCATCACTTGTTGCGAGTGTTTAATTTTTTTCAAAAGCACCAACTTCGTTTCTTCATTCCTGAGTTCTTCACGAATCTTCCTAAGTTTTCTTTCACGCTCCCATATTTCAGCCGCTGATAATTCTTTGATTTCAATCTCAGGCATAATCGCATCTTCATCGTCTGAGTCAAGATCACCATTTGTTGACTTCTCAGTTTTATCGCCATTCAAATTGATGTCAGGCGACTCTATTTCTGCATAGGATCTTGGCTCAGTTCGTGGTCTTAGAACTCGCCTATTAGGATAACGCGATTCACTGGTTGTTGTTGCTGTCGTCGTTGTCGTCTGGATTCCATTGTCATTTTTTGTACCATTATTGGTTGTAATGTTTGAGGAACCATTACCATTATTAGACGAGATTGTTGGAATTATCGTTAGACCAGGTGGTATATTAGCACTTGACAAATCCATAATTTAATCACTAACTTCTTTAATTTTTTTTGAGAGAATTTTTTTACACAAATTTTTTTTCCTCTCTGTTTATTTTCAATTCGGCAAAATTTTCTATCGTTGTTTTTTCAACTTAAATCAATGAAAAACTTAATTACAACACATCGAATACTTTCAACGAGTGTTCAACTAAATATTGTAACTATTTTAAGCTTAGTTTTTTAAGCTTTAATGGATAAAAATTCTAATTTATATGTGACTTTTTCCAAACGGGAAGGGAAACTTTGTTGAAAATATTGAACGAAAGTCATAGATGAATACCCCATTGTCAAGTTATCGAGACTCTCAGTTGAGAATTCTCGCGAAGTTTGATACCCTGATTTTAACACACATGCTGCAGTGACGTCGGACTACCCACGGATTGACTTGCGTGGATTTGACCTTCCATACAAAACATACAGAAAAAATTTCTCCGTGTTCACAAATTTCTCCGTGTTCACAGGACTCTCCACCTGAAACTAACTTTAGAGAGGACGAGTTTTAGGTGGAGAGTGTAGCACCAGCGGTGGCAACTCGTAGTCGAGAATTCGTGAAAAAATTTCAGATTAGGCAGTTTTGATATCGGAAAATTTTGCATTTTCCGTTCGGTTAGTTAATTTAGTTTGATAGCAAAACGTCTGGTTGTAATAGAACTAAAGGAAAGGTATTCGAGTTTAGTGATAAAAGTGACGTTTTTTGCATAAATTACGAAGTGAAAAAACTTACACATGAAACATTGAGTGAAAAATCGAAGTCAAAGGAGAGAAAATTGTGAAAATCTATAGGAAAATTTAAAAAAAGACTCATCTTAAAGTGCTTCTATAACTTAAAACAATCAAAATTGTCTTGATACAGTAGATTAAAACGAACAACAAGTAAGTAAAAAAAGTGCATCTGAACACACATTTGTGATAATTTCGTAACGAGGCCAGAGAGCATGAAAATTGAAAATCTGTCCATCTTTTTCTTTGGGCATCATCGGCGGGTAACGTTATCTGATTATGATTGATAAGTGGGACCCTCATGGATTACAAAAGGCTTATAATATCATTTTACGATATGTTTTTTGCAAGCCATTCAATTTTATTCGTTAATAAGTATTACATATTCAACATTCATTCAAACACTGACAAAAATTAAAAATTGTTTTCAATAAAACCACCAAAGAGAAAATTCTCCCAGGTTTTACCTTTGATATCGAAATTTCTTTGCAATTCGAGCATAAATTTTGCTGATGATGATTAAATTCAACGTTTGATGACTGCTTTTTGTGAGAAGAATGATAGATGATTGTAAATGGTTTGAAGGTCAAAAGGGAATGTAAAGCTATGATTCTAATTTACTAACTAATTAAATAATTCCTGTTTGTAATATGATGAGATTGTAAAGACGTATAAAAGAAATCATAGATTTACAGTTTTTTCAAGCGTTTCACTTAATAAAAGACCTGCTTACCTATACGTTGATTTTATGAGGTTTGTGATAACATATTTATGTTTGTATTTCTGATTTGCGCTGACAGAAAATAAAATTAAGTACAAGCGTTTGCTTAATTTGCAGTAAAAATGTTTTTCTTTTCAAAAGAAATGAATTAAGTCACATGCATGGGTATACAGAACAACCTTAAAAACGGGCTGTTATTGCGAGCACATTACGTCTTCTCAATGCTATCCGTTCAAAACGCACAGTCTTTTCCCTTTCGATTATTAGGTTTTGAGAGTGAGAGAGAATTACCGAGCAGAATGCCTTTTTTCCGGCTGTATTTACTTTTTTAATGAAATGTGTACGAGTAAGTGTTGAGAGCAGGTAAATGTGTGGTGTTTTTTACTTCAATTAATAATCGGCCTCACGGGTGATTGCAAAATTACTTCTCGCATCTATTGCTGGAAATCGCTGTGAGTATGCGATAGCGAGTTAAGCTTTTAAGGTACTACGAGTAATTTGAATAGCGAACAATGCATGTTATCGTACATGTTTTGGCGTTACTTGGGGTTTTAATTGGAGATTATCCTTTTTCATTCATTTAATCAAGGCGTTCTAAAATTTGGACCTAAAATTCCAATGTCATTCACATCATAAAACACAATACAATAACAAGACAAAACACCTCTCGCGATTATGTAATAATCCCGCGAATCTATTTTAAAATATTTTTTTATCATTAATTTTGATATTTTTCTTCGTAAATACTCGATTGTTGTGCTATTCTCAATCGTCATTGGATAATCATCTTAAATCTTGAAAGATTGTGTTCTTCGAATAGAAATAACGGTAGAAAAATATGAAAAAATTGCTTTCATGTGTTTCATGCCGATGAAAAATTACGAGACTTATCTGAGGAAAATCGAATATAAAATTTTACGAGCAGGAAAATTTATTTTCATTTAGGTTTTTTCTTTTTCTTTTAGTTTAATACTTGCAATCAGGTTGAAGTGGTTGTTAGTCAAGCCGTCAATCCATTGAGTGTATGAGTGCATGTTTGTATATTAAAGCAAGAACATGATAAAAACAACAGACTTTTTTTTACGACAAATAAACGTCCACAAGACTGATCTAATTTTTTTATGTCAAACAAAAATTTTCATTAGATTTTTCTTTTTCTTTGAAGCTTCGACTTTAGGTAATAATAATAAATCACACATATGATGTGAGAGTCGTAATTCGGTTGTACTTTCATGAAATAAATTCACTCTGTTAGATATTAGGTATTTTGAGAGTTTATGTCTTTAGTTTACGACTGATAATTGATCGTTAATTACTAACAAGATTTAATGCGAATAACCAAGGCAATGCAATGAGTTTAAAGCTTTGAAAAGAAAAACGATCAAAAATGACTCTGGCAAGCAATTATTATGTGGTTGTAAATAATGCACGGCATTTTGAGAATGACAAAAAAAAGTTTAATCGTCTTATTCTTCAAAAGTTCAACTACCATTGGAAAATCCAATATAGGACCGGGGTCATTCGATTGAAACAATACGTAAAAAGCTTATTGATTTTTGTGGCATAAAAAAATGGAAAACTTTCAGTTATGGTATGTGAGACGTGAGCTCATTTGAACGTTTGCTCGTTCAGTATAGAAATAAAAATGCAAAGTTGATGGGCTTTAAAGCGAAAATACCTAAGTTTGCAGTAAAAGTATATAAAAATATGAAAGAAAAAAATATCTTAGAAACTTTTCAAGAAAACTTAATGTTCTATTGTATGTAAATTGTTCTCATTTGCAATTGTATTGCTTACTTAAGTTCAGGTTGTTTGATAACAAAATTCTCAAAGATTTTTCATGCATTAAGCAACATGAACAGAGCAGACATTTAAAAATTCTTCTACAGTAATGTCATTGTATGTCATACTTAAAACTGTAGATAAAATGCTGTTTGCGGTTTACTCACATACGATTAAGCAAAACAATGTAATGGACAAGTAAATGAATGACTGCACATTCCGTTGGTATTTCTTGGAAAAGTATTAAAGAAGGCTCTGCTTGCGTTTGCTTAGCCTTACAGATATTTTTAGGAGAATTCGAGGAAGAAAAGGACAAGGTGGAGAAGAACAAACATTAAATGATAAAAATTTAATATCAATTTTGCCTTTTATGTGGCATCGTCTTGGAATGATGTATAAGCCTTGGGTTATTTCAACTATGAACCATCGAGAAGCATGAAAAATTAAATTTAGACGACAAATGTTTGTCAAGACATTGCTGGTGAAAAATCTTCTCAACAATGGAAATTAAATACATCGTCCTAAAACATACGAAAAAGGAGAAGATATTGCAATGGCCTGAAAAAATGTTTATAAAATATTCAAGGGAGAAATTCTTGTGCCTTTCCTTCACGCTTACATTCTTTGATAATCAAATTGTCCTATGCTTCCATCTTATTTCGTCTTAATTTCTCATTCATTTATCTTCAATAATATTTGGCGATAACAAAAATAATATCTTTGAGTAGCATTTTTGCGAAAAAAAATCTCCTAAATCATTTCGTGCTTCTCATTTTTTACTTAATTTACTTTGAGATTCCCTCAAGGAACCATTAAGCATCACGTAATTTTCCTGTTGATCTTATATAATGTCAAAAGCAGACCAAGTCTCGTCCACTAACTTAATTTTTGTCCTATTTCTCTTGCTTTCATCACATTAAATATTTTGTATCTCCGCTTGGCCTTTAATTGTCATATTTTTTTTAAGAAAGCATAATCGTGCGCTCTTTGCGTTTAGCCTGTGGGAAAAAAGGAAGAGAGAAAAAGAGAAAAAAGGAAAATGTCACATGGGGGAGAAAAGAAAAATGATTTTCTCCTTAGGGTAGCTATTTTCAGCAGGATATAACGAAAGCTAAGTAGGAAAAAGTAACGAGAGATGGTAGCGAGAAGTGATATTCGCCTATTATTATTATCATGTTAAACACAACGCTTCTCAATTTCATATTCGACGCAAAGTTTATCAGTTGCGAAAAGTAAATCATAATGTTGTGCTACCATGTCGCTCATCGTTTGAGTTGATTATAAACGACTTTTTTTATGATGTCGTAAGCCGACTATTAGGTAGGAAATTGCAAAATTTCTCGTCTTTATTTTCATCAAATTGTTTCATCTTTTTCGCGTTGTCAAATTCATCTCAACAGATTCAGAGGATTGAAAATCTTTTTTGTTGAAAGATTCTGTCAACGATGTTTTGTATATTTAAGTGAATTGAAAGGTTGCTTCAAAGTCGCTTTTCGGAATGAAGATAATGACAAATTATTTTGAGAGATATATTTTATGAAGAATAACACAGCTTTGTAAACCCCAAACGCCTAAACTCTCAATCGCATCTGACATTCATTTGAATAAGTTCGGTCAACTCAGCATTCATCTATTGTGAGTCAGTCTCTATCTCTTGACCCGCATCAAAACCATAATGCTTCCGAATAAAGTTGAAACTCAATTTCGTAAAGGGAATGAATGAAAGCGACGAATGACTGGAAGAAAAATGATTTCTACTGTCCGGAAGCATCTCATTTACATCAACAAACTGAGATCGATCTTTGTAACGAATTTAACTGAGACTCTCTACAGTTTACTACAGCTTTATTTTCCATCAACTTGCATTATCTTGTGCGGTGAAGTTACGAGAAATAAGAAAGAAGAAGATAAAATATCTGACATAAAGTTTTCCAATCTGCTTTGCAACATTTTTTTCCGTTCTTTCACTGCTTTCATCAATCTAATATGTATACTGACCCTAAAAATCGAACCTTTTTCTTGTTCTATTTTATAGCAAGCTTGTCTCAGACTCTGTAAAGATTTTTTTTCGCACGAACAAATTCACACGCTTTAACTGCAAACTTGAATAAATGTGATCCGAATAGATAATGAATGTCAATCTGATGACAAGATGCGATTAAATTTATTCTGTATAAGATTAACTTATAATCCAAGTTTACCCAAAAATTTCTTAAATAATCACATTTCCTTGCAACATCTTTTCGTCTTTTCAAATCAACATGTTGTCGAATCAACAGATGATTTCTGTAATTAAGCCTCGTCATACTTGGAATTAACTAAAGAAATTCGCAGAACGAGATCTACGTGATAAATCGTTTCCTTTTTTTCATTTTGATTTGTCAAAATAAAGTTTTCTTCTCTGTCATTTCAGCATATCGCACAACAACAAAAAACATTAAGTAAACAACAAGGAAACCACCAAGAAAATCTTCTTAGTCAGAACAAAAAAAAGTTGTTAGCGCCAAGATGTCGAAACAAAAAGTGAAAGTTCCCGACAGTCTCCGAGATGTTTTGTTAGAATTCTCAATTGCTTATTTGCTTGAGCAACCTGGTGATGTGATTGACTTTGCTGTCGATTTCTTCACGAAATTACAAACGAATCGTGCACAGACTGGAATTGGTATTGGAGTAACAAAACCAACAACACCAGACGAAAGTATAATCTCGCAAGATGAAGGTCAGTCTCGTTTATTGTCTAATTTTAAAATTCTCGTACAAATGTTTTCTTATTTTTGTGTGAAAAATTCAAAAACACAATTTAATCAATTTTTCTTCTCCTGTTTCTCACTATTTATTTTCATAAATTTAGAACCTGTTGTGAATCGTTTTGCTGGTCGCCGAAAGTCTGTATTTGCTGAACAATATGATCCTGAAGAAGATGAAGAAGAGGAGAATAACAAAGTTATTTTCCCGAAGACCGACGAGCAACGCTCAAGATTATGCGATTCAGTGAAGAACATTTTACTGTTCCGTGCACTCGATCCCGAACAGGTAATTGAGTCATTTTCAACATCCGCAAAAATTTAATGTTTTTCGTTCTAATTTAATTGCGCATTTTCATTTTCACGCCTTCCCCATTTTTGCTGTTCACAACTCGTTGACATCGTTCGATGACGTTAAACAGATGAATGAAATTCTTGATGCCATGTTTGAGAAAAAAGTGAAACCGGAAGATGTGATCATCAGACAGGGCGATGATGGAGATAATTTTTATGTCATTGAATCGTAAGCTCTTTACTCTTATTTCACTTGTAGTTAAGGCTAAATGTGATAGATACACTTATTGACATAGTGCTAATTGTTTTCCTTCATCGCTTATCTTTCTTTCTTTCTTTCTAGTGGCATCTATAACGCTTATGTCGGTGATGACAACAAACACGTCCATACGTACGAAAATCGTGGATCATTCGGTGAATTAGCTTTGCTCTATAATATGCCACGTGCTGCCACAATCAAAGCTGTCAGTGAAGGCCAACTGTGGGCATTAGATCGTCAAACATTCCGACGAATTCTTCTTAAATCAGCATTCAGAAAACGAAAAATGTATGAAGCACTCATTAATAGCGTGCCAATGCTTAAAACTTTACAAAACTATGAGCGCTTGAATTTGGCTGATGCTTTAATCCCAAAAGTTTTTGGAGCTGGCGAACGAATTATTAAGCAAGGTGATAAAAGAAGAACAACAAAACAATATAAATTTAGATGAAATAAATATTTACTTAACTTGTTATTCTTGTTCGTCTTCTTATCGTTTTTATTTTCACAGGTGACGCGGCTGATGGAATGTACTTTATCGAAGAGGGAACTGTTTCTATAAAGATTCTTCAAGACGCTGGTGAAGTAGAAATATCAAAATTGGAAAAGGGACAATATTTCGGAGAATTGGCTCTTGTCACTCATCGGCCACGTGCAGCGTCAGCTTACGCTCAAGATAATGTCAAAGTTGCATGTAAGTTCTTACTAATCATTTAAGCTGTCATTGATTTATTTTTATCACATCTTTTTTGTGTTACCAGTTGTCGATGTTGATGCATTTGAACGTCTTCTTGGTCCATGCATGGACATCATGAAGCGAAACATTGACGATTATGAATCGCAGCTAGTTAAAATATTTGGCAGCAAATCTAACATTGCTGACATCCGATAAGCAGACAAACAGAAAATTAATTTCTAATGCTTTACTAAGAATATCTTCAAACAGCAAAACAAAAAAAAATTAAATAAATCACTTCACAACATGCTATTAAACAAAACAAATTAAATTTATTATATTCAATTGAGTGTTCAGCGCTGGCATTGAGCACTAAATGATGAAAGCATGAAAAAGAAAAAAAAAAGATGAAATAATCTATTTATTTTATTTATAATGATGTGTTATTCAAACGTGAGATAAAAAAAGAGAGAAAGAAAATATTTCGCAATACTTTTAAATACAAAAGATAAAAATCATTGATTAAGGTAAAAAAATAAACAAAAAAACCAAAAAAAAAAGCAAAGAATTGTGGGAAATCAAAAACGACAAAAAAGAGAAAATTTCTAACATCAAAGAGAAGAAAAAGTTTTGAGCAGAGTTTAAGAACGAGATTTGGAACGTTGATGGAATTTAAAAGCGCCGAAATCATCAAATCGTGTTTGTTTATGCATCGTCTATTATAAGCATCTTCAAACATTCGATTGGACATCAGTGTAACATTTTAAACGATCAATCATTGAATTTCTGTCTAAAGAATATCAAAGTTGATGGTCGTGGAACTCCACTTCAATTTCCGTACTTGTAAGTTGTCAACACACCGAATCTCAATTCAATCACTTACAACCCTGCATTTACATGCATGCATTCTTTGATGAAGTAAGCATATGAAGATAAGATTTCATTTTACATATATTTGTGTCTTCATTTCGCAATTATTTATGTTTAAAGAAATATTATAATTAACAGTTATAAGTTATGAAACGGAGCTCAAACAAGAGCAGTACATTTTATGATAAACAAGTAATATTAGTAATTAAAATTGATGAACATAACTCTTGCCACAAAGCTCGCTATTCAGTGCTCTGAAAATGTGGAAACACTGACTTAGACGAGCGAAAATCTTATTACTTTTCTTTGCATTAAAAGATAATTAATCATTTATGAGAGAAGAAACACAAAACGACCGACCCACAGCAAAAAAGAGAAGAGAAGATTAACTCAAAACCTGGCATAAAATGTTCGTTCATTGTTACTTTGGGGGAGAATTAAGACTCCCTTTTAAGACTTACGTTTGGTGTTTTTCTTAAGTGTTAAATCATATTTTATTTTATTAAAAATTTAAAACAAATTTAGTTGCCGAAAGGTTATTTAAAAGCTTCAAAATTTAAGTAACTTTTTTGTTTTTCCTTAGATGAAGACAAGCATTAAAAGCTTTACGAGTTTTAAAAGCAACTAGCGGTAAAAATATAGAAAATCCGTTCTAAGGAAGGAATATTTAAATATTTTATCTTTAATTTAATAGTCATCATCATTAATCTAGAATTCCTGAAGAAGGAAAAGGAATGAAAATATTTAAGTTTCATCTCCTTAACCTTATGAATGCTTTTGAAAGTAAGTCATGTGAAGTAAAAGGAAGATATCACAACATATAATGGAGTAGATATAAATAAGTCAAACAAAATGCCAAGCATTTTATCCTTGAGTTAGATTTTTATTTATTTTATAATTTCCTTTGGTTGAATTTATTGGTAAGCTTTTTCATTCTCTTTTCATCTGAACATTGAAGATGCCATGAAAAATTAATTCTAGTGGAAAATAAAATCATTAATTTAGATTGTATAAACAAGAAACAAAAAAGGTTTAATATGTGAATAAATTACCCAATTCGTGGTTATAAACGGTGTGAAAAGATTAAAAAAAACTATTGATAGGGTTAAATAATGTGCCCCAAGCCCTAAACTCCTTCATAACCGAACAGCTTTTTCATATGGAAAGTAAAATTAGGATAAAGTTAAACATTCATCTGATTGGATGTTTCTTTCCATCGACAAGACTATCAATTGATAATATTTATTATATACATAAATGAATGTATGAAAATCTGTTTGTAAGCACTGTAAAGGAACAAAATATCAGTTGACGTAAGAGGGATTGTAAAAGGATATTTTGTAAGCAAACAAAAATTATCAAAGCAAACAAAAAAGAAGATTTAAAATGAAAAATGAAAGAAGCTTTCAAGAATCATCCTCATAAGCGTCTAGTTTAACTATCCTTTTGTATGTATAGAGACACTCTAGAAGATTTCTGATCAAAGACTTTGAGGTTTTTTATAATTAATTATTTACATTGAAGATTGTATGCTGCTCAACAAGCTAGCATTTGATGCTACTTACGGTTCTTGCGTTAAGAAATTTTCTATGAAAATTCAATATTGAAGACTATCTGTTGAACGCTACTTAAGTAAATTGTAGTGACATGTATTTCAAGTAGATACTGAATCCTTGTAAAGTCAAGTGTAAGTGGGTTTGATGTAGCATAAAAAACTTTGATACAATCTCCGAAGGTAACTTCAAAGAAAATTTTAAAAGCCTCCGGTACTTCGCTCAGAAATCTCAGGAGAAAAATTATGATTGTAATGTACATGCAGCATCATTTGTGCTCCTTTTTCCCCACTTTCTCTTTCGTTTTGATTTTATTACTCTTTTACTTAGTTTCATGTTGCTGCTTATTTTATCCCTTTTCGTTTTGAAACAATATTTGAGCTTATTTTATTTCAATTATTGGTACGTCTTTAAAAATGGGTCCGACTGAGAAAAGCTTTAGATCACTTCACTTGATTCTTCATTTGAAACTCTTAAAGAGACAAAAATAAAATATTCAAAACTGCCGAAAAATTTAACTTGAAAGTTATTTAATTTATTATTGTCATGTCATTTGATGGCGTCAAAAGTTTTTCTCAGCCGAAAACCATCAATTTAATTAATTCACGTCTAGAAATTCCCAACCCATTTCTGTATCGAGCTTAAAACCATCTTTAAAATAATATTTATGTGATTACTTTAAAAACTAAGAATTTCGATAAGAAATAAGTAAAAATTGTCCCTTTGCATAAGAGAGAATAAAAATATGTTCATTGTATGTGAATAAGAAAATTTGTTCATGAAGGAAATTTTAAAAAACAAAAAAATGAAAATTATAAGCAATTTCGTTGAAAAAAAAATGAAAAAAAGAAGAATACATAAGGAAGAAAATAAAAACCTGCTGACGATTTGAGATCAGTCGCTTTACCTTCACCAAAACATGAAAGGAAGAAATTTAGTAAACTGAAGCTCGAAGCTAAAGGACTTACTTTGTAAAGATTCAAATTGTTTCATTTCCCCCTTTTAAGCATTTCCCCATTCATCGAAATATAAATAGATAAGAAATGGTATTAATTTGAAAGAAAAGTTGCCATATGTACTCCCACGTATTTCTATAAGTAGAAACAATCTCATGAGCAGATTATATGATGAAATAAACTTTCTTGAAGCCTTGATAGCCTTTTCTCCCCTCATAAAACTCCACCTACAACATGAAAATCTATCTTCAAATTCAAATCACGATTGAAAAATGAGAAATCAATTTTCTACAAATTTTCTACACTCTTTCGCTCAAGAAATCAATCATCAAATCAAGCAAAGTAACGTCTAAGACAAAAACAAAAAAAATAAGAAGAAAGAAAGAAAATATTGCCGCATCAATAAATAAGTTCTTCGATAAGTTATACAAACAAGTTGTAAAAGTCGGAACTGAGGATTGGAATTTTAGCAATTTAATATCTACTTGTATAAACAAAGTTTCTATTCGAAACCCTTTTTCACACATGTACGTTTATATATGATATAAAGGAATAAATGCCTGCCGGAAGAGTCAATGAAACCTTCCTTCTCAATACTTAGCACACATGAAGTTTTTATTACGGATGACGATGGTAATGATGATGATGATGTTGCAATCGAGATAATGGATTATGGAAATTTACAAAAGACTTACTTGAAAGTCTCAAAAATTTTTCATCGTCTTAGACGACCAACATCGTCAAGAAATTGAAAGTTTAGTTGACAAAATGAATAACAGTGTTTAAAAAGAAGAAGAAAGGAAATTATTTTCTTTTTAACTTTGGCTTCAAGCCTATCACGATAAATGAGAAGAAAAGTAAAAAGTTTAATGTTGATTTATGGACTCAAGCTTGGCATGAAATCAGATCTCAAATCTATTCCATAAATTATCTCCATCTTAGCTCATCTTTCATTCAAGTATCAATTCTATTTGTATTGTATTGAAAATTCAAATTTCTTTTTTTCTTTTTCTTCCGCAATGAAAAGAAATTAAAATCTTATAAAAGAAAAATTTGAATGTCTGTTGAAGACGCGAATGAAAAAGCCAAAGAAATGGAAATAGAAGACAAAAATAATAATAATAAGAACTTTCTAAATAAAAACAGAATCGGGCATTTTTCCAGTTGGTTTCGTCTTCATAAAGTAGCAAAAACATTCGTGGAACAATTTAAGGAAGTAGCAAGTATTTTGACATCAGCAATAATTGTCTACAAGAGTCCAGAGAATTAATGACAAAATTAATTACTTCCCAAGTTACACACGCATTGTTACTGATCCTTAAATTGATTTCCACAATTATCAACCCATCGAGTGTTGCGACAAGATTTGATTTCGTTTTGATCTTTCTAAGAAATTCTGTTTGTGTTTGACTTCATAAATATATTTTGACTTTAAGAATATAAAACATGAGTGCGAGAGACTTGTATTAATACAAATTGTTGTAACTATAATTAATAAATTTTAAGATCATCAAAATTGTTGTGTAATGGAAGGAATTTACAAATTAATAATCCGTTGGAATGAAAACAACTCCCCCCTGATAGTAGTAAAAGAATGCATAAATGTATCGCATAACTAATTATAATGAAAGCTCACATCCTGGCTCACTTCTCCCTTCCCAAAGCGAAAATAAAAAAAAAGAAAAACTATTAAATAGAGTCAAATAAAAATAGAAAAAAGTATATATTTGAAAAAATAAGTAATAATTACATAGATATCTTAAGTTTAAATGAAATGGAATGATGTAAGAGTGAAAATAAATGATATCATGTCCTATTCCTCCCTCCCCTTTCCTTTATCCTATAAAAACAAAACATATACAAATGATGAGAAAATCTGGAAAAAATAAAATTTTTCAAAACAACTTTTTGTGTTTTTTATTCATATGAATCAAAACTTTTTCATATCATGAGTTGTAAATGGAAAATTGTATCTAACTTTTCAGGAACAAGGTAAATTAAATGTAACTGAAATTAACGATACTACGATTAATAAGAGAAAATTTTTCCTTTTTTAATAAATTAAAAATCTTTTTTATTATTCCCAATTTAATTTTTAGTTTCCATAGATACAAAAAGGTGCAAAGTTGAAGTCTTTAATGGCTGTCAATGAATTGCAATTCGGAGAGAAGCATAACCGTGTTTGGCAACGGTCGTGGTTGTGGTGACAGAACAGTGATAGTTTGTCGTTCCACGTCAACATTTGTTCTGAAATGTTATTTGAATTAACTTTTTCTGTATCAATTTATAGGAAATAATTGAAACTTACACACACACAAACCCCCAAATATTCTTCTTTAAAACATCTTGCTCAACATTTTCAGCAAAACTCAACGCTAAAATATGATGAAGAAGTTGTGGGCCAGGTTGAATTGGCCACGGTTTGGTCATGTTGTCAGCAGCTTTCATCCCTAAAGGCATACAAGAATCAGGAAGAGATGGAGCCCCAATTTTATACACTTTCATATCAGCCCATTTTATATCAATAGAGTGTGGATAAAGTGGAGATCGAGAGCCATAAAAATACTCTCGGATTCTGAAGTCTCTGCTTTCAGCTCTTGCTTGTTGACTCCTTTCAACGACTCCTCCTGATTTCGGCAGAAAAACTACTTTAACTGACGAATCAACATCTCTTAAAAGTTCATTGTAAAGACGTTCTTGATCAAGTACAAGGATTATTCCAGCTTTAAAAGCTTTTGTTGCATGAAGTAAGTGTTGATATCCTTGCCCTTTAACCCAACCGCAAGTATTTATGATTACTCCGGAACTTTGAGTGCGTTTATCTTCTTTTAATCGTTCCATTGTTATATCAGCTAATGTTGACACGCAAATTTTATAAAGTTCATTATTGAAATCCGGTGCTTTATGTCCAAAATGAATGACTAATGGTGCGAGTTGTGAAAATCCTTCTTCAATGTGTGCCTTGAAATTTCAATCAAATTAAAAATTTTGATATCATAAATCAAACTTATAATTACCGGTCGTTCAATGAGAAGTGAGCAAATCGTCCCTGGAATAGAAATGCTTCCTTGTCCAACATCTATATCTGCATAAATCGGTCGATGACCAAGTCTAACAGCGTAATTCAATAGAATGCGACAAAGTGTTGATTTTCCAACATCGGTAGGACCTACAACTAATGTAACAGGACCTGTTGTGCCTCTTTCGTCAGCTTTTTCACGCATTTGCTCTATTGCTGAATGAGTGTTGAGATATTGAATCATTGGAGTCTCCCTTGCAATGTAACAAACATCCGGCGTTCCTTTTATCACTAAAACACATCCTTGATAAGAGAAAATAGCAACTTTTGCACCTTGAATGAACGTATATTTCTTTGCTTTCACCAATTCTGTTCCATAAAGTTCAGCAAATCCACTTTTAAGCTAAATTAAATGTATTTTGTTAAAAAAAAATTTCATTTCAGAATGTAAACAAACCTACAAACCTCAACAATTATTTGAGTTTTACTCTCAATTTCAAATCGAAGTTCACAATCGCGTTCTAAAGTGAATTCTTTAGTGGATTCTTTGGTACTATCTGTCATGTCACTATAAATTTATTTAATTATTCAAGCACAATCTGTCAAAATAACTTGTTTTCGGTTTTTTTGTTGATGAATGATTGAAATCTGTAACACACACAACTACAAATATTGTTAGCCAAGACACTTCATTCTCTCACACATTCAAATTAATGTTTCAATTTATCGTTACTCGCGATCGTTTCTATAGCACGTGCTGATTATCCACCTACATAATAATATGAAATGCAACTATTTGTAAACGAGAATGTCTACTTTTTTTGATCTCATTTTAATGACGATAATTGAAAAATCAAAGAATTGCCATCGAGAAAAAAATCGATTCAACAAAATAGGTATCAATTCGTTTGAAGCTTTTCAAGAGAATCGACATATGACGACTTGGTTGAAGTGAAATCTGTTCATTTGAATATGAGAAGCGGTTGAATTAAGATGGTTTAAAATAGCTTTAAATTTATTGTTATTTTGGTGTTTTATAAAAAAATAAAAGTGTATACAATAGTCAAAGAATGGATTTATTTTTTAAATTTTCTGACGCTTTCTGGAATGAAGATGTGAGTTGTCTTTGATTAATTGAGCTTAGGTATTAAGTGAAAATAATAATATGTAAATGAATGATTAAACTACGAAATTTGTGAGATTGAAGGGCTAATAAAAGTCACTTATAAAAACAGGATAGAAATAGTTAAGAAGAGAAATAAAACAAATATTAACTGCCTTTCAAATATACTGTCAAACTAATTAAATTTCGTTTTCTTTATACTATTTTATAGTTTTGGTTGCCGCCAAATGTAACTTGGAAAGATATTGAACCTGGTAGTCATGGAATAAATCATGCTGATTATAAAGATCTTGTTTGGCCACTTCCGATAGCTTTTATTTTATTATTCATTCGTTTTCTTTGTGAGAGGTGAATTTTCGTTTTATTATTGTTTCTTTTATTAATGACAAATGACAGATGTGACAATCAAAAATTAATATATAACAAAATTGTGATCACCTGTAGAAAGTTTTTTCTGCCCATTGGAAAGTATTTGGGAATAAAATCAAACAGAGAAATCCCACCTCCATGGAATCAAATACTAGAATTGGCATACAAAAGTAAATCGAAACTTGACGACGTAATGGTAAGTCATTCACAAAAAAAGTTTCAATTGATTTCTGAACGATTTTTAGTGATGCAATTTTTTTTTACTATCTCAACATCTTCAGTTTATTTTCGTCACTTCTATCTTAATATTTACAAAACATTACGATCTTTAAACAGTTATCTGAATTCTTCTTATAGACTTTGAAACTATCTAAACAACTTGATGTGGAGAACCGTGAAATTGAACGATGGTGGCGACGAAGAAGAGCTCAAGACAAACCAACAGCCCTCGAGAAATTTTGTGAGAACTGTTGGCGATGTTTGTTTTACTTGTTTAGCTTTTCATTTGGATTAAGCGTTTTATGGGATAAAAATTATTTATGGAATATCTTACACTGCGCTTATGGTTATCCACATCACGTGCGTTTTGATTTATGATTCATGTGTTTGTTTTAAGCTAATATTTACAATTGTAGGGAGTATCAAGAGGTGTTTGGTTATACTACATGGTCTCTTTGGCGTTCTATTGGTCATTGATGTTTTCACAATTCTTGGATAACAAACGAAAGGATTTTTGGCAAATGTTTACACATCACGTTCTTACTTTGCTTCTCATGTCCCTTAGTTGGGTTTGTAACATTCATCGAGTCGGATCTCTAATAATTCTTGTTCATGATTGTGCTGATATTTTCTTGGAAGCTGCTAAATCTTTCAAATACGCTAAATTACAAAAGTTATGTGACCTGGCATTTGGAATTTTTGCTATAACATGGATTGTAACGAGACTTATAATATTTCCTCGAATTCTTTTTGCATGCTTATTTCAAACACAGCAACCTTTTTATCCTGTTTACTTTTTATTTAATGCTCTCTTAATCACATTATTTATACTTCATTGTAAATGGTCATACATGATTTATCAAGTGATAGAGAAAAGTTTTATAACAGGAAAAGATGGTGTCAAAGGCGATGTTAGATCAAGTTCCGAAGACGATTAATGTTGTAGATCTATAAATAAAAAATAGTGGTTTGAAGTGGATTATATTTGATTATTTATTACCGTTTAATTATTTTAACGGAAAATATTTTCGCGGTAAAAATTCAAAACATGTTTTTCTATTGGAAAAAAAATTGAGCAACACGATGTTTGTGTATAGGTTTAATAAGTGAGCAATGAATTTCATTCAATCTCTCTGCAATTAAACTTTTATTTAGAACGTATGAAACAAAGTTATTTGATCTGTTTAGTGAAAGAAATAGTAAAGAATTGTCACCTACTTAAAGTGGTTAGAAAAAAATAAGTTCAATAATGGATTTGTTTAAAAAATTCTCAAATTCCTTTTGGAATGAAGATGTGAGTGAAAATAATTGAATTAACACCGAAGACTTAGATGCAATGTTATTTAATATTTTAAAAGCACTTTGTCATTCGAATTTAAGTGTTGCTATGGCTATTAATTCATATAAATTTTATTTGAAAAAAAAAATGGAAAAATAGGTTTGGCTTCCTCCAAACATCACTTGGAAAGATATTGAACCAGGCAGTAGGGAAAATATAGAACATGCCGACTATAGACATCTGCTATGGCCTATACCAATTTCATTTGTGATTATCATTATCAGATTTACAGTTGAAAGGTAAGACAGTTGAAAGTTCTACATAGAAAAATGGAAAAAAAATCAATTAATAACCTTGATAGCAAGGGGAACGTTTGTGTTTCACATGTTCTCGATATCAGAACATCAGCGTACAGCATAAAAGAAAATAGTTTTCATACATTTCTATTTACACAATAAGGTGTCTCGTGATTGAGTCAAAGCTACAGTATATTCAAAGTTAACCGTTATCTCTTAACATTATTGATGGGTCAATATTTATTCGCAGTCTCAAAAGTTTTAGCATGACTGATAAGCTAAATATCCGACATTTATAAAATGTGAAAATAACGTTTTACAATAAATATTTTCATGACTCATGACACGTCATACTCTTATAAAAAATGCTGCTTTTATCAACCTTCTATTTATTGATGAATCCTCCCCTTCACAATCATAATTATTTCCTTTCAACTGCTAACCAATTCTTGGTAAAAAATAACATGAAAAAGAAACTGATTTTCTTCATGACATTGCGTGATTCTTTGATGCTTTAAATACTACACGAGACATTACTAAATATGCAGCATTGTTTATTTGAATAACTGAATTATTCTTATAGTAAGTATTAAGAAGTCATGTGAGAATACTTCAATGATTGTATTTCAAGAAATGTGTAAATATTCATTTAACTCTTTAATTGGTCATGACGATAGAAATTGAAGATATTTTTCTGAACTTTTGATTATCATTAATTAATTTATTAATAATCTTTTTATTTTGTTAGATACTGGTTGGCACCCCTTGGGAAATCCCTCGGCATAAAGTCATCAAAAGCGAAACCACCAATTCCCAATAAGTCATTAGAAGAAGCTTACATGAAGTCATCGAAACTGAACCATAAAACGGTAAGCCTCGTATTACATTTCTTTAATAAGATCTATAATTGGCGTTTCCTCGTTCATTGCTACTTTTTGTTTAGTTATCATCATCATTGTCATTGACATTCCATTATGAATACCATAAATATTTGAAAAGTAAATTGAAAATTGCTTGACCGAAAGCATAAAGAAATCAGTGAAGTCAAATAGAATGATCATAAATTGTTAAATTTTAGGGGACATTTCTCTAATAACTCTTTGCATTACTCATTAATATTTATTCTCGAACAAAGCTGTATCAAGAGAAGACCTTGAACAAACAATGTGTTCTATTTAGAAGCATGACGGAATTATCGAGATTTACAAATTTTTCATTCCTAATTGATTTTCCGGTGGTGAAAAATAAAAAATTAATTACAAATGTTCTAAAGTAGATAAAATTATAATTATTAGATTTTATATTTACATTTATGACTTTTTATTTGATTCTAAAATCTCGCTTGCTTTGAAAATAATTTTTCTTTGATTTTTAATTAGATTCACACAAAGATAAAAAATATTTTTCTTCATGTAATAAACGTTTGCCGAACTTTTCACAACCTCATTCTTTGTGACTATGAAATATTCGTAATAATCAATATCTTTCGCTTTGTTTTTAAAAGTTATTGAATCTCGCAAAGCAATTTGATTTATCAGAACGTCAAATTGAGAGATGGTGGAGACGAAGAAAAGCACAAGATAAGCCAACAACTCTTGTAAAGTTTTGTGAGAATTGCTGGAGATGCATTTACTACACCTATAGCTTCATCTTTGGAATGATTGTGATGTGGGATAAGACATGGCTTTGGGATATTAAGCAATGTTGGTATAATTACCCTCACCAGGTAAATATTTTTATGGTTCTGTAAAGAACGAAGCTTTATTTAATGAGTTAATTACTTTTAGTCGATTCACAACGATATTTGGTGGTATTATATGATCTCTATGGCCTTTTACTGGTCGCTGACCTTCTCGCAGTTTGTCGACAACAAACGGAAAGACTTTTGGCAAATGTTCATTCATCACGTTCTCACTTTGGTTCTCACCTCATTAAGTTGGATCTGCAATCTTCATCGTGTTGGATCATTGGTGCTTTTGGTGCATGATTGTGCCGATATTCTCTTAGAAGCAGCAAAGTTTTTGAAATATGCAAATTTACAAAAAGCATGCGATATTGTTTTCGGATTATTTACAGTAACGTGGATTGTGACACGTCTTGGATTATATCCACGAATCATTTATAGTACAACAATCGAAGCGCCACGAATTTTACCAATGTATCCAGTTTATTATATTTTCAATTCACTTCTCATAATGCTTTTGCTTCTGCATTTAATTTGGACTTACATGATTCTTCAGATTGTCGTACAGACAATAAAAGCCGGTAAGATGGAAGGTGATGTTCGATCAAGTTCCGATGAAGATATAACCGACAGTTCAGAAAATCGGGAAAAACCTTTGGCAAATGGTAATGGGACACCAAATAAAGATTTGAATCATCGATCATCACCCAGAAAAATTAAAAATCAAGATCATTAAGAGTCGAAATGGAAAAGAAAGAGTTAGTAAAAGGGAGAGAAAGAGAAATAAAAAGAATTTCTTCATTCCATAACATTTTTCCGCGCACTTTTCCATCACTTCTTCTTCTTCTTCGTTTACTAATTTTAAATAAAAATAAATTTTCTCCAACTGCAAATAAACTTGAATATCTACATAAATAATAATAAAATTACTATCGAATAATAAAAGAAATGAATATAGGTGAAATAAACTATATTTTTGCTACCAACATTTTAGTAATCAGAATTAGTCACAAGAGCCATAGAATAAAGTTACTTAGATAAAATGTCGTTGGAATTCTCATTAAGATCTTTATTAGTGAAAGTAATAATGAAGCAACTAAATTAGCAAGCTTAACAATATTGATATTTCTAAATTATAGGATTAAGTAACTTCCGTGTGACGGGAAAATTCTAATGGATTTATAAGAACTTGTTTGTTGCACAGCAAATTTGCAAAGTTAAGACCTTGAATAAGAATAACGACTGAAGTCGATGTTTAAATTAAAATAGGTATTAAGGATGATTGGAATATTTTCATCAAAAAGTTAAATCTGCAAACACTCAAACATCCCGAAATGAAAATCTATTTAACGCTTTTGGAAGTTTTGTTTCTTTTTCTTCTTAATTCATCTACATATATCTACATATCTAAATAAATTTCAAAGAACCAAATTTTTTTTTCTATGAAAATCGAATAATGTTTTAAACATAATCGTTTATGCTTATTAATTAATCCTAATATTGCTTGAACATTGCTACATGTTTTTTATATAAAAGAGAAATTAAGTTAATAACATTTTCTCATAAAATGCTTAAAGTTGAAGTTAGGAAAATATGAAATAAAATATTATTAAAATAGTCTGAATGTTGTTCACGAAGAAGCGCTTTCATAACGATTGATTTAAATGTGTCGTTTGATTTGATTGCATTTTTATGGGATTTTTAAGATATAAAGATTAATTTATAAATAAAAAGAAATCTTTTATTCAATCTTTATTTTATGAAATTGTTTCCAATAATTTATGATCAGTTTGTAAAACTTAAAGAAAAAATAACCGCTTTTGTGGATTTGAAAATGGCCATCATAGTGTGAGTGAAAAAATTTGCGAAGAATGTAGCAAGGGGACGAAAAGAAAATTCTTTCATTTTGCAGCTTCTAGTTGAATTAAATTGCTCAAACAAGAACTCATATGTTCATCTATTCAACTAATTAATTCGTAGCGCTAAACTGATTACTTCAAAGTGTGCCTTTGTAAATTTATCACTTTGTGAATACAAATTTTTTTTGACTTCTTCCTTGATCTACCCCTGATCATCAGCTGCTGATGAAAATTAAAAACAAAGCAGAAAATAATTTTCATTCAGACGCAAAAACGCAATTTTTGTCTTTTTAGGTTCAAATAAACTATGAAAAAAACGAGAATCGTATTGCTGAGTTAGGATTTAGACAGAAAAAACAAATGAAAGTGTCATTACTAATTAGTTTAAGAAATAAGTGAAAATAGTAAACATTTCTAAAAATATAAAACTCATCGTAATTTGTTAGTTATGTCGTATCAATCCATCAACAATAACCCATTTCAACAAAGCCAAAGTTCAAATGTTGAGGATTCAGAAATTGACGAAGAAGCCTCGCACAATATTAAATTTACAATTCCACCGAATAATAATGAAAAAGGTGAATTTGAACTAAAATCATCAAACAAAGATGAAAAAAATTAAATATCTCAAGGTTATATTTTATAACGATTCTTTGTCTCACAATCTGATCTTTTTAGCCCAATGGAATCACATTGTGGATTTAGATTCATTCTTTCGGAGGATTTACAAATACCACCAGAAAGGTGGATTCAAAGTGATAACGCTTCAGGAGCTTCTACAACTCCTTCAAATAATTTTATTACTAATCTTTATTATCTTTGCTGTTCACTGCGTAAACTATCCCATATTGTTTAGGTAAGTTTTTCTTCTTATCATATCAATTCTTTGGAATTAGCACAAGTTTTGTTGATTATTTGACATATTTTGGAACTGAAATTTTTTGTGACATAAACTCATGAAATTAAATTACGTATTTAAATTTATATTTTTTGTGTGTTTCCAGGGAAGAAATCTTAAATAACAATAAAACTAAAATCACTATCAACGATGTTTTATATTCATCATCACAATGTCAAGATCGCTTTACTTTCTGGACCTATTTTCTCATTGTCGCTGCTGTGATTTTCTGGATATTTCGTGCGATCACAATTTTCTTTCACATCATTCATAATTGGGATATCAAATCTTTTTTCAATGTAGCATTAAAGATTGAAGATTCCGAGTTGGAGAATAATACATGGCATGAAGTTCAAAGACGAATACGTCAAGCACAGTCGGAAATGCAACTTTGTATTCACAAAGATAACCTTACAGAGCTTGACATTTATCATCGGATTCTTAGGTAAGCAGAAAAAGAAGAAAAAGTTGTCGTTGATTTCATTTAATAATGTAATTCCATTAGATTCCAAAACTACATGGTTGCAATGATGAACAAATCGGTGCTTCCATCTAAATATTATATCCCAATTCTCGGCGAGGTCAATGTACTCAGTAAGCTGCTTATCCTCAACATTGAGTTCATTTTATTTCGTGGACCATTCGCATGCTTCGAGAATAATTGGCATCTTAAAGAAGAATTCAAGAGAGCGACGAAGAGAAATGAACTTGCATCACAATTATCGAAACATATCGCGTGGTTTGCTCTTGTCAATCTTCTTCTTGCGCCAATCATCTTCCTGTGGCAACTTTTATTCTTCTTCTTCAGTTATGCTGCTGTAAGATGTGACTTCATTTAAACAAATGAAAAGTTTCTTAAAGTAGAATTTCTAATTTCAGATTTTGAAGAAGGAACCAAACTTTTTAGGAATGCGAACATGGAGTCAACATTCAAAGCTTTATTTACGTCATTTTAATGAACTTGATCATGAACTTGAAGCAAGATTGAATCGTGCATATCGTCCAGCAGTCAAGTTCATGGACTCGTTCTCATCTCCACTTTTGACAGTCATCGCCAAGTTCATTATTTTCACATTTGGTGGAATTGGAGCTTTCTTACTTATTTTAACAATCATCGATGAAGACGTGATTCAAGTTGAATATGTTTTGGCAATTCTTACAGTATGTTTCGCAGTTTCTGTGGGAGCTGCAAGTCTAATTCCAGATGAAAATTTGGTATTTTGTCCGGAACAGTTGATGAAGAATATTTTATGTCATGCACATTACTTGCGACCTGAATGGCGTGGCTTCGCTCATACAACAAAAGTTTGTCGTGAATTTGAAGACTTCTTTCAATTGAAAGCTTATTACTTGTTGAATGAGATTTTTAGTCCATTTTTGACGTTCTTCGTGCTTATGTTTTCCTTGCGACCGAAATCAATCGAAATCGTCGATTTCTTTCGAAACTTCACAGTATCTGTGATTGGCGTTGGTGATGTTTGTTCATTTGCACAAATGGAGATTAGAAAACATGGAAATCCAGATTGGCAAATAACAAACAGTGCTGAAGATCTTTCACCAGGTGTTGAAACCAATCAATACACGCAAGGTGAAAATGGAAAAACTGAACTTTCGTTAGTTCATTTCGCTTTGACGAATCCAAATTGGAAAATGTCAACAGAAGCGAAGCAATTTTTACGTGGAATAAGAAAGCATGCAATTCAAGATCTCAATAAAGCCCGAACGAATTTAGGTGGTGGAATTGGAAATCTTGGTGTGACTGCAATGGGTCAAAGTTTGGGCAGTTTAGGCGAAGAATATTCTTCAGTTGTTCAATCAATTTTACAAATTCAAAACTTATCATCATCTCAGAATCTTAGCATGTCGATGTATCAACAACCAAACTACAACTTTACACAACAAATTCCCATCACACCACCAAACACAGCTCACGTTCAAGCTCAGTCATCGACAACAACACCAACATTCGACTTTGAACGCATCTTACAGCAAAATCTTACTGATGGATCGATGCCCGGGCCATTTAGAAGTCAATTTTTGCCAAATATTAATGAAGATGATGATTCGGATGATCAACAACAACCAGAGCATGAATTCATTCATCCAGTGCCATCAAATCGTAGTGCAATTGGTTTGAATGCCAGCATACGTGGTAGTTTATCAAAACGTGAGGGTCCAGTTGAAGCATCAAAGAATGGACTGCTCTACAGTCTTTGTAACATACCGCAAAACGAAGCTGTCTTCTCTCCAGAATTTATGACGGCTGACATGTGCTTAAGTACACTTTACCTTCATGAACTTCATCATAAACAACAAATTAGACGTGGTGTAAGACTTGAGGCTAGTCAGAGACATTTATGGCAACGTCCACATCAAAATCAACCTGAACAAGTCAATCCCGAAAGAACGCCACTTTTAAAGAAAACATAGCGAAGAAATGTTGCCGAGTGGGTGTAGTAGGAAATAAACTCTTTAAAATTTTATCCATTGACAAACATTAAACACTTAAATGATCATAATAATGTACATAACAATTTTCTGTTAATCCACTGTCATTTGTCTGCTTCAATTAACAACACTTCAATTTGTTTGATTAAGACAATACAAATTCTGTTCATCTCCCATCAATCAAAAGATGATTTAACAAGAAAAAAAAGTTTAAAATAAACATTTGTTGAAAATCAATGAAAATGTTGTTTTAATTGTGTCAAAACTTCTTCGTTTCTTCTTGAACTCGCCAAATAACAAATCAAAGTTAATTATAATTGAAAATCAATGAAATCACTTATGAATATCATTTAAATAGAATGAAAGTCGCGCAGGCGAACATATTTTATGAACGTTAATTAAATTAGCAATTTTTGTCTATATTCGTTTAGTTAGTTAATTTTTGACAATTTAATCCTCGTTATTAATGCAAAATTAGTTTGAAGAAAGCGCCTGCATGAGAATGATCAACAAGACAAATTGTTTCACATAAATAATCATTGATTATTTAATTTGATATGAAAAGTAATTTTTTTTTTTAAATATTAAAGTGCAAACGAATGAGCATCGGTTGAAAATGTCAACAGAAAAAATTAAACATTTCTACTTCACTGTGACAGTTTCGTTGTCGTGTTTCTTCCTCTTGTTATTGTTCTATGGCTGGTACACATTACGAAAGTAAGTTATTTAATTTTACTTCCAACAATTCATTTAAATTTCCTTATAGGAGGAGAAATCAAAGCTTGACACAACAATCAATTGCAAGTTTTAGGAGAAGAACAAATAATGAACCGAGAAGCAATCGAGGAAGCAACACAAGTTCTAATTTTGACAAACACTTTCAGCAAAGTTTATTACTAAACAGCAGAATTTAACTAACTAATGTGCAAAAAATTTATATTTCTGATATTGATTTAACGGGGAATAATAGAACGCTTTATTTAATAAACTTTAATTATCTAATTTTCTTGCTTCATTTGTGAGTATTCATTTATAAAATTTCAATAATATTTTTAATAAAAGCTTTTCCCTTGAGTAAATCGTGTAATCATGTCGTAAGCCCACTTTGGTTGATCATGTGGAACCATGTGGCCAGCATTACGTACAAGAACTTCAACAAGATTTCCAGCTTCATGAACAAAGCCTGCAATGTCTTTTCCAACACGCCAAATGTAACGTGGAGCTTTTTTGTAATCTTGTGAGTGTTCGAATGGAAGTTTTTTCAAGTAGTTGATTGTTAAAGGATACGCTACGATAACATCAAGTTGTCCATTGTAAATACAAACGCGATAATGTGCCAACAATTCACTTAAATATGGTGCGACCGAATTCATGACATCAAGTTTTAAATGTTCTTCAACTTTATTAGGTTCTCCGTCCAATCCATGAAACGTTAAATTTCCAACATGAAGAGCTTTACGAACATCGACTCGTTTCAAGAACTCTCCCATAGGAAGATCAGCCCCGTCGTCTTCTTGTTGCAGATAATTGAAATATGTTGAGAAGCCAGTCATGTTTTTAAACAATGATCCTGATGGCAACTGGTCCATATTAATAAGTGCATCAAATACTTCAAATGCACAATTAAAATCTTTCTTCACGATGCATTGTTTTCCTTTTTTCTCGTACAAATGGAACAAGTCGCGACCATTTGAATCAATCAAACCCAATTGATAAAGATAATCACCATAGACAAGTTGATGAAGCGGATCACTTAATCCATTTCCTATTGCAAGACCTTTCAGATTAATCTTCAATTTGGCTCCTCCGTTATTCTTATGAATGGTATGGGAAACAGCTGGCACATATTTTCCAGCATAACTCTCGCCAGTTACATAAAATTTGTTGTTTTGAAGGTTTGGGAAGAGAGTGAAGAATTGAAGAAGTGCATGATAAAGATCATTCCCTACATCGACTTCATTCTTTGCATAGCCTTCATCCTTATCAACAAAGCTGAACCCAGTGCCAACCGGGTTATCGATATAAAGTAAATTGTGGTTTAAATGCCATGAATATTTACGTGCTATCACTTTTCCCGAAGATGTCACTTCAAATGGACCGTTTTCTGTGATTAAAATAATAATATTTGAGTTAATTTATTTCATTTCTTTGTTTATTTTTTCTCACCTGTAAATAATCCAAAGAGTGAACTTGCTCCAGGACCACCTTGAAGCCATAGTACGACTGGAGCGTTTGCAGAATCTGATGCAGCAGGGAAATACCAGAAAAACATATTTGAATTTGTTGTCTTATTCACTGTTATGAATCCACTGTAGCCAGGAAAGTCTTTCAAATCTGGAAGATCTATTGCAGCCATTTTCTGAATTTCTTCAACTTTCTTTCCACTTTCAAGAAGCGGCGTAATAAACAATGCACCATCATCATCAAATTCACTGGAACTAACTTGATGTGATTTAAATGAAGGATAAGGATTAATAAATAATTTTGCAGAGTTGAAACTAACAAACAATGAAAAGACAAAGAGAATTCTAAAATCCATTTTGTTCTTTTTTTGCGTCTGCTTTGCTTTAAGGTTTTTCTTGAAATGATTTCAATTGAAGGATATTTTCAACGCTTTAATTTGAAAACATGAAATGTTGAAAACATTTTTCCTACGCCTTTTCGAAACTTTCTTTTCCAACAAAATTCTCTCAAGAATTAGGTATTGAAGTAAGAGATTTTATTTTATTTTCTCTTTAATTGAGATGAAATCTAAAAAATGTTTTATATAAAAATTTATCCTCCAATTTGACTTACTGGTTTCTGGTGTTTATTCAATTCATTTGTCATTAGTATCATCATTAAAGTGATTTTCAAGTTTTCGAAGTTGCGTTTTTATTTTTGTTTCAAGTCGGTCTTTTATTTTGTTAGACATTCTTAACCATATCACTTCGTCTCTTTTAATTAAATTCGTATTTTGCAAAAATTATCATAACAAACGCGTGTTGAATCACACTTCATAGCTAATTATTGTTTATTTTTAATTTTTATTTGTCACTAAGGTTTTAAGAAAATATTTCACAAACAATTTGTTTACTAATAATCTTCCTACAATTTCAGATCTATTGAGTGATCAAGATGGTAAATCACAGAGTACCATCTGTTTTCTCCAAAACCTACGTTACACCACGTCGTCCATTTGAGAAACCTCGTCTGGATGCTGAGTTGAAAGTTATCGGCCAATATGGCTTAAGAAATAAACGCGAGGTTTGGCGTGTTAAATACACCCTCGCAAAAATTCGTAAAGCTGCTCGTGAATTACTCACTTTAGAGGAAAAGGATGAAAAACGACTTTTCCAAGGTAACATTTGAGTTGACCTTTTAATATTATTCATGTTTTGTAAACTTTCTTAAATCTTTTTTCAGGTAATGCTTTGTTACGTCGTCTTGTACGTATTGGCGTGTTAGATGAATCACGAATGAAGCTTGATTATGTTTTGGGTCTTAAGATCGAAGATTTCTTGGAACGTCGTTTACAAACTCAAGTATTCAAACTTGGATTGGCTAAATCTTATCATCATGCCCGTGTCCTTATTCGTCAACGTCATATTCGGTAAGTGTTCAACTGAAATGTGTTAAAAATTGGAATTCTAACATTTTTCCTTCGTTTTCAGAGTTCGCAAACAAGTCGTCAATATTCCATCGTTCGTTGTTCGTTTGGATTCACAGAAGCATATTGACTTCTCATTGAAATCTCCATTTGGTGGTGGACGTCCAGGACGTGTTAAGAGAAAGAATATGAAAAAAGGAACTGGCGGTAGTGGTGGCGGCGATGAAGAGGACGAGGATTAAATGACAAGATTATAAAATGAAAATATTGATGCTACCTAAATTTTCTGAAGATATCAAAATAAAGGAACAAAAAAAATTCATAAAAATCTAAAGTTTATTTTATTACGAGTTAAAATTTAAAATTTGATAAAATGATTTCATTTTTTACACAATCATGTGTAACTGTCATTAGTTTTAAGACTATCCTCTTCTTTAATTGACCGTTCTTGAGCTCGTGCCATGGATTTGTTGAGTAAATCAGGAGCTCTTCCCCAAAACTGAACTATTGCTCTGGTGCATTCTTTGTAGGAATAAACATCAGGATAAGCACGGTTGAAACAATCAAAAACATAAGATATTAAACTATTCGAATCGAGTTTTCTTTTTCGTGTTCCATGAGCTCCAAATCCAGAAACGCTGTACTTGACGCAAACAGTTAAATCGAAATGTTTACGAAGAAAGGAATTCACTGACACATTAAATGATTTGGCATTCTTATTAGTGGCATGATGCCATTGCTGATTAATTAAATTGCTTCGAAATTCTTCATGCCATAACCGTTCAAAAAACCAATCAAACGTTGCTTCATCAGCGATTGGGAAAATGAGATTGACAGACTCATCATTTGAAGCTATATGTGTGATTTTATATTCAGGTGTATCAGAATTGGGTCCAGCATCATCACTGTCAAGAATATGTTCTTCGACTATCACTGTATCTGCAGGTGTTTGAGAAGTTTGTCTTTCTAATAGTTTATTTATTTTATCTTCTATATGATCAAATCTTAAATTTATTCTTTGCTCCATTAATCGCACTTGGCTTCTTATATAACTCTTTATTTCACTAACTGTTCCATTTGTAGTATTATGGTTCTCAGAATCTGAATTTTCTGGTGAGAGCGAATCAATATATCCATGGTCAGTTTTTGTTTCGTCTTCACATATATCGATATTCATTCCAATTCCCTCCTTTATTTTTTGTATTTCTTTTTGGTACGTTTCAAGCTCTTTCTCAACATCAAAAGTTTCAGATTCTTTTGAATGCTTTTTCCTTTTGGTGGGTGGCATAATAAAAGAGTTCTTTACACCTCTCGTTTAAAATTTTACGATCTTTTTATCAAAAAATTTGTTTGTTTGCAATTTTTTTGTTAACAATTTGATTTGAAAAGTTTATAATAAGCCAAAAACGACCTTAAATGACTGCATTGTAAGGTTTCATTTAGCATTCTTTATTACCGAGGAGACAAATTCTTTAAGAATTTTAGTATTCACAAAGCACCCTGTAATGTTGATAAAAATTTCAACTATGTTGAGGTAAAATAATTCTATATAGGCAGTTAAAAGAATACAAAACATGTGTTATACCTCATTAACTTTTACTTTTAGTCAAGTAACTTATGAAGAGAATCTCAATTCAAATCCATTTTTCACTAAACTTATGGAAAGTCATAATGCATTAGTGAATGAAGTTGGATCATCAAATTGGACAATTTTAATACCCAGAAGGGCACAGATAACAGATGAATGTTTAAAGAGTAATGAGTTTCTGTTATCTCACGTACTTCTTCCATCAGAAGATCTTCCAAGGACACATTTCACCAATCTTCTAGGAATGGATGTGACAATAATCGATAACTTTGTAAGAATCAAAGAGAAAGATCAAACAATATCCAGTTTGATACTTTTTGAAGAGATTTTCTATACAAAAGAATTGCAGAAGTTTAAAATTCTTTGTATAAACATTCCTTTGTGCTTAAAATTCATTCAAAATGTCTCCAATTCTAAAGAATTAGTCAAGAATCTCTCAGAAGCAATCGAACTTTTACAACAAAATACGAGTGCAAAAAATGAAAAAAGAAAAATCGACAATGCAATATCAAATTTCACACTTCGAATTCAAAAGGCTTCGGATTATGTGAAACTTACGGCAAATATTAAGTTATTATATGATTATTGTGTTAATCTCATGACAAACAAAAGAAACAAGAATTTCGATCCGTACACAGCAATGAATCTGAAGATTGCACTTGAATATTATCTAATGGATTGTGTTTATAACAAAATCTTTGATGCCATTTCCATTCATTATAGCGAAGAAAGTCAAAAGTTCAATAAAATATTAAGGAAACTTAACGAAATTTCGATCGAAGACTTAAGGAACATCAAAGAGCCGTCATCAAAAATAAATGAAAACTTGAATATCATGAAGATTGAATTGTTAAAAATTGATTCATGCAAGACGTCAGTTGACAAACTTCATTGCTTTAAAAATGTAATGGACGCTGTTTCGTTGTGTAGTAACAGCAAATTGTTGACAACTGATGAGATGCTTCCTATACTTGTTTATGCAATTGTAAAAACAAAATACTTTCATTGGATTCCCACGCTTATATTTATCAAGGAATTTAATTTATCTCAAATTCTTGGAGCAGAAAATCAATCAGCTGGTTCGATGATCTTTTATGTTCTCACGACACTTGAAGCAGTCATTTACTTCTTACAAACAAATGAACAACTTTACATCACACAAAATCAATTTGTTACTTCTAAGAAAATAGATGAGATTCAATCACAAGACGATTATGTTCAATATTTATTTCAATATGTGAAGGAAAATAATGAAATTCAATTGACACAATTGATGAAAGTGAGTTTTGAGTCATTCCAATCAAGGAGAGAGGGAACGACGGCAACTGATCATTCTTCATGTCATCCACTTTGTTCATGTTCAGAATGCAAACATATTAACAAAGATGAACATTCAAATGTCAACATAAAATCTCAAAATGGACTCACAATGCTCCACATTGCTGCGGCTTATAATGTTCCAAAAATGACCACACTTTTGATCAATCTTAATGCAGATGTAAACTCAGCGAATTTGAACTTGTGGACACCAATTCATTATGCAGCATATTATGGACACCAGAAAGTATTGTTTCTCCTTCTACATGGCAAATCAAACATTAATGAAATGACAAAAGACCAACAAACACCTTTGATTTTAGCTGCTTTAAATGGTCACGACTGCTGTGTCAAAGCTTTGCTTTATTTCTCCGATCACACAAATCTACCTCTTAATTTAAATGCACAAGATTATGAAGGGAACACAGCTCTTCACTATGCCAGTCAATTAGGATTTGACGCTATCGTTGATGGCTTGCTGGAATATAAAGCCAAATCAACTGTTAAGAATCACATTGGAAAGACTCCAAGTGATTATGCTTTTAATTCAATCATTAAAAATAAGCTCGAATCAGCTGCTAAATATCAAGTTGATGAACAAGATTTTGTATTTATAAGTAATGAAGATCTTGCTGATAATATTGAATTTATAACTTAAAAGTATAATAAAATTCAATAAATTTTGTATGAATTTAAAAATTTGTTTAATTTTATTAAAATAGTTGATTTTCATTCGTATGAATTGAAGTCGAACAGAACCTGGAAGGTTTTCAAAGTATAAACACTACTTGATGCGTTTATCAATAGCCATAAGTTGAGTGTCATTTCATGTTAATGCTAAACCTTCACCTTTCAAAGACATCAACAGCATATATTTATATTATTTAATTTATTTTACATAAATAATCTCAATCCTACCTTGACATGTTGATAATCTAATCTACTCTAATCTAATCATTAGTCTAACCTGATCGTTAGTCTAATCTAGTCTAATCTAATCTAATCTAATCTGTCTAAGGTTCTTTTAAAGAAGAAAATTCTGTTTCCAAGATAGGTACTCTGTCAATATTCGAAGTTCAGTGATAAGAGAGAATGACCTTCTTCTTCCAAAGCTTCATTCGGTTTAATGATGATAATGCTGACGATGTTCATCCGTGTTGTTCGTGATAAATCACTGAAAGCAAAGAAGATAAGACGAATGCGTTTGCTTTTCATAAAATTGAACACACAAAAACATGTTTTTCTGATATAATTTATTGATTTATTGATTATACCTTAGAAAGAATTTGAAATTACATTTAGAAGATCACAAACAAGAAGATGTTTATTAAAATGTATGATGTGATGATTTAATTATTTTATTTTGGAGCTGCTGGTGTGGCAGCAGAACTATCCAGTTGAGTTGCAAGAGACTTTGCACTTTCGAGTGTTTGTTGATAAAGTTTTCCAACAGTTTCACCCAAAGCTGATGATGCAACATTTCCTTGCTCTGTTATTTTACTGTTTAAAGCATTTGCTTGTTCTAGAACGTTGTTGAATGTTCTCTTCAAATCTTGTACTTTGTTAGGATCTTCATTTCCAAGAATACTTGAAGCACTGTCGATAAGTTGCTTAGTGATGGAAGTGAAAAATCCTTCAAATTGTGGCTTTTGGGCTGCAACTTGTTCATTAATTTTCTCAGCAACTCCTAAGCATCGACAGATAATTAAATTGAATTTTAATCGAACAAAATTGTTAAAATCTCACCTTTGATTTGAGTGGCATAAGTTTCAGCTTGTTGTTGCACAGAGCCTAACAATTCTTGATTACTTTTAAGACCCGTCGCTTCAAGAACCTTTGCATTTAAATCAGCAACAGCTTCAGTGGCTTTCTGTTGAACAGTTGCCAAAGTTTGTTGCGCTTGCTCAACAAATGTCGGCTCATTTGGTGCCGAAAACGCAATCTAAATTATTCAATACAGAAACAAATTCGTCACGATTAACTTATTACAATAAATTCAAACGTTACGATTTTCTTTTTAAGTACAAAGTGTCATTCAACCGTTTTTTTAATTCACTTTCACTTGTTGTGATATCTGTTTTAACTGTTCTTGCATTTTTAATAATAATAAAAAAAGTTTAAATTGTAAATTCACCTGAACAAGACACAAAACTGCGATAATGAACTTCATGATTGATCAAATTAATCTCACTTATGTTTACGGTTAACTGAACTGAATTTCTTAAAGACGACTGATGAATATGCGATCATCATTTCGCCTTTTATAATTAAAACTTTACCAACACATCCTCAACTGATTTTATTTTGTTTCTTTCCCAGAGAACATCGGAAGTTTAGAGTCAGGTCTCTCACTTTGCAAATAGATCATTGTTTTGACTTACATATAATCGATTTGATTTTCAAGTGAGAACTCACAATGATATTTGCTACCTAAAGTGAGAGTGTGAACATTTCCATAATCATCATAAGATGAACAAACTAATGAATAAAGAATTAATTAATTTTGCAGAATTCAAAGCTTAATTTATGCGAATATTTAGTTATTTTATCCCGATATGGTAGGAATCTACTTATAATGTGCTGTGAAGAATACAATCGACCTTGATAAATTTTTCTTTTAAAGGATCGTAGACACTTTATTAAAGGATTAGTTAGTTCGAGTTGAACTCAAAGAACTGGGACTAGGTGAGTTTGAGTAGGAAATTAGGAAGAAAGGAATGAAAGAAGGAATGAAAATGGGAGTTGGGAGGGAAATTCGAATTAACAAAGAAACTTTTCATTTAAAGTGTCGAACATAATTTTCAAATCGAATAGATCGTGATTCTGCTGGATAGAAATCGTAACTTTCAGACACTTGCTTCTTGGTTGAAGTTGCTCGTTTGATGGACTTTTTGACGCTTACGTTATTGGAGTCATTGTGAGTATTTGGGTTGATGTTTGTCTTCGGTGTTACGAGTGGTTCCGCAGTTGATTTAATTGTTGCCTTTGTTGGCGCTAATGGACGGCCAATGCGTACACCTGCAAAACGTTCTTTCCTTTCCGAGAAACTTGGAGTGATTTTCAAAGCTTCTGATTTCTTAATTTGCTTATCCTTATTTGGTTTCTTTGTATTGTCATAGGCGTGAGATTCACTTCGTTCAACTTTGAAGTTCTTCGGATTGGTAGTTGAAATGAACATGCATTCTTCTTGTGTTGCACCTTTGTCATCTTTGCAGTAATAACAAGTCATATCTCCTTTCATAATCTTGTTGCATTTCGACCAGTCTTTGGTTTTAAAATGACTTAATGCTTCATTTAAGTTCTTCGACTGGAATTTCGATTGTGGAATGATCTCGAAATCATTATCCAACTTTTGGTTTTTCGGTGCTACTTTAAGATTAGCGAATTTCGGTTCGTCATAATCTTCGACATCATCGTTGGTGCCAGCGAGTTTATAAGCGCCATAATCAGCGTCTTCCGATTCGCTTTTATGTTTCACAGGTTTTGGTCCACTTGGAAAATTGAAAGCATATTCTTCCTTATCTTCAGTCTCATCGTCATCATCTGCTATCTTTTGTGCTTCAGACTCTTGTGGTTTCTTGTAGTTGTGACTCTTCTTACTCGAATAAGCAACTTTCTTATCATGAGGTTCTGATGAATAAGCGCAAGATTCAGAATTATCTCCAGTTTCAGGATCTTCACATGTTGCACAAACCATTCCATCTTTTTCGTAATGCTTGCAATTTTTTGGATTTTTACGTAACTCAGCGACTTGTTTTTCAGACAATGCTTTGATTCTGTCATAATCAGCTGATGAACCGTAATGCCAATCATGACCGAAATCATCATCTGCCTTTCCATCTCCAGCACTGTCATCATCATCATCATCATCATGTTCCACTTCTTCATCATCATCACCATCATCGTCATCATCTTCATGACTTTGATAATCTTCTTTAGCTTGCTTGTATTCGCTTTTCTTATCTAAATGCTTTTCATTTGCGTCTTGAAAGTTACGACGAAGAAATTTGCTATATTCATCATCGTACTTGTCTGGACTGCGCTTTTCACGATCATCTGCAAAAATGTTTTTAAACTTTATTCATATTTTGATTCATCACTTTAATTTGCACTTACGCGCATCATCACCACAAACACTCCACGCGACAAAAACGTTGATGACAAGCACTAAAATCACGAATTTCATCTAAAAAATTATTTTTTTAATTATTACAACGTTTTTCAACTTAAAATGTTTTGTTGATGTGTTCACCTTTCTTATAAGTTGATTGATTTACAGATAGATAACTGGAATCTTTCAAATTCGATCGATAACTAAACTGCTTTTCCATCCTACTATCTGAATTTATATTGGTAAAATCACTCGAATTGTGTACCGCACGATTGACCATAAAATTGATACTCAAAGCGTTCCATGAGTTTGTTGTCCCAACAATTTGCAACAAGAAAAGAGAATTATCAAATTCATGAATGAAATCACGCTGCATAATCGTTTGAATAGAAGAAAAAGAAAAGTGATTTGCTTTGTTTTTGTTTTCTTCTTTTAAGAAAAAAATATTTAAAGTGATCTGAATAATCTAAGTGAGTTAAAGTCCCAAGGTTGAACTACTGTCTGATTCTAAAAGCTGAAAAAATTGAGTTTATTGAACTTTGGTTTCTTAAGATTGTCGTTTGAATGAATTGCAATTCAAGGCATGAAAAGAAGTAGTTAATTATATTTATTCTTAAATTCTTTTTTGACATATGAAAGATTTCACCTTCAAGTGTAGTTTTTAGGTAAAATTATTCCGCAAGCCTCGTTAAGCTCCAAATGCTTTGAACAAAAGCTTCAACTTAACTATTCTCAACTGAAATTGAAAGCATTTTTGTAATTTCGACAGCAGGATATGACTTTGCTTGTTACTCTTATACAAAGTATTATGAAAGATTTAATTAAAGCTTCAAACGTTATCATCATTTTACTCATTCTTAAAGTTATCAGTGAAGCGAGCCAAAAGGTTTTCGACGAAAAGATTATTTAAAAGAATGAAACTACATCGTACGACTTTGAGATTTCTTGAGACAAAACAATTTTATTTGTATCATTTGTCTATGAGAAATCGTCTTTATGGAGCTGCAGTTGTTTCATCCGATTTCAAGGCATTTTGAACATTCGTCATAACTTTTGTTCCTAAAACTTTTAATTTTTCTCCAAATTCATTGAGATTATCGACAGCAGTTTTGATGTTCTGTTCACTCAATGCATTTTCGATGCCTGTTTTGATTGAATCAAGAATATTTGGAGTTGTCACTTCTTCATCACGTTTCTCACGTGTTGCGGCATCTGTAAACTGTTTAAAAAAAGTACCGAAGAAAAATTTGGTCAATTCAGTGTGCAATAGACTGTAAACAAGCGTTTCTAATTCACCTGAACAAGCAAAAATACTGCAATGAAAATCAAAGCTAATTTTGTCATGACGCACGTGTTTATTAATTTAATATTGAAAGAAACTGTTCTGAATCAAATCAAGTTCAAATGCAGAATGAAATAAATGATAATGAATCTCAAGATTTCATCTTATTAAGTGGGAGATTCTTATTCTCTTGACATGTTTGAATTCTCTTCTCAAACAAAAGTCATGATCGATAGTAAAATGTTGAGACATTTTTGAGAAAGTTTGTTGAGTTACTGATTGAAAATTTCAAGAGAATTTAGTAAAGCCCTTAGTGAAACTTGAATTTCATGACTTCACTTATTCAGATCATTCAACCGTGAAAACATTTATCGTGCATATGAGAAATAAAAAATGTACTTCAACTTATTATATTTATTCAAGTAGATTGTCAGTGAAAAAAAGCTTTATTCGCTTGTTTATCAATTTAAAATTAAAATAGAAAATGTGTCGATTAGGTGAAAGATCAAAATGTTTATCAAGTGCAGTAACATTTGCATATTGAACAGCAAAATTCATTAAGCTGCAACTGGAGTTGGTGCTGTTGTGGTTGAAGTTTGATCAAGATGTAGAGCATTCTGAATTCTTGTCTGAACATTATTCAGTGCTTGTGCACCCAAATCCTTAGCTCTTTCTCCTAAATCTGTTATTTTCTGCTTCGCTTGCTGAAATATGCATTTGGAATAAAATAACAAGAAAAGTTTAAGTTCGATTCAATCTCACGTTGATGTTATCATCTGAAAAAGTTTTCGTCAATCCGTTCTTAATCTTGTCGAGAATTGATTCAGTTGTTATTTCAATAGCGGTAGTTTGTTCCGTCACTTCACGCTTCGATATGCGAGCACTTGAAGCAATCTAGTTAATTTTATTAGATTTTTAAATATTTTTGAAAACGAAAGGAAAAACATTCAACGATTTTACCTGAACGAAACAAAATACTGCGATGAATAAAAGCGGTAATTTTGCCATTTTCTCACTAGTTTCGAACTGTGTAACTCAATAAATGATCTTTATTAGTTGATGTTTGAAATTGAAATAAAAACGAACAAGTGACAGAAGGGAAAAAACTATTCGCGGTCTAACGATGAGCGTCAATCAGAAGCTGAAACGTGTTCATTTATTCTGATGTTTCTTTAATTCTATTATAGAACTTTAAAACATATTAAAGCCCTGTGCAAAACACGCTTAATCATGAATGTTAACAATGATTGCAAGCTTGACAAATTTTTACACAAACGTTTACTTAGAATAGTTTGTGGGAAAATAAATGTGATGGTTTATTAGAAATTTTAAATATCTAGTTAAACAGGAAGGTTGAGGGATTATTAAAGCCTTTAAAATATCCTGGTAATTTAACGGATTAAGAAAAAAAATTGTTTTCATATTTAAGCAAGAAAATATTTAGTGCAAGGGTTTTGCGTTATGTATAACTTTAAGGCGCAAAAAAGTTTTTGTGGAGAAACCCGAAACAAATAATTTGTGTCTTGGATATTAAAATTAATTTTAGTTAACTAGCTAGTTATGTGGATTAATTGGCAATAGCAATTAATATGGACGTTTAATGGTTCATCCTACATCAAGAACTTTTTTGATTGCTTAGCATTGTTCTTATTTAAAGAAGATTTTTTAAGGGATCAGAGGGAAAAGAAATCAACTGATTGTGTCTTCACTGCTTCAAAGTCAATTTCATAAGAGGCGTTCAAGTACTGCAAAGGATTTTCCTAAATAGTTTCCTAAATAAATTCCTTAAGGAAACGCTTTTTAAATAGAATGTTTTCTTCAAATTCATACAATTTTACTTCCTTTATCGAATAGCATTTACACATTTTTAATTAAGTGAGCCATTCCCAAGATATTCATAATTATATTATTATTATATTATTATTATTATATTATTATATAAACTCATCTAATTAAAATAAACTTCATTGATTAAACTTACGTCCCAATTTCCAAATGCATTAAAATACTGAAAATGTTGAGATACTTGGATGAGTACATTCAGCCAACATTTTTAATAATGAATTCCAAAACTAAAGCTAATGATAGAAAACGTGGCATCAACAACGTCTTCTGTTATTTTAAATTCTTGTGTTATTAATAAAATTCTCCTAACTGATAATTTTACTCTGAAGAATCTTCAACAATTTATTCGTGGTCAGTAGTCGAATTTTCTCATCAGTTAAAGAAGTAATGAAATAGATTAATTACCTAATTAGGGTAAACAAGGTATTGTGAACACAAAGTTTTTTGTAAGGTATTGTGAACACACCCTAATTTCGAATGCGATTTTCTTCGCTATTTTGCATTCAAATGGATCAAAACTTTGTATAGAAGTAGAGTAGATAGTTCAAACTACTTCTATACAAAGTTTTGATCCATTTGAATGCAAAATAGCGAAGAAAATCGCATTCGAAAATTAGGTGTGTTCACAATACCTTACAAAAAACATTGTGTTCACAATACCTTGTTTTACCCTATCATAAAATAGTTTTCAAAGGATTCTCAACACATTATGAAACATGCTTCGTTATATGTTGATGCGGGAAAGAACAAATCTGCCACTAAATATTATTTATCGTTCATCATTAATAAAAAAGCAGACTCGGTTTAATATCTCAAAAGAAGAATTTTTATTAATCTCATTTTTATTGACCTTAAAAGTTCTCAAAAACTGTTATAAAAGAAAAAGCAAATAAAAATAATGTCTATGAGTTAACTAATTTTTTTAGAGATGTCTTTCATGCCTGATTTAGCATCATCATACAAGTCAGAGGTTGCATCTTTTGCATCGCTGGCTTTATCTCCAAACCAATCACCAATTGACTGAAACATTTGCGTAAATATTGGAAATTTCACTTTCATTTAATTTATTTGCCTTACTGAGAATGTTTTCTGTACTCCTTTTACTGAACTTTTCCACACGTCTTTAACATCTTCCATGAAATCAGCTTGCGTGAACTAAATTAATCTTTCTATTAAATTAATTGAATTAAATAAATATTTAAATAATTTACCTGAATTATGCAGAAAAGTGCAACAAATAAAAATAAAATTTTAATGTTCATGATTCCGATTGAAATTCTTTTGTCTCTTCTTCAAAATTTACAACTCAACAATCGAAAGGCTCACAAACGACTAAAAGTCGGTATTCAAACTGCGTATTCTCAATAGTACTCATGAATATTGAAGTAAATTTCTAAATTACAGTTAAGTAGTTAATTGTATCATTTGTAAAAAGACTTTTGAAGAAATGCTTAGCCATTTGAATATTCACAATCTAAAATGTAAACAAGTATTGTTCAATGTTATACTGGTAGTCTACGCCCTTGTATTCATTCAATTACCAACGCCGACGACAGCTCAGACAAATCTCACTTTCATGATTTTTATCATTTACGGAAGTATTCAGTTGATGAAACTCAGTTGTAATTTGGGATGTTACAACATTATGTAGACATATCAATGCCTTAAATTGATGGAAATATTAAATATTCATTACATCACATTCACATCTCACTTGCAAAAAAATTATACAAGATTAGCCTTGACGACCAAACAATTGTTGTTTTAGAAAGCTCTTCCAAATTTTATCAAAAACCAAGTCATTTGAGACCCTTACGTTTATTATTTTCAGTTCTGTTTATAATGTATTTAAATAAATATCACAAAATGTTTATATGAATGAATGCTTTTGAAGTTCTTGTTCTTTAGCTCTTCGAATATCACGTTTCGTTGATGACTGTATGGTATCGAGAATATTCATTAAAAGATTATAAAAATGGGCGCGAAAAGTCAATTCTCTGGTTGGTCGTGAAACTTCTGAAACTTCTGATTCACGCTTTGTATGAGCACGTTGTGGAAGGTTGATAAAATCAGCATCTAACTCGAACGAGGTCTCTTCACTATCATCATTTTGTTGCTGTTTATGCTCAATGTATTTGGCTGAAATCTAATAAGCATGTGAGAAATAAATAAAATGTATCAACCGTGAACATTCCTTCAATTCTAGTTATCAAATCTTACAAGTGCCAACAAGCAAAATAACAAAATGATTCTTATTATTTGTCGCATCTTTCTTTCTTTTTTAACTGAATTAACTAGATATAATACTTAGCTTCAATTTGTTGAATACAATGAAGTCGCGTTTATGATTCGGTGACAATTTATGATTTTTTTTCCTTTTGCAACTCAGCGCATTTCTCACATCATTTTGCATTTGTCAGCATTTTATGTGAACACAAAACCAGAAACTGGTCAGATTGTAAATAATTTTTATTTAATTTACCAAATAGTTTTTTTTAAAAAAAATAAGTTGCAAAATGATTATTGCTTAATTCTTGTTTTGATATTTTTAGAGAGAAAACATTTCAACTTTTTGTTTTTGATTAAACTTTAATGGATTTATGTAAAATCATTTTCAGAGCATTTAACATTTTTATACTGAACATATTGTGGTGGATCAGCTGAACGATAATTGTGATGGTTGTAATAAACAGAATAATTTTCAGAACGTGGCTTTGTGTGCTTTCTTCGACTGCATCGATGGCAATTTTTTGTTGGCTTTCGACGGCACTTTCTGCATGGCTTTTTAGTTGTTGTTGGACATGGTGTTGTTGGCGTGGTGATTGGTCTCTTTGGTTTACTAATTTTAACAATCACAGGTTTCAATTTAATGTTTGGAGGTTGATATTTGATGATTGGATTGCATGGCTTTGGTTCAGGATGATGAACAACAAGTGGCGGTGGTTGAACAACAATTGGCTTTGATTTGATGTAAACATTTGTTGGCTTTGGTTTGACGATTATTGGAGGTTGTTTATAAACATAAACAATTTTCTTAGATTTGTTGGAGTTTTTTGAGCACTTTCTGCAAGGTTTTTGATGTCTTTCAACTGTCGCTTCTCGATGTCTCTCAACATATGGTGTTGGATGCCTTTCAACGTATTCCGATGGATAACTTTCAACGTAGGGAGTTGGATGTCTTTCAACATGCTGAACTTTATGTGTTTGCTCTTCGGATTCTTCAACATGATGCGAATTTAATGCAGATTCGGAATAATCATCAGCATATGGATGTCGTTGGAAGTTCTCAACATGCTTGTAATGTTCAGGCATTTCTTGTTCATGACTTTCTTCGATTTCTTTCATAAAGTCTTCGTTTTTAACGAAATCTTCCTCAGAAATGTTAAATTTATCATAAATCGATTCAGCCTCATCATTTGGACCTTCGCGACGTGCATATTCATAAAGATGTGCATGACTGTCATCGGAAACTTCTTCAGACATCATGCTGACGTTATCACTTTCCTCTCCCGATTGATATCGTCTCCATTTGGAATCTTTCACCACACTCATACGAATGTTTCCATCATCGTCTTGATATTTGAGCAGCATTGGTTGACGAGTCGCTGCCACCAAGCAGAAATTCTATAAAACATTCATAGACTGAAGACAGATTTAAATAAACTTGAAATTCGAACTTACAACAACGACAATCACAAAAAGAAATGTGATAACTTTAAGGTTCTTCATGGTAGAATTTGACACCCGGATGGGGAACTGATAACGTTATGCAGTTTGCACTCGCTTAAATATAAAAATGAAATTCCTTGAAATTGTTTTACGAACGTGATACCTACTTACTGAAAAAAACTTGACAAAGTTTACAATGTTAGATGAGTAAATAAATTCGTAACTGAAAAATATTTTTCTGCTTTCAAAAGTTCAACAAGAAAAGTTTTCAATTTAATTTCGTAACATTTATTAAATATTTCTTAAGTTCTCACAAATTTGTTTTCTTTCGTTTGGTCAGTCATCAAAAGCGTTAGTCAAACCCTCAATGTAATGTTAATTTATCTGTAAAAGAAGATAGAAAGTCAAGTCAGTTGTCTCGTCAGTTTCGTCAAAGTTCTTTGGGATTTTCTACGATTAACGTTAAAGAAATTTCCCATTAAAGTTCATTGTGATGTGTGCAATGCTTTTCTTGAGTTTCGTTTTCATTTTAAGTCATGAAATTGACAAAAATCTTCAACTACTCCTTAAGCTTAATAAACTAAAATTTAGTTACATCAAATCATTAAATTAATTTCTTAAAAAACATCAAATTTAAGTTAGTGGCTTTCTGAAATATTTCCCAAAACTTCTCCATTATTAACAATTTTGTAATTTCCTTTAAGATCATTTGGATCCAATTCGATGACTTCAAGAACACTTCCACGCTTTTTAAACAGTTTTCCATCGCCAGGAGTCAACTTTGGTAATTTACTGACAGCTTTCTCGTAATATTTGTACATATCCATAGCATTATCAACAAGTTTGTAACGAACATCTTCACCCTCCATCACATCACCAGGAGAAGAATCAGATTCGGCAAGTTCACTTATAAACTTCAGCAAATCTTGTTGCTGATCTTTCAAATCTGGCATTGTTCGTGACATGTGCTCAGGATACTTTGAAACTAACTGTTGAATGTACTTCTTATACATCTCAGGATCTTTCAATCCCGTGTAAGAAGGTTGTTCGTCATCAAATTCTTGAAATGTTGGAGCTGTGCCAGGTGACTCGTCATGCTTTACTAGTTTATATGGAACTTTAAAGTCGTACGGAGAAAACTTTTGACCGGCTTCTTGCTTATCAATTGGCTCGCAATTGCATCGATAACATAATGGACAACCATCCTTGTTGTGTTTCTTTGGATCGCAAGAATGGTAAGAATAGCCACACGGTGAACCATTTCCGCGTTTTCTTCGAGGATGTCTCATCAAACTTCGAGATTTTGTTTTTGACTTTAATTTAGGCTTCAAATTTTCTTCCCATAATTTTAAACCTTTCGAAGTGAGTGCTTTGAGTGGTCCCATTTTAGGAGTTTTTCGATTACGATCATGAATCTTCAATTTATCTCTTAAACTTGACTTTGCATCACGTTTGACTTTTATTGAACTTTCTTCATGACTTGACGAAGAATTTATTAAATAATGAAATATGAAAAGAGAAAGAAGTTAGGAGTGATATGAAATCTTACTTGTAGTTATAAACAATTGGCAATGTATAGTCATTGGATCCGCAAGTGCATGTTTGTGGTGTATGTGAAGGGTCACGACATCCACAATTGCAGGTTTGAGGTGTATGATGGGGATTGTTGCAATCTCTTGCTGGCATCAACACACGATCAACTTGTGCAACTAGTCCTTGCCATGGTTTTTCTTTGCATGGCTTGATTGGTTCTTCAACACGAGAATCAAATATATATCGAACTGGTTCCTTTTCTGCAGGCTTTACTGGTGCAACAATTTGATAATTGAATGATTGAGGTCTGTTGAAATAATTATAAAGATTTTCTGACATTTATTTGGAAAGTTCACAAACCTGTCACGAGCCTTATCGACGGGAGTTTCAACTCGGACATCAAAGATGTATCGATTGACTTTTTCTTCCATCTTATTTGGTTGCATTTGAATACCATATTCATGAACTTGCGTACCAGTTTTAACACGATCCACAGGTTTCTCTACAACAACGTCATGAAACTTTGGACAATCACAAGTTTCACCATGATAAATGTAGTGAATTTGCCTTGGTCCGGGGTCGGCGAAGATCCTATCAGGGCACTGGAATTAAACAAAATCTTCAATGAACATGAAAATTATTGAAAATATTTTCACAATTTCTTACACTTTCACCTGGTTTAGCATAACGAGCTGAAGAAAATGCATTCAATCCATAGGTTATGGAAAGAATCATAAACAGAGTTGGAAATATTTTCATCAAAACTTTGTTTTCAAAACCTTTTGTGAATAAATTTTATTGTAGAAGAACGTGATGTCTTCTATCCACAAAACTCAATGGAAGTTTAGCATAATTTCTTTTCAAGCTTGGCCTTTTATAATTCAACAAAAATTACAAAAAGTCTTGCACCAAAACATTGCTTTTCTCCAGAAAGTTATCTGAAATGGCACTTTAAATGAAAGCGTAAGCAGAAAAACATTTAAAAAAATTAAATATTTTTCCAAGACCTTGAAAATAAAAAACGAATTGAAAAGTTTTCTTTAAAAAAGAGTTTTATTTGCAAATAAAATTATAAAAGTAAATCCTAGAATAGTCTCATTTATTCTTTATTCACGAGCCTTCATTTCATAAATCTCCTTGATACTTTGTAATTATTTCCTGGTACTGAGATTTTAAAGCCTTTTGAAGATATCAAAGTTAACACAATTACAAACGAATTTATTTACATTGAAAAAAGTTCTGAATGAAGAAAACACAAAGTAAATAAAAGTGAATAAGAAACTTTTTAAGAAACGTTCAAGCCAATGTAGTCAATTTCAGGTTTATTTTACACAGGATAACTACCACTTATGCACTAATTATAAACAAATATGATTTTAAGAAAGAGCTGACAATATTCAGATTGTATAAGAAATCATTTGATAAATGATGATTTGACTATTCATTACGCTTTGAAACGTTGGCGCAGATATAACTGCTGACATTATTGGGAAAAGTTTCTTTAAAAATTTGTTAAAAAGTTAAATTTGGTTTAATGATAATTGATAAGTGACTAATGTTTCACAATTTTCTTGTCATCACGTGTAATTTTGTTTATTTTTTCCATGTGATGTAAGAAAATTGTGATTCATTTTCCACAAAACTCAAAGATTAATGCATTGAATTTAGGATTTAAGTGAAAATGAAAATTGATTTATGTGATTGATAAATGGTGATATAATGGCAAACGTTTCAAAGTGATTAAATTTAAAACAATTAAACATTTCATTTAAAGCCATATTTAGTAATGAATGTGTATGATTTTTATTTGAAAAGTTTATAAGCTTATGGAATTTTAATGAAATTTAGGATATCTAAATAGAAAGGTTTTGGAATGGAAAATGTTTGAATTCTAATCATCTACACCAAAAACAGGATTTGAGGATTAAAAAAAATATTTGCCAAGGATTTAATCTATGAAATATTTAAATATGAAAATGGTCGTACGCATCTGTTATGTCACATATGAGCATTATTTAATAAAGTTGGATACAGCAAAAACTCATGAATAATAAATTTATTTCTTGTTCATTTAATTTGTCTCGTTTAACATAATTATGATTTTATTTTACAGAGAACATTATCATACATTGATTTGATATTCTAGGAAGAAAGCATAATTTTATAATATTTTCCTTTGACTTTTCAGAATTTTGTTCTTGGTGATGGAGTTAAGTTTGTGAGCATCTAATAAAGAAATCTTAGAAAGAATTTCTTTTGCGATATTTTTTTGCTAGATTCGTAGAATTTTTAAATGATCTGCGAATAAAGAACAAATATGTAAACAAAGAGTTGTTTATATGCAAAACGAATGGTCGATATTTTAGGGAACTGGATATTTATAAAATTACAAAGTAAAATAAAAGAAAAATTTTATTTCAGCTACTTTCCGTCAAAATCAATGATGATTTTATTGAGATTATCTGTCCAATTTTGATATCAATGTTGCAAGAATCATCTATCTATGTGATATAATTTTGATTGCAAAAAAGAATAAATTGTTGCAATAATTGGAAACATAAATGGAATTTTCAATTTCTCAAATTTCAGATGGCAACTTTTTCCATAAACTAACATATAAATTTAAAAAAAATTAATTTTTACCTAATTCGGGAATTACCTAGGTATTAATGTATTCTGCATCTGCAAGTTAAGAAGATTAGGAATTTTTAACGGAGTTTACAATTTTAAAAATAATCACGCCGCTCAACGGTGTTGTCAGAACATAAATAAAAACAAAAACAAATTGCAAAAATATTTTTTAAAAAAGGAATAATGGAGAAAAAAGACACAAATTTAGATAAACCTGGTGGAATGGCTCTGGTTGCGATTAAAACTCAAAACAAAGCGATTCAAGAATTCAAGAAACCTACAGTTCCAATAAAAAAGAAGAACAAACAAATAATTTTGAGCGAAGAAAGTTATTTAAAGGTAAAGTTTTCATTTCGCATTCTTGAATTATGAAGATTTTAATCTATTTCTTTTACAGGAACTTGGCAAAATTATACAGCGTGATTTCTTTCCTGATCTCGAGAAATTAAAAGCCCAGAATGAATACCTCGATGCTATTGCATCAAATGACGTTGTGAAACTCAGAGCGATTTTCACAAAATATTCTTCAAAACGGAGACCAACATTTAGTGAGTTAAATCTTATTTAATGTGTAGTAGAGTTTCGAAAATCATGTTTTAATTTTAGATGAAACACCATCTTCATTTGAATCTCCTTTAACTGAACCAAGTCAAACTCCTGCAACAATTGCTTCTGTTCGTAGCAATGAATCATCGAAGACTACGTCATCAAGAAAATCTATTTCGGATAATCATTCATTGGACAGTTTTTTCGATAAATACACAAGTGAAGATAATCAGAGTTTTGAAGAAATTATAGAAGCTGCTGATGAAAAGCTTAAACAAAGATTTGCAATTCTTTATGATGCTGAAGAGCAATCTTCGGAACTTCTCAAAGCTTCACTCGCACTTCCCAATATAGAGAATCAATTTGGAGCAATTGAGCTACCCAATAAACTTGATACATGGACATATAAGAATAAAAATTACATCATGTATATTCCGGATGGTGTTGACTTCACACAAGAAGAAAAAATAGAAATGGCGAAACGAAAGCAAGAAATTTCTCACAATAACACTCGCCTTGCTGTTAATCCCTTCAATGAATCACAAAACAAAGAAACTATTCATGAACTTGCAAAGAATCAGAGCCGTGGGAATGCAGAAAAGATTGGCGTAGATGGAAAAATTATGGAGGAAGCTTCACCGCAAATTAGAGGATTTGGCTTTGTCAAAAGTCCATCACCATGTCCAAGTATGATTGACAGCAGTCCACTTATGACATGGGGTGAAATTGAAGGAACACCTTTTCGACTGGATGCTAGTGACACTCCTATCAGAACAACATCATTTGGGGGACCATCATTTCGAATTGCAGAAACATCAAAACGTGAAAATCTTGCACTGCAATTGGCTGAGAATGTCAGTGAAAAGCATCGTGCAAAGAAAAGTAAGGCCATTGAAGCAGCGAAACGAAACATGTGTGCAACGCCACATGTAAGAAATTCTTTAGATCGTTTAGCTTCATTATCACCAGCAGCTAAAAGATTGTCGAGTGTAAGATTGGGACGGGAAAGTTGGGCGACACCATCACCAAGATCAAATCGATTTTTCATCACACCGAAACGATCTAAAAACACTCCGCTTGTAAGAACACCTGTGAGAGAACAACAGAGATCGACAGAAACGCCTTCAAAGGATTCAAGTTATTCAGAATCGACACTCACTGATAATCTGCTTGATATTCCATCATCCAGTAAACGTCCAAAAGCTGCTGATTTTTTCTAAGCCAAATAACTACTGTAAAGTCATAATAAAAGTGAAATAAAGCACAAATATTTTCGCTGACATTTTTCTTTTGTTTTTTATTTGATTATATGCGAACATGCTCGATGTCTCTAAACGATCGTGATTTTTTGGTGAAAAATTTTTCACAAACATATTTTGTGAAGGTTGCAGACGATATTAAAATGTTTAGAATAATTGCAATAACTTGCACATTATTTCTCACTATAAAACATCAAGTTAATCAGAACAGGTCATCATTATCTCTTTTGCTTGCTGAAAAGTTAGAGTTGAACTGTTAATAATGAAATATCAAAGTTTATTCATTTTGATTATCAGCGTTTGTGTCATTCATCAGGTAGGAGATGAAAACTAAATTTAAATCTTTAATTTTCTAATTAATTTCTTATCCAGACTGCTGCTTTCCACTTCTGCAAATGTCGTGATCAAGGAAAAGATGTTTGCAATTGTAATAAAGATATTTTGTCACCACGACCATATCCAATTCAACTCCCACGCATTCCAAAACATCAACCAATTAAGATTTGCAAGGAACAAATTTTAACTCCGCCGGGACCAAAACATTTCAGCCCAATCAGCGATCCATGCAATTGTGGTCATAAACTTGTCAAACCAGCACCATTGCCAAGACACAAACCAAATGTAAGTTGGAATAAATTTTGTTGCTTTACATAAATAAATATTTTTGAAACATTAAAATTTTTGTTTTAAGTGTCAACACCAACCACAGCCGACTCCTGACTATCCACCACCACCACCTCCACCACCAACTTGTTCTTGTCATAATAAAGATTGTGGTCATGCCGTAAGAGCGCCAGATCACTATCAGAATTTCGGCCACGATGACGCAACAATTTACTTTGAAACTTCCAAACCAAAAGCTTCGTAAGTAACAAAAATCTGTCGATTTGAAAGATTTTTCATTTATTTTTTATATGTACCAACAATTAAGACATGCACCAGCAAAGCCAAAATATGTCCCAGCTGATATTGTCAGTATTTCCATTGCTAACCAATTGGCGAAAACAGCAAAATTAGGAATATCTGAAAGAAATCTTCAATATGGATCACTCAAGGAACCAACAGTTCAATTTAAATCAACTAAGAAGCACAGCATTAATGAAGAATCTTTCTATGACACAAAAGGAAGCATTCTCGAAATTAAGCCGCACATTTTCAAACATGAAGTTGTTTCTTCAGAAGAGGTCAGCGAAGAAGAGAAGCCAAATCCGAAGTCATCTCATGTGTTCAACCCAGCACATTTAAGTTACGATCAAATCGGTTATAAACCTTACGATCCAGCTGGTCAACAACGTTATGTTGTAGTTCGAAACTCAGAAGTTGTTAAACATGATTGCAATCGGCCTTCATCTCCAAAGTTTCATCATCACAAAAAGGAATCGTCTTGCGGTTGCCACAAAGATTTACTCATCGATCAAGCAAACTTTAGCGAACATGAATCATTCAGTCATGAATTTGGACAAGATCATTGGGGAGGAAAATTCACCACATAATTACAGTGATTTTAATATAAAATTCATATCTCTGTGTATGTCTTTATTTATTAAAAATTATTTCTTGAATAGCAAAATGTCAATAGTCAATGCATGTCAATAAATGAATTAAAAGGTTTACCAAAAAAAAACAAAGCTTTATCATTTACTAAAACTTTGTGAATAATTCGATGATTCATCAACATATTGTTACGCAACATTCATTTTAAAACAATCGAATGCACTTGCTTGCAGTTCTTATTTTGGTGTCCATTCCAAGTTGTCAAGTGCCTTGACATGCTGCTTGCTTATCAGCTGAAAGAGAGCATGAGAGAGAAATAAGAGAGCAACAGATAATAAAGAGAGAGCAACTTTCTTAAATGTTTACATTTTGCAAGGAAATTTTTTTTCAATCTTCAGTTCATTTTCGATCTTTTTGCTTTACGCTCGCGAATTTCGTGAAAGTTTGAATAATTAACTGTGGTGTTTCGTTTACACATAAACTGGACCAGATATTACATTCTGTGTATTTATTTATAAATATAATAACATCACAGATTCGCAAAACTCTTTCGTGAAAAGTGTGAAAGGTTTATTGTTGTTCAACACGTAATTATTCGAGTTTTTTTTTGGATCTTCACACTTCGGTCGGTCGTTAACATTTCGCGTTCGCGAGTGCCATCAAAAGATTTAACAGAATATATTGATAAATATGTGGTCATTTAATCAAGGTGCTAATAACCAGAATTCAAATTTGGGATGGAATGTCGACAATCCAAGTGCGGGTGGAGGTAAGAATAATTATAGAATGACTGGTGGAAAATTCATTGAACATATGTTTTCAATTTAATCTCCCTCTCTTCTCAAAATTTGGTCTTCTTTTTAGTGGGAACCTCAAATTTTGGATGGAACTTGGGAGCGCCAGCTGCAGCGCCAGTGCCAATGCCTGTGCCACCTTCTTCATATTATGATAATCAAGATAATCAAAGTGATGAGCCAGGAGTGGATGAAACTTTTACCGCAAAGACTGCTGGAGCTCAAAGCTTCGCACATTATATAGTTCGATGGGTAAGTTTTTTATTGTTTTTATTTTGAACGGCACCGTGACTCACACAAAAAGTTATTCTCTCACGAAATTATTCGATTCAAGGGGTAATTCATCGTACTTATTTTCACGGCTGTTTCTAAATGATGCTTCGAAAAGCATGAAAAAAAAACTATTTCAAAAAAGTTTGCACTTTCCAAGAGTGCTTAGTTTTTCTTGGAATTTGCCTTTAGTGATTTTTTCCGAATCGTGCTTTTGCTGGCCAAGTATTTTGATGAATTACCCCTTGTTGGCTTGTGCAAGCATAAATGCTCTCTCGCACATACACAATCAACACAAACGTAAACGCACATCATGTGGTTTAGAGCTTTCTTGCATATTTCTCTCACAAAGCAAGCGGTTTCTCTTCTACTTACCAACACACACAAAGCTTCGTCAAAGGCGTGCAGTTTCTTTTGGTACTGGCTACTTAAGTTGCTTCTTAGAAAGCTTTTCGATCTCTGACTTCTCTCAAGTTTGTACACGAGTTTTACACAAATATCTTAAGCCTGCTGAGTAAAAATAAAATATTCCTCACAATTTCTCATCGATTTTTGCCTAATTCAGCCGAAATTCAATGTTAGGTCGCAAGTTTATTGCGGCGTAGAGTGATATTTTGATTGCTTTAGTGCACTTAACTGTTTTATTATAAACTGTGGGGCGGGTGAGTTAATAATTTCATGCTTCATTCGTAAGTAAAGTTATCAATGTCGGAACTTTACGCAGTGGAATTTTTCTTCAGCAATGTTGCGAAGAATAAAAATTAACATACAATTTGATGATGTCACCGATTCTAAATTTGATGATTTTTGTTGTGTGCAGATGGTGGCGATGTTTTCTTTTGCGTGTGGTGTATTTTTTTTGCTTTTTGAATTGTTATTAGTTATTCTAAAACCTAAAATGAAGGTGACGTCTTAAAATATGCTGTCAGATGCTGAAGTTTTTAACATTCCACTGATTCATAATTGATAGAATTACTTAATATGAAAAATAACTCTGAAGCATCATCGCTTATTGATTAAATCATCGAGTCACGAGCGTTGTTGCAACTATCTATCATCACATTTGATAGTTGTGACGAAACGAATGACAACTGTGGGCAATTAATAATAATTTAGATTGTAATTTAGGTTTTTTTGCGCACTCTGTGTGAGAATCTCGTTCGTAACAATCTCGAATAATGGATCAACTTCAGGTGAGGAATTTTGAAACTCATGAGCTGCAGCACATTTCAAAATTTGAAATTTATTCCACAAATAGGGCTTTTTGAAAGGTGGCCTTGATGGCATCGGGAAGCAGTTGCTCAATCAAGCTGGAGAAGCTGCTATGGGGGCAGCTAAAGAATTTCTCGGCAACGCAATCAATGAAATGTTTGTTAAGAAACACTCGGATGTCAAGCGAATCCTCCCCGACATCAAACATATGAAAATTGTGAGTTTTCACTTCAATCTTTCACCAACGACTGAAATAATTTTATTTCTTTCTGTCTGATGTTCGCTTCGTGTTTCATGACCGTCCTTGAAGAATATTTTAGCATGCATTAGAGTTTTAGTGGCTTCAATTGCTCTTCTTCTAATTACATCAAAGTGAATTAATAATTTTGGCCATAATTCATGTTGGGTGTGGTCTGATATGCTGTATTATTTTCACTCGTGAACTATACTTAAGCAGGTGCGGTGAAGTTGTCAGATTTTCGACTTTTATGCTGGCTCACCGCCAGACTTGGTTAAACGATCTCAAAGCGATAATCATTCAGCGCCCTTTTTATGCTTATTTTGTGTATGTGCGAACAATCCGAAGTGAAACTTTCAACTGACTCGCCTTACAGCAGACTTTTGTCTCCAGTCTGGTGATTTTTATTCAAATCTAAGTCAGAAGAGTTAAAAGTGGGGATTGTTTCAATGTAATGTAGGTCAAAACATCCTTGAAAAAGAAGAGATTTATCATCCTTTGTTTTCAATTGAAAGTCTCCTGAAAGTCTCATCATACAATTCAATACTAAGTGAACATTTTACTGTAATTTTTTTATGTTACCCGTTACAGTTTTACCAGATAGAAAATGCCATAAAATTCCCAACTCGATAATGATGAGGGTTGTAAAACTGTTGATATGATTATACAGAGAAAAGCGTAAGTTTGACGGGTACAAGTTGCTTGTAGTTTTTCCATGAATAAAGAACGACGCCAGAGAAATAAATGAATCAGCACGAAAGCTTGTGTGTTGTGTTATCAAAAGAGTTCCTTCGACCTGATAAAGTTTAGTTGTTATCCACTTGTTGAGTTGTGAAGTTGTTTGGCTTAAGTGGACGTGAAATGCCATATACACGGCGATATACTTTTGATGGACATCCCATTTTCCTTGTCAGCACTTTCTATCATTAAAACTTTTTTTTTCAATGTTTTCTATCTTTTCCAGGTTGGTGAGAAGGCCAGTGGATTACGAGGACAACAAGATGTTCAAGATTTCTATACAATTCGTCAGCAATGTCTTGACTCAGGATCGCTTTTTGAAGATCCCGAATTTTCAGCAACGGATAAAAGTTTGTTTTATTCACGCCGACCGGATCGTCGTTATGAATGGTTGAGACCAATGGAAATCTGTGATGATCCACAGTTCTTTGTTGAAGGATATTCACGATTTGATGTTGAACAAGGAGAACTTGGAGATTGTTGGTTACTTGCTGCAGCTGCCAATTTAACTCAAGATCAAAAACTTTTCTTCCGTGTTGTCTGTGATGATAACAGTTTTGAAGATTCATATGCTGGAATTTTTCATTTTCGGTAATTACCGCACCTTGTTGTGATTAAAACAAAATTTCCAGGGTTGCAAACTTGAGCAATGAATTCGTGTTTTAATCACTGAAAGTTTTCAACCCCTGACAATTCAAATCAATTGAAATTTACATTTTTTCCTTTCTTTCTCTTCAGTTTCTGGCAATATGGAAAATGGGTTGACGTTGTAATCGATGATCGTCTTCCAACATATCGTGGTGAACTTATGTACATGCATTCGACCGAAAAGAATGAATTTTGGTCAGCTCTTTTAGAGAAAGCTTATGCGAAGCTTCATGGAAGTTATGAAGCGTTGAAAGGTGGCACAACATGTGAAGCTTTAGAAGATTTCACTGGTGGTGTCACTGAAATGTATGAATTGAAAGAAGCACCATCAAATCTCTTCCACATTTTGGAGAAAGGCTTTGAACGTAATTCCATGATGGGTTGTTCGATTGAACCCGATCCAAACGTCCTTGAAGCAGAAACTCCCCAAGGACTTATTCGTGGACATGCTTATTCCATAACAAAGGCAGCTATGGTTGATATTGTCACACCCAATACAACTGGAAAAATTCCTTTACTTCGATTGAGAAATCCTTGGGGAAATGACGCCGAATGGAATGGACCTTGGAGTGATAAAAGTCCTGAATGGCGTTACATTCCTGATCACGCGAAAGAAGAAATTGGACTCACTTTTGATCAGGACGGTGAATTTTGGATGAGTTATCGAGATTTCTTGAAGTATTTTGATCGAATGGAGATTTGTAACTTGTCGCCAGACAGTTTAACTGAAGATCAAGAGTCGGGGTTGAAGAAGAAATGGAACATGAATGTATTTGAAGGTGAATGGGTTGCTGGCACCAGTGCTGGTGGTTGTCGTAATTATCTTGATTCGTTCCATCGCAATCCTCAATATGTAATGACACTTGAAGAGCCAGATGAAGACGACGAAGATGGCAAATGTACCGTCGTCGTGGCACTTATGCAAAAGAATCGACGTTCACGTCGTAACATGGGAATCGATTGTCTTACAATTGGTTTCGCTGTTTATAAAGTCACCGACCGTGACCTACAACAAAAACCTCTTCGTATGAACTTCTTCAAGTATAATGCATCAGTTGCTCGTTCACCAGCTTTCATTAACTTACGTGAAGTCAGTTGTCGTTTTAAACTTCCACCTGGTCATTATTTGATTGTTCCATCCACTTTCGAACCCAATGAAGAAGGTGAATTCTTGATTCGAGTTTTCTCTGAAAGTAGCAATACATTTGAGGAGAATGATGAAGAAGTCGGGATGGGAGCTGTCGATAGCAGAGTAAGTTCTGATTCAGAGTAATAAATTTGTAATTAAAATCTTACAAAATGTCTTGACAGTGACACAATAAATGAAAACATTTTAAATCATTTTAAGTTTTAAATTTATTTAACAATTTCTTTTCTTCTTTTTCTAATAACAGATTGCTGACAACATACCTGATATTCGTGAAAAAACACCAGAAAGATCAGCTATTGAACAATTGTTCATGGACATTGCAGGTCCGGAACAAGAAATTGGATGGCCAGAATTAAAAAGAATTCTTGACCATTCAATGCGCGATGGTGAGTGGAAATGCTTCAAAATTTTCATCTTCTCCATAAATTCTCCTCTTACTTATCATAACATTTTGTAAAAATTGATTTATTTTATAAGAAAAGGAAGAAAGAAGATAATTTTTGCTTTAAGAAGTTTTCGCTCCACAAAATTGTATGTGTGTGTGTGTTTGTGCTTATTTATAAAAAGAACGTCGCAATTCTTTGTACATTAAATGCTTTCATTACCTATAAATAACAACAACATTCATAGATGTCTAACTAATCTTAATTAAATCTAGCTTGGGAATTGGCTAAAGTTTAATCTTCAGCAATTGTAAGATGACCACATCGTTAGTGTCTAATTTACCTCTCATGTCCTAAAAAGGAGCTTGACATTCAAAAAATATTTCAAGAATTCTTAGTTATGGAAACATTCATCCCATCTTATGTCAATAATAAATTTATTTGTACAAATAAATAAAAGAATTAACAAAGTTTCATTATGTCAGTTCCCAAGCAGCACATATTGCTACACACATTAATCAATTCAAAGACTTTTTATTTCACAGAAGCTTAAACATAACAAAATTAAATTTTAATGATTGCCAAACGATTGTAAAATGAAAAACCAAAAAAATTTCCTATTTTATGATTTTCTCCCTCCACGTTTGAAAAACCCGAGAAAAAGCTTTCCACACGGAAATAGAAACAAAAAACCAAACCAAATCCCATAAAATATCATTTTAGAATTAGTGAAGCACACGGATGCAGTAACATCTTCCAAACATCAATCACAAACAGAAGCGAATGTTAATGGCACGAGAAATGATGAAGGTGGCGGCGGAGGCGGCGGTTTATTAGCATTGATTTGTGGTGCATTGTGTAAAGACACGCCGCTGGCAGAAGCTTTCTCAGGGCCGAATGATAACATTAATAATAATAATAACGCCGCCCCATTATTGGCTCCGGTTCCAAACGGTGAGCAAATTGCGGAATCCACCAAATGTGGAAGCAATTCTCTGGTTGGTTTAAAATTTGTGTTCGCTGCTATAAAAGATCTTCACGGCTTGACAGTGTGGCTATGTGTATTGATTTTTTCATTCTCTTTATTTTATTTTAACAACCCTAAATGCTGATTTCTTCGATGACAATGCTGATAATTATTTTTTTCCATCTTTTGTTTCGTTATTTTTTATTTAATTAACAGTCACAGAATCTCAAGGTTTCTCGAAAGACATCTGCCGATCTATGGTGGCGATGCTTGACACTGATCATTCAGGAAAATTGGGACTTGAAGAATTCAAATCATTGTTGAATGATATTGCTAAGTGGAAGGTAAACAAAAAATTGTTAATTGAAATGTTTCGTGATTTTAATTCTGTTTGAAAATCTTACAGGCTGTTTTCAAGCTTTACGATCGTAATCGATGCAATAAATTGAATGCTTTCGAGTTGCGTGATGCATTAGCATCGTCTGGTTATCATTTAAACAATCACATTTTAAACTCTTTGGTGTATCGTTATGGTTCGCCTGATAAGACGATAGCATTTGACGATTTCATCATGTGTGCTGTCAAAGTTAAGACAATGATTGAACATTTCAAGGAAAAGGATTTTGACAACACCAATTCAGCAACATTCACAATGGACGAATGGATAACGAGAGCACTTTACTCATAAATCATCACACTTCATATCCAATTACAAGCTTACAACTTATTCAATGTCGCATTTTTATTTCTTCTTGCAATCAATGCTTGTTTTTCAATTGACCTTTTTGAAAACTTAAATTGGATTAAATTAAGCTTCTTATTTTTTAATGGTTGTGCGTCTTCCTCCCACTGTTAATGATACAAACACATAAATTGTATCAAATAAAGTTACTTTATCAAGCTTAACATTTACTCGCACAAACTTCTCCAATAATTGTCCCACATTTTTTGTTAAATCTCTCGAAATTCTCTTAAATAAACTTTTTAAAAGACGGTAAATTGATAAAGATGCCGGTCAAACATTTCATGTTAAATCTTGTTGTGCCTACATATAAACTCAGAGCATTAAATGAATTAAAACGAAGTCAGAAAATATTTTTATGTCACATAGGATTGATTAACAAATTGTTCTTTATCTTCATCTAACCGTTACAGTTTATTGCATAAAAAATTATTTTTATTCGTACTTTTTAAGCTGTGCTACTACTTGAAGAAGAATAAATATTTTACGTGCTGAAAATGATTTTTTTTATTTATTATTCAATTATGTTGTCATCATTTCAGAGGAACAAATTTAGACATCAAATATCAAATATTTATGTCGTGACAATTGATCATAAGAATTTGTTTTCGTGGTATTTGAATCGACAATACATCAATAAAGAAATCAAACTCGGTTCAAAGTTCACTTCAAAATCTTCTTTGAATTAAAGAATTAATTTTATTAACAAATAATTAATCACAAATAATTAAATTTAAAATTTTATTTCTTCTTTTTTGAATTTGAATTTTCTGAAGATTTAATTTTGCTCTCTCCAAGATAAATGCTGTGATTAGTCTTCTTAAGATGAGTAAAAAGTTTATTTTTTGAAGGGAAAATCTCACGACATGTTGCACAACGATGTTCCATTGATGAAGCTTCACCAGTGTCAAGAGATTTCGCTGTTTCTTCTTCCAGAATTGTCTCTTCCTTAGAAACGACTTTTGGCTTTTCATTCTTTGCTTTTCCTTTGGATTTCACTTTTTTCTGTTTTTTATTTCCAGACCAATCGCCGTCATCACTTTCATTATCAGATAATAATAAAATTCGTTCTGTTTCATTTGATTCAACGGAATTTTCACCGTTTTTAACATCCGATGAATCCTCAAACTCTTCAGTTGGAAGGAAGTTTTTCTTATTTTTCTTTTTCGACTTTTTCCCTTTGACATTTTTAACTTTTTCTTCCTCATCTTCGATAACTTCAACATTCTCTAATTCATCATCTTCTTCTTGTTTGATTGTCTGTTGATATGATTCTTCTTCAGCTTTCATTTCTGTCTTTAGCAGTTCCATATTTTGCCGATGTTTCTTGGATGCTTCATGATTCATTTTAGAACTTTCACTATTGAAGAATTTGTTGCACGCAACGCAATAAAGTTCATCGAAACCATCTTCATTTTCATCGAGGTTACACTCCTTTAAATCTTCTTGAATGTTTTCAACATCTTCATCTTCATAATCGTCATCATCTTCACTATCACTGTACTGGTTTAAATAACTTTCTTCTAATTGTCGTAATTCCTCTTCATGTTCACTTTTTAGACGAGAATTCTTTTGCTGTTCCCTCAACATTTCATTCCTTTTCCTAATTTGTTCTAAGTGATTCTGCTGAGACTTTATTCTATTTTGTTGAGCTTTTTCTTCGAGCATTTTTCTATATTCCGCCATTCGTTTGTCACGTTTCTTTACAAAGAGAACCAAAGATCGAATTTCTTCATTTCTTTCTTTTCTTGCTTTTTGTTGAATCTTTTTATGTTCTTTATCGATTAATTTTAATACTCGACGATCTCTGATTTCATTGATATTATGAGTGAATAGCCAGGCATATGATTTTTTGGTTGAATAACTTTCCCAATGTCCATAGAAATTAATAACTTCTTCAAAACCACTGGTTGAGTCACCAAATTTTGGAATCATTTCGTAATTTTCGGCACTATCCATATATTCAATATCTTCAGAGGCTAATTTGTCAAATACATTTCTATAAGTAGAATAGAAACCTTCATCGTCATCACCAAATCCTTTATAACAAGACGATGAGAAATAAGCGTACACGTCCAAACTGAAAGTAAATAAAAACTTTTTAATAAGAATTAAAAATAAAACCTTGAATTATTTCTCACCTATCGTCTTCATAGTTTGATTGATTTCCTTTTAGAATCTGATCACGATGTTTGTCATACCATGCTCTTTCTTGTGGATCATTTAAAACTTCCCATGCTTGTTGAATCAGCTGAAATTTTTGTTTTGCTTCAATTTCGTTAGCAATGTTCTTGTCAGGATGCCATTTCAGTGCCAATTTACGATAGTTTTTCTTGATTGTATCATCATCTGCATCACGTTCTACATCAAGAACTTCGTAATAACATTGCATTCTATTTTTTGACATTTTCAAAATTGAAATGTGTTGTTTACAAAAAATTGTGGAAAAACTTGAAACCGACCGACGGCATTGACACATTTGAAATTAATTAAGTCGTTAAACTAAATTTTTAAACTTACGGCATTATCAAATAAAATTAACAAACATTTATTGAATCAAAATTTCTTATTATTTTTGGTATTGGATTTTAATTGGAATATTGAATGTTCAAGTGCGCAATTTGAACAATCTGACAAAAATTTATTTATGAATTTCATTGAATGTTTATTTATCTGCATAACTTAGAAGATAAATTATTTTTATTAAAACTTTCAATAATAAACGCAAACTTTTTATGTTGTCACTTAAATATCCTATTTAATGCTGCTTACTTTCAAAAACTTTCTTTCCACATTTTCTTTCTTTTTTCGAAGATTTACATATAAACTTTCCCTCCTTTTGTGCTACTTGAAAGCGTCGAAACGATTAAAAAAGTTTTAATGTGGTTATTTATTTAAGCGTATCTAAATAGAAAAGCAACACTTTATCACGGTTTAATTTCCACTTAATTTTCTATCATCTTCACTCTTGTATCCAAGTCAACGCAGGTTTTGTTGAATCAATCAATATTTATTCATTTTGAGCGACCGTTTGATTTCAAGTGAGAACACTAACGCACATTGTAATGAAAAGTGTTTGAATTGAGGGTGGCGTGGAAATTTGTTTATTTCAAGAAGAGAAAACAAAAAGCATTTACTCAAATCAAGTTTTCATTGCACTCAGTCGATCCAAATATTCTTTATGAAGCAGACGTAGAATTTATTTTTTAAAGAATTTTCTTCTTTACATTCAATTGAATAAAAATTATTTCAATCATCCATAATGGATGATAAAAAGAAAGAAGAAACAGATCCACGATTGGATTTCATCAGTACTTACATATTAAAAACATTTCGATTAAAAATTGACAAATGGCAAAAGTTAATGTCATCTGATGACAAGGTAACTGAGATTGTTTCTTTTGGTAACGGTTAAACATGACATTTTCTTCATCAGACAATAGTTTATGATTGGTTGAGCGATCCAAAAGCTGAAAGATTGTGCTTTACGTTGGGATCTTCTGGAGGTTTGGCGGTTTTCAACAACTTTCCTACATCGTCAAAGTCAAAAATTTCTTACTTTATTCGGAAATCAGCAGTGATGTTAACACCTGAGAACATCAGAAAGGTGAATAAACATTTAATCACTAAAAAATGACAAAATATTTTTATTTTAATCTGCAGGAATTAATTTTTGGTGACATGTCACCTCGTCCTATGCACGATCTTTCGATTATGCTTGATGAAGTTTATTATCCAATTCTAAATAATCCAGAAAATCAGGAAGGTTGGCCTGACGCAATAAAAAAGGATGTTGATCTTCACATTCAGGATCTGCGTAACGTCATAGCTGAGGTGAGTTTCATATGAATTTGCATGCTAATTTACTATTGAGTCGAATGTGTTAGATCAATAAAAAACATCAAGATAGGCGCATAATAATATAGTTTAATTAACAGCCGTTACTTTTGCATTTTTCCACTCATTCTTCAGGTTAAAGGAAACATCAACAATCAAACTTTGCTTCCAATGCCGATAACAATCGCCAAAGTTTTCGATGTGGAAAATGAATTGTCGATGGGGTGAGTAAAAGAATTGCAAAACAAAAAGCTTTGATTTGGAGAGCAATAAAAGCATAAAACTTTGATTTTATGGTGTTGATTTAAATGCTGAACTTACTAGGTGAAGTTTTGAGGGCATTTATGTCAATGATGGCACTTAGAAGCTATGAATTTGATATTATTGGTTGTAATCAGTTTTATGTTGAGTGTCACGCGAACGATAAAATGTTCCCATTTAACAATAATATTCACAAATTTACTTGCAAATTTTGTTACAGTAACATGGATGCATGCGATATTAAAATGAAGAACTCATTGGAAGGAATTGTCATCAAATGGGCGTTTCAAGTCGATAAAGTGCTGAAAGAAACATCTTCGAGTCTTTTCGATAAAAACAATCATCCAACACCAATGGCTGAGATCGATTTCTGGGAGAAACGACGAAAGAATATTATGAACATTTATGATCAATTACGAGACCCAAGAGTGAAGAAAATTGGAAGCATTTTGGAACTTATTGATTCAGTTTACTTCAGTACATTCAGCAACACTTTAAAAAGCATTGTCACATCACTTCATGAAGCCAACGACATCACGTTATACTTGAAACCTTTGGTATGAATTTTATTAGATAAAAATTTATGAAATCAAAACGAAAATTATTTTCCCACAGAAAGCGCATATCGATCGGATTGAGCGAGACGATTTTCTTGAAAATGAAGATAAAATTCGCCCACTTTATCATGTGATTTGTCTAATTTGGTCACATTCAAAGTACTACGGATTGAACAGTCGAATAACGACACTTCTTCGAATGGTCAACAACATGATGATAGAAAGTGCAACGAAGTCACTTGATCCAGGATCTCTTTTTCAAGGAGAGCCCGATGAATCGTTAGTGACATTAGAAAAAGTGATTTTTATCTTGGAAGGGCATAAAGATTGCTTCAAGGAATATCGTGACAAGTTACCGACATATGCACGTCCTGACAAAGATGCAATTTTATGGTCATTTCGGCCTAAAGATATTTTTGAAAGATTCGATTTATTCCTGGAACGTCTTTACGTCGTTCGTGACATTTTTGACACTGCAAATGAATTTAGCAAAGTTGAGAAAATTGAACTTGGAGGGTTGAAAGGTCGTAATTTGAGTCGCGGAATGCAAGAAGCTTTCAATGATTTCAAAAATCTTTACATGAAATGGACTCAAGTTCAATTTGATCCACTCGACCCATCGCCACACTTGAAAGATTTCGAGAATGAAAGAAAAAGTTTTCAAGTAGAATCGGAGATTTTAGAACGAAGATTAGCAGCAATTCTCGTGCAATCATTCGACGAATGTTACACAATGGAATCGCTTATCAAGTTAATTGAAGTATGTGGAACTCTCTTACAAAGGCCAATCATTTACAATGAAATTAAGGAAAAGTTAAATAAAATTATTGAGCTTTACAATCATGATTTGGACCTTGTGAAAATTATTTTCGATCAAGGTGTGGAAGTAATTAAGTCAAAGGGAATTGAAGAATTCGATGTGGATCAAGGTTTCCCACCAGTTTCTGGTGTCTTGACATGGATCAACAAACTTCGTCTTCGAATAACGAAACCGACAGAAGAGTTGCCTAATATTGATTTTCAAGAAATCCTTCAAACTGACGAAGGAGTTTACATGATGAACCGATTAGAAGAAATGTGCGCCTTACTTGACTCACTCGACATGAAAATATTCCAAGAANATATAAATAATGAAAAGTAAATGAAATAGAAATATTTAAAAGGAAATTATTAAAAAAGTATTAAAAGGAATTAGATCTTATGAAAATATGAATATAACAAAATGATACGTAAATCGAAAAGCGCTTTGAGATATTTGGGTTAGACGTCAATTGATGCAACATACTCATCAAAGAGGGTTTCACGGAGTCTCTTTTTAAATAAGGAAAGTGAAAAGATTCGTTTAAGATCATTAGGAAGTTCATTGAATTTAATGAGACCTCTCCTGTAGAAGTCCGCTTGACCGTATTTAGTTTCTGGTGCTATTACATAAAAATTGCCTCCCAGTCCGAAACGAGTTCCATATTTATGGACTTCATTGACATAATTTAACACAATATTATTTTTCACTAAACCGTGTTTGATTTTAAAAGCTAAAAGAAGCAAAAGATAATCAGTGATCACCGGTAGAGGAAGTATATTGTAGGAAAAAAGTTTAATCGAAGGAGATAACCGATGTTTTTTTTGTATGATTCTAAGACATTTCTTTTGTAGACAGAAAAGTCTATTCATATTAAAAGTAGAAGTAACACTCCATAATGGATTTAAAAATATTAGGTGAGAATAGATATGCGCGAAGTAGAGCTGGTATGCAAGTTGGATATTCATCGAATGAATTGTTCTTTATATTATTGGTTGTAATCAGTTTTATGTTGAGTGTCACGCGAACGATAAAATGTTCCCATTTAACAATAATATTCACAAATTTACTTGCAAATTTTGTTACAGTAATATGGATGCATGCGATATTAAAATGAAGAACTCATTGGAAGGAATTGTCATCAAATGGGCGTTTCAAGTCGATAAAGTGCTGAAAGAAACATCTTCGAGTCTTTTCGATAAAAACAATCATCCAACACCAATGGCTGAGATCGATTTCTGGGAGAAACGACGAAAGAATATTATGAACATTTATGATCAATTACGAGACCCAAGAGTGAAGAAAATTGGAAGCATTTTGGAACTTATTGATTCAGTTTACTTCAGTACATTCAGCAACACATTAAAAAGCATTGTCACATCACTTCATGAAGCCAACGACATCACGTTATACTTGAAACCTTTGGTATGAATTTTATTAGATAAAAATTTATGAAATCAAAACGAAAATTATTTTCCCACAGAAAGCGCATATCGATCGGATTGAGCGAGACGATTTTCTTGAAAATGAAGATAAAATTCGCCCACTTTATCATGTGATTTGTCTAATTTGGTCACATTCAAAGTACTACGGATTGAACAGTCGAATAACGACACTTCTTCGAATGGTCAACAACATGATGATAGAAAGTGCAACGAAGTCACTTGATCCAGGATCTCTTTTTCAAGGAGAGCCCGATGAATCGTTAGTGACATTAGAAAAAGTGATTTTTATCTTGGAAGGGCATAAAGATTGCTTCAAGGAATATCGTGACAAGTTACCGACATATGCACGTCCTGACAAAGATGCAATTTTATGGTCATTTCGGCCTAAAGATATTTTTGAAAGATTCGATTTATTCCTGGAACGTCTTTACGTCGTTCGTGACATTTTTGACACTGCAAATGAATTTAGCAAAGTTGAGAAAATTGAACTTGGAGGGTTGAAAGGTCGTAATTTGAGTCGCGGAATGCAAGAAGCTTTCAATGATTTCAAAAATCTTTACATGAAATGGACTCAAGTTCAATTTGATCCACTCGACCCATCGCCACACTTGAAAGATTTCGAGAATGAAAGAAAAAGTTTTCAAGTAGAATCGGAGATTTTAGAACGAAGATTAGCAGCAATTCTCGTGCAATCATTCGACGAATGTTACACAATGGAATCGCTTATCAAGTTAATTGAAGTATGTGGAACTCTCTTACAAAGGCCAATCATTTACAATGAAATTAAGGAAAAGTTGAATAAAATTATTGAGCTTTACAATCATGATTTGGACCTTGTGAAAATTATTTTCGATCAAGGTGTGGAAGTAATTAAGTCAAAGGGAATTGAAGAATTCGATGTGGATCAAGGTTTCCCACCAGTTTCTGGTGTCTTGACATGGATCAACAAACTTCGTCTTCGAATAACGAAACCGACAGAAGAGTTGCCTAATATTGATTTTCAAGAAATCCTTCAAACTGACGAAGGAGTTTACATGATGAACCGATTAGAAGAAATGTGCGCCTTACTTGACTCACTCGACATGAAAATATTCCAAGAATGGAAGAAGAAAGTTCCACAAGAGATCAACACGAATATAAATAAATTCTTGTTGAAATCAGTCAATAATGGTTTGTTGGAATTGAATTTCGATCACGCTTTGCTTCGAGCTTTGAGAGAAGTTAAAATGTTAAAATTGATGGGAAAGATGGAAATTCCTGACGTTGCAATTGAATTGTTTGAGTTCTCTGAAGATTTGTGGGTGAGTTTCAGTTTCATTTTCATAAATTGAACAATTCTTTAATTAACTTTCTTCCCAGACTGCTCGTGTTAAACTCTCAAGAATCGTTGAATGGTATAATGAAATAAAGGAAAAGACTGAACCATGTGAATTTGAAATAATAAAGAAAGATATCGAACTGATTGATAATAAGCTACAAGTAGCACTTGAAGTTGCTAAATGGAGCGACTACCAGCAAGTTTACATCGATGATCTTCATTCAGATATCAAAAATCTCCACACAAGATTAATTAAGACAAAAGAAAATGTTGAGAAAATAATCGAAAGCTTAAAATCTTGGGGATCAATGCCAATGTACATTCGTCATGATGGAATCACTACAAATCTCATGATTCCTGACGAATTCCCGTCGTTCATTCTTCGTCGTCAAGGAAAATGTCGTCAATCGAAAGTTTTAATTGATCGAATTATGGATGAAAATTTCAAGCTGTTCTTCAATCTTCCCATTAAAATTGAAGATGAGATGTCAACAAAACGATCTACAGTGGAATCAAGAAGATCAACGTTAGAAGAAGTAAAATCTTTAGAATCGACGAAGAGTTCAGATCATGCTGGCGATGCAATCGATAAAACAGCTCAAGCTTCAGATACAGAATTGTACATCAAACCGTTAAAAACGTCTTCAACTTCTGATTCGTCTTTTGCTGAACCAAATTATGATGCACCAAAGACAGACGAACAATTAGCGCTCTTCAGACCTTACGAAGAGTACATCGATCAAGTCATTTGGACAGAACTTCACAACGCTTTGCGTGTCAGTGTCAAATATATCAAACTTGAAATGGAGAATCGATTGGAGAGCAATTCACCGATTTTTGAGTCAAAACTAGAATTGCAACTCACAAGAATTGTTTTCACACCACCAATGGAGAAAATCTCAAACACTGACTTTACCATGATGGAAATTATCCGATCAATGATTGCAAATATCTTCAACATTTCGGAAATGATTCCATTAGTTGCTCAACCATTAAATTCAAAAGATATTGAAGAGACTTTTGCTTCGTTTGTTGAAGCTATCGACACTCAATCATCTCGCGATATTGCAGACATTAATGAGATGCAATTGGATATAATGGCACTAACTCGTGACACAATACAAAGCGCCATAAATTTTGCTCGTTCATTCGAGAAATACAAATTTTTATGGCCCTCAGATGAGAAACGTCAAGCCGGTCTTGAAACGTTCTTAAAGTTTGGAAGACTTTTGACAGAAGATGAACAAGAAAACTATAAAGAAGGAACTTTAGAGCTGAAAATGAAAGCGCCAACATTAGAATCGTTTAGAGAAGTGATTGATTATTACAGTGATCTTTATGAAGAAATCAACAAATTGGAAACTATCAAAATTTTCCATTCATGGCTTAAGATAGACTTGAAAAGTTTAAAATATGGAATGTTGAACAATGTGTGCAAATGGAGATTTTTATTCCAAAAATATCTCAAAGATAAAGTTGAAAATGATCTCGATGAGTTACAAAACTTTATTATTGAAAGCACGGAGTCACTTAAACAAGAAGCAACGAATGAAGATTCTGTGACATTGCTTAAGATTTTGAAGACAATTGGAAGTATAAATGATCGTGAATATAAAACTGACAATATGTTTGATCCGTTGAAAGAGATTGTCGACTTATTGAAGTCATACGACATGGTGTTTAGTGATTATGTGATGAATCAGTTTGCAGAGTTACCCGAACGATGGATAACTTTGAAGAAACTTGCAGTACTTGTAAAGACAGCAATCGCTCCTATTCAAGCATTTCAAGTTGATCTCATTAAAAAGAAAATTTCAATGTTTGATATAAGAATCAAACTCACACATGAGAACTTCTTTAAAAATCCATTTTTCGATGTTCCATGTCCAAATGTTTATGAGTTATGTGACTTAATTAACGAAGAATTGAAGGACATGGAAAGACAAAATGCTGGTTTATGTGAATCAGCAACACATTTCCAATTAAATCCACCAGACGATACAAAACTTCTTCATTGTCGAAAACTTGTTAAGATGGTTAAACAAATTTGGGATTTCTTATTTGCTGTTTCATCTTGCATTGATGATTGGAAGAAGACGGCATGGAAGAAAATAAATGTTGAAGAAATGGAAACAGAATGCAAAAGATTCTCGAAGGATATGAGAAATTTCGACAAGGAAGTGAAAGTTTTGAAGCCATTCTTGGAAACAGAAGCGATGATTAAGAATTTATTGACATCTTTGAGAGCAATAATTGAACTGCAAAATCCCGCAATTCGAGAACGTCATTGGGTTGAGTTGATGCATGCAACCAAAGTAAGTTTAATCTTAATTATGATGATCATGATTCATCTAATCAACAAACTCCATCAAAATTTCATGAAAATTTCATTAACATTGAATCAATGTTTTGAGTAATTGGTTTATGATAATTTTTCCCTTCTGAAATTTAAAGCTTTTCAAGCTCAAAGGATATCCGGTTTGTTGATAAAGTTTTAGTCTAATTTATTTATAGTGAAAACTTCTTTTCATTTTTCCTACTTTTAACTAAGATTTTCCTTTTCTTTATTTGCGCTTTTACTTGTAAATACATTTTGCTTTTAAATCTTCTAACATTTAGGATGGCGAGGTGAGCGCTTATTTGCATATTTCTTTAACAGTTTTATTAATTTTTGAAAATTGTTGAGGTTTGTCGAGTGATCGAAGGCAAATCGGAGCAGCAACATGAATGAAATTCTTTCACATTCTTACACGATTCTCTTATAGATTCCTGCACATTATTTATTTATTCATTTCACATGACAACAAACGCATAAACGTGTAAAAATTTCTTTCATTAGTTTCATAATCGTTTCCAAAGAGTTTTCTTTTAATTAAAAATCTCAAGAAAGTTGAAAAGAATTCTTAGAAAATCAAAAATTTTTGCTTAATTCTTGTGAATTAATTTCTTAGGTTCGTTTCCAAATGACTGACACGACGACTCTTGCTGATCTTCTTGAACTACAATTACACAAATACGAAGATGAAGTCAAGAACATTGTCGATAAATCTGTGAAGGAAATGGCGATGGAAAAAGTTCTCAACGACTTGGAATACAATTGGAAGACTCTCGAGTTTGCAACTGATCTTCATGTCCGAACGAAACTTAAAGTTCTTCGTGTATCGGAAGAAATTCTTGAAGCTTTGGAAGACAATCAAGGACAATTACAAAACATGATGTCATCAAAGTTCATCGGATATTTCTTCAAAAGAGTCACTGAATGGCAAAATCTTTTATCAAATGCTGATCAAGTGATTGGAGGTTGGACTGAAGTTCAACGGAAGTGGATGTATTTGGAAAGTATTTTCATTGGATCGGAAGATATCAGAAATCAATTACCGGAAGAAGCTAAGCGATTCGAAGAAGTCGATAAAGGATTTCGAACATTGTTGTCTGACGTAAGCAGTCACTTGAACGTCATCAAAGCTACAAACAAGGCAGGACTTTACGACAAGCTTGACGCACTTCTGAAGCAATTAGTTTTGTGTGAAAAAGCTCTTAACGACTACTTGGAAACCAAACGTCTTGCTTTTCCTCGATTTTACTTCGTTTCAAGTGCTGATCTGTTAGACATTCTGTCCAATGGAAATTCACCCGAACTTGTCGGTCGTCATCTCACAAAACTTTACGATTCAATTGCTAAATTAATTTTTGAGGGTGGAACAAAACTGGCAAAACAAATGGTTTCAAAGGAAAATGATGAAGTTGTTGCGTTGCGTGAACCTTGCAATTGTAAAGGGAAAGTTGAAGTTTGGTTGAATGATTTAACGAAAGAAATGCGAAAAACTTTACACGAATTATTTAAGAATTCTGTGATTGCTTATGAAGACAAACCGAGAGAAGTTTGGGTGTTTGATTGGCCAGCTCAACCGGCCTTGTGCACGACACAAATCTGGTGGACAACTGAAGTTAATGTTGCATTTAGTAAACTTGAAGAAGGCTACGAAAACTCAATGCGTGATTATCAGAAAAAGCAAATTCAACAGTTAAACTCATTGATTGAGTTGCTTCTTGGAGATCTTTCAGTTGGTGATCGTCAAAAAATCATGACAATTTGTACGATTGACGTTCATTCTCGTGATGTTGTTGCAAAAATGATTACACAAAAAATTGGAACAGGAAATTCGTTTCAATGGCAAAGTCAGTTACGTCATCGATGGGATTCGTCACAAAATGATTGTTTTGCAAATATTTGTGACGCTGAATTTCGTTATGATTATGAATATTTGGGAAACACTCCACGTCTTGTTATCACGCCTTTGACTGATCGTTGCTACATTACATTAACACAAAGTTTGCATCTTGTTATGGGTGGCGCACCAGCTGGGTAAATAATTTCTCTCTTCAATATTTAATTAATGAAATTTTCCATCCTTCTAGTCCTGCTGGAACTGGCAAGACGGAAACAACGAAAGATTTAGGAAGAGCTCTTGGCGTTATGGTTTACGTTTTCAACTGCAGTGAACAAATGGATTACAAATCATGCGGAAATATTTATAAAGGTCTCGCACAAACTGGAGCCTGGGGATGTTTTGATGAATTCAATCGAATATCAGTTGAAGTCTTGTCAGTTGTTGCTGTTCAAGTGAAGACGATACAAGATGCAATAAAGGTGAGTTCGATAATAAAATCAAATCAATGTTTTCAACATCATAATTTCAATTCATTCTGTTTGATTGAAATCTTCTTTTAACTATTTTATGACACAAAATTTATAAAAGGGCGATGTTAAAAAGTTTGTAACATTAGAGAAAGGAAAGGTAAATTTGAGTAAATTTTAATAATCGCAATGCAAGTCATTTGGTCAGAAACTAGAATAGATTCTTTAGATTGAGCTTTTGCTTCATGTTGTTTGTCTAAAATTAATTGTAGAATTAAAATGAATTTCTTTATTAATTTTTAGGCAACAAAAAGTCAATTCAACTTCATGGGTGAAACGATTTCATTGATACCAACAATCGGCCTTTTCATTACAATGAATCCTGGTTATGCAGGAAGAACTGAAGTAATTCAATTGATTAATGAAATTATTAAATTTAAATTGAATATTTTTAATCAAGCTTCCAGAAAATTTAAAAGCACTTTTTCGGCCATGCGCTATGGTTGTGCCTGACTTTGAATTGATTTCTGAAATCATGTTGGTTGCTGAAGGCTTTCAAGAAGCTCGATTGCTTGCTAGGAAATTCATCACACTTTACACGTTGTGCAGAGAATTGCTATCGAAGCAAGATCATTATGATTGGGGACTTCGAGCTATTAAATCGGTTTTAGTTGTGGCTGGTTCATTGAAGGTGAAGATTTTATTTCTTATTAAAAATTGATGATGTATAATGAATGATTTTTGACAGCGTGGGGACCGACAAAGACCTGAAGATCAAGTGTTGATGCGAGCTCTTCGTGATTTCAATGTTCCGAAAATTGTCACAGCTGATTTAGAAGTTTTCATGGGATTGATTGGTGACTTGTTTCCAGCTCTTGATGTCCCAAGGAAAACTAATCCAGAATTGGAAGCGATGATCCGAACAGCAGCAAGTGAGTTGTCGTTGCAACCTGGTGAAGGCGATGGCTTCATTCTTAAAATCGTACAACTTGAAGAGTTATTTGCTGTGCGGCATTCAGTTTTTATTGTTGGAAATGCTGGCACAGGCAAAAGTCAAGTTTGGAAAACGCTTTTTAAGACATATCAAATTCAAAAGCGTAAACCGCACTTCAATGACTTAAATCCAAAAGCTGTCACAAACGATGAACTGTTTGGAATTATAAATCCATCAACAAGAGAGTGGAAAGATGGACTTTTCTCAACAATAATGCGAGATCAAGCAAACATTGCTGGTGATGGACCTAAATGGATTGTTCTTGATGGTGACATTGATCCAATGTGGATTGAATCATTGAACACTGTGATGGATGATAATAAAGTTTTGACACTTGCAAGTAACGAGAGAATTGCTTTAACTAAACAAATGCGATTGTTGTTTGAGATTTCAAATCTTAGAACTGCAACACCAGCAACTGGTGAGTTTTAATTTAATTTTATTTTATTATGAACAAAAAAAGAATTTTGATTTTCAGTATCTCGAGCTGGAATTCTTTACATCAATCCACAAGACCTTGGATGGACTCCTTTTGTTACTTCTTGGACTAATTCACGATTAGATGCGCAAGAAAGAAAATATTTGGAAATTTTATTTAACAAATACATTCCATCGTTACTTGAAAACCACAAGAAGTTTAAGAAGATCACGCCGATTTCTGAAATTGCAATGATTCAAATGACTTGCTTTCTACTTGATTGCTTATTGACGCCACAAAATGTTCCACCTGAGAGTCCTAGAGAACTTTATGAACTGTACTTTTGTTTTGCTGCTATTTGGGGTTTTGGATCTGCATGCTTTCAAGATCAGCTTCTTGATTGGAGAAATGAGTTCAGCAAAAGCTGGTTGAATGAATTTAGGGACATAAAATTCCCACCAAATGGAACAGTTTTTAATTATTACATTGATTCAGTGACAAAAGCATTCCGTCCTTGGTCGGATCTGGTTGGAAAGTATGAAATGGATGCTGACATTCCTCTGCAATCAACATTGGTTCCAACTGCTGATACGACAAGACTTCGCTGGTTTATGGATATTCTCATCGAGAAGAAGCATCCCGTGATGCTTGTTGGTGGCGCTGGTTCAGGAAAAAGTGTCATCGTATCTGATAAACTTCAAAATCTTCCAGATCGATATTTAGTTCAAAATGTTCCATTTAATTTCTATACAACTTCGGAGATGTTACAGAAAAGTCTTGAGAAGCCATTGGAGAAGAAAGCTGGTAGAAATTTTGGACCGCCAGGAAATAAAACGATGATCTATTTCATCGATGATATGAATATGCCACGGGTTGATACTTATGGGACTGTTCAAGCTCACACTCTTATTAGGCAATTTATTGATTACAAGCATTGGTAAGAGAATCTAATCTCGATATGTTTAATCTTAATCCTAACCTTAATCCTGACTTTAATCCTAATCTCATTTTCTTCCTGTTTCTTCTTCTTTTTCTTAGGTACGATCGAACTAAACTTACTTTGAAAGACATTCTCAATGTACAATTTGTATCAAGTATGAATCCAACTGCTGGATCATTCACAATCAATCCAAGACTTCAAAGACATTTTTGTGTGTTTGCGATCAACTTTCCTTCAGCTGATTCAATGTTTCATATTTATAATGAAATCTTATCACAACATTTAATGAATCCGTTGAACAAGTTTAACGCTGGTGCTCAACGAGTTTGTGAGCAGCTTGTTTCAGCAGCACTTAATCTTCAAACAAGAATGTCGCAAGTTTTCCTACCGACAGCTGTGAAATTTCATTACATTTTCAACTTACGCGATATGGCGAATATTTTTCAAGGCATTTTATTTGGAAATGGTGATACATGTCCAGATGGTAATCAATTGATAAAGCTTTGGGTTCATGAATCAAATCGAGTTTACTGTGATAAACTTGTCGATGAACAAGACATTGAAGGTTTTCAGAAAATTATCGCCGATGTTGTGAAGAAGAATTTTGAGAACATTGATGAGAATATGATTTTCGTGAAGCCTTTAATATTCAGTCACTTTGCTGAAGGCTTGCAAGAGTCTAAATACATGCCAATTAAGGAATGGCCGAGACTGAATGTACTTTTGGAAGAGGCACAAGGAAATTATAACGAACTTGTCGGATCGATGAATTTGGTGCTGTTTGAAGATGCAATGTCACACATTTGTCGCATTAGTAGAATCTTGGAAGGTCCTCGAGGAAATGCCCTTTTGATTGGTGTTGGGGGATCAGGAAAACAGTCACTCGCTAGACTCGCTGCATTCATATCAAACTTGGAAGTCTTTCAAATTCAATTGAAGAAAGGATATTCGTTGATTGACATGAAAGCAGACATCGCTGCACTTTATCTGAAAGCTGGTTTGAAAAATATTTCTTGTATGCATTTATTGACAGACTCGCAAATAGCTGATGAATCTTATTTAGTGTTAATTAATGATATGTTGGCGTCTGGTGAAATTATGGAACTTTTCCCAGACGATGAGATTGACAACATTGCAAATGGTGTACGAAATGAACTCAAACAGCTCGCAATTATGGATACAAAGGAGAATTGTTGGAGATATTTCATTGATAAAGTGAGACGAATGTTGAAAACTGTTCTGTGCTTCTCACCTGTCGGATCGACGTTACGTGTTCGCTCAAGAAAATTCCCTGCGATTGTAAATTGTGCACAAATTGATTGGTTTCATGAATGGCCACAAAATGCTCTCGAATCTGTGTCGAAAAGATTTCTATCAGAAGTTGATGTTCTTCCAGTTCAAATTCTCGATTCAGTTGCAGTTTTCATGGCTTATGTACACAGCACTGTCAATGAAATGTCTCAAGTTTACTTTCAAAATGAAAAACGCTACAATTACACAACACCAAAGTCATTTCTTGAACTTATCTCACTCTTCTCAAAGCTTCTTGTTCAGAAAAATCTCGAATTCAAAGATCGAGTGCAACGTTTGGAAAATGGTTTAATAAAACTTGCACAATGTGCAATTCAAGCTGAATCATTGAAGAAGGATTTGGCAGTTCAAGAAGTGGAATTGAAAGTGAAAAATGATGCTGCTGACATTCTTATCGCAACAGTTAATGAAGAAAACGAACGAGTTCAGATAAGCAAGAATGGAGCGACAGAGAAGCAACGTGGAGTTAACATCATGAAAGAGACAATAACAACTGAAAAGAAATCAAACGAAGAAGAATTGAGAAGAGCAAAACCAGCACTCGATCGTGCAGCTGAAGCTTTAAACACTTTAAACAAAACAAATTTAACTGAATTGAAATCATTTGGATCACCACCAGAAATTGTTGTGAAAGTTTGTGCCGCTGTTCTTGTTCTTTTTTCGAAAGGAAAAATTCCGAAAGATCGAAGTTGGAAGCAATGCAAGCTGATGATGAATAAAGTTGACGAATTCTTGTTCAATTTGGTGAACTTTGACAAAGACAACATTCCACACGAAGTTATCAAAGAAATTAACATTTATAAGGAAGATCCTGAATTTGATGGTGAGAAGATAACATCTCGTTCATTGGCAGCTGCTGGTCTTGCTAAATGGGTCGTTGGTATTGTGGGCTACAATGAAGTTTATTTACTTGTTGAACCAAAGATTCGAGCTGTGAAAGAGTCAGAGAAGGCACTTGCAGAAGCTCAAGCAGAAGTCGATGAATTGGAAGCCAAAGTTGAAGCATTGGAACAAGCATTAATGGCAATTAAAGCGAAACAAGATGAAGCTGAAGCTGAAAAGAAAGTTTGTCAAGATGAAGCTGATAAAACTGCACATCAAATTGATCTCGCTTATCGTTTAGTTAATGGACTTCAATCTGAAAATGTTCGATGGCGTGATTTAATTTATTCATTCCAAGCAAAGCTTGTGACACTTCCTGGTGATATTTTGTTGATTTCATGCTTCATTTCTTATGCTGGTTGCTTCACACGTCGATATCGTCTTGAAATGTTAAACTCGAAATGGATTCCAACGTTCTTGAAAATAAAACCTGAAATTTCATACTCTGAAAACACCGATCCACTTGCTTTGATTTGTGATGACGCACAAATAGCGCAATGGAATAACGAAGGTTTACCATCTGATCGAATGTCAACAGAGAATGCTGTCATTTTAATTAATTCATCACGATGGCCTTTGATTATCGATCCACAATTGCAAGGAGTCAAATGGATTAAGCAAAAGTACGGCGATAGCTTAGTAGTGCTTCGGTTAACTCACAAAGGCTATTTAGACGTTATTGAACGTGCGATCACAAACGGTGACATTTTACTCATTGAGAATATTGAAGAATCTGTTGATGCTGTGTTGGATCCACTCTTGGGACGTGCGCTTATCAAGAAAGGAAAATGCATAAAAATTGGCGATCGTGAAATTGATTACAATGAAAATTTCCGATTAATTCTTCAAACGAAACTTGCTAATCCACATTACAAACCTGAAATGCAAGCACAGACAACACTCATAAATTTTACTGTTACGAGAGATGGCTTAGAGGAACAACTCTTAGCGGAAGTCGTTAAAGCTGAACGACCTGATCTTGAGACACAAAAAGCGACATTAACTCAAGAAGAGAATAGTTACAAAATTCTTCTGAAGCAATTGGAAGATGACTTACTAAGTCGATTAAGTTCAGCAGGTGAAAATGTTCTGGAAGATCCATCGCTTGTGTATAATTTAGAGAAGACAAAGAAAACATCAGCGGAGATTCAAAGCAAACGTGAATTGACAAAAACGACAACAGCTAAAATTGACAGCACTCGAGAATGTTATCGACCAGCTGCTGAACGTGCATCGATTATTTACTTCATTCTTAATGAGTTACATAAAATCAATCCAATTTATCAATTTTCACTCAAAGCATTCACAGTCGTGTTCAGAGATGCAATCATGAAAGCACCACAAACTGAAGACGACGCTGAACGTGTAAAGAATTTAATAAGTTCGATTACATTTGCCGTGTTTATGTACACGTCTCGTGGTCTCTTTGAACGTGACAAGTTGATATTTATGTCACAAATGGTTATTCAAATCGAAATGCAAGCAAAAGAAATTGTTCCAAATGAATTGGATTTCCTTTTACGTTTTCCTTACACACCAAACGTTCAATCACCTGTTGATTTCTTAACAAATACATCGTGGGGTGGCGTATTAGCACTCAGTAATTTAAGTGAATTTATGAGCTTAGAAAAAGATATTGAAAGTTCACCAAATCGATGGAAGAAATACGTTGACGAAGAAACACCCGAGAAAGTTAAATTGCCTGGCGAATGGAAACAAAAAACGGCTTTGCAACGTCTTTGTATCATCAGATGTTTGCGACCTGATAGAATGGTAAAAGAAATTCTTAATTAAACCTTCAATTTCTATTTTAATTTAATTTCCAATTACAGACTTATGCAATGCGTGAATTTGTTCGTGAGAAACTCGGTTCAATTTATGTTGAATCTCGAACGATTGAATTTGCTAAGTCATATGAAGAAAGCAGCAACACGACGCCGATTTTCTTCATCTTATCACCTGGTGTTGATCCATTGAAAGATGTTGAGAAGGTTGGAAAGAAACTTAAATTTTCTGAAGATTATGGAAATTTCCATAATGTGTCACTTGGTCAAGGTCAGGAGATTGTGGCTGAGAATGCAATTGACGTTGCTTCACGTCGTGGTCATTGGGTGATTCTTCAGGTAAGCTTCACGAAATGTCCAATGAAAATGTTTAATTAAATTCGTTCACAGAACATTCATCTCGTGTCAAAATGGTTGTCAACGTTGGAGAAGAAAATGGAATCAACACTTGATGATTCACATGAAAATTATCGTTTGTTTGTCAGTGCTGAACCTGCAGAAGCAGCTGAATATCACATCATACCTCAAGGTATCTTAGAATCAGCGATAAAAATAACTAATGAACCACCAACTGGAATGCAGGCAAACATGCGTAAAGCACTTGACAACTTCAATCAAGAAACATTGGAAATGTGCTCGAAGGAATCGGAATTCAAAGCTGTTTTGTTCGCACTTTGCTTCTTCCACGCAGTTGTAGCTGAACGAAGGAAGTTCGGCCCTCAAGGATGGAATCGAAACTATCCGTTCAATGTCGGTGACTTAACCATCAGCGTTTATGTTTTGTACAATTATTTGGAAGCAAACAGTAAAGTTCCGTGGGAAGATTTGAGATATTTGTTTGGTGAAATCATGTACGGTGGTCACATAACTGATGATTGGGATCGACGATTGTGTAGAACATACCTGGAAGAAACGATGATTCATGAACTTGTTGATGGCGATTTGAGCTTTTGCACGGGCTTTCCAGCTCCACCCAATCTTGATTTTATTGGCTATCACACTTATATCGATGAATTTATGCCACCCGAGTCGCCAGCACTTTACGGACTTCATCCGAATGCTGAAATTGGATTTTTGACGACAGTCGCTGAAAACCTTTTCAAGACAATATTCGAGCTTCAACCGAGAGATTCTGGTGGTGGTGGCAGCGGTGGAGTTGCAAGTTCTCGCGAGGAAATTGTTCGAGCGTTAGTCGATGATTTATACGACAAGTTACCAGAAGAGTTTATCATGATGGAATTGTATGGCAGAACAGAAGATCGTTCACCTTACGTTCTTGTCGCATTTCAAGAGTGCGAAAGGATGAACATGCTCGTGTCAGAATTGAAAAGATCATTAAAAGAACTTCGATCTGGCTTGAAAGGTGAATTGACAATTTCATCAGACATGGAAGCGTTGATGGCTGCAATTTTCTTTGATAAAATTCCTGATTCATGGGCGAAACGAGCTTATCCAAGTCTTCTAGGACTTCAATCGTGGTTTGCTGATTTGATGATACGATCGAAGGAACTTGAGAATTGGGCAACTGACTTTGTGTTGCCACCAACCATTTGGCTGTCTGGCTTCTTTAATCCACAATCTTTTCTCACCGCAATCATGCAACAAACCGCTAGAAAGAATGAATGGCCACTTGACAAGATGTGTTTGAATTGTGACGTGACATCAAAGCAACGAGATGACTTTCAAGGTCCACCAAAGGAAGGTGCTTACATCAGTGGAATCTTCATGGAAGGAGCTCGTTGGGATACCAAACTTGGTTCCATCACTTCTTCTCGACTTAAGGAACTCTTCCCACAAATGCCAGTCATTTACATCAAAGCTGTTACTCAAGACAAGCAAGATACGAGAAATATTTACGAATGTCCATTATACAAGACTCGTGCACGTGGTCCAACATTTGTTTGGACATTTAATCTAAAAACAAAACAAAAAGCTGCAAAATGGACACTTGGAGGTGTTGCACTGTTGTTACAAGTTTAAAATGAAATATTTATTGGAAATATTTGTGAAAAGTTTTTTTTGTGAGGAAATAAAATAAATTTAATGTGTGTTGAATGTAAGATTTGTGTTTGAGGATAAGGAAAAGTTTTTATCACTCCCTTGTGAGTGTTCACGATAAGAACTTCCACGTTGTGTTGATTTCAGGTAAAATTTGATGATATTTTCAATCCATTCGATGATTTGTTTGTAATATTTATAGAAGAAACTGAAAAAAATTTCTGGCGTTGCATTTTTTATAACGATGATAAACAATTAAAAAATGTGAAGTTGAGTCAACGAAATTTATTTTCCCATTTTAATCAAATCGCAAATTTTTTAAATCTCTTGTTTCTCAAGTGAAATCTGCCAAAGACGCATTTTGTTTAAGAGGCGTCTTTCTCGTATAATATTGGAAACGGATTCTTCACCTGAAGCCAGTTTTCTGGTGACCATTTGGTGTCCTTTGTTTCAACAACATGGAAAGTGAAAGCAGTTCGAGATTTGTCTGTCGTATTCTGCTTGCTTCCATGAAGAACTTGATTATGTATCAGCACAAGCGATCCTACAAACAAAACATGATTTTATTTCGAAAATGTTGAATTTAGAAAACAAAGCAAACCTTTCTTGACAGGACATGGGATCATGCTTGACTTCTGGTAAGTTGGCAAAGATCTGTCGAAAATTAAAAGTTCATTTGATGTCTCGTCGGGATTTCTGATGAATCTTCTATGAATGCCAGTTTTATGAGACCCGCTGATAAAGTGCAAGCATCCATTTTCAATTGTTGCATCCTAAAATCGAAGAAAATCAACAATGAATACTTAAATTTCATTTAATATTATAAAATAAACCTCAAGTGCAATCCATAATCCTACAGCCGATTGTGGTTCAGTTTGTAAAAATGTTCCGTCTTGATGTGGCAATATTTCACCACCCACACCAGGATTCTTAAATATTATCATGCTCTGAGCAACTGCTGGCCGTTGATATCCCAATTGCCATAGCACTTCTCTCACTCTATTGTCGAAAGTGTATCGTTTGAAGGCATCGTTCACAACACTTAAAGCATGACCAACACGATTCAAGGCAAACTCTTCCGGTACTATAAGTTCGTTCTTCTCGTTGAATGCATCAGCTCTAAAAAAATAACTCAATATTTCGGCTGAATCAATCTGGAACTGGTCACGTTTCTAAAAATAAGGAAATCGGATATAAGAAAATTCGTAAAAACTGCTTTTCATCATCTAACACCCACTCGAGTTAATTGCGGATCAGTTACGCTGAAAACCACTCGATCTTCCTTCGGTGCATGACTTATGATCTTTTTAGCTTCTTTTAGCATATGATAAACCTCAGGTGGAGAATAGAAATCTTCGATAACAGCAAATCCATCTCGTTGAAACTAAATTTAATTAAATATTTCAATATTATTTGTGTTTATAATGCACATAAAATATTTTTAAATATGATAAGTCGAAGGGAAACGTTTAAGTGAGTGGGAACACTTGTTTATTTGACTCTTGATGAGGCATTCCAAACTTATTACCGCTTCAAAAATTTCACTGTTTATTGCTGTCATCTTTCTTTAATAAATTGTAAATTTGTAACAAAAATCCGAATCACTTGTCTTATAATGATAGTCTTTATCAAGAAATAATCTTCAATAAATTATCTAATAAATTTAAATTTGTTCAAGTAAACTGTATCAACTTTAAAACACAACTGATGCTCTGTTTGCATTCATTGCTCGTAGATATTTTTTTCCTTCTCTTTTCTGAAACATTTTTCACATACACTGACAACATATCCATTCACACATTAAAGAAATGGACAAATATTCGTCACAAATAGATGAAAAAGAAACAAGAAAACGAGACTGAGAGAGGAAGAAAAGAGATGGAAAATTTCTGGAAACGTTTTAAAACTTATTTTATTTACATCATTATCTGAAAATAGAAGAAAAACATTTTTCATGAAAAAATATTAAAATTAAATAAATTATTTATTTTTTCAGGTAGGTGGTTGTAACTTACTTACTTCTGTTGGCATTAGCTGTGTTGTATGAAAAATTGTGAATCATTTTAAATGAAATGAAAATATTATTAATGCTATTAAATATTATTAGCTAGTTAAAAGACACATTCGTCAATATCACACTAAAAACGTTGGTGTAACATGGTCACTTGATTACTCACACTCAGTAATTAGCAGCATGATGCTTTGTTAAACGATAAATGTTTCACATTACGTTTATAAATTGTCTTGATATTCTAAAGCAACACATAAAGAAACGAATCTATTTAATTAGTTATACTGTCAACAAAGGAAGGAAAGCTAAATATTTTTAAATTTACGTATCTAAGTGTCATTAATTTCATAGGTAACAAGAGCATGAAAAGATTTGATTATGTTGAAAAATATGCTTCGTTTCATAATTTAATAAAAATCGATAACATTTGCTATGTTTGGGATTTCATAAATATTTACTATTCTTTTTCAAAATAGTAATAAAGAAATTTAAATAAAACATCAACTATCATTGATATTTGCATAAATTATCTAAAAAAAATATCAAATTCTCACGAGAAGTTTTTACACATCATTACAGGAATCAGATGTTTTCTAAGCTGGTGTTAAATTTGATTTGAGAGAAACAAGTGTGTTAGTTTTGCTTGATATTCATGAAAATGATATTTTGGTGCTGCCAAATTTGTAAATAAAAGTTTAATTTAATTAAACAATAATATAAAATAAATTTTATAAAATGCTGCAAAGATTATTGGCAATAATCGTTGGAATATTTTTGATGTCTTCAATAAATTCATCAAGTGCTGCAAATATTTTGGCAATTTTTCCAACACCTTCAATTAGTCATCAAGTTGTTTTTCGAGCAATTACCGATGAACTCGAAAATCGTGGTCACACATTAACAATTGTTTCGACGGATCCAGAAAGGTTAGGTAGACGACATCCAAATACAACTGAAATTGATATGCACTTCACTTACGAATTTTATAAACGTGAATTTAATTTTGTGAAGGTGAAGGAAGCGAAATTGGACGAGTTGGGAATGATAGACAGTTGGTACCCCCTAATAGAGCCAATGTACAGTGAACAGTTTGAACATCCTGAGATTCAGAAGCTCATACAAAGTCGGGGAAAAGTTAAATACGATGCAGTTATTGTGGAGTTTATGTTCTTTTATCCGTGGTATGCTATGGCAGAGTGGTTTGATGCGCCTTTGATAGGAATGACATCTTTCGACACATTTACAGAAAATCATGAAAGTTTTGGAAATTTTGCGAATCCAATCGCTCATCCGGAAATTTATTTTCCTTTCATAGAAAATTTAACGTTTAAACAACGATATCTTTCATTACGTTATTACTTCTGGTACAATTATTATTACACTCCAAAGTTTCAAAAAATTGTAGAAAAACTTATAAATCGTTATCTTCCTGGTACTACAACTTCACTTGTTGAACTACGTAATAAAGCAGAACTTCTCATGACAAACACTCATCCTGCATTGGGCTTCATTCGTCCCATCGTTCCAACAACAATCCAACTTGGATTCTTACATATCAAACCTCCAAAACCGATAACAGATTTAACGATTAGGAATTATTTGGACAATTCAGATAAACCAATAATTTATATGAGTTTGGGATCAAACGTGAGATCATCGGAAGTTAATCAGAAATTTGTAAATATTTTTTTGAATGTTTTCAAATTTCTTCCTTATAATATTTTGTGGAAATGGGAAACTGATGATATGAAAAATAAGCCAAATAATGTTTTCATACATAAATGGTTACCGCAAGCTGATCTATTAGCTCATCCTAACATTAAATTATTTATCATGCAAGGTGGTCAACAGAGCTTAGAAGAAGCAATTGACAGAGGAATTCCACTAATTGTGATTCCATTTCTTGGTGATCAAAGTGCAAATGCACAAAGAGTGGAAAAGTTAAAGATTGGTCTTCATTTAGATCTTCATAGTTTAAATGAGAAAATACTGAAAGAAACGATTGATGAAGTGATTTCTGGAGATTACAGGAAAAACATTTTAAATCTCCGAGATATTGTTCATGATCAACCAATGAAACCTGTGGATAAAGCAGTTTGGTGGATCGAATATTTCATTCGTCATAAGGGAATGGAACACTTGAACTATACTGGGAAAAATGTTCCATTTTATCAACTTTACATGCTTGACTTTTTGGCAATTACGCTGTTGGGATCATTTCTGATGTTTAAGATAATTTCCAAGATGCTTAAAATTGTCTTTTCATATCGGAAAAATAAATTAGAATAAATTCATCAAACTATATTAATACTTAACTCACTATTTGAGGATGTTTTTCTATGCAACATAAATATTTCCGTTAACAACATAGATTTTGAAAATCGAAGATTGTACGGTTTTGAAGCACGTTCAAAGGAAACGTTAGGATTTTGTTTCTGCAAAGTAAATTAAATCGACGCTTCCCTTTTAAAAAATATTTTTTTCCTGAAGGAAAATAACAAAGAAATAATTTTTTAATAGCATAGTTGAGTAATGAATATCGGAAAATATGAAAATGTTCTTAAAAAAATTTCTTAATTTTGTTCCTGAAATTGTTCTTTTGAAATTTTTTATTCATACAAATTTTATGTTTTTAAATAAAAACTCTCAGTAAGTTATGTTGATTGACATTTCTAACTGCAAAATATTGACATTTGTCCTTTAATTGTTTATTAAATTAATCATTCCTCAAAGTTTTCTCATATTTATAGGACAGTTCAACCATGTATATCTCTTCATAATAGTCGTTAAGCATGTTTTCTAATTTAGAAGGTGAAGAAGATACTTATTAGCATCTGAAACTTCCTTTCGTACTAAGTACGGATGTTTTTCTGTTAGATAATACAATTTGCAATATTAAAGGTCATAGTTGGCCTTGAGCCATAACAATAGAATAGGATCCGGAACGAAAATAAAATCAAAATAAAGCTTTCTTCTTCGGCCAAGTGACGAAATCCTCTTGACGGCTCAGATTTCCAAGTTTCCTTATCTTTTCATCTTCTGACACATTGAGAGCATGCCACTTGAATGTGAATGCCACTCAGCATTTAGTCCCCTTTCTTGATGCTTTGTATCGTGTTTAATGTCAACGCATTGTAGTTAAATTTAAGAGAAACCATTTATCTTCTTATTTCATTTGGCGTGAAAGTGATGATACTGATAAGAAGTTAAGACGTTAAAGAAAAATAGAAGCGCAACTATTTGAAAAGGAAATCTGTTGAGTTGACTGTTTACATTCTTATCGCTATATGACAGTGACAATTATTCCAGCAAGTTAAAGTAAATGCGACACATAGACTCATTAAACCGTAATTTTCTCAGCATCTTCTTTTGACAACAAGAGCTAAATGACAAGGCGTTAATTAAATCAAGAAGCGTCTCAATTGTTCTTTTGTTGTTTATTGCGATATCTTTTTTTAATCTTCTTACAATTCAGCCATCAAAAGATTATGTCAGCTCTCATTAGAAGCTTTCAAATTGAAACAAATAAAATGAGACATTGCCGATGGAAATTCCCAGCAAAATGTAAAAGAAAAAAATCACAGACTCGAGTTTAGGTTTTCTCGTTTGGGGGAAGAATATTCAATTACATTTTGTATGATGCATGTGCTTCATGCATTATGGAACTTTTTTTGTATTTTATTTTGGAAAAAGCTTCATGATTCAACTGATATTATAATCCAATTCTCGTTTCAACATGAAAAATGAATATTCTTCACGTTTGCAGCTTTAATCTTAAACTGATTTTTGTTTCCCTCTGAAGCTTTGAAAAGTCTCGAGGCAATTTCTGATTTCCTTTCTGGTTTTCTATTTTTCATAAAACACGTTCTTACACGACTTCCGTACAATCCCATCATTCTGAATACTGAAATTTATTATTTTTCCTCGTTATTTGCATTGTGCTTGCATTCTTGAACACATGTTCAAGAAAAATAAAGATCGTGTGATGTATGAAGCAAAAATCCCATAAATAAAAATGATTTTGGCTTTAGTGAAGCGATTTATATCATGTAAGCTTTTTAAATGTTACTTTTATATTTAAATATCACCATGGTGACTTTCATCAGCTAGATAAATAAAATCATGAAAGAACATTAAAAATGAATAAAGATTTTCAGTCTATAGCGATACTTTATGTTTCTTTTATTTATTTTCCTTGACTCTTAACGTTTACAGTTGTTTAAAAATTTTAAACATTCACGCTCTGTAAGCATATTAACATAATTAATGGCTTGAGTGAAGAGCATGTTTAATGAAGATAAAAGTAGCATCCTACCGACTTGTAACTAACTTGTAAAGATACTTGTTACATGATGAAAAATCGAATAAATAATTTCAATGTAAAATGTTGTCTCACTTTCTGCAAAAAGCGGTATGAGAAACTTTCACTTTCTTCTTCCTTTCTCTTAGAATATTGTTTTCACAAACTGTTGAAGATAATAGACAAAAACATAATATATAAAAAGATTTATTAATATCATAAACATTACAAGTATTACAATTGAAAAAATAAGATGTGACATAGATTGATTCCACATAATAGTTCGAGATATTTATCTATCAAATCTATTTTTATATCAATTTGTTAGATGAAAAAGTTGTTAATCACTTTTCCTTGGAAACTAGCTGATACTTCCGAATGAAATATATCGAAACAAATTTTAACATGAGCTGACAAACTTTGCGGAAAATCTACATCCGTCTGTCTCAGTCCCTCCATTGTACCCGTCCAATTCAATTTTTCTTTTGTTCCGTACAATGATAAATTACATTGCATAAATTTTTGTTGCTTTTAGTGTTTGGAAGAGGAAAAAACTAAGAAGCGTTTAAATCATTAAGTGAATGTTGATGATGAATCATGAGTTGGCAAGTTGGATGGAATTTTGGAAGCCTAACGTCAATGGGAATTTAATTTTTTGATAGTAAATTTGATTATGAAACTTTCTCTTAGTTGCTAGCAATGGAAAGGTTGAAAACTTTTGACATTACAGCTCCATTTCTTAAATTAAAAATATGCAAAACTTCCTCTAGGGATAGGATTGAAGCTATAACTTGAAAAAGGTCCTTAATAATGTCAGTTTATTTCTTTCGAACAATAAGCGTTTCAACATGATTAATGGCTCTTGTTCACTTTTTTGAATATAATTTTTCTTTCTTCGTTGTATTTCTCGATTTCCGATTATATGTTTTCTTCCTTCTCTCTTTCGTGCATCGACGCTTTATTTAGATGCAAATGATTAGCTTTAGACTTAAGTCTTGAAAGTTAAATGGAATTTGAATATCAAATTTGATTCCACGCCAGCGTTCATGATTTTGATGTTTGCAAATTTGATGGTCTCGTTCAATCTCAATTTATCATTCAAACGGAAATATCACGAGACTGAAATATTTTATAAAGATTATTTTCATTAGAAATGTTTTTCAAAACCACATTTGAATTCATTGTTAGTTGCCGAAATATTCTTACGCATGTCAAACGAAATCGATAAAGATTTTGATTTATTCTCGGGACGTATGATATGATTGTTTGAAATCTCAATTTATGTTTATTTCCTTTCATGAAGGCAAATAAAAAATTATTTTAATTTTTATTTTCGAATTGAACTAATTGCCAATTTAAATAATAAGAACGAAGCATTCGTCAAGTAGCTTTATTATCCTAAATTTTTTAAATTATTTCACTTCATTTGCTTATTTCTGTCATGCCGCAGTGACTTTTGAGTAACCATCATGAATCATTGCTAATGATATTTCAATATCTACTCATACCTAACATCAATCAGAAATACTTTCATTGTCTCCATCATTAAGATCTGTTTTTATACTTTCTGAAATTTGAGATCAATTTGAAAATGTTGAAATAGTAACAATGACAACAAAGTGGAAAATAATTCTTTTGAACAATTTTACAAAGTAGAAAACAAATGAAAAGCGATTACAAGGGATATAAAAGCACAATTGCTTACAAAAGAAAAGCATAATGAAAACATAAAAACATAAAACGAGACAATAGAATCAAGTGCAATAAACGTCTAGAATTGCACTTCTTTAAAGTAATCTGATGTCATTTGTGGAATCTACAAGTCAGAGATAAATATTTTTACGATTGAAGAAGGAAAACTTCTTGAGATGCTCTATGAAAGAAGAAACGAATGAAAAAGTAAAAGGAAATACGCAAAAGATCATCACAATTCATTTCATCCGGACCTTAAAAGCTTTTTATGCTTTTGGAAGTGCTAAAATATTTATGTTATACTGTTAGGTTTACAGTCAGTCATGCCTTAAATGAATTTTCATTTCATTCGCTTGAGTTGATTTTTAACGAACATTTTTTATATGTTTCTTTAATTCTACATTTATTTCTCTCAATGATATGGTCAACCATTCTCACTAATGTCATGCTTTTACTTTTTATCGTCTTTACGACAACAACTTTTTTAATTATGTCTGTTTCAAGTGACTTTACTACTTCGAACTTTGGCAATTTCATGACATCCTAAAATTGATAATAAATTCAACATTAAAATATTTATGAAACTAGAATTACCTTACGAACTAATATGATTTGTTAATTGAATAAATTTTAACTCAACATTGATATTAAAATTATAAATATTTACACACATAAGCATTTCAAACTTTATTCATTTAGTCACAAAAATAAAATCCTAACATTTTAAATTTCTGTTATAAAAACACCGACATAAAAGCTTTATTAGGTGATTCAAACGCATAAATTATTTTAATAAATCTTAAAGCCATGGAGAAAACAGACGAAAGTTTAGTTACAACCGCACAAAAACGTTTCATTCTGATCTAGTCTTAAAGCCAAAAAAGCTGCCTGAATCTCCTCGTCTATTAAATTTAATTTTGTTATGTCTCTTTTTATACAACAGGCTGCAATATCCTAAATACCACAATTTGAATACCATTTATTTTTCGACTTTATTGCTTACAAGTTAGGCCGCTTCTGACATCGTCAAGGGAAAAGTTTCACGTCCAAATTATTATTTTTCAAACGCAACTCAAAAGAGAGACGAACATCACAACACAATTTGCTGGAAAAGCTCTCGAAATTTGTTGTTTGTTTAGCAAGGAATTCCTGCACGAACTATCTTAATTTTCTGAAATTGAATTAAGAGACTATGTGAGGTACTTTCAAGGGACTTACGAGTTACGAGTTACGACAAACATGAAGGGAGAAAGAAGAGGAAAAAAACACAACAAACCGAATGAGTTCGCAGCTAAATACTTGCAGAAGAATGAAACAAAGAGAATAACTGGTCGGAGAAAGCATAAGAAACTTCTTAAAATTCTTTTGGCTTCTGCCAATTTACTATAATGTCTTCTGGCAGTTTTAAGTTCCATTCCTAGCTTAAACAAGTCATTTCATTCTGTTGCCATTTTTATTCTTTATTTTTTGAAATGAATACGAGTAAGAGCAAAAAAAAACTTCTCAGCACTTGACATAAGTTTCAAGTGGTGAACGAGGAAGTTCTCTTTAAGCGAGAAATTTAATTTTGAAACAACACTTATCGATGTCTTAAGCCAGACCAAATGTGTCACAAAGTTGTGGTGTTGTGTATGAAGAAGCTCAGCTCATCTTCCGAATACCCAAGTGCTGTGATGTGGAGAAGCGTCCCTCACATTTACAGCCTCTTACAAGAAGGAAATGTTTGTAGCTTCTATGCAAATTCTTGATTTTATGAGGCAGCCTCTCTTCTGGAAACGAAACCCATTTAACTCAGCGTACAAACATAAAGGTTTTCAATTTAAATATCTTGAAAATTAAGAGGGCGTTATTGCCCCGCAAGAGGCCGATTATAATTTGCTTTTTATTGCGGTTGCATGGGCTAAAGCGAAAGTATGTTCTTCTTACGTAAGCTTAAATTTAATATTCATTCTTCGTTCGCAGCAACCCGTAAGTGTTTTAAATGTTATTCAACTAGGCTTGTAAATTTCTCTACAAGAAAGGTTTATTCGTTTTCTATATTTTTTGCTAACAAAGATCAACTTTTGGTAGCCATCGAAGAGCTCAGAAACAAATGAATATGTGTACAGTAACTAAGGCATAAAGTAAACAATCCTTAAGTTTTAGGATCCTTGACTTTCGTTCAAATTTGGTGAGGTCGTGTTTGAAGCACAGCAGTAGAAATCTATAAAAACAATTGTAATTAGAAAAGAGTTTCTTTATGTTAACATTTCATGAGTCTCCTTGAATTTATTATAACAATAAAAATCAATGAAAGATAACAAAATATCTGTAGAGTGTATGTGTACTTAAAACTAACTTTAGACAAAGAATAATAACACAACATTTCTTGAATATATTTATAAATATTCGAATACTAGATAGATTGAAATTAATTTGAATAAGTTTCATTGTTTTCGTAGAAAGCATGTTGAGGTTTGCTTGCAATCACACGAAGCCAGAAGTGAAGTGCGAAAATAGAAAATGTTCAAGGTTTGTAAATTACGGAAGCATATTATGCTCCATTAATAAAACATAACTGTAACCGAGCACGTAGGAGTGGGATGAAGGAAAGAAAAAAGCTTTATCTTTCATCACCTAAGCAGAGCAGCAGTCCAACTTAAGAAAGGGAAGTAGAAAGGTCTTAATCTGTATCCGTTCTCGACGGCTTAAGGATAGAAGTTGAATAAACTTAAAGTGTTTCGTTTCTCACCTTTCCATATTATCTCCTTCAAATATTAAAATACATACAGAAAGGGTTTCAGAGTAATTTCCTTTAAGGTTTTGTTCGTAACGAACGTCTTTCTATCTCTCACTTGAATAGTTGATTACGAGCCTTCAAAATATTTATTCGTAATCGTGGTTGAATTAAAATGTGGAATCTACAAATGAACGTAGTCGAGTGATGTCTCGTCTGATTTTAAATTAAATTTTCATGTACAACAAACCAGTAAGGATGAAATGAGATTGTAAATATTTCACCATTCACTGAATAAGACAAATAAACAAGCCGCCTTTTTGATGTCTTCAAATCTGCTTTATTTAATTTCTCCTTCCTAAAAGTTCCATCTAAAAAAAGAACTCGACTTGAACTCGGAGACTTAAAGTAGATCCACATTGAGAGTATTTCCTTGTTTAAAAATTTGAATGAAGTCCCTTGATATTTTTTTGACAACTGTCAGGGAAAGGCGTTTAATAAAATACCAGTGCAGTCACTTAGGAAATAAAAATAAAGACTTTAGAATGTCAGTCATGAAATAGCTTGGAAAATATTTGAATAGGCAAGCAAATTTACTTTATCACTGTGGTTAAAATTCTTTATTTTCCTTTAACACTTCATCCATAGCTGAGTTTGAAGCACGAAAAGGGCAAAAATTGCGTATAATCAGATCATAAATATAACATAAAACTTTATGATTGTTGATGCTGGAAAAAGTGTTCGCTTTCAATAGAAATTTGATCAAAAGAAGAAAATGGAAAACGGAGAAGATTAGAGAATTGGCATGTAATCAAAGCTTACCAAAAAAAAAAACTAGAATAATAAAAATGAAATAATAACAATCAAATTTAGAAGGAAAGCAGATGTTACATTTACTGATTTTGATTCCATTTCATTGTGTCCAGGGTTGATGATAGGAAATATTCTGAAAATATTTGACATTGACAGTTCTTTGGTCTGTTCGAATTTATCCAAATCAATGCTTGAGCATCAATTGATTGACACATAAGTCAATCAGTGTTGACAAAGATTTCGACATTTGACAACTCTCTCAGATATCAAAAGCTTTCAATTGATCCTAAAGCGCTTTGAATTCCTATTGTCATCTGCTTCACGTTTCTGATCATTTTAAAGGCGATATCGTTTGCCACACTCGTTGTTTCTACTTTACGTATCTAGAAGATTAGAGTCGGAACCATTTTTATCAAAGAAATAATGTAAATGTCACACATTTTTTAACTTATGGTTTGAGTATGATACAGAATATTTTTCTTTTCATTTCTTTTCTCGCCTGTTTATCTAGATAATTTCGCATTACACTTCTTCTTGCGAGTTTTTCTTGCATGAATTGAGAGAAGCGTTCGTAAGATAAATTTATTTTACAGTCTGTAAGGATATTGTAAGATGAGATACGAGATACGTTTCTCCTCTCTTTGCTTGATGATGCTGTCTTTATGAATGAGCTTTTTCAATTTAAGTCTGATGACTCCTACTTAAATATTTCCTGGGAAAAGTGAAAAACCGGAGGTGAAAATTATGTTTTTTCGAGGGATCATCAGAAAAAGTATTAAATCGATGAAATTTTATTATTCTTATCAAGTAACATTGTCGACTTCCTTCCAACACAGCTCCCAACTTATTCAACATTCCGTTCAATCAAGTCGCTCTGTCTGTTCTCGAAGGGTTTTGACAACATTTTATTATCCCGTCCCTGAGTCAAATTGATTTACCTTTGGGGATGTTCAATTGACTGCTTTTTTCCCCATAAATAGCAGTTTGTTAACAAGTGTTAAAAGATTGATGTTTATTAGATTACATCTAAGAATTCTTTTTGTCTCTGATTCAGTGAAATTTTAAAAATTTATAACATTAAGGAACTTTGAACTTTTTGCTTTGTAGTGTTGACTTTCATTTTTCTTCTTTTTTTTTTCTATTTACGTATGTATGACATTAACTCAATTTTCATCCCCCAAACCTTGAGTCTTTTAAGAATTTTTAATCATCATGTGGAAAAAAATGATTGAAAAGTGGAAAAATGTCGCAGCCTACATGGAAATGTTTACAAAGCTTTTAGAAAATTTTTATGCTTCAACCAATTTATTTACTTTACTTTTGTTCTAAGCTTTCTTTGACTTCTCGTCTTTGTTTATTTCCTTCTTTTTATTGCCATAAAGATTTCAATTAGGATTGTAAGACTTCTCTTTGTGATAGTTCCACCTAGTGAAGAATAACTTACCGGACATGAAGAAATTGGTGTAGATATAAAGTACAATATATATGTTGACATCTATCATAAAAAGAGGATTACAACTCTTGATCGAAATCTCGAAGTGTTGCGAACAGAATAATAAATTAATTTTTTATCGTCTCATTTATCGTGTAGTTTATGTTGCGCTATAATACGAGACATTATATATCTATTAGGTACTTTTGGTGAACATCTCCATTGCATGAGTGTTATAAAGACAGGAAAGTATGACGACACGTCACATTCAAACAGAGAGAGAGACATTGATTGCAAAATCCTATGTTATTTATTTAAGTGTTCCTTCCGGACTTGTGTAAGATTAAAAACTGTTTCTTATTGAATGAATCTTAAACAAAATTTTCTCCTGCTCGGTCCGACAATTTGATGGGATACTTACTGGATTTTACAGTGAAGGATGAAGTTCGATGTTATGTCGGCACTTGGGAAAATCAAATCCTTCCATAAAAAGATGAAATGGAATTCAAAAACGACTACACTTTTGTGGTGAATGAGAAAGTTTTGTCAAACATTTTTTGGTGAAAAATTGAAACATTTACGAAAATATTTTTTATAAAAAAAATTGTGCAATAAAGAAAAATGATTAAAGTGAGTCATTTTTTGAAGTAATATCTAAACAACCCCCATTGATCTTCACGCTTCAATGAGAAAATGGAGCAGAATGAAAAGGAGTGTAAGATAAAAATCGTTGGGATTGATTTTGGGTTAGAAGTCTTGATTTGTTGTTCAACATTGAATCGAATTTTTCTTTTAAATTTTCCATATTGCGATCTTGATTGTGTGTGAAAGTATAGATTTGTAAGCATTTTATTTCTAGTGATCTGAATATTTTTCCCTTTTAGTTTTCCTATATTTATAGTAGAAATGTGAAATGTGAGTGGGTTGAAACGAACATATCGGAACGTTTTTCAAGATTTTTCTCTCTTCTAGATTTCATTACGAATGGTTGCAAAGAAATGAAATTTCTTTTATGTTTCCAAAAGAATGAATATTGAAGCTTTTTGTCTTTGTAAACAGCTTTTTGTATCGAAGAATCATTTAGACTCTTGAAACAGATACAAGAAGTAAAGTTGTGTCGTATTTACAAAGTTTTTTGCATTCATTTATGTATTTTATTTTTACCATAAACATAAGAATTTAATTGGTTTGGATTATCTCAGTTTATCATCGTTTTTTTATTTTAAAACTGATCTTAAACTGCTTCATTACATGCATGAACATTCAGACACGTTTCATTTACAAATGATGATTTATGAGCGTAGTTACGCAAAAAAGGTTTTCAAATTAAAAAATTAATGAATTCAGAAATGTCTAAACTTTTAAATATGTAGACTTCAACTCATTTGGAATTAATCAAAATACTGAAAAGTCATTAGAAAGAATTGCTTGTAAAAACTTCTATTCAATTGTTTCTAATTTCTTCCTTTTTAAACTTTTCCTTCTCTAATGCAGCATTGACAATTTAAAATCAAAGAATGACAACTGATTATTCAATTAAAAATATTCAAAAGTCTAACATGAAATTGCACAAGTTTTAATAACGTGTTCAAACATTGGAATACAGCAAAGAAAATTGAATTTGTTGAAGTGTAGACAATTGAAAAGTTTACTCATAACAAGAAATTTGAAGACTGAAGAAACAAAAACAAAACATCTTCAAAACACTCAGAAATGTTTTTCCGAACATGAATAAGAATAAGATGCCGAGAACTCATTATACAGAGATTGAATCGTATGAATTATTTAAAGCTGTTTTGATTCAAAACACTTTACTCTGTGGTTACGTCGTCTAAACCAGTAAAGTCAAATAAATTTTGTATGCTGGTTGGTTTACATTCGAGTTTACATTTTTTGTCGTTAAAAGGAGTGAAAAGTGAGAATAAATTTCAAGAAAATTTTCAATAGAAATAAAAAAATTCTTTGTTTGTAATTAATGAAATGTTTTCCTTGGAATAATTACTGGAGTAATTAATTAACTTATTCGTGATGTTAAATAAAGCTTCTTGTTAAAAAACGATTAATTGATTCAGTAAGAATTTTTTTATTCACCACCTGGGTTCAATTAATATGAAAAAAATTCAATGAAAATCGTAATTTGAAAAAAATTGAAACTCAGAATGACAAAATTTCAGGTTTTTGGATCAATACCAAAAATATTTCTTTCCAAGCACATGGGAACAAATTGCCTTTCTAATGGGATTTGATTTAAAATTTAAAGAGAAAAATTGAATCAAATCGATGTCACGTCTCTATTCAAAATCAGAAGTTCGTGGATTTTTTGTATCCTACTAAGAAATTTTCCATTTCAAAAGTGTTTGAAGAAGAAAGAAACAAATAAAAATTTTCATAATTCTGTTTCGAAGCGTGCTTTCCGCTTTTCACTCATTAATAATTACAGCACACTTCCCTTTAAATGATTAATTCTACTACTAAGTGCATCGTTTGTTTTCTGCGAAAGATGTGAAATGTTTTACATAATAGTGATGATATGAAGATTACAAGCTTCATCCGAAATTTCGTGACTCATCAGTATTCGAATTCATTATTTCTACATGCTTTGAATATTTATTTCCACGCTCCTTTCCCTTTAAAGCATTTCTTTTCGTAAATAATGAAGTTTGAAATCTAAATATTGTTTGATAAAATTGTTTCACTTTTAGAAATTATTATAATTTGTTTATTATGAATTACGTGGGTTTCTTATTTCATCGCTAAATATCCAAATTAATTCTCAATTTTTAGAAACCTTATCGATGTAAATGGATTTGTTATGGTGCGTTCCAGACGATAATTCTATTTACTGCTTATTGCTAATGAAGAGAGGAAAGTTTGGAGGTTTTCTGGAGAACAAATAAATTATTTAGACAGACCTTTGGTGTCATTACAACAAATGCAAAGTTCCCTTTTGTTCACTCATGCTTTCGGTTCTCGCTGTTCAATGAAAGCTTGAGAAAACTTATGAAAACCAGAGTTGGGATTTGACTGACTGACTGACAGACATTGACTTGTCAGTCTGTCAGTCAAACGACTTGAGCGGAACATTTATATGAACGTGTCCCAACAAACGAATATTTTTGTTCGCGATTTTGACTGACTGACTGACTGACTGACAGACATTGACATGTCAGTCAGTCAGTCAATCGAGTTGAACGGAACATTTGCCCATCTCTGATGAAAACTTTAAATGAATGATTACATTATTATTATCGTATTAATAGACGCCGCAACAACATAAGAAGCTTTCTTTATTCCAACAAAGTACGATAATCTTATTAAACACCGCTCTATTCCTGCCACATACCAGGGAAAAAATTAATTTCATACTTAATGAACTTTATAGCAAAATAATGTAATTTATGATTTAAAATGTTTAGAGTTCCTCCAACTAAAAAAATTAATATAATTCACGATCGTGCTTACATTTAGTTGAACCTTACAAAATTGAATTCCTTCCGATTGCACAAAACTTTTCTCATCCTTTTTTATCTACGAGTTTGTTGCTGCAAAAGCGAATTAGTATGCGAAGTTTGTTGTGTCTTTCTACGTTTATGTCTTCGTTAGGAGTTTACAAAGGGTATGAAAGGTCGAAGTGTTGAGGATTTGATTCTCGATTATTTAATTTATTCAAAATAAAACTTTCATGTTTGCAAAGAAAATTAAAAAAGAAAATTTTTTTTCTTTCTTTCTTCTTAACCAGGACAAATTCTGATAGTTTGGAATACGTAATTTGAGTTTTTTTAAAATTCATATTCAATTCGATGATTCCCATTTATGAATTCAGGGTGGATAGTTAGTTAGCTTGAATCGTTGTCAGACACTCCACGTTGAATGCATTTTGACTTTTTTGCCTTTCCTACAACTTGTTGAAATCTGGAAACAAATGAAAGATTCGAAACATTTTTTTCGTTCTCCGCTTCCCTTTTCTACTTTTGTTCAAAGCAATAATTCATAAGTTTTTATTCGCTAACATTATGAATTGGCTAGAAAGGAAAAAATGCTTGAAATCCGAAAGCGGAAACATTGGTTTACCCACAGGGCTTTCCTAAAAAAACTTCATTAGGACTTCCTAACTGAATAAATGGCTTTTAAACATTAAGAACAAAGAGAAAGAAGGGAAAGAGACGAGGAATCGAGGTTACCTTAATTTATGATTGTACCTGAGAAATTGTGATTCAACATAACTTTTACGACACAAATCATGAAGTTTTTAAGCGATGATAAAAAAGAAAATTGTTTCACGGGTGAGCGAAACAAGAGAAGTTCGACATGAGAAACGTAGAAATACTTCATTACAACGCTCATGAAATGATATTTGAAATATGCTTGGAACGTGATGGTTCGCTTTTAATGTTCTCGTCTTCATTTGAATCAGATAAGATGTTGGAATGACATTGTTGAAGGAGATAACGACCAAGTTTAATGACAGAAAATATCTGGTTTGTGCCTTTATTATAAAACAAGCTGCTTAAGGACTTCTTACATCAAAAGAATTTATTTTGGTATGTCTTCACAGTAATCATCCCGGGTCATTATTGTTGTTTATCCAAAGGAGCATAAGTTTTAGGTTTACAAGCAATTCTTGTACAAAAACGAGCTTCTTTACCATTGGAAGCACACCAACAAGTATTGCATTCGACTTTGAATGAAAGCGACGGTTGACATTGAAAATTTGGGTCGAGAAGTTCTTCTGTTGTGACAGTTCGTTGAGCTGTTCCTGGTGGATGATATGGCACTGATAATGAATCTTCCAACGTCTCAAGAGTCTGCAATTTTTTATTTGCATTACTCTTAAATGGAATTTTTCGTACACCCTCGCCTAATTGCCTTTTAGTTTGCTTCTTGTTGTTTCTTTCTCCTTCACAGTTTCGAGTTGTGCACTGAACTTTTCCTTTTAATGAGCAGAGACATTTGTTGCAATCTTCCTTCCATATTTTACCTGGTTCACATTTCCTAACTTCCTGTTCATCTATTCTCACGTCCTTCGCTTCATGAAACGTTGTGTCAGTATTGATACAAACCATTAACGTACAAATTGCTATACCATTATCTGAACAAAAGCAATGATTGCAATCATCGTTCCAAGACGTTTTAGGTTCACAACGATTCTTATTAGTGTTTAAAGCTTTTTCACTCGCTTCACGTTTTCTACGAAAAATTAATTTATTGGAATTGTCACCGGACTTGATTAACTCGTTTCCAAAACCAGGTGCAGGTTTCAAAGGGATGTTGACAGGAGAACTTCCGGGACAGAACATTCTCGTGCAAGCTGCATATCCATTCTTAGAACACCAGCATCGATTGCATTGATCCATCCATTTCGCTCCGGGAATGCACTGGCCACCTGAGACACTCTCGATAGTGTTCTGAGTCTGTCTTCTGAACTTGTTTTGTGAAGCTGAAGAATCAATTGATGATGGTTCAGGTGGACAATATCGTCGTGTACATAACGCCAAACCATTTGGACTGCATCGACAGAAATTGCAACTGTTTTTCCATGTACTTCCAGGCACACAATCATTACTTGCACCGATACTGTTTGAACTTCCACCCGCCTCGATTTCTGATCGTTTTTGACGTTCATTTGGTGGACAAGCCATAGCTGTGCATCGAGCTAATGTTCCAGTTGAATCACAAGTGCAAGAGTTGCAATCATCCATAAAAGGTTCATTTGGTTTGCATGTGAAACCTGGCGAATTTACCGGCTGCTTTTGTGGTGACGCTTGTAGTGGTGGACACGCCTGTTTTGTACAAAACCAACCAATGCCATTTGCAGCACATTTACATCTGTTACAGTCCTAGAAATTGGGTTTTTTCCCCCATAAACAAAACAGTCAATAAAATGATGCTTGTCGCCTTTGTTATTTAACTGACCTCCATTTTAATCTCATTTGGAGTGCAAACTTGATTATTTGCTTGAGTTGACTCGGAATGTTCTATTTCTGCTGGTTGTGTGGTAGTTTCTTGTTGTTCATCTACACACAACATCAATGTGCAAGCATGAAATCCGGATGCGCTACATACACAAGTATTGCAGTCTTTTTTAAAGGATTCTCCTTCCGTACAATTCGTCTCATCGGAAGCAGCTGAAAGATAACATTTTTTGAGTTGTTCATTTGAAGAAAATGAATTTTGTTATCAGTTGAAGGCGGTAAGGTCAGGGAACGGTGCAAATTGTTCACATTTGACGTCACATTGATTTTTGTATGCATAAAAGTTTTAAAATTCTTACCACACGAAGCAACCGCGATGACGAAAGTGGTCGCCACAAAATAAACAATTCTCATTGTTGTTACCTAGAAAACTAGTTCGACACAAGAAAAAATAGAAGCAAAATATTTAAATAACGTTAACCTTCGATAATGTCTTTCGATAGACTGAATGAACATCGCAGATTGTTGTTCGTTAAATACTCTCGTAGAGCGACAATCCGAAAAACATTCGAGAGAAATTTTTTTTTTAATCTGTTGACAATCAACGATGAAAATTTCTAAGAAACTTTTGATTTTATTACGTTCATATTTTGAAAAGTGGAAATTCCAATCACAAATGATTCCCCGTGTTTATTGTTACAATTTAATTACTTGAAATTATTCTTAATTCACAATAAATTGTTTCGATTCATCTTAGCGAGTTTATGATCGTATCAAATATTTCACTCATTCATTGATTTTTTTAATGGAAGTTCTTTTTTTATAATTCTGTTTTTGGATCATAAAACACGAAACAATCTCGTTAAGGGAATCAAAATGCTTCAACAATGGCAAAGATGTTTGTTGTAATATAATGAATACATGCTTACTTAACTTGTAACTTCATTCATGACATGTAAGAAGGAAACGAAAGGTGAAAACAGTGTTCAATCTCAAATCTTGATGTTTATTTATGTAAATCAATTTATTTAAAGACATTTTGATAGTCTGTGAGAACCTGAAAGTGCAAAGATTTCCATCTAACTGAAATATGTTCACAAATGTGACCATCAATAACAACATGATATGCAATATGAATCTAAGAATTTTTATTTAGAATGAAAATGGCGCTTAGATACAGGAAAATATTTCTAAACTTATTCAGAATCTACGCAACGCTTCTTTGTACACCAAGCAGCCTTTTTCCCTTCACTGTCACATCTGCAATTGTTGCATTCAAGTTTAAAGTGTGTTAATGGTTCACACGAAAATCCTTCTTCAGTATATTCAGTTAATGTCACGACTCGATGAGGTGAAATTACGGCTGGTTTAGGATTAAATCTTTTACCTAAACATCCTTTAAGAGTACAAGCTCCGATACCTAAAATTTAAATGTTAGCTATCAGTGTTGTTTCAATTTAGGATTAACTGTAATTACCTGTCTCTGTGCAAAAGCAGGTATTACAATCATCAACCCATGTTGTGCCAGGAACACATTTGCCATCATCCGATCGTTTCTTTCTCAAAAATAATTCATTTTGACCAAAGCCAAAGCAAGCAATCACTTTGCACACTGCCATTCCATTTTCTAATACAGATTTCATTATTTTCATATCAATAGTCCGATACAAATTTCTTTAATTAAATTATTATTACCACCACAGGTACACGCATTGCAATTATCCGTCCATGAATCTCCAGGTTTGCAAGGCGTCAACGGCGATTTCACTGCCCGCTTTCTATCATTTTTAGGACAAATTCTTTTCGTACAGAACCATCCAATGCCATTTGCTGCACACTTGCATCGATTACAATCCTTAATGGAATTGAGAAAGGCTTAAAACTTAATTGCGATGTCGTTGACAGAGCAAACAGATCGTACCTGCATTTTAATGTCGTTCGGTGTGCAAACTTGATTATTATCTTCAAAATTCTCAACGGCATTCTCGGAAGAGCTTTTTATTATTTCGTCGGGTTCATTTGTTGTGGACACAGACGCATCATCGACAGATGGTGATGTGGTTGGAGAATTGCCGGAAATCAAATTATCTTGATCAGGAGATAGACAAGCCATAATAGTGCAAGCTGCGGTTTTGCCATCACTACTGCAAATGCATGTGTTGCAATCATTTTTATATGTTTCGTTTGGTGTGCAACTGAAGTTATCAGTACTAGCGGGACCTTGATTAAGTATTAAAGAGTAAGAAAAAAAAACTTCGTCACTCAACGCCATTGAAAATGTGTAAGATTATCGCTTCTAAAAATGATTGTCGATTCATATTCAGATTTAAGTATTGCGATGGAGAAGTTAAAACCAAAGGTTAATGTCGTATAAAATTAGCACGAAAATCGGAATATTTTGTCGAATTTCCTTTCGTATTCATTTCCAACGATTTTTGGTAAATGCTTCATTTGTTTTAATTACCGAACATAGCCACATTAAGCAACACGATACACAAAACAAATTTATTCATTTTATTTTACTTTTTACTGTTTACTTTTCAACATTCAAACATAGACTGACTGCAGAAACTTTTTTTTACGTCGAGTGCTTCTTAGCGATTCTTGTTTTCTTGTTTTTATTTTGCTTAAAGCATTGGAAGATTCATTAAGCGACGTAAATGAAAATTCACAAGAAACGCTTTTGATTTTGAGCGAAAAGATGATGTTTAACGTTGAAGGGGAAGGGGAATCGACATGAGAGGAAGAGAGAAATCGTCTAATGAAAATAAACATAAATTCCAAATTCTGATTCATCATTTTTCTTGGTTTCATGATGCTTTTTGCAAAATTAGGAAATATTAAATCATCCGTCAAACTTAGTTGCTGTTTCTGATATATCAAGGAAGATACTTAAAGCCTTGTGACGTCGTTTGTGAATTATTCTTCGAGACTGTTTGTTCGTCATTCACATGATTTGGGTAAACATCAAAAATTATACACAAAAAGCAGGCAAAATTTTTGTTTCTCATACTTCTTACTTTTACATGTATAATAGACAGGTGCGCATCATCAATGATGTGCTTTAGATTTCATTCTGAACTTTCTAAAGTTTTTTCGAATGGAAAATTTTATTTCGTTTTCCTTCTAATAAATTGGAAAAAATGTTGTTTGTGAAGTTGTTTGTTACACAAATGCAGAATGCATTGAAATGTGAGGAAAATTAACATTCATTTGCTTTGAGTGTAAAAAGCAATTATCACAGCTGAAAAAAGACGATAGCGCAGCACATATTTAGACAGATGTGCATGTGAGTAAATTCAAGTTTATTACTACTTTAAAGGAAATAAAAAGTTTTCTTCATTATAAAACTTCACTTCAACTCCTCGAGTCTACATTTTTCACTATCTAATGAAATAAAATGAGCAAAGTAATCAAACTTTTTCATACAAGTATTTATGGAGAGCTTTTCTATGAAATCAAAATTTATTTGGCATCTTTTGAAAACACCAAGGAAATAAAAAAAGCTGTGCAAATTGAACGTAAAGCTCTCAATTTTCTTCTTCTTTGAGTAGCTTTGTATGTCTGAAAAGAGACAGGTATTTGTTTTAGAACAAGGTTTTTATTGGCGAAAGCTCTGAATGTGAATGCAAGTGATGACAACTGACCTTTTTAAAAAGCTGGATGATTTTTTTGTAAAACACGTAAAACCTGCGACTGCACAATTACACTGTCACTGTAAATATCGCCAGTTTGATTATAATTAGTCTCGTAGATTAACTGCGCCATAAAACAGATCATTGAAAGTACTTTTATGAAGTTCATGATGACGGGAAAAATCAAATTTAATTCTTTTCGTGACTAGATTGATCTTTCAAGTTGCCAATATCGATATGTTGGATAACATTCAAAGTTCGAACGTGTTTGATGAAGAAAACGCTCATGTACTGAATTAATTGAAAGTGTTTTTATTATTTAAACAATTGTATTTCATAAATATTCAAATTCAACACATCGCCATAAAATATTCATACACACCATTTAAGTGTGCATGAAAAAGTTTTTTTGTTCTCATCGCATACGCACATGTTGCAATCATCAAGCGAGAAATTCGAGCAGATTTGTCGTGGTGGAACTGGACATCTGATCATATCACCAGTTGAAAGGCAAATGCACCGTTTGGTTGGGAAATCGTACACCTCATCAGGACCGCAAGCTATTATTATTATGTAATAAAAAGCGCTAGAAAATACTTGTTGAAAGTTTCAAATTAAGTATCTTTGTACGTGCCTGTGTCAGCAGCAGCCAAGAAAAAGTAAGACACAAAAATTGCAACTGCAAGCATCCTCGATTGAAACAAGTTTCGAACTAAATGAGATGCTTTATTTGCTTAGTAGAGAAAACCTAGAAAATAGTTCTCAATAGAAGCGAAAATAGGTCAACGTTTAGTACTGCAATCGCATAGAAAACTTCAATTCTTATAGACGAGAGATTTGCTTAAAAATGAACACTTTTATTTCATTTAATATACATCTTGAAACACATTCATTTTGATGAACATTTCATAAAACTTTTAATAAATTTAGAAAAATTAAACTTTGTTTGGATTATGACAATCAACTCCATGAGTGTGTCCAGTATGATCGTCGTCCGGTCCATGGTCGTGATGTTTGTGATCTGTTGAATGTATTTGAAATGTAAAAATTTGATTAACCTTCAATTAAAGGAGAGAAATTTTACCGGAAATAATTTTGAATTTGGAATTTAGTGATGTTCTTCTAAATAATGTCAAAAATAAAATTCTGAATAGTAATTAACTCTTTCCCAAATTTTGAATTTTAATTACCGGCTTTGTGGTCATGACTGTGGTCAGCTGTTTAATGCAAATGCCAAAAATAATTTTCTGTCAAATTTTATTTATTAAAATAATTACCGTGGTGATCGGCGGGGGCAGCGGGGGGGGCGTGGTGTTCGGCTTTGTGTTCATCATGATGTTCAGCTTTGTGTTCTCCATGATGTTCGCCATGGTGTTCAGCTTTGTGTTCATCATGGTGATCAGCTTTGTGATCTTCATGATGGTCAGCTTTGTGTTCTCCATGATGCTCGCCATGGTGATCAGCTTTGTGTTCTTCATGATGGTCAGCTTTGTGTTCTCCATGATGCTCGCCATGGTGCTCAGCTTTGTGTTCATCATGATGTTCAGCTTTGTGTTCTTCATGATGGTCAGCTTTGTGTTCTCCATGATGCTCGCCATGGTGCTCAGCTTTGTGTTCATCATGATGTTCAGCTTTGTGTTCGGCATGATGATCGGCCGTGGTCGCGTGATGTTCATCATGATGATCAGCTTTGTGTTCTTCATGATGGTCAGCTTTAGTAATTCAAAAAAGAATTTTAATTACAAAGAAATTTTAAATAATTCTCGAATCAAAAATTTACAAGGAAAGAAAAAAAAACATTTAAAGGAAAAGTCTCTTCTTCCTTAACAACAATTAAATTTGATTGTTTTTAGCATCAAAAGTCCGAATCAAATTTCAGAGACCTTTTTTTGTTTTTAAAATATTTTCGAATGCATTAAAACACAATCACTTACCAGCTTTGTCGTGATGTGCTTCAGCATGTCCATCTCCATGATGGGCTTCATCAGCAACAGGACCTAAATTAGTAATTACAAATGTTCAAATTACTCTCCACTTTACTTCATTTAAATCAAGGGTCTTTATCCACGTTAATTTCGTTAAATCTTTTGACAATTACCAGCACTGCAAACAGCAACTAAGACAACAAGCCCTAATAAGATTGCAAACTTCATTTTCGTTTTTAATTTATTCTACGTTCACTTTAATATTTTCACAGAGAAGAATCTTTTGATGCTGTTTGCTTCAAATTCAATTTGTGACTGGTCTCGTTTTCAGCTGCTTAATATACTTTTACTTTACATTGACGAGCCCGTCTTCTCAATTTTTGTTGTTGTCGTTATCATATTTCGGGAAAGATTCACAAGTATTGGAAGGTCTTTCAAGTTAATTGAGAAACTTTTATTTGAAAAGCACAGCGTGATGTTATTCACAGATTCAGCCTTACTTTTGACTATTTATAAAGTTTATTATTTTCTAAAAAACAATTATAACATTTATGTTGTCAACAGGCGACGCTTGTTTACAATTTCAAGCGCTTATGTGAGTTCTCTTAGAGTGTTTTTCGAAAGATAACAACCGAAGAAGAAATATGTTAGAAGGGTTCTTAGGTCAGTCAGTGTAGAAGTCATTGGTAGTGTTGCTGGATAATGTAACGTTTCGAAAATTCTTCTAGAAATGTTTTGAGACTCTTTTCAAACCGCAATTAAAATCAAAAGCTTCTTATGTTTCGGAAAAAAAGTTGACAAAGGTAGTTAACAACTCCACTTATTACGATTGCGTACATTGCGTTAAAAACATGTTATCAATTTAATCAAAATGACTTCCTTTCAGTTGGTAAACGTAAACAACAACTCGTGTCTTCTTAATTTATTTTTAAATCAACAGAAGCTTGTAGTAAAATTCCATTGGATTTTAAAATTCTTTAATCACAGCTATTAAATAAAACTTTCCATTCATTCGAAAGCGGCCTGAAAAGTTTACACTATTGAGGAGTTTTAACAACTAGGCTGTTGAGTAACTGTTCTGAAGTCAAGGAAAAAACTATTTTAGGATTTAATGAGCCATAAGTCTTTCTCATTTTTCTTCTTTTTTGAAAGTTCTTGTCAGTAAACAGCATAGAAATAAGTGATGAACGTGAAAAGTTGAAAAGCATAAAGTTTTCTTGAAATGAAGGGGAAAAAAGGATGTCGGAAAATATATGTTACGTTATAATAATTTTATTACATCATTATCCCTTTTTTGTGCCATGAAACCTATTTCAGGTACATCTGTGTGAGTGCGTTTTAACGTGGGTGGGAATGACTCGAACTTATTTTACTTTTATACAAACCAATGTTATGTGTATCAAATCTAAGTACAGTGCAACTTTGATAAGCCGTTACTTCGATAAGCCGATATACCTCGATAAATCGATATTTTTTGTCCCCCTTGAATCAAATTTATATTGGAAATTACTTCGATAAACTGATGCTTCTTGAGCCATCGGCTTATCAAAGTTTCACTGTATTAGAATTCAAAAAAAATTATAACTTTATCAAACCCTTCACTGAATTTCTAAGTAGAATATGATAGCTTCATGTGTTTGAATGTTTCATGAAAAGAGTTGTAATCCGAATTCAATGAGAAGTTTTATCTACTTAATGTTTGCTACAAGTTGAGGTTTAATTAATAATTTTAATAACATGACAATGAAGGTTTAAAATTTCAAAAATCATTTCGAAACTTTTTTTTATATTCGAATGAAGTTCAAGAACTCGTTGATAAGAGGAAATGAAATGCTGAGTGTTTGTTTTGACCCTTTTATCAAAGTAAAATGCCTCCTACGTGCGCGTTGTTGACGATTATTGTCTTTCCAATCGTTCTCTGAGGCATAAATATTGTCAATCCTTTCGACTCAATCAAACTGAATAAACTGGCTTCATTCTTTTTTATTTTTAACCAAATTATTTTGAATAACTTAGATATAAAATTTATGCGTTTCCTTTTCAGTCCTAATGTTGGATCATAAAACTTACAAAAATTTTACAGTTTAGTTTCAAACTTTCAATTTTATTATCTTTGTGGCTATTTATGTGGCTGTAAAAAAGCTTTCGAAGAAACAACTTCACATAAGACATAAAACATGAATGATGTGTTTGAGCTCTCTAAGCACATCTATGTCTGTTTTCGAAGCATTTGAAAAACTGAAGAACGGTTGGGACTTTAAGTTATAAAAGCTTAAAACGAAAACAAACAGAGAATAAAGAGAAACGGACAGAGATTGTCAACTGAATCGTCTTCAATCACCTGTTGATGAAATGAAATGCTCATGACTTCAAGCATGTCAATAAACAATGTCATTGACTCAAGTATCGCCAAGATATCGATGATTGATATCCTGAAGTAACATCATCGGTATTTGAGTTGCCATAAAATTGTCTCAATATTTACTTTTCCACACACATAAACATGTTTTCTACAACATGAATCAGCAATTTAAACACAATTTAAAATTGATTACAGTTTTATTGTTGCCTCATAAAAGTTCCGTCCTTATTATTTGATTGTATATATCAAAACAAGACTGTGAATCAAGAATTAAATTGAGCATCATCGTTATCAGTAAACTTTAAGTCTCAATTCAGTTCGACATTGAAACTGATTTTTTATTTTTCTTTTCAATTTTTTATTAGGCATCAACATTTCATCTTAAAGTGATTTTTCATTCCACTAACGATTCTTAATGGATATAAAGAAAAGCTGTCGAAAGAATACGATTCGTGCCATGCTTTTCATCGCCCACCATTATTCATTTCTGTGAGGCTGCGAATCTTTTTACTTACTTGCAAGTTTGTTTTAACCACAATGGATCTTTTCTGTCGTTTAAAAACCAAACAATTTCCTTATCGCCATTTAAATGACCTTTTCACACTTAAAAGCTCAAACACGACACGCGAAAGATTTTTTAAAGAGCGTTCTGAGAAAAAGAATTGAGAGAGAGGAGAATAAGAAAAATTGAATTAAATTCGTCATGATTGCGATAATTTGTTTTTTATATACGCCAGGCAATCGCAATACGCTCGAAGAGGTTGATGAAATGCTGTTTTTTTGTTCATTTCAGCCTTTTATTCTTCTATTGTTCTTCTAGTCTTCCCCCTCATTGTTGATAAACTTTTTTTTTATTTCTTTCCATCGTTGTGATAAAATATATTTTGTCATTTTTTGCTATCATCAGCATAATCTTTTTTTTTCTGTATGAGAGACAGTGGAAAAAAATGAAACAGGGTTAGAAACCCTCTTGAAAAGGATTCCATCTCATCTTGGCTGGGATTAAAAGATTAACGAAACTTTTACAAATTACTTCCCGCTGCTAGCTCTCACCCTTCTCTACCTTTTGTCAACATTAATGACTCTGAGCCCAAGCTTCAAACAAAAACAACGTAAATATTGCTTTCTTTTTCTTTTTAAACATTAGAATACAAGAAAACGACAATCATTGTTGTTCATTTAACGAAGCAAGAATTTGCGTGGGATTTTTCTCTCTCTTTTGATGCTTTTTAAAGATGAACAAATATTTTTTTTCTTTCTCAAGACTTTAAAGATGATGAAAGTGAATGAAAGCTGATCTAAAAAATATTTTTCCTCTGATTCTGAAACCCTTAAGTCATTTAAATAAGCAGACTAAACGATATCGGATCACAGATGTATGAACTGAAAAGCTAAAAAAAAGAGAAAATAAAATCAACTGTGAAAACGAAACGAATCCTTTCCTTTCACTTATCTAAATGGATAACTAGCTATTTACCCTAATAAATAGAAATGAAATGCAATTGTAGAATAAACAACTTGAATTCAATTACGACTCTATGTTTAGTTGATGTGATGGGGGAAATGAAAGTTGATAGAGTTGATTGCTTTTCAGACATCCTTCAACATAGTGTGTGAATAATTTAGTAGCTTTTATGAAAGCTTTACCATGTTACTGTCGATGAAGAAGAATTTTCTTTTCCTTGTCGTTGCAATGCGGTGACAAAAATGTGCATCAAAACTTTCTTCATTATGCCTGAAGTCCCTACAGAAGTTTTTCAAAAATTTCAACAAATTCGAGGTGGAAGAAAAAGTTTGCAACTTTTTTTCTCGATATAAAATATTTGTAATTTTTCAAGTCATGTATTTGGGTTTTTTAAAGTTAACTTGAAACCTTAAGTTTTAATTAGTTTCGGAAAACGTTCTCAAATATTAAAAAGTCTCTCTCTCATCCTTATGGGAGAAGTTTACTCTAAGGAAATTGCTGCTTTCAATTAATTTTGGAAAATTAAAAGCCGTCTAAATAATTAAAACAAAAAGCGATGGATGTGATGAAGAGAGAAGAAGTTAAATTTACTTTTAAAGCCAAGAAGTTTTCACTTTTTTTCTCTTTCTCAAATTATAACATTCAAAGTGAACAACTCGATGAGCTTGTCTTTTATTCATAGAGATGACAGCCGCTGTTTCATGGACACGAATTAATTATTCAAGGTTTTCGAGACGACAAAATGAGCTTGCGCTTTCAGAAAAATCTTCGCTGAGTAAATTTGTCATTTGTTAACTGATTTCACGACTTTTGAGCATGCCCTGCAATTTGTTTAAAGATTTATGGAATAAAAGTGAAACTTAGGAAATATTTAATTCCCTTTGACAGGCTTATGATTCCTTTTTCTAGATTAAGTCGCGTATTGATATTATGAAATAAGAAGCAGCATTAAGAGATAAATCATTCTAATTCATTCAATGGTAATGAAGTGAAGTCTTTGGGTGAATTCATAAGTATATTCAACTCTACTCAACTATCTACCTTTAATCCATAAAATATCCGTTTTTGCATTACTACAGTAAATTGAAGTGACTTACTTAACTTCGGGGTAAGAAAAGCTTATGCCTGATTGAAGAGAACCCGAATTTCGTGAAAGCACAAAAAAAAACAATCTTTATTATTATTCCAGTCATGGTTGCTGCATTTAGATATTGTAGATTTCGTCGTTTCCCTTGCCGTAGATTTTTTCTTCATCTTTCTTCTCATTCAATTCGACTACAATCGTAACTACGTAGCTTCCCAGCCCATTCAGTGCACGTTTGCTTCATCAACAATATGCAGATCTGTTCTAGTGATTTGTCTAAATATTTTATACACAATTTTTTGTGCTTTTAAATCCACGGGATAGAAGATAGAAGAGAAATCAAAAACACATGGGACGTCCAAGTTCAATTATTTTTCTTTGCACTTAGCATCGGGTGTGTGGAACTGGAAATGAGCTTGATGTGGATGTTAATTATCTTTTTTCTTCTTCTGGTTTTCGTTTTTTCCATTTCCGAAGCAACACCACACACCAAGCTGCTTTTCCATTTATTTTTCATTTCACTCAGCATGAAACAGTTGGCGGGGATGATTTAAGGATTTGGTCTCGTAACCACAGAAATTCTTGATTTTTGACACGCAAATATAAAAGCTCTGGTTTTGACCTAATGACATAAAGCACTCTGTGACAGCATCAATGAAAGGAAAATCCATTTTCCATGTGAACGACTTCTAATATCCACTTAGACATATTTGTGTTTATTTTATTTTCTTCTTACACTCACAGCCATTTCCGTAAGAAAAAATGTGATACATCCGCGAAGATTTAAGTGGATAGGCGGGGGTGATATAGCAGAATGAGAGGTGCCGGATAATCCTGACAGGAAATGAAAATATGTGTGGATATGTATCTTCATTCACAACATTCTACTCACTGGCTTCTGTAACATTTAGATAAACATGTTTTGTTGCGGTGTTGGAAGAATTGTGTTGTTCGTCCCTGTAGAAAAGCAATCTTAGCTAAAGCATCGAATCGAAATGAACATAAAAAGCACAAGTAGGGAAAACTCATTTCCCAACTGGACATCGAATCCGTATAATGTTGTATTAGACTTCATATGGCAAATTAAGATTCACAGCGAACCTTTTTTTGATTTATGATGGCTGTGAACTCCATACAGAGACTTCACTGCGATGATATTTTCTTTTTCTTTACTAATGCTCAACTGAAACAATTTTAAACTGATGATTTGTAAAAGTTCTATAGCTGGGAAGGGAAATAAAAATGTTTTTATAATAAACAATTCTCCTTTATTCAATCAATTTCTCTTCTGTCGACGTCGCTCGTCTATAACTACAGCTTTAACTCATAAGTAATTTTCACATTTTCAACATAAATACTTCACAATATTCTAGTTTTCCCTAACCTATTTATGTTCACTTTCATCAAAGCAACATTGACGGGAAACATTTTCTGCACAATTTTCGTTAAAAATAATCTTTCATGAAAAGATTTTTTTTATTTACTTATTTACGATTTATATTTTATTTCCTCATTATTTTTGAAATTTACGAGCTTTTTCTTAATTTCTTTTTTACTTTTTACATTCCGATACAAAATATACTTTTAAGCAAACTATTTTCCTTCATTCGCTTTTGACTTACTCTGTATGAGAGCTTTAAACTCATAAAAAAATGAAAGAAGAAGAAAGAAAAAAAGGAAAATCTTGTTAAAAGAAAAATTTTATTCAACATTTAAGTGATCGCTTAAATGCTTTTCCTAGTTTTTTCTTCTTTCCATTATTTGATAATTCTTTTTACATACATCGCAGGGATGTTTTTGAAAATGAAAATATTTCAAATTGTGTTTAAAATTCGTTCTTAAAGAAATCATTGAATAAAGATATTTAGGAAAACTCATCTCATTGTATGATTAACAAAACCCAGTTGATCTTGAAAAGGTTCTTTCTTATCTTGTTTTGGGAGCACTTAAAGTGGCAGCTTGAAAGCTTATGAAAATATCGTTAGGTTTAAAAGCTTAACGAAATCTTTAAAAGCTTTGAAAGTTGGGTTAAGAAAATAATCCTTTTTTTGTTCTGTTCATTCATCATAATGAAAAATGAAAAAGATTCTATTCTGTCTTATTTATTTGTTGTTTTCTATTAAGCTTTAAATATCTATGAGATGAAGAGAAAGAATTTTGTAGTTTAAACAAGGGATCGGTATTGGAATTTGAGTCGGTTATTCTAAATAACTTTCAGGGAATGAAAATTCATGAAGAAGAGTCAAATTCCGTTTCAGAAATTTCCAACAACCCCTGGTTTGAACTAAAAAATAAAGCCTGGAGTTGGGTCACCGATCAATGTATATTCAATCCATTAATTCTCAAATCAGAGTATTTCCATGTAAAATGTTAAATCACACAAATGTGCAAATTCAATGAATGAAAAAAAAGTTGATTGAGTGCACGATTAAACGGTAAACCAACGCCGGACTATTCCGAAGTGACCTCTTTTTATATTATTTTGTCACTACCTACGAAGGTAGATAACTTTATCGAAAACCATTGTAACTTTATGTGATTTCAAAATTGATTGAATTATTAATTTCCAGCTGTCTGTCTACATAAATATTTCATCTGTTTTCTAACATAAACTTCTATTTTTTGCCATTTTTTTTGTTTTTCTCTGGCGATATATTTTCATATTTTCATCCTTGTTTTAACAACAGGCACAATCGCGATATGAAAAAAAGAACAAGTGGTTTGATATGGAAAAAACAGACAATGTTTTTGCAGATTTCTTCTGGTATTTTAGTTGACATTAAATTGATGTTGATATTGATGAATGTTTGAATAAATAAAATGAAAATGTTTAGCATCTGGTTTAATGCGCAATTTCCATTAACTATTTTCAAAACAATAAATAAATTTAATTCTTCGATTGTATAAAATTTCATGTCGGTATCTAATTACGCATCATAAATAGATTTCAATTTACTTTCTCATAATCGACGTTTAAATATTGATTTGTGTTAATTAATTGATATCAATAACATCCAGAAATGAATTTCATTGATATCATGATACGGTTTACATCTGACACACAGAGAAATATATTCAAGAGCTTTGCGAGACTATCTTGGAACAACAAACAAGGGGGAAGGAAAAAGAATGAAGATAAGGAAAGGGCGAGACGGAAAATGTTGATGGAATTTCTTATGGTTTCTTCTCTTTTTCATCACTTAGAACGATGAAAAAGAAAACTTTTTTGTAGCTTTTAATATAAACATGAGCTTATAATTTCTTCTCATTTTTATCCATTTAGTAGCTTTAATATCTCATAAACTCTTCTTTACTTACAAAAACAACCTCTACAAACTTTTCCCTTCCGCATCCGCTCGCAAATTCACAAAGCTTTTCATCTTATTAATATACACTCGTTTGATGACAAACTATTTAATAATTTACTCAATGATGGCAATAAAAATGTAATGAATAGGACAAAAGCTTGGTAAGAGTACACTGGATATTTAATTAAACTTGCTGAACATCCGTGATAGAAAAGTTCGGCGAAACTTTCTGCTTGATGTTAAGTTAAGTTAATGAAGACGTGAAATTGCATGAAAAAGAAAGTAAACAAAGGAGTGAATCATAATGAGCTGTAATTAAGATGTTCTCATGCCAACGATATAAAAAGTTGACCAACTTCCATATCCCAAACATTTTTATGATCTTTTCCTGACACTTAAAAAGTGGAGCGATATGAACGATATTTTCTCTCTTAATTAAAAATATGAAATCAAGCTCTGGGTCGGATATGAATAAAGAAAGTAGAAGAAAGAAGCGGGAAATGAATCAAAGCTGCTGGAAAAAAAGAGAGCTTGGGTGCTGTGAGAAAGTAATTACGATCCGCTTCCGGATTCATAAAAAAATGAGCCCAGGGAGAAGAATTGGAGATTTTTTATACATAAGTTAAATGTTGGAAAAGAATTGAAGAGAATTTTTCCATTTCCCACAGAAATAACATTTATGAATTTGTAAAATTTTCTCCTTCACTTTTTTTTTTATTTTCAACTTTAAAGCATGAATTGAACTTGAATGGAAATTTATTTTACATAAAATGAAATCTTGTGAAAATTTTAATTCGTTTATGCTTTCAAAGCAATAAATTTCTCAATTGTTTTGTCGTTGATCGCTAGAAAAAATAGAATGCTGGGAATCGAAGATTGCACTAAGATTCCCACTGGGATTAAATATGGTAACAGCTTTGAAAAGCTTCTTCATCAAGATTCTTATAGTGTCGGTGGGGAAAAGTAAAGAATGGTTGAGATTGGTATGAGAATTTGATATGAAATCACTTACCATTCAAAACATGAACAGTTGTTGTAAATGAGTGTGTTGGTCCAATTGAGCACGTATAATTACCAGAATCCGATTTATTAATTTTGGCTACACTTAATGTCGAATTAGCACCTTCTTCGGTTAAGTCAGTTCTCACGCTATGAAGTGTTGTAGTAAATCGTTAAAATTATATTTATGTTTAATGTCAATGCGAATTTAACATCGCATTATGTGTTTGGTGGGAAGAGAAGAGAAAGAGATTAATGTTATCAAGATATTCTGCTGACATTGCAACCCGCAACACAATCTAAGCGCTAGCGGAAAATTTAATGTCTACTCTCGCAACCCCACCAAGTATTTTTTTCTCACCTTATGCCCCCTCTTATCGCATCGTAGTTTAGCACATGATCATTATGAATCCATAAAACCACAGATGATGTCATTTCGATGTTATGAACGTAACAATATAACTCAAGTGTCGAATTAACTTCATAATGACGTTCGTAAAGTGGCTTTTGGCTTTCATCAGCGATGAACAGCTCGGGTGCTGAGATTTTGTTTTTGTCGGCATCATAAGATTTCACCCGCAAGCAATATGAAACGACACAGCAAAAAAGAGTAACAGGAAAGACGTTAAAAAAGAAGAAAAAAGGTTTTCCGAAATAATCTTTAATTAGCATTCACAGGATAACAACTAATTAAAACATATTTCCGTCTTATCTACTTGTTTGCGTTAAGAGCGATATTAAATTAATATTTTTTGAATGAAGCTTAATTTCCTGTTTACGCCATTAACACGAAAAACCACTCAACACTCACTAGCAAGATATCGGAATTCTCAATTTAACTCTTGAATAAATATTTACTTCATCGCAATGTTATTTCAAGAATTTATTGTTTTATGCTCAAATTATTTATGCCACGATGCACTATTTTCACACTTTTATGGTTGAAAAAAGAATTTGCATGGATGACAATGTTTGCTGGCGGAAAACGAGGAAATCTTGCATTTTAATTTTTTTCCAAGACTAAAGTGTCGTAGATTTTCCCTCCTTGTTATTGCAAAACTTTGAATATCATAATTTTTATGCAGTTTCAGCATAATCACTGAAGCTTCGCATTTATGCTAATGGTCTGAAGAATTCTTGATAAAGCTGCTAGCAGCTACTATAATTTCATGGCAAATGGTTTCTGTATAAACCTACTTATCAAAAAAATGAATGAAATTTAAATCCGAGATAGTTATGCATCGGATAGAAAGTTATTTATTGCAACATCGACGAGATAAAAGAGCTTTATTTTAAATCTTAATAAGCATCGTAATGAACCCTTAAGGATAACCGCTGTAATGAAGCTTATAATTCCATTTACAACTATTTGGAAGAAGATTAATTGAAGTGAATGTTTTTCAGTGTCAGTTTGTAGAAAAATGAGAATGTAATTGATGTTGTTGTAATAAAAAATACCCTCAAGCTCTTCATCCAATTAGTGTAATAACCGTGAGCGTGAGAAAAAAAAATTCATGTTATAAATTCAGAGTATGCAATAACAAACAATTTTTTTTTTGCTTCTACCTACAAATCTAAGGCATTGAATCAGTTATGAAAACATATTTTCAAACTTTTACAAGCTTAAGAGCTCAACATCAACCCACGTTATATGAAAGATAAATTTTACAACGATGAAAACAAAATTTGTTAACCATAATACGTGGTGTGTTGTATTCAATCAAACTGTAATCATAAAAAGGATTATCTGAATCATGTCTGTAAACTTTTCATTACCATCCAACACAATTAAAGCTTTGCTTTAAGGTTCTTCATTCATTATGTCAATTTATTTCACTTTGCTCTTACGTTATCTAGCTCGTGTGGCATGAGATGAACCATTTGATATTCACACGTAACCATACACGCAAAAACTTTTCAATGGAAAACTTACCATTAACATGCAAGTAATATTGAATAACTTTCGGTGGATGAGTGGAAATCTATTTTACATATCATAAAATAAAATGAAGTAGAGTTACGTATGGAAATATTTATGAAAGCGATATAAGCACCTGACACTCATAAATTCCCTCGTCGCGTTTCGTAACATTTTGAATCATAAGCCTAAAGTTATTCGGGAACTGAAAGTCAACCGAGTATCGTGTATCGGCTACGAAAGTGTTTGTACCGACGGTTAACAACTGAAGTTCCTGGCGTTGGGGTTCATCATCCGAGTCGTAATAATACATCCGGCGAACCCAGGAGACCTGTGATAAATGGATATTTAAAGGATAAGTTGCCGGATAAATAACAATTTTCACACTGCTTATCGGTAGACAAGCCTACACAATGTTATGAAAAGTCAACATACCGTTTTATCTTGCAATAAATTAATTTTGCAATTCAAAAAAGCTGTCTTGCCGTCTTGTATGGTCACATTGATTAATGATCCCACCGCAACTTCATCGAAATGAGTTCCCAAGCTGTATAATAAATGAGTTTATAAATTAAACATTATTGATTGTCATTCGCGCGTCATGATCGAAAAAAATCTTTCGTATCTCGTTTTGACATTGGGCTGTGTCAGTTCTAAGTATACATAAATAAATATCTTAAGTCAAAGGTGTAATTACCGAAAGTCGGGATGGCGATGCTTAATGTGAGAATCATAAACCAAGTTCAACATTGGAGCATCTGTTTTCTTTGGCGTTGTTGAACCGTGATGTTGACCCGAAGACTTTGTCATTACTGTGTTATTTCTAGAATAATTATTGCTATTCATCGAGAAAAGAGGGTTCCTTGTGGCGCTTAACAAATTCTTTAATGGAGATTCCATTTTCCATTTATCATGTTTATGGTTGTTAAGGTCTGTTGGTGTTTTTGTGGAGTTCACACGTGGCGTTCGACTTAATGACTCCAATTTATTTATAAAATCTATTAAAAATTAGGGAAAAAAGGAAGAAATTTCCGTTAATTAATTAGCATGATTCATTAAGTTTAAAGAACTTTTTCTTTCTTCGTCTTGTGCTCGGATCGTTTTCCTACAATGATGATCTTCTGGGTTTTATTGATAACATCCCATTAGGTATAACAACGCTGACAAGTCGTCATAATATTCCAAAATTTATTCACTGAGATAATAAAATTCCTCAAATTAATTTTCATAGCTTCACGGGTTTCTGTATTGAAAATTTATAATAAGCGCTATGAAAATTAATTCTTATCCACAACCGTTAGAAGTTTCATGAAAGCTCTTCGGTATCGTTCCAAACATATTTTAGATCATATTTTCATTAAAATTTGCATAATAATGGAAAATCGTTTTGGACGCCTGGCATGGTGAAATATTTATGAAAAGCTCTTCTATGGGACAGAAAGAGGAAAAGTTTTTCTTTTTTCTTCTTCCTTTTATTCTCATGACACTACCAGAACAAAAATTGTTGAATTTCAGCGCAATTTAACAAAATAAAAAAATAGAAAAGTTGAGGGACAAAAAGTTATGCACATTTTAATGACATGTTCTAGCTTGAAATACAACATAATTCGATGTTGTGAAAGTTTAAATTGTTTAATGACTCTATTAAATCTCCACTTTTGAACTTTTTGACATGGCCAAAGCCGAGTAAATTCGTAAATTCGTTTATCGTTATCCTGCTGTCAAATCATATTGAAAATATGTCGACGTTAATGAAACATAAATCCCTGTAGGGTTAGGGTTCAGGTAGAAAGAGCGAATGTTGAACAGTTTTGTCGTTTAACTTACACATATTTTCCATTTCATAAATCTTTCCTTTTATATTCAAAACTTATTCAAAATTGGGGGTTTTCTCATGAGAGCTTTCTTTCTTCTTTCGGGCTTTATAGAGAAATGATATGATGATGTTCAGTAGACCAACTTTGAAAGTTTGAAGCTTTCAAAAAATTGTTTGAAACTTTCATGAAAAAGAAAGGAAAGGAAAATGTCAAATTCAGAGAGAAAAATTGAAGTCCTTGGATTTAATTTCATTTTCAAATGGATTTTTGTATTAGAATTACAAATTTCATGGAACATTCACGCCGTGAGTCGTCGTACACGTCTTTTGATGCGGGCAAATGAAAATGAAAATTTCCGCCTCTTGAAATATTTCAAGTCGACGGCGTGATGTTGAGTTAATAAAATAAAAAATTCATTTTATTAGGTCGGAGGATATTTTTAAAAATTGTATAATTAGAGTTGACATCATTTTTGAATGAATAAATATCCCATCACAGTTAGATACTTAAAACTATCATTAAATTTTAAACACGGATAATTAACATTACCTTGACTAGAATGGCTTGTAGTTTGTGTCGAAATGTTCACATTACTGACATCAGCTTTCAGGTCAAAATCTTTTAAGCCAACGCCGCTTTGGTTGTTGACATGGAAGCTCATCTCTTGGATCTCTTTAGTCACTGCCAGAGCACTTTGTCGATAGAAGTCTTCAATAATTAATCGCTTATCACTATTATATGTTTCATTTTCACCGAAATATTTACTATCGAAATGATTGTAATCTGTTTTCATATCGGACTTGTCGTCCGATGCGATGAGCGTACACACAAAATTAACATCAACTATGAGACCATAAAATAATAAATGCAAAAGTGTGCCCGTTGATATAGTCCAGTGCATTGTTTTAGAACTTTTCTCAATTTCACTTTATTATCATTCACATATAATGCTCGATTCTTAAAACTTGTATGCTTTAAAGTTATATGATTTGATACGTTACGGTCTAATTCCAGAATAATATTTTCCAGATGACACGATTTGGCCATTTCATAGATGAATTATCATTTGTACTGCGATATGCTTCGTTCTTTTGCCTCGCTTTGGCTTTTGCACTATTTTCGTTTGTTGATTGATGATGATCGTACGACCCCATAAAAATTTATGCCTCATAGAAAGTCTCACTGGTGGTCGATGCTCATGCAAAAATATGACCGAGTGTGGCTTCGCTTAAGTATGCACTTTGTTTATATTCTTGTATAGTTTATGATACGTTTTTCGTTTCGAGCAAAATTATATGATGCTGCTCAATGGTCCGTGTTGAAAATGATAAACTCACAACCCTAAAAAATTGAAAAGCGTGGAGTTATCTTAATCTCGATTGAGCGTTACGCTGCTTGCTTCGTAAAATACATAGATGAAGATCTGAAAAGATAAAGAAGAACAAAAAAGGTGAAAATTTAGTCGTTGCGGTTAATGAAATATTAATTAAAAATTTTGCGGAAGTTCTTTTTTTGTTCTGTTCCTTTCTCAGGGTTAGATGAGGCCAACAACGTGATGATTCAATTATGCAAAATGATAATGAATATTTTTCTTTCCTTTCTTTGAGTTTGTTCAGCTTTCAGCTACTGACTTAATCAGCCAAAATTGTTATTTGTTTTGTTGAAGTGAGCTCAAGTGGGGTGGTGAGGTTGAAAAGTTTATGTTACGAGTGAAAGAGAAAGGAAGGTATTTAAAGTAATTGCGATGCTAATTTTTAAGCAATTACCATAACGACATTGAAGTAATAATTGTTATTTTAATTTTTTTATAATTTTTATTACAGAACTTGAACAGATTTATGTTACTTATTTACATGGCGTTAAAGCTTCGTTAATATTACAAGATGCTTCGTTATACATAAAATATAATGCAAGAATAGCAGAATCACAATTGGATTGAAACATTTCTTATTATGCTAACCATAATAGACATTGATTGAAAAGCTGAGATCTTCATTCTATTTGCTAACTTTCTCCTGAGGTTGTCAGAAGAGAGGAAGAAGAAACATTTTGAATCAGTTTGTAACTTAGACAGCGAACATAAAATTAATTACTTTCTCTTGAATTAATTTCCTTGAAAGAAACATCGCTCATTCATTACTTTAATTAATGTTTTGAAATTGCTTAAGGCTTTGAATAAATTGAAATCAATTTAAGAATTTGTTCACCTGATACATGTATCGCATTTCACTTTCTATAAAGTTGGATCAAAGTTAAAGCGAAGTTCCATTTGGTATCTGGTGGACGTGAAAACGTTTATGTGATTTTCTTTACTTTACTTTGAGTTAAATTTTCAACTCGAGGCGAAAGTCCATTTACGTGCAAAACATTTCAATGTAATAAATTCATTTGAAACGAGAGAAACTGATTAATTCGGAAGGCAAATCGATTTACAGTTTGAATATCCTTTATTTCCAATCTTTCCACAGTTTCGTGTACATATTTATAAGCTCAATGATTATTTCTCTCACTTCTGGTTGGAAGAATATGCAGACATTGAAGCATCAGATTAACTTTGTAAATATATACACTTAATAACATTTCACATGGGAGATATTGACATCAGATAAACAGCGATTTGCTCGCTGTGCAAAAGTTTAACATTTTAATTTATATGATAATAGCGTTTTATCGAACATTCGTGTATAAAACAATATTGCACTTGATGTTACATGTAGCATGGTTACCATAATAAAACTTTTTTTTACAAAATGTTAACATGTAAAGCTACTCGACCTGTGCATTCGTGTATTGCTCATATCAATTGGAATTCCCTATTTAAAACATTCAACTTGAATAAAGTATCGAATTCGATGCAGCTTCAGATTTCAAGAGATGAAAAAGTTTGAATAGTTTTCCTTTACTTTACCTTTGTAACATTTGTTCAGATTTTTGAACAAGAAACTTGCGATGGTGGAAACAAATTTTGATCTTCTTCATTTTAGTGCAATATGATGAAGAGAATTAATTAATTTCCACCACAAATGCCTCAAGGAAGTGAAATGTTGTATAATCTGCCAAGTTAATCAAGTGGAAGATGAAATTAAATACTTCTGTACCTGAAGTGCTTTATCTAAGTTCCTACTTGTTCAAATTGATTGAATTATTGTTGAAGTCAAAAAAATTCCTGCTTTGTTTTAAGAATTTCATTGATCAAGTTTATGTTTAACTTTCAAAGTTGATTGTTATCGAATGTCAAGATGATGTTTTAAATAAATTTCATAAAGTTAGACATCGAATGATTGACAAGAAAATTATCAACTGATTGGACATTTTAATGTAATTGACACTTCATTGGTTGCTATGATAATCTGGATAGATTTTTGATAGAAAAGCAATAAATATTTAGCCCAAGATGCTACCAGCAGCTTCCTTATCTTATATCAGACGTGAGCACATGAATCATTTGATGAGCTGTGTATGTATGACCAACCACAATGAGGATAAATAAACATCCCAACGATGATACTAAATTGCCTTTTCTTTCTACCTACTTCACCAACCCCATAATTCAATCAAAGTAAGATAAATTTCCTTTCTTTGTAAAGGTCTTTGACAGCATAAAGCTTTGCAAATATCCAAAAAAAATAATCAATAAACTTCCCTTTTTCCTCAAATTATGGATGTTTTAGTAAAACGATGAAATCAAGCAAAATCAATTACCAACTCAATTAACTTTATCGATAGAACAATTAAGATGAAGAATTAAAAAGATTCTTTGGGGTTCAACTAGATGGAGTGGAAGGAAACAAATTTGCTGCAGGCATCGTCAAAGATGTATTTGAGTCTACTTCATCATGTGCGAAGAACAAGCACAAGATACTTGTGTACATATAACATACAACATACAACATGAGTATAGTTTTGATCCTAGCAAGTATCAATGGAAGTCTAATTTTCTTCAACCAACTTGAAGTCAACTGTGAAACTTGCTTCATTTTTCATTGACTCTGATTTCATATAAATTTAAGTTTGAGAGAGAACAGAACAAAATGTGGGAAGCACGAAGTGACAAGTTAGTAAATGATATATTACAGTTCTCTCGATTTTTCTCTCGTTGCTTCTTTCAGTTGATACTTTTTATGTATTTTTCATCAGCCATTATTTGCTAAACGTAAAATTTATACAAATGACTTTTTTCTGGTTTCATTCTTTACTCTCTCAAAACACTTCATTCGATTTCAACACCCCCGCCTTATACAGAAATCCTTTCTGCCTTTTTCATTCTCACCGAGTGTCGGAATATATTAGAATTTGTTAATAATGAATAATGACATGATTTTCCTTATCCTAAACAGTTATGGAATGGAAACGAGCGGGACAAAAGTTGAAAAGCAGTGGTGTCATTGATATTGAATGAAAATAAATTGATTCTTAATAAATTTAGGGATAAAATCAGTTTTGGGATTAGAAATAATTTTGGGAAATTTCTAAGAAGCCGATGGAATTCTTGGAAATGTAGAAATTAATCAATTACAATTTCTACATTTTCCCATCATCATCGCCCATACTTCACCTCATAATATTAAAGAGAAATGTTTTGGAAATGCTTAAAGTAACTTATAATGTACATACTTAGATATTTACCTAAGAAACTTTTCGTCTCTGCAGATTGATGTTGATAAATATTACCCACAACTTTGTAACTCTCACAAAAAGTAAAAGTCAATACTCATAAAAGCACTGAATGCTTTGGTTAACATCTAAATTGCTTTACTGGTTGTGGAAAGAGAAGTTTAATTATTTTTTATTACTTACAAAAAAATCATGAACTTTTCAAACAAACGTCAACAACAACATGCAGCTTAATAAATCATTTCGAGTGCTTGGAAAAAGTTACAAAAACATTCTTGTTACATTTCAACGCTTTCGACAACGCCACTGGTTAGCCTCAAACATTTCAGAGGAAAAAGCCTTGAACCCTTCTCTTCCACCAGAAATCAATCATGGCACATAAACCTTTTAGTTTGAATATGAATGTCAGTCGAGAAAGGGTCGCTTATGCTTCGCATCTTCTTCTTTCAAACATCTAATATATTTAAATTATTAAACTAATGTGAAACGATTATTATTTAATGAAGTGAATTTTACTGAAATAGGAAAAGTTTAGACCACAAATTCGTGTGGTTTTCAGATCATAAAAATTGGTTTCAGTTGCTTTAAGTTGGCTGATATAAACTAATTTGTGATTATATGCTAAGTTTTAAAAAAGTTTCTCAAACAACTTCATTTATGTGGATAGTAAATGTAAGCAAACGATACTTGCGAGGAATTTTCACGTTCAGAAGTTTAAAACTTTTCATGTTCAAACTTTCGTTTTTATTCCAGTAACTAAAAGTTAAATTCCGTTGCATCATTTGATTCGAAAATCTTCAACAAAAAAAGTAGTAACGATTGTCTTTGGAAAATAAAAAAAAATTGGAAATAAACATTTGAATAAAAAAACACTTCGAAGTTCACAAACTGAATTATAAATTTTCGTAAGAACCCGACAAGGATTTGACTTTCATTTCCTCAGCTATTAAAGGGAGGAAAAAGTTCGTGATGTGAAGCATTCAACATGTAACTGATGCTTTCAGTCTCTCACAACATCCTTCATCCCCTTTTTCATCGTTTTCCATCCGCCCTCTACAACTTGAATGAGAGTTTTTCCAGGCTTCGCTTCCTTTGTTAAAGGAAATTTAGATTGCGGCAATTTTGCGGCACACAAAAGAACAAGGAGAGAAAATTACATCGAAGACATTTATGAGCTTAATGTTGGGAAGAAATCCTGAAGTCTCATAATCCAAAAGGAAAACAATATTTGGGTTGAAAAGTTTAACATGACAACCAAATATATGAGACTTTGAAAACTTAATTATGCATGATTAATTAGATTAAACTAAACGATGTTTTCCTGATTAAATCTTAATGTTTGCTTAATTTTTCTTCTGTGGGAAAAGCTTGGCGGCATTAATTTTATTTCAAAATATTTTACTTTTTTTATTTATTTTGTTTCCAAAAGTTAAGTAACAGCATTAACGATGGGAAATAATTTTAAACTGATTTAAATATTAATTGAGGAACTTTTTTTTATGTCAAAATGTCATGCGGCGCTTATGGCGTCGGAGCAAAGGAGGGAAATTTATTTTTTCATTTCGAAGTCAGAATTTAAGTTATTATGAAACATTTTCCTTCGAGTTTCAAAATGAAAATGAGGGAAAATTAAACAACAGAGTTTCAACATCCCAATGTGATTTACCATCATTGTTAGAGACAATTATACTGACATAGTGCTTCATGTTGAAGGAAGACATCGTTGCATTACTCGAATGCAAATATTGAGTCATTTCAGAAAGAATTTTACTGCTTTCATTTCCAAAAATCACAAATGAGTAGGGAAAGTAGTGAATATAAATTGCTTTTGAACTTAACAGACCAACATCAGATGGTAAACGTTTCATTTAAATAAAATTAATTTTAATGTTCGGAATGGTTTTATTATCCGCTGATATGAATACCGAATCAGAGGATTGCGATTGTTTCAACTAACATTTGAAAGTTGTAAAGTTCACTTCCATTAAATTGCAGATCATCACAATAATGGCCACTCGTTTCATAAAGCAGACTTACATAGTATGTTTTTGGTTTAATTAATTGAACAACAGCTGTTAAAATTTCAGAATTTTTAACTAGTAATTTGTTTAACTACAACTGATTAAAAGCTCAACTACCAAAACTGCCAGTTAAATCAGCAAACAACAAGAAAGAAAGATCAAAAGATAATTTTTGCTTCAATTTCTCGGCTGCAAATGTTCTCTCTTTTAAATAATGGAAATCCGCTAAAAAGATATAAATTATTCAACACGATTCATGAATTTCTAAAGTTCCATCTGATTGCCTTCATTGAGGTTTTTAAGAGAACAGCTTAATGCAAACTTTAAGCTTTTAATGAGGTAAAAATTTAATTTGCAATGCTACATTTTAATAAAAACATATTTTACATGCAGCAGTCTGCTTTATGAACGTGAATGTTTCCGGGTCGAGGCAAAGTTTCCTTTTTCCCTCAACATTGAAACACATTTCAGTTGAAATGGAACTCTCTGCAGTTTTACAACCTAAAGAGGGAACCCAACGTCTTTAACTATGCAGTGAAGAATTGTGTTGAATGCATTTTTGCTTGTGCTTGCCTTTTCTCACTTCGCCATAGCATCCACGGAAAAGCGCATTTATCTAACCTCGTTAAGAGTGTTTAATGAAAAATTATGAAATCGTTAAACTCGACATTAATTGTGCCGAAGCAAAATTCCTTATCTCTTTTTCCATTGTTTTTCATTATATCTGCTAAGAAAAAACAAGTTGTGTGGAAATTTTTTCCCGGAATATTTTTCTTCCTTTGCACTTTACTCAAATTTTCAATGCTATGAACAGCCAGCATAAAAAAAAACTATGATAGAGGCGAGGATGAAAAATAAAACTCTTTTAGTTTTTTTTCCCACCACCACCACCACTCGAATAACTTTCAAGCTGTGCACTTAAATGGATAATTTTACAAAAACATTTTATATTCCTTTCGTATTCGACTCATCTCTCGCTTCAAATTGCGATGGCTGAACAAAGGCGTTGACACAAATGCTTGAATCATTTATTCTGAAAGATCACTGAAGTTGATGCTGTAGACATCACTTTACATTTAAAAAAATGAAAAATCGTACGACTTTTAATAGTTCAAGATTGACTTTTGTTACATAAAGGGAAATTCTTTCACCAAGTTTAAAATCGTTTGAAGGAAATTCAGAAATGTTTCATTTGACACCACCGTGAAAAGACGATAAGCCTAAAGGAGTAGAACTCAAAGCAATAAATTTTCTGATGAACTTTCATGAACCTCATTCAATGTCAACGGTTGTATCGAATGAATCTCTTCAAGCGAAGCAACAGAATAAATATACTTTGACTCCTGCCAAAGCCTATAAGAATGCTGTCAAAATACGTATGTAGACATTTCACCTTATATGAGACAATAAAATTCCTTCCTTCGCTTTTTTTTCTATTCCAACATGCTACGAAGTTTAATAAAATGCTTTACTTTTATTGACGCATTCATGTAGGTTGAGAGAAATGTAGAAATGTGGAAGAAGAGACTACATTGTGTAAATCGCTCGAAGCTTTCCTAACGCTTCATGCATAAAAATGCGTTCTGGGGAGCTTTTAAAGACTGGAAAAAGCTCTACGACCTAAACATTTACGTAGTCAGCAAACATCCCCAACAGTAAACAAGTATTGTCATCTCAAAGTGGTTTTCATGTTCTCATTGTTGTAAATCATTAGCTTTCATCCTTCGGCACTTCCTGAACTCTGCTGGGTTCGTCCCTTTGAAATTTCCCCCAACAATTTACACATTTAATTGAACTTTACAAATTACGGAGCAAAAGCTTACAACTTGACGTTGTTTCAAAGGGAATATAAAATAAATTTATGATAAAATCGGGTGAAATTTATGATGTTACTTATATTTTCAAATAGGCATTACTGATTCTGTTTTCTTAAGGTTTTTAAAGGTATTGTCTAATATTTACTTTTCTTTAAAACAAACCTAAGCAAAAAAAGTTTTTTTTTTGTTTTCCTTTCCTTTTCCAGTCTTCCTCAAGAATATGATAATAAAGCCCATAAATTAGCATTACAATCTTATGATCGAATCTCACATACTTTGTTTGTTTTCTCTCACAATACTCCTCTCGATGATCGAGCTCATTCATGTCTGTCGAAAGAAAACAGTGAACCCTTGTAAATGATTTTCCAGATGAGAAAAAAGTGAACGCAAGCACGAGATGTATGTGGAAAAAAATGATAAATGATTGTGACCATGAAATGTTTCAAAAGCTTTTTTCATTTGAGCACTTACTTACTTATTAAATATAAACTTGCATAAACTTTTAATTAAACATTGTTTCGTAAATTAATAAATAAATTCAGAATGACATAAAATGAAACAGAAGTTAAGTTTTATTTATGTCGTTCTTAATGTCAAGCATTGCAATGCTTCATAATGAATAAATATATGAAAGCTCCATGGATAAATGTTTATGATGTGAAAGATTTATTTACAATATTAAAGCATTTGTTGTGTTGATAATTAAAGTTGCGAGATCTTATAAAAGTTAATTAATTTAGACGTGAAATGGGAATAAAATTTTGAAATTCAATCCATTAAAACAATTCAATTTATCCTTTGGGAGTCTCTCATTGCATAAATGTGAATATTTCAACAGCATCGATGCTCTTCGGTGATGTAATAAAATCACGATGAATTCCGAGTCTGCTTGTAGATATTCCAAAAATCATTTCAACACCCAATATAACTGATATTTATTTATACTTTATATCTCGAATTGTACAATCGAGAGGTGTTTTTACGATTCTGAACACATTTTTTCATAAATTTCATTTTAGCACCTTTCACAATTTTTCATCTGCACAATTGCGAGTTTGTTTGAATTTTATGATGTTAGCGTTTATTTTTCATTGTTCGATGAGTTGATATAACAATATCGTTGCTCATGTTAGCTCGCGAGCATTCATTCTTTCTAAGGCCGTAAAACATAATGAGTATTTCCGTTTAAAAAACATTTCATCGTAAAAAATGTGTCGAATGAGTGGGAAAAACGGAAAATGCACGCTATCGTGGGAGTTGGGACGATTTATGGTCGGTGACGTGCAATTTGTTGCCATTTTTTTACTCCTTCATGTGTATCTGTTTTTCTATTGTCATCACGTTGTGTGCCGGAACATTTCCCTACCGGAAAAAATCACGAGACGAGGCAGAAATACGTCTAAAAGGCGTGCAAAAAGTCAGACAAATTCCTGTTCATCTTCCCACTCTCAAGCAATGAATTTGAATTGAATGTGGCAGTAAAAAAATCAAATCTCTGCTCTTCATCGCGGTTTTCATAAATTTCGAGTCGCAACGCTTAAAAAATTTAACGATTCAACATTGAGAAAATATTGCTATCGAAGCCTTCGCTTCGAAAAATTATTAATTTTGGTTTTGTGAAACGAATTGAAAACTTTTCGCCATGATGATTCGGGGAAAAGTTTAATTAATTTTTATTTCTGTTTTTGGAATCTTCACGTGTAATTCTGAAGTCGGGAAATTCTATTTAATGATCAAATCTTTTCATTTTCAATTCCGAGAACATAATTTCAAGTTAAGCTTTTATTATTAATTAATCCCAAGAATTGTTATTCATAGCCAACACGAATGTAGGATTTTTTAATTTAGTATTTCTATTTAATCTTTCTTTGAAGTTTTATATTTTGGTTGCCTCCTCATGTTTGCCTTTAAAAAATATTTCATTGAAAATCTTTGGTATTTGTTCCTTTATTTCGTTTTTGTCCCTTTTGGAACGAATATAAGAAGAATTTTATGCCATCCAATAAACATAAACTACGCTTATTAAAGTTCACTGATATTCTGTGAGTTTGCAAGGATATTGCTTTGTTGTTCCTTTGTTATGCTGCACAGTATGCTTGACTTTTGTCGCTATGCTACATTTTTCAGAAATATTTTTTCTGAATTGAAATTTCTTTTGAATCATAAAGCCGAAATGTTCAAACAAATTTATGTAAGTAAGTTCAAACTTGAACCTACTTAATTATGAGTCTTTACAATGTCTTCTTCAGAAATCAATCTAGAGAAGCTAGAAGGAAGACAATTGAATTTGTAAACCTGCATTATTTAGATAGGAAAAGGAAATCCAGTTGAATATCTGCAAAAAAATCTTTTTTACAAGATTGAGATTACTTTGAAATCCACTTCGGATAATTTCCACTTTCAGTTGATGAGGTAAACACGAGCAAAAGAAAGTTGGAATTAATGAAAGGAAAACTTTTTCATTGTTAAAAAAACATTTTCACGAGAAATGAGGAAAATTCTCGTCAATTTTCTTTTATTTATTCAGGACTCTTTTTGTTCTTAAATGTAGAACAATATCATGAAAGATGATTGATAATGTGCTTCAACCAGAAATGAATGTGCTTATGTTGAAGGAGAACTCAATTTGAATAAAAAATAGACGACTACAGTGGGTTCTCTTCACTCGTTTATTTAAATTCTCAATCTGATTCTTCAAATACCTATTTGTCATGATTCTTATAGAAAATTTTCGAATATCAAAGCAACTTCACTGTAGAAAAATAAATTTACTATGATAGCGGTGAAAGACGACTCAATATTTATGTATGAATGATTCGAATGTAAAATTACATTTTCTCAACAATTTGAATTCCTTTTTCTGTCCCCATCACAATCATAAAAATATAAAACGATTTTTTCACATGAATTATTTAATTTTTTTCCAGCAAAGTGTAAAGAATGTCGCTATCATAAATTGATGGAATGGTGAGTTCTATTTACATCGTGATGTGCATTTTTTGACGTTCTTTTCTTGATCCAAGCTGATTGATAGACGATTGGAAAAGCACACAACGACTGTAATAATAAATTAGATTTTTTATAACGTCATTCAAGGTTTTGAGATGAAGTAGAATTTCTACCTAAAATAGATACCAATTTCATTTTGAACATTTCTGATTGTGAGGTAATCAAAAGCCTTGATATAATTGTATTCGTCATTCTCGGATTGTCATCTTCTTTCCTTTCGTATTTGGTCCATTAATAAAAATCATCATTATCTGAAAGCTTTGGAATTGCGAGAAAATATAAAAGTTTAAGATAAGATCGAAGGTTAAAAAAAGGAAGAGAATCAAGGAAAAGATTTTAGAAGACCGATATCATGATTGTTGGAAATTTCATAAACGCTTTAGTATAATCTTTGAGTCAGAATCACAATCTTAAAAAGATATAAAAATGTCTTAAACAATAATAAAATTTATGCGAATTTAAATACTTCAAATCGAATTAGATTTCACTTAGATTGTGAACATTAGCATTTCTCGCTTTGAACTTAAATTCGGATCAGTGATCTCTAATTGAAAGTAATGAAAAAGGTACCAAAACACAGCTAATAGTAAAATTTATATTGTTCGATAATCAGTTGATAAATCAAGCGAAGAAAGGACCTGCAAATAACAAAAAAAGATCCCAAATCAAGTGAACGCAAATAAACTTTGTCGTTTGAATTTAAAAGGTTAGATAATTGAAACGTAAACTTTTTTCATCCAAGATTCTTTCATATTGAGAAAAGAAAATTTTGCTTAAATAATTCTAATTTAACTTTTTCAATTTACTGAGGGACATAAAATAGCGAGGTAAATTTTATTGAGCATTCTTTTGGAAAGTTTCATTTAAGTCAAGTTGAAATAAGTTTAGTTTTATTTCCTGTTTAAATCATTCGATGTAGTCGTTACTTATGCTCGTTCGGCATAAATAAAAATTAGATTTTTCTATAATTATTATTAAATAAATTAAATTTCCCAACAATGTCACTGAAAACAATTTTATCAAATTTCTAATAAAATTATCAATAATGCCATAAAATTGATTCAATTTGATAATTTTTGTCACAAACTTGACACAATAATTACCCGCAAAATATTCTTAGTTAATGCATCATGATTGAAAATCATTTCATAACCATTCATTGTCATAAAACTAATTAAGAAATGTTTTTAAACCGAACAACAATCCAAATTCAATTTATGCCGCATAACTTCATTAAAATAAATTAATGAAAATATTTAACAAAATTTTGAGTCGGTTGTTTGCGGAAGCAGCCCAAAGTGGAGCACATAACTCGGTTCAGAGATTTTTGTAAAGGGTCAATAAAGCCGTAAATATTTGTTAAAGCTTTCATATTATCAGGTCGGTAATTTTATTAATCCAGCACACTTAATTACATAAAGCCGACAACATTACAGAAACAATTTTTTATTTGCTCGAAGGGTTATTGAAATGAATGAGGAAAAACGTCCAGGGAAACAAAGCAATATTTTTTCTGACAAGCAGTGGTAGAAACGAAAATAATCTTCTATTGACTTTTTTACGCGCTTTTACGAGCAATGAGACTGACCGAAAGGGAATTGAAATCCGTGCCAACCATAATTGTTTTCACATTTTCCTTTAACTTTCTCTCTCCCTCTCCCTCTTTCTCTGTCACTTACACAAATTTCCTTTTTTTATTTCATTTCATTTCATTAATTTGTTTGCACTTGGAAAAATTGTTGAGCGAGTAAGAGAGAACACGGAATATTCCGGAAACTCTGTTTTAATTTGAAATTGATGGCATTATTACGAAAGCCTTTCAGTCGTAAATTTTCTTTCATTTCCATTATTTTTATTTTCTACGAGATTTTCCGCTATTTTTCTTCTGGAATTACATTGGCATGTCAGTATGAATCGATGCTGGTTCAATAACATTTCACAAATTGAACAAACACTTTAACGTAGTAACGTATCGATTTTTCTCTTTCAACATGATTCTCATTGTTTTCCAACGAGTTTGTTATAAATAAGAAATTGCTGTTAAAGATCGAGTCATAGAGATATATCGATGTAACAGACAACTGCGCAACAATTGAAAAGCTTCATTGTTTCATTGTTACTAGGAAATAAATGAAATGCTGTGAGGATTTGTAAACTTGAAAGTTAACATTTATTTTCCCCCGGAAAATCCCTTCCTTGCCTCGAAATGAACAAAAAAGATCAGCTTTCAATTATTATCAAATAGATATTATACTGTCATAATATTTAATAAAAAGAAGTCTTGAATTGTTCTTTTCATGTATTATGTCCATTAATTTTCTCTTCTCTTGTTTAATCTTCCGTAATGAAATTTCCATTTAATTTCTATCGAATCATTTCGTTCATTGTTTAAAATAAATGGTGAAGAAAATTTTCTTGAATGGACTTCATTTGATGTTGCTGGACAATTTGATATCAGTTTTCTTCTCTCTATTGTCTTAAATTATTTCACTATTTCGATATGATTTGATTTATTTTCGAAACAATAACATGAGATGAGGTTTATGTTGCATGATGATGCCAATCATTAAAGGCACCAAAGCATCTTCATTTAGTATAATCAACTCAATTGTTTCTTAATTCTTTCATCCTAAATCGATCAACAAAAATCATTAACTTTTTTCTTCGCACACATCTGTTTGAATACGAGAAAATAGTTCTCAGTTTTTCTAAGAAGAAATTTTCCGAACTCAAAGTTAATCGCTTTTCCTCGGATTAACTCTACTCAAACACACACACGCTGTTGATTTTTTTTTCTCTGAATGCCTTAACAAACCACAAATAGCTTGAAGCTTTGTAAGCTCATTTTTTTTCGTCTCTTTTCTAATCCCTTTTGTTTTTTTTTATATTGTTGGCTCGTTTGAGTCGAGAGCAGGATTTTCACATGACTGCAGAATATAAATCTCAAATTATGTCGTGTGCTTGTGATAACTTTTGCATGTTGCTGATTTAGACATAATATCTTGAAACTGTTTGTGCGGTAATTGACGCAAGTAAGTATTATGGAGCTAAACAATGAAAGTTAAATGATTTGAAGCATAAAGCGTCCGTGAAATTATCATAATTGATCCTTAAACGCGCGTGAACCAAATCTTACGTTTATATTGCAAAACATTTATTTCTTTAATAAATCATGTAGACATCGTTACATTTAGGACTACACATAAGAAACAAAAAGCGAGAAAAAACGTAAGTAGACTTTTGTTTCTTTTTTCATAAAATCTCATTTCACGCCAGACCAGCGGAAAAGCACGAAAAATTTCTAACGATTACCAAAATGTGGGAGAATGAAAATTAACTTTAATGTCTTCATAAACATGGCAATGTCACGTCATTAATCTCTGACTCGCTGCCTCCATTAAATGTTGTTTAGCATCGTTGAAACGACGTTTTACTTTAATGCATCATTTTGGATGAACTCAAATTAACTAGCAATTAAATGCGATGAGAATGATAAGAGAGCTTTTTATTAAAAGAAAAGTGCGGGATCATGCGAAACAGCATCAAATTAAATGATGGAAAATATTTATAATAAAGTTTCAAAAAAAATGGACTCAAAAGCTTTGAAGCAATTAAGTAAATGCTTTGTAAAGCATTTACTCCCACACAAATTAATTTCGCGTTAGGGCGTGTTGCATGTTTTTAAGCAGCATTTACAAATATTTAAAATAATAAAAACGAAACATGAAACAAAGTTTGTTAAATTGAATTTTGTCGGCAGTGCAACGTGAACTTATTGAAGGTTTTTCATGTTTAATTTGTTGTTATTTAATAGATTCAAATAGATGCAAATAATTTGTAACCCAAATATTTTCTATTTAAGTCTCCATTATTAACAATTCTATGGAATAAAATTTGAAATTTAAATGCGTTGGCAGCATCTTAACAACTCATTAAAGCTATTTTGTCAATGCCAATCTTTTAAGACTTATCAAAATAAATCCGATGAAACAAGTCTTGAATTTCATAAATTTCGACTAACTTCTTAAAATCTTCCATACTTTTAATAAAATATTTGTATTTGGTTTAATCTAATTTAAAATTTCAAGCCTTCCAGCAACAACCTACAGACGAACATAAACAAAACAAGCTTCCCAGTAAACAACTGAGCAATATTTGCTTTTCGTTTTCATAATATTTTTCTATTTAGAATTTAAAGCTATTTGAGCATGTGGGTAAATAAATTCCTGTTGCCTCTTTAAGAATAAAAAACTGAATGAAATGCTGTAGGCGACACAAGAAGAGCACGCTTTACTGTGAAAAGTAATCGATTTTCATCACAAATTTTTATTCGTTTTTTCTTTTCTTTCTATTGAAGTGAAGGTTAACGTTAAACATATTTATGAAAAGCGATTGAACTCTATTCAAGAGCAGATTTGAATGTAGGGTAGTCAAGTCAGATCTGACATCAGGTCTGACGACATAGTATGTCGTCAGATCTGACGTCAGTCTGACGACATACTCGTCATACCAGTTTTTTTATTGTATGGAGAAAAGAAAAAGGAAGATATTTTGAAATTTTGACTTCTGTTTTATTTTTAAATTGTCCAGTTTCGAAAATCTTCAGCTTGTAATGCAAAAACATCATTAAAAATGTAATAATTCATTATTTTTTTCATCCAAATTTTTACTATTTTTGTATAGAAAGGCTATTTTAGTTTATTTTCATACATGCATATTTTTTTGGAGTTATGATATTTATTAAAAAAGAACTTTAACTATAAGATTTAGGTACAAAGTATGTTTGGAAAAGTTGTTCCTTAAGACATTCTGCAACTTTTTCTTAGTGCTTATATTTCAATACGTTGGCACTAGAGGGCGCCAGAGACGATTATTTAATTAATTCGTCATTATTGCCCTGTGGTGTCATTTTACAGAAATACAATGTATTGGAGAAAGTTGCAGCATGTATCAACGAACAACTTTGTCATACATACTTTGTACCTAAATTTAATAGTTTGAGTTTTATAGCTAAGGAACTGCAAAAAAAATCATGCATGAAAAATATCTAAAAAAGTGACTTTTTTCGGTTTGGATACACGAAGCGTCTATTATATAGTGACATTAATGCTAAAAAGCACTGAAATTTGTAGATTTGTGAATGAAATTTGACGTTTGAAAAATGTCATATTTACGTTTTATATGGAAAATTCAAATATAAACCCTCATTACGCCCTCTGACGGGGCCGAGCCGAACTAAGAATGACCCAATTCGACATGTACTTTTTAAATATACATTTGTTCAATATATTGCAATGGGCTCCGATGGACAGTTAAAAAGATATTTGGATTGTCCACTCTCCCATACAAAAAAAAATCTGGTATGTCGTCAGATCTGATGGTATGACGACATACCTTTGTTCACTATGTCTGGTATGTCGTCAGTATGACGTCAGATCTGACGACATAGTGAGAACCCTATTTGAATGTCAAAATCAAATGACTTTTATTGAAAAACCCCAAAGGATTCTTGAAGAACCTTAATGTGTGTTTATGTAAAACGGTTGATAAAATGCTATCTTATAAAGTAGACATCCCTCAAGACATTGAAGAGAGCATCTTTAGGAAACCAAACTCTATTTATCAAAGATTGGAAACACATCTGATGGTTTCGAAGAAGTAGTAATGATCTTGGGATTAAGACGGATCAACAATGGATTGAATGAATCTAAGAATTTACGGCAGAATATCTGTTTTGACAATCTTTCCATTTGACAAGAAGATTTTCCACAATATTTAGTCGAACATGTGAAGACAAGAAAATCTTTCAACTGACCGTAAATTGAGTCAGTTTTTCTACTACGTAGAAAGCTTTCATTTTAAGGAGTGCTTATGAACATTAGAAAAAGAAGAAGGAAAAGAACTGAAAAACAAACCTTTTCCTCAACATTCCCGAAGAAGGGACTCAATTTAGCTTAGAACGAAAATCTCGGCAGATTCTTAGTCGAAGGACGAGAAAATTATTCGAAGGAAATCTCGGCAACATGAATGAGAAATTTTCTCTAACTCAACTCATAAGTCGTTCGTGTACAATAATAGGGATCGCGCTGCGAGATATATACATGAATGAATTGTAACTGTGAGTTGATTATTTCTACAAGCTGTTGAAGAAAATCTCTTGTCGCTTTCTTCAACTTGATTCAGTGGCAAATGTCATAAACATGATGATGATGATGTGTGCTTACAAGACGCGCTCGTAAAGCTTCAATATTTATCGTTCTTGTTTCGCATCATAAATTATGTGATGTACTGATGTTTGTTTTATGCTTTCACGTGTTTTTGGTGCCAATACGCGAAAACCACTTACGGTGCGTGATGTGAATACTGAAAACCAGCCTTTAAATTTTATTTATGATAAAATCATTTACGAAAATATGAAATTTTCGATTATAAATTATTAATCAGGAAAATGTTTGTTTAATTTATTATCTAATGAATTGGATAAGTCAATGAAAATGTATTGAAACCTAACAACCCACACGTTATCGGTTGAATTTATTTACGAAACAAAAGCAATCCTTTGCATGAGAACAAAAATTTGTTAATCAAATCAAACGCTTATTGTTTCTATCATTGAAGTATCTTCTTTCAAGCTCTTTTCTCATGCACGTGTTCTCGCAACTCTTCTCAGCTTCTTCGTGGTATTCCCCAATCCAATGATTCAATTTGTTATGCAACAAATTTATTATTCTTATTCTTGTTTCCGATCCTCCTCGATTTTTTCATGCTTCAGTATTCAATTTTGTTATAGGAGAATAAACATAAACAACATCATTAAGCTCTGATAAAAAGCAAAAAAAAATTGATGGAATAGAAGAAGAAATGTTTGAGCACAAAAATTCTTTAAAAATGAACCCGCGAGATTCTTCAATTTATTATTTTTAACAAAGTTATTCATACAATCAAGACGAAGGCAGAATCAACATTGCTAAGTATTAACAAAGGTTTCAGGCTTTTTTTTGCTTTATTTTATAATCGCGAAGAATCGTAAATTTTGAACATAAATAAATTGAAAGTCTGGGAAAACATCAACATATAGATGAGAAACGACCTTTTCCCAACATACCACTCTAAACACTGCCTCAACGAGCAGGAATTTCTTTAATATTCCTTCACATTTGGCGCAAGTAATTTTTTTTCCAATCCAATGATAATCGACATCATCAGAAATTGAAATGTTTTTTTTGAAATTCGCTTTCTGTTTATAAATATATCGTCGTTGTCTTCATTCTTACTTGCCATGATGACGTGTCAAGACGATCTTATCCTAATAGTCATTCACACTGTCAATAAAAAAAATTGACGTTGTAATCCTGATACGGATTCTTGTTTTCACTGTTCTCATATTCATTAATTATGCTCTTTTTGCATGAGATTAAAGCGCTATTTCGAGCGCCAATATTTCATAGAATCAATTCGTGAGGGAATTTTTTATGTATTTGGATCACGAACGGAAGTCGACAGTGCGACATAATGAATGTTCTATTATGACAGAATTGTCCCAATGGGCTTCTGCGACAGCAAATTCGATTTTCAATTTGCCACGATAACATGGAAAAGAGATGGAAAGGCAGTTGAGAGAAAATCGAATCCCACCTAAAACTTTCTCATTATTTACAAAGAAGATGATGGGGAAAGGCTTGAGTGAAGTGAAAGTGTCTCGTAGGGATGGTTATAAAGTTTAATGAAAATGATTGCCTCTCAAGGAGAAACTGAATGAAGAAATTTTAGATTATGTAGCAGAGTAGCATGACTTGATCTTTCTGATGTATTTTTTTTATAAATTTCTTTAAATTCCATTCCTTTGCTTTACTTATAGCAATTAATGTCAGTTGTCAGACGACACAAATAGCTAAAGAACAGTGTTTGAACCTTTCAACAAAATACACGATAAATTCTTGGTATTATGGATTTACTCACACCGCAGAATGTTCTGCGCCTTTAGGCTATGAATCCTACGAGTAAACAGCGAGGAAACAAACGTTTTTTTTTTGCTATGACATCAGGAAGCCACCTTTTATGCACACACGTCAACAGACACAAAACGAAATGCTGAGCTTATGTGTAACCGACAAAAAGTACCATAAATGTATCAGAAACATTGTGAGAGAGGAAACAAATAAAAATGGCAATTTCATGTTGGGCGAGAGAAAGCAAAACACATAACTTTTGATCTGGAGGGAATTTTTTCTGTTTTCTTTCTGTTTTTTTATGTGGCAACAATAAATGAATTGACAGGCGAAACAATGAATCGAAACGACTGAAAGTAAGTCAATAGGGGGGAGTGGGAGGAAAGAAAGAAAAAAAAAACGACAGAAAAGAAAGGCTTGAACAATAATAAATGAGAAGAGTTTATGGCCCACTCTGTGTAACATTAAAACATCATTAATATTCGTTAAACTTTAATCAGAATTGAAAGCTTGTTTTCCCCATTTTTGTGCATCGATGTGTCAAAACATATTTATTATGTTGCTGTGCAAAACTCTATTTCTATGCGTGTGATCATGACGCATAATGTAGAAAATTATTTCACTTAAAATCCGCTTATGAGCTTTTCACAATGCATTTATTTATGTAAACTTCTCATAAACAAGGCCAATTTTCAACTGCGTTTGATGGATTGTTGAACTACAACAACATGCAATGAGACTTGAGGAATGAGAATGATTTTTTTTAAAAACATAATTTTAAATAGCGTACATGAGAATGAAGGAATTCACAGAGTTGTTGTGGTAACAGTGGTTAATAATCAACAAAAGTTTTATAGTCGGTTTCAGTGAACTCAGACAAATTCTCAAAGGATTTTCAACCGAGACTTCAAGCATTTATTCACATCAATAAGGTCATGATAAAGAGTGAAATATCCTCGCCTCGAGTTTGAGGGAGAAACGATCAAGAGCTTTTGTATTGAGAGTTTTTCCGATGATCCACGATTCATTTCAATTTTAATAAACTTCAAAATATTCTCTTTATCTGAAGCTTCAAAGGATGCTTTAAATAAGCGAGATGATTTGAAACAAAGCATAATATAAAACTTTAATTCTTTCATGGTACGTTCTATGCAATTCATAAAACGTCGATGTATTCCCTTTGAGCTAACTCAACGAATGAGAAGAAATGGAGAAAAACTCAATTGTGAGGAACAGAAGAAAACGTTTTTCTCGTGCTTCTCGAAATACAATAGGATTTTCGTCGGAAATTTTTCTTGCAACGTGTTTGAAATTTAATATACAATATAAGAAACAAAAAAGTGAAATGAGAGTAGTTTGTAGCGCAAAACGATAATTTTTTACCTTTAAAAGATGACTCGAATAAAGTTTTTGGAACTTTTTTCCCATCGCTCACTTCACAATCTTCTCACTGATGACAAATTCCTTTTTGTCAAGATTAAGCAGTAAACTTTTTCGTCGTGAAAAGAAAAATGTAATGTTGTCTGTAATCCTGCTATGTCTTCAGTTTTCTTTTTCTTTTCTTAAATTCTTCAAACTGAGATTACTCATGCAAAGTTGATTAGGAAGCTAAAGTTTTCTTTTCTATTTTAGATAACACAATTGCAATTTTTCTTCAACAATCATACAGATTATAGATACGATTTAATGTAGAAACTTTGACAAAAAAAAATTGAAAGATTCATTTATAAACCTTCCTCACTTCATTCTTCTTTCCTTTTAAAAGTGAAATTAAATCTTTTACATTCTTTTTATTTATATCAGCAGTTTAAATTCGTTTACGAGGCTATTCACACTCTTTTTGGTCTTCTTCTCAAAGTGACCAAACAATTAACCTGATTGTGATCTAAAATTTCATTGCCTCGAGAATCCTTTCCTGTTTCTGCCTTGTCTCGTTAAATTTTGACTCTTTTTTTTCCTATCTTTTTTACAATGTGACCACATAAACCACCAAACAACTTATCAATAAAGCAATACCATTTATCTTTAGGCAGGTTTTTATCCTCGGGATCACTTTGCTGAATGGGAAATAAATATACCAATTTCTTTTTCACTTCCCTTTGCGTTTATGGTATCAAGCGCACGACCGAAAATCACGAAACATTTCTCTTTAGAGATTATCAAAAATCGCCTCGTACCATAAAAAAAAAACAAGAAAATCGTTTCTTTTATGTTCTCACAATTTTCCAGAATAAAGATGAGACACGATTCACGTTTTGACAGCACAACGTATGGACTGAAATGCCGCGTTTCAATCTAAGCTTTGTGGCGATCGGAGAGCTTTTTTTCTTCACTCTGCTGTATTACTGTTGATTCGGAAACAAAACACCGACTGTTTTATTATACAACATCTATTCGCTCCATATGAGATTTCCAATGAACTTATTTCCGCATGCGCAGCCGAAGTTGAAGAGTGAGAGGTGAAGAGTTTCACTGGAAGGTCATGCATGTGCTTCTTTATTAAAGAATGTTTCAATGATGTTGATTTCAAATTTGGCGCAATGGTTTGAATCTTTGATGTGTCTTTGCTTTCTTGAAAAGCTTTTCTTGGTAATAAAGAAAGAAAGAAATCTTGCTTTGATTTAGTAACTCTTTTAATGATTATTTTGTCATTAATGTTCGAGAATTATTTAAGACAATATCTCCCTCGATTCATAGGCATTTGTTATGTCTTGAGTTGCCTTGTAATAATAATTGTTCGTCATCTGTCATGTTAAAAATCTGAGATTTAATAAAGCTCTTACATGATGAAATATGTAAGAAGAAATGTTTGAAAAGATACATGAATATTATGTCATGTCGTAATCAATTAGTTTTATAATCTCATAAATCCATTAAGAATATTTGTTCTGTAACTTTCATATGCAAACATATTTTTTCTCGTTTTCAATGACGAATTTCGCGTTCTTTTTCATGAATGTTTGTAGAAACTCTGTTGGAAAATGTTACAAATGCACATGATAACTTCTAAAATGAAGACTCGGAAATATTTTAGAACAAAACTTTATAAAGTTTAAGAAAATGAATTAAAAAATGTTGGCAAATTAAATAGAACTAACCAATAATTATGTTGGATTGTGGTGTGGTTTACAAAGCAAACAGAACTTTACAATGATAATATGTTTCTATTGCTACCCATTAACGTAACAGATGCCAGCAGGATGATTTTCATTTTGCGATTACACGTTGAACAAATAAAGTTTCTTCTTCATATGAACGGATCTGTTCTAATGAAGTCATGAGTGAAGAAAAGCTTTTCTAAGCAGATGAAATGTTTTCTTTGTTAAGAAATGTTTCTGAAACTTCTACAAGAAGAAAACTTGTTCAGAACTTCTGCATCTTTCAAAGACGATGTTATGATTAAGTTATTTCTTTGAAATTTTAGATGCATTTTCGTATCTAAATGTCTGTGAAATTTAAGTTTCCTAAATATTTCTTGTCATTTCAGATTTCATGTCTCTGTTAGCAAAGGAAATTCTTATCTCAGTTGTATCAAATTATATGTTGAAGTTTACTAAATAAATATTAAATTTTCATTACGTTTCTGATTGTGTACTTAAAAAATTTTAATTTAATAAAAAGTCATTCCCAAAAGGCTTATAAAAAGTCTTAGAAATCAATCCTTAATTGAGCACGAGTTGGGCTCATAAAGTATTTAATTTCAATATGTTTCGTTCGATATCAATGGAAGTAATTTTTTCTGAGTTGATATTTATGTTGAAGCATTTTACATGTTTCGCTTTCATGTTTGTAATAACAAATCTCAAGATTTTTATTCTCATTTTCTCACATTCATATTTACATCCACAGTCTGTTGTTGATTATGTCAATTTTACTTTGGAATGTGACGAATGTTGTTATTAAAAGTATTGAAGAATTCTCAACTAAATTCGATTGCGATAACTTCATGATTGTATTTCACATAAATATTTAAAGCTTTCCTTCCCTGGTTGCTCATGGTGAGGATTCACAAATGCTTTTTACGGTTGTTTGTTATGTTTCAACAAATTTGCATATTACTTTTTATGACATCGATATTATACATCTTTGCCGCTAAAATACGCGTGAAGGAATCACATAAAGGGAGAGAAAAATAAAACATTTCGAAACATTCTTTCGGATCACGATGATTTATTTTTAGGAATTATGGAAACTGATTCGGATGAAAAATTGTTAAATCTCTTCTCTTTTTTTTTTTCTTCGTTTCCTTTTTTTATGTGGATGTGCTGGCGGCTATAAAACCATCTCGAGTCTCCAGTTCCATTTGAATGGCTTTGAGTATTTCTTTTAATGGAAAAGTTCTCAGAAAATCAACCATGACATGCATAAGGTGGAATAAAAAAGCTTTACATAGCTAGATATGTTGTAAAATGAATCAACAGAAGCGCGAAGCTTTGAATATTTATTTTTTGATATTCCTCTGATGATTCAACATAACATTTCGAATTTTACTTTTATTATTTAAGGAAAACGTAATCCTCCAGAAATGAACAAAAAGTAAACAAGACAAGATAACAAATTACAAGATTTATTTCTGATATAATAAAGTTTAAAGAAAAATATAAATGTTATCTCAATAAAATGGCATTAAGACAGTATTTAAGGTTTTAAAATATTCCCTCAAGATCATGAAAATAAACTTTGTCGACCCTTAAATAAACATGTAATCATTACTCTACATTTAAACTTGACAACCTTTTCTACGATCCCTAGTAGCGAAACTGAAACAATTTATAATCTCAACGAGTCTATTCAGGCAACATCTTTCAAGGAATGATAAATCAAAAATAGAAACATATACGACAACACACAAAACAAAACCTTAGATGGGGTAGACGAGATTTGACATTGATAGATTCACATTCATTAACAAATTAAGCTCATTCAGAATGTAGATGATGTATTACGTGGATGAAATGTAGAGGAGCATTTCAATTTATTATCCATGATTTGTTATTTGCCTTTTTCTCAGTCGATCATGGTTACATCATGACTCACGTAATCTGATTCTGGCAGGGACTGTTTTCATTCTCATCCGTATAGTTCCAATTGGAAATTTGGATATTGTTAAATTGATTTATTGTGAAGTCATTTAATTTGTTGGGAAATGAAGAAAGTTAATTGACTATGAGTTTGTGGTTTTTATAGTCTTTTTAAACAACTTTTCGTTTCGAAGGTTTCTTTGACTTTCAACTCGTAAAATTTTAATCCTTTATCGAATGACGTTCAGTGAAACCTTGGCAAGTTTCTCTTCATCTCTTCACATGATTTCCAAACCAGCTTAAAGTTTGAAACAACTGAAACTCTCAAACTATTTTAATCAATGCCCGAGTGGAATTTTTTGCTTTTATTTTGTGAAGGTTTTTAACACAAACACAGCTTAACAAAGCTTTTCAAACTTTCAGATTAAAAATTCGAAAGCACAACTTTTCCTTCTAAATTTCATGTTATTTCTACAAAGTCAGCACTAATAATGTTTCCAATCTACCCGAGTCGATAAACATTATAAAACGTCAATGTTGAGATGTCCTAAATTTCTATTAATTTCTCTTGATTTACAGAGTTGTGTCGAGAGCAAGTTCATGAAATTTTACTTGTATGAGTTAAACTTTTATTGACGTTGTTGGGAAAACTTCATTTAAATGTACACGCTCAAGTGATCTTACTTAGAAATTTACGTAAAATGTAAAATTGTAAGCAAGTCAAAGCACAACTCTGGTTGATTAAGTTTCATGGCTGATGAAAGCAATAACAAACTGCTTCAAATATTAAACAATGCTTAAATGTTTGTAACATAAACAAACCTGATTATCAAAATATCTTCAAATATGAAGAAAAATAACTTACAAACTTGTAAGTAACTACTGCTGGAAATTTATTTCTTTCCTCGTTTCTCTTTATTCTGGAAAATTTATGGGAAATTTCCTTAATTTTCTCTCATATAAATTTATCTATTAAGATGTGTGCGAGTAAATTTATATTCTGAAGAAAAATTCTTTCAATTCTTCAAAAATAATCAATTGAAGCATTTAAAATTTCAATTCATTTTCTGATATTATCAGGTGTTTAATTTCTCACTATCAATATTTTATTCACAACATACCATAAAACCAGCTTTATCATTTATTGATTACAAAAATCACATGTTGATGATAAATATTTTCAAACCCTTCATCACTCTTTTATTTTCGATTTTTAAGCAGTTTTTAATCATTCTTTTGTGATTTTTGAAAGAACATATTGACCAAGCATGCGAGCACCTTTGCCGTTAGCCTCTTCATAGTCGGGCAATGTTTTCTTGCATCTTTCAACCCACGCTTTAATACGTGGATACTTATCCAAACTAAATCCAAGTTCCTATAAAAAAATTCATATAAATTAAGTTATAACTAGAAAAACTTTACAATTAAAACCAACCAAGAATGTTGACAACATAGTAATGTATGCAAAATCGGCTGCTGTTATAGTTTCTCCAGCAATCCACTCGTTTCCATGTGGAAAGTAATTTTCATCGATAATAAACAACGTTTCGTGAATTTCCTTAAGAACTTTCTCATTAAATTTGGTTTCAGTTCCTTGGAAGATTGGAGTCTAAAGATATTTAAGTAAAGTTTAAATGTAGAGGATAATCGGAAGAAGAAGAGGAAAAATCTTACAATCATTTCTCCAAATTTACCGGTTATGTTTCCCATCTCATTGTGCAAACGTTGATTTACGATTGCCCTTTCTTTAGGTGAAGCTAGGACCAGATGAGGTGCTTTAGCTTCAAACAAATAGCTGAGAATGGCTCTTGACTCCCACAAGTAGAAACCGTTATCATCTATTGTTGGTACTGTATGCTGTGGATTCATTTTGATAAAATCTGGTTCAAGGTGTTCTTTCTTCCCTTGTAAATCCATAACCCTCACATCGACCTCGATGTTCAAGTAACGAATGCAAAGCATCACTGACCTTGAGAATGGACTTATTGGACTATGATAAAGTACAAGAGGCGCCATTGTGAATTAATTAAGCAAATGATCTTTCCAACCGTTGAAAGTCGACTGACTTGAGTGGAAATAATATTATTGAAGTGAACATATTTCGGAACTGATAAGATAAGAATTATGTAATCGATAACAATATTAGTGGCATGACTTTGCTCGATTCGCTGGTTTTATCCCGTTTGTCAGTCAGTCAACGTGTTGATTAATTTTCATTCAAACATTTATTTTGCTGTTCAAATAATTTCAATGATGTTTACCAAAACAAAAATTCTGAGTTGCCTTATTGGGTTGCACGCTTCACCCAATCACCAAACATTTCAGCACCAACCTCATTCACTTCCTGAAAGTTTGTAAATCTTTCTTTACATCTTTCATACCAGCTTTGTATCCTTGGGAATTTATCCAGTTGAATTCCTGTTGCCTGTCAACAAAAACGAACATATTGATGTAAAAAAATCTTGTAACGGATACCTTAAAATAGACGTAAAGCTTTTTGCGAATTGATTTCATTGCCATCAATCACATATTCATCGTGATACCCACAACTAAACCTGTAATCGTTGTGACATATGCAAAATCAGCTACAGTCACATCTTCACCGGCAATCCATTTGTTGTTGTTTGGAAAGTAGTTTTCTTCAACAAGAGAGAAAATCTCGTAAAGCTTCTTAATCTCCACTTGATCCATTCGGTTACTGTCATTGAATAGTGGATTCTATACAGAGAAAGTGAGCTTTTCATGTTCAGAAATCTTATGAAGTATTAAAAGTGTCTCACATAAATTGCAGCGTATTGTTTAGCAATACCACCCATCTCTGAATACAACCGTTGATTTAAGATTGCTCTTGATTTCGGAGAGGCGGGTATTATATGTGGGGCTTTTGTATTCATGAGATAACAAAGAATAGCTCGGGATTCCCATAAAAAGAAGCCGTTATCGTCAATCGTTGGTACAGTATGTTGTGGATTCATCTTAAGATATTCCGGCTTCATTTGATCTCCTTCCAACAAATCCACAATCTTCACTTCAATTTCCAGTTCCAAGTGATGTGCAAACAATAAAACTGATCGAGAGAAAGGACTGTAAGGTGAATGATAAATCACAATTGGTGCCATTTTATTACTTTTTATAAATTGATTTGAAACGCAGAATAAAAACTTTTCAACACGACACACATTGAAACAGAAAGACGAATAAAAACTTACACAGATTGACAACCAGAAGTTGTTTTTATCGCGTGGATATTTTTACATTTGTGTGTGGGATTGAAAACAAAGCACGATGTTTCAAAACATTTTGAAATGTTTAGTGGAATGTCTTGAATTGAATTTACCAACTTGTTCTTCTTTTATTTAGGTTGTAATGGAATCATAAAACATTCATCGAGAATTAAAAAACCATTTTACATTAGATATTCAAATTGAATTTTTCTTTCAGATTTTCTTAAATAAATTATCAGCGTTGAAACGCTTTAAGGCTTTTGGTCTGCAATGCTTTTAAACATCATAAATTAAATTGAAACGTAAACAATGATAAAGCTCAGGTTTCCAAGATTTTTCTTTCTTTCGATCAATCAAAAAATATTTTACGACTACTTTTTACAATTTATTTTGACATTTTTTCTGATTTGTAATCTTTCAAGTTTGACGCAATCTACTAATTATTATTCCCGATTATAAATCATTCTTTACTTTTATCTAATCATATTCTTGTATTCTCTTGCTATCGTTTAATCAACTCTCTTAGAACTGCTTTACTACGCTAGTTTCAATTCTCAGTTGTTATTGAACGTTAAACGAATAAAAATGAATTTTTTACATCGCAGAACGTCAGCCCACAAAGTGACAACTTTGCAAAGACCAATACTTTATTACACACCAGATTCGCCACCTTGTCAAGTGAGTGATTGAAAGATTGCTTCTCATTGTCAATGCACAACAATATTGCTTACTTGGTATCATGGAAATTGAATCATTATTCATCCATGTATTGAATGACTCAAGGAAAATATGTCAATCAATTATTGGATTACAAGCAACATAAAATGTTGTGTGCTTTCTTTCATGCAACGTTTTCTTTCTTTTCTACTTCATAGGCTGTTATCTTGGTTATAAAGCAACTTCATTTGAACATTCAGGTACGTTCATTAGCATCAATGATATAAAATAAACTTCAATTCGTTGCAGTTGAAAGATGTTGACTTTGATAAAAGTGAACACATGTCACCAGAATTTCGTAAAATGAATCCATTGCATCAGGTACCGACATTAGACGACAATGGATTTTTTATAAGTGATTCACATGCAATTATTTCGTACATGGCTGCAGGATCTCACTTGACATCGACTGACTCAAGACTTTTGGCTCGTATCAATGAAATGCTTTGCTTTGACTTTGAACTCTTTCGAGTCATGGGAGAAGTTGGCGTGAGTTCAAGAAATAATAAAATTGGTCTGCTTAGACAACATGAATGCAATCGTAAACTTTTTATTTTAAGATTCCAATGTTCTATGAGGGAGCGGCAGAGCCATCACAAAAAGCTTTAAAAATTCTCGATGAGAAGCTTAGTGCACTCGAGTATTATCTGAAACAACGTAAATGGGTGTCGGGTGAATTTTTGACCATTGCAGATTTTTCTGTTCTCGCAACATTTTCTGTAATTTACGTGAGTATCCGCTGAAAATAAAATCAATTGCTTCTGGGTCAATTCACTTGACTTCATTTCCACATCGTCCTATTTCAGCATTGTCCAATTGACCTTTCAAAGTACCAAGCGACGTTGGAATGGTTTGCAAGATGTAAGAAAGCTAGTGTCGGCTATGATGATATCGAAGAAGACTCAAAAAATGCGCTCGGAAATTTCTTGAAATCAAAAGGAATCGAACTTAAATTGAAATCGTAAACATCAAACTTGTAAACAGTTAACAGCGACTCCAGACTTCTAGTGAAAGTTTTTAATTCTTTATTCAACTTGAGACTCTCATGAAAGTTATCATCAAATCTGTTTGTAAAAATCACAAAAAAATGTTTATGAAATAAAAGTTTTCCTTCTTTATGTGTGTTAGTGACACAGTTTGGAAAAGTTGAGAATTCTTTTTTTATTTGCGGGGGAGTTGGCGTATCTAGTTTACCACACATTGAAATGCCTTCGTTTTTCAACTCTCTGTCTCGATGTTTTGCATCATGTGCTGTTAAATATTAATCGTGAAACTTTTTTATTTTCATCATAACGCTCTTAAAGTTTTATGACATTTTTTTCGCTTGAGTTTTTTTTATTGATTTTCTGATGATTTCATTTGTAATGTTGAGTATGTACAGAAACTTGTTAAAGCTCTGAAGATGTGATGCTAGTGAAAGTACATACATATGTACGTGTTGTAAACAAAATATTTTCAAATTTGATTTATCTGAATACAGATTAAATGAATTAAATTGCTGCGTTATGTTTCTACAATTATGCAACATAATTATTGCGTTTATGAATAATAATGAAGCAATTGAATTTATTATCTGTTTAGATAGTTTAATTAATAAACATTCATTTGTGATTTTTAAATTATTTTGAAGTTTAACAAGTTGTTTTGAAAGGTTTAAAGTTAAGCCTCAGTTTTCAAAGTTATCAAAGTTTGAGCTTCGATTCGTTTCCTCCATTCCTAACCCCTGATTATCGTTTAAAGGACAATACCCTCTTGCTTTAAAAAGAACGTTTTGTATCTACACATGTATCATATGAATGTTTACATATCTTATCTTCATTCACTTGAGGTCATTTTATTTTTAACAAAATCTTTTGACATATGAGCTACGATGATAAATATGTGATATGAACGGTTGATATAAAATACCAAAAATATACGCAGTTGAGAGAAATATTCCATCGGAAATTTCAATTTCATGGCGTATTGAATATTTATGTCAAGATATGGTTCAAGAATAAAACCCAACATTTTTCGTCATTGGAAAGATTGTTTTCTTGTTCACTCATTTGTTACAACCAACGCTATTTGGTATTAGTACAAATTTAACCATTGTTGTACACCACCTGACGGTTTGATTCATGTTTGAAGCTTTTCGACTTCAGTTTCTTGTGAGAGTCTTTTGTGGAAAATTCGAAGCGTCACAGCTTCAGGGAAAAGTCGAAATCCTAAGTCATTTTTCACAGACGATGTGTGTAGCTTTTATGTTGTTCTCTTATACATTCTGTATGCATAAACAACTTTAATCTCGAGGTTTTTCTGCTTGTATTCTTTTGCATAAATCTTTTTCAGCTTTCCGTCCCTTTTCACAAAGATGCTTCGCTGATAAATATGTTGCGATGATATCCTTGGTTACTGGGACGATACATCGTTAAATCGGAAATCAAATTTCCTTAATGAAATGACTCGGATAACACTACACACGCTTTGCAAGATGTTCGTTTTATACGATTTTATTAAGTGACTTCGATTTTCCACTCTTATTATCACTCAAGTCATTCATGTACATTGAGCATAGTGGTAGCAGCAATATTTCATCCCCAACAAGCTGTTTTTATAGTTGTTAAGATTAAATTGTCGTCCATACAATTCTGGAAGCTGAGCAATAGTAAAAAAGAAGCTCAAGCTTATAAAATGTTAAGGAAGCTCACGAAAAACAAAGTTTGATGCTTAAAAGCTCAAAACGGAATTTAAGTTTTAGCATATGACAACTAATGGTGAGAGTTCAACGATTTAACATCCAACTCTACTCTCTAACAACCAGCTGAAGATTATGATAAACACATAAGGATAAGATAAGTTCCCTTAAGCCATGAAGCCTTACGATCTCAAGAAAGATTCTCAATTTCTCAATCCTAAATTATAAACACATGAGAACACCTCAAGCGGGCTTATCGTTCGTGTTGAAAATAATAATCCTTGAAACGAGTGTAAAAACGTCTTGCTCTTGAACTTGAATCACGTTTACACAACTTTGTATTCCGAAAATGTTCACGCAAATATTTCCCATTATCGCTATGAGGCACGACCCTAATGACACTCGATTCACAATTTGCATACTCTTCTGACATTTGTTCAAGTGTATAAAGTCTCTGTTGAGTTCTTTTTGTATGTTATGCAACACATTCCGATTTGAGCAGTGATAACAATTCAAAAAAGGAGAGCAAGAAAATTGCCACTTTAAGGTTTCAAACTGAGATATTTAGAGGATGTTGGAGCACATTTTTAAGTCAATTTAAAGTGGAATTAGTAAATAAACGTAAAATTTTCAAAGAAACAAAGAACTTGTCTTGAATTTTAAGAGCTCTTGATTATTAGGTATTTGCATACGCTCATTGAAAATTCACGCAAATTTTCCTCCTTCTTCGCGTTTATGGAAGGAATGTCGATTGTTTTATTGGAATGTGTTTTTCCATGTCTTTAGCTGAGTTAATTTGTGGAAATTGTTCAGCAATTTTTATTTATTTTCCCTCACATACCTCAGCATGAACTTCACGGGGAAATGAAATTTATATTCATGTCGGTGAGAAGTTTTTATATTGAATTTTTTATAATGAATAAATACATAAAATTTAGGTCATGCTAAATGAATTGCAGAATGTGAATGTTCGAGATATATGAAGGATGATAAAATCAACAATTATTAATGACCAACATAATTTCTTTTACATAAAACATAAACTACAACTGGAAACTCTTATCATTCATTCACAAAAGTTTTTGTGTTTCTGACTTAATAAAACTTTTTAGAGATCTTAAATTCAGTTCTTAATAAATCAAGATGACTTTCTAGTAAAACAAAATTAATATTTCGTTCTTCTTGTGCATATTCTATAGACTACAAAGTCCATTCAATTTGAATGAAAAACATTACAAAATTTCAAATGAATCAGTAGAAATATTCATGTTTGTAGAAGCAGCTTGAAAATCCTTGTTCTAATAAATTTCAATAAAAAAACATTTAAAACAAAAAGTGACTGTAAACAGTGTCCATTGTAATTTACATAATGTTAATTTTCCTTCGTTTATGAATTGTTACTTTATCGGACAATGTCTGCATACATTAAATATATCGAGAGTGATTCTTTGAAGGAGTTGTAGCGTAGCAAAAACCTTTACCTGTCTATATTTATTACATTGAAACATATTTCAGTTGGTTCGTTGACCTAATATTTTATATCTGCATAGTCAGTATTATTATGCAAATTGTTTTACCATAAATTGCGGCCTTCGGTTAGATAAAACTAATTGCAAAGTGTAGCATAAAAAATCCACTTGGCTTTCTCTAACCGTAATTTTTGGCTCTTAATTTGTTCAATTCTCCAGTCATGATATGATGAAGTAGAAAATATGAAAATTTGAAGATTTTTTCAAATTATTTCTCTAGCACGTTGTGTATGACAATTTTCCCTATTCACAAACTTAATTTTTAATAAAAATAAAACCGATTCTTGTTTGCATCACATCAACATTCAACATTCACTAAAGCCCCGACAATTACCTTTGAAGTTTATTAAATTTGTTTCTTTCAACACTCTGACAATAATCCAACAAGGGAATGAAGGAAAATTTTAAATCTTCCTGAGACCAGCAAAAAAAAGGTACACAAAATTGCTTCATGAAACTTGATGTGCTGTTAAATTGTAAATAAAGTATTCACAGAACATTTTAGATGAGCAGGTGTTGTTATGTGTAGAAGCTCGAGAAATGCCTTTTTCGCCCTCGCCAACACTTCAACATCGTAATTAATTTAATGTGATGTGAAACGGCTGTGTTTTCTGCTTTTGAAACCATCCGCTAGTCTGTTTCCTTTCATCTTAATGCACTCTTAACAACTCAGGTATGTATGATTGCGTTTCACTGTTTTACAGATTTTGACATCGAGCTCTGTGTATGAAATATTGTGATGAGAATGGATTTGACGAAGAGAGAAGGAATTAATTAAATAAAAGTATGAAAACAACTCCACATATTTCACTTTTTTATAATGATGTTGTTTAATGCATTCAACGTCTGCAGCTATGCAGATATGCAAACAATTTTTATGCTAATAAGCAGAATGAGCATTAAAATGTTGTTTCATTCTGATTTTATGAAATTGTAATTAAAAGACTAACATAATCATAGTATGATAACGAGGAAACAAAATTAAGCTCTCTTCTCACATCTCAGTCTTTCAGTGGAATTTAAGCCAAGCAGATATTTTAGGGGGTTTTTGAATCTCTCGAGATACTATTTTAAAATGAGAGTTTTAGTGTTGATGATTATCATTGGAATGTCGAGATTAAGTTGTAAGTTATTAAGATAAGTGACTTAGAACTTCTTCGACCCTAAAGTTTGAGAATTTTATCAAATAATTTAATTTATATTTTCAATTAGCATCAATTAGAACTTCACGTTGTAGTCTTGGTAGCACTTACAACAACGATTGTAATATTTGTACATGTATAGTGCCGGGATTTTTCAACTGCACACAATATTCTTGTGAAAAAAACTTGGAATATTCAGTTAGTCATGTCAGAAAACAGCGCAGCGAAAATCCCAACACAAATGAAAAAAGTGAACCACCGTCGGAAATTGAATCTGACATTTTGACTTTTCAATTCGAGAGATGCGAACCAAAAGAAATCAAAAACGAAGTAAATATAAATTCTATGACGTCATTTCATAATTGAGAAGATTAATCGTTAATAATGTTAATTACAGCATTGTAATCGATGCAAATGCACAAATAATGGAGCTGGTTGGCTTTGCACTCAAAAGCTTTGCATATGATGATTGACATCAATTAATAATTTTTGTTTAATTACAACTCAAATAGTTATAATAAAATTGAGAGATTTTTCAAAACGGTGATTTCTTATCATGAGAGATTTGATATTTTAGCAGCTTCCCTAATCAATTTTGTTTTAGTCGTCAGTATAAATTTGTCAATGCGAGTCAAGCTTCAAGAAACTGCCAAATAAATTTTTAATTTTATATCCAAATATTTTGTGAATAGTTTGAGAAACAAAAATGAAACTTTTTATCGCATTATTCATCACATTCTTTGTGGGATCATGTTGTAAGTTCAACGTATTAAATTATTACGTAACATTTGGTTTTATGATAATCTTTTGAACTTTGAAATTTTTAAATTTAGATTCATCTCCGGTGGAACAACCATGCACGACGGGTCACAGCTATGAACAAGATTGCAACACATGTACATGCACTGAAACTGGCATCTACCAATGTACATTGAGAGCTTGCATTTCTCCTGATGAACCGAGATTCCCTGACACTGTCGCTGAAGAAACTACACAAGGAATCAGAGCTCTTCGTGATGTTGGCAGCGGAAAATGCACGCAGGGGCACAGCTATGAACAAGATTGCAACACATGTACATGCACTGAAACTGGCATCTACCAATGTACATTGAGAGCTTGCATTTCTCCTGATGAACCGAGATTCCCTGATACTGTGGCAGAAGAAACTACACAAGGAATCAGAGCTCTTCGTGATGTCAGCAGCGGAAAATGCACGCAGGGTCATAGCTATGAACAAGATTGCAACACATGTACATGCACTGAAACTGGCATCTACCAATGTACATTGAGAGCTTGCATTTCTCCTGATGAACCGAGATTCCCTGATACTGTGGC